GTGAGGCCGTGAAACACTGCACACACGCTGACGCTGACCCCCGTGAGATCGAGATGAAAGGGTGGGCGCACAGACGCGGCGCGCAGGCATGCTTCTTTTGCATTTTTCATTTTTTAATTTTCTGTTTTTTGATCAAGTTTTTGTTTCTCCCTTTTTTTTTCGAAAGATGTCCTTGAGCAACCCTGAGCCTTTTGTGCTCCTACCAGCTGCTGCTCGTTGCTGATATTGACACACAGAACAACTGCCAAACGAGACCAATTTATTCCAACAACAAAGTGAGAATCCGTGGCTTCAAGTCTGGGATAGAATCATTAGAGGAACATTGGCTGGAAAAGATATGAAAAGTACATCAAGAGTCCGAAAGAAAAACAATAAAAAAGTGCCAACAACAAAGATGATTCAAAGAGCAGCTGAAGACTGCAATCGCAAAATGATCTGAGATTTATAATTGCTATGATCACTGACAGCGGGTTGTTTTGGACAGACGAGCCTAAAGATGCTCGTACAGCTCGTTTGAGGTCCCCTGGGGCAAGTCTTTTGGGCGCTGCACCAGATATTTGATGCTGTTTTGGCCTTCTTGATCGATGCAGCCACGTAAAAGGACAACAAGATGGCGGTCAAGCTGTTTGTCGAAGTGAGGATCGTCTGGGCGGATCTTTCCCTCGAGCGTGATCAGAGCATTTGTCCAGCAGCGCATAACGCACAAGAAATGATCATTCCAAGTATGCCAGTTCTCGGCATCGAGCTTTGTAACGTTCTTGAGTAGTCCCTGTAGCCCAATGAGTTTTTCGATAAAGCCAGGACGACATGAGGGCTTGCAACGGCGATGACCGCCGTACCAATTTGTCAAGTACGCCCATACTAGCTCGATCAATGTCTCGTGGCTGAGAACGTCTAGTTCTTCCTCTGATAAGTCCTCTCGCTTGACGTGTTCCAGCTTGTCTTCGTCCTCGCTATCGATTTCGTCGCGTGTGCATCGTTGTTTGCATGATAAGACAGCAATCAATCGAGCTGCTTTGTGTTGCGGCAATTCAGGAGCTGGATTGACAGCTGTATCGGCGGTGTTGACCATCCTGGAGACAAAGTGCGCTTGCTGAACGCTCTATGAGCCTCTGATGCGGCGTCTGCAGCGGCAGAACAAGAATGACGGAGACGGTGTTGTTGCAACAGCAAGGCTTTGCGGTAAGCGGTGATTACTGAAACGAGGAAGGCGGATCGTAAAGACAGAAAGGGATTGAGTGTGTGGTACGAGAGGTGATCGAGCAATGTTGGTGTGAGAGCAAAAGCCCACCCAGCGTGAACAAGGCTTGACGTGTGTGCACAAGGACCGACAAAGGGACCGAGCGGGTAAGAAAAGACAAAGGGACCAAGCGGGGCAAAGCGCAAGGACTTGAAAAAAATTGGAGGCTCTCGAGTGTCTATTGCATCTTGAGCACAATGGTGCAAGCTGTTGCAAGCGCAATCACGCTGCAGAAAGCGTCAACAAAGCCATCTATTTGCAAATCGATCGGCAGAGATACAGCGTCATTCACAAATTGGTCAGCGTCATCCAGAGCATTTGCGGGGAACAACCTTCCGCCAATTTGAGCATCGCGCAAGAAGCTGATAATGGACCGGCATTGAAATTTTGTTGCTTAATGCCGATATTGCATGTGACCCTACTAGACATTGGCACAGACAGCAAATCAAGTCAGCGGGGAACGCGAGGGAAGATGGTCTGCAGGCTGACGGCGCGCAGCGTAGCAAGCTGTGCCGCCCAAGCCAAGACTGCTTTTCCCATGCAGCAAATCCAGTCTGCGGACTTCAGGCAACACCATGTGTACAATTGACGCCGTAACCCCAACCAAATCCGTCATCAAAGCTGTGGTTGAGTCGTCGTCAATGCCAAGCTACACCGCATTGCATTCCTCGACGGCTGTGCTGTCGGAGAATTATTTTTGGCGGGGACCGGCCAAATGCCTAGCCGAGCGAGGACCCTGACGCCCCTGCATGAAAAAAAGGGCGGTGCTTGCCGGCGGTCGAAAGCAATTTCGGCACCGCCTTCTTGCGAGCGCAAGCCAAGCACATCCTTTCTGCGCTTGTCAGCACCACTCTACACAGCCTCGCAACCTTTGACGACAATCGCAGTACGACCAACGACCGACACGCTTTACGAATAACAACCAACACGTTTCACGACCCACCAACACGCTCTGCTCAACGCGCAGGGTGTAGACGACCAGCAAGAAAAAGGCAGCAATCATCGCGCTGCTCTTTCTTTCCGACCATCGACTCAAGACCTTCGCTTTCCAACTGATCTCGATTTGACTCCTTCCCACTTGATCGACAGCCACGATGAAGACCTTCTGCTGCTGCTTACCTGTTCGCCTGGGCGTTTTTGTCCTATCAGCCGTCACTGCAGTCGCGTCGGTCTTGCTCGCCTACACACAGCTGTTCCTACTTCTCGACCACCGAGCCCAATACAGCACGTTCGAGCTAGCAATCCGCGGCGCGCTTGCCGGTGTCACGATCTTGATAGCGCTCGCATCGATCTTCGGCTTCTTCGGCTCGCTCTTCGCTCGGAGGGGAATGGTCGCCTTCTACTCGAACATGCTCTGGATCGGTCTTCTCGTATTCACTGTGCTCGGCGGTATCGAGCTCTGGCAGCTTTTCTCCAAGCGAGACGAGGCAACCCAACACTGTCAGAACGAGGTCAACGCCAAGACGGTGAAGCTGCAAGGTGTTTTCGGCATCTCATTCGACAGCGCTCAAGAAGATGCCTGCAAGAAGCTCGCTACTACAAGTGCTGTTGTTGTCGCTGTCCTGTTCGGCATCCTGGTTCTCGTTCTCATGTGGCTCATCGGCATTGTCACCAAGTACAAGCACCAGCTCGAGGAGCGCGACGCAGCAGACGAGGAATACACTCAGAAGACCGGCGTCTCGCCAAGCTCACGCGTTTTCGGCAACATCGGCAGGCGTTCGACAAAGTATCAGCCCGCAGAGACGCGCGAAGGCGACGAGAGCGCATTCCTGCACACCACGACGGCGCCAGCGGGCTTCAAGAACGCCTCGTACGAGCGCAGCGGCTACCAGCAAGTCTGAACTCAGCGCAGCTCGCCTCAAGCCGCCAGATCCACTTTCGGGCGATTCTACATACCATCATACCATCAACGACTCTTCATGTGCATATGAACGCTCCAGTAGACTGTAACAAGGACGATTTTAAGGATTTCAGATAGCGTTGCCGTGCGATTCGATCTCTGAGAAAGCGATTGGCGAGTCTGACGGCGCATTGAGGCGGGCGAGTCCAGCCTGTGCGAGCCTCAACGCTCTGGGCGGGTCGCATGTGCGTACACAGCTCGAGAAGCAAGCTGCAGACCATTACTGGAACCGATTATTGCGCCCCTATTTCCGCCTGCCTTTTTTGCGCTCGTCTCAAATGGCCAACGAGCTTGGATCGCGCGCAAACCTCAATGGTCATCCTGCTCGCGCAGACATGACCTGTGCACGACGCTATTGCGCACGTTCGTCCAAGATTCCACGCTAATGTGCAGCTGCGGCGTGAAGGGGTAGCGAAAAGCACAGGCGAAGGTTCGTACCGTCTCGGTTTTTCTGCCGGCCAAGCGACTCGTACCGTTACGGTATGAATTTTCGACCCGAAAATTGAACCGTCTCGATTCTCAGGCTTACCGCCGCACGTCAGCTTACGCTGTGTCTCGTTTCGCAGAGCTATGACGGCTCGCCGGGCGCAGATGAGATTCTGATGTCGAGTGCACGCCAAGCTGAGCTTCTGTGCGGATCCGGGCCCTCTGCACCATCTGTTCCTCGAGCCGACAGACGCAGACGCCGTTGCTATGCTCGCAGCTTTCAAAAGCCAAAACAATCGAGTTGATAGCATCTCAGGTGTTACAGGTCACATCGCACAAGCTCTTCTCGAGGACACGGTCGATATCATGGTCTCAAACGCTGAAGTACGACGGTGGACGGATTAGATACAAATGCAAGGGGGGAGCTACGGCCCAGACAAGAGGGGGATGCGGACGCTGAGCGAGCAAGTATGCTAGATGAAGGAGGACAACGCGTGCCTACAGTAGTCGTTGCGTTCGGTCGAGAGGGCATCGAATGACGGGTAGTACGCTGTGAGTGCGTCTTGGCTGCGCAAGTATGTGGTGTTGAGGATGCGTACATACGCTTCGCGAACCTTTCGAGCCGGCGCAAAGACACCCTGAAGGGTGTGATTCAGAAGAACGCCCGGTCCAAGGGCCACCTCGAGACTTTCAATGGCCGATGTCACAGATCCGAGGACGTGCGGACTCGTCTCGAAGATGTTGGGCCAAATCAAGTTAAAGAGATGTCCTAGACTCTCTTCGTGACCGAGTCCGAAAGTGCCGAGCGCAACATGGTGGACGATGCTGGCGGCTGTTTGGCGGTGAACGTGATCTCGATCCGTGAGTGCGTCCTCGAGGCAGCTGATGACCGAGTAGACGTAGTCCTTGTTTGCTTCGCCGATGTATTGAAAGAGGAAAGCAAGAGATTTGAGTGCGCCCGTACGTACGCTGACTTCGGGCGTGCGGTACTCGTTGAGAATGGCGGGAATGGTGGTGAAGGGCCCGCATGTCTCGGCGACGATGGCGATAGCGACGGTGGAACAGACACGCGACTGCCTCTCTTGGACCCGAAGGTTTGTAGTCAGGACTTGCAGAACGTCCGAGGGACCGATTGCTCGAGCGATGTAACCGAAACTGTTGACTGCGGCTCGTCGGATGGCCTTTTTGTGTGCTTTTAAAAGGTCGAGCAACTCGAAGCAGATGCGCATCCACTCGCGGGGGCTGACGGACTCGGCGCCTTTGTCTGCGATCCTGCCGATGAGATTGATGCTGGCCTCCTGGACCTTCTCGTGACGGTTGCGGAGGATGGGCGTCATGCGAGGAAGCAGGTCCTTGATGGGCGGACTCATCTGAGCCATGCCGACCACGTTGGCGATCGCTGTCTCGGCGCTGATGATGGAAGCAAGCGCATCGGGAAACTCCTCGCCGAGTTGCTCGAAGAGTACGACGCCGAGCTTCGCCAGAAGGGCGTCCTCGCCACATTGCTTGATCACGACTGCGAGCTTCGTCGTCAGGTCGGCTGCCTGCTGGCGTGTCTTGGCGTCCTTCGAGTTGAGTCTCCACAGCGCTGTCGATACGATCTGCGTCAGATATGGCTTGGCACGCATGCCGAGCGCATTGATGACGGTCGCAACGCCTTCGAGCATGATCTGGTCCTCGACCGTTTGTTCTTGGAATGCGTAGATGAGGCCATCGATGAGCTGGATCTCCAGGCGCTCATCGATGTCGGCTGCGCCCAGATTCGAGACCACCTTCTGAATCGTCTCCATGACCATCTTGCGGAAGGGCTCGCTCTCGTCCTTGAGCTCGTTGACAACGCGCGAAACGATCTCGGCAACGCCGACCTTATTGGCAAGCTCGACGGTGGTCTCGACGACTTGCTTGTAGGTGCGGCGATCGAGAGCCGAGCGTCGCGTCCGGAAGCCCTTCATGAACTCGGAAAGCATCTCGTCTCGCAGGAAGGCTCCCGTGACGCCGTCTGTGGCAGCGCACTGCTTGACGACCTTGAGCACGATCTTCTTCATCTCCTCGTCGGCGCTCTGGAACTCCCTGATCAGTGTAGGCGTGACCTCCTTGACGAAGTAAAGGGTCGCATCACTGTCCATGAGCGGAATGATAAAGCCGATGGCTTTGAGGAAGGCGGCAAGCCCCTTGCCTCGGTGCTGGCGGATGCCGATCCAGAGAGGTTTGAGCACGTTCTCGAAGCTTTCGATACCGTACGGAGCGGCTGCTTCAGCGAGTGCGGCCAACGCCAATGCGGTCATGGTCTTGACCTTCTGCTGTTCGTCCTCCAAACCCTTCTCCACGCAGTTCACCAGGGATCCAAGATGAGGCAGGATGGCGCAGCCCATCATGATGGCAATCTGTTGGACGATGCGGATACCGGTGTGTCGCGCTTGCCAACTCTTCTTGGATCGGCAGACGGCCTTGAGGAACGGCAGCAAGGCGGGAATGCCGAGGGCGGATGCGACGACGGCAAAGGCTCTTGCTGTGGTGTTGCGCACGTACTCGTCGACGTGGTCGATGTCGGGACGCATGGTGCTGATCATGTGTGCGAGGCCGGCTGCTTTCGAGAGATTGCTGATGATCTCGCGCCCTTCGATTCGAGCGTAGTAGTCCTCGTCGATGAGGAGGGGCTCAATGACGACCAGGATGCGGCCAACATAGGGGCGAACGAGGTCGTCCAGCTTGTAGAGAATGCGATCGATGACCTTGACGAGGAGATGTCGCTCTTGATCCTCGAGCGTGCGCTCCATGAGCAGAGGAAGGATCTTGTCGAAGAGCGGACCAGGTCCGAAATCGCGAGCGCGGTCGGAGATCTGTCGAAGTGCTTGCTTGCGCTGCGAAGGCAGTCCGTTCTTGATCTTGAGGAGCAAGCGCATGATCTTGCGCTCCTTCTGCTCCTCGGAACTGAGGGCGGACTCGTCTTGCTCGGTGAGGATCTTCTTGAAGAAGGCTTGATCCTCGGTTTTGAAGAAGGCGAGCTGTCCGACGCCGGGGATGTCGGTCGGCAAGTCGGGGATCATCTCTTCAAGGACAGCGCGCGTTGCGCCTTCATCCTGCATCATGAACCCGCCGCCGTTCTCAGGTGCTGGAGCGGCCATGAGCTTGGAGGCTGGTGTGCGGACGGGAGCATAGTCGGCTGGTGGCTCGACGATGGTGTATCCTTCTGAGGGCAAGATCGAGTTGAGCTCCTCATCGGACAGATAGCGATTGCGAGGGTCGACAGCCGAGACAGATGCGGAAGATGCGCCGCTCGAAGTTGCGGATTGAAGTTTGTGATCGGCGTCGGTGGCGTCCTCGCCTGTTGGTGCTTGATCCCAGCGGGAGCGCTTTGCTGCTGGCTTGGCGGCGTCCTGGTCGGCGGTGCTGGTAACCTCCTTCGACTCTGTAGGAGCCTCATCCCAACGAGATCGCCTCTTGCGTGGTGCTGCTTCTGTCGACGCCTCTGCTATGTCGTGACCGTTGGTTTCTGGCTTGACCTCCTCGGGCGCAGCCACGTCCCATCTTCGCTTCCGTCTTGCTTTGGGTGTGCGGTCGCCTTCTGGCTTGTCGGAAGAGGTCGAGGGCTTGATGTCCCATTCGTCTTGATCAGGTCGTTCTGTCTCCTTCTCCTTGGCCTCCTTCTCCTTTGCGTCGATCAAGCGGCGCACTCGCTCCTCCTCGCGCTCCAGCTCGGCTCTGCGCATGCGATCCTTGTAGCTCTCCTCCTCGTCTCCCTTCGTCTGACCGTTCTCGGCGAAAGCATCTACTGCCTTTCCATCCCCAAGTTCGCGATTGAATCGGCGCAGATGATAGTCGCTCTGACGTGCCGCAACCTGTCTCGACTCTGACCGTGCCTTGAGAGGATCCAAGTCTTCATCCGCGAACTCGTGTAGCAGGTGCTGAGGGGCCGAATATGCATCGAGCGGATTTGCCCTCCTGCCGGTGGATGGGCCACTGTCGTTGTCGGATCCGCTGTCGTCGCTGGCTGCGTCCATGGGCAGTTCTCGCACATAGTCGCTGCGCTTTCCTGCCCCATAGATGTCTTGGTCGTAGCCGCCCAGCTTGCCTACTGCAACCTTGTTCTTCGTGGCGCTAGCATTGCGAGCCTCCTGAAGCCTGCGGATCTCGTCCGCCTCTTCCGTCATGTCGGGCGGTCAGTCGTGGTGGCAAAGGTTGAGATTGAGCCGCGATACTGACTGCCTTGACCGCGTGCTTGTGGTCGGGGTATAGATTCGGCGCTTCGAGCTGCGCGTGGATCGATCTGATGAGTGCAAATCAAGCGTCGAAAGTAGCAGATGTGTCGAAGCCCTGTCTGGCGAGCTTGTTGGTACAAAGGGGTCGAGTGATGTGGAAGCAAAGATGGAAAGAAGCCGTCACGAAGATCGCAAAGGCTCAGCGATTCGCACAATTTGGCTGGGGTCCAGTCAGATCTCAGAATTTCAACCCCGATTGAGGTTGATCTCCCGATTCAACTAACGCATGCGCGCGGAAGGCTGAGTCGCTGCGAATTTTGGTTCGTGTTCACGATCCAAACCATCCGCACCGGGTCACTGCCTTCCATCCATATCGAGCCACAGCGACCTCAACATCGACTCATCGAATCAGTTGCCGTTGCAACACAACACGACTCAGCTCGGCTCTCACAGCCGGGCAACCGTTCACTCACTCCAGTCATGGCACCTCGCGCTCAGAAGGCGGCAAGCGGTACGCCGGGTGGCTCGGGAACGCCCGGTCCAGACGATGGTCCGCAGATCAGTCCAGGAGGCACGTACGGCTTGGAGGATGTGGTGGTAGGCTCCAAAGCCTTCGTTCAGAAGCCCGACGTGGTTACGGGAGAGATGGAGGAGAGGAAGGCCGAAATCCTGTCCATTCGCGAGAAGCCCAAACCTCGTCTCACCAAGAAGCAACAAGCAGAGCTCGAAGGCAAGCCGGCGCCGACATTGGAGGAGAAGCTGGAGTACTATGTCCACTACAGCGAATTCAATAAGCGCCTTGACGAGTGGGTCAGCGGCACTCGTATCATCACTTCTCGCGAGCTGGAATGGCCAAAGAAGGAGCCGGTCAACGACAAGACCAAGAGGAAGATTGTGCGCACAGCGAGTGGAGCGTCCACGCCTTCGACGCCCCTCACACCGACTGGCAAAGGCAGTCGTGGCGCTGGCGCCAGCAACTTGCTCAAGAAGGCGGCCAAGAACGTCTTGGAAGAGGCGGGTCTCGAGACACCACAAAAGCGCAAGGCCGACTCTGGCGACACAACAAGAGCCGAATCAGTGGATGCAGACGCAGATGGCGAGGACGATGATGAGGGCGCTGTCGTCGAGATGGAGATGCTCGGTGGCCGAGACATTGCAACAGGAAGCGATGGCAACCTCAGCGCCTCCGTCAGTGCCTCGCTCAACGCTAACCAAGGCCAAGAAACCTTCAGCAAGAAGCAGGAGATCGAGAAGCTACGCACGTCAGGCTCCATGACCCAGTCCGTCTCGGAAGTCGCTCGTGTGAAGAACCTCAACAAGATTCAGATGGGCGATGCTCTCGTCTCGACATGGTACTTTTCCGCCTATCCTGCCGAATACGCACACATCGATGTCCTCTACATCTGCGAGCTCTGCCTCTCCTACTATCCGAGCCCCTTCACGCTCAAGCGCCATCGAAGCAAGTGCGCGCTCCAGCATCCGCCAGGCAACGAGATCTACCGACACGAAGAGATCTCCTTTTTCGAGATCGACGGCCGCAAGCAAAGGACGTGGTGCCGCAACCTATGTCTGCTCAGCAAGTGCTTCCTCGACCACAAGACGCTCTACTACGACGTCGATCCCTTCCTCTACTATTGCATGGTCAAGCGCGACGACAAGGGCTGCCACCTCTTGGGCTACTTTTCCAAGGAGAAGGATTCGGCGGAGAACTACAACGTCGCCTGTATCTTGACGCTACCGCAACACCAGCGCCACGGCTACGGCAAGCTGCTCATCGAGTTCTCCTACGAGCTCAGCAAGATCGAGAAGAAGCTCGGCAGTCCTGAAAAGCCGCTCTCGGATCTGGGTCTGCTGAGTTACCGTGCCTACTGGGCCGAGATCATCGTCGACCTGCTGCTCAACACCGAGGAGGACATCAGCATCGAAGAGATTGCACAAAAGACCGCCTTCACCCACGCCGACGTGCTCCACACCTGCATGGCGCTCAACATGCTCAAGCAGTACCAGGGCAAGCACTATCTCGTCCTTTCGGATGCGGTCATCGCAAAACACGCGAAGACGGCCAAGAAGAACCGCAAGCGCATCAACCCAGCCAAGCTCGTGTGGACCCCGCCGTCATACCAGCGCTTCCAGCTTCAGTTTGGTTGGTAGTCCGTCCGTCAAGATCCGTCAAGGCATCTGAATCTGCTCCTCGTCTGTCCAGTCTTCGGCTGTATCATGTTTTGAAATTGTATTAGTATCGCTCTCGTTTGCAGCGCAGTGGCTGGGTTGTCTGGTGAACAGCTTGATTATTGCCTTCCGGCCGCCGCAAGTGCATCTACCGTCCCTGCTCGAGCCGGAACCGCTCCCACTAGAGGCTTGGGCACCGTTATCAGCGCTGCCAGCTTCGGTACCACTTGGTGAAGTTTGCACGACTGCGCACGGTCAGAGCGTCCACGCTCGTTTGCTTTGGGCCCACCGGGTCTCGACTGTGCGTCACAGGATCTCCATCACAACGAAGGGCATGTTAACCGAAGCCAAGGCAGCGTGCAGCTGATGAGTGTGGAACTCGCCTATGCCTCTCTAACTGCTAATGACACCGCTCGCCTCGTTCGGCCGGATGGTGACGCCGCTCGACAACAAGCTCTGGAGCACCTTGTCGTTCTTCTCCCTGCCATTGCTGAGGTTCCTTGCGACGCCCTGGAGCACCTCGCTTGACCCTAGCTCGATCTTGTTCTCCACGATGGGATCCGCTCTCGTCGGGCCCTTGTTGAGGATCATCACTGGCTTCTTTGCCTCGACCGCCTGCTTGACCAATCTGTACGCGGAATACGTTGCCAGACTTGTTCCCACCAGCAGCATGGCGCTTGCATTGTCGACCATTTGAAACGAGTGATCGCGGAGCTGATTCGGCACGCTCTCGCCAAAGAAGATGACGGCGGGCTTGAGAACGCCCCCGCAGTTTGGGCAGGAGGGATACTTGAACGTCGAGTAGTCGACATTGTGCGAGTTGAGATCCACGTCGCCGTCCGGATTCGTTTTGGGCGACTTGCCCGTGCGCGCCATCTCTTGTTGTAGTTCCGCCCAGGCTGGGTTCAGCCGGGTCAGCTCGTCTTGGAAGACGGCTCGGGAGCCTTCGAAGCCGCATCCGAGCGGGTAGTTGGCGCCTGTAGGCGTGTTCTCTGGCCTCACAGAGACTGCTCGTGGTCTTCGAAGGTACGTTGTTGACTTCATGAGATCGTAGAAGTCCGGATCGACTGGGTTGGTCTGGTTGCCCTTGTGGAAGCCATCGGGACTAGAGACGCAGATCACCCTTGCTAGGCTTCCATGAAGCTCAAGAATACTAGCCTGAGCTAGCGAGGCTGATGGTGTAGCGGCGTGGTGCAGGTTGTCTACATTCTGCGTGATGTATTCGGGCACGTAGCCTAGCCGCTGTATAGCGGCAATCGCGTGGTGGGTAATGTTGGGCTTGGCCACTCGCACCGGCGGAAAGCCAAGATATGATCGCGCAAAGTATCGCTGCCTTGCGACATGTCCCTTCTCCGTCTTATCGACAAACTCTGAGTGCCAAATAGGACGATATGTGGTGTGAACCGTATAGTGTCCGTTCTCTCCGCGATAGGGGGCGATGCCGGAGTCGACGGACACGCCAGCGCCCGTCATGATGAGCGCCTTTCCTTTGGCGGCGGAGATGAACTCGGACACCATGTTCGTTGCATTTTCGAGGGTGTATTCGATCGTTGCACGAGTCGCTTGCTCTGGAATGGATGGTATTGATATCCTCATCTTGTCGAAGCGCCAGCGATGCGCCGAAGCCTTCTATGGAAGCGTGACTGCGAAGAAGGTGTTGGTCTCGACCATCTCTCGAACCGCGCTCTCGGTGTTGGACCCTTTGAGTTTTTCCGGTTCGTGCCTCCACATTCAACGCTTTGACATCATCTCCGGCTGGCGAGCCTGTTTGTCATCCGGCTTATGGCATGCCTTTGCATTTGTCCTTTACGGCCCTTGCTGTATCCGGTGCCGGCGAGAAATGACGTTGTGAGAGTCTCACATCCGGGCTGGAGCACCGCGACGTTACAAATGTGACTGTGCTTCCCGTGTTGACTGCTAAAGTGCTGTGAACCTGCCGCTGCACGAAGCAGATCCCGGCAGTGACAGCTGTGCAATCGCAGATCTCGGGACGTCGTACAAATACGAGCCGGTTCGCTGACATTCTCTCCCCACCCATGCTCCTCACACCACTCGTCCGACGCATCCGCCCAATCACCACCCTCACTCAACTTACTTCAGCTCGAACAAAGATGACCAAGTCTGACCCGCAAGATCTCTCCAAAGGCGACGAGGTGTCGTGGAAGTGGGGCTCGCAGCACCCCAAAGGCACCGTCGAGTCGGTCGAAGAGGGAGGAGCCGAAGTCAAGACCAAGAAGGGCTCTACTATCAGCAAGGACGGCAGTGCAGACGATCCCGCTATCGTCATCAAGACGCAGAACGACAACAAAGCGGTCAAGAGCGTACGTAGACATTGTCCGGGAAGCTTCGTCTCCATCGAAGCGATGTTGTTTCTCATGCTGATGATATTTGCCTCGATCTCTCGTTGCTTTTCTGACCATCTCCTCACTCTTAGGCCTCCGAGGTTGACGGTGTCAAGCCCTGAGCATTTGTCACAGGTTATGGTGCAATATGACCAGATACCATGCAACGATACTGGCAGCTGAGACAAGTGCGACCATCGGTATGATCTGAGAAACGACTTTGATGGTCAGCCTATTACCTTGCGCTTCTTTGAACAAACGCTTCATCGCTCCGGCCGCGAAGCCAGCTTTACCGCTCGTGCCTTGCACAGCAATCAGTCTCGAACGTTGAATGCACTTTGTACTTGGTGCCGAAGCAGCACTGGAGGGTTTCCAAGCCGGGCAACACCTCTTGCATCAAGCTGAGCGGCCTTTGGATCTCTATCAAGGTGTCTCGATCCACACTTCCTTCGCTCGCTCGACATGAGAACCATCGTCTTTGAGCGTTTATCCGGCGTCGACGAGCTCGCTGGCATCTTCGAGCACGTGCACTGCAGCGAGTTCCTCACGGACGAGACGCACCAAGATCATCCACCAGGCGATCAAGGGATGCGAGCTGGCCGGCATCTTCGAGCACGTGCCTTGCAGCGAGTTCCTGACGGACGAGACCAGATTCATCGAGATCACCGACCACGGACGAGACCAGGTTCATCGAGATCATCGACCAGGCGATCAAGGCAGGCGAGATCAAGGCGACAACGACGTGGAAGCGCACTAACGACGTGGAAGCGCACCAAGAAGGACGAAGCAGGGCGAAAGGCGTTGCGTCAAAAGGCGCAGGGCGAGGCGGCGGAAGCGGAGAAGCTAGCAAAGGAGCTCGGTGTCTGGGACGACCCGTTCGGCTCGGGCAAGGGCAAAGGCAAACCTGCTCGCGGATCAAAGGCGACCTCAGACGCTAAAGGTGCCAAGACAAGCAAAGGTGGTAAATCGAAAGCCAAAGCAGACGATGGTGACGACGCCTTCTCAGGACTCGCAGCCTTGATCCAGCGCAAGAACCAGAACCGCGTCTCGCAGTTCGATGACGTGATCGCCAAACTCGAAGCCAAAGCGGGCGTCAAGGAGAAGCGTCCCGAACGACGAAGAGTTTGACCGCATTCAGGCCGTGATGATGGCGAGGAAGAATGGGTGGCAAGGAGAATCGAGGCGCTGACAAGGAAGCGCGCTTCTGCCGGGGCCTCCGCTGGGGCGGGTTCGTCCAAGAAGAAGAGCAAGAAGTGAAAGCTCGGTGTCGAGGACGTCCTATTCTGCTCGGGCAAGGGCAAGGGCAATCCTGCTCGCGCGGCCAAGGCGACGTCAGACGCAAACAGTGCCAAGAGCAGCAAACGCGGCAAGTCAAAAGCCAAAGCAAGTTCCTCTCTTCATGTGAGCGATCGCGGTGAATTCGATGAGGGGGATCGACAGAGGGGTCGACGAAGTCGTCTGTTCTGTATACGTGTGTGAACAATCGCTTGCTACAGCGAGCTGGTGAGGTTGTCACTCCGCTCTACTGTCCTGACTCACTCGTTGTGCGTCAGTGTGACGACGTACATACGTCAACACTTCAGCGTCCTCTTGGAGAGACGTCGGTGGTGTGGCGGATTTGAGCACCGTGCTGGAACGAGCGGTGACGGGACCACAGGGCAAAGCAATCCACCGCAGATCCACAGAAAGGTCGCCAGGGTCGCCGCAATCTCTCGAAGGCCACCACCTCCAGCTCGAGCTGCGAAGAGGCAGGCCAGTGGGGCTCTGCAAAGAACTCACCTCGGCAAAAGCAAAAGGAACCCGCTCATCCGTCAGCGCAGCAGCACTCGACCATCAATCAACGTCAGCCGGCCGCCACGAATGGAACGAGAGGGAGAGACGCATTAATGGGCCGTGGCTCATCTCGACGCGGTCGCTCCGCTTCGCCCGCCCGCGTGACGATCACCGCGCAGGAGAACGGTGTTCGCGACTGTCTCGTCTGGACAGGCAGAGAGAATGATCGCCACATCGATGCGATGCTCCTGCAGCCGGACGCGAGGTCGAGATCTTTCCTGGGCACCGGGCTGCCGATTGCGAGGACAGCGGTGATCGCACGAGGGCTTGCCACCCCACGGACAGCGTCAGCATCAGCAACGTTCGCAGCAACATTCGCAGCAACACCATGAACGCAAACACAGCAAATGGTGGCATCGATTGCGCAGAAGCCAGCAAGTGGTGACTACGAGAGAAGCTGCTCCAGATCCCTCGCCTCGTCCTCCGGCAGCTGTACTCCCACCACCATTTCCTCCTTTCCCGCCCTCTCCCCGCTTCCCATCCCCAAATGCCTCGGCCTGAACGCCGGACACCGATCCACCCTTCCTTCCGGCAACCACCACTCCAACACCATCAAAAACAACATATCCACCACCACAATGATCACAAAGATCTTGCCTGCCACCACACCACCCCCGTAGTACCGCCTCAACCTCTCGCTCTTGCTCGGAAACTTCCCCTGCATCGCGTCCTCATACACGCGTTCCACCCGCTTCGCCACGTCTGTCCAGGAGTACATGCGTTTCACCGCCTCGTGGTACGCCTTCGCGTCATGCTTGCCAGCGCGCACGTAGGCGATCGCCTCGTCCATCTTTTGCACTACATCGTCCTCCTCCGGTTTGGCCAGACGCACCATTTCCGGCGGCAACACTTCGGGTACTCCCCCCACGCGCGTGGACACGACGAACAGCCCGCAGCACGCCGCCTCGATGATGCCCGTTCCGAAGGCCTCGGTGAGCGACGTGTTGAGGAAGATGGATCCTTTCGTCAAATGAGTCCGCACATCACCCTGGCGTACCGCACCGCATAGCTCGACACGATCTTGAAGAAGGTATCGTTCACGCATCTGTTCGAGCTCCACCCGCTTCGGCCCGTCGCCCCCGATCAAAAAGTGCAGCTCCGGATGCGTCGCACACAACCGCGGGATCGCAGCAATCAACAAGTCGATACCCTTGCGATACATCAACCTGCTCAGCACGACCACGGTCAACCTCCCTCCCCTTTCCACTGTCCCTTCCTCCGGCAGGAAATGCTCGGCGACCACTGCGTTGGGCACAACGCTCACCTTTCTGGGATCCAAATTCGCCCGCAAGACCGTATTCTCCTTTCCCGTATGCGATACACACACGACTCCGTCGACGTCGGCCAGCGCAAAGCGCAGTAGCTTGTTGGTGAGGATCGACGCGGTATCGGAAAACCCGAAGAGAGAGTGGTCGGTGAAGATGGTGCGCAGACCCATGGTGCGCGCGTGCAGGATGCCTTCGTGCGCCATGGAGGATAGTGCTTGGTGTCCATGCACGATCTGGATGTTCTCGCGGAGGAGGATGGAGCGGAGGGCGGGGAAGAAGGCGAAGAAGTTGGGGAGCGTGTCTTGACGCGCGATGACGTGGTATGGTACGTGGTAGACTTTTAGGCCGTTGGAGAGGTAGCGGATGCCAGTGCGGTCGGGAGCGTAGGAGTGGGTGATCACGATGACCTATCACACAGAGGGATGTAGGAGGACCCTGTCAGTGCTTTGCATGATTTTCGAGTATCTTTCGGCGGGAAACTCACCTTGTGCCCGAGGGACAGCAGTCGGCCGCCCAGAAAGTAGATGTGGCCCTCGACACCGCCAACGTTCGGATAGAAGAAGTCGGACACCATCCTGCAGGACGCACCAAATCACACGAGGGGAGTTCAGACCAAAGAGGATTGAAGAAGCTTGTCAGCCTGTCATTTCTGGCTAAGAGTAGATGATGCATGCTCGAGCGTGGAGCGTAAGCTCGGTAGGAAAGAGGGGCAGGGATGACAGCTCACGCGATGTTGTAGCGAGGCTGAGCGCTCGCGTCCGCCGAGGCGACCGCCTCCTCTTGACCTTCGGACGCCGTCTTCTGAAATGTATCGAGCGACTCGATGGACGAGAGATCAATGCCTAGGCTCGACACGATCGACTGAACCGCCTCTTGAGCTTCCGCCGAGGATGTCCCGATAGCCTCCGAAAGTGCGTGATTCGCGAGCAGCAGCCGCATGGCGAGCACGTGCGTAGCGACCGTATCGTATCCAGCGCCATCCGCCAGCGCTTGCGCGAGGCGACCAAGATCCTTCGCCGTCCGCTGTTGATACCGCGCGCGCTCCTCGGGCTCGAGCGAGACGAGATCGACAAACCTGGCTGCGCGGCGCAGCGTCGCTTCCGGATCGCGGAACTGGTTCGGCTTCTCCTCGGCGAACAGCAACGTGCTGCTGGCGAGCGCCTCTTCGAACAGCTTGTCCATGCTTTTCGAGGAAGGGAAGAGCTGGGTGAAGACGTGACGCTCCCAGAAGGCGTCGTCGTCGTCCGAGGCGTAGAAGGCTGCCATCCAGGCCCAGGCTCGATCTGTGGACACGTCCGGGCTGGCGCCGCCTCGACGAGCCATCTGCTGCATGGCTTCGCACTGCGTCAGCTGCGCGCGCGGCGAAGCGTTGCTGCCTGCAGAGATGGTCTCCCCGATCAAAGCAGCCGCCTCGGCCCGCACCTCTTCATCGTCATCCGTTAGCAGGTCGATGGCGGCAATACGAGCCTTGAACAGCGCAGAGGATGTTGCACGATGGAACTGCGTCTGCGACAGCTTTACCTGGGCTGCCGGGAAGAGGATCGATCCGAGAACGCGCAGAGATTCGACAGCCGCCTCGCGCGATTGCACCGAGGCGTACTCGTCGGCGCATCTCGTCACCGCCCACGACCATTGCTGGAGCACCGCTTCCGAGCCTGCAGCTTGCGTGGCGCTGTGCATCAGCAGCTTGCAAAGGTCGGAAAGGTAAGGCAAAAGCGCCTCGCGCAGGGGCACGCAGACGGTGCTCTTGACGAGTCGAGCGACGAAAGCTGCCTCAGAGACCAGATCTCCATTCGAGAAGGCGCTCTGAAGCCAGGAAGCACCATCAGCGTCGTTCCGAATCGCAAGTTGATGCAGAATCTCGGCGAAGTGGACGCGGTGCCAGATGCCCTCCCCCTCGTCCTGCGCAGCAGCGTGGAGCTTGCGAACGAAGGTAGCAACGCGGTCGGGTTGCCTGCGACACGACTCCTGGAGAGCGTCGGTTCCATCGTTGCCGATCAGCGCCTCCAGACAGGCGATGCGCACATCGGACGATTCGCTCGCGACGAACCGCGTGCAGCAATCCAGAAAGCTTTCGTTCGCCGAACCTCCCGCAGCCACCTGCAGTTGAAGCCTCACGGAGACCCCAAGCAGAGCAGGTCCGCCAGGCGAGCGCACCAGCTTCTCCAACACAGCCGACCTTTCGATGTCGGCCATCAGCATCGAGATCCAAACAGCTACCACTCGGAGCAGATGCGAAGCCGTATCGAGGAAAGCCGCCTCGCGGAGCCCGACGAGCGTCTGGATCACCTCAAGGAAGGCGGCTTGCGTGATGGCGCATCGGTTGCGTTCGAGCAGCTTGCTTGCGTTCCCCATCAGCGTCTCCGAAAGCGCTGCCATGTCGTTCGCCAATGCCGTCGTAGGCGCTTCCGCGTCCGCGACGCTCTTGAGCAGTCTCTGAACCAGCATCAGCTTGCCGTGCAACTCGTTCTGCGAGCGCAACTCGACCGTGTCCAGGATGGCAGCTGCGTGCTGCGCCGCGGTCCTGAGAGGCACAAAAGCGGCATACGCCTTAGCCGTCACCTCTCGCACCTTCCAAACCTTGTTTGCGAGGCAGGCCGAGAGGAGCGTGCGGTAGACCTGCATGCGTTCGGCATCGTCCTTCCTCTTTGGCTCGTCCTCGGGTGCCTGCATACGACTCAACAGCATGACCACAGCAAACAGGCTCGACTCGGCACCCTCGTCCATACCTGCATCCGCTGTTCCCGTCTCGCCAAGCACACCGCGAAGGAACACATCGAGATTCGGGTAGGCGGCAAAGAACTCGTCGATCGGCATCCTTGCGTCCTTGGTGTCCTTGTTGGTGTTCCTGCTGCCAAAGATCTTGATGCTGAGCGACGAGAAGAGCATCATGGATACGTTGCGAAGGCCCCAGAAGCGAGAGCGGAACTTGCTGATGGTGAGCTCGAGCAGCGAGCCGAGGTACGGAGACATGTGATCCGTCAAGCCGCCGTCCATGACGAGCACGCGCAGGATGTTGAGGGCGTGGATGGATGCGACGGGCATCGTGACGGACTGCGCTGAATCCTGCGTTGCGATCTGCATGAGACGGCTGACAGTGGAGCGGAGCACCGAAGGATCTGCTTTGTTCGGCTGCGCGCTGACGAGCGCAAGCACAGCGTAGCCGATACCGGCACTGCGGCGGGTGATGCTGAGCTGAGAACCGGACAGTGCTACGGTATCGAGGAAGGCGGTGATCCACTGCTGTGGGAGGTCAGCAATGTCGGCAGCTTGGGACCGCACGATAGCGGAGGCGGCGTTGCAGTACGCTGGGTAGATGGTGCTGAAGGCGCCGCGATGGCGGACTTGGGTGAGCCACATGCTGAATCGCTGACCCACCGCCTCGATGTCCTGCACGCTATAGATCTCGCGCCAGATCTCGCTTCCCTGTGGCATCGAAGCAGTCTCCGCCCCTTTCTTGCCGCGGAGCGAAGGAGGCGAGGCCAGAGTGACGGCGACGAGGACACCCAACAGAGCACTGGCCTCCTTCATACCTCTCCACGAGTAGGACAAGATCACCTGATGCTTGGGACCCGCCATCGACTCTTCCTGCGGCTGCATCAGCGCTGCCTTGCCATCGTCGTCGGCTACCTGCATCGCCAGCGCAGTCTCGTGCGAGGCGGGCTGGTCGAGTCCGACATTGGCACCGTTGGCAGTGCCGTCCGTGGTCTCGGCTTCGGTGCTGCCTTCTGGCGCCGAGTTGCACAACACTGCCTTGGTGACCTGCCAGACTCGGTCGATGAGCTCTTGGGCTCGAAGTACGGCCTCGCGGAACGACGAACGATCAGCGGGAGCGAGCGAGTGGATCGAGATGGAAGCAAAAAGCTCCTGCAGCGTCACGAGGGTTCCGTGAAGTGGATGCGAGTTGGCTGCCTCCAGGATCTTTGCGTCCTCCGCGACCCGGATATGGAAGTCGAGAAAGTCAAAGAGGTCGAAGATCAACGACAGGGTTGGGTGAGCGCAGGGTCTCGAAGGAGCATCTTGCTGTCCACCAACCAAGGTGAGCAGGGGGGCAGGTCGATGTCCGAGTTGTTGCATGTGGATTTGGCGGTACAGCTGGATCAACTTGGACGCGGCGGCGCACTCAAAGTCCCTTGTGCTGGTGAGCAGCTCAGCGGCGCGGCCGAGGATGCGTTGCGCTGCCACGTCGGCCGCCTCGAGACCAGCTAGCGGAGCCGGACAGCGCGCCAGCATCGTGAGAGCGCGTGCTTGGACGTCGTCGTACGAGATCTCGGAGCAGGCAAGCAGCAGCTTGACGAGCGACGGCGTGATGATGTCGATGCTGAAGGGAAACTCTTGCAAGAAGACCTGCTTCGACTTGTTGAGCGACATGCCTGCGTTTTTGCTGAGAGCGTTGTCGCCTGCCTTTTGCTGTCCGTTGTGGGTGAAGCTCGAGTCGACGCCGCTCTCTAGGATGAGGTCTAGGAAGGTGAGCGCAGTGATGCTTGCCGAGTACGAGGCACCCGGATGGAGCGTGGCGCGGATGAGCTGCACCATCCATTCCAAGAAGCTGCGACTAGCATCGAGGGATGCCTGCATGGCAGCGAGCTTCTCCTTTTCCTGTGGATATCGTTCTGCTTCGTCGATGCGAGTGATCTTGGCCATGTCCCGAGCGAGGGCGTAGGTGCTCGCGCGCAGACGAGTCAAGAGCTTGACAAAGAAGCCGCGCAGCTCACCTCTTGCGGCTGCATTGGTGATGGTGAGACTGTAGGGGAAGAAGGTGCGAAGGACATCGAACTCGGCCGACGTAAGCGAAGCAGCGGGTGTCTTGGATTCGATGACCAACGAGAGTGCCGAGATCTGAAGCTCACTCGCTGCTGCCAAGATGCAGTCTTTGAGCAGTACAGCGGGCACGACCACTTGTGCAGGCTGTCCATCAGATCGTTGTTCGGTCGCAAAGTCGGGTGCGGTGTCGATGCGGCAGAGGCCTTGTACCTTTGCGATGCGGAGCACGAGGAAGACGCTCTCGACGTTGATCTCGTCGTGGGTTGTTGAGCCAGCTATCAAGCTGTCGAGAAGCGTGGGAAAGATGCGTCTGTCGAGGTCGAAGAGCGAGGCAAGATGATAGGATGCGAGGCCTGACCGCAAGCGTTCGCCTCCATTCTTCAACGCCGATGCTAGAGCTTGTTTCCAGATACCGACCCATGCTTGCCACGAAGTGCTGTCTGAGCTGTCCACCGCATCCGCCTTGGGCGTGGGCCAAAGCTGACACTTCAAGTCTTCTGCTCTCGCCGCAAGAAAGCTGAGTGCGAGTCGCGACCTCCTGTTCGCGCCGCCATCTACCGTTCCGAGACCGCGAATCATTCGATCGTAGATGTCCGAGTCTGCCAAAGTGGAACCACCTGGAGCAGTGACGAGGAAAGGAGCCGAGCCATACTTGGCCATGATGACCTCGAGCACGATAGGAGACTGTTTGCGTTCCAGTTGGGAGAGCGACCGTTCGACAAGGGTGCTGAGGAAGGAGCTGTCTTGTGGGTACGGCAAAGGCGTCTTTGGTGGACGTTGCGAGTCCTTGCTTGGCGATCCATGAATGGCAGCGAATAATGCGATGACAGCCTCGAACACGGCCTTGGAGCGAGAGGACACCTGAGTGCGTTCGGAATGACATGCTGACCAGATGACGTCGGCGAGACTGAGCTGGTGTTCCTGTGGAAGAAGGCGTTGTTTGGTGTTTGTCTCGTAGCTGGACGCCGACGGACTGGAAAGCTGGCTGGCCATGTGTGATGCCCAGAGTCGAAGGGCGTCAAGACCATATTTGAAAGAGGCCGAAAGCTCGTCTGGCGATTCCAAGGTGAGGTCCAGGCATTGCTGCAGCAACGACAACGGTCGATCGAGATGAAGAGGTGGGAGGGTGTTGCTGCTGGACGAGGCGTCGCTCTGCTCTGCCAGCTGGACAGCCTCGATGTGCGCCAGCAGCTGCAGCACGGCTTCCGGTGCGCCCGGATCCGTCTTGGCCTTGACCATCGTCGTCAAAGCGGACGGTCGAGGAGCGTCAAAGGTGGTGAAGATGATGTTGAACGAGGAACGAGGCAGGGAAGAAAGATCCAACTTGGCTTTTCTTCCAAAATGCTTTTTCTCAGCTTTAACTTTTCCTTTTTTCTCGTTTTCGCGCCAAAGCTTTCGGCCATTTCGCCTTGCGCCGCTCAACCCAAAGCACAGGATCACTAGCAAGGCAGAGACAGCACAGACACCATTAGGCAAGTGCTCGACAAAGCGGGTAGCACCAGAAGCTGACGCGCATACTGATCGAGTGAGACGATGTGCAATTGCGTGATGCAGTGAGTCAAATAAGAATGCAGAAGCTTGTGCAACCAGGGCCAGTGTTCCGGGTCGTGAACAGCAAGGGAGCGCTGATTGAAGCTTAACTTATTGGCCCACGTCAAAGACGCTAAGGAGTGCAAAGCAGGCGTAAAAGAGACCGACGGGGTAAGCTACCAATAGACGCTGTTCCGACAGCCGTAGGATCGACACAAAGATGCCCGACGCCGACGTTGAGCACCACAAAATGAACAGCGGTGAGACGATGTAGCCGATGAAGGAGCTGTCGAGCGCGAGAAATAGGGCCGAAGCGAAGGGAGAGGGTCAACAAGGGAACGCAAACGCTGTACATCATCGTTGGGTCGCGGGGCTACTTACTCTAATCGTACGACAATACTTGCGGTGCTGAGAATACACAACGGCAGCAGGCAGTATCCGAGCACCGACGCAACACGATGTGCATCGATGCCACTTTCGCTCATGAGGTTGAGCAACGTATAGATGCTGACGGCTCCCAACAGCGCAACGCCGTAGACATAACCGAACTGACTCTTGCCCGCCAACAACAACGTCATGCCAAAGATGAAGCAGAACAACAGCGGACCTGCGAGATCGGCGTCGTCCATCATGTGTGCATCTTTGGCGTGCGATGCCGAGTAGCTGTGCAGCGGGTTGAGGACGGTCAGGGTCTTGTCGATGATGTGGCCGATGTTGATGCCGAGTTCCTCCATGAGCGGTGGCTCGTCGGGGAAGCCACCTGTGCCGAAAGCGGACCAGAAGCCCATCTGCGAGCTCATCATGGCGTGTGCTGCCGAGCCCGGTGCGTAGCCTGCTGAGGAGGACATGTTGCCTTCCAAGGATGGGCGTGCATTGCTGCCTGTTGCGTACCCATCGTGTCCTGCGCCTGTCGAGGAGTAGTAGGACGAGAACTGGTTGTTGGCGGTGTTGCCGCTGCTGTAGAAGTCGAGGTTGCCTGTTTGACCCGGAGATGTCGCCTGTGATGCTTTCGAGCCCGAAGCTTGTCCGCCGCCGTAGCCGTACGGTGAGGAGGAGTCAAAAATGGCCGACATGGGGAACAACTGGGCCGGTGTGGCGCGGGTCTGCTCGAGTGTGGATGTGTTGACTGAAGCTCGGATAGCTTGAGCTGAGCTGTCCGTTGTTTGGTCCGAGGTGCTGCGATGCCAACAAAGAGGACGACGAAGGTGTTGGTTGGTTGCGAGGCAAGAAGAGGTGATCCAAGCGCATTCCGCTGTCTCACCTGTCTGAGCCTCACTGCCACGCTTTCTTCCAAAGGTCGCGTCACGCTGCACAGTCTCGTACGAGAAATAAATCTCCCAACCGAGCCTCAAATTTCGTAGCCCTGTTGGACCCCGCTTTGAAGCTTTGTGAAATTTGAGGCGCTTCTCTCCTCTCGAAAATTTCCAGCTCGGTTCGAGCCAACTTTTTTGGACTGGTGGAGTTCAACGCCATCCAACCCTTTGCTGCCTTCATCCCGCTCACCAACCCGCTCTGGACACACACCGACGGATTCGCCAACATGCCTCAGGTAAGCATCATGCTGTTCCCATAGCACATCCTTCGATCATCGTGACGTTTCGCTGACCTTCTCGCATTGCCACCTCTCGATTTCGACTCGATCGCCACTGCCTTATCTCTGACAGAACGACTACATCGAAGAGCACATCCGTCGACACGGTCGTCGTCTCGATCATGAGGAGCGTCAGCGCAAGCGCGCCGCTCGTGAGGTGCACAAGGCCTCGGCTGTGGCTCAAAAGGTCACCGGTCTCAAGGCCAAGATGCTCAACAAGAAGCGACGCAACGAAAAGATCCAGATGAAGAAGACGCTCAAGGCGCACGAGGAGCGCGATGTCAAGCAGGCATCCACGTCATCCGATCCCAACCAGGCGCTGCCCACCTATCTGCTCGATCGTGAAGGGCAAAAGGATGCAAAGGCGCTCTCTTCGGCAGTCAAGGAGAGGAGGAAGGACAAGGCGGCACGCTACTCGGTGCCGTTGCCACAGGTGCGCGGTATCGCCGAAGACGAGGCATTCAAGGTCATCAAAACCGGCAAACGCAAGCAAAAAGGCTGGAAGAGGATGGTCACCAAACCCACTTTCGTTGGCGAGAGCTTCACACGCAAACCCCCCAAGCTCGAACGCTTCATCCGACCCATGGGATTGCGATACAACAAAGCCCACGTCACCCACCCCGAACTCAAAGCCTCGTTCAATCTCCCCATCGTCGGCGTAAAGAAGAACCCCCAGAGTCCGCTCTATACCCAACTCGGCGTTCTCACCAAAGGTACGATCATCGAAGTCAACGTTTCCGAGCTCGGAATGACCACCACCACCGGCAAGGTCGTCTGGGGCAAGTACGCCCAGGTCACCAACAACCCGGAGAACGATGGCTGCGTCAACGCGGTTCTCCTCCTTTCGTCTTGATTCTTGCTCTAAATGGTTTGTTTATATTGTTGTACACTAGCATCTCTCTCTCGTCATGTTTCCCCGGCACTGCGTCTCAATCAAACTTGCATCTCACATATCAGAAGCGAGTCAAGCGGGTCTGTGGTAACGGTGACTTTGACTGTGTGTGATTGGGCGCTCGAGATGCGTGGCGTGCCGTCTGAAACGGTCTTCTGCTAGACAACAACTGTTCAAGATGCGGCGACTGAATGCGATGAACAATGCGGGTAACGGATGCGGTGCTCGGTGTGACCTGAACTCGGACTGATGCCCTTCAGCTGTCGAGGTCCATCTCCTCGGCGGGCCCAAAGCAGCCGGACAGATCGATCGGTTGGGCTCCCGCGGCGTGGGTATGCTGATGAACCTGGTGTGCTGACGGGCTGTGCGGGTGGAACGTCGGTGTGGTGGCCTGCGAATGCGAGCTGTGGTGGTGACCATAGTGGTGCAGCGACTGCTGATGCGCGCTACCAAAGGGCGAAGGTGTCGGTGCGCCATGGAAAGGAGATGCCGGGTATGGACCATGACCGAACGAGGGGCCATCGTGGGAGCCTGGAGGCGTGATTGGGTATGTAGATGCTGCCCCGAACGCTTGCGGGACATGCTGCGATGCGTGGCCGGAGAAGCGAGCTTCCAGTGGCGAAGGCTCGGGAAAGTACGAGCTAGACAAGGACGACTGCTGTGCGTAGAGTGGGCTCTCAGCATGCGAAGGGGACGGCAGAGGGGCCATGCCGGGGATTGCCGACAGACTGGGGATGGTGTTACCGAACATGCTGGAGCTGTTGCTCGCTGGTGCTGAAAAGCTGGATCCCGACTGGAACGAGACCGGTGGTTGGTTCATGAAGCTGGTGGGAGCGGGACCGCTTTCGGGCACCGTAGCCAGGTCGCTGGGCTTGAGCGGCGACGGTATAGTGGCAGCAGAAGTCGACTTGAGCACCTCTTCAGGGTCCTTCCACAGTATGAGTGCTCCTCTTGCGTCTTCTGCGTTGATCGGGGAAGCATAGCCTGATGATCCCGGGCTGGACGCTGCTGATCGTCGTTTGCTGCTGAGAAGCGACCCCAAGCTCGGGACAGCTGATCCTGCTGATCTCCTCCCCGAGCGTCGAGTTCGACTCGACGAGCTTGACGCACCACCAGACCGAGAGTTGGAGGCAGCATTGTCTCGATCAGACGTGCCCGTGAGCACGGCCCTGCTGTGCGCTTCGAGCTTCTCCATGAGCTCGTTGTTGATGACAAAGTCGGAGGAAGAGTCTTTGCTCTCGGTCGATGTGTCTGCATCTGGCGTCTTTTGCCCATCCGCCTCGCTGGAGCCATCGCCTTCGGAGGAGGATGTGTCGTCGAGACTGGTGACGACGATGCGATCGGGTTCGACTTCGTAGCTCGACGGCACACCCCTGCGCAACCTCATGTCGCTGTCCTCCAGATCAGCCGGCAAGGGGCGACTTGTTGAGGTAGCCGATCCATCAAAGCTGTGCGAGTGCAAGGGAGAGGAGGGTGGAGCGAGACCGCTGTCGGCCAAGCTGGGCGATGTTGGAGGTGCGGGAGCTACGGCTTGCTGGTATAGTGGCGATGCGGATACGCCAAAGGAGGAGGGGACTGCGTCGGCTTTGGTCGGGCTCGATGGCGGTACTCTCGGTGCGGAGGTGAGTCCTTCCGCACCAGCGCCAAAAGCCGACGCCAAGGAGGCGCTGAGACCGAACGCCCCTGCGACGCCGCTGTTCATCCTCGCCCCTTGGGGACGCCCAAATGAAGTCGAGTTCGGTAACGAAGCGGCCAGAGTAGAAGAGTCGATTTGAAGTCCGGCCATCTGGCCATAGGTGTGTCGATCTTCGGGTGTTTCGAGATGGACTCGCTTGGAAGGTCGTGCGAACCTGGCAAGTTCGTCACGATCCAAGTCTGGACTGGCGGCTGTAGCCGCATTGCCTGAAGTGAAGCCGGTCGAAAGATGCAATGGCGTTGGCCAGTCGTAGTCGCCATCCGAGTCGGAGAGGTCTTCGATGCCCCAGCTACTTGCGCTCGACGAATGCCGCGGAACAAGTTCTGGCGAAGGTGGGTTGATGATGGAAGGTATCGATGCATTCTTGCTGGGGTCGGAGAAGCGACCTCGTTTCTTCTTGGCCAAGGTTGGCGCAGGAGCCGTGACGAAGCTAGAAGCTGTGGGTCTTGATGGGCCCGCAGCAGCCCAGTACGGGTCGGCCATCATGTGTCGATGTTGAAGGCAGTGCTGCGCTGTGTGAAGCCAGGATCAGCGGCTACTTTGCGTCAGGCGAATCGAGTCATCCAAGGAAGGTCGATTAGGAAGAGTAAACGAACGCGCCGATCAATCTGGCGATGCGCAGCTGCTGTGGTTGACGACGGTCGAGATAGCTCCCTCCAGAGATGTATAAGAGAGGCGCAAGCGGCCCAGTCGTTGTTGGTGATAGGAAGGGAAGGGCAGCTAGAAGTCAAGAAGGAGGGAAGGCTGAATCGATTGGTGTTGGTTTGAAGTGCATCGGGTGCCCCTTTCGACGGACAGGCAGCGCTGCTCTGGAAAGTTTTGAGCTTCTTAGAGCGCAGATTGAAATTTCTCGAAGAAACTCGCCAAATTCGGTATTTTGAGACCGCGCCGCGTACCAACGCTCTGTTCGGTGTGCAGCTGCTGCCTCGCAAACCCTGCAGCACAAATCAAATTCAAAGCCTCCACTCCCCAATCAGAATCGATAGCTGCACGCTGCGATGCGGGTTTGACTGGCTGAGTCCATGTGACTGGGAGCCGTAGACGCACGGGCTTTTCGAGAGACCAACACCATCCATCTCATCTCCTCGAGGACAGTCACCAATCGCCATGGCCAGCTAGCCCTCCTTTTCTCGAACCACGCCGCTGCAGGTCAGCTTTCTCCCCAATATGGTCGCTATCGGATCACCCGAACGAGTGACTGATCCAGCACAGCCACCTTTACAGCCAGACTCGCGCAAAGGCGATTTGATCTACAGTTCGAGTGTATTTGTAGCGGGTCTATTGTTACTAGAAAAGGCGGCAGATGGCTTCATTCGTCAAGTATCGCAGCTGTCAGCTCAGCTCGGTATCAGTCCGACCCTCATAGCGCTGCTCACGGCCGGTGCCGAATGGGAGGAGCTTGTGGTGGTAGTCGCTTCGATTGCGCATGGATCCTCCAACCTCGCCATCGCCAACGTCGTCGGGTCCGCCATCTCCAACATCCTGGGCGCTTTCTCCTTGGGCATCCTCTTCGCGCCAGATGCGGTCAAGTTCGATGACAGCTCCAAGCGCTTCGCCATCATTCAAGCGGCCATCACCTCCTTGGTGCTCCTCCTCGTTGGTGCGGTGCAGATCCAGCATGCCGACAAGGACGCCAAGCTCTCCAGCAAGAGACTCTTTGAGAACGTGGTCGGCGTCAGCTTCATCGTCATTTTCGTGCTCTACTTTGTTGGGCTGTCGTGGGCTATCAGTCGAGGCATGCTAGCCGCTCCTCAAGGATCCGACAGCGAATCCAGCAGCACCAGCAGTGACGACGACAACCGCAGCTTGTCCAGCCAAGGCAACGATCGATCCGCTCCCATCAGCTCGGCAGCCAGCACCACCACCCTTGGCAACGACAGCGATGGTTCTTCCTTCGTTCCTCCAAGACGCACCCCCGGCGCAGCTGGACGACGAGGTCAGAACCGAACCGCCACCTCGGCCGCCATCGAACGAACTCCCTTGCTCCTCGGATCCGCCACCTCTTCCAACCTCGCAACTCGACTAGCTCAGCGACGACGCGCTGCCATCTTCCGCAGCCTGCGCAAGCTCCTGCTGAGCTTCCTTCTGCTCTCCCTCGCAGGCTACCTCCTCTCGCACTCCATCCTCGAAATTGCCTCCCTCGTCCATCTGTCGGATACCGTCCTCGGCCTCACCGTGCTCTCCTTTGCGACCACCATACCGGAAAAGTTCCTCAGCGTCATGGCTGGTCTTCGCACCGCCGCTCCCTCCACTCGACCTGCAGCGATCCGCAGACCGAGCCTCGCTCGCCGCGCATCCGTTCACGACGAGGCCGAGGATGACGTCGCCCGAGGCGCAAGCAGCATCCTCATGGCCGGCGCGGCGGGCAGCAACATCTTCCTCCTCACCCTCTGTCTTGGCGTCTCGCTCATCTTCGATCACGATCGTGTCTCGGTCCCTGCGTCAATAGCCACATTGCCGGATCAGCATCGGTTCGCAGCAAGCAGCGTCCAGTGGCAGGAGTTCGTGCTGCTCGAGGTCGCCTCGTTGTCTCTGGTGCTGATAGCTTTTACCGGCGGACAGCGGTGGCAGGGCGCACTGCTGCTGCTCGGTTACTTTGCCTTCCTCATCGCCGAATTCACCGTTCTCAAGCGGTGATGGGCGCTGTTCACATTGTACTTTGTAGACTCACTCCGTCCAATGGAACTCGGTAACCACATCGTCTGTGTGCTTGATCATGATCCACTTTGAGACGGAGGTGGCTGCCGACGAATCTCGCTGCGCAGCCGCCAGCCTGCAAGCATGAGCAATGCCCGAGCCCTTACCTCTACCTAAGACTGACACCAGCTTGCGAATGGCTCGACGTACTGTTAGTCAATTGTGTGTCGGCGTCATCTCGACACCACATCAGCGTCGTCAAGCGGGACGTCGAAAGCGTTGAGTCGCGTGTCGAAAAGTGTTACTTTCCGAAATCGGCAGCGCGCTCGGCTCAGTTTCTTCTCGACTTCATTTCACCTCTTGACCATTCCGCACCTTCCTTCCGCTCTTCCGTCACTCACACCACCACATCCGACAAGGATGTAGCCAACCCCTCACACAGCTTACGATGTCGAACGAAGTACCTCCAGCAGTAACGCGGCTTCTCTCGGCAAGATACCCAACTCTGGATGTCGACCCCACCTGGCTCACCCGCTGTGTCAATGAACTCCGCCAACGCGATGCATCTCTTCGCGCAGGCACACCAGACCAGCTTGCGCGGGCAGTACGACAGATCCTGCTCGACTCGGATCTTGCCGAGGTATCTTCGGCTTCATCAAGCCGTCTGACCGCTGCTTTGCGCTCGGCAAAGATCGGCGACGCAGGCCGTGCAGCGGTAGTCGTCCAAATCGAGAGCATGCTCGACATCGGTCACTCCGCATCTGTGCAGCTGGAGATCGCAGAGGCGCGGAGGGAGATGCGCCGATCGAACGTGGATCCGAACACCTCGCTCGCTGAGGAGACCAAGACGCAAGGTGCGGCCACGAGTGCGGATCACATGGCGGACTTCCAAGCGCAGGAAGACGACAAGGTCATGGGCACGACGGTCTTTCCCCGTCGAATGCTGCGGCTCGAGCTCTCAGATGGGAGGCAGAAGGTAACGGCCATAGAGTTGCAACGCATACCCGGTCTGGACATGAACACCACGAGGATGGGAGCCAAGCTTCTGCTCAAGGGCGTGAACGTGAAGGACGGATATGCGTTGTTGACGCCCCAGACGGTGGGTGTGGAGGGCGGGGCGGTGGATGAGAAGGATAGTTTTTGGGAGGAGAAGCTGATCGAGAGGCTTCGCGCTCAGCTGGGCAAGCCTAAGGAGGACGAGAGTGGTCCGCGTGGGAGGCCAATTCGAGGACCTGAAGGCGCGGAGAGTGGGACGAATGCCAGGGAGAAGCGCGGATTCAGCCCTGACGACGATGAGAGCGCGCTGCTGGCGGCGCTGGAGGCGGAACAGGAGATGATGGCGGTCGCTTCTACCTCCAGAGGCACCGGCGCAACGGCGAACACGAAGCTCAACCCTCCCAATAGCAACAGAGCGACGACTTCGGCGGCACCACAATCGCCCGCAGCCGCACGTCAACGAGCCACCCTCGTCGTCCCTGACAGCATGCAGAGCTCAAACGCAAACTCTCGCACCCAAGTCAAGTCGAGCGCGACACAGGAGAACCCCATCGCGATCATCGACAGCGATGACGAAGTGTTTGCCGATGTGCCGGACGAGGCTTTTGCTGGGCTGGAGGACGTAGAGATGAACGCGCAAACGAAGCGAAAGTCCGAGCGCAGTGGAGAAACGAAACCGGGCGCCAGCAACTCGTGGGCTGAACCGATCGTCATCGATTCTGACTAAAAGCCGGAGTGGGGCGCTTCTCCATATTGGACGGGCTTGGCTCACCTAGCCGTCTTCGTACGTATAGCACCGGCCTCACCCCACACGAATTGAACGCAAACACATTCCAAGTTGATGGCATCGTGCTATTGGATCATCGCTCGGCGTGGAACGGCGGTCGCGAGCTATCTGGAGACTCCTGCTGCTCCGAGTCTTCGGCCCTTTGCAGCCCAACACCCGGCACCCGCCTCTCCATCTCCCTGTCCTCCACCGCGGGTCTGGCCTCCTGTCCACCCGAGCCCCTGCCCGATGCGCCCTCGAACAGCTCCTGATATCCACCCTCTCCCTCCCATCTATTGAACATCTTCGCACACTCCTCGGCACTCGGCTGACCCGCGCACGGATCCGCGCCGCACTCGATCAGCACCCGCACCACCTCGTCGTATCCTTTGAACACGGCACCCGCAACGATGCTCTGACCACGCCCGTTGAGCTGATTGACATCCGAAGGCGTCGCAATCTCCTGCAGCATTCGACGCACAAGCTCGGCGTGCCCGTGGTACGAGGCGAGCATGAGCAGGGTGTCGCCGCGGTTGTTGGTGAGGTTGGGTGGGAGGCCGGCGGAGAGGTAGGTGAGAAGGAGGGGGTCGCCGCGACGGGCCAGGTCGAACATCTACGAGCGAGGGATAGAGGTCAGTCTGGGTCATGAGCGAGGAAGGCTGGGCTGGGAACAGGTGGCTCTTACTCGGTTGGCAAGGTCGATGGCGGCATCGGGAAGTTGCGAGACGGATTGTGGGCGAGTCGGAGAGGGATGCTCCTGCAGAGAAGACGTTTCGGGTACGTTGTCTGACATCTTTTAGGTTGGTAATGTCGTTGCAGTCTGAAGATGGTGGGGAGAAAGCTCGGCTCAGCGAGCAGTGGCAAGGCAATCATACCTCTCATGTCACCTCGAGCCCGTAGGAAGGAGTATTGGACCCTGAATCTGAGTGAGCTTCTGCATATGCGTGCATGAGTCTTCGAGACTGAGACTAATAAGCATTATGTAATTGCACACGAGTCACACACGTGACGCCAACACCAATTCTTCGCAGCGCACAGAGGAAGAAGCACAGCTCAAGCGAAAAGAAAGCTCAGCGTATCGCTATCTTCTCTTGACGGTCTTCCACATCCCTCGCAGTGCAAAGCAAACGATCACCCAGTTGATGCAAACAGCTCGTGCCTGCAACCTTCTGGCTCCCGGCATCGTACGCTCATTTTCAGTCCTCTCTACGACAAGACTGGCTCCTCCTCGACTAGCGTACACGACCCCCCTCTTCACTACAGCATCGAGAACTCTTCTACCTAGAAGCCTCGCATACGGCATCGCTCCCGCGACCCGAAAGAGCAGCTCTGTTCGATACAGCACCACCTCCACCCGCTCTTCTCGCGCGCAAGCCCTCCCGACAATGACCGAGGCCGCCCCGCAAACGTCGGCCACCACCTCTCGCTTCGGCGACTGGCCTGCCACCAAGGTGCGAGACACCTTCACCGGCTACTTCAAGGAGCGCGCACACACCTTTGTTCCCTCGTCCTCCACTATTCCCTACGATGACCCCACGCTCCTCTTCGCCAATGCCGGCATGAACCAGTACAAGCCCATCTTCCTCGGCGTTGCCGATCCCAACTCGTCGTTCGGCTCCATGAAGCGCGCCGTCAACTCGCAAAAGTGCATCCGTGCCGGTGGAAAGCACAACGACCTCGACGACGTCGGCAAGGACACCTACCACCACACCTTCTTCGAGATGCTGGGCAACTGGTCTTTTGGCGACTACTTCAAGAAGGAGGCAATCGAGATGGCATGGGAGCTGCTCACCGTGGTGTACGGTCTGCCCAAGGACCGTCTCTACGTCACCTACTTTGAGGGCGATGCCAAGCAGGGGCTCGAACCTGATCTGGAAGCCCGCGATCTTTGGCTCAAGGTGGGTGTCGCGGAGGACCACATCCTCACTGGGGACGCCAAGGACAACTTCTGGGAGATGGGCGCTACCGGTCCCTGCGGTCCCTGCTCCGAGATCCACTACGACCGCATCGGCGGCCGCAACGCTTCCGACCTCGTCAACAAGGACGACCCCAACGTCATCGAGATTTGGAACAACGTCTTCATGCAGTTCAACCGCGAGGAAGATGCCTCGTTGCGGCCCTTGCCCGCCAAGCACATCGACACGGGCATGGGTTTTGAGCGCCTCGTCTCCATCTTGCAGGACAAGCCTTCCAACTACGACACGGACGTCTTCACGCCCATCTTCAACAAGATCCAGGAGCTCACCGGTGCACGCGCCTACACGGGCAAGCTCGGCGCCGAGGACAAGGACGGCATCGACACCGCCTACCGTGTCGTCGCCGACCACGTTCGAACGCTCACCTTTGCCATCTCGGACGGCGGTGTGCCCGACCGCGACGGTCGCGGTTACGTGCTGCGCCGCATCCTACGCAGGGGTACTCGCTATGTGAGGAAGTACTTCCAGGTGCCCATCGGCTCGTTCTTCTCGCAGCTCGTGCCGACGCTCGTTGACCAGATGGGTCACTTCTTCCCGGAAATCACCAAGAAAGTCGACGATGTCAAGGCGATCCTCGACGAGGAGGAGGCGTCGTTTGCGCGCACGCTCGATCGCGGCGAGAAGCTGTTCGAGGAGTACGCCGCCAAAGCCAAGGCGGCCGGTCAGAAGCAGCTGAGCGGTGGCGACGTATGGAAGCTCTACGACACGTTCGGATTCCCTGTCGATCTGACGCTCATCATGGCCGAGGAGCAGGGTTTGGGCGTCAACGAAAAGGAGTTCGAGGCGGCCCAGGCGGAGAGCAAGGAGGTGTCTAAAGCAGGCGGCAAGAAGAGCGAGGCTGAGGCGGTCAAGTTTGACGTGCACGATTTGGGTCATCTCGAGAAGGACGACTCCGTGCCCAAGACGCAGGATGACTTCAAGTACGGCGTCGACACGGTCCAGGCGACCGTCAAGGCGATCTACCAGGACCACGCGTTTGTCGATGCGACCTCCAAGATTGGCGACCGCGCCAAGAACTTTGGTATCTTGCTCGATCGCACCTGCCTCTACGCCGAGAGCGGTGGTCAGCAGGCCGACACGGGTCGCATCGTCATCGACGGCAAGACCGAGTTCGTCATCGAGGACGCCCAGGTGTTCTCGGGGTATGTTCTGCATATCGGTCACCTGACCAAGGGCGAGCTGTCGCTTAACGACTCCGTGACCGTCTCGTACGACCCATCGCGCCGCGGACCGCTGCAGTCGAACCACACGGCGACGCACATCCTCAATTTCGGCCTGCGCGAGATTCTCGGCGATCACATCGATCAAAAGGGCTCCCTGGTCGCGCCAACCAAGCTCCGCTTCGATTTCTCGCACAAATCCGGCGTTTCCCCTGCTGACCTGGCCAAGATCGAGGACATCTCGCTGGACTGGATCCGCCGGGACGTGGGGGTGTTTGCGAAGGAGATGCCGCTGGAGACGGCGCAGCGCATCCCCGGGCTGCGCGCTGTGTTCGGCGAGGCCTACCCGGATCCTGTGCGAGTGGTGACGCTCGAGTTTGATCTGGACACCATCGCTTCGGACCTCGAAAACACCAAGTGGCGTGGGACGAGTGTGGAGTTCTGCGGTGGAACGCACGTGCGCACGACGGGCGAGATCAAGGGCATGGTGATCACCGAGGAGAGCGGCATCGCCAAGGGCATTCGACGAATCATTGCTGTCACCGGGGCGGAGGCGAAGGAGGTGACGCGGGTGGCGGATGAAGCCGAGGCCAAGCTGGGCGAGATCGATGGCATCCAAGAGCAGGGGGCGAAGGATGTCGCGCTCAAGACGTTCGGTACGCAGCTGGCGGTGATGGACATCTCGGTCGTTCGCAAGGCTAAACTCAACGAGCGCTTTGCAGCCATTCGCAAGAAGCTCGATACCGGTCTCAAGGCCAAGGACAAGGCGGACACCAAGGCGGTTTCCACCGCGGTGGAGGGACACTTTAAGCAAAACCCCAACGCGGATTACTTCATCGCCGAAATGCAGGTGGGCGCCAACATGAAGGCGTTGCAATCCGCACTGCAGCTCGCTAAGAAGTCGGACAAGACGGTCTACCTGTTCAGCCAGGAGCTGGACCCTACCGGCGCCACGGTGGCCGATGGATTGGCGGCAAAGGCCAAAGTCGTACACGTCGCCTACGTCTCCACGCACCACCGGGAGAAAGGGCTCGATGCAAAGGAGTGGGTCGAAACGAGCGTCCAGCACGTCGGTGGCAAGGCCGGCGGCAAAGCGGACAGCGCACAGGGTGTCGGTGAGATGGGCGGCAAGGCCATGGAGGACGCCGTCGAGGCCGCTAAGAGAGTTTGGATGCTCAGGTGCGGCGAGAGCGGCATGCCCCTCCAGTGAAGAGTCGGAAGAGCAATCGAGATCCCGTTTAGAACAACACACGATGGGTGAGAAGAAAACGAGTGACATTAGCTGAGCCTCAGGCGCGAGTGTGAGTGTTGTACCGTACATAGAGATTGCGGGCGTGGGGACTGGCATACATTGACGTGCTCTGTGGAATGGATATGATTGGTGCTTTGTATGATACAGCGCTGCGGAGCGGGGGCGAGATGGTTCAGTGTTCAGAGCGGGCGGATTCTGGATGGATCGCTTTTGCCGACGTTGTACAGCGATCACCAGTACGCTCGAGTCTCTGAGACTTCGAAGTGGACCCGCTTGGACGGCCGCTCGTCTGTAGGGGTGGCAACGTGGTCGTTGGTCGAGGTGGCGGTCGAGCTCGACGCAGAAGCCGAAGTGGAAGCCAGAGCAGAGCTTCGACTGGTGGAAGAAGTCGAAGCCATCGTCAAGGCAGACGAAGATGAGGAGCTGCTGGCTGCTTCCAAGGCGCTCAGTAGGCAGGCCATGTCGAAGGTGGTCGGCTCGGCGGCGCGCAGGTCCGGGCGATGGTTCTGGACGCGGAGAGGGCCAGCGCCAACGATGTGCTCTTGGTAATGATGGAGCAGATCACTTGTGATGCGCTCCTCGATCTTGACTCTAGATAAACCATCTTGAGCACGACTACTGCGCAAGACCTGCTCGTGGTCCGCCTCTCGGTCGGTCAGTCTCTCCAATCGCTCTCGTTTCTGGGCTTCGGTAAGATGCCATGCCGGAATGTCGTCGTCGTCATCATCCTCGAGCTCGTCCACCTCCTCGTCTTGCTGAGCCAAATGGCTTACGCTTGCAAGCGAGGACTGGAAATCGTCATCCTGCTTGAGGGTTAGCAGGGTAAAGTCCATGTCTTCAAAGATCTGAAGCAACTGTCGAGCGTCCGGGTGCATGGAGTCGGCTTCGTCTACAGGGCCGTGATCCTTCCGTAGAGAGCGATTGCGCTCCTCTGTCTCCTGAGAGGACATGCGCTGTACGTGTCGGTGCTGTTCGCGAGCCTTGTCCCGCCTCTGCTGGAGGAGGAGCGCACGGCTGGGGACGAAGCGACCGCGCATGCGACGCTTTTGCACCAGAGATCGAGCCGAAAGCAGCTTGGTGGTAAGACTGGCGAAGTCTTTACGAGCTTCCGTCGCTCGTTGCTGGACGGCTAAAGGCTGGTCTTCGATACGCTGGATCGGCATCATCTCTTCGTCGTCGTCGCTCTCCCAGACCCGGATCTCGCCCTCAGACTCCTCGGCGGCGTCGAAGCCTTCGTCGATCAGCTCCTCCTTCCTTCGGCAGGGCCAGCAAGCACGACGATTTGCGGCATTGTCGCGTGTATCCCCTTGTGGGAAGTAATCCAGGATCAAAGGATACTCGAGCCAACACTTTGTGCACTGTCCTCGACGTTCCGGGCCGAGAGGAATTGCAGGTTTGAAATCTTCGGACTTTGGCATACGTTCGCCGGCTCTGGACGAGGCGGCGTTCGAGATTGCTGCACCGGGATCGCGGCAGCAGTCGTGACACATGACCTTGATCGTCGCTGGACTTTCGCCCCTTGCGAGCTTTGCGAGTCTCTTGTCGTAGCGAATGAGAGCCTTGGAAGGAAAACGAAACCGAGGAAGCGACCTCTGGCAGTAGGTGCAACAAACAAGGTCGTCTTCGCGCTTGGGGCGAAAATGATTGTTGGAACCATAGTTGTTGCTACTAGCGCCATCCAAGCGGCGGCCGCCTCCGCCACCGCCATAAGGGTAGGGTCGATGGCGATGGCGAGGCATGGCGACGCGCAGGAATAGTGGGCCGGCGATGGCCACCAAGATCGAGTAGGTTCAGGATGGTTCCAGCCTCAGAAACGACGGTGTGCGTCTGCATAGGATTGGGCCAGAATGATCACTTCGATGCTCGAAGAAGAAAGGGAAGGAGCGAAGACTGATGCTTCATTAGAGCCAAAGAGGCTCGAGCGCTGCGCAGCAAGCAGCAGAGTCCTTGTAGAATGGGCTCAGTGGGCTGCACGCAGGTCTGCACCCTTTGCTTCCAAGCCATCACAATGTGACTTCTGAGAGGGTAGGTCGATTTTTACCTTGGATGGCAGCTGATGACGATCTAACTACGGACCCTTGAAGCGAAAATCGAGCTGTCTCAGCTGCACCGACGAGACGTGTTTTGAAATGGAGGTGCGACACTGCTCGGCTGCCTCAACCCCTTTGGGACGCGGCTAACTCAGCAGCAAGCTGCTGGTGCTTGCAGCCGAGCCTAGGCCTGTCTGTGCTTGTGCCTGTCAGTCGCAGTCAGTCTCTCCGCATCACGTCCGAGCCAAGCCAAATTTGGGATTGGCATGAAGCATTCTCGTCGACATCTTCTCATCTCCATCCTTCCTTCTCTACATCCTCACCTCAGCAATGCGTGGCAGCACCGTGGATTCAGCAAAGCCATAGCTGAGCTCGCTTCTCTCCTGCGAGGCCGCATCACACATTACACGCATCTATTCAACATCATCCTACCTCGAACGCGCTTAGTCCGCCCATATTGAGCCAGCACCGACCTGGGCGCAGCCTCACGACCCACCAAGATACCCTCATCACGATAACAACACAGCTGTAGCTGGAGCTGCCATGTCCTCCGCCGTGCAGTCCACCCTTCGTCCCACCGTGGGCTCGTCCGAGCAACGTCAGCAGCACCAAGAGCGCCAACGTCAGCAACAACCACGCTCCGCCGCTTTCCATGACGACAACGATCTCAGCCTGCACAGTCGTCTCTCTCACGACAGCAACAACAGCTCCAACTTCACCCACCGAGCCGACACATCCCCCAGTCGCAATCATGGAGGCCCCTTCTTTTCCTCCCAGCCCGACTTTGGCGCTGCCACCCCGCCTTCCTCTTCGCGCACTCGCCCTCGTCTAGAGCATGCCCATACACAGCCCTACACGCCTACGCGCTCGCGCACCGATCTCCATCACTTTGACACTGGTCACTCGTTCTCCGGTCCCAGTGCAAGTGCCCATGGCATCAGCTCTTCGTTCGACGAGGACGAGTTGCGCCAGATCATGTCGCGAGACCCGGGCGCCGACGCTGCCGGGGCAACCACCGACAGCGGAGAGGTCGCCAAGGGGCTCAAGTCGGCCAATCACCAAGACATCAGCCCTTTCCTCTTCCAAGGCGACCAGTCCACCGCCTCCTCGTCGGCGTCTTCCGCGCGCGCTCCCCTCGCCAGCCCCAATGCCTCCTCCGCAAGCTACGCCAGCAACACGTTGCCTTCTTCGGCTACGAGGACGCGTTCGCGACGAACCACCGCCAACCTCGCCTTCGCGGACAATGACGCCAGCTTTGGCATCTTTGACCCGCCTGGTCCCACTTCTCCCCGCTCCCAGCACTCGCTGCGGCCCCAGACTCCGCCCTCGGCCACCACGTCCACCAGCACGCTCAACGGCTCCAAAGACGCCAGCGCCTTGGCTGCCAAAAAGTCGCGCAATCCCTTTGGCTTCCTCAAAAAGAAGACGTCCGCCCATTCGAATGCAGCTGCGTCCCATCCCGTGCGCAACGAAGCCTCAGTCTCTTCGCTTTCGTCCCGCTACGGCTCCAACGCGGCCAACCTCAACCCCATGCGTCCCCCCGCCTGGCTCGACGGCTCCCGGCCCCTGGCCAGCACGCCCTCGCCCTCGTCCGCCTCGCTGCGCTCTCACCTCCACCCGCCTGCCGCCTCCAGTGCCCCCTCGTGGCAGAACCCTCTCGCGTCTCGCATGGACTCGATGCCCGCCGCCATTAGTCTGGAAGACGAACTGGAACTCGAGCAGCAACCCAAGAAGGATCCTCGCAAACGTATCAAGGGCGTTCGTCACCATCTCGGCAAGACCGTCCTGAACGACACGGACTCGGCGCGCGACGTACACCTCGCCAACCAGAGCCAGTCCATCGAACAGGAAGTCGAGCTGTCGCTCGATATGAACTTTGACCAGCTCGAAGACTTTGTCGACACCAACGCCGCTCGCCAACGTCTGCAGGGGTCCGTCACCGACTCCACCAGCCCTTTGGACCATCGCTCTCCCGATCCGTCCGAAGCAGGCACCTATCGCTCGCCCTCCCCCTCGCAGGCTTCCTCGCTCGATCGCCAGCCTTCGGTGGCCTCGGGGGGTGCCGAGTCTTCCTCCCACTTCTCCGACGGCTCTCTGGCGCATTCCTCCTCGTTTCGTACGCCGCCGAATCGCAACAACACCGGCATGTCCACCATGGCGTCGTCGTCCACCCTCCTCAGCGATCGACGCCCGTCGCAGATTCACCTGATGCCCCGCAACAGCATCCCTCGGCTCAGCCTCGCCGAGATGCAAAACTACTCCTCCCTCCGCAAGATGTCTACCACCCTCATCGACGCCTCGCAAGCCCCTACCTACACCCCTTCCGGTCTCAGCATGCCTGTCGGCCGTGATTCCACCGCCGCCGCCGACGACCCCTCGTCGCCCGATTCGTCTCAGCAGCTCGGCGTCGCCGGCCCAGCGGGCGGTCTTCCCGCCGATCAGCGCAAGGACAGCGTCGTCTCTAGCCACAGCATGCGCTCCAACCACAGCGGCATCTCGCCCAAGACCTCGTACGCCAACTTGCCGGGCATCGCCCACCAAGATCGTCACGTCTCGGCAGCAGCGGCGGCAGCGGCAAGCGCGGCGGCGGCGGCGGCTTCGTCGGGCGCAGGCTGGGCAGTCACCACGCCCGAGGACAAGCCCGCCAACGGACGCGCCGATCATGCGTATCAGTTTCCGCCGTCCGCTGATCCGAAAGGAGGTCCTCTGCTCAGCGTGCGCAAGTCGAGCGCCGGCTCCGGCCAGGAGGCCAGCTCGAGCTGGCTGGCGCCCGACAGTTGGGCAGTGCAGCCCGACAAGATGCGCGACTACCTTCGCGACGACAACGTCGGAGAAGAGGACGACGACGATGAGGACCCGACCCTGCCGACCTACGGTGCGGATGGCAAGAAGCGCGGCTCCAGCTCCGGCGTCAGCTCCGCGCATGCGGCTAGCATGTTCCGCTCCTCGTCCAACGACCCGTTCAAGAAGGCCGCATCGCTGGCGGGCTCGCGTCGAGGCACCGAAGAGTCGGTCGATCCGCTCACTGTTCTGCCTCCGCTGCCCGGCAGCAAGTCGGTCGACGACACCGCCAACAGCCGCGTCGACGTGCTGCAGCAGACCAACAACGTCGCCCAGTCGGCGCTGGCACAGCAGCAATCGCACGCGCAGACTCATCCGCTCGGTTCCAGCCACATTCGACCCAGTTCACGAGGAGGCGCTGGCGCTCACATGCTTGCTTCCGCGGGTGCCTCCGCTGCTGCCGCTGCGGCCGGCAAGCTAGGTCTTCATCGTCCGTCCAAGATTCGTATGAACACGCGTCCCGGCACAGCAGGCTCCATTGGCGCCACGCGGCCGTCGACCACCACGCTGGGCTCCAACTTGTCCGCCGAGGACGACAGCAGCATCGGCACGGCAGCAGCGCGACGAGACGGCCATCCTCTCAAGCGGTCCACTACCACCGCCGTCAACGCGGCTCCCAGCAGCGCGCTTCGCAACCACTTTATCCGCGTCTACAAGACCGACGGCACGTTTGCCACGCTCTCGTGCTCGCTGCTGTCGACGGCCAATGAGGTGCAGACCATCCTCGCTCGCAAGAGTCTCACCACCGAGTCGGCCGCCTACCGGCTTTTCGTTCGCGACAAGGGTTCAGAGCGACCGCTCGGCATCTCGGACAAGCCCGTGCAGCTCCAGCGGCGTCGTCTGATGCAAGCCGGTCATACCGAGAACGATGGTTTGGAGGAGATGGGCAGAGACGACCTCTCGTATCTCCTTCGCTTCGTCTTTCGCCCCGACAGTGTGCCCACCTTCGACTCCGAGTCGATCGGCCAGAGCGAGCACACCTTCGCTCATCTCGACCTGCAGAGCCGCAACCTCGAGATGGTGCCCATCTTCTTGTACAAGCACGCCGACTGGATCGTCAGTCTCGACCTGTCGGGCAACCCCATGTCGGATCTTCCGCTCGACTTTGTCCAGCTCTGCTCGAGCCTGCGCACGCTGCGACTCTCGAACCTCGCCCTCAAGCGCATCCCACAGAGTGTGCGTCACAGCGAGACCTTGACGCATCTTGACGTCTCCAACAATCGAATCGTCGAGCTCTCGCACATCAGCCTCGATCTCATCCACGAGCTCATGTCGCTCAAGGTGCAGAACAACCGGCTCTTCGATCTGCCCTCGTACTTCGCCAGCATCCACACGCTCCGAAATCTCAACATCTCGAACAACCGCTTCGACGAGTTCCCGCAGGTCATCTGCGAGATGCCTTCGATCGTCGATCTCGACATTTCGTTCAACTCGATCACCGAGCTGCCTGCCGAGATCGCCCAGCTGGTGAACCTGGAGCGATTCATTTTGGCCGGCAACGAGCTCGAGAAGCTGCCAGACAGCATGAGCGAGCTGATCAACCTGCGCACCATCGATCTGCGTCGCAACAAGGTGCAGGACGTCTCGTCGCTGCTCGGGCTACCGCGCCTGCAGAACATCCAGGCCGAGAGCAACAACATCAAGTCGTTCGAGGCTACGCTGGGTCCGCAGCTGACGCAGGTGGAGCTGGGCCGCAACCCGCTCAGCAAGGTGCGCATCGCCGCTCTCACCACGTGCGACTTGACTTCGCTCGACCTGTCTTCGACCAACTTGACGCGTCTCGAGGAGGGTCTGATCCCGCAGCTGCCGGCGCTGGTCAAGCTGATGCTGGATGGCAACCAGCTGGTGGTGCTGCCGGACAACCTCGGCGATCTCAAGCGACTCGAGACGCTCTCGTGTAGCAACAATCTGCTTGCCACGCTGCCCGAGTCGATCGGCGATCTCAAAGCGCTCAAGGAGTTGCTCGTGCACAACAATAATCTCAAATCGCTGCCGCAATCGCTGTGGCTCTGCGAGAGCCTCGCTCACATCAACGTCAGCTCCAACTTGCTCGAGTCCTTCCCGACAGCGCCGGACGTCCGCATCGAGACCTCGGCCGGCGACGTGACCCCCGCCGCAGGCGTGTCGGCCATCTTGGCCTCACGAAAGGGCTCCACAAGTTCCTCGTTGACGCACCGCTCCACCACGGGCAACGGCAACGGCAACGGCAACGGCAACGGCAACGGCAACGGTGACACCAAGATCTCGACGCCCTCCGAGGTCTTTGTAGCGCCGCTCTCGCTCAGCTTGCAGAAGCTGCGTCTCGGTGACAACCGCCTCGGCGACGAGGTCTTTAGCGTCTTGTCCGAGCTTACCTCGCTCGAAGTGCTCAACCTCAGCTTCAACGAGATCTTTGAGATCCCCGACTTTACCCTGCAGACGCTCACCAAGCTGCGCGAGCTGTACATCAGCGGCAACCAGCTGAGCACGATTCCGAGCGATGACCTGGTGGTGCTGCAGGAGCTCCGCATCCTCCACCTCAACTGCAACAAGCTCACCACGCTTCCCGTCGAGCTCGGCAGGCTCAAGAAGCTCTACAACCTCGACGTCGGCAACAATGTGCTCAAGTACAACATTGCCAACTGGCACTACGATTGGAACTGGAACATGAACCCCGAGCTGCGCTACCTCAACCTGTCGGGCAACACGCGTCTCGAGATCAAGACCAAGCTCAGCGACATGGGCTTCACGCGCAAGTCGAACATTTCCGACTTTAGTCGCTTGACGAGCCTCCGCATGCTCGGCTTGATGGATGTGACGATGCCCTTGCACTCGAACGCCACGCCAGACGAGTCGGACAACCGACGTGTGCGCACGTCGCTCTCCCAGATCAACGGCATGGCGTACGGCATCGCAGATGCGCTTGGCAAGCACGACAACCTGAGCGTCATCGACCTGGTGATCCCCACCTTCCGCAAGGACGAAGGCGAATGCGTCTTTGGTCTCTTTGACGGACGTGGACATGGTGCCCACGTCGGCAGCCGCATCGCCCACCATCTGGCCGAGTGGAGTGGACATCGCCTGTCGTGGGAGTTCCAGCAGCATCAGAAAGAGCAGGGGAGCGAGCCCGTGTCGGTGCCGGATGCGCTTCGTCGGGCGTTCCTTCGACTGCAGAAGGACTACGCCGATGCGCTCATCGATGCCGGCGGCCGCAAGCTCTCGGAAGCGCATGCGGAGGCGGCGGCCGACGCCACGCGAAGCTCGGCGCCCGCGATCGCCGCTGCGTCCAACAAGCACGACTGGCGCGCCGGTGCCTCGGCCATCTTGGCGTACGTGGTGGACCGAACGCTCTACGTGGCCAACGCGGGAGATGCGCTCGCTGTCCTGTCGCGCAACGGCGGCACGGCTCATCTGATCAGCAGCAAGCACGAACCGTTCGACCGTGCCGAGATTGAGCGGATTCGATCGGCCGAAGGATGGGTGTCGTTGCGTGGCTACGTCAACGACCTCCTCGACGTCTCACGCTCGTTTGGCTATTTCCACCTCTTCCCCATCGTCAATGCTGCGCCTGCGGTGACGACGGTGCAGCTGACCGACTCGGACGAGTTTGTCATCATCGCCAACCGCACGCTGTGGCAGTACGTGTCGTACCAGACGGCGGTCGACATTGCGCGCACGCAGCGAAACGATCCGATGATCGCGGCGCAGAAGCTGCGCGACTTTGCCATCAGCTACGGTGCCGAAGAGAGCATCATGGTGATGGTCATCTCGGTGGGCGATCTGTTCTACCGATCGGACCAGCGCAACGGAGCCGGTCTTCACTTTGCCAACTACCAGAACAGCGACGCCATTAAAAAGGCAGGACGTCGCTTCCGCGAGGAGCTTCCTGGCGACCGCACCTTGGCGAGATTGGATCGCGAGGTGGCCCCGCCGATCGGTCAGGTGGCGCTTGTCTTTACGGATATCAAGAACTCGACGTCGCTGTGGGAGACCAACAACGGCATGCAGACGGCGATGCGACTGCACAACTACCTGCTGCGTCGACAGCTGCGCACGATTGGTGGCTACGAGGTCAAGACGGAAGGCGACGCGTTCATGGTTTCGTTCCCCTCGGTCAGCGCCGCCTTGCTGTGGTGTTTCACAGTGCAGCAGCAGCTCCTGCAAGAGGACTGGCCGCGCGAGATCCTCGACAGCGAGGACGGCAAGGAGGTGTACGATTCGTCGGGCGAGCTGATCCACCGCGGTCTGTCGGTGCGCATGGGCATCCACTGGGGACGACCGGTGTGCGAGGCGGATCCGATCACGCGACGCATGGACTACTTTGGTCCGATGGTCAATCGTTCGGCTCGTATCAGCGGTGCTGCCGATGGTGGACAGATCCTGGCGAGCAAAGACGTGATCAAGGAGCTGCAAGGCTTGCTGGGCACGTTTGACGAGGCGTCGGCGGCTGACAACGGCGATGGCGGCGGCGAGCATCTGGAAAAGACCGAGGAGGAGCTGGACGAGGACGCGTTCCGACTGCTCAACCCGAACGTCAGCCGAGATGTGGTGTTGCTGCGAAGGATGGGTTTCGGTCTCTCGCAGCTGGGCGAGCGCCGATTGAAAGGTCTCGAAACGCCCGAGATGCTGTGGCTGGTGTACCCGAAGCAGCTGGCGGGACGACTGGAGCAGGCCAAGACGGACGATGCGGTGGATGCGCCCAAGGCGCAGGTGTACGAGCCGACGGTGCAGTTGTTGGATATTGATGACGTCAAGCAGGTGGGCATGCTGTGCTTGCGTCTCGAGTACCTGTCGAATTCGACCGTCTGTCCTGGCGTGTTGGCGACGAAGGTGGGCGATGCAGCGCGATCCAACCCGTCGACGCCGCTGGGCGAGGCGACGCGGAACCCGATGGACGGCGACACAGACAAGGCGGGTGGCGAGAACTCGGTGCTGCTTCTGTCGCATCAGGCACGCCGAAAGGGTGTCGAGGCGATGCTGAGCATGCGGCCCGAACTGCTCATCTACAGCATCCGAGATGATGCGACCGACGAAGAGCTGGCAGGCATCCTGGACCAGCTCACGACGCGCATCCAGAACGCCGTAGCCTCGCTGACGCTCAACGTGCTGCGCGAGAAGACGGCCAATGGGAGCAGGGATCTCAGCGCGGATCCGAGCGTGATGGAGCTGCTGCAGAGTTTGCTCTCGCAGCCATCCCTGCCACGCGCGATTGCGGCGACGCCATCGAGCCCGCTGACGAGCCCTCGTGCTCGGATGATCGAGTTGCTCCCGTAACGTGACGATGCTGTCCCATCCTACTTGTACTTGTACCTATGTTTATGCAACGGTCATATCGAATCTCATCACTGCGTGACAATGGAAGCGGTGTCTGTCCGAGACGAAGAGATGCTACGAGTGTGGCACGATGGATCGAATTTTTGCGTGGAGTGTGAGATTGGCAAAAGCGGGACTGCGAGCGGGAAGATTTGAACTGTCAAAGCAGAGACAGAGCGGGAAGGCAGGTGCATACGACCTCGCCGAGCGGAGGAGGGTTTGAGCGTGGTGAGCTGGCTGGCTGGCTGAGTTTGGATGATTTTGAGTTTTGGAATTTCTTCTTGTGAGGCGCGTTGGAAGCGAGCGGGCAGTGAGGGAAAAGGCGCGGGCAACCCTTTGCACCCTGAAAACGACCGCACCGCTGAGCCACGGAGCAAGCAAACAACACCGCCGAAACCCGAGTCGTGTCGCTCTCCATCTATCTAGGCGTCGTTGGAGTGTTGGCTTCCTACCATCAACTTCTTCATTCGCTCGACATCAAGCACCTTCGAACCGCCACGGTACCCTCTCGAAGCACTTACGCTCAAGCGAACAACGAGCTCAAGGACGATCACCAGGTGCACGCCAGCTGCTCATCTGCTTCCAGGACCCGGACCCATTGATCACCACCACACGATAACATCGCAACCATGGCGCAGGTATTGGAAATCGCCATGAAGCGTAAGTACTTGCACTCCTGCTGCTGCATTCCTGTCTCGCTTTCAGGCGACAACGTCGGTCCAATCGAACTCGACAGGCACAGAAGCAGTGAAAGCTGACCAGCTCAACCGCACCCTTTGCTCATTTATCTCTGCTACAGTCCCGGAGAAGCTGCGCGGCCTCCGTTCGGAGCGACTCTCGTCCCTCCGCCCGCTCGGCGAGTTCTTTGACCACCAGCGCATCTCGCGCCCCAAGGACACGAACGAGGCTTTCCAACGTGTGACGTACAACACGCGCCACTTTTCGGGCAACTACGCCGTCATCGTCCTCCTGCTCACCATCTACGGCATGATCATGGACACGCTGTTGCTGGTGGCGCTCGTGTTCCTCGTCGGCGGTTTCTGGGCCATCAACCGCTTCGCACCGGAACCGATGCAGGTCGGAGAACACATGATCACCCAGAAGAGCCTCTACACGGGATTGTTCGTCATTGGGATCCCGCTGTTGTGGTTCGCCAGTCCGTTCGGATTCATGTTCTGGTTGGTGGGGAGCAGCGCGTTTTTGATCCTGATGCACGCTGCGTTCATCGAGCCGCCTGTCAGCAGCGAGTATACGGGGGTCGAAACTGTCTAGGGACGTCCAGACCTCTTTCAGCGCTTTCGACAAGACACATGGGTCACCGGCTCACACATCTGTGCAGCACGCAGCGAACAGGAATCGTCTGCGAAACTGCACTCGCCTTGTATATATTCAAGCTCATACCGAGCCCCCAGTAGAAACGGTCATCCGGTTTTCAGCAATCACATTCTTTCACAAAATCGATACCGATTCGTAGAGGATTGCCAAGAACGCTCATGCCGAGACGGATGGATCATCGCGAGCGAGGTCTTTGTCTGCGAACGGTGTATTAAGACAATCTCGGGTACAGTATATCTCTACAGGTTCTCCTCGATCCATCGATTCATCTGCTCGTTCTCCTCGTCCAAATCGTAGTCCCAAATGTGGTCGAACCTCTCGACGAGATGCTGACCGAGTTTTTGGGGATCGTCCGCCCCGACGCCGCGGAACTCGTACGTGTCGCCCGCCTCGAGGCTTGATTCGAGCACGCGATTTGCCCTTGGAACGCGAATCTGGTCGTACACCTGGAGGGCCTTTGTGAGATTCCCGTTATGCACCTTGGGATGGGCGAGGAGGTGGGAGAGGAAGAGGGCGTCTTCGATGGCTTGTCCTGCCATAGCGCCTTGGTGCGGGGTACCGCCGTGTGCCGCATCACCCGTGACAATCACCCGCCCGTTCGTATACGATGTGAGAGAGGGGACGATCTGATGCAGTGCCCATTTGGACGGCTTTTCGATGCACCGCAGCATCTTTTGCAGATCCGAACTGTAGGATGCGAAGTCGTCGAGCAGGGCTTGTTGGGAAGTCTCTTGAGTCCACGATTCGCCCTTTGGGAAAGCGGTTCGTTCGGGCCACCGCGTGCGATCGGTCTTGAAGGCAACCACGTTGACCGTCTTGCCGCCCTGAATGGGGAAGGTGAGCAGATGCGAGTCTTTGGCTAGCATCATCTGGGCCGTTTCGGCGTAGAACTCGCCCTTTTCGGGGCCGAGTGCGGAGACGAAGGTGGTACGTGGGATGAGACCACGATACGCCCAGGTGCCGGACCAGACGAGCTTCTCGGAGCCCGCTACAGCGGACGGGCCCGCAGTGGTCGGATCCAGTGCGCCCCGAACACGAGAGTGGATTCCGTCGCATCCGATGACTAGATCCGCCTCTTCGACGGTTCCATCCTCAAACTCCATCCTCACCTTCTTCCCGTCGTCTTGGTGCAGACTCTTGAGTCTCTTACCAAACCCACAGATCTCCTCGGGAACCCTCTTGATGAAGGTATCCAGCAGTTCGGCACGATGAATACTCGCCATGCCGTACTTCTTACAGAAGGTCTCGCTGAGCAGCGTATTCTCCTCGGCTTCAGCGAGACGCCATTGGAAGAAGAGGTTGCGCGAGGGGAAGTCGGCAAATTGCAAAAAGTCTTCGTAGAGACCGAGGCGTTTGAGCGCCTCCTGGGAGTTGGGCCCGCAGGCGATACCGGCGCCGATCTCGGCGAAGCGCGGGGCGGATTCGAAGATCCGGACGGGGATGCGACGGGTGTGGAGACCGATGGCAAGGGTTAGGCCGCCGATGCCGCCGCCGATGATGACGACGGAGAAGTCTTTGGGAGAGGATGTCATTGTTGCGGTTGGTGGTGGAGGAGCAGAGGGAGACGAGGATGGACGAAGGGCCAGCGATATATACGTCTGCGGGGGAGGTGAAGCAGGGTCCGATGAGAGAGAGAGCAATCGAGCTGGTGGGACCTGGATGGCTGGTCACAGCGTTGGGGTGGCTTGGACAACGACAGATGAGGCCTCGGCATGGCAACAGTTCACACACGACCCACACACAGCATCGTCTCGGCAGCTGGTTTCATCACCATCTCGCATGAGCGTAACGAGGAGCATGGTCGGCGCTGTTTCACTCGACCACCATGACGAGATGCGCGAACGCGGGGAAGCATATCACAAAGTCTTTGTTCGTCAGCAACACAAGCGGCAATTCAATTGCAGGAAATCACGGCTTTTCCCTCAATTTAGAGCTTGGCTTGGCTTGCGTGCGGGTGCATGGGCCATCAACTGAGCCATTTGCAATCTTCTCTCTCTCCGCACTTGCACCTTGGTTGGCTGCCTTGCCGATCTGCGCATTCAGATTGGACCCTGGCCAAGCCGCTTTTCACCCAACGACGAACCCCACACTCTTCGACGCGACAATATCAAGCATCGGACTGGACCCGCGGCATGCGGTCTCGCCCACCATGACCAAACATCTTCTCGTAATTGGTACCTTGATCGCCCAGGCTGTCGTCGCTGTTGCTTCCACAAGCCAGCAGCAGCACTCATGGCAGCTTCCCATCGATGCCACCTTGGCGCAGCCCCTTCCTGAGCATGTTTCGTCTCACCAGCCCATTTCTGACCGCAGCCAAGCGCACATCTGGTCGCTGTCATCTGCCGAGTCGCATCGGCAGTCTTTTTCCTTGCAGCATGCCGGTCATCGAACCAGCTTGACTGCCGACAAGGTCCCGAAGCAGACCACGAGTGACGTCTTCGATGATGCTGCGCCTGCTGGCTTGAACTGGTCCCTCTCCAACACGAATGGATCGATTCAAGTGGATGCGCTCTTTCCCTCGCTTGCCCATCTCGACCTGCTACGTGCCGGCGTGATCCAGGACCCCTCTATCGGTCTCAATGAGGGCCTGTACCGATGGATCCCGGATGAGCCCACATGGACCTACACCGCGGATCTCGAACCCGTCTTGAAGCGGATCAGAGCTTCCCGCAATGGTCGCAGCGCTGATCAGCAGCAATGGCTTTACTTCCAGGGCCTTGATACGATCGCGCAAGTCTATGTCGGCGGTAAATTGATCGGCGAGACCCACAACCAGCACAAGTGGTATGCCTTTCGCATTCCCTCGCGCCTCGTCGATCTCAATGCCACAACCCAAAGGACGGATGGTGGACGCAACACCAACATCACGCTCGTCTTCAACAACACGAACCGTTATGCTGCTCAGCAAGCCGACAAATTCGACCCGGGCTACCCCAACCAGCTCAATGGCGGTCTCCGACCCCGAACGTTCGACTACGAGTATCCCAACCGCATCTTTGTTCGCAAGCAGCAGTCCGATTTCGGTTGGGACTGGGGGCCGGCTCTGGTTCCTGTGGGTCCCCACAAGCCGGCCTACTTGATCGCTCTTCCTGATGTCGATCAGGACTCTAAGGATATCACAGACGCTAGCGAGGCAGCGCAGACACCTAGCGATCTGGCGATCACAGCAGAAAAGCCGACAGTGGTCGTCCTGGCCTTGGGCGTCGACATCTATCGCAAAAGACAGACCAACAATCTGCCGCCACCCGATCCGAACGCGACCTGGATCGTCAATGTCACGCTCACCCTTCTTTCGTCGAGAGAGGTCAGCTGGCCGTCGCTGCGCCTCTCGATCCCTTCTCTCGGTCTGCACACGTTCGATGCGCTGCTCTCTTCGTCGACCGTGTCTGCTGGACTCAACGAGCCTGTGCACGCGACCTTCGAGGTTCCAAGCAGTGGAAAGTACGGTCCTGAACTCTGGTGGCCGCGCGGCTACGGTAATCAGACCATGTACGAGCTTGTGGTCCACAGCGACGAGCTGAAGCTCGAGGTCAAAAAGCGGGTCGGCTTCCGCACAGCCGTGTTCGATCTCTCGACCGTCTCTCCCGAGGAAGTCCAGCAAGGCGTCCAGCCCGGCTCGCATTTTCGGCTGTTCGTCAACGACCGAGAAGTGTATGTGATGGGAACCAACATGATCCCGCTCGACACGCTTGGTCCACGCACCAACCCAGCCTACCTCCGCTGGCTGCTCGATTCGGCGACCTATACGCATGTCAATCTCGTCCGTATTTGGGGAGGAGGCGCCTACCCGTCTCAAGAGCTGCTCGACTTGTGCGATGAGCGAGGCATCATGGTGTGGATAGACGCCATGTTTGCCGCCTCGCTCTATCCGTACCACAACGACTTTCTATCGGAAGTTGGCGGCGAGATCGCACAGGTGATGGTGGACACTGTTACGCATCCGAGCGTCGTCGCTGTGGTGGGAAACAACGAAGGTGAGCTGTTCTTCACTGCGTACGGCAAGTGGGAGCAGGACGCCGAGTGGAAGCGCGGCTACGAGCTCTTGTTCGATACTGTAATTCGAGACCGCGTCAAGGAGATCAGCAGGGGTCTATCGTACATCCCCTGCTCTACAACAACGGGCTACATCCAGCTGGACCCGTACATCGGGCGATACGACAACTACACTCGCGGCGTCGAGCTGCATGGCACTGGCGAGCACTATGGCTACGACGCCACAAAGGCGTTCGACATCGCCTCCTACCCGCGCAGCCGCTTCATGGTCGAATTCGGCATGTTCTCACTGCCGTCCATCCAAACCCTGGACCGCATCCTCGTCGGCGACTACTCGGTCAACTCGACCGTCCTTCGTGCGCACCTCAAGCATCCGCCCGCTGCAAATCTCACCTATCCCTTTGCCGCCGACACCGGTCGGGCCGAGCTCCTCTCTGCGGTCACCACGTATTTTCCTGTCCCTTCTGCATCCCTGTCGGAACGCGAACAGCTGCACAGGTGGAGCGTCAGCAGCCAGCTCTTCCACGCGCTGTACCTGGCGAATCAGATCAGCGTATATCGTGTACAGGCGGCGACGCGCGAGCGAAATCGAGGACTGGTCGTGTGGCAGCTCAACGACGTGTGGGAGGGCACGAGTTGGAGCAGTGTCGAGTATGGCGGTGCGTGGAAGATGGTGCAGTATGCGATGGCGGGGATGCAGGCGCCGGTGGCGGTGGTAGGTGTGTATAATGGGACGGTGGACAGGTTGGATGTGAACGTGGTGTGGAGTGGAGCGGTGAGAGAGAAGGGAGGGGAGGTGGAGATGGAGTGGTTCGATTGGACGGGTCGAAGCGTGAGGAGGGAGACGCGGCGGTTCGAGGTGGATACGACTGGTAGTGCTGGTGCGGTGACGGTGCAGACGTTCGACAACGTCACCAACCTCTGCGGTGACGAAGGATGTTACCTCCACCTCTCGTTCAACGACACAAGAGCATACTGGACACCCATGCATGCGCTTCAACGCACCCTCACCCGGCTGCACGACCAAGGTCGGCGTCCGAAGCTCGAACTCTCCCTTCCCTCAGAGGGAAACGAGTGGGTGGTAGAAGTGCGCAACACAGGTAGCAGTGTCGCGCCATGGGTGTGGCTCGAACACGGTACGCGGGAAGTGGGGTTCTTTGCGAGATGTCAAGAGGGACAGTGTAGGCCGTGGAACGGGTTCTGGTTGCAGCCGGGGGAGGTGGTGAGGGTGCGCTTTGTTAGCGCTGGAGGTGCGCAGGGGAAGGGGGAGGAAGAGGGGAAGAGGGCCTGGTTTGCGGGGGTGACGGCGTCGTCGATGTTTGACAACTTTGATCCTTCGTCCTAGGTCGACGACTGGCAGACTAATCATACCCACTCTCTCTTCCTCGTCGCCGTCGTCCTCGCCCCCTCCTAGGGTGACTCGCCAAGGCGGAGGAGAGAGCTGCGCAACGTCAGCCTCTCACCACCCTACCCATCGTTCGTCGTCAGGTTTCGGTTCTGTTCGCATTCGCATTCGCACTCGCCGTCCTGCTTCCTCCGTTGTTGGGTCTTCAGCATATTTTGGGTTGGGCTCCGCTCTTCGGGTTCTCGCTCGTCGCTTTCTCACTTGTCGATTCTCACTCGTCGCAGTTCTCACTCGGTGCATCCTCGCTTGTTGCGTTCTCTCTCGTCGTGTTCTCACTCGTCACACTCCCACTCGTCGTGTGTTCCCACCAAGTGTCGCTTCCTCAGCATGTTCTTGTCGCCCTTCGCAGTCGTTTGCAATGCATTCTGTTCGTTTCTTCGTGATCGTCCCTTGTTCGCTTGCATCTCTTGAGGAATCTCGGTATGCCTACTTTGCAGTCGTTTGCAATGGCATTGTTCGTTTCTTCGTGATCGTCTTGCACTCGTCGCATTCTCGCTCGTCGTGTGTCCCCCCCCCACCAGGCGTCGCTTTTGCGTCCCATCAGTCCTCTTCTCAGCATCATGTCAAGTCGTTCGTTTTCGTTTCTGCTGCATCCTGAAATCATCGACTGTCTGCGGTCGTTTGAACTGGGTTTCTGGATCAACGTCAGCTGGCAGCGATCCGAGGGGGCTGAGGCTGGCGATCCAACGCCTCGATTCACGTTGCCCCACCCTCGCGCACCCCTCGACCCCCCACACTCGAGCGGTCCTTGACACGGTCCAACGTGGTTATCCATGGGTCGACTGGGCAGAGCATGATGCATCATCGCCCGTCGGATTCAACGGCGAGTGTTCCCACTCCAGACGGGTTGTCACTTGTTCCGACCCTCAAACACACCGTCCAAGCGTCTGCCTCGCCCGAAAACTCCCCTTTCCGCAAGTCCTAAATCGACACGCCTGGGTCGCACTCACAACTAATCTCGGTCCACACCGCGCTTGTATCCCGCACTTGACTCGCACTTCTCGCACGCACATCTGGATGTGTATCTGGGAAAAGCTTGCATTGACATCCATCCTCCCCCCGGCCCTTCTTGCGCTCGACGTGCCAACCCGCTGCCCGCGCTCGCTCCGCTCGCTCCGCTAATCATCAAAATCCCCCGGGTTCTCAAAGTAATACTGCACGGCCATCTCAACATTCTTTCCGCACATGAAGAAGCTCTCGATGGCCTTAGCCTCGGGGATGCCCATGGCGACGATCTGCTCTACGCCCTGACGGTCCTCGGGTTCCAACTCCTCCATTGTGGGCAGGTCCATTTCTTCGCCGCCCTGGCCGGCAGCGCCACCGGCGAGCAAGGCGAGCACGCCCTGCGGATCGGCGTTCATCGCTTCCGCCAGTTGCGGGTTGGATTGTGCAATAGCCTGAACCAAGGGTTGCAATGCGGCGGGGTTTTGGGAGACGAGCTGTTGAAGTTGGGCTAGCATCGCCGGGTTGCCCAGGTCGATCACTTGTTCGCCGCTCTCGTCGTCACCGCCGCTAAGCAAACCGGCGCCGGGAGCGGAGCGCGCGGGGGTGGGGCGAGCCGACGCCGCCGCCGCCGCTTCAAACAGGTTTCCGGCACGACTGGCGGGCGTTGGCGTCGCGGGCGTAGCCGGCACCCTCGCCCCCGCTCCACCAGCCCCCGCAGGCGCAGCGGGCGTCGCTGGCGCTCCAGCGGATGCAGGCGTCTGTTGGGTTCCTGCGGAAGGCTGTTGGGCAGCGGGCGGGTTGGCAAGGTGTTCCGGAATGCCAGTCATGAGGTACTCGACGGCACGATCGGGGTTGTTGAACGCGGCTCGCATGGCGCGTTGCACCTGCTCGCGTTCGAAGCCCATCTCCATCATCGATGACATGGCCGAGTCGAGTGCGCCGCCGGTGAGGAAGCTCGTCGAGTTGCCGGGTGCGGCGTCCGTGCTGGATGGCGCGGCGGATTCGGTTGTCGCAGTGGTGGCGGGTGCGTCGGTGGATGCGGCGACGGTGGTAGTGGTGTCGGTGCTCGCAGCAGGCTCGGGTTTCGCCTCGGTAGCAGCGGGTGCGGCCTCTGCAGGCTTTTCAGCGGGAGTGCTCGAGGTGGATGCAGCGGGCGCAGCAGGCTTGGCAGCCTTAGGCTTGCTCACCATGACCACCAGGAAATCCTTCTCCTTGATGTTGCAGTCGCCCACCGTCTTGTCGTCGGTCAAGATCTTGCCGGAGAAAATAATCTTTTGCAACTCGGGTGCATGACCCTGGACGTCTTGGATCTTGGACTTGATGGTGCCGATGGTGTCGGTGAGCTCGGCGTCCAGGTGGAAGTTGCCCCCTGCGAGGGACTTGATTAGGAGCTTCATTGTGGGTAGGACTGCTGCGACGTGTCGCGGTGCAGAGGTGATTTGTATGGAGCGTCGAAGTGGAGTAGTGATCCTATCGACCGATGTGCGTGTCTGCGATGAGTTGACGTCGCCTGCGATGTGGGTGGATATGGACCGGTGTGTGTGGTGGCAAGAAGAGGTGTTGTTGCGAGCACAGCACTCACCTGCTCAGCACGATCCAATTTTTCCAACACAGCGTTGCAGCAGAGTGGAGGTTTGGACGCGTCAACCTCTTTCGATTACAATTTCCACTAGATCCAATACAAATCTGCTATAATGGTGGGGAGCGGATTGAAATGGAAATGGGAACAGAAAGCGTTCAAGGGCTGCACTCCTTCTCCTTGCCTTCGAGCGGTCACAATATCGATCACGTTTGCCCTTGACCCCACCGGAGCATTCTCGTTCGTCACGTTGACGCTCTGACTCCAGCCGACGGAGACTCTCTCGGCAGCGATTGGCAGTGTAGATCGACAGGCTCTCAAGCGAAACGGCAACCATGCATCCCAGTCTGATAGTGTTCAGCAGCCCAAAAAGCGATTCGATTGAAGACACAACTGTGAAACAGCCGAACAGGGAATGGGAAAACAGCTGCTGAAAGCAGAGAAAGACAACCAGGGGCGAAAGAAAACGACGATGAGGGGAAAACCCAAGACACGGCAGAGAGAGAGGGGCAGACTTCTCTCGGTCCGCGGCGCGAACGTCCACGAGGTCCATCGATGCGAAGAAGCAGATGCTGGATCGCACTGGCATGACGCAAAGTTGGCCTCGAGAGACGGTGCCGCTTGACCGACGAGAGTGGGCAAGAAGGGGACGGGGGAGCTACTAAGATACAGTTTGGGTGTGGAGCGGGAACACGAAAGACGGAGCGTACACTGAGGGAAAACGGAGAGAACCTTTCTGAGAGGCTGATCAGATTCTCGAGCGGTGGCGCGCGCGCTCACGAATCCAGCTTGAGATAGTATGCGCTCCTCCTGCCGGGCTCGTCAGAGTGGTTGAGCTGGACGAGCTTGTTGGCGCCCTTGTGCGCCAGGCTCAGGGTGTAGCTTCCCGGGAAGTCGGGCGTCTCGCCGGCGGGGGAGCCCAAAAAGTTGACATAGTACTCCCACTTGTCCGCTTCCGCAGCGGGCTGCTTGGTCAAGCTCCAAAACTGCGTCAGCTGCACCGAGTCGTCGCTGGGATCGCACTTGGCTGCGATCAACCTGCCGTCGGCGGTGGCCAGCTTGTCCGCCGAAACACAACGCCTGCCCACCAGGTGCGCAGGTTGAAGACGACCGTAGGTGACTTCGGCGGCCTTGTTGGCTTCGGGGAGGTAGCCCAGGAAGGTGCTGTTGCACGCAGTGAAGGCAAAGTTCTCGAATCGTGCCGACTGGCCGGCTTTCTGGACATCGAGCTTCTGGAAGCCGTCGGCGTTGCGCAGCCCTTCGAAGGCGGCAGAGACTTCACGGCCAGAAGCAGAGGCGAGCTTGAGCTGTCCGATCTTGATGGGTGTCTCGGCACATTGAAGGATGGGGACCTCGCGCTCCTCGACGGCAGGCGCAGGGGTGGGGGCCACTTCGCGCTGCTCAAAGGCGACAGGCTGGGCGAGGTCGTAGTTGTCCAGCACTCGGGGGAGGACCGAGGCAGAGACGCTGCCGATGGCGAGCAGGGCCGAGAGAGTGGTAGCAGTGCTGAAACGCATCGTTATGTCTAGAAATTGTCTTGGAGAAGAAGGATGATAGAACGGATAGGTGAATCGATGTATATAAGTCGATACGGTCGGTGGGGCGATGAAAAGAGGCGCTTCTGAACAGAGAGTCTCGAGGCGTCCAAAGATCAGAGATGAAGTGAGGCTTTCGGTGGCAAGATTGCGGGTTGTCAAGCCAAAACAGGGTTGGATAGCTTGTTGGGTAGATCGATCAAAAGCCAAAGCGTGGGAAACAGAGATGCGAGGCTTGAAGCGAGGTGATGGGTGGGGACGAGTCAACAAAAAAGAGTGTTCTGAGTTGGGTTCTAAAGAGAGTGTATGGGTTGGCGAGGCCGTGTGTAGAGCGTGAATATGGGAAGGGGAAAGTGGGAAGGAGCTGGATAGAGAGTGGATAGAGAGTGGGAGTGAGATGGTGGAGAAGAGACAAGAGAGGTGTGTATGGAAGGATCTTCAGAAGGGAGGCTAGGCGTTCAGGGACGCTTTTGAGTCTATGGAACGGCAAGACCACACAATGGCAAGGGGACGAGTGGACAGCCTGTACAGACTGGTAGGCGCTGGCCTGTTCCTTCGGCTCGTTGTGAGCGGAGGATCGACAGCGAGCGAGACGGGCGGCTTCAAGAAGACCCCGGACCAAACAACACACACACCAGCCTGTACTGCGTCCGAAGGAGTCGACAGCCAAGCCCGGGCTAGTCGACGACGACGATCATGGTTGCAGACAGCAGGGACGGAAGGGAAGGGACAGGCTCGGGGGAGGGATGCAGACTGGATCGTCAATGCATTGCAGATCTGCATTGAATGGCAGCCAGCGGCGAGCAGCATGCAGCATGCACAGCTGGACGGCGGAGGCGAGCGAGCATGCTTTTTTTGGTCTTTGCCGAGGCAGCCAGGCGTCTGCGTCCACGCCCTTTTCCAGTGTGCCGTTGCAGGCAAATTTGCAAGTCCGCCCGCTTTTGACAGCGAGTCGGTTGGCAGACTGCATACGAGCGGATTGCTGTCCAGTCCCGCTCCTCACTTTGCAGGACACACACCAGACAGACCGGCGGATCACTTTCGAGAGCCAGCAGCTATGCGCTCAGCGTGTTCTGCTCCTTGGCGCAAGAGCATAGTGCAGCCTTTCGAGCCAAATCTTCGCGCGTAAGGTGTCTCAGTGTTACAAATCAGACACAGACGCGTTGAGCTTGGAGCGCGAGACAATACGAGTCGCTTGAGGAAGAAAGCAGATGCAGCGACCAGTGGACAAGGGCCGTACTGCTGCTCCGTCAAGAGTGCACGGTCGTATAGGGGCCTACGCTGCGGAGACAAAAGCAAAGTCGATGCAAGCTGCCAGCGACCCGATTGCAGAGCGCAGAGACAGCAACGAGGGCGTGCATTAGTGGGGACAATAAGAAGCGACAGATGCTGCTCGGCTTGGTAGCGATCGACGCTGCAGCAAACAGCAGATGCACGTCGGCTGGCAGACAGCGGCGTTCAAAGCTGGCATTCGACGGCCGGCATCGTCATCCCTTTGCTACAGATTGGCTCTGGAATGTCGTCGATGACCGACCCCGTGTGCGGAATTTGGGCTGGCTTTTCAATGGCGAGCATTGCTCTCGCTCTTTGTCTGTTCTTGCTCCCATCTGTACATCGATGCCTTCGCTCCAACAGCTCAAAGTCAGCCTTCTCATCTTGTTCAGCAGGATGGATGTGAGCGGGAAGATGGTGCTGGCCGCTACTCGGTCGCCAGGCTTAGCGTCAGCTCGTCTGGCAATGGCGAGTTGAAATATCAAATGTTTTAATTTTTAATTCTCCTACTCAGGGTCCAGACGGCAGAGACAGGTGAGCAGCCGCCTATTTTCTCTAGAGATGGGTTTGACATCCGCTCGGTGCAAATATGCAGTCAACGCCGAGTGATCCGAGCGCTGCCCATGCTTCTTCACTCGACCTTGCGCCGGCCCCTTGCTTCCATCCATGCACACCGACAAGACGGGCGAAGGTCACATGGCTTGGCGTACCCTCGGCAGCATTAGAGGACTCGAATGTGGTGAGTGTAGATCTCACACGGCGACAGAATAAGCAACGTGGCAAAGCAACGAATGACAACATGACGTAGACCCTGCAGCTGCCTTCGCCTTTTCTTCGCGAGCACAGCATTCGGATGGCAGAATGACGGCGAGACACACGATTCGAGATTGGAAAGTGCTTCACATTGCGACCTTCCGTCAGCCTGGCCTCGAGACTCGTCGAAGCTCCCGAGCGCTCCAGTATCTGTGGCTGCGCAGCGACCAAGGTGGCACTGAAGAAAGAGGTACACATCCGCTTCACACGATCCGGGACCCTGATTGGACGCTCTCGCTTCGACTGCAAAGTGACGCTGTCAAAGGGATCAGTTTGCGCGGCCATCCGTTTGGTATGACAGCCGACGGCACGCAGCAATGTAACAGCGAGCCGAGTTGAACCGGCAAGTGGGGGCTGCAATTGGGACTGCAAAGATGATTCATGAGAGACGCTGCTTTGTTCTGCCGGCTTGAGAGGCAATGTGACCTCATCCGCGCTTTCTCCACCGTCCGTGCGCAGTTGTCCTCCTCATCAGCTGCTCGACCTGAGACAAGCCCATCCTCGTCTTGACCTTCCTTCTCATCCATCACACACCTCCTCATCGCAATCATGGAGACTAGCAAGCGAAACAACGACGCGGCGGATGCGCTGTCCTCACCTACCAACCCGGCGCACTGGTACGCCTACGCGTCCTCCCTCTATCTCATCCTCCTTTCGCTGCCTCTTCTTCTGTTCCCTCGATTGCTCCTCCTGCTGTCGACGCCGCGTGGGGCGGTGGGTCAGCCTTCGTCCTCGAACGATGGCAATGCGATCTCGGCCATAGGTCCCGAGCTTACCCCCTTGGAACGCTACGGATCGCACTCCAACGCCATCTCGATGCTCGCTATGGCCGCGTTGATCCTCATCCTCTCGGGTGCGATTCCCGTCACCACCGCTCCCATGCCGGACTCGTCCTCCTCCGGCAAATCCCCTTTCCGCATCCCAACCGTCGTTGTAACGGCGCTGTTCTTCGCAGCAAACGCCTTCACCGCTTGGTCCCAGGCCGGTCCCCGCACCGCCAAAGATGCCGCCGACCCTGCCAAGTTGGGCATTGGAACGTTCGGCAAAGTCGTCGGCCTCACTCACGCCGCGTTTGCCTTCTGGGGCTTTGGCGTCTTCATGTTCGGAAACGATCTGACGAGGAACAGGAAGAAGGCAGGTGACAGCGGGGCCAAGGATAAGAGCGTAAGCGGGTTCCCGTTCAAGAACCAGTATGCGTCCGAGGAGAAGGCTAAGAAGTCGAGCTAGGCGCTCCCGGTAGCAACGCAGTCCATCCTGGCTTTGTGCATTCTCAAGGATGCCACGGAAACAGGGGTGTGTAGCCACAACCTCGTTCAGTGCAATCGCATCTCTCTGTGTGGCTTGAGCCTGCTTTCCGTGCCAACGCATGTCCTGCAGCAAAGTGCCAAGTTTTCGGTGTGATATTACATTGAGCAGATCGTAGTGTGTGCGCAGTTGTGCCGCCTCCCCTTTTGGTAATCGTATCGCGGAACACGCCCCTCTAGCCTACGAAGGTCGTGATTGAGCATCTACGTCCTGACCTTCTTCTCCGCACCATTGACCCCCTCGTCCCTCTTCCTCTTGCCCTCGTCATCCACTTTGATCCCAAATCGCTCGGCACGCTTCCTCGCCTTCTCCTTCTCCTCTTCTTCCCGCTTCAGCCTCGCCGCCTTCTCCTCCTCGCTCTCCTTTGGCTGGCTCGTCTTCGCCTCCTTTGCCTCGGTCTTGGCCTCCTTGGATTTGCGCTCGCCCTTGCTGGCGGGACGCGCGCCGAGCGCCTGGCCCAGCTTTGCTACGTTCGCCTCGTCGTTGGGGTCGAGACCGAACTTGATCGCTCGTTCGAGTTTGCGTTCCGCCTCGCCGAGGGGCGTGCCGAACTTGGCTGCTCGCGCCTTGCGTTTTTCGAGTTCGAGAATGAGTGCTTGACGACGCTGCTCTTCCGATGGACCTGTCTCGTCTGCTGCAGGCGCGGGTGCAGGGGCGGCTGGTGCGGCTGCTGGCGTGGCTGTCGACGCCGCAGGTGCCACTGGCGCAGGTGCAGGGGCAGAAGGCGCTGCGGTGGATGCAGGTGCAGGTGCTGCCTCGCCACCGCCGAGAGAGGCAGTTGCAGATGGGTTTTCGAGCAATCGCGCAATGAGGTCCGGCTTGTTTCCTGATACTCCCAACCCCGCCGTCGTCAGCAGCGCCTTGAGCTCGGCCACTTTGAGCGACTGGAGCTTGGATTCCATCTTTGGATCGACGCTGTTCGGTTTGGTGAGAGGGATTCAGGAGGTGTTCGACGAAGCAAGCAGGCTCAGTCGGATGGATATGCTCGATATCGAGATGAGGTGTGAAGATGGGAAGACGAAGCGTTGGTTGGAGGTTAGGAAGAAAGAAGAAAGCGGCGACACGACACCAGTTTCCGCGTCGAGAGCAGCTCGTCCGTGCGCTTCCTGGAGCGCGTCCGATCGGTCGATCTGGCACGGACCTCGGATCGGGCGATCTAGCATCACACCTGATCCTAGCCCAACACTTCACTTGCTGACGATGGTGTCTTCTTTCACTCGCTCGGTTTCGTTGCTGCAATGCTTTTCCATTCCGTAGTGTTCTGCTACTAGGGTATCTGCTTCTCACCCACCCAACGCAACCTCGATACATCCGCCCAGTTCGGCCCTTGGCTCCACCAGCTCGGGATTAAAATACTCGATCAGCTCCCGAAACAGCTTGGTCCTTTCCACGTACAATGCCCCTGGCCGTCCCTCGTCGTCCCTCACGTGCACTGTCGGCAGTCTTGGCACCGCCTTTTTCAGCCGATGCTGCAGTACCTGCGATGCCGAGAGCATCATCTCCGAACCCGCATCGTCGCCGCTCATGAGCGAGGAGACCGAGCTGGCCATCTCGGCTTCGTCCGTTTCCGCTTCTTCGCGCGTGCGTTTCGAGCCTGCGGCACCCGTCCAGTCGGAAGAGGCGGCGAGATGGGCGTGCGGGTTGAGTGGAGAGGAGCCGATGCCTTGGAGAGGATAGGTGCGGTCGGTGGGGACGAGCGTCTCGTCGGCAGTGTCCCCGTTGGACAGGGGCATGCGTCCACCGCCCGTCTCGGCGCTCAGCAGGTGCGACATGAGTCGACGGAACAGGCGCGACTCGGACTCGTCCGAGTGATCCACCACCGCACCCACCTCGGTCTGCAAGTACATCAGCGCCTCCAAGCCAAAACGAGGTCCGCCGTCCAGTGCGAATCCACCCGAGTTGGCAGCAGGTGCGACCGACGCAGCCGTTGCGATTTCCTCTTCGGAGTCGTTCATCGCCGGTGCGAGGTTGCGCGTCATCTCCAAGAAGCGCTGCCTTCGGACGCGGAACTTGGCCCTGCGCAGAATCTCGCCCGGAGTGGGTCGCAGCAAGGTCAATCGCCAAAAGTCGTCCAGACGGTACGATCGATCCGAGGCGTCTTCCGGGTTGCCGCCATGCAGGTAGTAGACCTTTTTGCGGTCGTCAAAGACCAGCTGAGCTGCGTATCTCGGCTGAGGTTCTGTCGGTTGGGCTGCTGTGCCCGTTCCGGATCCGCTGCCAGGCCGAGCTCGGCTCGCTGGAGAGGACGGGGCAAGATGGGAGGTAGCGGCAGTCGCTGTCGCCCCAACGCTACCGGGTCCGACCGCATCCAAGGCATTCTGCCCAGCATACGCCGTCCAGCTGCTGGTCGGCGGCTCGATGGGCATCTCCTCGTCGTCCGAGCCAGCCTCGTCCGAGTAGGTCGGCAACGCTTGAAGCGGTCCTGACTCGGGCACGTCGTCGCCTTCCATCTCGCCATCCGCGTCGATGCCGTCGGCCGTTCCCAGCAGCCCGTCCTCGCTGCTCCCAAGCAGTCCCAAACCAGACACCGCCACACCGTTGCTCGCCTCGGAGGCAAATTCGGACTGCTTGCCACCTTCGTACTGGTACACCTTGCGCCACGACGATCTCGGGATGCTGTAGATCCAAAATGCGCTCCTCTTGCGTTCATTGCGGCCGCCGATGAGTCCGATGAAGACGCTGATCTCGCGTGCCGCTACGTCGATGGTAGCGCGTTGCGTGAAGGCAGCTTCGGGCCCGTTGTGCGCCGTGTTGCGGGACACCTCGCGGACAGCACCCGTGGCCAAGTTGTACGTGTACATGTCCGCCAGGAAGGTCGCCGATGCACCGCGTTGGCCACCTAAGATCCAGATTTGACGCGTGTGCGAAGGCGACATGCCAGAAGCACCCGGTCGGCCGCTGTCAAGCAGCATGCTGTGTCCCGATCGACTGAGGATCTTGGCACCGTTGGAAGTGCGGTCGTCAAACAGGAACGTCCAGCTGCGTTGGATGATGTCGTAGCGCCACATGCCGCTGAACTCGAACTTGGCCGGATCCGGATCGGTGACACGACCGCCAAAGACATACATCATCTGGTTCTGCGCATCGATCACCAGCCCGTGATCAAAGATGAGCTTGGGTCCTCCGTCAGCATACGTATCAGCGCTGAGCCTTTCCCATCTTTCAGAGCGAGTCGAAAAACGGAAGAGATCGGCCTCGCGGCCTGGAGGCGACGACATGGACGGTGGACGCTGCTGCTGCGAATCGGTGCGGACACTGCTTTGAAGGCGTGAGGCAGCCCGTGGTGAGCGTCCGATGGATTCCGGAAAGTCACTGCTGTTGCTGCTACCGCCGCCGCCAAACAAGAGCGGCGACGATTCCGAGTTAGATGCGGGCGCCGATGTCGATCCAGCTGAGCCTGTACCGCCTGACACAGCACTCCCTCGCACAGAGGTGCTCTGACCGCCCGCACCGGCTCCCTCCATGCCGACGTCGTCGATCTGAGGCGAGCTGTCGCCTAGGATCATGTGAATGTCGCGAGCGATCGACTCGGGATAGCGTGCGAGGAAGTTGGCGCGCGTGGTGCGTGCTGTCGACGAGGAGGGGGTCACTGGCATGGCGGCGGCGGCGGCCGACGACAAAGCCGTGGCGGTGCTGCGAGTGACGTGAGCCATCGAGTCGGCGGGCACTGCTTCGGATTGATTGGCGCTCTCGTAGTCGATGTAGCGCCCCAACAGGTAGATGCAGCCGCTCTTTTCGTCGAGAGCCATCTTGTGGCAGCTCCTTGGGCTGGGACCGCCTTGCAGTTGAGTGTCGGGCGAAATCAGACGCCACCGATTCTCGTTGACGTGGTACGCCCATAAGTCGGAAAGATCCCGGTGGCCGTCCCATCCGCCGAACAGATAGGCGATGCCCTTTTCGGGGTCAAAGACCATGGCATGGCCGCCTCTGCCTGACGGTGCGGTCGGCGCCTTGCTTGCCGATTCGGGGAGAGACGGCATCATGGGATGGATCTGCGACCAGCTCGCTTTGGGAATCTGACGCGAAATGTAGGAAGAGAACATCGACTTTTGCCAGGGTTGCGTCCATACGCCGCTGCGAGAGAGGCTGGCGATCGTAGGCGACGCGACACCACCGCCGGGCGACATGGGCGTGGAGGAGCCGCTGTTGGCAGGATCGACCAGGTCGCCGTACGCGGCTCGGTTGAGACACAGTTCAACCTCGTCCCAGCTAGCGCGTCGGACTAGCGCATCAAAGAGTGTGGTGAGAAGAGGGTGTTCGAAGGGGCGATGTGGACTGTAAGGGAGCATCTTGGTCGGTTGCGGAGCCGCCTCCGTCTGACTGGGAGGCGCGAGGCGAGAAGATTGCAGCAATGCTTGAAAGGCGGTGAGATGACCGTGCTCGCGGAGATGTTTGAGGATGAGTCGAGTGGCTGTAGACTGGCGGTGTTGTTCGTAGCTGCGCGCCACACGGGCTACCAGAGCCGGTTCGCTGACGCCGGCTAGCGCTACGTGCCAGATGGAAAAGTTGTAGTTGGGTGTGTGTGCAGCGAGAGGGACGATCTTGACGTATCGAATGGCGAAGGGAACGGCATTGCCCGTGATGACAAGCGCGTTGGAGGCAGAACGGCGATCTGGCTCGCCGTCGGCAGGCAGGAAGCTCGAGGCCTCGATGGAGGAGCCAGAGCCGGAGCCGGTGGCAGCATCTTCGAGCCAGCGCAGCTCGAAGGTTTCAGGAATGGCATCGTTCTTGAGGCCGCCACGAAGCAGACGCTTACTAGCAGGGGGCCGGCCGTTGACGGACGAAGAAGGCAAGAGGCTGTCGATGCTAGCGGATCCATAGACTTTGAAGTCGCGAAGATTGCAAGGATGCGGCTTGTGGTATTTGCCGAACGTGATGGACCGCGCGACGCTAGGTTTGTCGAGCTTCAAGATGATATACTGCTTTTGCGACTGGCCTGGAGCTGCACCGCTCGCTACCGGCACCGTAGCTGTGCGGCGTGTCGAGGAGGACTGTGCGCCGCCGCTCAAGGTTGCAGAAGAAGACGAGGGCGATGAGCCAGTGCTTGACGATGTCGGTGGAGCTAGATTTGGGTTGTTGCTCGAGGGATTGGTGAGGTAGCTCGCCGGATTGACACCCATCCCGGTGCCGGTGGAGGAAGTTGGGCCCGACGAAGCCGAGTTGACGGCATGCTGGGAGGAGCCGGACCATCTCGAGTACATTTCATGTGGGCGATTGTGAAGGATGTTGCTGGGATGATAGGTGCCTGACCAGGAGGAAGCCTGAGCTATGGTGTATTTGAGAGGAGCATTGGGCGAGCTGAGCAGCTTCTGGAGTGGGGCGACGGCATCGTTGGAGTCCACCACCGCACCGATGGATGCCATGGCTGCGTCGTCGCTGGCGGCTGCTGTGCTCTGGCTCGAACAGCGATGTGGCCGCGCGGGTTCCCGTCGTTGGAGATGCAGCTCGACGCACGAGCTCGAGTTGGAGCACGGAGACCGACGCTGGGGATGATGGTGGACGGAAAGAGCGTACAGAACTGAGCCTCGCTCGAACCAACTGCGGAGGGACCCTGGTCAAATGACAAAAGTGAATGCAGCCGATGCACATGCACGCACTGCAACCAGGCCAGGCCCAACACACTCTTGACTGTGTGACTGACGCCTCACTCTCTCACTCATCCACGCCTTCTTTCGGGATGTGGAGCGAAGCAGCCAGCCAGACGCGTTTCTCGTGTTAATTTCGGCTACCCAGGCTGCATGCGGATCGCTTATCGCTGGGAAGAATGAATCGGCGATCCTATTTATCGGACTCGATACGCTTCTACACATGAAGCCGTTCAGCCGTCCATAGCCTACTCCCCAAGACAACGCTCCATTCACTGCCCGCAGCCGGCTCCGGCCTTGGAGCATGAGCTTGCAGTGCTCTTGATGAAGTGGTTCTCGACGCGATCTCGTTCGAGCGCCAAGGCGGGAAATGCTGCCATAAATCGCACAGAAATGAGGCCGCGAAAAGAGCCACGTCCTCGCAGAAAAGCTAACGAGAGCACACACGCTCCCTCGTCTGAATACCACGCACTTGCCACCTATCTGACCATACCGCAGCATCCGGCGTGAACCACAAAGAAGCGGAGGGAATTCGGGCTCAAAAGGGCTCCCACAAATGGAGCGGGATGACGGGAAGAGCTATTTTTGACCACAGTAGATCATCGTTGTCGATGGAGAACCGTAGCAGCGGATCACGACTGCTTCCCATCGCTGCGACTTGAGACAAGATCTTCAGTAGAACAGAGTAAGGCGGTTTCCGGTGTGGTTGAGGCAGTCGACCGGTGTTTCGTCACGCCCTTCGCTTACGGGTTTACCTGTCCCATGACACATCTCTGCCATTCTTGGCTCTGGCTCGAACGCTCTAGATTCGGGTTCGGGTTTGCCGAAATTGCCCATCTGATATCGCAGCGTTGGTCAGGCTGCTGGCTTGACGAATGAATAATTTCAAGAGCCGCGGAACTGCCGGGATCGACTTGGCAGATCGGATGGACTGCGCGGGGTGGATCGAGAGCGTCCACCAACGGCAAATTCAATACGAATTTCCATCCAATTTACCGCCTCGTCCATCTGTGCACCGCAGCCTGCTACCCCTGCTTTTGCAGAAAAAAATAGATTTTTTGATTTTTTTTTTTGCTCCAGGCGCCGCCGACCCATCCCACCTGCCACAGCGCCGCCTGGGCTCTCCGCCGCGGTCGGCTGTCGCGATGTCAACTTTGATTCTGATCGTCGACGGGTGCTACTCTCTTGAAGGCATGTTCATCTCTTCTCATATACTTCAAGCAGGTGACGCTTCGAACAGAGCCATGTACAAGCACAGATTGAGTGCCAAGGTACGAATAAGGTTTCGAGACGCTGTGCTTGCTCAAAGGCGAGCCAGTTGATAGGGCCTGCATATTCACGGTGACGCAGCCGGCGTCTTAAAATTCCACCTTGGCCATCTGCAGGCCAACTCAGTCACTCCGTCACTCACTCGCTGAGCCTAAATTTGGACTGCGCTCTGTTGCTGCCGATGCTCCTTCGGAAGCTGCAAGTCGGCTCACTGCCATCCTGGTCGTCTATCGTGATCCTGCAGCTTGCTAGCCAGACCTCCTTCTGGCTTGACGCCTTCAACACCATCTACACCATCAACTCGGATCGTCTCCCACGCTTCGATCGGACTCGTTGCTGCCCTACACGCTCACAGCTCCCATCTTCATCGGGCCTTCTCCTAATCGCACACAGGACATCCTCGTCCTTCCTTCGCCCGTGTGCGATCGACTATCAACTCCTGGCCGGTACATCTCGACATCACTTTGCTGCTTCCCCAACAAAGGCTCTCCCTCGATGCGTAATCTGGCTCGCTCCAACTCGCCTCGGTCGCTCTGCATCTAATTCCAAAGATGTTGCCCCATCGTCAGGGGAGCACCTCTCAGTCCTCGTCAGGATCAGGGCGGCGCCCCGTGTCGGACAAGGAGGAAATCGCCAGAGCCGCCCTTCGCTCCCTGGCTGGTCCCAGCGCCAGTCCCACTACGAACGAGGCTCCGCTCCTCTCACGACCGCCACACCCCGCAGCTACCTATCCACCGGCACTACCGCCTCCCCCACCGCCGTCGCTTCCTGCACCCGTCTACCAAGATGCTCGTCAACAAGATCGTGCGACATACCAACAGGCGGGCGCAACTGTAGCAGGTCCAACCACGCTTCCCCTGCACGACGAGCTGGCTCCCACGAGATCCGAGAGAGCTTCTGCCACCTTGCTCAACGATCGACCCTTCACCGCTTCCCCCGAGCCAGCTCCGACGTCCGCCGCGCTACTGCCTGTCCCCCCTCTCGCTTCACATGGTCCTCCACGCCACAGTGTGCCATCCATCTCGAGCCACGATCAGATCCACGAGACCGCTGTTCGACGTGCCTCGGTCGCTCTCGGAGTCGACCTGGGCGATGTCAGACAGATCGTCCACAACGCCTATGTTTCTCGACGCACATCCCACTCGTCCAACACAGCATCCTCTTCTGCCTCAGGGAACGCCTCGGATTACCCCTCTGCTTTTGTGCGTCAGGTGCTCGACGCCTACGACCTTGAAGCAGACTGGGCGACTCAATCGCGGCCTCCGTACGATGCACGCTTTGCAGATCGCTCTGTGGCATCAGGTAGCACACCTACGACCGACCGAGGTCTGGCACCTTCCGGCACGACCTGGCACGAATCCGCTCGTTCCTCCCATCGACCACCACCGCCACCAGCAGCCCATCATTACCTGCAAACCGATCGCAGCAACCTCGTGGCATGGGGCAGCAGGCCAGACGCTAGACTGCCCACGTTCGAGTCGAGACTACCCGAGTCCAGCTCGCGCTTCGCCTATCCGCCAAGCCAAGACGCTCGTTGGTACGAGCCATCTTCTGCCGTCGCAGAATCCAGCACCAGCAGAACCACGAATGCTCCCATGCCTACTGCGATGCCCCCGCAACGCCCAGACTCGCCTTCTCCTTTCGCCTATGATGCGCATCGAAGAGCGTCGAATCCCACTGCCCTCGAACCGCCTTCCATTCGTCCTGCGCGTCCGGCCGCCATCGTTTCGCGGGCAAGCTATGGTTCGGTAAGCGAAACGGCTCGAAGGCATGCAAACGACGGTGCACCTCGGTGGCCCCTCGAGCCGCAGGAAAGCTCCATCTACGAGCGACGTGTGCGGTCCATCGACGACTATGCAGAGCAGCACGCTGTTCAGCAACAGTACCGCCATCGCAGCGAGTCCATGACACAGTATCCTGTTCGTGGAACAGCGCTGGCGGACGCAGAAGGAGAGAGGCTGCCAGATCGCACAATCCGATCCAATGTCAGGCATTCGTACCAGCCGTACCCGCCACCGAGTGGGCGATATGGCGAATCACTATCTACGGTGGGCACGGCGTATGCGCCACCAGAGTCTCCGCAGCTATCACCGATCGCTGTCAACGAGCCGCAGCGCTACCCGAACTTGTTGCAAGTGCGTTCGCCAGCGGCCGAGACGACCACATCGCTCGTCTCGCCTCCCAGTGCGATATCAGCTGCGCTCACACCCTCGCCCCTCCTCACTAGCGCAAGCTCGTCAGCTCGGCTGAGGCCGGACAGCAGCAAGCGCACTCCTGGATTGGAAAGCGACACTCTGAGTCCGCTGCATTGTGGCTCGGAAGATCCGGCCGCCGAATCGACGCGAGAGGCGGTCGAGCATATGCAGATCGACGACACCGAAACCACCTCGGAATCGAAACTACCGACCAACAACGCGCCTCGAAAGCCACGCCCATCGCGCTCCTCGTCCTCTCGAGCGGATCGCACCTCTGTGCCCATCCAGAGCACCGACCTGTCACGTTCGGAGATCATGCAGAAGCTCCAGGACAAGGTCAAGGGTCGACTTGCAGCCAAAGGCACGCCACTTCCGCCCACTGCGCCGCCAAGCAAGGCTAAGCTGCGGGCCAGTGCGAGCTTGCGAGGCAGTCTGAGTCGTCGTGGTGGCAAGCTGGGCAGAAACGGCTCCATCAAGCGATCCGCCTCGAGCATTTCGACATCGGAGAGCGCCGATCGCGCTTCTGCCCCCGCCGTCAGCCGAGCTGACGGTCCAGCCAGAGAGACGGCAGTGGCGCAGAAATCGGCGACACCGAACACGGATCCACCCGCTGCCAAGGTTCGGCGCACCTCCGTCTCGATCGCCCAACCGCCACTCGCGGATCAGCTCGCAACGCAGACGTCCAAATCCGCCTCACCCATGCCCACTAGGAAGAGTTCGCCGCCCAAGACGATCGAGGAGGCCATCGCCAAATCCGTCTCGCCCAAGCCGACCGTCTCCAAATCGTCCTCGCCGGGGAACAAGAGCGTCCACACGCCCTCGTCGATCGAAGCCGCGCTTCTCTCCCCCACGGACACGCCGACGCCCTCCGAGGCTGCTGCAAGCCATGCGCAGACACTCTCCAAGTCGCCCGTGCCGCCCGAGGGGGCGGTCGAGGCGCCGACGGGACAGGCGCTTCCCGCGGATCTGCCCGCTGCGGGTCAGATGAACGCCGGATCGGCCACCACCCAGCAATCGACCAAGGTGGGCGCCGACTCGCTCGTCCAAGCCGCTCAGTCAAAGGATCCGACCGAGACCAGCTCGGCCATGGCCTAACGAGGCTCGTCGCTAGTCTCTTGCAAGCTCGAACCGAGTTCGCTCGGAGATGCACGACTCGAGCCATGATTCAGCGCTATCTCTCCACCTTTATACCAGGCCGCTTTGCTCGTCCCAGTGCCTGCGCGTCATACCCCTACAATAGAACGTACATGTCCAACCAGTAACTCACTCGCATCTTCTCTGTCTCTTGCAATACAATCTTTCTTGCTAATCGCTCACCACATGGCTGTGACGATCTTTTTGGATCAATGACGTGCTTGATGAGCCTGATCGGCGGTGGGCGCCATGCCACACGGATGCAATTCCCTGCGCCCGACTGCGACAAATACGATGTGGGGACCACTCGGCTGTTTGCTCCGAGGCCTCCCGCGGGTGGGCTGCTCCGGACAAGATGCTCAACGTATAGATGAGATTGACTTTGAATCAACGCCATTGTGTCGTCCCCACATCAAAGCACGGAGGCTTCCCGTCCAGATTGTCTGCGTTCTAGCAAGCGTTGCTTCCAATTTCGCTTCGCCCTTCACCCCTTCATCTCAGCCACCCGTCTATGGTGGCGCCTGTATTGTGCAGCTACCGACGGGACCGATGAGCAGGTGGATCACCGAGATGAACCACCCAAACAACCGAGCTTGGACCCTGCGTTTCGATAAGCTGTCAAGTAAGGTTATGCACTTGTGTCCGCGTTGATGGAGGCTCAAACGTACCGAGAACGCTCGCGTTAGCTCTCGTGCTCTCGTCTCTTCTCTATTGTCAATATCTCGGAGTGACCAAGATGTAGCTCGGAATGTGGTCACCCGACCGAACTCAGTGGACCACCGAGAACGTGGGCGGCACTGGCACGCCCCCCCATTCAATACGTTGACTGTACAGGCGAGTAAGGTGGGACCTTCATTGTCAGTCTCACTCGACGGTCTCGATTAATGTGACAGCGGCTGACACAGGACACTTGCTGGGGAACGCGTTCCGAGCTACCAAAAGTCTCTGCTCTGCCTAAGCCGTTGTGAAACAGGTCAAAGTCGTGGCCAGACGATGCAGTATAAGGCCCGTGCTGTGCTTAGGACTGGTCCTTTCCATGCATCACACACCTTCCTTCCACTTCATCGTGCACTCTGCCTCAATCCCGTTCACGAGCAGATCGTGTCGCTAGATCTCCTTCCTCCGCTCTACCAGCCCTGCATCGACTGAACCTCCTCGCAAGCTGCCAAATGAAGCCTCTCACGGCTCTGCTGCCGCTGGCCTTCGGTCTGATCGCCACGCACGCTCTTGTTGCCTCGTCGCAGTCTATCGTCATCGACCAGCTATGGAGCACCACGTGGAACTACTCTGCCGTGCAAGAACTCACCAATCCCTCTATCGCCTTTGTCCCCGGCGCAGCACTGACGGCGTCAATCAACGTCACCTCGTCTTCCACGGACAAGACAAAGCACGATCAGATCGGTATCGCCATCGCCGACAATCAATTGCACCAGGTGGTCGACGCGTTGGGCGGTGGCATCACAGACAGCGTCGCCATCACGTTGCAGGACTTCAAGACGCGCCATCCTCAGGACTACGACGATCTACTGCATTTGCTGTTCTCGCCTGACTCGGAATGGCTGGAGAAGGGCGGGGTGGGTATGAACACCGTCCGCGTCCCGCTGGGAGCGAGCGACTTTGGCATCAGCCCGTACACGTTTGACGACACGGAAGACGGCAGCGAGGATCCGGACCTCGAGCTGTTCACCATCAAACGCGCGCCCAAGCTGTGGAAGACGCTGCGCGATATCGTAGCGATCAATCCGGCGCTCAAGATCATTGTCGCCACGTGGAGCGCGCCGGCGTGGATGAAGGAGGGCGGCAACCCGGATAATGCGCTCTTTGGTGGGTCACTCAAAAAAGGCATGGAACCCGTGTTTGCCAAGTACCTCGTTCGCGCCGTGTCGGACCTCAAGACGCAGGAAAACCTCACAGTCTTCGCCATGAGCCCGCAGAACGAGCCGGGCTACGCCGGAACCAACTACCCGACCATGAAGCTCTCCCCGGACCAGTCGATCAAGATGGGCTCCCTCCTCCGCTCTGGCCTCGACGCGGCCGGCTTCCAGTCCGTCAAGCTGTTCCTGTACGACTTCAACTGGGATAACCCGAATTATCCGCTGAGCGTGCTCAACGCCAATCCCGACCCGTGGGACGCCGTCGCGTGGCACGGCTACGCGGGCAGCCCGAGCGCGCAGAAGACCGTGACCGAAGCGTTCCCGGACAAGGACACATACTTCACAGAGATGACGCGCGTCACACAGTACTTCAGCGAGCCGTACAAGAACATGAAGAACACGGCACGTGATTTGCTCATCGGCTCGATCCGGTGGAACGGTAAGAGCCTTGTGCTGTGGAACCTCATTTTGCGCAAGGACGAGGATGGCTTCACCAGTCCGCATCTGCCGAATGTGTGTTCGAACTGCAACGCTGCAGTGCTGCTTCTACCGGATGCGAGCGATTCGACTACCGGTACGGATGCTGATGCGAAGGTCGAGTCCAAGCGCAGTCTCGACCGTCGTGCCGGTAGACAGACGGCGACCTTTCATCCATCTACCGACACCGGAAGGGCAGACGAAGCAGTCCTCGCATCCAAACTCGTCGATGCAAAGACGACCAACAACCCTTCCGTCTATGCCTCGGACCTCTTCAAGCGCACATCTGACTTTTCCGTCCTCGCCCACCTCTCTGCTGCCATCCGACCCATGGGTGCTTCGAAAGAATATGCGCGCCGCATCGGCGTCACCAGCACCGACGAGACCACCGACCTCGGCGGTCGCATGCTCGCCCAGGCTTTCCGCCAGGACGGCGTGAGACCAGGGGTCAGCAGGTTCTCGGTGATCCTGTTGAACCAGAACGACCATTATGAGTCCGGCGTCTTTGAGGCTGCGACCAGTGTGATTAGCTTTCGTGGCATGGTGGCGAACGTGACGACTGTGCCCGGGCTGTATACGATTGCTTGGGAGGCGCCGACGATCGCTGGGGAGGGACAGACGGGCGAAGAGGTGGACAAGAAGGGTCGCTAAACCGGGGGAATTCTTGCTCGCCATCGCTCACTCCTTCTGGTGCACTTCGAGATTCTTTTCATCGTCTTCTTTCGCTTGGGCTCGCACTTCGATTTCGTGTCCAAATCGATGCTAGACATGCGCCATCGCGATTGAGCTTGCGTGCCGTCTGATATGGCCGAGGCCGGATTGACCTTGCTGCAAAGTCGGCCCAGCGCACGTCCGGGTAGATCCGTAACGACGCCGCCTCTCGCTCTCTCCCGGTCAGACACGAATTATCATTCTTATTTCAAAATGAATTCTTTAATTTGGGAGCGGCATAATCGCGGCGGGCATGCGAGCTGACGTCGTCACAAAGCAGACCCCGCACGAAATGCGGAGAACACCAAATTTAGCCTCTCGCGCGCCATCTCCACAGTCACAGCCTTTTGCGGTCATACAGTGAGCCAACACCGCCGCGCTCGCAAGCTGAGCACACGTTACGATCACACAGCCCAGTCAGATTCAAAACATTTGATGATCATCTGAGCCAAAGCTTCTTGGCTTGAAACGACTTGCCAACGCAAAGCGGGGTCGCCGGGTCGATCCGTGGAGGGGTAGGGGCTAAGGGGCTGTGGATTTGAGGCTCCGCACCGCAGATCTTGGTGCACATCCTTCAGTAGGCGGGGCTTGGCAAGATGAGCGCAGCACACCGGTCAATCGAGAATTGTCAGCTGAGTTGGGCGATGCTTTTTTTAGCCAAGCGAGATTTTGAGCTCGCTTTCTCGCGCCCCTCTAGGGCTTGATGCTGACTCTCTTTAGCGCAGCGGTGAATCATAGGGTGGAGTGTGGCTCAGCCTTGAGCTCTGCGGTGAGAGGGATCGTATATAAGCCGTTGCCCCTTGAACCCTGGCACCCCATCTTTCGCAACATCACGACATTCCGCTCCTACACCATCTCCCACCCCAATAACGCAGCAACATGAAGTTCAGCGCCGCCTCTCTCCTTTTGCTCTCGTCGGCACTGCTGACGTCGGCCACGCCGCTGGCATTCAACGCCGATGACGACCGCATCTCGGTGCCCATCCAGGTGCCCTTCTCGTCGACCCCCCGCGTGCTCACCTTCCCCAACTGGTTCCACGCCGCCAAGGACGACGATGACATCTGCCCGCAGCTCCCCGTTGTGTGCGTCAAGGACGGCGAGGTGGTCGGCGATCTCGGCAAGCAAGACTTCTGCCGCGAGGGGTTGAGCTGCAAGATGTGCAACCCCAAGAAGAAGGCGTTGGATTGCAACACCAAGTACGTCACCGAGTGCAAGGCTCAGTGCTCCGCTCGCGGGCCCCTTGGCGGTAAGCTCCGCCAGGCCGAGCACACCGCCGAGAGCATCAAGGCCAAGGTTGTCGAGATGTTCGAGGGAGATGAGGACGATATCTGCCCTGATATGAAGGTCAGCTGCAAGAACAGCGACGGCAAGACCGTCGGCAGCATCGGCAAGAAGCCCTTCTGCAGAGACGGCGTTACGTGCGGCCAGTGCCACCAGACCGAGAACACCGTCGAGTGCAACGCTAAGTTCGTTAAGGACTGCAAGGCCCAGTGCGAGGCGACGGGCCCGCTCGGTGGTAAGGGTGTCTTCGTGCACCTCTACTAAGCGCACTCCCAGCTTCCATCTCGTGATGGGTCGTCAACGCATGTCTATTCACATCAACCGACTCTGAACGCATGTCCATTCACATCTCTTCACTGCATCGTATCGTAATTTCATCTTCTTTAATCCCATTGCTCGCATCCCTCAAGAGAGGACTAGAAGTAAGCCTTACCCTCTAGCAAATCTCTATAACGCTGCTCGCGATCCGGATCCAGCTCGATCAGCTCCTCCAACAGCCTCTTTGCTTTCCCCTTCGCCTCCGCTGAGTCCTTCGTATCGCCCTGGAGGCCAGCCAGCAGCATCTGGTAGTGCGCCAGGCTGATCGCACACCACTTGCTCTCGGGTTCCAGCTCGAAGAGCTCCTCGATCACGCCGATCTCCTCGCGTAGCACCGTGAGTTGGCGTGACTTTCTCCTCTCTTGCGACTGGCCAGGCTGTGCGTTCGCGCTCTTCCCTCCCGTTGTTCCCGCTTCTGACTTCGCTACCCTCACTCGCCCGTCTTCGCCTGTAGCAGCCTCCCCCTTCGCTCTGCTCCCCTCGCCCTCCGTCCGGTGCACCATAGGCTCGAACAGACCCTCCACCAACCACCGATGGTAGAACCAAACACTCTGATCACCCGGATCCGTATACATGGCCTGCTTGACCAGCTCCAGCTCCTTGTCCACTTCCCCATCCACTTGCTCCGTACTGAGCTGGCGGGCGGTCCACATGTGTGGCAGGAGCTTCGACCTCTGGTGCCAAGCGGAAAAATTGCTAAAGTTGCTTTCGATCTTGCGTAGCGTATACGCCAGCTCCCTTTCCGCCAAACCTAACAGGCCTTCTTTGACCGCGGGGTGGGACTGCAGCAGGGGATCGCTGAGCAGCGTCGGGAACACCGGTTGGCGCGCGGCGAACGAAGCCGTGGACGGATCGGAGGAGAGCACTGAGAGGGCCAAATGCTGGATGATCGCACGACGACAGTTCCAACCGTGAAAATTGCGCGGGTCGAGATCAAGCATTTTGGCGACCAGGGAGAGCTCCCGCTCCCAAACCGAGGCGGAAGGGTGGTGCGAAAGACACCACATGCGATGGTTCCAGATCCAGTATACTTTGGGGTGTGCGCGGAGGGCGTGTTCTGTGAGAAGCAGGTCGTCTTCCAGAAGGTTTTGCCTCAGGTGTGTCCTCGAGGCGTCCTCTTCTTCGGGCTGCTTCGCGCCCTGTTGGTTTTGGGAAGGATTGCGGAGGTCTGCAAAGACGTCCTTCTTCACCTGGCCCTCAGCCGAGCCACCGAACAGCGCAAGCAGCACCTCCCGACGGAAGTTCCATACGGTATACAGCTCCGGGTTGAGCGTCAGCAGTTTCGTTGTGTGTTCCAGCGCCGTCTGGTCGTGCCGCCGCTCGCGCTTGTATGTGAAGAAGGTGGACTCGATCTCGAGGTAGGCGGAAAGCTTGGCGGCCTCTTTCGCTTTGCGCGCCGCGCGCGCTTCGGCGGACGTGGAAGACTTCGGAGTGCGCTTGACTCCGTGCATCGTGCCGAGGGTGCGGGGTGCCGACGTCGGAGGTGGACAGATGCGGAGGTAAGGAGGAAGTGAGGAGTGTCGGAAAGTGTTGGTCTCGCGCAGAGGGCGCGGGCGAAGGGTTTTCCGAGAGCCGGACTTTTGGGTTTGTTGCTTCGTGCGAGGTTGGAGGTGGAGGAGATGCAGCAACACCAACTTGATCACGACCGACCTCATCTTTGCTCGAACCGTATCCGCTGGTCGCAAGCAGACTTGAGCGACTAGGGACAAATCGGCTATGACGCTCAACGTCGGAGTGATGTGGTCCACCTCGGCGATGCGGGCCGTCGCAGCGAGCAGGATGACGACGCGAGCAATAACGGGCTTCCGCTCGCCGGCATCTTCAGCAACCCTCTTCTCGGCAGCGTCTCTGCATACGAGCTCACGCAAAGCGGAGCGACCGCTTCATGCCTGTTCAATTCAGTCGAGGAGATTCTCGCTCTCGTCGCAGCCATCAAGTCTGCTCTCACGGACGGAGCGTCAACCCTCGATACGCAGCCTTCTCCTCCAGTCGCGGCTCTTTTCGTCCTCCTCACTCTTCCGCGCACCCTCAAATCCACTGCCAACACCGACGCCACCCTCCACTTCCTCATCGCCGTCACCAAAACAGCCGCTCTCCGAAGACATCCTGACCATCCCCAACCTGCTCACGATCTCGCGGCTCCTCGTCACGCCCTACATTGGCTATTTGGTCGCGACCCACCAATTCCCGGTAGCAGTAAGCCTGCTCTTCATCGCCTCCCTCACAGACCTTCTCGATGGGTGGCTCGCCCGTCGCACCGGCAAGTATACCGTTTTTGGTAGCATCGCCGACCCTGCAGCCGACAAAGCGTTGGTCACGACCATGGTCATCTCCCTTGCACTCTCCGGAATGCTCCCTTGGTCCCTGGCGACGGTCATTCTCGGTCGCGATCTCGCCCTGGTCATCTCGGCGTTCATTATCCGGTATCGAACACTGGAGCCACCGAAAACGTTTGCGCGGTACTGGAACCCCAGTCTACCCAGCGCCACCGTCACGCCGACCCAGATCAGCAAGTACAATACTTTCCTACAGCTCCTCTTGTTGGGATTGTTGACGTTGTACCCCGTACTGTTCCCTGGACAGGCTAGTCCGACAATGACGTTCGAGACGAGCAAGAAGGTGGACGCCCAGGAAGAGCAAGGACCGGTGAAGGTGAGCGAGCAGACGAAGGGGTGGGTGGACAAGGCGATCACGGTGCTCATGTGGGTCGTGGGGGCTACGACGGTTTGGTCTGGCGCTGGGTACCTGGGCGGCGCGGGGACAGGGAAGGTGCTAGCAGCGAGAGCACAGAAGGTGCGCGAGAGCATCAAGAAGGCTGCGCCACCCTCGTAGGGCTCATCGAAATGCAATTCATGCAGCCGATGCACGCGAATGATCGTGAGGCTGGACAGGCGTGTGAGAAGTGATGCCGCCAGTTTGCAACCTTCGCCAAAAGTGTCACTACTGTAGATTTCGAGAAAGCAGGCCCTGCTTAACGTGACCTCACACTTCCCCACTTCTGGTCTGCCATCGACCGGGGACCCACACACCTCATTCGGTGACCGCTTTCAGAACTCTGACGCCAAGCGTTGCTGTGGACGGAACATGCTTGCTGTGTGATGTGATAAAAATACAAAATGATATCGATGCCCGCTACAACTCCGAGTGCTTGTTGATAGTTCTGTGCGTGGACCAGCCAGTGTTGAAGCCGAGGGCTTGCAAACAGTGAGCGAGCGATCGCTTGCATGCTTCAGCGCCCTTCTCCAGCCAGCCGAGCAATTGCGTCCACGTTGACTCGTCCACTGGCAGCTCTGCTACATATTCAGTTTGCCGTGTAGCGTTGTGCTTGCCACGGCGAGGTGTATGGCTCGACCCTGGCCTCGCAACTCTATCCTCTACCGCCCTCTCCGCCTTTGCTTGGTCGGAAGATCCAATAGCCCGCTCCTCTTGGTACATGTCTCTGAACCGCTCTACCGCCCTCAGACTCTCCGCGATCCTATGCGCCGCGTTGACCAACGCGACCAACTCCGACTTTTGCAGCTTGACCTCACCCACGGCCTCCCTCTCGTTCCTGTTGAACAGCAGCTTGAGCGCCGTTCCGATGCCATGGACCTGCAGCTTGCCCCACAGCCGGCACTTGTCGCATCCGACGCAATCCATGATGGTAGAGATGTTGCGGAAGTGCTGCCTGAACTCCTGTTTGAGCTCCAACGACTCGCGATTCTGGCCACTGAACATCTGCGCCTCGTCGAAGGTGGTGGGGCATGCACGGGCGTCGTTGATGAGCTGGTCGAGCTGGGCTACCGCAGAAGGGTCCTCGATCGAGTCTCCTGCCCGGAGCGAGAAGTTTTGCGAGGAGTCGCCGAGACGCGACAGTGCGCGGAGAAGCAGGACGTAGTCAAAGTAGACATTTTGTAGTCGCTCGGGATGCTCTGCGATGCGTGTGATGAAGCATTCGAGATTGGGAGCCCACTCGCCCGTCTTGGTGTCGAGGAAGTCATGGCAGATGTGGATCGAGATGGAAGCATGCAAGCCGGAGATGATGCGGTAGAAGACACGCTTCTCGAGGCACTGTTCGCTGTCGCCGCTGTCGAGAGGGGCTTGCAAGGAAGAGACGAGACCGCCGAAGCCGCCAGATAGACCGTTAAAGGCGGGGCTCGAGCTCTGCAGCATGCTCTTGTCGACGAAACCAGTGCCACCTGACGAGGTTGGCCTAGCAGGCTCGACAAACTTGACGCCGTTGAAGCAGTTCTCCTCGTAGATCGACTTCCATACACGATTGGCGCTAGGACCCGCATAGCCCGTGAATCGCTCCGGGTTCTTGAGCAGGTCGACATAGACGCCTTCCTCCGATGATTCATCGTCGAGATGACAGAACTCGGTCGAAGAGCAAGAGCAACTTGCATCCGAGCCAGTCATGAGGACATCGTCGGGCGAGGCGGTGGTGACCGAGCTGAGACGCTTGACGCGGAACTCTTCGGGTACGTCGGACTCGTCCTCGGTCTCGACGCTGCAGGCGCGGTTCATGCAGAAGCTGTTCTCGTTCCAAAAGGGACACTCCTTGAAGAGATTGACCTTGTAGAATTTGAAGAAGTCGGTCTTGCGGAGTGTGTTGAGACGGTCGAAGAATTGCGAGTTGATGGTCTCTACTGTTTCGTAGTCGCACGAGGCATCTTCGATCTGGCCGGTTGGGCGACATATTGATTCGCCGCCGAGCGAGGCAGTGTATGATGATGATGCGCCCTTGTGTCTTGGCTTGGTGAGCACCTGTTGGAGAAAGTCGGCGCCGCGTGAGCTATCCGAGGCTGGGGAGCGGAAGAGCGCAGGACGTGCGGCTCCTGCTGCAGCAGCTACGGAAGATACCGACCCTGACAGCGACAACAGTGTGACAGTGGTGAGCAGAGCGACGGCGACAGTCATCACTAGTCGATGTGCGGACCATCTCCGACGGTGCGAATGCTCGCCGCTGGCCGAGTTGGAGCGAGCGTGGGAACGCATGTTGGTTGGTCCACGGCCCCTCCGAAGCGCAAAGATGCCTGTGTCCCGAGGTCCCGAGCTCGTCTGCAGAAACTTGACTGCCCGCGTTGGATTGCGCCCGAAAGGTGGTGGTTCGAGGTCGGTACTGGTCGTCTACTGTCGGTGCCTCGACGTTGAGATGAGATCAAGCAGCCTTTGATACGTCAGAGTGCACGAGTTGGCGACTAGGAAAGCATGGTGAGGAACGAAGAGTGATGTACGACGACGAGAGGAGCAAGGAATGCGTGTGTATGTGTTGTTCTGCCGGTTGACGTGGCTGAGTTTGAGGCGTGGCAGGTACCATTTGGATCTGGAGGTCGCCGTCTGCTTCGACCAAAAAAGTGGGAGCGGAGCTGAGCCGAGCCAGGGTTCTCGGCGTTAAAGAATTGGCTGTGTGTGCTCGAGCAAGAGAGCTGCAGCTGACGTGTCAAGATCCGGGGGCTTTCCGAGAGAAAATCATATGAGTGTTAGACCGTGAAAGAGTTCAAGTTTGACAAGTCCGTCAGCCTGACATAAAGCTCGTCAAGCAAGGCGGGGGCGGTTCAACTTTCACGCTGTTCGACAAGAGCGGGAGTCGCACATCTCGCTTGTCTCGAGCCTCGTGCCTCGTGTCCTCTCTGTGGCTACCAGTGACATCAACCTTCGCTCTGCTCATTCCATCAACTTTGCCCCGCACATGTCTCGTTAAACAAAGCTTTTCTTCTGACTTGCTCCTGAGAGCGGCAGCCTACTCCCTCTGCACGCTACGTTCCCCTGCTAACAAAGCACGCTAGACGTCACGCAACACACATATTGTGGGTGTACGAGCCCTCTTCCTCTGTCCCAGATGGCCATGGAGGATCACCACGGTGCTTTGTTCGCCTGAAAGGGGCAACGGGCATGAGGTGGGGAGCAGCCTTCGATTCGAGTCGTGAGCCGCACTTTCAGACGTGGGACAACGCACGATGCAAATCATTTCGACGGCAGCGCCTCCTCACCGCACTGACCAGGCCCTCTTCCGTACTCCGCATTTCCAATTTGTCCAAAAATTGCGCCGTCATTTCAGATTCTTGGCTTGAGCAGCTGCACAGCGCTTCCCCGTCGCTGCTTTCAGCAAACAAAGAGCTCTCTCAACGTCGGCTTGCATCCGCCTCGCTTTCGTCATGAGACACGCGGACCATCCGACGGACTGACTGGCTTCACTCGGCACCTTCGCCTTCCTCTTCTCGTCCTTCGACTCTCCCTCCTCTGCCGTCCTCCTCTTCGCTGGCTGCTCCCTCACCATCCCTATCAACGTTCACTTGGTCGGGACGAAGCCGCTTCACTGACTATCGTTCGAGAGCCTATCGTCGGCAATAGACCCGCGTAACGGACTACGGATCATCTGACCCACGGAGGCGTGACTGTCGCCCATCATGTGCATCCCCAAGTCGAATCACAAGAAGCTCGTAGACGACTGCTACCCTGCTCCCAAGGCGCTTCTCACCTCGGCCCCGGACTATCGTCCCAACTCGAACGAGCTCGGCCGCCTCACCTACTATGCCGAGAACAAACCCGCCAAGCTCGCCAAGGTTGGCGCCTTCCTCGATGCCAAAGCCCAGGCCGATGCAAGGGCAGCCAAGGGCTCTGGCGCTGCCGCGGACAAGGGCAAGGCCGGCTTGATGATCACCCTCGCCATCACAAAGAACCTCCTCACCGAGTGCAAGTCGTCGTACAACTACTTTATCAAGCCCGCTCAGTCCATCATCACCGCCGGTCTCGACGCCGCCCAACCCACCCAAGGCCGCCCACGCGATCTCGAAATCAGCGCTCGTGCTGCCAGCACCTTCTACGCCCTCGCCTCCTTCCTTGACCCTGCCACCGTTTCGGTCGACGACAGCTTCCAGCGCATCCTCCAGTCCTTTGCCGCCCTGTCCGTCGAGCGTCCCGGCGGCTCCAACGGTGAAGACGCCGAACAGCGCAACCGCACCCGTCTCATTGGTCTCGGCGCCCTCGCTGGAGCCGTCGGGTCCGATGCCACCTACGCGTCCAACTCGACCAAGTACATCTCCCTCATCACCCCTGCCCTCGTCGAGAATGCAAAGGGCAACCGCGTCACCCTCGACTGGCTTCGCAGCGAATCCAAAAAGGCCACCGAAGGCGAACCCAGCTACGCCGAATTCAACATTTCCAAGAAGCCCCTCGCCATCCGTCGTACGCGCTCCATTTCGGCGCACGTCGCCGGAGAGAAGGGCCCTTCAGCGGAAGATGTCGTTTCGGCTGCGATCGGCACCTTGCGAGGTCTCCTCCGCCATGCCGACGCTGGACAGGTTCAGGTCATCGTGCAGCACGTCATTGCTTGGCTCGACGGCAAATCGGTGCTGCCCATTCCTGCCGCCGCCGATGGTCGTCAGGCCGTCTCGCAATGGGAGAACACCGAGTGGTGCTGCTGGCTGGCAGAGTCGCTCTGCGGCTGGACCCCGCTTCAGTACCGCTTCGTCGTCCTCGATACCTTTGTCGACCACCTCGCTGAGAACTGCGAGGGCAAGGCCACCACCAAGCACCTCTCCCTCATCTCCATGTCACGTACCATCCTCACCGGCCAGCTCAGCCTGATCGGCCTCAGCACCTCCGACACGCTCAGCAACCTCTGTGCACTCGCCGTGCGCAGAGTCTACAAAGATACCCGCGACAGCCTCCTCCCGCCCCTCGTTGACTGCATCAGCGGTCTCGGCACGCACGTCTACTACGCCGACCAGATCAACGATATCGTCGAGGAGATCGCCGGACGGATCTCTGCCCTTCAAATGCCCGAAACCGCCTCGGAAGCTGCTTCCGTCAAGGCAAACAACCTCGGTGCCGTCCACCGCGGTCAGCAGCAAGACCTCAACAGCCACCTCCACGCCCACCGTCTCGCCAGTGCAGGCCCCGAGCAACGGGACGAGAGCATCCGTGTTCTTCTCTTCTGTCTGCAGGGCGTTCTGCGAGCCACTCATCAGTCTAGCGGCGAGATCCACCAGGCTGTTGATGTCAAGCCCAACGGCGACCGCAGCGCGAGCGCGAAGCAAGCCGATGGCTCCAAGGGCAAGGCCTCGACTTCGCCAAACGACAGCAAGATTGGGCTGGCCCACGCTGGCACGCGGAATCGCGTCGCCCCCTCGTCGATCCTGCCCACTGCCGGCCTGCTTACCTCGCCCAACCACGCGGTGCGTCTTGCCTACGCTCAGACGCTCATCACGCTCTTCCGGGACGAGTTCGACCGCGAGCAGCTCGAGCGCGAGAGCGCCGTCTTTGCTGCTGCTCCCATCGGCGAGAGGGTGAGCGACCACATCGGCGTCATCCATGCACTCGGTGCTGCCGTCCACGTCTTGTGCTTGAGCAAGAGCCTCTCGCCGCCTCCTCTGCTGCTTCAAAACCTGCGCGAATCGCCTCTGGAGCTGTTGCCGCAGTTGGATCGAATCAACGCGGATCCTGGCCGACCTGGCTCGCTACAAAGCGATGGCTCCGGTGCCGCTGCTGGCGAGTCGACCGCAGCTCTTCCCGTCGACTACGTTGCCGTCGCCCAAGCGTTTGAGCAACTCGTCGTCGCCCTTCCATGCAGTGCCACGCTGGCTCTGACGCCCATGCTGCTCGCTCTTGACAAAGACGCCGGCAGTCGCTTGACGGTCAACGGCGCCGCTGCCAACACCGGCCTCGAGAACCAGCGCCGCATCTCATCGCGCATGGTGGTCGCTCGTGTGCTGGCCAAGATCGGCGAGACCTTCGACGTCAGCGCGGTCGCCAAGGCAGCGCAGAGCGTGCTGTCCCAGGTGCCTTCGCTCGGCATCGAGCCAGGGCCGTCGCCCGTGGGTGGGTTGACGCTGCCCCCTGAGGTGGTGCCCTTCTCGGCTGTCGGCAGCATCAACGATCTCGGCGAGTCGAGCAGCAGCAGTTCCCCTTCGATCAGCGCCAGCTCGGTGATCAGCAGCCTCGTCTCGAGCACCAAGCTGCAGTCGGCCACGCAGCTCGACTCGGTCGTGCTCAAGCGCTTCTTGGAGCGCGACTGGAACGTCAACATTGCCGTCGACGAAGCCTTCAACGGTTCCAGCCCATACGCGCACGGTTCGATGGCGCCTCCTTCGCAGCAGCCCTCGCGCCGACCTTCGTACACGCCGGCCAACGGCCTCGGCGGCGGCAGCGGCGGTCTGCTCGTCAACGGCAGCAACGCGTCGTCGGCGTCGATCAACCGAAACAGCCGGATGAGCATGCAGGTGCCTTCGACAGGTGTTCGCGATCTGCGCGAGGCGTTGGGCATCGCTCCGTCCGCCAACGGCCACAGTCAAGACTCCGACTTTGACGGTCGTCGTGCCAGCCGAAGGGAATCGCGTCGTGGCCCCGCCGTGGGCAGTGCTAACGGCAGCAACGGCAAGAGCGCGGTCGCGATCTTGGACACGCTCAAGGTTGGCATGGACGAAGATGCCACCGGTCTGGGGCCTGATAGCTCTCTGACTACAAGCTCGTCGGGCAAGGGCGGGGCTGCGCCTGTCTCGCCCATCAACCCGCCATACGCTTCGTAGAGGAACCACATACATACCAGCACAATCCTTTCCACCTTCTTTTGATTCGGGTCTCGTTGCGCTTAGCTCCCTGGCAAGCGGCGCCCTGCCGTTCCTTACCTTTGTGTCTATCTGGAATCGATCTAGACTGCTGTTCTCCATTGCACGCGTGCTTCTGTGTTGCGAGCCAAGGCTGTGTGAGGAGGCCAGGCCCCGGACGCTGTGTCAGAAGGTCAGGAATTTTGATGACGAACATTTTAGACGGTCTAACAGCCACGAAAAAATTCGACCGATTTGCCAATCTCTGGTCGCACGGACGCAGAAAGCGAAAAAGCAGAGCCTGCATAGGGGCGCAACCAGAGCGAGCCAGAATCTGAACTCACAGACTGAGCGGCTGGTGCAGACGCAGCCGAATCCAAAATTGTGCGTGCGCGTTGATGCTGTCGTCGTCGTCGCAGGCTCACCTTCTCACCATCGTCTTTCCATACCAGGGTACCGCTCACCTCACCCGATTCGATCGGACAGCAGCGATAAGATGGTCCGCTTCACCACATCATCGCTTGCGCCATGGGCGTTGGCAGCGACAGCAGCCATCGCTCAAGTCTCTGCCAAGACGAGTCTCTACCTCTCTCCCGCCAATCACCTTGCTGCAGCGCCCATCTCGATCAACGCAGAGGAGGCGCATCGTGTTCTCTCGAGCCACATCAACGTTGGCGATGCTTCGAGATCGGACGACTCGGCCATTTGGGCTCATGTGTTGCGCGACGACAAGGTGGACCAGCGAGCTAGGGTGGAGCGTCTCTTTGACGGTCACCAGGACGAGCCGAATCGCTTGCTCGTGCTCATGCATGGATCTGCGCATGATGGTGAGTGGCGACGACGTCTCGATCTCCAATCTCCATAGAATGACCTACTGACACCTTTGACCGACGCTTCCAACTGCCTGGCTTTGCTCACCTCAGATGTGATCCCCAACAATGTCCACGCCACTCACAACATCAAGAACGCACCCCACTCCGACTCGTTCGACGCTCTCTTCGACAGCTACATGGAGAGCGCTTCTCAAGCCCTCAAGTCGTCCGAGTCGGCACTTTCGCATCTCACAGGCAGCTTCATGGACGGCTTTGGCGCCAGCATCGAGTGGCTCACTTCCAAGTCGGATCGTCTGACAGCAACATGGTCGCAACAGGCCGCCTCTTTCAAGTCGACAGCCTTTGACAAGCTCGAGGTGGAGCTGCGATCGGTGGAGGCGTTGATCGCTAAATTGGACGCCGGCAAAGCCGAGTCGACTCACGACCTCACGTTGCAGCCTCTGCGCTTCTCTGGATTGCAAGAGGTGGAAAACACGTATGGTGCTAACAGCGCCGAGTACGCCAAGGCCAAGGAGCTGGTGCGCTCTGCCGTCGAGCAAGTCACCTCGCTCTTCCAAGCTCGATCCGAAGAGCAGGGGCGCACCGCTTCGATCGCTTTTGTCGTCACCGAGACCCATGCTGCGGATGCGTCGCACGTTCTCGCCAAGCGACAGGCTTCGGACCTGCTCGGTCCTTTCGGCGGCGCAGCTGGGTCTGGGGCTTTCTTCCCGCCCCTCAGCGAGGGCCTCGCCGAGTCGATCCACGCCGACGTCCTCAAATCGAAAAAGCCGTCCGGCCCCTCGCCTCTGCCCAAGAACCTTGCTGGCACGTGCTTCACGTCCGCAGAATCGCTCGAGAAGGCGACGAACAGCTGCTCTGGTCACGGCAAGGCCGGCAAGACATCGCGAGGTGGCAAGCCATGCTACCGATGCCAGTGCAAGCCCACCGAGGAGCGCAAGGGCAAGAAGGTCTACTGGGCCGGCGCCGCGTGCGAGAAGAAGGACGTTAGCACCGAATTTGTTCTGCTCGGCTCGAGTGTCTTGTTGCTGGTGCTCATCAGTGCTGGCAGCGTCTACTTTTTGTACGCGCAAGGTTCGGAGGATCTGCCCGGCACTCTGGCTAGCGTCACGATCAACCTCAAGTAGAGAGGGCGGCCGTAGATGCCAAGCAAACACGCGACAACATCATCTCATTCTTCTTCTTGTGTTTAGTCCGTCATATCAAGTGGATCCCTTGCAAATTGCAGCTGCGTCGGGCTGAGCGTGAATGAGACGATATGGCGTGGGAAAGACTGATGATGGTGACTGTGCTTAGGTTCGTGCCGAATCGGAAGCTTGCCGGCGTGACGAGTCGAAGAGGCGCGCGCGGTCGCTCCCGAGTCGGCTGAGTGATGGACCCTGGGAAATGCAGAGCTTAAATTGGTCAAGCGTGTGGGACTGTGCGTTTCATCCCCGCTCGTCACGCTTTTGCTCTCACGCCTATCACCACCATCCCCACCTTTCGCCCGAAACGTCGCCGCCGTCGCAGTTTGAGGTACAGAGCCAATCAGCTGTACATCTTTGCGGTCATGTGAGCCCACATCGCGCCATCCGGCCCCGCACCATCCTTCAAAAGCGAGCAACACAGCCTCAACTTGGATATCAACGACCGACCTCGTTCATTCGACCTGTTTGGAAAGGGCCTCGCGATCCTTCCTTCTTGTCTTTGATGGCGCGCAGCTGACGCACAATGTCCTCATCTCATCGACCATCGCCGCTCAGACTGTCAGATGCAGCCTGGGTGACCACCGACATTATTAATCCATCACGACCGGAATCGCAACCTAGCTCAACGAGCCGTGACCTCGTGCCAGCTCCTCGACCCAGCGATCTCCAAATCGTTTTACGAACCAGAAACCATGCAGCCTACTACGATCCCGCCTCGAACGAGCTGTCTCTTCAAAAGCGCAATCCGCGCCAGTCCCTCGGCTCACCGGAATCTAGCCCCACACCCAACGACGCCCGCCTCGTGCGGCGCCCCAGCGAGAGCGATTCCTTCCACGGCATCGTGAACCGCTTCGCTGGCTCTCGACCTCTGAACAGCAGCAATGTCCAGGAAGCAATCTGCCCGACCTGCGCTCGTCCGTGGCCAATCAGCCAAGAGGATCCCCTCGAAGCAGACTTTGACCGGCGATTTCAGTCCCACAACTCTGACCGTGATCCACCCTCGTTCACCGCACCCAATTACTTTCGCTTGCTCGCCCAGGCTGTGACAACCAGCACAAATTCGCCCAACCCTGGCAGCAGCGGCTTCAACACGCGCCCCGACACTCCCAACCTTCTGCCTCGGAATCGGTTCGAATCCGCTTCTGGCACCTCGACACCGCTCCGCTCGGGCGCATCCACTCCACCGGAACACATCCATCAGTCTTCCGAAGCACAAGGCTACTATGCGCGCTTCTTTGTTGAGCTCAAGCGTCTCGGACGTGGCGCTCGCGGCCAAGTCTTTCTCTGCCAGCACGTGCTAAACGGCAACAAGCTCGGCAAGTTTGCCATTAAAAAGATCCCCGTCGGCGATCACGCACAGAGCTTGCTGCAGAGCCTCAACGAGGTGCACCTCATGGAGTCATTGCACCATCCGAACCTGATTCACTATCAACATGCTTGGATCGAGAGGTGTCAGTTGAGCGCCTTCGCGCCCGAGGTGCCGACATTGTTCGTGCTCATGATGGCCGCGAATGGTGGGAGCCTCGCCGACTGGATCTCGGCGCGGGCTGGAGAAGCAACGGCTGCAGCTGGCGAGAGTGGCAGATCGGATTCGGGGCGAGCGACCAGTGTTGGTTTCTCTCATCTACGAGATGGCAAGGCTGGTACAAGCGGCGACGGGCAGAAGCAGGGCAAGAAGGAAGAAGACGTAGCGACCGTCAATCCAGCGGAACGACTCAGGATCGAGCGGCTCAAGGCTGCCTTGCGCCAACGACGGGCCAATCGCACCGCTGCGAACAAGCAGACCTCTGTCTCGCCGCGTCCCATCGACCCTCAAATCGAAACGGAAGTTGGCGTCCACCTCCTCCGCGAAGACGAAATCTACAGCCTGCTCACCGACATCACTTCCGGTCTCGCCTTCCTCCACGATCGCGGCATTCTTCATCTCGACATCAAGCCGGGCAATGTCCTTCTTCACTGGGACGAAGACTCGCTCATCCCACGCGCCATGCTTTCCGACTTTGGCTCTTCACTTTTGCTTCACGATAACTGGACGCGCACGCGCTCCGGCCACACGGGCACGATGGAGTACATGTCGCCCGAGACCATCCTCGTCAACCCTGTCACAGGCCGACTCGATGAGCTGAGCAGCAAAGCCGACATTTGGTCGCTCGGCATGATCCTGCATCTGCTCCTCTTCTTCACATTGCCGTTCAGCCAGGTCGACGATGTGGATGCACTGCGCGGCGAGATGGCGACTTACAAGGGCTTCAAGCGAGTTGACATGGCAGGCATGGGAAGGCGAAGTGACGGAGTCCTGCTGGGTCTGCTAGAGAGCATGTTGCAGGTGGACCCGATCAAAAGGCCGAGCTGTGGCGAAATCCTGAAAGTACTCATCGCGGCCAAGCGAGAAGGCGAGCAAGGCAACGCGAGGACTCCGCACCGACACAAAAGTGAGAGGGGCGAAGGAGACAATGGGCACGGCGTCTCGCTGGCACTCTACCGACCTTCTGCACTATCCTTTGCTTCGTCGGCTCCTTCTTCCCCGACGACCCCAAAGCAGATTTCAGCCGGCACCCGAACTTCTCTCCTTCCGCGAATGTCCAACGTGGTGCAAGCAGAAGCGACCTCAGTCGCGATCGCCCTGCTCAAGTGCCTCTCACCCGCCCTGATCTCTCGCTTCCTCTTGCCTTCCCGCCCACTCGACGTTGCAGCGAATGCCGCGTGGCCGACCAACACAGCAAGCCTGCTCATCCTCGTCCTCGCCCTCATTGGCAACGCAGCCCACGGCCCGCAGAGCGTGCATGTACGAAGGGCATGCTGGTTGGGCCACGTGCTGCTGCTAGCTTGGCTCACGTTTTCCCCACGCGCAATGTAAGGTCTTTGTCTCGACTCCGTTCGAGTCGCATGTGTATTGGAATATGATGTCCGCGATTGAGTAAGATGAAGGGCCCCAAATTGTGGGGACTGTCATCGAAGCAGACAGACGGACCCGATCTGAAGTCGCTTGAGAAGGTGTTTCGTGCGTGTCGTCGCTGGTCCTCGCTGTCATTGTTGTATAATACAGTAAGAACCTACCGCGAAGGGTCGGAGTTGGACGCGCGAGGGTCCCGCGTCCTCCGACCCCGCTGCATGACAACGGCCTTTGACCTATCTCGGATCGGTGGCAAAGGAAGCTTGCACCGCTCAAGAAGCTCGATGAGACGACTTTGTGTTGTGTTGTTTGCCAAGAACAGTGGGAGATCGGAACTGGAACATGTGGCCTTACCCGGTCGAATTTTCGACGCGTTTCGGGTCGGAACACGATCGCCGGTCTGGACGTTCCATCGGTAGAAAGTCACACGCGGAGTCTGACAGGTGAGAATCTGAATTCGTTTCCCGCTTCGAAGCCAGTCTCGGACGCACCTCGCAACAATGATTGACCATAATGGCATCGGCAGCGGCGGCCTTGGACGAGTCAGGCCGCAGGCGAACAGTGCCTGCATGCGGCTTGCATCGCGTCGATCTGGACAGGTTTCCATACAGCCCGACTTCTCCGTCAAGCCTCCTGAGACAGTTGTCTGTCTGTTTATCCGCAACGGCGGTCCCGTCGAGCCACGTTCATGATCTGTAATGACATTGGGCGACCGACGTTTGGGTTTTCCCTTGCATTGACAACCGACTTCTCGGGCCTCCGTTGCAGCCATCGAGTTTCGCGAACCGAATTCTCGGGCATCGCCTGCATTCTTGTCTGAGTCCATTCCACCACGACTTGTTGTCTTTACGATGGCTCGCGTTCTTCCCCAGAGAATATACCTCGGAGGCTCAAGCTCATGTTCTTCAATGGGCCGCAGATTGACCGCCGCTGCCGCCGTGCCACTTCTGAGGCTGCCGTTCCGCAGAGCCGCATCAGTCTTGAGCGTCGAGACCTTGTGCCTTCTATGACTGTCGCCACACCCTTCCCTCTCCAAGCAACTTCAACGCCGCTCATCGTCTGCTGGCTTTGAATATGCTGTTGTGCCTTCCTGTCGCTTGATCTCGGCTCTCAAGGCTTTGCAACTTTGGCGATGCTTGTGAAACAAGTTGCAGAGGTCTCACCGAGTGTATCGCTGGCGAACGAGACGCGGGATCTGGTCGTCTTGCGCTCCGAATCGAGTCCTGAACGTGTTCTCTGCGGCAACGACTGCCCCAAGCGCCACCTGCCTGTTTCACAGCAATCCGGGCACAAGAGCTGGTGTTTGTCTTGATCTCTGAAGTTGACAGCGCACAAACGCTCTCTCTGTGTGCCTCGCTACAGATCGTCTGTTGCTTTCTGTGCCCGAGAAGTGGGAACATCTTGCGGCTTGACGAGCTATAAAAGCCCCGGATCTCGTCTTCCCCCTTCGCTGTATCCTCGATTCATCACCACACAGCTCTCGACACCACTCTCCCCCTCTCCGCATCGCTTCCAACACGATGCGTGCCTCTCCTCAAGGCGTCCTGCTCCTAAGCTCGGCGCTCTTTGCGCTCCTGTCTGGTACCTCCATGGTGTCGGCAGCCAGCTCCACAACGGACAACGCGTACAAGGGCTGCTATGAGGGCGGCGCTCTGCAATTCCAGCAGTCCGGCTCATTTGGCACGATCGACGCGTGCCGCGACCAATGCAGATCAGCAGGATTCTCGGTGGCTGGGTCCAACGGCGACACATGCTATTGTGACAACACGATAAACTCGGGCGTCGCAAACACGCGTTCTCTCGCAGAATGCGATCTCCCTTGTTCGAGTGACTCGAGTCAGATGTGTGGTGGGACGGCCGGATACAGCTCGGTCTATTCAGACATTGTCTCCACCACCGCGGCTACGTTCCGAGACTTCACCCTGCTTGGCTGCTTCGACGACTGCAATGGACGTGTGCTCCCAGATGCTTCTTTCAACCTGGGCGATTCGACTCGCCTCGACACCTGCGCCAACAGCTGCTCAGGATACAAGTACTTCGGCCTGGAGTTTGGACACGAATGCTGGTGCGCAGGCCAAACTAATGAAGCTGGGAAGGAGAGACCGAGCTACGAGTGCAATCAGCCTGCTCAAGGATCGGACCTAACTTATACTGCAGGTGGACACTGCCGCATTTCTGTCTACGGGCCGGCCCCGCCAACACCTTCGACTAGCACCACGTCGACATCGCCGGCCGACACAACCACTTCGTCCAGCTCAACGAGTGCCTCCCAGACCTCCACGAGCAGCGAGCCCACTACCACCTCTACTTCAAGCAGCACGACCGCTGAGGCAACGAGCACGTCAACGACGACGAGCAGTGAGCCCACTCCGACATCGACGTCGACCAGCTCAACTACTGAGGCGACCAGCGCTTCGACCACATCCACTGCTACGAGCACGTCGACCACAAGCACTTCAACGTCGACAAGCACGTCAACCACAAGCACTTCAACGTCGACAAGCACGTCAACCACAAGCACTCCAACGTCGACAAGCACGTCCACCACGTCCACTGCCACAAGCACCTCAACGACGAGCAGCGCTACGACCACGAGCTCCACCACCAGCACGACCAGCACCAAGCCGCTGCCCACCCTTCCTTCCACGGTCAAGAAGCTCGGGTGCTTCAACCAGGGCCCCCTTCGCGCCCTCCTCGTGCAAGCCTACAAGAACAATGCCGCCAATACGCCGCTGCTGTGCTCGCAGACATGCTCGAAGTTCAAGTACAGATACAGCGGTGTTGAAGGCAAGGACTGCTACTGCGATAACTTTGCACTTCTCGCTTTCCTTCTAGGTGGACCTGGCCAGAAGGGCTGCACCACCCCATGCCCTTCAGTGCCCGAGATCACCTGCGGTGGCAAGGACCGCATCGAAATCGCTCAGGACACGCTGTGGAAGCCCAGCTTCATCAACGTCGTCCCCAGCAAGGACAAGCATTAAAGAGTCGGCGTTTCAGTCGAGCCTCTTGTCTTCTATTGGATTGTAAGCGCCCTCAATCTCAGTTCGAAAGTTTCTTTCCCTCTCCTCGCTTTTCTTTCTCTCGCCTTTGCGATCACGGCTTTGTTTGTCGCCGTTCGTCTTCACAAATCTCAAATCGATTGGTTGCCCTCAAAGCTTCTGTCCCGTTGTAGACGCATCACTTTGTTCACCCTTACTCAACATCGTTTCCCCTTCATCGTGCGACGAAGGCAAATGGCGATTGAGATTGTCGGTCACAAATGTTAATTCAAGCATCGTCGACAGCGTCCTAAGTCGCAGATGGCTCGTCAACTCCAGAGCCTGAGCTGCCGCCGTTTGTTTCCTTACGCCTCGAGAGATCAGCGAGCAAAGCGCCAACATCAATTCCTGACGTCGTTCCTAGCACCATTTGACTGATCGTCTGGCAGCCCATCGTGATCGCCTGAAGGTCCTTTAATCTGTTCGCCTCCAAACTTGATCGCCACATCTCTCTTTCTGCCTCTCGATCCCTCCTTCCGAGCTCCTCGCGCTGCGCCTGCCTGACGATCTCCTCTTCTCGCTCCTTTCTGGCGCGCTCCTCCCGCTCTGCCACCCTGCGGATTTCCTCCTGCCGCTCCTGCCGCTCTCGCTCGAGCTTTTCGCGCTCAAATTGGATGCGCAGCTGCTCGCGCTTGGTGCTCTCCTCTTCGATCATGAGCTGCAATCGAAGGCGTCGTTCTTCCGGGTCTTCGTCGGTTTGTGACGAGGCGTTTGCCGTGGCGTGGCCAGCTGTCGGCGTTTTTGTCTGTGTCGCAGCGCTAGCCGAGACGCTTGCTGCATGCTGCTGAGAGGTTCTTGTGGGTTGTTGAGTCGAGGAACCAATACGAGGGACAGGTATGTCGCTCCGGCGAGGTGAGAGACTTCTTCGAACGTCATTCAAGTACGATCTTGTGCGATCTGCTCGATCGCGTGCGCTAGCCACGGCGTCACTGTCACGAGAGTTGCTGGCTTGATCAAAGTACGAAGCGGTGTAAGGCTCCTCACGATGGCCGCGCCACCCGTGGCGATCACGCAATCTGTGATGGAGCGCTGTGACCCTGTCCCGTCTTTCGTCAGACGACGCATTGTCGCGACGACTCATGCGATGGTCTTGGCGATCCGTGTTGTTCCGAGCAGAATCGTTGACGTTGACGCGAGTGCCTACCAGCGGGGTGGATGTGTGAGCGGACGCTGAAGGCACACCCTGCGAGTCTGCAGGCACCGAACTTGAGCGACTCAGAATAAGTTCGTGATATCGTTCGAACCATGGATGCAGCTTAGCGATCCTTCGACGTTGTCGCCAGTCCTGAGGAAGAGCAAAGACCGTGTCTAGTCAGCAGCGCTTCAAAGCGATATCGCCACAGGTCGCCGTATCCACTTACCTGGTGATCTGGCGTCATGTCCCTGAATAGCATGGATGCAGAGGCGGAAAGATACTTGATTTCGTTCCGGTACCTGTCCTGGATCGATGAGAGCTTGTTTCGGACTCGCTGTTGTCCATTTGGGGCGTTCTCGTTCGGGAAAACCTTTCGATAAAGATCCGTATAAGTGGCGCCTTGGGTGCCGTGCACGAAAGGTCGATCGCCATGCACCAGGTTGCCTTGCAGCGGCTTGTCTTGGTGAAGAACTTCGACGAGCCGCTGAACATCTGCATCTGTCCAACGAAATTCCCAGCGATTGGGTTCAGAACTGGGAGGGACAACTGTCTGATGTGATGCACTGCCTGACGTGACTGCATCCTGAGCACTAGCGCCTGCAAGGCCGGCAGGTGTGCGCGGCGAGGGTGGATCCGGACGTCGTCGGAATGGACTAGTTGCCGTGTTAGACATTGTTGTCAGACCGCGGGATGCGCTCAGATGTGATAGATTGCGAAGTCCACGATGCGTTTTGACCTGTATGCACAGGATTAGGCGGCATGCAGAGGTGGTTGGGCGGTGGGAGGGTTGGACCCTGATGAACGGTTTGGCGGTGCGGAGCTGGAAACACGCGGGGCGCAAAGTGCGCAGCTCGACTCAGCCTTCCAAAATCTCGGGAAATCGCAGAAATCCGAGATTTTTTTCGTTTTGCATTTTTCCTGGAGAAAGGAGGACAAGATCTTCTATCTCGACATCCTTCATCCTCGCTCTGCCTACCACACCACCGACCTGACGTCGGCGCCATTCACGATGCCGAAGACATTCACATCACCGCACAAGAAGCTGGGATCCGCCTCCAGCGCCCCTCCCTCCGGCAGCAAACTGAAGAAGAGCAAAGCGCCATCACCGCCACCACAACTCTCAGCAGAAAGCGCGAGTGATGACGATGACGATCACGACGACGACGAAGAAGCAGACAGCTCGGAAGACGACGGCGAAGCAGAACGTTCGAGTGGAAGCGGCAGTGGAAGCGGCAGTGGAAGCGCCGATCAGGACAGTAACGACGACGAGGACGACACATCATCCGACAAGGAAGCAGCGCCATCAGCAGGCGAGGAAGAAGACGAGAAGAAGGGAGCCACAATCGCCGAAGACGGCAAGAAGGTCACGTTCGCCGACCTAGGTGTCATTCCTCAACTGATCGAAGCATGTACCAACATGGGCTTCAAACATCCCACTCCCATTCAAGTCAAGGCGATTCCCGAAGCGTTGCAAGCCCACGACGTCATTGGTCTCGCTCAGACCGGTTCAGGAAAGACGGCAGCATTCACCATTCCCATCCTTCAGGCGCTGTGGGACAACCCAAAGCCCTTCTTCGCATGCGTTCTCGCGCCAACACGTGAGCTGGCTTACCAGATCTCGCAGCAGGTAGAAGCTCTCGGCTCGACCATTGGCGTGCGCTCGGCCACCATCGTCGGTGGTATGGACATGATGTCGCAGTCCATCGCGCTGTCGAAGCGTCCACATGTTATTGTTGCCACACCCGGTCGTCTGCAGGACCATCTCGAGAACACAAAAGGATTCAGCTTGCGTGGACTGCAGTACCTCGTCATGGACGAAGCCGACCGACTGCTCGACATGGACTTTGGACCCATCATCGACAAGCTTTTGCAGTCCATCCCGCGCGAAAGGAGGACGATGCTGTTCAGTGCCACCATGACCACCAAGGTCGCCAAGCTGCAGCGCGCGTCGTTGAAGAACCCGGTCCGTGTCGAGGTTGACACCAAGTACACCACCGTATCGACACTCAAGCAGCACTACCTCTTCATGCCCTTCGCCCACAAAGACACCTACCTCGTCCACCTCGCCAACGAGCAGGCAGGACACTCGATCATCGTCTTTACACGGACAGTGCACGACTCGCAGCGTCTCTCCATCCTCTTGCGACTGCTTGGCTTCCCTGCTATTCCGCTGCACGGCCAGCTCAGCCAACAAGCTCGTCTTGGCGCGCTCAACAAGTTCAAGACCGGTGGTCGCTCCATTCTTGTCGCAACCGATGTAGCTTCTCGAGGTCTTGATATTCCGGCAGTCGACCTGGTCGTCAACTACGACATCCCCACCAACTCGAAAGACTACATCCACCGTGTCGGTCGTACCGCCCGTGCTGGTCGCTCTGGTCGCTCCGTCACTCTCGTCACGCAATACGACGTCGAGCTGCTGCAGCGCATCGAGACCGTCATCGGGCTCAAAATGACCGAGTTCCCCGGCGGCAACGACAAAGAAGCGGTGATGCTGCTCAGTGAGAGGGTCGCCGAGGCGCATCGTGCTGCCGTGAGGGAGCTCAAGGACAAGGGCGTCGGAAGTGCAGGTGGTTCCGGAAAGAGGAAAAGGAAGATGGATGGAAGGTATGGCGACGACATGGACCGAGACGATGACCAGGTTCAAGCCGGGTTGCCCGTGTCAGGGAACGGGAGACATCAGAACCAGAACCGAAAGAAGGGTCGTCGCTGAGCGGCCGGCCTCAAAATGTACTTGTACTTGTAGTCATTCTTTGCAATCGCATCCAGCCTCCATCGGCGGCTTGACATTCCACTTTCCAATGACAGCGAGGTGTGAGCCTGACTGAGCCATGTCAATAGATGCTCGAGCATCATGTCTAGAAGTGAAGGGGTTCAACCTCGGAACTCGGCGGCTTGGCCATGCGCCTCCACAGCTTAAATTTTGCTGTCCAGCAAAAAGCAAAACTTGTGACGCTCTTTCCCTTCTTCTCGTCCTTCACCGTTGCATTTGCTTTCGCAACAGACGACTCTCAGCATCCATGTCATCATGAACGACCCTTTTTCGTTTAGACCATAGCCGTGCGTTGATCCTGTACAATCAGCGCCCACCGCAACCATGCCGTCCGCCTCGACAGCACTCTGCATGCAATGCACAGCGCAGCCGGCAAAATACACCTGCCCATCATGCAAAGCTCAAACGTGCTCGTTGGCGTGTTCGAAGGCGCACAAAGATGCTGACACCGCTGCGGAAGGTGTCCTTTGCTCTGCAGCCCCCACTGCTTCCAGCACGGCTTCTTCGACAGCGTCTTCCTCCACAGCCGGCCCATCCTCGCTCTCGGCATCGACCAGCACGCAGCCAAGCACCAACTTTGTTCCATTGACACAGTACACAGAGTCGCACATGATGCAGGACTTCCTCTTTCTCTCGTCGATCTCCCGCACAGCGAGCGAGACAGGCCGTCGGATCGTCTCGATGAACCTCCTTCCCCCTGCCAATCCGACCGACAACTCCAACAACAAGCATCAGAACCACCTCGGCAGCAACACGAGGATGACGAACCAGCAACGTCAGCGCGAGCAGCTATTGAAGCAATTGCACTACCGCAAGTTCCGTGTCATGGTGCTGCCGGACGGGATGGCGAGGCGTAAGCTGAACCAGTCGCACTTCATGCCCAAGGAGAAGCGGTTCGGGTTGACGGTCGAGGTCAAGTTCCCGTCTCACACTCAGTCGAATGGAGCGACAAGCGGAGAGGAGAAGGGCAAGGCGAAGGAGAGCTGGCTGCTGCACAAGCAAGATTCGAATCGAAGCGTCGAGAATGTCATCCTGGGCGAGCTGCAACATCGAAGTTTCCCGAACAAGAAAGAACTTTCCCGCCTCAAGTCTCAAATGCCCTCCTCTTCGACAGCTTCGAAGACGTGGATCATCTCGTCCGCCGTCATCCTTGATCTCGGCCTCCCACTCCCATATTCAACCACCCAACTTCGCAAAGACGAGAAGGTTGACAGCGAGAGAGTGGTTCTGCACTCGTTTCCCATAGACTGGGCGTTGACGGTACCCGCGTACTCAGCCAGGCTGACGAACGAGAGCACCACACGATACCTCGACTGGTGGACACGCAAACGCAAGTGGGAGGAGGCCAATCCTGAGTTGGCGGAGCATCAGAAGCAGGAAGGTCAAGAAGGGACGCGAAACTGGACGGGAAAGACGGATGAGTTACCGAGGGGACATGGAGGTGATGATGGATGGGGCGCGAAGAGGGGACGAGGGCAACGAGGAGGATGGCAGAATGGTCACAACGGATCTAGGAGAGATTCTGGCTGGCAAGGCCACGGGGATGTGAGGGCAGAAGCGAACCCGGCGGAGCTGAACGCAGACGCACCTCAGACCGAGACCAACAACGCAGCTTCGTCTACGCCGTCATCTTTCGCCGAGCAACAGCCCATCGAATCAGCAGCGGGACCTTCGCAAGGCATCATCTCGAACAGCCTCCTCTCGCTTCTCAGCCAGCGACTCGGCCGCAGCGCCCAGCCTACCGACTCAGGTCCGTCGGCTCAGCCCCAGACTACACTCGCGGAACCGACCTCTCCGCCGTCGCCACCGCCAGCATCAGCTACGGCAGAGGAGACCACCGCACAATCCATCCTCGCGCACCTCACCAATCCATCGCACACCACCCTCGCATGGCTCCTCCAGACCCTGCCGGAGGGGTACAGCGTTGTGGAGTTCCCCGAGCTGCGCGTCATCGCTGCAGACCAGCTGGCCACTTCAGAGATCGTACCGCTTGTAGGAGAGGGCGTGACCGCTGACGACGAGCCGAAAGCCGCCGTCGAGGAGAAGTCGACCGTAAAGCAGGAGGCCAAGGAGGTGTCGACGGTCACCATACTCCCCGCATCAGGCGCACTCGGCTCACTGGGCGGCCTATTGGCGGGCTACGAGAGCGATTCCGAAGACGGCGATGACACCGATGCGCAGCCCGCACCAACCGAAGTGGTGCAAGACGAGGGAGACACGCAGGCGGCATCGCTCGCATCGCTTGCCCAGCAGCACGGGTTTCATAGCTCCAATTCCACCTGATCTGCACCTTTAACATGCACACGCTCGGGCAGCTCAGCCACGCACCTCTCGAACGTGTCTGAGAAAGAACAAAACGAATTTCATGGAGAGGTCTTGCACGTTCTCGCTTGATGTACAACAACAATGTCAAGTGTCTAGTCACCGTCGCCACTTGCTGATCGCCTGGGCTCGTGGGACGATCTACTTGGTGTCATCGTCTGTATCTTGACCTTTGTGAACCGGCTTGCTAGTACTGGGTGCATTCTCGATCTTTTCGGTGAGACCCTTCTTCTTCTTGGGCTTGGGAGGGTCGCTCAGGTAGAAAGAGGCGGTGTTGTCAGTGGCGTTGAAGTGAGCGCCTTCGAGATCCACCTTTGGATCGCCAAGGAACTGTTGCAGGAGGTCCATGTATTGATCCACCAGCATTCGACCGTCGGGCTCCATGGTCTGGTAGCCTTTGTCTCGGCTGCTTCCCTCGTTGAGGAAGACATAGATGCTGTGCTTGTCGCGCGAACCTTGCTTGATATGCATCGGGCCCAAGTCCCAGCTTTCGAAGTAGTGGATCTTGTCGCAGGTCTTGGAGGGGTCAAAGCGTTGCTCGCTCTGCTCGGTCGCTGGGTCTTCTTCTTCAACTTCGTCAGGGTAAGAGACAAAGAAGGTGCTCGAGTCCGGACCAGGCTCGTAGTGCGCACTTTCAACTTTGACCGTCGGATCGTTTCGATACTCCTGCAGCTTTTCGATGAACTGCTCGAGATGCGTCACCACGTCCTCACTCGATGATATGGTTGCTGGGACGACGCCGTTGACGAAGATCGTCGGCTTGCCGGGCTCGTAATGAGCGAGTTCGATCTTGACCTTTGAATCGCTTGCGTAGGCACGCATCTTGTCAAGGAACTGATCGATCGAGGCGCGGCCGTCGTCAACAAAGTCTCGTTGACCGCGAGGGATTGACATGGTGGTGACGCCCGCACGCTCCGTGCAGCCCGAACATCCGTCTTTATGCTGCAACACACAGCTCTCTTCGCCGCTCGAGGGAACATCGTCTGTGGGCTCTGTTTCCCTATTGGGCTCGGCAGGGCTAACGGCCATCTTGGTGGGCTTTCGGATACCTAGATACGTCGGCATAGCCACTGCGTGTGTAGGATCTCTGAGGATTAGCGTAACCAAATCAGGATCGGCCTCGTAGTGTGCGCTGAGGAGGACCGTAGTGGGACTGCGTTCGTATTCACGCAGGAGCTCGATGAATTGAACCAGCAGGTTCCGGTCATCACCAGTGGCTGACTGCTTGCCTCGAAGCAGACCCACATTGTAGAGGATGATCTGCGGGGTCACATAATATCGTTCTGCTGTCGTTGGTTCCGGCGCTCCGTCGTCGCTGCTTGAGATAGATGAGGACACCTTGGAGTTGTCAACAGCCTCCGCGACGACATCAGTGATAAAGATCGTTGGCTTGCATGGCTCAAAGTGAGCGCTCACCACCTTGATGCCGGGCTTGCTTGCAAATTCTTGGAGCTTGTCTGCGAGTTGCTCGATCGCCTTGCGGCCGTCGTCGATGTACGTACGCTGACCTCCGGCGACTGCCAGGTTGAAGATGGTGATGCCGGCATAGTCAAACCAGTCGTCTTCAAGTTCGGTCTGGGTCGACATCATGTGTTGGATCGCAAGAGATGATGGAGAGCGCACGTCGGTCGCTGATGGTGCAGTCGCTCGCTTGTCAGGAAATGATGGAGGTGGATCGACTGCGCGCGCTTTGACTCACTTGAATCGGTCACACTCAAACGCGGTCCCACCAAAGCGTTCACTTGCGGAAACTGCTGCGCAGGATGCGCTTTTCATTGCATATAAGGTCACAAGTCTTTCTGCATGTGCGACAATCTACTTAGTGACATCATCCTGGGTTCCGTCGTTGTAACCCGGCTTGCTTGCGTTAAGGACGGTCTCGGTCTGCTCGTACCGATCCGCCTTCTTCTTGTTGGACGCAGAAGGGTCGCCGATGAAGAAGGTTGCGTCATTGTGGCCGGGTCGATAGTGAGCGCCTTCGAGGCTCACATTGGGGTCGCTGAGGAATTTTCGCAACAGGTCGACATACTGGTCCACCAGCATGCGACCGTCGCTCTTGACCGTCTCGTAGCCTTTGCGCTTGCCCTCGTTAAAGATGTAGATGTTGTTGTCGTCAAAGAAGCCTTGTCTGTGTCGAAGCGGGGTCGCTTCTCTGCTTTCAAAGTAGTGGATCTTTTCGCAACGCTTGGAGGGGTCGAAAACCTGCTCGACCGGATCCTCGTTCTTCTGCGCTACTTCGCGAGCCCCAAGGTACGGATATTCGACTTCGACATCGGTAGGATCAGAGATGAAGAAGGTCGCAGTATCATTTTCATAGTGCGCGCTCTCGAGCTCCACGTCTGAATTGTTGCCGTAGTCTCGAAGCATGTCGATGTATTGCTCCAGGACCTCGCGACCATCGTTCTGGTCGGATTGCTGACCGCTAGTTCTCGCCATGTTGAAGACGTAGACACCAGCAACATCCACGACTTGCTCCCCTCGTGACGTCGTGATTGAGTTGGCGTGCTTGACCGATGACAGGGACGGCGAGATCCTGGACGCTTCTTCAAGGTCGGTGACTATGATCGTCGGCATTCCTCGCTCATAGTGAGCGGTTTCGATCCTCGTCCTCGGATCGTTCTTGTAGTCTCGCAGCTTGTCGATGAACTGAGCCAGAGAGGTGCGACCGTCGTCGATGTAGCATCGTTGGCCATAAGGAACGGTCAAGACGGTGATGCCCGCACGATCGAAGCACTGTGATTCCTCGGAAGGAGTCGACATTTTGCTCGAGTCTACTCTACGAGAAAGAGCTGAGGTTGATTCTCTGATGGTTCGCTGAGTTGTGGTGCGGTTGCTCCAGAGGAATCGCTCGAGCGGTCTCCCCAGGCTCAGGGCTTCAAATGAAATGATCATGCGGTTGAGCCTTCGCATCGATCAGTGAACCCACCATTGCTTGTTGAAGTCACGGCGCGAGCCCCACATTCAATGCGCATTTGACGGAACCCGCGGCGGGTCTTTTGGCAGCCTTCGTATGATTGGTCTTGGACAGGTCGTTGTGCAGGATGTGATGGAGCGAAAATGGGACAGCCCTCGATGAATATCGATCCTCATCGCCGGCCTTTGGAAGCATTCTCGCACGCACCGTGTTGATCTCTCACACATGACCACCTCGACTGTGATGCCGTGCTTTGACCGTGACAAACACGACCCGGGTATGATTGCGATGACTGACTGAAGACCACTCTTGCAGCTCTGCAGCGAATCTACTGGACCTTCTTCTCGTTGATAGGCCAGACTCCGCTCTTGAGGAGGATGACAGACTCTACCTCCACGGTTTTGACACGGATTCAGACGAATTCGGCTCGTACCAATACGTCTGAGCACCCGTGTAGATACGCTCGAAGCTCGATCATGATTGACAAATATGACGTTCTCCAACAACCTCCTCACAACCGCGCTTTTGGACGTGACCGCATCCCAGCGCACCGCGAATTTCCAGTTCCGCTTCTCTTCTCCGCATGCGAACCCTTTCCAGAATCTGCACGGACCCTTCTATCCCTTCACCACTTCCACACTTCCTTCTTGCCCTCTACCACCATCTTTTCACCCACCACCGCCGAGCTCGCGACGATGGACCGTCTGCTCAACGTGCAAACGGCGCTCTCGCTCGGCTACGTCGGGTCTATGGTCGGCGCAGCCCACCTCTCCTCCCTCCGTCTCCTGCCAGCCAACTCCAGCACAAAAACCCGCCTGACGTACCTTTGGCTCGCCTTCGACTGCATCTGTCACCTTTGCCTCGAGGGTCCATGGCTCTATCTTTCCACACAGGGTCGATCGCCCAATGCCAGCCCATCGTTCTTCGGCTATCTCTGGCGAGAGTATGCGGCAGCGGACGCACGATGGGGTACGGGAGACGCAACGTTGGCCTCAATGGAATTTGTCACTGTGCTGCTTGCTGGGCCGCTCGCGGGGTACTGCGCGTGGTTGCTGGCGAGAGGCGATCGGGCGTACCATTTCTGGGCGGTCGTGCTGAGTACAGGCGAGCTGTACGGCGGGTGGATGACGTTTGCACCCGAATGGCTGACCGGATCTAAAGGACTGGAGACGGGGAACTGGTTGTTGCTCTGGGTATATCTGGTGTTCATGAACGTCGTGTGGGTGGCGATCCCACTGTGGTTGATGGTGGACAGCTACGTGGTGATAGCGCAGAGCTTGCGCGAGGCAAAAGTCAAGGACACAACCGTGGCACCCACTCGACCGCCACCGACGCCGACCAAACGAAGACCAGCGGTGACCAAACGCCCACCGACCGTGGCGAGCAACGTCACCTCAGCACGCGGCATCTCTGGCTCCGCCTACCTAATTCTTCTGGCAGTGGTATTTCTGCACCTCATGCCGACCACCTCCGCCTCATCCGTCCCACTTTCAGCACCAACAGCGACGTACGACCCAGACGCGACAACCACACTCTACCCGACCACCGACACGTCGATCCTCACCACGCTGCGCAACCTCATCGTCCCGCTGCTCTTACCGCTCTCGCTCGTCGCGTTCACTTTTGCAATGGGCGCGATCCAGGTCGCCGACAAGGCGCTGCGCAAGGTGCGCAAATCCAACCGCACACGTCGACGAAAGCTCCTCGCCTCGCTCAACGTCGACGAGAAGACCAATGGGTGTCGGACGATCATCGGCTTCTTCCATCCGTACTGCAATGCGGGCGGTGGCGGAGAGCGGGTGCTCTACGAAGCCATCTCCTACCATCTCTCTCGCAATGAGGAGACGATCGTAGTAGTGTACACGGGCGACTTTCCCTCCGCTACCAAGGAGGCCATCCTCGACAAAGCCTCGTCGCGATTCGGCATCACTCTTCCCGCGCACCGCATCGCTATGCTGCCCCTGACCCGGCGGTGGATGGTAGAAGACACGGCTTGGACGTCCTTTACGCTCCTCGGTCAGTCGTACGGATCCATATGGTGTGCTTTCGAGGCGCTCTCTGCCCTGATCCCGGATGTGTGGGTGGACACGATGGGGTATGCGTTCACCTACCCGGTGTGTCGGCTCTTCGCGTGGAACCTGCCGGTGGGAGCGTACGTGCACTACCCGGTCATCTCGACGGACATGCTGCGCCGCGTGAGCAAGCGCCAGGCGGGGCATACGAACGATGCCGCTACCGCATCGTCCCTTCTACGGAGCAGCGTCAAGTTGGCATACTATCGATTGTTCGCGCGAGTATACGCGTGGGCGTTGCGCCGAGCGGATGTCGTCGTGGGCAACGGCAGTTGGACGACGGCACATCTGAGACAGTTGATGGGGAGGAAGGTGGAAAAGGTGTACCCGCCGTGCGATACGGGCGAGATGGCCTCCTTCCCACTGCACAATCGCGACCGTGTGGTGGTGAGCCTGGCGCAGTTCAGACCGGAGAAGGAACACCCTACTCAGCTCTATGTGCTGAGCGAGCTGGTCAAGTCGCACCCACAGCTGTTCACGGGCGAGGGTGGGGTGAAGCTCGTCATGATGGGTAGCAGTCGCAACGCCGCCGATGAGAAACGCATTTCGTTGCTCCGCAGTCTTTGCACCCAACTTGGGCTGGACGAGCATGTGGAGCTGGTGGTCAACGCGGATTTCTCCGCTGTGCTCGCGCGGTTGAAGACGGCCAGTGTCGGGATCAGTACCATGAAGGACGAGCATTTCGGGATCAATGTGGTCGAGTTCATGGCTGCTGGGTTGGTGACGGTGAGTCATCGAAGCGCCGGGCCCTGGTTGGATATTGCCCAGCCGAGTGGAAACTATCCGACGTCGGCGGGCGAGGGAATTGACGGAAAGAAGGATCAGGTCGTCGGGTTTCATGCACAGAGCGTCGAGGAGTTCGCAAAGGTGTTGGTGCAGGTGTTTGAGATGCAGGAGAACCAGCCGGAGGAGGTGGAGAGAATGAGGCGGGCGGCGAGAGCGAGGGCACAGGAGGTGTTTGGCAGGGAGGCGTTTGTGCGCGCGTGGGAGGAGAGGCTGTGGAGCAAGTTGGAAGGACGGTTGCAGGAAACAGGGGAGGGCAAGGACGAGAAGAAGGTGCAGTAGACTCGCGGCAGAGCTGCAAGAGTGGTCTTCAGCCAGTCATCGCAATCATACCCGGGTCGTGTTTGTCACGGTCAAAGCACGGCATCACAGTTGAAGTAGTCATGTGTGAGAGATCAACACGATGCGTGCAAGAATGCTTCGTATTTACATCGATGAAAGGAAGCGGCGTAGGCATGCGCAATGACTAGTAGAACTGATACTCGTACGGATCGCCGAAACCATAGCCGTACACATCGTCGTCTGAGTCGCCCATCCCATAACCACCGAAGCCATGACCGTAGCCATAACGATGGAAGAAGTCGTCGTCGTCGTCATCCAGTTGACCCCAGTTCTCAGCATACCTTTCCAATGCCCATCGCATAGACTCGAGCGCCCTACGTCGCATCAGATCTCCTTCGTCTCTAGCAGCCTCGCCCCCCTCAAGCTCGCCAAAGATCTCGTTGTAATGCAGCGTGCAAAGGCCAAACCGAGGTTCCGAGTCCGGAATTGTGGACTCATCCGTGTTCTCTTTCACCTGTTCGTATGACAGGTCTGAGTTCGAGGGAATTTTGCCAATCTGTTGCTGATCTGCGATGACGCAACATCGCGGGCAACCGGTGCATTGCGTAATTGGGAGCATTCGGTGCTGGTGGCTGAATTCAGCCTCTTGACATCCGTGCCAAATTTTCTTGTATGACTCGACGTCAACGACTGTTTCGCCACGCTTGAGCTGGTAGCCGGCAATCGGAATGACGGGAATGCAGACGCCGATGGCTTGCTGGACTGCGCGACGCGTTTTCAAGGTGCACTTCCGTACCAGGAGGGTTTTGAGCTTCGTATCCGGACCAATTGAGGAGAAGAAGATCGCGAGTGCTTCTTTGACGGGCAAGCTGAGAGGACCGATAGTCCCAGAAGCAGACAAGGTCAGACTCGTTAGGTTTGGCAGCTTTGCAAGCAGCTCGGCAGTCGATTCGTCGAATTTGAACCCGTTAAGCTCCAAGGTTGTCAGGCGCGAGAGCCAAGCTTTGTTGCGATCGTCGTAGGCAACGACTTGTCCCAGGTTCGGCACTGGGAAGTCGTAGTCTTCATACATGCCGGGTCCGTCCTCCTCATCTTCTGAGAACCCAAGACCAATGCAGTCTGTGTCACACTTACAGTGCGAAGGCTCGAGCAGTCGAAGGACTTGGACTGCAAAAGCCATCATGACTGCAGGGAAGGAAATGGTCACGCCTTCGAGTCTGTGGTCCGCAGGGGGCAGAGACTGGTGAGCCCGCTTGATCGCCTTCGCCACGTTGACCACCTGTTCGAAGTCTTCGTAATCGCAGTCGAGATCCTCGGAAACGTGAAACTCCCTGACGTGCTGAGCGTAATCTGGATGGTCTCTGAAGGTGCTCGGCAGGCGCTTACCGGCGGCGGTGTTCGTCCATTTGATCACACGGTAAAGATGAGGAATGACCAATGCGTTTATCCTCGTATTGAGAGTTAGGAGGTCGCCTACAGGGTCGGTGATCTCCTCGTATTCGTAGTCCTCCGCGCCATGTCGCGCTGCCTCGAGAGCGTACGAGACGATTTGTGATTGTATCTCGGTCGGCAGAAGCAGAATTGGGAAGCACTTGGCTGCACGCTTCTTTGGTTCCTTCTTCTGCGCCTGTTGGCGTTTGCCGGACTTGTTGCGTCTCCTCTTTCCCATTATGTCTAGGCAATAAAGGCTAGACGGCTAGCCAAGACGGGATCGAGAGGCTGCAGAGCTCGGTCGTGCCGATGGGAAGATGATGGCAAGTAGACAGGCTCGAGAACACACGCAGACAAACATTATATACAGCTTTCCCATCGAGGCAGCTCGGGCCTCGAGATGAGGTGGGTTGGAAAGGCTGAGTTGAGCTGTAACAATAGAAAAGGCACGCGTGTGGACAAAATGGGAGTGTGAGTCTGCGCAGCGCCAGGCAAAAAAGTGTTACTTTGCCAGTCTCAGGTGCAGCTGCCTCGAAAAAGGCTCGCATCACGTGAATTCGCGACGCGCATGGCCTAAAGTCACACTGGAATTGTGCTTTGGAAATAGAGTCCAACACTTTGGCCATTCTCACCCAAGTCCACCTTTCCCTCCCACTCCATTCACCAATCTCGTCTATCGCCGTCACACCACACTCACAATCGCCAACATGTCCCGACAACGGACCACATCAGGGGCCATGCCCACCACGCCTCTGCGTCGCATCTCGCGCGGCTCTCTCAACGCCCTCTCGCACTCGGCATCCAAACAGCTCTCTGCCGGCGCGACACCTCTCTCGTTCTTGCAAGGTGCCATGACCGACCTCGCCGAGGAAGTAGGCGTCCTGCAGCTCAATCTCGAGAATATCGAGGCTGTCCACGAAAGCCTGCACAGCTTCAACGAGAACTTTGCCATGTACATCTACGGACTCAAGATGAACGCCTACTGCGTCGAGTGGCCCGAAGCACCGCTGCACGACAACTTCGAGCGAGCCGAGAAGAGGATCGCGCAGCAGGCTCAGCAATACGCAGCTCAGCACAACCTCGATCTCGCCATCGGCTCGCAACCTTATATGCAACATCAACAGCAGCAGCAGCAGATGTACAACCCAGCAGCAGATCAGACCTACGTCACAACGGACGACGAGAGCATCTACCGCAACGACGCACCCATCGCAGCTCCCGCCAAGCCTGCGCTCAAGTCGGCGCTCAAGAAGCCATCCAACGCAGCAGCCACTGCACCTGCCAAGAAGCCAGCGACGACAGCCGCCGCATCAGCAGCGGGAGCAGCGGCGCCAAAGATGACACTCGCACAGAAGAAGAAGCGCGAAGCCTACACCGACGAGATCATTCAGACTCTGCCACTCGAGTACCGTGGCGGAGGCAACGACCCCAAGCAAAACCAAGTCGCCAAGCACGTCTGCATGGCTCTCCTTGCTGCGGGCGGCAAGGGTCTCAAAGTCGAGGCCATTCCCAAGAGCACCGAGATGACGCAAGCCAAGATCCAGAAGACGCTTATTGCGCTAGTGGCCGCCAAGCAGGTGATCAAGGCGAGCAACAATGTAAGTTCAAGCGCGTTACGCAGACGGATGCCAGAAGGCAGCGGTACTGATACGATTTCGCTCTTCACCACACTTGCGGCGACCATTGTTTGTCGACACAGGGTATCGTCTACAGCCTCGACCCGGCGCGACACCCAACGTTGCCCTGATCTGCGAATGCATTGCCTACGCTCGCTGTCACTTTGGCTACGATCCGGAACCTCGACGCGAGCGACGATCTTTCGACCTTGCGCCTCGCTCCTTCTCGAATCCTTTGTATACTTTCTCGCGCTATCGCTCCGTGTACTTGTATCTGCCTTTCCTCCTATTTTGATCTCGACTATGCCTGAATTGACTTCCACCGCGCGACTTCCATCGGACCGAACGACTCCTAGTCTCGCGCACGGCAGGCGCCCGTTCCAGACGACTCGACCTGACCTTGCGCACCGCCTTCCTCCATCGTCACTGGCACTCCGTCTCCCGCTCAGACCTTGCTCTTGGCCTTCTCCTGCTTCTCTTCTCGGATGCCCTCCAACCTCTGCTTCCTCTTCTTGTCCTCCTCGATGGCCTCCTTGGTCAACTTTCCATCGGGATCGTCGGCGACCTTGGCCATCTCATCGAAATCGAGGTCCTCGGTCTTGGTCTTGAAGCGCTGTGCCTGGTGGTGATCGAGCTGCAGCTCCTTGTCTTTAACGAGATGTTTGCCGAGGAAGAAGACGGCGAGACTGATGATGGCGCCCGTGAAGAGGAAGAGCGGGGTGATCTCGGGTCGGTTGAAGACTTCTTTGAGCTGCGACGGGCGAGATGGCAAGCACAGGATGAAAGGAGAAGTCAGTACGATGGAACACGAGGGGTCAGCGGAAGAACGGACACTAACACCACCGGCTTTGGCTCGCGATTGGTCGTCTTTGCGGATGGAGGACGTGGTGAAGCATCGCGATGGCTGGATGCGAGGGGGGAGGCGTGGTGTTGCGAGCATCCTTGGACCGAGTCCAAGATGGCGCATTGGCGAGGAGAATGTTGGAACAGGTCGCATGCTTGCTTCGACGGCGTGTGTATCCGGTGGTGGTGGTGGCAGTGAGAGAGGAGGATGTGCGTCGTCCAAGCGCCTGCATCTTCTTCAATCCACACTCTTGCACCGGCAAAACCATCTGCAACGGTCTGTCACTGGTCGTCCACTCACCATCCGCGTTGAACATGGCCCAATGACTTCATCGAGCGTGCGCCTGGACCCTGCATCCGACCACTCACGCCGAAATTTCTCAGAAATGTCAGATCGCTCCCCTCCTCAATGCCAGAAGCTTGCAAAAATGGAACTTCTTCTCGTTCAGGGTCCCATGAAACCTCTTGCACACGACCCTTTCACCCCACCTTTCATCCTTCCTCCGCACCCCTCTCATCGATCCTCACCAGAATGCCAACAACACAGCAGTCGCAAGACGACGTGCGAGCCGAGCTCGAACGCGAAGAGGCGCTCGACCTCGCCGACCCCTTGCGCCACTTTCTCGCCATCGACGACGACGAGCCCAGCGCCTCCTCATCCACCCTCCCCTCCACAGACATCCGCGACCTGCCGAGCGAGACCAACTACTCGCTCGTACCACAGCAGCTCGAGAGCATCATCGATAGACGGACGACCATTCGCTACTACTCGGACCTCTCGCGGCGACCGGTGTTGCTCGATTCGCCCACCACCGAGGAGGGTGGGCATTGGGATGTGGCCTTGAAGCTCGACATGACGACCGGATGCGGGGGGAAGATTTGGCCTGCTGCTGAGGTGCTGGGTGCTTACATTGCGGCCAAGTACTCGAGTCCCTCAAGAGAGGGTAGCTTTGATTGGAGGCACAAACGCATCATCGAGCTAGGCTCGGGTACGGGTCTGGTCGGCTACCTCGTCCATGCGCTCCACCTCGAAGGGTGTCAAATTTGGGTCACGGATCAGGACGTCATGCTACACCTGATGCGCGAGAATCTCGCTCTCAACTTTCAACTCTCACCCACAGACACCCCCTCCTCCACAACGACAAACGACGGGTTTGTCAAGGTGGCCGAGCTCGACTGGGGCACCGAGCTGACGTTCGACAAGCCAGACGTGCTGCTGCTAGCCGACTGCGTATACCTCGAATCGGCTTTTCAGCCACTCATCGATACCATGACCCAGCTATCGACGTCCGATACGGAGATCCTGTTCTGCTACCAGAAGAGGCGCAAGGCGGACAAACGCTTCTTTGCGTTGCTCAAGAGGCAGTTTACGTTTGAGGATGTCAAGGATGACGATTCGGTCCGGACCGAGGAGTACAGGCGGCAGGGAACGCAGCTGCTGAGGATAAGAAAGAAGTGATGGAGATAGAAGTGAAGGAAATAGACGTCACGGACGCAGCTGTCGCAACTACGCCGGAAGTGACATACTCCGGAGTCAAGGGTGCAGATGTCGAGAGAGGTGGTTGTCATGGATTCAGAAAGCAAACGATGCTGTCGAGGGCTGAAAGCGAAGGATTGCTCAAGGTAGAGGATAGACACGGAAGAGACGCAGCTGTGAGGCATCGAGAAGAAGCCATGATGTCGAAATTGACGGAAATCAGGCAGACACAAAAGTAACGGGTATACATTGCGCATGATCAACGACCGTGTGTGACGACCGCTTCCATTCACGACACCTACCCAACTAGCAGATGACACAGCACTCAGCCGCGGCCCTCCCCCGCTCTCCTTCTCCGTCCGTCGTCGCCGCACCACCACCCGTGAGACTCCTGATCGAAAACCCGCTAACATTCCTCCCTCCACCCTGTGCGCCTGCTCCACCGTCCAGACTGACCGTGCCACCGCTCCTCCCACCCGCCTTTGCCCTCGCCTTGCTCCTCCCCAGCGTCCCTGTATCCCTCCCCCTCCCCACCTCTTCACCACCCTCCTGCTCGAACTTGCTATGCACATCTCTCGCCGCCCTAGTGAACGCCTCGACGACGTTGTAGCCCGTCTTAGCGCTCGCTTCGAGGAACAACAGTCCTTCTTTCTCGGCGAACTCCTGTGCCTCTTGGGTGCTCACCTCCCTCTTCTTGCCCTTGCTCCTCCTCCTGCGCCTTCTGGCCTCGTCCTCGTCCTCCTCGTCGTTGTCTGCGTCGGCGACGAGATCATGCATGTTGCCGACGAGGACGACGCTCACCTTCTCCTCCGCGTGGCTGCGTACGTCGTCTAGCCAGCCTTTGACATTCACAAAGCTGGCGCGGTGGGTAACGTCGTATACCAACAGCGCACCTGCTGCACCGCGGTAGTAGCTGCGGGTGATGCTGCGGAAAGATTCGGAGCCCGCCGTGTCCCATACCTGGACTTTTACCGTTTCGCCGTTGTCCAGCCGAATGAGGTGCGAGCCGAACTCCACCCCGATCGTGGGGTCTGGGTCGGTAAGGAAGCGATCATCGGTGAGTCGAACGAGGAGGGACGACTTGCCAACGGAAGAGTCGCCGATCAGGATGAACTTCAGGATGTAGTCCCAGCCCGAGGAGGGGGGCGCTGTGGAGGCGCCCGCTGTGACGGCTGGAGAGGTGTAGCTCCCGGACGGGATGCGGATCGGCGCCATTGCTGTCGAGAGACAGAGACGAAGAGTCGGTGCGGTGGAAGGGGGTGTGCTGTGTTCGATTGCGAAGAGGGTCGTGAGGATGTGCGCAGATAGCGCTGAGTCGATCGAGTGTCGAAGTGATAGCGCTGCCCCTTCAGATAACGATGTCACTTGACCAGCGACAGGATGAGGTCTGCGATACGTGTTGTACCCGAAGCGTTGTAGCTGTGGTCGAAACCAACGCGATGAATGGCGATCGCAGAGTGGATGGCAGTCGGGTTGGCGAGATGGTGGTGCAAAACCAAAAAAGGCATCTCCATCACGGCGCGCCGCCCACTGTTTCACAGATGCGGCCAACTGCACGGCCAATTTTCCGACCGCTGGGTGGAGGCTCAACGCTGATTTCCCCTATCCTCCCTCGGTGACGCGCGGGTCCTTTACGCCCTCTCTGCCTCTTCACCGCGCTCACCATCCATCTCACAAGTCAGTCAAGATCAAGCCAGGGGATAATGTACATATTATACCTGAGCGATACAATCACAGGACTCTTCGGATACAGTGAGCGCCTCAGACGGCAGCGGTGGGGCGATACTTTTCGGCCTTGCTGGGGCTCTGCGATCCCATGCTGGGCGAAGCGGCACCGCTGCTGGTACCATGGACTCCGTTGGTGGCACCTGGGGTGGAGACGAGCGGTACACCGCGTCCGTTGTGGTTCATGAGCGCCTGCTGGTGCTGTGCCGACGTGACACCGCTACTCGAGTGGGCAAGGTCGAACAGTCCGCCACCGTTGCTCGTCGGTGGTGCAGAGCTCCCAAAGGCCTTGCCGAACAGTCCTCCACCACCACCACTGGGGCCCACACCATTGGCCGTGCCATTGACGCCATTGGCGCCAGCGCTCGGCGCAAACGAGTAGCTCGCCGACATGGCCATGTTTCCATCCAGCCAGTCGGGCTTCTTCACCTCCTTATCCTTGCTTCGCGGCGGCGAGCCTATCCCACCCGTCCAGCCGGCCTCGCGAGCAGCATCGAAGTACCCCATCTCGTTGAAGAAGTCCCACACCTTGCCGAGCTTGTTGACATCAATCTTGACCAACAGACGGCACTCGCGGCGGGTCAGCTTGCCACCGCGCGCGATGAACTCGGCGATCAGCGTCGACTTGATCAGCAAGAACGGTTGAGGTAGGATACGCAGGGCAGAGCACAGCTGCGCCTCGGCGGGCGTGAGCAGGTTGAGCGACGGTGCTTTGGCCAGGTTGAGCGGTTGCGGCGGCTTACGCGGTGTCTTGGGCTCGTCACCGTTGGCGCCCTTCTTGGTCTTGCCGTCCTTGTCCGCTTTCGCCTCCTTGTCTTTCGCCTCCTTGTCCTTCTTGCTCTCCTTGCCGTTGACTGCTGTGGCTGATGCGACTGTTGACGCGGCGGGCGTTTCGTCCATGGGCGTTGGTGTGCTCGTGTCGCGCTGTCGGGCACGTGCGGCGTCGATGCGTGGCCGAGCCGCTGCTGCGATGGGTGTTGCTGCGGCACCAGATGCTGGGAAAGCCGCCAATCCTCCAGCTGCGAGCTCGGCTGCTTTGCGGGCTCGTTCCGCCTTGTCCCGCTCGTACGCGCTCGCATCGTCCAGCGTCAAGATACCCATCTTACGATAGTGCTGCAACTGAGCCGCCGCCTTGCGCAACGCCTCCTCGTAGCAAAGCCCATTGAGGAAGTCTTCGTAGTCGAGCGCGGTCTGCATCTGCGCAAAGTGTTTCGTCCTCGACAGCAGCTCCTTCTCCTCCTTGGTCCGACGTCGCTCCGCAGCCTGGTTGCGCCGGTAGTCGATGAGGTTGCGTTCAAAGATGAAGTGCTTGCGCCGCAATCGTCGATCGAGCCGTTCGTTGTACATGTCGATGACGGTAAGCTTGAGATGCAGATCGGTGGGGTCTTCGTCCCAGTCGAACGGCTTGTCTTCGGGCTCGGCGTCCTTGTCCTTGTCTTTGTCCTTGTCCTTGGCGTCGGCTGCGGACTGGTCGTCGGCTTCTTCGTCGGCGTTGGCTTCCTTGTCGTCGTCGGAGTTCTGCGTTGCCTTCTTGCTGGTGGGACCACCACGACCACTGGCTTCCATCCTCGCGTGGCCTTGCGTCGCTTTGCTGCCTAGCGCCTCCCATTCGGATGGCATGTCGGCACCGCCAAACTCGTAGACACGGCCGAACTCGATGTCCTTGATGAGATGTTCGGCATCCTGCTCGTATTCGTGCTCGAACTCGAGTCGACCCGGCATGAACCCGCTCAGCTCGCTGTGGTTGGTCGGCGCACTGACGAGCGGCTTGGCTGACTTGGGCGGCGAGTAGGAGGCTTGTGCTTCTCGAAGTGATTCGACTCGCCGCCTCTTGCGTCGCTGGAACTCGTCTTGCGATATTGACGGTGCGAATGCCATCGACGGTCCGACGACCGGTGGCTCCTCTGTTGTCAACTGACATGCCACCCGACTGCCGGTGCCCTCTCCATCGACCAACGGGTCAAAGACTGGCTTCGCGACCCTGCCGTACCTCTGTAACGCTTGTTCTGCCCTGTGCTCGCCTCCATCCCCTCCATCGCGCCCTTCGACGTAGACCTTGATATAGTGGTCCTGCACCTCCTCCTTATTGCGATTCCCAATGTGATCCGCGATGTCCGCCCAGTTGCCCAACCCGTAGGTCTGACAGCCATCGATGAGAAGCAGCTCCTCATCGGCGCCCCAGTCGTCGCAGAAGATGGGATACGAGTGCTGCTCTACGACGCGGTAGTCGTGCCATGCCTTGTGCTTGCCCGGCTGCGCTCCCGAGCAGAAGCATGATGCGCAGAGGTCAAAGTCGGTGCAGCCGCCCGCACATCGTATGCGGACGGTGAGGGTGATGTCGGCACCGCAGGCATCGCAATGGTAGCGGACGCCCGGCTCGGCAGCGGCTGTGTTGGAGCCGTCTTCGGTCTTGGGCGTGGGCTTGTTCTTGCGATGACTGACCGTCATGGTGCACGCAAGCGGCGGCTATGCAGGTCGGAGACCTTGGCAAGCTCGATGGCCAAGCTGCTGCGTGTAGATGGTGCTGACGTTCTTTCAGAATGACTGCTGGCGGTGGGTTGATGTGTCGATGTGAGATGCAGGTAGAACGCTCGTCTCGATGGTGAACGACGACGACGACGACGGCGGCGGTGTTAGGAGCAAGTACGATGAATGCGCCGCGAAACCGAGGTATCGACCGTGACCCCAAAGGTGTTGTTGTGTTGATGCCACGGGTTGTGGGGGCGGACGATGAGCGGGAGGTGGTGTGGAGGCTCGTGCGTCCTGAGTCCGGACCGGTGGTGACGAGGAGGATGAGGAGCGGTGAGGACGATGACGACGGCGGCCGCGCTTTGACGCGAGATGAGACCGGTGACAACGTCGAAGATGATGACGGCAGCCGCGCTGATATCAGCCTCTGTCCCCGACGAAGACGACGATGAACGACGAAGGTTCTGCCGCGGCTTTCCAGATCTGGAATGGGCGGATCGAGTGTTTGTTGCTTTTGCTTTGATGTTACTGCCGATTCGTGATTGCGACCAGCCGAGCGGAATTGTCAGAGCGGAAAATGGGAGAAACACGCGTGTCGGTGGGTGTGGGTGAATGGGCGCGCGCGTGTGACTTTGGCTGAGCAGCTGCCTGAAATCGCAAGCGCAGTATTTTAGCGAAGGCACCGTTTTTGGATCGATTTTGCCGGTTCAATTGATCAGCAAAGGCCAGCGATGTTGGTATGCCAGCGTACGAGAAAGACCTTTGAATCTGATGATGCGAGAAAAAGGGATGGACAAAAGGTGAAACGGGACCGTGATGCCAGAATCGAAAGAGGAGGATGATGAAGAGATGGCGGTGTGGTGGGCGAAAAGGTCGCGAGACGCTCCCCCATTTCGGCGGACCAATTTCCACCCGATTCGACCTTATGCAGCCTCTGCGATTTCGCCCTCTTTGGTTGTGTGTCTGCCTCTCGTGGGGAGCCTCAGTTTAATTTTCTCGTTCAGAGCACCGATCGGGATTTCGATTTTTGGCAGATCAATCATTCGTGCGAGAGAGCTTCTCAGTGGCAGACGTTGCGAGCGCTGGGATCGCTACGATGCGTCTCTGTGGCATTGCGAATCAAACGAGTGAGGGAAAGTTGGTGCGCTCCTGTAGCTTGCACTTGGCTTCTTCGCCATCAGCATCGTTCAAAGACGCGATACAGATCCGGCAGGTTGGCCACCTGAACGACAAACTCGTTGGTCGCCTTGCTCGGCACGTACTTGCCCCTCGACCTGGCCATGCTGTCGAACCACAAATGTTGGACGCGTTTCTTGATCGACTCCTCCTCTTCCTCCCGCTCGTTCTGCTTGTCTCTGTCCTCTGCTTGTATTGCCTCCGCAATTCCCTCTTCGATCGATGCCGACGGCACTGCCGGTCGAAACGGCGGCGGTGGCGGCGGGCAAGGCAAGCAGCTGTAAGCAAGCTGCCTCGCAATCGTGTCGAAACATTCTTGCTCGTCCTCCCAGTCCACACGCGTCGCCAGTCTGAGCAGCAGCTGCGGCAGACGATCCAACTCTATCGCGGTGCCGTTGAGTCCGCTGCCTGGAAGTAAGCTGGGCAGAGCCTCGAGGGTACGGTGCTCTGCATTCAAGCAGATGGAAAAGTACTCTTCAATCATCTCAGCGTTGTCAAGCAAAAGTCGGACGATTTTGTCCTTGGTCGACTCGACACTCTGAGTGTCGTCGTCGGGGACGCCCGCCGTGCTTTCGAGAGCGAGACGGACGAGATCGTCCAACTTGGGCGGAGGATCCAATCGTATTCGCTTCAGACTGCCGAATTGACGGAGGACGAGCTGATAGGCGAATTCGCGAATCATGGCATCGTGGTTGACCAGCAGAAGACGGGTCTCGTGCTGTACGAGGCTGAGACCCTTGTGCAGATCGACGACGCCGACAAAAGTGTGGTTCTGCACGACCTCGGTCAGATTGCGATGCTGCGCCTTTGCGATCTGTGCTCGCAACTGCCGAACGGAAGTGAAGGAGCAATCCGAGTCGGAGATGCGGACGCCGAGCCCGGTCGGACGACTGCGTTTGACCGAGGAGCTGAGTCCGCTGGTGCCATTGTCACTGCTATCGGCGAAGGAGCGAGTGCTCTGGCCTCTGGCAGCCGACTCGTCTTCCATCGTCGTCGGTGTCTCGGCCATCAAGGCGTCCGAGGAGAAAGACTCCTGCCCTTCTGCTGGGTCCAAGGCGCGCTTTTTGCCGGTCGATCTTGCTGTGGGAGTGAACATGGCGTCGAGCGTCCGTGTCTTGGCATCCACTCGGACGAGGTGCTGTGGGTAGCCCTTCGAGGAAGAGACGGGACCAGAAGCGTCGGTTCTGCGCACCTGAGCAGGGCTACTGCTTCCACCCGCACTGCTGCTGCTACTGCTTCTTGTCTCTCTCAGAGCCGGTCTCGTTGCTTGTTCGCTCTCTCTCGTGGCAGTTGCCGAAGAGGCTCTGGTGGAACCCACTTCCGACGCAAGGATGGGCAAAACGGCCTGAGAAAAAGCAAATGTCCTGCTCGAATTGGCGCCCGCTAGCTTGTTCTGGGCCGCCTGACAGATGGCTTCGACAATCTCATCTTCGTGCAGAAAGTGCACCTCCTTCTTGGTGGGATGCACATTGACATCGACATTGGCTGGGTTGATCGAGATCGAGATGTACACCCAGGGATGACCGCCTTTCGGGAGCAGCGTCGCGTAGAGCGCTTCGATCGAGCGCTTCAGCAGAGGACAATCGACGAGACGATTGTTGATAAAGCACAGAAGCGTGGTGCGCTTGCTGCTCCAATTGGCGCCGCTGATCCAGCCTTGGCATTGGAAGCCGAGGTTCTCGTTGACGACGTCCTTCAGCTCGACGAGCTCCCTTGCGACTGCGTTCCCGTGCAGGATGCGAATCGTTTCGAGGGTGCTCGTGGTCGGCGACGATGGCGTGTTGAGGTCCGTGGCGTTGCTGGAAGCCTTTCGGCAGACGAAGCCGACCCCTCTTCCGCCGTAATGCACGGCGTACTTGGAGACGACATCGAGCGCTCGATTGTATTCGTCGGCGGCACTGCGCAGAGCTCTCCGACGCTGTGGCACATTGTAGAAGAGATCCTCGGCGGTGATGAGGGTGCCATCGGTTCCTGCGCACTGCTTGGGATCGCTGCTCTGTCCAGGTTTGGGCGGCGCGAGACTGCCGTTGGCGTAGTAGGCTCGGTAGGCGCAGTCCTGATGCTTGGTCTTGGAGACGACATTCATGGATGCGGTGACGTAGCTGATACTGGCGAGGGCTTCGCCTCGGAAGCCAAACGTGGACATGCTCTCGAGATCGCCAAAGTCGCGTAGCTTGGACGTGGCGAAGCGCTCGCAGAGCAGGGGCAGGTCGGAAGGCTGGATTCCTGAGCCATTGTCCTGAATCTGGAGCATCTTGATGCCGCCTTCCTTGAGTGTGACGCGGATGAGAGTGGCGCCTGCATCGAGCGAGTTCTCGATGAGCTCCTTGAGCGCATTGGCGGGTCGGTGAATGATCTCGCCGGCTGCGATCCGGTTGACGACGCTCTCGTCGAGACGCTTGATGGGCCGATAGCGAGAAGACTCTGCCTCGGGAGGCAGCTCATGTTCGACATCATTGGTCATGTTGAGGACGGGGAGGCATCAGTGTGCTCGAAAGAGCGTGATGGGAAGGTCCTTGATGCAGTGTCGAAGCGCCTTTATATCCTTGCTGCAGTCCAGGGTGGGGGATGAGGCTGAGTCGAAATGAGATTCCAATCAAGCCTCGAATCGGCCGTCGACTCGGTGCTGAGCTAAGACCATGTTGGCGTAACCACGCGCCTTCGCCAAGGGGTGATCTAAGGGTGATCAGTGGCTAGATTCACCGTCGTGGACTGTGATAGAGTGACTTGGTGATAGCGCAGAGAGGCAGGTGCGTTGAATGGCTGAGCTGCGTCAGATCTTCTCGGAAAGTGTTGCTCTCTTGTCACAAAAATCTGTCGCGCGTCGCGTTAAGTGTGACTGGGCGAGAAGCTTTGCCAAGATCAATTCCACACTTGACCCTTCCTCATTCACATCGCTTGCTCTTCTTCAGGCCCGTCATCTCGCTCGCATCGCATCATTTGCCAGTCCAGTTCACCGCGCATCCTCCCTCAAGCTCGCTTTCCACAATGTCGCAACCAGGCTCACCCTCGTCGCCCGGCCCGTCCACGGTCTCGCCCTCCAAAGCAACCAAGCAGAGCGGCACGTCGATCTTCCCCACGGCCCGCGTCGCGCGCATCATCAAAGCGGACCGCGACGTCGACATCTGCTCCAAGGAAGCCACATTCCTCATCAGCCTCGCCACCGAGATCTTTGTGCGCAAGCTCACCGACGAGGCGTACACCAACGCCAAGCTCGACAAGCGCAAAAACATTTTCTACAAGGACCTCTCGAGGGCGGTGCAGCAGACCGAGTATTTGGAGTTCTTGAAGGATGCCATCCCAACGCCGATGGCACTGACAAGCGCGCTCGGGGCGAGACAGGAGAAGTTGCAGCAGAAGCAGGTCGAGGAGAACATGATCCTAGAGGGCACGTTGCAGGATGACGATGAGGAAGAGGACGAGGAGGAGGACGCAGAGGAAGAAGAGGGCGAAGAGGCGGAGAAGGACGAGGATGCTGATGAGCAGAACGGGACCGATGGGCACGACGAGCCAGAAGGAGACGCAGCAGTAACAGAGGACAGCAGCAGCACAAAGAAGAAGCTTTCACCGAAGAAGAACACCAGCAAGTCGAAAGCACCCCCGGCCGCTGAACACAAAGAGGTCAACGGTATGGACCAGGATGACGACTAAACGCACAGCACTTTGGCGCACTTCAACCTCACTTTCGATTCATCTCATACGTGTAATTCTAGCAACTACAATCAGACTCTGCCGTGCTCATGCAAGCTGCATCGCTGTCGTTTTGTGACTTGAGTTGCACCTTGCTTTATGATGTAAAGACGTGTGAGAACTAGGTAGCTCGTTGCGGTGACGCTCTTCCTTCGCGCCTTGCACTTACTCACTGCATCGAAAGCGCCGTCCTGTCACTTCCCTCCAGCAGCTGTCCAAACAAACCACCAGCCGACTCCTCGCTGCGCATCTGGAGCATATAAATGATCCCCGTCCTGTTTCCCTGGTCGCTCAGCTCCACCGCCACACCCACCTTGCCCACCCTCTCGACGCCGTCCGTCAGCACAATGGTCGAGACGAGCGTCTTGCGGTCGTTCTCCACCACCAGCTGCTTGATGTCGTCCGGCAAGATGTGGTACAGCTTCAGCCTCGCATTGCCCAACGACTTCCACTGGGCGTGGCTCTGCTTGAGGAAGAGCTTGCATCGCATCTGCGCCGAGACGGTGCTGCGGAACGGACCCGATTTCTTGAGAACGGGAGACGATGGTGGCGACACGTCGGTGCCTCGTTCGCCCTTGTCGCGACCTTCCTTCATCATGGCCGAGGGAAGCTTGGGCGCCGACGAGCCGGTGCTTGAGACGGAGCGGCTGCGGAAGAACGATTTGGTGCCGCTGTCGCCTTCGTCCGAGGAGCGTGCACCGCCCGAAGAGCTCTTCGAGACTTGACGCAGATTAGGAGCGGACGGCTGCTTCATGAGATCGCGATTTCCCATGCCTTTTCCGTGTGGGATCGGCGGAGGGGGGCCTGGACCCCACGGCTGGCCACCCGGAGGCGGCGGTCGCCCCATTCCCATCTGTGGTGGTCTCGGTGCGCCGTTCATGAAAGGAGGCATCGGTCCGCCAGGTCCCATTCCAGGCGGAGGTCCTGATCCTGGCCCTGGCCCTGGTCCCATGCCTGGTCGACCGGGTCGGACGTGGACAGGACCAAAGCCGGGACTGCCTGAGGGTGTGCCTCCACCGGACATCTGACCGGGCACGGGACCGGGCCCTCCTCGTGGGAACGGCATGGGTCCACCGGGTCCACCTGGCCCTCCAGGTCCTCCAGGTCCACGCATACCGCCGGGCGAGCGAGGCGGCATGTTGGGATCCCGCATCAGCGGCGGTCGTCCCATACTGCTGGGACCATTGGGACCAAAGCCACCGGGACCGTAGCGAGCAGGACCGAAAGCCGGACTCGTGTCGGGCGACAAGGTGCCGCTGCCAGGCGACATCATACCGGGATGCGGCATGGGCGGTCGCGGCGGCCCATTGAATCCGTTCGGACCCCCGCCGGGCCCAAAGGTCGAGGAGGCAGGCGATCGTGGCGAGAAGGCAGAGCCGCTGCCGAGATCCGGCGAGCCGTGTGCACCCACCTTGGGGAAGGACGCCACCGAGTTGAACGAAGTCTCTCTCGACAGCCCGGGGCCCATGACAGGCGAATGAAAGCCTTCCGGGCTGTGCGGCGGCGGAACGGTGTCCGCTGGCTCGTCGTGACCGTGCGTCGAAGAAGGCGTGATCGAGATGGCGGGCGAGAGACCGGGCGTGATGAGACTGGGCGGCGCTCCCAGGCCAGGCGAGACACCCGACACGGGACTACTGTTTCCCAACGGTCCGGGTGCAGGCAACGAGTTGCCCGCCGTCTTGACCTTGAGACCGAGGGTGGCAGCAAACTTTTGACAGTCCGCGAATTGCTCGAGCCATTCCTCCTTCGCCTCGCGAGAGTCGGTATGGACGATGAGCTGCTCCTTCTTGAGGATGGTGATGGACAACACGTTGCCCTGACCGCCCATGTCGGCGACACGCAGATGCTTGCCTGCCAGAGGTGGGTACAGCAACCACATGTCGGGCCCCGCTCCACCCTTGGAAAGCTCTGCCTTCTCGCTGGGGGACATGCGCTCGCAGACCAGGAACAGATCGGTGAGCAAAAAGATGTGCGCCCTGCGGATGGTGATCTCGGGGCCGCCGCTGGACGGAGTAAAGTGGATCATCACATCCGCCGACTTGCGCATGGAGCGCGTAAAAGGCAGGTTGGCGGGGCGCATCTGGAGCTGACACTTTTTGGGCTTCATGGTGAAAATGTCGAGCGTCTTGGACGTGTCGAGACGCTGTTCGAGCGACTCGATGGGCTGCGAGAGCGAATCGTTGCGTGCGTGCGAAGGGTCGGCGGCGTCAAAGGTCTGCGAGCCGCTCGTGTGCAGGCTGGCCACCTCGGAGTTGCCTCGAATCAAGTCGGGTCGCGATGGCGAGATGGTGAGGCCGTTCATCTGTGCCGTTGGCGCAGCGCCGGCCATGACCATGCCGCCGGGAGAGGGAGCTCGATCGGCAGCCGGAAACAGCGTCAACGAGGGAGCGGCAGAGCTGGGCGCAGAGCCGGTAGAGATATCGATGCTTGGCTCTGCGGCGGTGACGCGGGTGGGCGATGGTTTGTTCCCGAGAATCAGGACGGGTTGCGCGTTGGGCGATGGGTTCTCCGAGACGGACGTGGCGGAAGACACACGGTCGCGCGGAGAGGTGTCGCCAGTGACATTGCTTTCGGCGAAGGAGCTGTCTCGAGATTCGCGCTCGGCGGTTTCGTCGAGGACCGACACGGTGAGTCTGCGCTTGGACTTGTCGACGAGATCGTCGAGCTTCTCGTTGGCGCCGACCAGGAGGCGATGGTCGCTTCGGCCGGGCTGCGTGCTCTTGAGCAGTCGCGAGTAGAGCTTCTTGTAGTACTTCAGGCGGAGGTGCGGCAGCGCAAAAAGGCCGTCGAGTGTCCATGGCTCGGTCGGGTCTCGCTTTCGGTCGCTGAAGACGACGGGCTTTCCGTCGGCATCGGTGGCTCCCGAAACGTCTTCGAGCAGCTTGTGAAGGCGCGGATTCGATTGGACAGTGGGCCATGCATCGAAATCGGCGAGGAACGTGTCGCAGAAGCGCGAGTAGGGTGTCTCGAGGTCGTCGATCCACTTCATGAGCAAGTCGCCGAGCGCCTTGGGAGAGGACGGGTTGGGACCGATCTCGCGGAGCGCCTTGAGGAAGCTGCGGTTGGCACGGTAGATGGCTTCAATGTTGCGGAACATGGTGTCGAGCTCGGGTGGTGGGAAATTGGAGCGAGACCACGCTGCCGCCACCTTTTTGATGATCTTGCTGAGTTCCGAGACGTAGGCGGCTTCGGTCTCGAGGAGGTCGACGAGCGGGTTCGTTTTCTTTGCTTTCTCCTTGTCGTGAGCGTCCTTTTGCCCGTCGTCTCCGTTTCCTCCTGCCCCGCCACTGCCATCCTCTGCCCCGCTATTGCGCTGCGAGCCGCTGCGATCTGCGCCACCATTGCTTGCGCCGCTATTTCTGCCGGAGGGACCTTCGGTGCTGCCGCCCGAACCACCGAAACTGCCACTTGAGGGCAGACCGGAGCTTGCGCTCTGGCTCAGATCGAGGCTGGTCGGGTTGGCTGCGGAGAGGGAGCGCAAAGAGGACGATGGCTGCATGCCACTGCTGCTGGTCGTGCCGGCAAGGGCATCGAGCAGTGCGGCATTCTTGCGAACACTGGCGTCGTCAGCCGGAAGTGCTGGAAGTGGTCTCGGTAAGGAAGAGGCTGATGCAGATCTGGGCACGGAGCTGCCAGAGGCGGAGGAGGAAGGTGCTGCGTTGCTGCTGAAAAGCGAATGCGGTATCGAGAAGGAGGTAGACATGCCGTTGCTCGAGCCAATGGGCGGAAGAAAGTCGATCGAGCCTGCTGTCGACATGGTGCTGAATATAGAAGCGACCGAAGGGCTTCGCGGAGGCGTTGCTTCGTCGCGGTGGGAGACTTGGTCCAACGACTCTGAGGATGCGTGAGTGCTGGTGTCGCTTCCGATTCGATCGTCGCTGAAGTCGCTCTCGCTGTCGACGTCGGGTCGATACTCGTTGGAGAGGCCGGATGGGATGCGACAGCCCGATCGATACTTTGCGCGATGCTCGGAGCTAGTGTTGGTCGGGCGATATGCGCTGAGCCGGCTGAAAGAGCTTTGAGTCGGATATGCGCCTTCCGAGACGGTGCTGGCCTGAAGTTGGGCCGTGAGAGGAAGCGAGAAGCGCTGCTGGGTCAAAGGCTTTGAATCGGAATGCGCTGCGAGTGAAATGGGCCGTGACGCGTGAACAGGCTGTTGCGTGGTCCACGGCATCGTCGGCAGAGAGTGTCGAGGATCGTTGAAGGAGTAAGGGTTGGGATCATCGCGAGGCGGCATGGTGATGCGAGGCGGATTGAATTGGAGATGACGGTGTTGGTGTAGCGTGGCAGGCACGGGAAGACAAGGATGGGGCATGTGAAGGAAGCAAGAGCAAGGCAAAGGTGGGTGTGTCAGTGGGGCGCAACAAGGAAAAAGCCAGTGGCCGGAGATGCGCAGCCATGCTCCGAAATGAAGCTGCGGGTACGTACATGATCGAGTGTCGCCTTTCGAGTCTGACCGCGAGGACGCTTTCTCAGTCGAGTTTTCAAGCTCGAGGGACTGCAGATGAAGGTTGCCGCGAAGGGACACGCCAAGGTGAGGCTTGACAAGAACCAGGCCGGTACGAATGCGCGTGGCAGAGATCGATGACGATGGTAGCAGCTAGCTTCCAGGTGTTGCCTCGTGCAAAGGATCTGATCGAGGAACGCGCGCCGAATAGATGGGTGAGAGTCGGATGATTCCTGGCCTTGTTTCCGATGTTGGATAGGGATGCTGGTTCGTCTAGGGAGCAGAGGGTCCTTGGTTGAGTTCCGAGGTCGATGCGAGCTGCTGGGAAGGTTGGTGAGCCGTGTCGCGTATGCCTTGCAGCGAATCGTAACGATGTGCTAGAATCCAGAGATTGATGCAGAGAGAAGGATAAGCTCAGCTTGATCCGACGATGCGACCAGGGTGTTGGCGATGGTGGTGATGGCGACGAACAGCGTTTCGAGAAGTCGACGACCAAGCCATTCCGGTTGGCATGCAAGCGAAGCGGCCAGATCGTCCCAAGTTTGAAAAGTGTGCGTGACTGACTGGCAGTCTAACTGGCTGACTGGCAGGGGCCGATTCAAAGTGGAAGATCCGATTGGCAGCAGGCGGCAGCAGCTCGGCTCAATCGAAAACAACACACAACACTCAGGGCAGCTCTGGAACAGAAGGCTCGAGGTTGAAATTTCGCTTGCATGCCAGCCAGGCAGAAAGTGCAACAAAGGGCTGAGGCTGAAATTGGCACGCACACGCAAGCACGCACATGCCCACCCTCAGAGCAGCAGCAGCAGCAGCAAGGCCGAGGTGCGAAGGGACGCGCAGGGTTGGATTTCGCGTTTTTCTTTTTCTTCTTTTTTTTTCGAAACACGGCCGTGGTGTGGGGGAAGCTTAGCAGGGCAGTCCATCGAGGGGTCCCTTTGATTTGTGTGTGATTGGCTGGCTGGCTGCTGTTTGTCGCGTTGGCTGCATTTGCTGCATGAAATTGCACTTAGCCTCGGCGCTACCAAACCTGAGACGCTGCGTAGGAGAGAGAGAGAGGGCTGCTTTGGCGTGCTTTGCCGTTCGATCCCTCGCAGATACAGTAGGGCCATATCGGGTTCGTTACGTCGCTATTCCCACGATGTGATCGTGATGGTGATGAATGCGATGACGGTGATCCCGATGGCGAGCACAGCTTCACGGGTGGGTTCCGAAGAGCGATCATTCTCTTTGCTTTCGGGCGTGCCGATAATCTTGCCTTGCTGCGTTGAATGGATTGTGAGGGCGCAGAGGGCACTTTTTGTGAGTTACAATGCAAGCCAGTGCGGCGGATCTTCAACCCAGCTTTCCATGCTTGCCCTGACGTCTTGAGCTGCCAAACGGGCCCCCTTGGGAACGCGTCGAAACCCTGTCGATCTAGCGGGTACCACACGGCGGACTCCTGCTTCATGGCTTCTCGCCATTGTCTCGAGTTCAATGTCCTATGTGTACGGCTCACAACCAGTCGACTTGGCGCCTGGTCAAGACTCAGGCAGAGCCGAATAGCACCGACAGACGGGCGATCGACTTGCAAAGAGGCAGGATCGACGAGTCGCATTTCCTCTCTTTTGTTCAGCCTCGGCACTTTGCAACCAGACGCGAGGCGCCAGTCCAAGGGCATAATTTGAAATCGAACCCCGTCTCGGTGTTGGTCTCAGCAGCGAGCAAACAAACACGCAACGCGCCCTGCTGTGGAACCAGTCGCTCCGCTGCCGTAGCAGCATCGAAAGACCGAGGCTGCTCGAGGGTCTGCCGTGATTGGCCCTCCGCGCCGGTCATCCCCTTCGCTGGTCGCAAGAACCCAATTCGCCTTCCCTCCTTCTCTTGGCCCGACGGAACAATGACTCAAAGGCAATGCAGAGAAAGGACAATGGAGGCTTCGAAAGTCGGCTTCCGGCTATGCATGGTGCGGAGTCGATCATTGCGAGTCCTCACTCCATCTCGCGAGTGTGAATTCCAAGCAGGCGCAGACAGACCAACCGAAGCCACCTTGTCGCCGGCATGTCTGTTTGTAGGCCCACACGACTCCTCGCATGGGCTTCATGCCAAGACGCCGTACATACACCGGCAATCAAACGTGATGACACGCGAACACCAGCGGGCTGACAGCGAATCACGGGTCGGATCGCCAGCGAGGTGAGTCTTGGCATCATCGATAGAGCGCCAGCATTTGGCCCTGGCGAGCGTCGATTTGAGGTCAGTGACAAGACGGAGCTGAATCAAGATCGACAGGGGTGCTCCCGATATGGGTCGCTTTTTGTGGTCGCTTTTTCTTGTGCCAATTCGTGTTTTGTTATTTTTGACAAGGAGAATCCTAGATTCGAGCCGCAGCGTCTGAGGAAAAAGAAAAACACAAATGAATCAAAGGTCTAACACCTTAAGCCTTTCCTCGACGTGATCCTCATGCTGCTTCTCATACGACTTCAGAACACTTGCCAATGCCGAGATTGGTCTTTACCAGCTGCCCGCGGGCACAGCGACAATGCGTCTAGAATTGAATGTATTGCCCCGTCCTCCGCTCTACGGCCATCTAGTAATCGAGCGCCTTCTCGCCCCGCAACTCGTTCAAATACCCCTCCAACTCCCAAGCACCGTTCCAGTACTTGATCCCAGCCTTGACGCCTCCCTCCTTTGCAATCCTGGTCTGCAACCCTCGGAACTTGCGCACGAAAGCCAGATCGCTCTTTCCGAGCCTCAATACGGGGCAGAAGTCGTTGCCGCCGTCGCCGACGTAGATGATCCTCTCGAAGGCGGCTCTGCCGCCGTGTCGCTCGAGGAACTCGTCGAGCTCCTTGCCCTTGCACATGTTGGCGCTGCATCCGACGGTGCAGCCGTGCTGCTGGGCGTCTGTCGCCAGCACCCGACGCTGGAGGATCAGTGCGCCGTCCGAGTTGAACGACGCAGGGTTGGTGACGATCTCGTCGAACAGGCTGTCGAGCTTGTGGTGCGCGAGGATGGTATCGATGTAGACGGTGTTGGAGTTGGAGAGGAGGAAGAAGGTGGTCTGACCGGCAGACTTGAGATTGGTGACGCCGCGCTTGACGCCCGGGTGGAAGGGAAGCGTTTGGAGCGCCCCGCGCACGTCGTCTGGCTTGAAACCTTCGGCGTGGAGCTTGACGAGCAGGGAGGCGCACAGATCGGTGAACTGCTCGGAACGCTTACGACGTTGCAGCTCAGCACGGAGAGGTGGACAGAGCACCTCGTGCACGTAGCGGTCCGTATCCTGGTCCACCAACGACCTGCATGACAGTCAAGGATCGAGAAGAAAGGTCAGTGAGAACGGTCAGAGCGACTACAGCGGGCGGGAAAGGGCGAACGCACCAGTCGAAATCAAACACGATGAGCTGCTTGCCCGAGATCGTCGGGAGCGGTGTTGGTGCCGTGTTCATCTTGACGTATGCTGCTTCTATCGAGAAGGGTATGGTGTGAGGAAGCAGACCTGCGCCTGCAAACCCCATTCAAGAAGAAAGGTGCCAAACGCGTTGCCAGGGTGCGTGCACTTTTTTTCTGCCAGGCTTCGAGTCAAGGAGGCAATCTAATCGCTGACCCCTGTGGCTCGGCTGAGAAGAAAGAAGGTACACACCAGAGCCAATCACACGGATCGATTTTCATGCAGCCCCGATGTCGCGTGTCCACGTTTTCAAGGACCGCCAGCATCCCTCGTTACTCTTCTGCCTGCTCTTGCTTGGTTCTCACTCTCGCACACAGTGGTCATCTCAATGCTCGATGCGAGAACGAGAAACAGTCTTTGCTGCGAAATCTATCTACAATATAATCGAAAATGCGCATATGTGATTTGGCGCTGCGAGGCGAGATCGAGAGAGGGAGGACGTCAAACATGGGTATCTTGAAGAAGCGGCGATCGAAAAGGCAATCAATCCTGCGACAGGACGTCCTCAACGAACCTCGAAATCGCCAAAGATGTGGTACACGCCGTTCCAATCGGCAGGCTGGCCCTTCATCTTCTTGGACCCGACCTCGTAGCGCTCGGCCCAGTACGACGTGGTCTCCTTTCCACCGGCGCCCACGCCCGTAGGCGCCGGCGTGGGCTGCCAGAGGGTCTCCTTGGTGTCCGGATCCGTCGTCTTCTGGAACCACTTGGGCTCGTGCGGTGGCAGCTCGCCCGTCTCGCGCTTGCGCCGCGTCTCTCGCTGGAAGTTCTCGAGCTTCTGCTTGAGATCGTTGGCCTGGTCGAACTTGCCCGTTTCAAACGCGCTGAGGTCGGGGCGCAGACGGCAGTCCGTGGGCGCCAGCCACGGTCGAAGGTCGTCGGGACACGAGTTGAGCGTGATGGCAAAGGGCGTGAGGTTGAACGGCGACGCGGGCTTGTCCGAGTTGCGCCACAGCAAGAGGTACTCGGCGAGCGGCTGCGCCACGGCGATCTGTCCATCCGGTGCATCCACCGTCTGGTCTGGGTTGAGATCCCCTGACCCAGCACCCACCTTGCGAGCCACCAGCTGCGAGTTCCAGCGACCGGCAATGTCCCATCGCAATGTACCTTGAGCGTCAAAGACTTGGCCTCGGATCTCAAACGCATCCTTGCCTCGCCAGCCTCGTGGCTTGAACGTCAGCACACAACGATCGCCCGTCGCGTGGTTGGTCACCTCCATGTCGCCAAAGTGGTCGATGGTCGGACTGCCTACGATAAAGCCCGAAACCGAGGTGGTCACCTTGTTCCACGAGTAGTGCTCCATCACGTGGTCGTCCGAGAGCTTCAGCGCCGCCTTGAGCTCCTTATCCGTCTTGACCCACTTGCGTGGCACCTTGAGGTGGACGTGCGCCACACCGGTGGGTCGAATCTCAAACGTGCGTCCGAGGAACTTGGACTTGGCATCGACGCTGCCCATGTACTCCCACGTGGGCGACTGCGCAAAGCACGCCGAGACGGGCGGGTGGTGCGAGACCTGCTCCGAGTAGTATCGGAACTTCTTGTCGGGTCGCATGTACTCGAACGTCTCGCCGAGCAAAGGGTTGAACGGCTTGGCGATGCGGCCGATGGTCGACGAGTAGTTGCTCATGGCAAAGGCAGCGACGTAAGCGATACGCTTGGTCGAGTCCTCCTGCAGCGAGGCAGCGTCGAGACACTCGGAAAACTCCATGTCCTCGGCCATTCGCTGCAACATAGAGGTGGGCTCGTTGAAGCTGACAGGGAACGAGATCTTGGTCAAATCCTTCCCAATGTTGTTCTTGAGGATGGCCCACAGCGACACCGAGGGTCGGTCGTCCTTGCCGATGGGCATCTGGGCGCGCAGGTGCTTGTACGGCTCCATGGATTGCTTGACCAGGTCGTCGATCATGGAGGTGTCAAACTTTTCCGGCCACTTGTCGGCGCTGGACTCTGGCTGGCTCAGCGGTTTCTCCACCTTGAGACCGGGCAGGTTGCCCGTCTCGATGGCGTCAAAGAACTCGTCCTCGGCGTCTTCGTAGTTGTCCTGCTGCGTCGCGTCCGGGTCGTCGGTGATGCCGAGGATGGCCGAACGCTGGCCCTGAATGGGCGGAGTGAGGTTATCGTCCAGCTGGAGCTGCGCCCCCTCCTCGTCGCCAAGTCGGCGCGCAGCGAGCGAACCGGGGGCACCGCTGTCGGCGGTCTGGTACGAGGCATTGCTCATCAGGGTCGATTGTCGATTGGCGGCGTGGAGCGACGATGCCATGGACCCAGAGGCCGCAAGGCCACCGGCGCCCACGACGGCCGGCGACATCGGGGAGCCAGGTGAGGCGCCCATGGTTTCGCGGACGTCGCGCAGCGCCTTGCGTTTGCGTGCATTCTCGGCAGCGGCCTCCTTGAGCTGCGCCTCCATCTCGGCGTGCTGTTGCGCCAGCACGGCCATGTTCTCCTCCCACAAATGCTTGATTTGCAGCTCGCGCTCGTACCGCTTGTTCATGTACGATTCGCGTGCGGCCACCATGGTCAGGTATCGCTCCACCAGCTGATGGTTGCTCCTGACCGCGGCTTGCAGTGCCGAGCGGGCGTCGTCACTGTTGCTGGTGATGGAGCCGGTATCGACGAGGCGCTGACTCGCTTCGGCCTGGGCCTGGAGCGCTTGCGCGGTGAGCGAGAATTCCTTCTCGTAAGGGATACCACCGCCTGCTGCGCCAGCTTCCAGATCGTCGTCCGCTCGCTCGTCGCTGGACAGTCGGCTCAGAAGGCTGGGACTACGGTTGGCGAGCGTCAGCGATCGTTCGCTTGCTGCGCCGGAGGGAGGCTGAGTGCTGGGTGACTTGATCGAAAGAAGACCGCTGCGGCTGCCCTTCTCGCTTGGCGCGGTCGACGAAGGACGAAGGATGCCGGCTCCCCTTTCGCTCGGTGCAGTCGAAGAGGGGCGGACGATGCCAGCTGGGTTGGCAAGGACGGCGGCGGCGCCCGGTGCGTTGGTGAGAGAGGCCGACGAGGCGGTGCGTTGGCGATAGAAGCTTTCGGCAGTGGACTGTCGCTCGAGGTTGAAGTACTCTTTGGTCTGTTGCAGCACCTGCACCCACCGCGCTCGCTCGACGGGGTGCGTCCCGCGAAGCCAGAGCTTGGAGGTGCCCTTACCGGTCTCGCTGATAATTTCGAGACGATGCTTGTCGTTGTTGTCGGCGCGGATCTTGGCGAAGCGCATGTTGATGGCGCCGCGCGACTTTTTGCCCTCATCGTCCTGGCTGTGGTAGTAGGAGAGGATGCCGTCTTCAAGCACGAACCAACGTGTCTTGTAGCCGTGCGCGAGATTGGTCCACTTGCCGAGGTAGCCTTTGAACGAAGGAGGCTGACCGTTCTGGCTGGCCTGCGAGGCTTTGGCGGCGTCGGCGTTGTGGAGCTGGCGCAGCAGCGCCTTGACCTTTTCGTCCTTGGTGACGTCGTTGACGCGCCTGCCGCGGCGGTCGCGCGAGTAGACGTCGGCGCCCTTTCGTACGGACGTCTCGATCATGCGCGTGTCTTTGCGCTTGACGGCTTCGTGAAGGAGGGTGCTGCCGTTGGTACCTTGCGCATTGAGGTCGATGACCGAGTGGCGCGGCAAGTCGAGGAGCTGGTGGATCTTGACATCGGCTCCGGGCGCATCCTGTTCGTAGGCGTTGAGCGTCTCGAGGTACTTGACGTTGAGCTGAGCGCGGCTGACTTGGATCTGCTGAGCGATCTCGGGCGTCTTGGCTACGGCGAGCGCATCTCTGCTGTCCTTGTTGAGCTTGGCGTCGTCGATGTCGGGCTGTTCGAGCAAGAGCTGAACGACGTCGTCTCGTCCCGAGGCGGAAGCGATGTGGAGGGCGGTGTTGCCGTGCTGTTCTTCGATTGCATTGAGATCGATGGTCTTGTATTGGAGGAGGAACGAGATGATGTTGAAGTCGGCGCAGCGAACGGCCAGATGGAGCGGGCTAGTGCTCTCCTTTGCGAGGGCATTCTTGTGGGTGGTCTGAAGAAGGGGGATGAGCGCTTGCTGATCGCCTTTCCTCAACGCTTCGAGCAATTTGAAGCTGTAGACGGCTTCGGCGACTGATTGATACGACGATGAAGTTCGGCGGGATGGCGATGTGGCGGCGGAACAAGGAGAAATGGGTGGTCGACGGTCCAAAGTTGGGAAGGTCACAGGCAGAGGCGGTACGGGTGGTGGGGATGATGAAGACGACGCGGAATCGTCGCCATTGTTGAACAGGCCGATGATGCGTGAGCGAGAACCAACGGAGAGCCGACGTGCGCGTGCGATGAGCGATTGAGAAGAATTGCGACGGGGAAGTTTGGGATCGGAGATTTGCGTTTCGGTGGTCATGGTGGATGCGGAGAGGCGATCAAGGGTGGATGATGGCGGGGCGCAGCGATGAATGGGTGATTGAGAGCAAGATGGCGGAGGAAGGAGGAGGAGGAGGAGACAAGGAAGCGGGAGAAGGACGGTGTCAGTACAGCTGCCAATGCGGGAAGGAGAGAGACTGAGAGATGGACTGAGCATGGCGTGACAGCTAGGGTCGTCTTGGCTGTGCAGGAAGGGCTGCGCTGGCTCAGCTGCACAATGCACCGTGCGCAGACATGCGGATCTGAGGCAGTGACTGGCGGCGATCCGAGTGCCCCTTGCATGGGGCGAGATACAGCGGGCAATCGAGTTATGCTGTTTCGCCCACACAACGGCAATAAGATGAAAGGGGAGATATGACCTGCGGCAGTGCCGATCAGGTGGGTTGAGAAGGACAACTTACCGTCATCATTGGATGCGACGCTGCCGTTGGAACGGTGCGCCATCGCTGCAAGATGGACGCTCGGCTGCGGAACGACGACGCTCACTACGCTGGCGTGAGAATCGGCACGCTGTCGGAGCGTTTAGCTTCGGGTGTGTTCCGGGCGGTTGGAGCCAGGCAGGTGGTGCTGCGGAAGCGAGCCGAGTCGAATGGAAGGATGCGCGATCGGGTGAGCCGTGCTACTGGCCTCCGCTAGACGAAGGCTGACGTGTGCCTGCTGACCGGGTAGGACCTCCGGTGGGTTGGCTTGAGCTAAGCGTGCCCTTTGTCGAGTACGGTAGAAGTTTGTTTGCCGTTCGTAAGGACGGACACAAGGGTTGATCCGATGTGAGAGAAAGGATCAATCAATAGCGACAAAGGAAGATGCAAAGAAGGTCAAGGGAATGATGATGAGGGGAGGGTCCGGCCGCTCATTGCAGCTAAGTTAGCGGGACAAAGAGGGTTCGTGCGTCAGTGGTGCTCGCTGCTTGTGCAACTCACACCGTCACACGCAGCCTTGAAAGCGGTGACGATGCCAAATTCCAAAAACTCGTTGCCTGTGAAATGTCAGCAGCAGCAGCTCGCTCTGCGTGGCTCGCTCCGTCGGTGACTAAGTTATCCAAAAAAGAAGTGTGCATCATGGAAGCATATTTCAAAATCATGCAAAACAGCAGAGAGAGCTGCGCTGTGCTGCATGCAACTTGCGGATCCCTAGCTGTGCAGCGATCTGAACTCACGACCAACGCCTCTGGCATCGGCACAGCTGACGATTTGTCCGCTTATGCAGCCGCCCCAAGCGTGGTGGTGTCAGAAAGGGCGATGCAAACGTATGGACGCGTTGACTGTTTCTCAATGTGTCCAGATCGCATGTGCAGCTGCGGCTCAACGTGCAGGAGGCTCCGTTACGAGGACGTCTTCCAAGACTGAAAATTTTCAATGGCGCCAAAGGCTAAGCCGATCAGCCTTTCGCTCCGACAGCGCATCACATACGCTCCTGCTCCGGGAGTATGGTGAATGCGTATCCAGCCTTTCTTGGCTTCAAGTGTCTGCCGAAGCCGAAGATACGTCGGTGTTTGGTGTCTTCCAAAATCGTATCGGCTCGCCTCTGGGCTACGTCATTTGCAGGCGCCATCTTTCACGGCCGAAATCTATTTTTCCCCCATTCATGTCAGATCACCGACCCGCCGGCTCGGCTGTCAAGCATCGCTGCCAAAAATAAGAAGACGGGTCGGGCGTCACCGCCTCGAGCGTCGACAGTCCCGATGTCATCGACAAAGGCCGCCCTGCTCGAGATGCCAGAGAGCAAGATCACAGCATAGTGCCAACTCAGGCCAGAAAGGAGGTGAATGACGGCTCTGAATGGGTCATAGGAGCTGGAATAACATGATGTCGTGGACGGTAGATTTACTGGCACTGGACGAAGCCGTTGCGCTTGGCAGCACCAGTGTGGGTGACGGTACCGCAGAACTCTCCCGAGTCGGTCAGGTAGATGACACGGTCAGGGCCGGGCGAAACGTAGTTGTCCTCGGTCGAGTAGTCTGCGATTCGAAACAAAGAGACCGAGTTGGAAGCGACCCAAAAAAAAGGGTTAGTCACGGCAACACGTGCGAAACAGCTTCGACACCATCATCGACACCTTCTCCTCCTTCTTTCGTCATCGATACTTACACGCTTGGCCAGTGTTGGTCAACGGGAACTCCGAGTATCCGCCACCATCGTCGGAGCAGCAGAGCTCAATCCCTTCGGAGGGCTCGTCGTAGTACGCGTGAGGGTAGTTGTCGGGGGTGTCGCCGCTTTGGGCATCTTGCAGACCGGCCTGGATGGCAGTGTTGATGTCATCGCTCGAGTAGTAGTTGTTGCCGCAGGTAGAGCCCGAGGGGATATCGCAGGCGGCGACAAGGCCAGCGGCCAGGGCGAGAGAAGCAGCGAGTGCGAGGAACTTCATCGTGACTGTTGTGGGGTTGACGAGGTTTGCCGATAGAGCAAGGCGTTTCGTTTGCGATGCTCCAGTCTTTATACCTTCTAGCCTCTCGGACTGATTCAGGGATACCCTCGAATGCTCCTTCGGCCACGTCTCTGCATCAAGGCGTCAGTCAGAACAAAGGCTCTCGAACCATCTACACGCGAGCGAACGTTCTCCAGCACAGAAAGCGTTTCGGAGAAGCAACAGCCGTAGGAAGAAAGGGCTCCTCGCAAAATCAAGCGAGGTCTAGCGTCAAGTTGAGCTCTTTCGGCCAGGTCCAAGGAGCATTGCTGTTTTGGTGCCGTGCCCAACTTCGTTAGCATGCAAGGCGGTCGGGACTCGGACGATGGCAGCTGGCGCTTCACACCTTCGCTTGAGCTTCTGCGAGCGATTCATGCCGGCGGCGAGAGTTCCTGCTGTCGAAACAATGTGAGTGCCCACGTTCTTGTCATTCAAGTCGTCGCGACAGACGACCTCATGTTTCCACGATCTTCTTTGCGCTCCTTCAGCCTCGCCCTTTGTGCACACTGCTAGCTGGCTCACGCACAGTCATTGTAGAAGTGTGTCATCGTCGAGAGCGACTCGGACAGGCATGCAACGTCAGTGACGCTGTGTGGCTGCTTACGCGCCCTGCTTACGGGCGTGGTACACGTGCACCTCACTGGCATCAAAGGTTCTCGTGTCCGGAGGCTAAGCGAAGCGTTTAGCCGAATTTTAGGTTGATGGAGCGACGCCTTCCGGTGCAACACAACGGCACGGCGTTCAATATCCGCTCAACGCTAGCCGCCGATGCGTGCTTGATGTGGATGCTGTCAATGTTCTCAGGCCGTCTTCCGAAGGTGGCACGGCTCTTCGCTGGAGAACTGGAAGAACGTGTACGTGTGAAACAATGTGGGGCATGGTGATCCATTGCCGGCGGCTCCTTGCTTTGTTGAAATGGCATGAACGTGCCAAAGGGTGGAGCATGGTCCGCGTGTAGCTCATTGACTGTCTGTGCACAATGCACAGGAGTCTTTTACGGACCATATCTATCGCACTGCAGCATGACCATGCTTCCGAGAATTCGGTCTTGTCCGACGCCTGGCCGTCAGCAAGTTCGAATGCCATTTTTACCCAAACATATAAGAAGAAGATGTAACAACGCTAAATTAATTCGAAGTCTTCGCCCTGCTCACTTGGGCCACGACGAGCTCTTCTGATCTCAGTTCTCAGTCGACCTCCCTTTCGAGGAGGCCATCGCTATGGGCCCGTTGTGTCTTGCAAGCTAGACTACGACACTATGTATTGAACATACTCCTGCACCTCAGACTTGACCAGAGATGGACACAGCAAGTGCCTGACGTGTCTGCTCTCGGCCGTCGGTCAAGTCCACCGAGAGAGAGAGACGCTGATTGTGCGGCGCAGAACCTTGTCGCATGAGGTTCCACAGTAAGAGACTGTCGAGGTCGTGTGACCTGTGTCACCGAGCGTCGACTTGTCCATTGACCACAAGGCCGTCTCCCTCCTTCGACGCACTCACAAGCCACGCTTGCTCGGAAGGCTGGAAAGGGTCGTACCTATATCACCGCCACGACGAAGCTCAGCATCCTAGAATAGCCCACCTCAAAGGATAGAGCTTCGATTGGGAAGGCTCGATAGGAAACAAAAGCGCTTCGGACGATGAAGCTTGACTGCTGTGCCTTTTGCTGGCTGGCCGGCTGGCTGGCTGAGCTCGAAGCATGGCGTGGCTTGGACTGCGTCACCGTGCGTGCGTGCTTTTTTGACTTTGGGCTGCTCTTCTGCCTGGCACCCGTCACATCCGACGCGAAATTTGCTCCACTTTGCAGCGCCGCGTGACTCTCAACCGAGCCCGCTTGCAGGCCAAAGCCAAAAAAGCTCGAGAGGGTCTGCTGCTGCTGCGACTCGGAGCTGAGTTTCTGGGCACAGACACGCAAATGAGTGAGCGCGATGAGACCTCGCAAGTCACGACCCTCGACCCTGGCGACTGGACAGCTTCACTCATATAGCCTCCGCTGTCACTCCTTCATCCTGAACCACGACATCCGCAAGTACTCACTGCACCTTGTTTCAACTCGTTCTCTCAAGCAACCCCTCTCATCCTCTTCAAAATGGCGTGGAACGACGACCTCCTCCTCAAGGTGGCCAACATTGTCGCCTACGTGTTCTTCACCACGGGCAATGTCTACTCGCAGCTCGGCGTGGGGGCCAATCCCTACGTGCAGGAGACCTACCTCACCCCCGAGCGCTGGATCTTTGGCGTCTGGCCCTTCATCCACTTCCTCTTCCTCGGCATGGTCGTCTACCAGTTTACCGACTCTGGCTCGACCCACGTCGTGCACGGCATCGGCTGGCGCTTCCCCGGTCTGTGCATCCTCAACGCCATCTACTCGGGTCTCATCTCGGCTCAGGTCAATGCGCACCACGATCGCATCTACGCCATCCTGGCATTCATCGTGATGCTCCTCATCGCCGGAACCGTCTCGCACTGCTACCGCTCGCTTAAGGTGCACCACACGGCCAACAACTTGGCCGATACGCTCTTCGTCCACCTCCCCTTCAGCCTCTACCACGGCTTTGTCGTCGTGCTGCTCTTTGTGCAGGGCTTCGAGGCGTTTGGCGTCAATGCGCTCACCCACAAGGCGGGTATCATCACCAAAGTGGTCGTCTTCCTCTCGCTCCTCTTCCTCGAGTCCACCGCCGCCGGCTACGTGTGGTACTCGGAGGGCGACGTCGCCGGTGCGCTCGTCATCAGTCTGAGCTTGCTCGCCATCTTCCAACACCAGACCAGCAGCAAGTTCATCCACTGGTCCGCGCTGGTCTTCTTCATCATCAGCCTCATTGCTGTGCTCCGGGCCGTGCTGTCCATTTTCACCAACAGGAACCGGACCGCTGTGACCGACGAGGAGCGCGCCCCTCTCGTCGGTTGATGCGTCTCGCCTGCCTTTCATTCTCTTCACTCCAAATCTCATCGACCACCCATCATGTTCATAAGCTTCTCGCTCTGCAATGATACCATAGCATCCTATCTCCCCACCTCTCTGTGAATCAGCGCATTTGATTTCGAATCGTAGATACAGCACCTTTCAATCCTTGGTCGGATTGCTCACCAGCAGCTCGGCATTCCTGCCCCGCACGACGGCATGAATCCTCTTACTGAGCTGCAACCCTAAGTTCGTCCGATTGCCCCTGCGCTCCGTGCCGTCCTTATTGCTCTGCACCTGTACGCCGCTCAACAAGCCTCTCTCCTCCGCTTCGTCCGCGCACCGTCCATATGCGCTGAGCAGCGCGTTCAACGAAGGATAAATCGTCGTGATGCTCCCCGCGATAGCCGGTGTGACCCTGGGGATCTGTTGGAGCATCATCCCGTATACAGCTGCGGAGGAGGACGAGGTGGTGTTGCGACCCATGTCGACGGCAAAGGAAAGATGCGTATCGCGCAACGATTTGTACGGTTTGAGCGAGAGATCCGAGGTGAGCTGGTGGAGCCATTCGATGCCGTCGACGAGCGAGGCGGCGTGAATGACGTAGCATCTGTGCACCAGCTTGAGCTGCAGTAGACTGCGTTCCACCGTTGCTTGAGGTGGCACCGTCGTGGTGGTGGTGGGCGGAGGTGCTTTGCGACGCGCTGTCGAGGTGGTCGGTTCATCCGCCGGCTGGTTGTCCGCGAGCTGCTGTCGAATGCGCGCCGTATACGCTCGGTTCTCGTTAGCCTTCAGCCTCGCATAATACTTGACCAGCCCTTGACAGATCAAAAACACCTGCGGATCCTCCCCGTCCATCGCTTGCAACCTTCGCTTCAGATCGCCATACCAACTCTCCAACCCTGCCCCTTCCCCAACCAACTGCACAACCTCCTTTGCGTCGATGTAGACAATCACCATGGGCTCCCTCCTCACCTCCTCCTTGTCTAGTGGCACCCAATGCCGTCTCTCCTTATCCCACTGCGCCCTGACCTTCCGCCTAAACCGCACCAGAGGAGGAGCCACCACGCCATCACACATGTTGACACTGGCTCCTTCTTCTTGGAAGCGGGCAGTGACGGACTCCTGACACCCCGCAAACGGTTGGCCAGACGCAAAAAGCGTACGGTCGAGATCGACGATGAGTTCGCGCATCGTGTCGCTCTTGGACGTGCGGAGGCGGTTGACTTCCAGAAAACGTTTCTTCTCCGCCGCAGCGCGCTGTTTGGCTGCTTTGAGCGCTTCCCGCTCGCGGGCTTTGGCTTCGCGGGCGAGCCTCGAGGCGGCTGCTTTGGCCGCTTTGGATGGGGATGATTTGGATTTGCCCTTTGTGGGGCTCGGATAGTCGCCATCCGAGGGCGGATTGAGGTTCGGCATTGTGCTGTCTTCGACGCCGTACAGGCTGTCCAGCGCGTCGAGGAGAGATCCTCCGCGGTGCATCGATTTCACTCGTTTCGGCGTCCCTGGCATCGACTCGGCAGCCCGTCTCTTGAGCGAGGGCGATCCCTCGAGATCCTGAAGCGGCTCGTCGATGGGCGAGAAAGGCGGGCTCGGTGGCGGATCGTCAAAGGGAAAGCTCGACGGCGGTAGGTCTGGCAGACCCTCCCCCTCTTCGGCTATATCCTCGATTCGCTGGCCAACCGACCTCTGGCTAGCCCTTGGCAAGCTTGGTGGCGGTGGGCTGCTGGACAGAATCACGATCGGAGCTGAATCCGCTCGTAGCAGCTGTCGCGATGCTCTCGTTTCGCCCACTCTGCTGTGTCGCGGTGGCGAAAGCGGTAGTGGTTGACTCGAAGTCAGCTGATGCCGAGCGCTGAATTGGGAGCGGATGGGAGACGAAGTTTGCAAAACGAGCGGCGTATCCACTTCATCAAAGATCGAGTCGGATCCGATCTCGATGATCTCTGCTTGCGCCTTGGCTCTGCGCACAGATGCACGGAAATGAGATGAAGTGGGTTGTTCTTGCGAGCTGGATGCGGCGGGTTGGGAGGCGGTGCGCCGGAGCGAGCCTGCTCGGTTGGTCGGTGGTGCAACACGGGATGTTCCAGCTATGACGGAGAATGCAGCGTTGTCGTTGGGTATAGAGGGTTTGGCGGAAGCTACGACGGTGGTGCGTGATTTGTGTTGGCGGAGAAGATCGCGGAAGCTGGGCAGGGAAGTGTCTGGAGAGGGGTCGGCGAGAAGCTGGACCATGCGTCGGCCTGGAGTAGGCTCAACGTCGTCTGTATCGAGTCGACTGGAGGTCTCGATGGCTTTTGCTGTGGCAGCAGCGGGTCGCTTCTTCTTGGCTGCTGCTGGTGGATGCGGGTCCTGCGAGGAGGACAATGCGATGATGGAGGCGGAGGAGGGAGGCGCCGCTGCTGCACGTCGAGGCGACCTGCGCTGCGGGTGAGGCGCATCAAGTCGAGAGGGACCAGCTACGGCAGCTCCATCCTGCGAGCGCCGCTGTCGACGACGACTGCCTGAGGCAGCCTCGGTGTCACTATCGGAGCCACTGTCGATCCAAATGGCGCCGACCATGGTTGACGATGTGAACAGCTGCACCGGCAAGCAGCATTGCGAGCGTCCGTGTTGATGCGACGCGGTGCTGCGGCTCAGTCCAGCGCTGGGAACGAATGCTGCCGTCGATGAGGGAGGTGACACAAAGGGCTGCGGACCTCGAAGCCAAACGATGAGGATGCTCAGCACAAGCTTGTGCGCGTCGCGGAAAGTGGCTTGAGAGCAGTCTCTGAGAGCAACACTCAGCCACCACGCTTTGGTGGAGGCGTTCTTCTCAGCACGTGACCTCAACAAAAAGGGTCCAAAATCACTTTTCTCTCAAAATTTGGCTTTTCTTCTCAAAAATCACATACGCAGCCTGAAAGCCGGATGCTGAGCTTGTTCTTCCTCGGTGTTGAACAGCTCTCTTCCTTTCCATCAACCACAGCTGTACAGCAAACACAGGAAAGCGAAGATGGCAAAGACCATCGACTTTCTCGCCTCAGATGGCGAGGATGACGTTGCGCCTCGTCCCATCCCGCCCAAGGCCAAGAGCACACGCACCAACGCCACCGCTTCGTCCAGCAAACCTGTCAAGCGAGCCAAGAAGCCCGCCCGAGACAGCGACGACGACGACGGGGACATGGGCGATGATGGCTTCGATATCGCCTCTTCTCTTCTCGCCGGCTCCGACCCTGCTCCTGCTCCCGCTCCTTCCACTGCCCTCTCCGCATCCCAGAAAGCAGCACAGAAGGCCTATGCAGCCCGCGCCCCTGCCAAGGACGCCGACGACGATGACGCCCGCTTCATCGCCTCCATCATGCAGCAGGCCAACGTCAGGGCTGGCGTCGAAGTCGCCAAGCAAGCCCTCTCCGGCAAAAACAAGGGCAAGAATAAACTCGGCTCCGGCGTTGTCACCGGCGGTGGATCCTTCCAGAGCATGGGCCTGCATCCATCGCTGCTCCGATCGCTCCTCATCCGCGGCTTCACCACTCCCACACCCATTCAGCGCCAAGCCATCCCCGCTATCATGGCTCAACCTCCCAGAGACGTCGTCGGCATGGCCCGCACCGGTTCCGGAAAGACGCTCGCCTACCTCATTCCGCTCATCAACCGTCTCAATGGTCGTCACTCGCGCACGTTCGGTATCAAGAGTCTCATTCTCTGCCCGTCGCGCGAGTTGGCGGTACAGATTCTTCGTGTAGGAAAGGAGATCGCGCGAGGATGGAAGGCAGATGCGAGCGAAGGTCAGGACAGTCGCGGCGAGGCCATCCGTTGGGCCATGATTGTAGGTGGAGAATCGCTCGACGAGCAGTTCGCACTCATGTCCAACAACCCGGACATCGTCATTGCCACCCCGGGTCGAATGCTCCATCTCACCGTCGAGATGAATCTGGACCTGAAAGCCGTCGAGTACGTCGTGTTCGACGAAGCAGATCGACTCTTCGAAATGGGTTTTGCCGAGCAATTGGAAGAGATGCTCTTGCGTCTGCCGCCCACCCGCCAAACCCTGCTGTTCAGTGCTACGCTGCCCAAGAAGCTCGTCGAATTCGCCAAAGCCGGTCTGCAAGCCAATCCCAAGCTCGTCCGTCTCGATGCCGACAGCAAGATCAGCGCCGACCTCCGCATGGCCTTCTTCAGCGTCAAGCCCTCCGAAAAGGAAGCTGCGCTCTTGCTCCTGCTTCGAGACGTCATCGGTGTGCCCCTCGGCGAGCAGGCTGAACCCGATCTCGACGAGGAAGCTGCCTTCAACGAGGAAGTGGACGACGACGGCGCCGGCACCCACCGTCGTGTCGGCAACCGCAAATCCGACTTCAAAGGCAAGTCCAAGTTCTCCAAAGGCAAAGATCTCAAACGCAAACGTGGCGGGCCCGGAGGCGCACTCGAGCTGCTCCCTCACCAGACCATCATCTTTTGCGCCACCAAGCATCACGTCGAGTACCTCCTCCTTCTGCTCTCAACAACCGGCTACGCATGTTCGCACATCTACTCGTCGCTCGACCAGGCGACGCGTGGGATTCAGATGTCGCGATTCCGACGCGGGCAGACGAGCCTGCTCATCGTCACGGACGTCGCTGCCCGTGGTATCGATCTACCCGTCCTCGAGCACGTCGTCAACTTCGATTTTCCTCCTCAGCCGCGGACGTTCGTGCACCGAGTGGGCCGAACCGCGCGTGCGGGTCGCAACGGTTGGGCCTGGAGCATGTGTACCAATGCCGAGCTGCCCTATCTATGCGATCTGCAGCTGTTCCTCGCTCGACCGCTGATTTCGTCCCACACAGCCGTCGCTACTCTCGCCGACACCGAGCCGCTCAACCTGCACGAGTCGCTCGTCCTCGGCACCTTCCCACGTGAACCCCTTGACCTCGAGACGGAATTCATCCACTCCTCGCTCACAAACACCACCAGCTCGACCGCACACGACTTCCCCGCGCTGCGCGCCGTCGCCGACCGAGCCCAACAAAAGTACGAAAAGTCGATCGCCAAGGCTTCGCAGGAATCGCACCGGCGGGCGAAGGAGATGATCAAGCTGGGGAGTATCGAGCAGATCAACGTCCGGACGGCTGCGGGCAAGGAGGGTGAGGTGCCCGAGTGGACGCTCGCGGGCTCGCCGTTGGAGGAGATGGCTGTGCACGACGTCGTGCTTCGACCGGCGGTGTATGGGTTCAGTGCGACCAAGAGCGAGTCGGTTCCGAGTGTGGTAAAGGGCAAGGGCGCGGAGGAGGCGGCGAAGAGGGCGGAGCTGCTGGCCAAGGTCAACGCGTTCCGGCCGCAAGAGACGGTGTTTGAGATCGGGGCGAGGGGCGATGCGACGCCGATGGGTGCGTTGATGCGGAGCAGGCGGGCGACGATGGATGTGAAAGCCAAACGGGCCGAGGCGTTGGAGGCGAGGAAGCGGGCTATGGAGGGTGGCTTGTCCGATGACGAAGAGATGGCTGAGGCTGCTCCTCGAAAGAAGGGCAAGAAGACGGTGGAGGAGGAGGAGGGCGAGACGGTGGATCTCGAGGCAGCCGATGAAGCGTCCATCCTGGCCGCTTTTGATACTGGCTCCTCTCACAAGCCTAAGACCCTCGCCACCGTCGACTCGGAGGCCGAGTCCGACACTGAGTCTGCCGCCCCGCCCATCAAGCGCACCCGCACAAAGCCCGCCCCAGGCTCCTACCGCGACCCGGCGATCTACCTCTCCTACTCCGCACCCAACTCCGCCTCGGAACGCGGCTACTCGCTCAACAACCCTTCCTCCAACGGCATCGACTCGTTCGTGCAAGCTGCCACGTCCGCCTCGTTCGACCTGGCCGGGGACGACGCTACGCTCGGCACGCAATCTCAACGACCCAACGTCACACGCTGGGATTCCAAAAAGAAGAAGTTCATCCAAGGCACGGTGGGTGCGGACAACAAGAAGATGATTCGCACCGAATCGGGTGTTCGGTTGCCGGCGAGTTTTCGGTCGGGCCGATACGAGGAGTGGAAGCGGGAGAAACGGGTGGATGTGCCCCGAACGGGCGAGGTGGAGCGGTCTACAGGACTCAGAGAGGATGTTGGAAAGAAGTTCAGGCATAATAAGATTACGCCGCCCAAAGCGGAGACGTTTGGTAAGGGAAGACCGGGTCAGCACAAGAGACAGGCGGCGAAGGATGAGGTCAAGAGCGCGAGGGAGATTCAGAAGGATAGGGAGTTGATGCAGAAGAGGAGGGAGAAGAATGCTAGGCCGAGCAGGAAGGATGGGAAGGGCGGGAGGGGTGGTGGGAGGGGTGGTGGCAGAGGTGGACGAGGCGGTGGACGTGGTGGTGGAAGTGCTGGCAGGGGAGGTGGACGCGGTGGTGGTAGGGGAGGTGGACGAGGTGGCAGGAGGTGATCGTCAGCTGGTTCCGCTGCTGCTCACCATGCCACACTTTGCCACACTTTGCCACACTTTGCACTTGCCCACTTGCAATCTCAATCGCACTTCGCACACACACACTGGACCACATTTGAGTGGCTCACATCGTGATGAGCAATCCTTTTCCATTCCGCATCGTGCCCTACCGCCCGTCCTTCCTCCCCAACGCAGCGCCAAAGAAGTTTCCGAACTTCCTCAAGTCGCTAAACGCCCTACCCGCTCCACCCTGCGCCCCGCTCTGCGCCTCGAACCCACTCTGCAACGTCGGACTCTTCAAACTGTCCGGACCGAAGAGCGAATTGTTCCTATACGGCTGTCCTGCCGTATTGCTGTCCCTCCTCGCGTTGCTGTCCAGGAAGCTCGGTGTGGCGGCGCTGAACGGCGAGGCAAGGATGGGCTGCGGGGGCGGATCCATGTCGAGCTGGCTGAGGAAGCTCTGGTCCCCGAGCTCCGCGATGGTCGTGGTGGTCGAGAGGAAGCGATCCAGCAGACCGTTCTGGTCCACCTTGCGGACGCCTTTGAGGTCGAGGATCTTTTGAAAGTTGGAAAAGGAGCGGTCGGCGATGAGGGCGATGTAGGTGTGGATGAGGTCCTGACCGGCGGTGTCGGGTGCAGCTCGGTCGATGTCTACGGGCGCAAGGACGACACGGAGAAGTGTGTCGATGCGGTCGGTGAGCCGGTGCACGTAGCGAACGTACGAGGCGGCTTGCGTCGAGAGGGCTGTTTGCGCCGCCGAAGGTGCGGGTGCCCAGTGCGACAGGCTTGCCTCGGTAGCGTTGGTGCTGCCGTCGGGGGCCACGCCCAGATCCTCCATGTTGTATCGCGGCAGTTCCACCAAGCTCTTCTTCAGCTCGGCCGCATCCAAAAGCAACTGCTCCGCCATGCCCTGCGTCAGAGGTCGCAACCGCACCAAGCCCTGCAGGAACTTGGCCGCCATCATCCCCACCACCTTGTCGCACCAGCTGCGCACATACCGCTTGTTCTCCACATCCTGCCGCACCACGACACCCACCTGCTCGAGCAGACTCGCCATGTCCATCACGTACTGCGACTTGCCGCTTCCGCCACCCTGCGACCGGGGCTGTAGCTGGGACCACGGCACTGCGGGTCGCAACATCGATGTCCAGATCGGCTCCGAACACAATTCGAGCTCCCGCGCCAGCGTCTGCACCGCATACGAGATGAGCGTCGTAAAAATCTCGCGCTCCTCGTCGAGATTGATCGCATCTCGGAAACCCGGGTGGATCTTCTCCCGCAGTTTCTCTTCGAGCTGGCTCGAGGTGCTGCTGCAGTATTCGGCTGTGTTGAGCACGAGACACCATCGCTGGATGTCGGCGATGTTGGGACGCACGTCGATAGAGCGCCGAATGGGCTCGTGGCGTACCAGAGCGGAACGCAGGACGTCCTCGGCGTAGACGCGAAGCCACTTGCGGTACACTTCGTATAGGTCGCGAAAGGGCTCTTTGTTGGACAGCCGCGCGCATTGCTCGAGTGTTTGCCGGTAAAAGTAGAAGAGCTCGGTCGAGGAGGGTAGCACTGTGCTGCTGCCGCTGGACCCGCTAGGACCGTCGGCGCCCGCACCATCACCGCCGAACGCTTGAGCGCCGTGGGACGCTTCAGCGCCGAAGCCGTCTTGTGACATTCTCGCGCCTTGCTGTCGGTACTGCACGAACATTTCAGAGAGTGCTCGGTCCTGAGCTTCGACAAAGACGCCCAGATAGGGGTCGAAGACGGTCGAGAGCGTTTGCGTTTGCGATTGTGGTGGCGCGGCAGCCGTGTTGGCGGACGACGGTGGCGCGATCAGATCCTCGAACGACGTGTTGTAGCGACGGCTCATCGTTGCTTCAAACTCCAACGTCGAATTGAGAGCGTCCATGAGGGTCGATACGTTGAGACGGGACTGCTCACGAATGAGCACGCTGCGAAGATCCTCCTTGGTGACATCGGCGAAACGACGCACAAGCCATCGTTCTGCTTTCCACGAATCTGGAAAGGCGGGTGCGTGCTCTTCCTCGTGGACCTTGAGCACGCGTCTGAACCATGCAAATCGCCGTGAGACGTTGTCGAGCTGACCCGCCTCGTCTGTGGCTCGGAAGATGCGACGATACTCGCGCAGCTGGAGCGAGCAGTACCAGTCGAGCAGGGCTGTCTTGGCCTCGGCGCCGATCGCATCGATGACGAGGGCGGATTCTGGAAGATTCGTGGAACGGATCGAGCGGTTGGGATCGTGCAAGAAGAAGTTCTCGTAGTCCTTCATGATGATGGTGCGCAGACTGTTCTGCAATTCGTTGACCTGCTTCCATGCAGCGGCGATACGCTCAACGCCGCGGTAGGACTGGAAGAAGTCGAGAAGGGATCGGACCGCCTGCAGCGATGAAGCGGCTTCCCTGTACCTTTTAGTCTCGGCGAGGCGCTGAAGTTGGTCGACGCCGTTGACCAGCATCTGGAGCCGCTTGAGGGCGGTCATGCTAGAAACGACATTGCGTTTGGCGATGTCAAGACTTCGAATATCTCGTGTGATCTCTTTGACCACGTTTTCTGACTGGCGTGCTTTCTCTCTGATCAAGAGGAGCTGCTCGAGGAGGGCTGCGATAGCCTGCTGCACTTGGGTCATGCGATTGGTATCGATCTCGGCCTCAAGCTCTGCGGTGAGCCGCGCGATCTGTTGCTGGCACGAGCGGATTTGCGAGCGGAGCACCGCCTGGACGCGATCGATCGAGGCGAGGCTGAGCGGCTCATCTTGCGCTCTCGAAGAGGTGAGGAGCTGATCGAGTTGCGATTCGAGGGAGGAACGATCGGCGAGACTGAAAGAGGAAATATCGGTGCCCTTGGACGGCTGCTGCTGCTTCTCTGACGACAGGATGTGATCGATCTGAAGGGCAACATCCTGCGTGAGTTCTGTCCCTTTGGATGGCAGTGGCGGCGGCGGTGGTGAAGCTGCTCTGGATATTGTCGCTTCGTCCAGCGTTGGGTCCGGCATGGCGCTGGCCATCGATTCCGCTGCCCCTTTCTTTCCTCAGCGCTCGGGCAATGGCCGCAATTCGTTTCCGAAGCTGCGAGGAGCGATACGAAGCTTGATCGAATAGATGGGAGGGTGGAAGGTGAGGATGCGAAGAGTGCGGTGCAGCACTGACTGGTCAAGGCGCAGCCAGGGTGCAGCCCATTTTCGAAATTGTTAGACCGGAACGCAGCATTGGCTAAAACACGTGACCGTCCCACGCGTGCGAGTGTTGGTCTGAATTGGCGCAGTTGGACGTTGTTGACTCAAAGCGAGAGAGAGAGAAAGTCATGCTGCATAGAGGGACGCTCGACAGGGTCCGATATTGACCTTGCTCGACCATAGTGCTGAAACGTCTCGGATCCGAAACCTATCTGGACGTCCATTTCCCTCACCACCATCATCTCGACCCACTGCACGCAGAGCATCTCACAAACCAACGCGCTCCTAGAGCAGGGCCTCAACCCGGGTCCATCGATCATCATGTCACGCAGACCGCTCAGCGAGTCGGCACCTGTGGCCGCGGCAGCAGCACCGCCTCCTCATATCAGCGTCGTTCGCCGACCTCTGGGACCTAGCACAAAGTCCAATGTCATCCCGACCGCCGCTCCCACCAATGCTCCCATCCAGACCATCAAGACGCAGATCAAGATCGAAGACCGTCTCACCAGAGCAGAAGCAAAGATCGCCGACCTGCAACATGAAAAGGTCACCGTCCAGAACGAGCTAGGAGACCTTCAAACCGAGCTGCGACTCGCAGCACAACGAGAAGCCAAGCTCAAACACAGCATCGAGAAGTGGGAAAAGTCGCACGCTTCGCTCAAGGAGAAGAACAGCAAGCTGACAGAGCTTCAGTCCCGGCTAGGGGAGCTGCACAAGGTGCACGAAGAGTCAAAGTCACGACGACAGAAGGAGATTGACGAACTCACCGAGAAGCTGAGGAGAGAGGAGGAGAAGCGCAAACATGATCTTGCTGCCGCCAGACACATCCTTACGAGTGAGCAGGCAAAAGCGCAGGAGTATCAGACGAGATGTGCCGCCGCCGAGAAGGAGCTTGAGCATCTCCGATTACAGGGGACTGCCTCGCACGACATTCTCAAGGAGAAGCAGAGCTTGATCGAGCAGCTGCAGTCGCATGTCGAATCGGACAAGATAGTCGCCATCGACGCGCAGAAGTACGCCCGCAAGATCGAAAACGAGCTCACCGCCAAGATCCAAGAGCTGCAGGCCGAGATTGAGGGCAAGACCAGCCAGGCAGCACGCTCGGCCCACGAGCAGCAGGCAGCGATCCAGGCAATGCGTTCCGAGCTCGAGTCCCAGATCGACGAGCTCATGGAAGACATGGACCTCATCGAGCAGCAGCACGCACATAACCTCGCCATGGTCGCCAAAGCGGTCTCCCAGCACAACGACGCTGTGCAGCAACAATCCACTTCCGACAAGGCCGCATTGAGGTCGAAATGGCACAGCAACGCTATCAAGCGCATCAAGCTCGAGACGCTGGCAGACGAACGGGAAGCACACATTCGCGAGCTCGTGGCCGTCGTCAAGCAGGTTCAAAGCGATCGCGATTCCGCCAAGCAGCTCGTCTCTGCTCTTCAGGTCGACCTCGCCAGCATCACAGAGGAGCTCTGCGCCGAACGACAGCTGGCTTCTCTGCTCATTGAGCAGCAGGAGGAGCAGCGGCAGAACGGCATCGGAACCAGCAGCAGCTTTGGCGATCTCTCCGGCATCACCACCGCTCTCGACTCGGACGACGCATCGACTGCCCTTCTCCGGGCGGACTTGGAGGATCTTCGCACTCGCAACACGCTACTTGAAGAAGAGACCGCCGATCTGCAAACCCGGTACCTTTCGCGCTCGACCGAAGCCAAGGCGGCTGAAGAAGCGCTCGCTGCAGCACGCACTCACGTCGCCACGCTCGAGACCTCTGTCGCTGCCAAGACACACGAAGTCGACAGTCTCGTCGCACAGCTCGCAGAGCTCGAGCCTCTTCGCAAGAAGCTCGCCACTGCCCAAGAAGAAGCCGCGGCCGCTCGCAAAGAGGCACAAGCCCAAGTTGAAGCATCTCGCTCCCTGACCGCTTCTCTGCAGAACGCAAGGGTCGCCGAAAAGGCGTGGCGGGATGAACGCGATCGTATGGCAGCGCTTCTCGACCAAGCAGAGCACTACGAGACGCTCTACAACGAGCTCGCCGATCAGGCGAAGCATCTGCTCGAACGCAATGCCCTCGCCGAGGAGGAGAAGGCGACCCTGTCGGCACTCAACTCGGAGCTGCTCAGCCACAACAACCCGCATCAGAAGATCATGTACATGGACCGTGTGCGACACGAGCTGGACGACGTCAAGCAGGAGAATGTCGGCTTGAGGCTGCAGCTGGAAAGAATGGAGGAGGAGAACAGGATCATGCAGCGGGAGCTGGGAAGCTACAAGGCGGTCGATGTGCCGTTGAGCCAGCGACCCAGGGCGGAGGTGACGAGGGTGCTGAGGACGACCGATCACGACGGGCTATTGAGGCAGGTCTCGGGATCGATGGAGCCGCAGCAGAGAACCATGCAGGCGAAGGCAGCCAGAATCAACCCGCTGCCGTCGTCGGTGTCGACACCCATCCAGTCCAACTTCCCAGCCAGCACGAGCAAGACGCCGTTCTCTGTGCAAGGTCCTCGATTCACCGCCACGCCGCTCCAGCCCGAGCTGCAGAAGACGCTCTCCACGGAGGAACTGCCACGACGCGCTGAAGTCGTTGAAGAGACGTGTGAGGTGGCATCACACCCGCCCTTGCCGGTCGACACTGGACTGTCGCCCAAGAAGAGACGCTCGTACGGCAATCTCTCTGTGCACGTGACTGAGGACCGCCAGGTAGCAGCGGACGAGGAGAACGAGATGGAAGACGACACTTTGCTGCCTCTGCCGTCTGCCACAGAAATTGGTGCCGAGATCGACGAGGATGGAATCACATTCAGCCACGGAGAAGCGGCAGTTCGACGCAACCGCCCTCGTCATACGCTCGTCAACAGTGGAGCCCTGCGCAAAGCTCCCTCTCAGCCATCTTCGATCCCGCTTCCTTCGAACATCCCGAGATCGGACTCGAATCCAGCTGCAACACCCATCGACGCCGCCGCTGCCGCCAAGGAAGCAGGAAGCCGACGTCCAAGCCTTGCCACCTCTTCGCTCGGCATCAAAGCTCGTCGCGTCTCTGAGCTCGTCCGCGCCTCGACGCCGCCACTTCCCTCCATCGCCGACTTTTCCAACCTCGAGACACCGAATGCTCACCTCCTCCTGGACGGCGCTCTTCCTTCACCTTCGCCGTTTGGGCTGGCCGATTGGACTGCGACGGACGAAACCTCACACGTGCCTGCCCTGCATCACGGCGCGTTTGACCAGCACGTCCACTCGACGCCGCTCGTCTCGATGCGACCGCGCAACAAGGGCAAATCGCGCTACTCCGGTGCACTGCGGGTCCATGCTCCTGAGGATGTGACGCTCACCACGCCCATAGCGAAAGGTCTGCTGCCACCGACGCGCAAGAATGGCCACCTGGTTGCTGTTGCCGAAACACCAACGGGGCTGGTGTACGAGGACGAACACGACTCGTTGCGCAGAGGATGGATGTACGACGAGGAGGACGAGCAGGTGGAGCTGCCCGACTTTTCCATCGAGGGAGCCGCAGCGCAGCAGCAGCAGAAGGCGAAGAAGCAGAAGAGCAAGGCGAAGCCGAGGGGATCGATGAAGGTCAAGCCTGGTCCCATGGCGAGGACCTTCTTCCGATAGATCCAGCCTAATTGAATACCAATACCCTTCGCAGACGACTTGAGCGCGGGTGTAAAATGTGACTCTAGCAAAGTGTGATGCTAAGGTCGAGCTTGCTGCTGAGCGTGAGAATGCTTTCCGGCTCTTCCGCAGCAGCTTCGGCGGGTCTCCGACACTGCTGCTTCGCCGCTTTGCCTCACGTCAAGAGTCTGTCCACATATGCGTCGCCAGTCGTCAGTCACAATTCAGGCCACGCAACAAGAAGCCCAAGCTTTCGCCCTCGGTGGAGGCTGCGCTTCCGTTCTTCTTTGATGGTCACACGAGACGGCAAACTCAGCCAGCTGAGCCAGTAGAGTCGACTCAGCCATCATTCGTGTTCGATATACTGTATCGGTCGCAGCTTTTCGACGCTTGACTTCAAGCTTCATCCATCCCTCACTCGCAACGACCCCCCTAGCTGCCATCTAGCTCCCGCAAGCCTCGACACACGCAAAGACTTGAGCCACACCTGGCTTACTCGCAACACCTTGCCCTTTGCGATACCCTCAGACTCGAAGCAACTTTGCATCTCGCAACTACCTTGCCTCTTTCTCTTCTGCTCATCGCCTTCGGTCTCCGCAGAACCGCGGCTCAAGATGTACCCTACCGTCGCTCAGCCGGCTAAAAAGTCTCGCTCGAACTCGTCGCAGACCATCGCCGCCGACTCTGACGAAGACACGATTTGCGCGTGCACCGTGATACACCTCGTCAAGACCCAGGAGAAGCTCGTCCAGATCCAGCAGGAGCAACTCCAGGCCCAGAAGCAGATTCTCAAGTCACTCGCCAAATTGGCCCAGAAGCTCGACGAGATCAACGGCGTCTTGCGCCTCAACACGCTCAGGGACGTCTCGGACCTTCAGACCATGCCGCCTCTGAAGGCCAAGAAATTCATCGAGGTGCTGGGCGACCTTCCTCATTCCACCGTGGCTCTGGGAAATCTCGAAAATGCCATCGAGATGGCTATCGCCGCAGAAGTCAAGAAACCCCGATCGGTCTTGGACGAAGTACTTGGGTTCTCTTGATTCGATCATAGCTGGCGTGGCACTGTACTGCGCTCCTCACGTGGGGAGTCGCTCCATTCTCGAGTCGATCCAATCAGCCTTCTCCATGTTTCGTTCCTCACTGTAGTCAGTAATCTCCAGTCCGATTCCATCACATCCCACTCTGGTATCACGTCGAAGCAGCATGACTGACTTGAGATTACGAAAGGTGCATCTGACGAGAGACATACGTTGGCGGCAAATCGTAGATGTCGCGCAGACTCTGCTGCAGCTTCTCCTCGTCCTCGAAAAGGTGGCGGTCGGCGTCCATGTCGATACGCAGCACGTTCTGGCTCGAGTCCGTAACATTAACGATCTCGTCCAGATCCGGTGTGTTCCTCGCATTCAACCCGATGAACACCGCATAGGTCGCCAGGACAGCGAACAGACTCCATGCCGGGATCAAGAACGCCCATTCGCGATTCGGGTACCACGCAATGCCCACGCTTTCCAACACCTCGTCGGGCGTCAAAGCCCAGCCGATCCACCCGACCCACAGGACCGTCGCAAAGATGAACAGCGCAAAGCCATAGTACTCGCCTGTCGACCGTCTTGGCTGCGACTGTTGGGGTGCTACAGATGAGGGAGAACTCCGAAACGAACCTCGAAAGGACTGGTCGGACTTTTCGTCCACCCACGATTCGATGGTGGTTGCCTCTGGGTGACTTGTTCGCGTCGACGCGGCGTGCGGGGCCGAGGACTGGAGGGGATCTTCGGAGGGTAGCGCATTGAGGCTGTGGAGCTGCAGTGCAAAGGGCCCCGACTGGGCTTGGAAGTTGCTCCGCGCCATGAAGCTCCATTCGAACGTGTTTTCAGGTAGGAATTCGCCTGCGGTCTCAGGATCCACCGGTCGACCGCGGTACATGGGCTTGAAGTCGTCCCACGTCGAGTCGAAGACCCAAAAGTCGTCGTTGGTGAGGGCCATGTTGAGGCTGGCATCCTTCACCTCGTCTTGCGGGATCGAGAAGGCCCACTCCCACACAATGACGCTCTCCCTTCTCCCATCGGGCCGGCGCTTCGGCTCTTCGGTCTTGATCTCGAACACAAACGAGGTTACGGGTCCACAACCGCCGCCTGGGTTGCTCCCGTCCGAGGGCGGCGAGGGCTCCTCCCAATTGGCCTCTTTGCGAACGACCAAGCGCAAACCCGCGAACTCGTCCTTCCCGAGTTTGACGGGGAATGGAGTGGTCGAAGACTGGGAGGCGAAACCAGCACCGCCGAGGGTGGTCGTATCGAGAAAGCCGGAGAAGACGAGTTCGCCGCGGCTAACGGGTGGATACTGGATGATGGCGGCGTGCGAATGGCTCGTGCCGCCGCGCACTCGGTCGTCTACGGCGAAGAAGTCGTCGGATCGCCAGGGACGTGCGGGCGACCGCGGGTTCGGGCCGGGCGCGTAGAGAGGGGTCGTGCCCAAGTACGACATGGTGAGCCGTTAGGTGGGGAGGATGGTGGTGGTCGAAGAGGAGGAAAGGGTGGTGGGAGGAGCGTATGAAGAAGCTTGGCAACGTGGAGTAAAATATGGATGCGGAAATTTATGCAGACGCACGGTGTCAGCTGGAATGTGGGATGCAGATCTCGTTCGGCTACTCGAGTGAAGCGGGATCCGAAGCGACTACCTCGTCCATCTCGACGTGCAAGCCACACGCCTTCTGTTTCAGCTCACCGTATCCAGGTCGCGCCATACAGCACAACGAAGCAGCTCATAGCGAAGCAGACATAGGCTTCAACTCGCACGACATGACCTCGCACACACTAGCCCGCTTCGACGCGAGCAAAGACCTCGCCGACGACTGCGCCTTTTGCAAGATCATCGCCGGCAAATCATCTGCCTTTGTCGTGTACGAGGACGAGAGCAACATCGCCTTTCTCGACATCCTGCCGTTGAGACCGGGCCACACGCTCGTGATACCGAAGATGCACGTTCAGCAGCTGTCGCATCTCGAGCCGGGGACGGCGGCTTCGTTGTCGAATGCGCTGGTGCAGACGACTAGGGCGATCGGCAAAGGTGAGCTAGCGCTTTTCTCTCAAGTCTTGGTATTGTGTGCAGCACACTGATGTCTGTTCTTCTTTTCTGGCCTTCCCTTTGCCAATGCACAGCACTAGGCGACGAGAGGCTGCAAGTCATCACGAATCAGATCTACGCTCAGCTGGTGCCTCATGTAAGTCGATGCAGTTCAAATGTTTTCCTCGTTCGATTCCGCTCGCCTGACACAGTCTGCATCCGACTCGAAACAACAGGTGCACTTTCACATCGTTCCCGCTGCAATGCGACCGAGCAAAGACGACAAGACCAAGAAATCAGCATCGAGCAATCCTCTGGCAATGATGGGGCTGGGGCACGGGCGTGAGGAGCTAGACGACGAGGAGGCGGAAGAGCTGGCCAAGAAGATACGAGAAGCGGCAGCACAGTTGAAGAACGGACCGAGTGCGAAACTATGATACCCTTCGCTGCCAGTGTATCATCGCGGCGGCTACCACCCGTCCACTGTGCGAGCGAACGTGTGGCCGAGACTGAGATCATGTGGTGCCCCTCAAGCTAGCCCGCCTGAAAAATGTGTGATACGGCTCGCGATGGTCGGAAATGCGTGATGTATTGCACCTGCGATCTCGTGATGGATGTATAGCAAGAGCCAAACGGTCTAGATGCGTCGAGGTGAAATTTACTCGGAAGCCCGCTTGATCTTGAGATCCGAGAGGTCGGCTTGCGAGCCGGGGGCGACGGCGTGAGGCGATGCCTGCTCAAAGATCCTGTTATACAGCACAGAAAGTCAAGTCAAGAGGGTCAGTCAAATGCAACACCGATCGAACCGGCGCTTTTGCAGGTGCAACTCACTGAGTATAACGCAATCGGTGAACGGGCGGACGTTCTGCGTCCTGGAAGAGGAGCCTCTCCTCGGCCTTCTCCTTGACCAGCTCCAAGTGCCTAGCGTTGCGCTCCTTCCAGACGCTCGAGGGCGTAGTCCAGTTTTCGATGTAGCGCGTGAGCCATGGCTTCTCACCCTCGACGTGCAGGTTGTCTTCCGACTCGTTGCCTGGTGCGGAACGGCCCGAGGACGAGGCTCTCGAGGGGTGCGGGTCGGCGTGGAGGGTAGAAATGCGGTAGAGGCCAAAGACGGCAACGGCACCGAGGAAGGTCCAGCGCCAGATGGGAGCGCCAAAGTTCTCGGATGGGTAGTCTTCTGCGGTCGAAGAGGAGGAAGATGCACCAGCACGAGCGATGCGAGTCGAGTGGAGAGATCGGATGGGTGCGGTCGAGACGGCGAGCGCGGGCGCGCGTCGAAGCGCCATGCTGACGGAAGGCGTGGCGACCATGTTGATCCAGAGGAGGGTGATGCGAGGTGGATGACGCGGGTGAAGGAGAGGAGAAGGTACCAAAAAGAAGGTCGATATCAAGGCGCTGAACTGCCGATTGCAAGCTTCCACTCAACCATCGGCTCCGAATTTGGGCTGGCGAGATGTCTTCTCGCACGGACAGAATCAAATTTCGTGCTGTTTTTCAGCTGGATGAGGTCTAACAAAATCGAAAATCAGCTGCGCCGTGTCGATCCCTTTCGTCTGGTTTAGGCTTGGCGAGATTCGAGCTCAAATTTCGAAAAACGCGTGTGTGTTGGTCTCAGGCGAAACCGCGCTCGCTGGTCACGGAGCAGGCTCGGATGAGTGTTTATGGATCGACCCCTGTCCAAGTTGGATTGTATGCAGAGAATCGTTCCATCGACCCAGCTTCATCCTTACGCTTGTGCTTGCACGTCGAGACGTGAATGGGGAGTGCACAAAACCTGCCTGCAATGACGCCTGCATGAGGCGAGCGCGGGTCGAGAGCGTGCCCTGCTCCTATCAACGTGCGCCCTTCGCTCAAAGGCCACTCCTTTGTCTTGTGGGACGGTGAGAGATGCATAGACAAACGATGTGCGCCCACTCTGCTCATCTCAGCGCCGCTCACTCACAATGAGACAAAGGCAAAGAGCCGACTTCATTTGCGTACAACGGCTGCAAAGTTGCAACGCACTTTCGTGTGACGCTGATCGTCGCTTAGTTGGCTTGCAGCTTGCGTCGCATCGAGATTGAATCGGTCCAACCCGAAGAAGAGCTGACAAGCGTAGCATCGGAAGAGACGAGACTCGGACGGCCTATCCGATCCTGCAGCTGCCTTACACTGAGTGACTTGAATCCAACAAGCCGAACTGGGTTTGTTTAGCCAACAAAGCTGAAGCGTGCCAAAAAGAGCTGCGTCGCGTCAGGGCCCAAAGCTGTTGCGTGTGTGTGTGTGTCTTTTTCAGCCCTGCGACTCTATTCGGCTGGCTTTGAGGTTTTCAACTTAGCTCTGGTCGATCAACTTGGCTCTCACCATCATCATCATCTTCGTTTCACCTCTCCGACACCATTTCATCGGGCACCTCACTTTTGACCCACCACTCATCCTATTCATCAGGCTGCTCTGTCCATCCGACAACAGATTCTTTTTGTCTCAAAGCAGGCTGGACGGCTGCGCTATCGATTCAGCCGTCTTCTCTTCTGTCGTACCAATTTGCATTCATCAGCGCCCCAAACCCTTCATCCCACAACACTTCGCCATCCTCCATTCGAAGTTCGACGTTGTTGAAATCCATCACACTCGTTTGCTCTTCCAACCAGCGATCAAACACCCATCCATAGGCTACTGGCTCTCGCAAACATCGCCCTTCACACCGATCGTACGCCGACTGGGATGCTTTGATTGGCTCGTCGACCCTCGTCCATCCTCGCTCCGCCTTCAAGCGCGTCGAGCTGACATCACGCTTGTCCGCACAGTATCCACCTTCCCGACCGTATCCTGTGCAGGCCGCGGCAGCAACTGCCATGGTCGCACAATCTTTCGCCGCCTCGGCGAGCATATCATATACCCATCGCTCGCATACTCGACCGTCCACATCCACGCTGGCCAGAGCAGTCTCTAAATCCGCCCTTCTTCTCACCGCAGCGCTACCACTGGCATCGGCATCCATCTCCAACTTCCCCAGCATCGACTTTGATCTTCTCGGCGCTGTCAGCATCGCCGGCTCCTTTGCTGGCATCCAGCTATGGAATCAAACCGGCTCCTCCACCACTCCCAACGCCACCTATGATCCAGCTGCATCCTCTCTCCTCTCTCGCGCCAGCAATGGCACCGTCTCCTTCATCAGTGCCACCGAAGAGGGCGGCACCATCCACGCAATCTGCCAGATGCAGTCCTCGCCTAATACCGTCTTTGTTGCTGGCAACTTTTTCTCAATAGGCGGCACCGCGGTCAGCAACATTGCATCCTACAACCCCACCACCAAAGCTTTTGACAGCATGGCCGGTGGCCTGGACGGCACTGTACAGGCTCTCTACTGTGACAACGACCAACAGCAGCTCATCGTCGGCGGCTCCTTTTCCGGCCCCGTCGATGGCAAGACCGATCGATATCTTGGCAATGTAGCGCAATGGGACGTTTCCGCCTCGGCATGGAATCCGGTCAGCTTTGGCGGCCTCGACGGCACGGTCAACACCATCACAGCCGGAGGCAACGCGTCGCTGGTACGGTTCGGAGGCAGCTTCGACACCCGTTTCGCCTCGGCAGGCGCCAATGGCATCCCCTCCGGTACCAACACCTCGGCATCTCCCCTCACAGCCGCCCTCACTCCCCTCTCTCTTGGGCAAGTCGAATTCGTCGGTGGGCCCAGCTCCAAAAGCGCTGGCTACGACAACCCAGCTCAGATCCTGTGCCCGCAAGGTGCAGACGGAAGCGGCAACTCGTATCTTTTCGAGGATGGTGTCGATGGCCGACTCACTGCTCGTGCGTTCCGCGCTCTCAATGTGCGCGCCATTCGGCTCGGCAATACCTTCGTTGACGGACGTGGCACGCGCACCTTTGGCATCGTCTCGATCCCCGACAACACCGAGCTCGAGCTTATCTACCTCGACCCGGCTACCAATCAGAATGTCACATGCACCACCAACTGCACTCTTGCCCACGATGCAGCGCTCCCCTACCAAGACTTCTTGATCGCAGACACACCCGCCAACAACGCACCTGGCGGCGTCAAAGAGCTCACCGGCATTCAATTCACCGCCACCGAGTACTACGGCGCTGGTGCCGGTCTTCACGTCCTCGAACTCCTTTCCGAGGGTGGATGGGCGTACGCCTACAATGCACTCAACCGCGGCGGCTGCAGCTCGGATCAGAGCGGCGTCAGCGGCACCGACTCTTCGGCCACAAACCAAGGCGGCTGGTACCCAAGCACGATCAACACGCTCGCTGGCACAACGGAGCCCGTACTCGCCTACACAGACTCGTACAGCAACCTGCAATCTGCTTCATCATCAGCCACCGTCACCTTCGCCGTCGACATCCCGGTCAATGGCAACTACACGGTCAACATGTTTGTCCCCGGATGCAGAGCCAGCGGACAGTGTGGCCAGCGCACCGATGTCCAAGCCAACGTCTTTGCCGTCGAAGGATCTCAGGGCAATCTGACGCGCGTCTCGCAGACGAATGAGAACGACCGGACCGTTCAGATCTACAGTGGCGAGGTCAACAAGGTCGCCGAAGGGTTTCAGCCCACCGTCGTGCTGTCCATCCCGTCCGATGCACCGGCGCCCTCGGACGGCGGCGACTTTACCGTCATCGCCGACAAGGTGAGCTTTCTGCTGCTCAACAGCAACGAGACGCTCCAGATGGCGCGAGCCAGCGGTTTCGGCGTGCTCGAGTACAACCTCTTCGATTCTGCCGTCACCGCCCTTCAGAGCAACGGCACTGGCACGCTGCCCAATACCACCATGACCGACATCGACACCTTTGCAGCAACGCTCTACTCGAACGGCGTGCGCAGCAATGCCAGCGACACCGCCGTCTCCGCCATTGCCTCGGTCGGGTCCCGCACCTTTGTCGGTGGCTCGTTCACATCGACCGGCAACGTCAGCTTCGCCAATGTGGCTGGCTTCTCATCCGATTCGACGGGCAGGACACCCATCGAGATCGCGAATGGCGGTCTCAATGGTCCTGTCGAGGCCCTTGCTAGCCTCGGCAATGCGCTTTACGTCGGCGGCAGCTTCACCAGCACGGCCGACAGCGCGGTCACCGTCTCGTACATTGCTCGCTACGATCCGGACAACAATGCTTGGACTGCGCTCGGCGGAGGTCCCGACGGCGCCGTCACTGACCTCTACGCGCTCGGCCCCGATGCCCTCCTGATTGCCGGATCCTTTGCGACCGTCAACGGGACTGGCCAGAGCGGTGGGTACGCTGTTTGGAACGCCACCGCCAACGGATGGCAGACGCAGTCCAGCTTTGTCGCCGCCGAAATGACGGCTGCCTTTGCGAACTACGCCGACAGCAATCAGCAGGGCTTCCTGGCTGGCAGCGTCCGCGCACTGAGCCTCCAGTCTGCCTCGGGCGCTGCGCAGCTTCAGGCACCTGCTCAGTCCGGCGATCTGCCTACAATCGAATCACTCAATTTCCAGTTCGCATCGCAATCGGGCTCCTCCGCGTCCGCCTCGTCGTCCGCAAGCCTTTCGCGGAGGTTCATTGTCAACGGCGTTCGGTCACAGCAGCCGCAGCAGCACCAGCAGCAGCGACGACAAGCCGAGAAGAGAAGCGAGGACCAAGAACGCGCTTCCTCTGGCTTGGGCGCCAAGTTGCGCTCGCTGCTCGCAAGGTCGCCTTCGAGTGGTCGCCGATTCGAGAAGCCCTCATCGCAAGCGTCATCCCTGACCAAGCGCGCCCCCATCATGCTGCCTGCCTCGCTCACGTCAGACGGTCAGAATGAGGTGCTCGCCAGTGCCTTTTGGCAACGCGACGACGGCTCGTTCGTCAACATTCTCGGAGGCAACTTTACCACTACCGCTGGCATCCGCAACCTCGCTTTCTACGACGATTCCACCAGCACCGCAACAGCCTTCCCTGCACAACCGATCACTGCGAACCAGCAGGCCATCACGGTCGTCCGCTCCTTGTTCGTCGACTCGGACATGCTCTACGTCGGCGGAGATGGCGGCTTCGAGGCCTACGACTTGAAAAAGGCAAGCTGGCTCACCAACAGCGCACCTCTCTCGGCCACCTCCCGTCAAGTTCTTTCCGTGACGGCGATCAACCACCGCCCAGACTCGACGCAGCTCATCGTGTCTGGCAGCTTCGCATCCGCCGGATCCCTGCCATGCCTCAACGTCTGCCTTTGGGACAGCGACGGCATGCGCTGGAGTCCCTTGGGCGCTGGTCTTAGCGGCGAGATCTCGGCGATCGACTACGCCGGCAACAAAGCGAACCAACTCATCCTCGCAGGTTCCTTGACGGTCAACGGAGCACAGGCTTCGCTCGCCAGCTACAACTTTGACACGCAGACCTGGACCGCCTTGGGCACGGTCGGCAGCGGCTCGAATCAAATCCCAGGTCCTGCTACGGCTGTCAGCGTCGACGACCTCAACGCCAACGCCATCTTTGCCGCGGGTCGCACGGCGGACGGAAGCGGCCCGTATCTGGTCCGATGGGATGGAACGCAGTATACGGCCGTCGGCTCGGGCCAGTTCTTGTCGGACACGGGCATCTCGCAGTTGACCTTTGTGCCCATCTCGCGAGCCCATCCCAGCAATCCCATCCTGGAAGACAACCGACTGCTCGTGGTCAGCGGAGCATTGACGACGCAAGACTACGGCGACATCTCGAGCGTCTTCTTCGACGGTCAGAGCTACTCGCCGTTCTTGCTCGCCACCAACCTGGATGGCTCGTCTGGGATCGTGCGCGCCTTCACCCGATCGACCGAGGTGCTGCGCTTCCCGAACCTGCACCATCTTGCCGTGGGGCTGGTGATCCTCATCTCGATCGCCATCGGACTCGGCATTGTCTTTCTGCTCGTGCTGCTCGGTCTCATCTGGGCCGTAGCGAGAAGACGGCCAGAACCACGCGACATGGCCGTGCCCCTCTCGGCAAGCGATGAGACGCTGGGTCTGGGCGAGAAGAAGCGCCCGTCCAGCTTGTTGGCGACGCTCAATGCGGCGACCGAGAATGCTATGCTCGGCGAACATGGCGGTGCGGCTGCCGGGATGGGTGCCGCCGCTGGTGCTGGTGGCGCTACCGCTCTGGCAGCCGCTCATCGTCGAAGGGACTCGCAGCAGTACGACACCACCGACGAGCTGTCCCCGTCGAGCTACCATGGCGATGCTAGCCGCAGCGGACCGAGCGCCCAACGGCAGTATCCTGCCGACGACGACGGAGTCTCGGACGCCGAAGCTGGGTTGGGCATGAGCATGATGGGCGTCAGCGGTGCGGCGGCAGCACCGGCTTTGCACGGCGACGAGGACGACTCGCCCATGGAGGGGATCCCAGCGCACGCGCGGTACGACTTTGCGCCCAATCACGAATCCGAGCTCAAGCTGGTGTCAGGCGAGCCGATCGAGATCTTGGACGATCAGGACCGTCATTGGTGGCTGGCAAGGAACGCGCAGGGTCAGACCGGTGTCGTGCCGAGCGCCTATGTGATGTGATCACCGGCTAGCAGCAAAACGAGGCACCTCTCGAAGAGGACCTTCAACATACCCGTTCTGTGCACTCCCGCATGGAACACCCTCACTCAAGCGCAGATCGACGCAACAACATACACACTCTTTTCTTTCACTGTCTCTTTTCGTTTGCATTCACTTTCATTTGTGCGTCGTTTTGCTTCATATGGTCTTTCGTAATCCAGAGCTTCATCGCAAGCTGTCATCCGTATCCTCAGCGTCATTGTTAGCGTCAGAGTCGTGACGTGAGGCTGTTCGGGGAGGATGGGCGAGCATGGCGAGGGCCACGTCAAAGGCCGTCGTGAGCCGCGGCGTAACATTCCAGATCGGGCAGAAAAAGCTCGGGATCCGATTTTGGCGTGGTCCGAAGATCTGAGTTGGACACTCCACACTCACGCACATGCATCCCATCCTCATCGACTTGCACCATCGTTCCACCGACCACCATCATTAGTACGGACCAGCTGTATCGAGGGGCGGAGCTTTCAGTTTCCAGCTTTCCGCATCGTCAAGGGCTGCCGTACTCGACTGTTCAACCTTTGCAGCCAGACGCTCCTTCACGTACGCACAACATCTGCACGCCAACGGTGGCCAACTTTGACTCAGCATCGACTCGTCTCTCGATCAGCTTCTTGCCAACTCACGACTCAGCATTACGCCTGCCTGGAGCAAGTCACAAAAGTCTTCCACTGCTATTCACGATACCCAGAAACCAGGATAGCAGCATCAGACACACGCCTTCGACGGCAGAAGAAGAACGAGCAGCACTTGTAGGATACGGCCAGGCCGCGGCAACAGCTCTTGCGGCACTTCAGCATCACGACTCGGCGAACTCCATCTGCTTCAGCATCGTTCCTCCCCGCATCTTCGATAGGCAGCGGTCACCGCACGCGATAGCCGTCCCGCACTGCTGTCCGCTTCGATACACGGCTGTCAGCAACTAGCGCTTCGCTCGCCAGCCAACGCACGGGCGGGATCCGCCTCTGCACCGCCCTCTTCAGTACCCTCATCCTCTACGACAATCTCAACTAGCGACACGGCTCAGGAGCTCGGTCGCCTTCACACGCAGCCAGCATGGCGTTCGACCTCGACGCGTGCATCGCGACGTTGCTCAAGAAGCAGCTTCTCGGCGAGGCTTTACTCAAAGAGATCTGCGAAAAGACAAAGGAGATCCTGATGCGCGAATCCAACGTCGTCCACATCTCCGCACCCGTCACCGTCGTCGGTGACATCCACGGTCAATTCTACGACCTGATCGAGATCTTCCGCATCGGTGGCTATGCGCCGCACACGAACTACCTCTTCTTAGGCGACTATGTGGATCGAGGTCTCTTTTCCGTCGAGACCATCTCCCTGCTCACGTGTCTGAAGCTTCGCTATCCGGATCGAGTCCAGCTCATCCGCGGGAATCACGAGTCGCGGGCGGTGACGCAGACCTATGGCTTCTACACCGAGTGTCAGCGCAAGTACGGCAGCGCCAACGTCTGGACCTACTTTACGGATATGTTCGATTTCCTCACGCTCAGCGTTGTGATTGACGACCAGATCTTCTGCGTCCACGGTGGGTTGAGTCCAAGCATACACTACGTGGATCAGGTCAAGGTGATTGATCGATTCCGCGAGATCCCGCACGAAGGACCCATGGCAGACCTCGTCTGGTCCGACCCGGATCCGGATAAGGAGGAATTCGCCATCTCGCCTCGTGGCGCAGGATACACCTTCGGCGCCAGCGTGGTGAAACACTTCCTCCATAGGAATAACATGAACCACATTCTACGGGCACACCAGTTGTGCATGGAAGGGTTTAGTGTGCTTTACGATGATCGGTTGTCCACGGTTTGGTCAGCCCCAAATTACTGTTACAGGTGCGGAAACATGGCCAGTATCCTAGAGGTGTTTCCGGGAGGCAGGAAACACTTTAATACCTTCGAGGCGGCACCGGAGAACGAGAGGGACGGTCCGAATCAGCATAATCTCAACGGTGGGCCCACGGCAAATGGCAAGCATGAGGCTGTAGAGTACTTCTTGTAGCACAAGCGAATGGAGAACGAACGCAAGCAGACGGTGTGATGTGTGACGGGAGTGGGGAATGCATGGGATTGATTGGACGGTAGCACTGCGGAGCACGAACAGACAAGGGTGACACACGATTCTGAGCGGCGAAAGTCAAGACTTTGACGGCACGAGGAAATGGACTTTGGTGGCCTCGAGGCTAGCCTTGGAGCGGCCGTCACTTTTTCTTCTCGGTCGCTTTGTTTGGGGTCTTGTCCGTTTGGATCGGCGTGAACACCGTCTTGCTCGGCGTCGGATTGGTGGAGGTCTTTCGAGGTTTGACTAATGTAGCCTTGTGCTCCTCGTGCGTGATGACCCTGAGGTTGTCGAACGCCTTGAAGAGGTCCAATTCCTTGCGGAGGTTCCCGAGTGGATCGTGGGCGTGCGTGAAGGTCACTTCGAAGTCCACCTCGTCGTCGTCGTCGTCGTCCGAATCAATCTCGGGCATTTCGGCGGAAACGATGCGGAAGCCAGCCTTCTCGATCAGCTCGACGACTTTTGAGTGCAACAGCTCGCACGACTCCACCGTCGTCTCGAACTCGGCGACAAAGTCGGGCTTGTAGTCCGACATCTGGGCGAAACGGACGAGCAAAGGCATGTCAGGATTGATGAGAGGAGATCCCATCTCAGGATTTTTCTCCAGAGCGACCTTATATAGTCAAGTTCGGAGTTCCTCGGTCCTCTCGAGGCCAGGGTTCTCAGCCTATCAGTGCGACTCCGCTCACGCAGCGGCCCGCGAATTGAAAGCGATCAGCGGAGAAGGGTGGGATCTCCCAGCTGCGATCTCGCCTGCTCATTGCAAGCAAGGCTTCATATCGGCGCAGTGAAAAGGATGGGCTGAATTGCAGCACTTTTTCTTCCGAGCATTTCATCTCATTTGCGCTGTCCTCACAAATTCGTTCAAGATGGGTCGAGCTCGTGTAATGAACTTTGCGATCGGGCGAGGAGAGGTAGAAATGGACCAAGTCCATTTGATTCTTTGCGAGGACAGGAGTAGAAGTGAGTTGCGAGGCTACATGGCGAGGGCGAAGATGAGGACGGCAAGGACGAAGCCACGTGCTGTATGGAGTGTCATTTAGGATCTGGAGCCTCGCATCCTGTTCGCTTCGAACCGTTCTACCACCGGGCTAGGTTGGCCCGATGTTCCTCGTGCGTCAAGACGCTCACCTTCGGCTGGCCTCCAAAGAGGTTGAACGCCTCTTCGATGCGTTCGGGCGGCAGATCGACCCGCGTGTAGGTAACGCTAAACGTGAAATCGTGTCCGTCCTGCCAGCCAGGGGAAACGGCAGGAAAGTCTACGAATGCGACGAAAAAGCCTTGCTGCTCAATCAGACGCCGCACGTCGTACAGCAGATGGCCGCTGCTCTCCACCGTCGTGAGGAAGGTCGCGTGAAAGTAGGGCTTGGTCTTCGACATGGTGGGTAAGTAGAGGATGGACGAGGGGTGCGGTTAAGTTCGTTCTGTGCCTCCAGCCTTATGTACCCCCGCTCAGCTGACGGCAGAGCGATGCTGCGCCGACTCGAGCAAGCATTACGAGCTGCGCATGCGAGGGAAAGGCGACATCGCCTTCATTTGTTCCGCCTGCGGTCCTTGAATCCTGCGCAGCTTTGCGCCTGCGCAGAAACGGGGACTCACAAAGCTTTGTGCTCATCGACTTCATTGAGCAGCATCTTTCGAACCTTCAACGAGAAATGTGAGGCAGACGGGTACTTCTCAGAGCACATACGATACAACGAAAGCACACAAACTGCGATGCGAGAAGTGAGGTGAGATGAAATGGATTGCGATGCTGATTTGGGTGCGAGAGCCTGTGGAGACATGAGTTGCGAGGAGTTGTGAGATGAGAGGAGAGATTGCGGACAGGAAAGCGTCTGACACGAGGTGTCATGTACCGCGAGGAGAACTTCGTCGAGAGGAGGCCCGGGCCGCACAGTGACACGATACATGGGGAGAGACGAACGACGTGGAAGTGAACATGGGAATGGTGAGGCTATCGAGCCCTCCGACAACATCAAGAGCGTTGATGCGGAGGTGATGAGAGGGGCTGATTACTTGTCTTCCTCGGCATTTTGCACTTCGGCCTCGAGTGCACAGTGTTCGTCATGCGTCAAGGCATGAAAGCACTGGAAACCGCGGTAGACAGAGAGCTCATCCCCAATCTTGAAGAACGGGTCTTCGACGAAAGTGAAGATGACTTCGAGCTTGCAGGCCCCGTTGGGCTCTGGGAGAGGCCTAAAGGCAGGCATCTTGACGAGAACAATGCGGAAGCCAGCCTTCTCGAGGGTCTCGGTCACCTTGTTCAGGAGCAACTCGCGTCCGTCCGCGCTCGATATGAAATTGACGCAAAAGTGTTGTGAGCTCGATGTCATGAGGAAGGAGTCGAGGATGGGGAGGATGGGCGAATGTGAGAGGAAAGCGGACAGAATTGTAGGAGGTCTTGCCTTTATGTTTTCGCTTGCGCTGGCTACGACGTGGCTTGAAAGCGGCTTTGACTCGATTGGAGGTCTGTCCTCGAAGGAAGGAGACGGGAAAGGTTGTTCTGAAGAGCGATGATGATGGAAGGGACGAAGGGAGTTCGAGCTACGGAGGCTGCTTATATGCCTTTTGGGGAGAGGCTCAGTTCGTTTATAGACCGTCGGACGCTCCGCTCATGACGATTGATCTCCTTCCCGCTCGTGAGCGATCGTGTCTTCCGCACTGCTCGGTTTCCTGCTTCGCATGATAGAGGTCCGCTCGTGACGAGCTGGAGCAGAAGTCTCGAGCTCGTTTGTGTAACGCGCGAAAGGCCTTCAACTGTCCAACTCGTTCTGATAGGAAGCTGTCCCATCAAATGTCCAATCACGCTCAGCAGAAATAAGCTTTGACCCGTGTGAAAGCGGAGCAACTGTCCATCACACCCTCATCACTTCGACGAGACTGAGAAACTGCCGATGTGTCAGAGAGCTGATCTCCGCCGCTCGACGGAGAGCTCTCCATCGCGGTCGGCGACAAGACCGAGAGCTCGCGGTGGGACAGGCATGGTTTCGAGCTAATCTCTGCAAGTCAAGCTGCGCTGTCGATAAGCTTCCATGCACCGTCACGACTGTAAGTGTGAGACGGGACAGATGCGCTGAGGGGTGTGCATGAACGCAGAGCTCAGAGATTCTACGCGTGACGATTGAAAGACCGCAGCTCGCAACTCAACCTTATTTCGGCTGCACAAAGCGTTGATCGAACAGAATGCTCAGCGAATCACAGGAAAAGCTGTCTTGCCGCTCAAATGAGATCGATTGAGTTGATGCAAACCTTGTCCGCTGCGCTGGCAATTCGGTTCCCGTTGGTCGACTGACCAGACTCTGACCAGCTCTGCGGCTGCAAGAACCGCACAGCCATCGGTGTTACTTTTGCGCAGGTCAGGAAGCACTCGAGCAGGCTGAACGCTTTCAAGATCGTTTCTTTCGCCCAACCACATCGCATATTCTTCTCGACAACAAGAAGTCCTCACCGCCAACATCATGACCATCTGGGACAAGATCAAGTTCGTGTTCGGCCTGGCTTCTGCAACGGAAGGGCCCGCAATCAGCGGTCGGTTGGATTTCGACGAGATCAAGGCCGCAATCGGTATCGACTTTGCTGAGTCTGAGGGACCGGGCCGTCCCGTCTTTCAGCCTATTCTTGCTGACGGCACGGCATTTTGCGTTCCAGCACGCGCAAGACCGTCCGCGATGCACTTCATCGGATCAGAGATGGAGTCCTACGAAAGGATGTTCGATGCCATGGCAGCCACCTGGGGAAATTTGATGGTAGTCCCCTGGAGTACGCAGATTGAGGACAAGCTCAGAGGTTTATTCCCGTTCCTATCTCGACTTCTCTTGACGGAAGAGCAGATGGTGCGCAGCGGAAGGAAGGGCTTTCCCGGATACGATCAGATCACCATCGACGGTATCAAGCATTTCTACTGCAAACGAGCCCTTCTATCAACTGGGCTCGCTGGTGGACTGTCGCCGGAGGTCGAGAAGGCTATGATCTTCTTCATGCTGAGCCACAAGCTGGCGGGACCGAATCCAGACAACGCAGTCATGCTCAAGGTATACAAAGCTTGCGGCGAGGTTCTAGGCGCTGCTTTGAAGCGGCAAGCAAAGGTACGTCACCAGCCACCGGCTGTTCTCTGTGTCGATCAACAATATGACTGACCTACGCAACCCTCTGTCGTTCCGCAGTTTGCTGAAACATGGCGGCTCAGCTCGGTAGAGCGCCTCTGGTTGTCCCCTCTTCTGGACAGGAGCTATGACTTTCTCGATACCCGTTATTGGTAGCCTGAGCAGCGACGTGAGAAGCGGGTCTGCCCAAGTATTCCGCGAGGCTCCGCCTCACACTAGCAGCCCAACAACACATGCTTTTCTTCTCCAGAACCATATACCTGAAGCTCCAGCAGTTCTTGTCCGCAAATGTCGCACAACCATCAATCTTGTTTCATCGCCGACCGTGTTGTAGATATGTCCCGCGTGCACATCAACTCGCCTGGACAAAAGATCAGTCACAAAACGGAGGTCTTGGAATACGGTCCGAGAACGATTTCCTCCTGCAAATCGGGCCGCTGTCACTCGTCGTCGAGGTCTGTTTGAAGCGCAGAGCGTTGGTCAGGCAGATAGCGCACAGCGAGCCGCACAGACTGCTATAGGTCGCCAAATGAGATCGATTGAGTTAATGCAAACCTTGTCCGCTGCGCTGTCTGTGGACCGTGCCGTTCGCTTCTTTTTGGTCGACTGCGCAGATTCTCACAAGCTCTACCCTGCAAGAGCTGCGCAGCGGCCCCTGCCCCCCGTCTCAACGGCGCACAAGCAGTCAACGACTTGCAAGAAGCTGAAGTCTTGTAAGGCGGAGGACGTTCCAGTGCTGTCGAGCTTTTTGCAGCGCAGCAGGCAACACACTGCGATATAAAAGACTTGACCGAAAGTAATCCACTCCTTCCCGCCCTCACTTCACCTCCTCCGTACGCTCGACCAGCTACCATCTCGACTCGCACCATGGTCGACTTTGACAAGATCAAGGCTGCGCTCGGCATTGACCCCACTGCTACTGAGTCCACGGCTGTTCCCAAACTCCTTCAGCTTAGCCGCATGATCGGAATCGGGGACAAGGAGTGGTGGTTTTTCCCTGCACGTTCCGACACCTTCAAAGATCATCCTACCTGGAGCTTTATTCAGAGATTCGAGGGGGTCTTCGACCTTCTGTCAGTCATTTACAACCAGCCCCTCCCTATCAACATGGAGTTCGCCCGCACGTTCGACTTCAACATCCTTCTGACGGAGGAGGAATTCTTGCGCACCGTTCCCCTTCACGCTCGAGCAGTGTACTCTATGGTGGTTGTCGATATGCAGAAGTGGTTCTACCCAAGCCGTGAATACAGGCAGGCTCGAGGCGAGGATCCGATGCCCCTAGAGGTTGAAAAAGCCTCCTTCTTCTTGACCCTGTGCCTTCCTCAGGCGACTGCGGACGAAGCGACCCTGCGAGAGGCCATCAGAGTTGCAGGGGAAGTGAGCGCTAAGGCTCTCCAACGCCGCGGAAAGGTGAGTGCTCCACGGACAGCTGCGTTCTAGCTAGAGCAATCTTTGACTGACCCGCGTCGATGCCTTTGTCCACAGTTCACCGATGCTCGACCCGTCTCCGAGGACGAGCTTTCAGGGCTGAGGCGCCAATATGATCTTGGCGACGCTAACATTTGGCACCGCCAAATTATTGGCGGTTAAGCATTCAACAACAATGCCGAAGTTCTGCGTAAGCCGCGTCCCAAACTTGTCTTCGTTTCTTCCTCGATGCTTCCGTCTGTCTGCTAAGAGAGAAGTTCGTTCGTGTATTCGAGACGCAATTGAACTGCACCAGATCACCGAGCGTCCGATTTGAACGTGAAGTCATCGATATATTGACACCGACAGCACTGCTGATGGCCTCGTCGAGAAAGTCGTGAAATGATGGTCGCGAAATACCGCCGGAATAGAGTTGCTCCTTCAACTCGGACCGCTACCACTTGTCAGCGAATTTTGCCTGTGTTCCGACACAGTGCAGTGCCTTGGTCATCGAAAGCGGTTGTCCAAGTCATCGAGCAACGAGATCGGAAGCATCAGCTTGACTCGTGGTAATGTTGACAGGATCAACACTCTGGGACGCGCGTCTGTGTTGGACTCAGCTGCTGACAGCGGAGTGACAAATTCCAGGGCCTTGCTTTAGGGTTCGCTGTGTTGAGCTCAGCCAAGTCACACGGCAACGCGACTCAGCCAGAGTCTGGAGTTTTCGAGACTAGGGCTGCTGCCCGGTTTTTCTCCTTTGTTCGCGCTCGGCTTCCGCTAAACATCTCTCTCAGGGCCGCTTGCCGAGTCGGCTGTGTTGGAGTGCAGCTGGACCGTGCCATTCATCGTCAACTTGCCTAGGCCATCATCCTCTCACTGTCATCACCACCATCATCATCATCATCAAAAGGAAGTCGACTCAACAGCAAGTCTGAAGGACGTTTCATCGACGCATCTGCAAGCCCGCTCTCCGCAACCTTACTGCTCGAGCTTGTTTCAGCCGTCCAATCACGAAGGACCGCGTGACGCATATACACCCGCCCACGAGCCCAGGTCTTTCATAACTCACGACACATCACATAAGCGACTGCAGTGGGCGGACCTCTCGCTTCCATTCAATCATGTTCTTGTTCGACGCTCTCGTCTTTCTCATAGCGATCACTCTCTCCATCGGCATCTCGGTGCTCATCTCACAACCCTTCAACGGTGCCATCGTCCGGCTCCGAGCCAACTACCTTCCCAAAGCAGTCAGCCTTGACAATGTCCTCGAAGATGGTGCTGGGTCGACAAGTGGACCGCGTGCGCTCTCTTCGTTTCTCCTCTCGGAACGCAGGTCGACAGCAAAGATTGGACCCGTCGTCACTGGTGTCTTCTCCATGATGCTCCGAACAAAGCGCCTGGAGGGCTGGGCTGGCATCTACAAGGGCTCTATCCCGGTCGCCATCCAGATCTTCACGCTCAGCTCGCTCACCTTCATCTTCTTCTCTGGCGCTTCGGGAAGCTCGCCAGGTAGCGCTTACAAGGCCGGTCCAGCGGGTCCAGGCCAGTTCAGCTTCTTTGCCAACCTGTTCTACATGCTCTTCGTGTCGATCGCCGCGCTTCCGCTCAACGTCATCACCTACCGCACCATCGTCCACCCTCGCATCCTGCCGCTCAACAACGCGCGCGAGAACCTCCGTGAGCTCCTGTCGTACACCGAGTTCAGCCAGCCTTGGCGTCTCTACCTCTTACCCGGTCTGCTCGCCGCCAATGTGGCGCACGTCATGTGGATCGGTCTCGCCACGCGCATCGTTCGTCAGCTCACCGTGCCTTCGCTCGGCGGTCTCGGTGGCGCTGCACCTGCTGGTCCCGGCGACGCTACCTACTCTGGCCCGAACTCGAACATGCTCGAGATCAGCCCGGTCGGTCTGCCCATCTTCATCCTGTGGAATGTGATCAGCGTCATCGTCCTTGCACCGCTCGAGTGCGCCATGGTGCGACTGTCGACCCAACGACCCGAAAAGCAGAACCCGCTGCACCGAGCGTACGCCCGCGTGCCTGCCAACGGCAACGGTGCCCCGTCTCCCTACTCGCATCAGGCCACCGCCGCTGCCCAAGCTCAGCCAGGAGGCGCCTATCGCGACGCGGATACGCGCAAGTCGACCGATGGCGCCTCGGACAAGCCTCTTCCCTCCTCTCCCGACCTGCCTGGCCGCGCATCCTTCGCAATTGGCGAGGAGGACGACGAAGACGGAGATGTGGGCGCGACCAAACCCGCCTCCACCAACGGCAAATCAGCTCGCGTTCTCGGCCAGACCACCCCTGATTCCGCCCCAGCGCCGTCAAACTTCCCCTCGCAACCAACGTTCAGCGGCGGCGAACCCCCGGAACCCGTCATCGCCCTGCGACCCATCGAGGAGCAAACGGCCCAAGAAGCCGCCGCAGAGTTTGGCGCCCCCGTCGTCAAGCGGTATGAAGGACTCGTGGATTGCTTCAACAAGATGGTCGATGAGGAGGGCATCGAGAGTCTGGGTAGGGGCGCGTGGGTTACGCTCATTGCCATGTTTGCTGGGTCGTTCAGCTGAGGCTGCGGCCGAGGGAGGGATGGGTGGGAGGGTGTGATGGAGGGAGTTGTGATTGTATTCGGAACTCGTTGTATTGTCCTTTGTCTCGTGTGTGTGATGGCGTGATGGTGCGAGGGTGTGAGGGATGCTGCTCGAGATGTGTGCGAGTGTGTGCTGTCTCCAGTCGAAGCTCGAACCAGCATCGTCCCGGTCGTCTCAATTGGGTGCCCGCATCACGATGATCAGCTCGTCTCGAGCATCGCAAGCGTCTCATATTCCCCAGCCTTGAGCGACTCAGTCGCCCGACTTCACTCGCCACACTCGAACCCACACATCGCCTCACATTGGTTGGGGTATCACCTCGTTTCTCCGCTACCTGATGAACCCAGCACCCATCCTCGCCCCACCACCGTACATGTCCAACTGGTACTCCAGCGCATGGGCCGTCCTCTGCAGCAGATCCTTCGCGAGTGTCTGCAGGATGACATTCCCGCGATTGTCCCTGATTCTGCTATTGGTGGCGTTGAGACGAGCGATGATGTCCTGCAGGGCTTCCACCCTGTTGGTATCGAGGGAGGGGTTGAATAATTGAAAAGGTGTGAGGGCGAGGCGGAGGGCACGGGGCCAGGTTTTGCGTGTCTGCGGCGGGCCGTCCGGTTGCGACGGGGTGGGTGTGCTCCGCTCCGTGTCGGGAGTGGGGGAGAAGGTGCACATGTGCAGAGGAAGGTCGCGAAGCGCAACGGCGACGAGCTGCGTGCCTGCGATGAGGGTGTCGATGTCCGTCGTGCGCGGTTCCTGCGAGGCGGAATTGGCTGCTGCAGAAGCGGCGTTGGATGCGACGTAGAAGGGGGAGGTTGGGTCGCTCGAGTCGATCGCGCGGGCGAGCATGTCGATGTCCACCGTAAGCGGGTTGAATCTGGTCCGTCTCCAGTGATCCTTATCGAGATTCCTGTCTGTGGCCTCCTCACTGTCGTCCGCCATCGGATCTGAGGACGGCACCATCTCTCCACCGACCCCGTGCAAGGGCGAGGCCGCAAGTGTTTCTGCTTGAGCGACGTGCTCGGTCAGCGCGCACCACGCTAACCACCTTCTCACCGCCCCGACCTCTCTACCTTCCCCGGGCAGCGCTGTCACCACCCTCGCCCGCACAACGAGCGAATCCATGCCCAAGGCGGTGAACGTCCTCCTACACACTTCCTCCTGCAACTTCCTCACCGTGTCGCCTTCCTCGCGAGCAGCTTCGGCAAAGATGGTGCTGAACGCAGACCCGACGGATTGATGCAGCGTAAAGTTGGTCGACGCCGCACAGGCGATGATCATACTCGAGACGTAACCTGCCAAGATGGAGACATGGTCCGCGATATCGATCGCACGAGGCTCCGCGTCGATAACCATCTCGAGCAGGCGAGCGAGGTTAATGAGGATGTCGTCGCGTTCGACCTGCGTGAGGTACTTTTTGAACTGCGTCAACTCGGACGAATCAGCAGGTCTGCGCTGCGACACTGTGAGACAAGGCACGTCGGTCACTTCGCGATCGTCGGGAAAGCACTCTTCGAAGACCAGCTCGTCCATGCCGATCATGATGAGAATTCGTGGCACTTGGCGCACCACTTCCGACATGGCTCTGGGGATGGCGGATTCGAGTTGGCGAGTATAGTGAGATTTCGCTCGCTCCAGGAGCAGCGTCTGAAAGAGGTTCGAGATGAGCTGGCTTTGCATAACGTTGCGCTCGAGGACGAAGGAGATGGCGAGCCAACGTAGGATGCTCCGGACTTGGCGTTTGTCGAGGTCGAGAGAGGGTGGAAGGAAGCCAGCGAGGAGGATCGGCCGAACACGAGTGTCCCAGTCAAGCTCGGCGGCCACAGATGGCGGCGAGGCCTGCGAGGATGCGGTCGAGCCCTTGCTACGAGCTTTGCTTGTGACGTCGGGAGTCGGCGAGAAGTAGCTGACCTTGGGAGGGAGGATCTTGCCCGCCCTATAGAAAGTGATGTGCTGTTTCAATGTTTCTGCGATGGTGCTATCGCCCAGGCCGACGTCTTGCTGAAGGATGTCGAGCGCGTGTTGCTTCTCCTCGTCGTCTGCACCGAGAGCGGCGAAGGATGCAGCGAGTCGCTGTCTAGCTGAAGTTGCATCGTTGATGTCATCCATCTCGCCTTCCGACTCGGCCACCTCGGACTGCGACGACCATAAGAAAGACGGAATGGTCGGGGACAGGTCGCCCACCGTCAGCTCTTGCTCCTTGCCGTTCGTGCCATACGCGTGGCGAGACGAGGAGGCCTGTGCTGAGGTCATCTTGGACGAGCGAGAAGACTCGCTAGGGTTGTGACGCTGATCGTTCAAGCCCTCGTCCGCGTAGGAAATGCCCATGCGATGGAGTCGCTCCTGCTCCATGCTGCGAGCAATCTCGTCTGCTCTCGAGAAGCCGTCTGCGTCCGTACCGCGCATGATCCTGCGTTGCTGCTCGCGGACCATCGCACTGACTTCTTTGGTCTTGTTGACGGAAGTTGCGGCATACTTTGCTACTGAGGTGGGGAGCTTGTTCGGGTGACGCTTGAGGCGGGTCGAATCGTCGGTCGGATCGATGCTGTAAGTTGCCGGACGGTCGAGTGCTGCCTTCCGCTTGGGACGGCTCAGACTGAGAGAGCCGAGCGCTTCTTCGTCGTCGTCGTGTGCATCGATGACCTCCACCGGGCGCTTGTGGGTGTGGCTGCTGGAGGCAGAAGAGGGTCCAGCCTCATCCTGAAGCTTCTGCTGCGCCTTCAGGCGCATCTGCTCGCGCTTCGAGAGACCGCTGCTGCCGCTGGCGACACTCTGCCCCGCAGCATCTGGACCATCCGAAGACATTGTCGCGATCAGCAGGAGGCAGCCGTTGCTGATGCGAGCGAGCGAGCAGGTGGGATTGCGGAACGAAGGCCGGTCAAAGCTGAGCAGTTCAAGTGTTGGTCTTTCCACTTTCAAGGGTCCGACTCAACAGGCTTTCCGCACGCCAAATTGTATTTCAAGGTGTTAGGCTTCAGTTTCTCGGAACTAGGTGAAAAATGCCCCGCCACCAGTCAAAGTCGCACCGACATCATCCTCACACACGGACGAAAGCAGACGAACGGTACAGCAGAATGTGTCCTACGAGAGGCGCGAGTGTTTTGGGTTTATAGAAGGATACGATGTACATGCAACAAAGCCTGTGAGGATGTGCGGGTGAGAGGGATGCCCTTCCGAGCGGGTTACCAGCTCTAGACTGGCACTCCCGCCATAGTGAAAGTTGCTCCGGTCATGAAATGCGAGGTGATGGATGCAAAGAACAGCATTTAAGAACGGGGCTTCTCCTTCTTGGCCTGGTGTCGAGAAAGGCGATGAGCGCGAAGTAGAAGGAGGTGAGAAGACGGGAGGGAAGGCAATCAGTGATCAGATCAAGGGAGTGCGGAGATAAACAATAGGAAACGCGAATACTAACCTTGAACAGCGCGAGGAGACCGACACCGGAGACCTTGACGACCTTGAAACGAACACCGGGAATATCACCCTTGGCCTTACCGGCACGACCGAAACCAGAGATGAGCACCTCGTCGTTCTCGTCGACAAAGTTGAGACAACCGTCGTTGGGGACGAAGGCAGCGACCTTCTTGCCGTTCTTGATGAGCTGGACACGGACACACTTTCGGATAGCCGAGTTAGGCTGCTTGGCCTCGACACCGATCTTCTCGAGAACGATGCCCTTGGCCTGGGACGAACCACCGGTGGGCGAGGTCTTGTAGAAGTTGCCGAGGGCACGCTTCTTGTACTGAGCGTCGGCCTATTAGTGTCGAAGTAGACGGTTGTTGGGAGGTGGATGCAAAAGTCAGCAATTGTGTTTCGGAGATGCGAGACGACGAGATGAGGACGAGATCCAGATGCACGCTGTCTGCGAGGGCCATGGCAGTTGAACCGGCCTTGATGACCTCGGGACAGAATTATCGGTGAACATGTGCGAGACATGCGCCTCCATCTACATCTGGACCTGGATGTCCTCGGCCTCTTGTGTGGAAGCGAATACGTACCCATCGGTTGTCTCGGCGGGTCGAGACCTGCTTACGGGCTGTGTTGAGACCACGGGGCTTAGCCATCTTGAAGAAACTGGAGTGACGGTTGAAACAGAGGCAAGGCGACGTGGTTGGTGGTAAGAAGGATGCTCGCATCAAAGCTGAAAAACGACTGGAAATCATCTGAATCTGCGGTGTTGAAAAGTCGAAGCCTGCTGGTCGGTCTGCTGGGTGTGTCAAGTCTCTTTGTGTAATTTGTCCACTGGCTGGTCGGCAACCTCGCTGCCACAACCTGGACTGCCGAATCAAGGTTCCTTGTCAACGAAAGATGTGGCCAAGAGATCTGGCAAAGGTGTCGAACGAACGATGTTGTCCACGTCCGTGGTGCCGATGATGCTTTGACTGTGAAGATAAGTGTGGCGGCTCTCTACCCTGTCGTGTACACGGATGTGAGACTGTCCTCCTATCTATGCTCCTCCTTGTGCGGCCACTTCCCCTGCGTGTGATAGCGCTGCATAGACGACTCGAACGAAAGTGCGTTGCCTGAGGTGGTCGATATTGATACGAGTCGGCAATGCAGAGGCGATATGAAACTGACTGGTTGATGGCGAGGCTTGGTCGACGGACTGTGTTGGCTACCGCAGATTGCTGATGATGTCGTTTATGACGTACTGTGTCGTCGATTGTGTATATGTCGCTGATACCTACTTTGTTGATTAGGACGAAGGTCTTGATGGTGAGGAAGGGAGTGCGATGGCGAACCTGCCTTGGTAGCCTGCCTGTCTCGACGCTCACTCGTTGGCTAGCTGTCTGCCTCACAGTCTCCAAAACTCGACTGCGCGGCTCTGTGTGACTGCCTGCCGCTATGCCCTCGAGCTGGGCGCCGACCAAGTCATCGCTTTCTGCGCGGCTCGACCTGAAATTTGCTATCCATGTTTCGGATCCGCATCGATCCTATCTCATGACAGCCAGATTCGTAGTTGCCAAATAGACGCAAATTCGCTTGATCGTGGGAAGTTTTGAGTCTGATCACGTGTAAGGCGCCGAATTTTGCCTTGCTAGACCGCTCTGCCTGTCTGCAGCCGTATTTTTCAAAATCTGGAAATTTGGCCTCAGGCCCACAGCTGGGCTCGAAGACGAGAAGACTGCCAGGCCTGGCTGTCTCTGAGAGACGGGCTCGTGGCCGTGACCAAGTGAAGGTGAGCGCCTTCCGGCCAGAGTCACTGAGTGCGAGCCAATCTGGGGAGGGTAGCCAGAAGCCTAGACATTCGACATTTGCAACCTCGTCACCATCATCCTCCATCAAGATCCCTCATCCATCACAATGCCCAAGATCTACAAGGTACGTTTGTCCTACAGGCATAGCACGTACGACCTCAGAGACAACAACGCAAGCAGCATTCAGTGCCATCGACAGACATGCATCCAGCACACTTTGCAGTTTGATTCAATGTCGTCTCGTCAATGGGGTCGTAATGCTGTTGGATCGGACCATTTTCCATGATCATGTCGCTGACCTTTTTGTCTACGCTATATTTTGACCATCAACAGCCAGGAAAGGTCGCCGTCGTCCTTAGCGGCCGTCACGCCGGTAAGAAGGTTAGTATACATCCAACACCAGCAACAGGGCAAAACAATGATCAGCTCCGAGTCCGACATCAAACATCAGAGCATCAGTTGAGGATCAGCAGCCATCAGCAGGACGCAGCAGAGGAGAGGAAGAGCAGATTTCGACGTACAACGAATGCATCGGCGGCTGGATCCAGGCAGAAAGTCGAAGAAGACATCAGATCGATCTCAGCGGGGCCGTACTGTTCGCAAACATCTTGGCGCGGGACTGGAAGCTCAGACAGCTTCAGCGTAGGGCGACGCCGTTTCATCACGACAGCGCATCACGATAGTGCGACAATAGAAGCGACCCTTCAATTGTCGTCGGATGTCGACCCAGAGCAGGGTATCATCGTCTTTGCACAGGTCGGAGGTGGATCATGTCCAGGGGTCGCTGTCTGGCGTGCGACCGTGGAATGGTCGGATCACGAAGGGCTGTCGGCAGTCACAGACGGCATATGTACGCCAGACCGTATCGCTCTGGGCATCGTTGGATGGGGCCAGCGCGTTGGGATAGGTCACCATCGGAGAACATGTGGAAACCCGACCTCGAACTCGGACGCTGCTTCATCGCTCTTGCTCTTTCGTACCTATGTGTAGCACCAAACTGACATCCGCTTTCCCCTCTCGCTCACTCCAATCTCACCAGGTTGTCGTCATCAAGCAGTTCGATGATGGCTCCAAGGACAAGTCGTTCCCTTACATTGTTGCCGCTGGTATCGAGCGCTACCCACAGAAGGTGACCAAGCGCATGGGGGCCAAGAAGATCGCCAAGCGCTCCAAGGTCAAGCCTTTTGTCAAGGTGATCTCGTACAACCACCTCATGCCCACCCGATACGCTCTCGAGCTTGAGGGTCTCAAGGGTGCCGTCACCCAGGACACCTTCAAGGAGCCTTCGCAACGCGAGGATGCCAAGAAGCAGATCAAGCAGATCTTCGAGGAGAAGTACACCTCGGGCAAGAACAAGTGGTTCTTCACCCCCCTCCGTTTCTAAACGCATCACCCTGTACTCCTTTTCCCCCTCGGCATCTCTTCCCAGCATTCTTCTTTTCAGTCTGCCATGCTAGGCTAGACCCCCCCTCCCCACGTCGCACCGCAGGTTCTCATCGGTCTAACTGCAAAGCGACGTTGTAATGTCACATCACAACACACACCCAGACCTTTGTTTCTCACAAAAGCTGTAGTCGGCTCACTTGGTCGCTCACGGCAATATCACATTCAGACAGAAACCTTTTGCGTGCCAGACTTGAGTTGAGGCGCTTTCCTCGATGGTCACCGTCATGAAGGTGAGAAGCTACATGAGTCAGCGCAGAACGACCAGATATGCGGCCACTGTCACACAGCAAGCGCAGTCACAGACGATGAAGGCACTGAGCGATTCTTTGTTTTGGCAATCTGTCGGTTATTTACAGTGTTGTGTAGGAAGGAGTGGATGATGTGATGGTAAGGCTGGTTGGTCCAGGCAGATGGTTTGCCAGCTTCGAACGAAGGTGCGGTGGTGGGATGAAGATGAGAGTGCGAGCAAGTGCAATGCGATTCTCGACGGCGCCCACGGCTGGCAGCTGAGCGGCGAGGTCGAGTGATAGCAGCTGCCCTGCATGCACACAAGGTGTCCGAAACGCAAGCTGTTGCGAATCCTGAGATGCTGCTGAGGACAAATCGATCAACCAAAGAGGTCGCCCATAGCAGCCATCTCCGGACCGCCCGCCTCGCGCATGCCAATCTCGAAGTACGAGTAGATGATCGTCACGGCCAACAGAATACCGGTACCGCTGCCGAAAGCGCCGATGAGGTCAGCGCACACCGAGAGCGCGCCGATCGTAGCACCGCCGAACGCAGCAGCCGTCGGAATGACACGCTTGAGCTCCTTGTACATGCTGGCATCGCGATGACCGGCCATGACCATCTGATTGTCCTTGAGCTGCTTGGCGACCTCCCTCGGTCCGGAACCGCTCACCTCGATCCACGTCTTGCTGAACAGCGCACAAGCCGTGAGGGTAAACGCAATGTAGATGGCCGTGTGGATCGGATCGCCCACGACCTCCTTGAAGCTGTGCGGAGCCGACATGTAGTATGCGATGCCCCCCGTGGCGTGCAACTGCGCAGAGTCTTCCAACGGCTCCCACACACCGAGCAGCTTGACGAAGAGGTTGCGCGGGAAGCGCGAGGCGAGCATCTGGCTGATGATGAACACGTTCGACGTGAGCGCCGATTCGAGCATGATGGGCATGTTGGAGGTGTAGAAGAGCTTGACGGGGTAGGTGCCGCGCTGACCACGGAAGCGGTTCGACTTGACGGGGATCTCGATGCGGAAACCCTGCAGGTAGATGACGACGAGGAAGATGAGCAGCGTCGCGAGCAGGTTCATGACGTTGGGCAGACGGTCGCGGTACAGCGCCTCCTTGAGCGCACGCGACTTGTCGTTCCAGGTAAAGAGCAGGTGGAAGAGGGCGACGAGGGCACCCTCAAATTCGGGACCGCGACCGGTGTTGACCGTAGTCGGTGAGAAGGCCTTCCACACGATCGACTCGCAAATGTTGGTAGCGATGAAGAGCGAGATACCGGAGCCGAGACCGTAGCCCTTCTGCAGAAGCTCGTCGAGGAGAATGACGATCAATCCGGCAACAACGAGCTGGAGGATGAGAAGCAGACAGACACCAGCACCGAGGTCCTTGGGCTGTCCGTAGAGACCGGTGAGCACGTAGACGGTGGCCTGGCCGAGCGAGATGATGAGAGCAAACAGCTTCTGCGCACCACCGAAAAGGGCACGGTCCTCCTTGAGGCTGAAGTCGACTTCGACGAGGTTGGCGCCGGCGAGGAGCTGCATGATCATGCCGGAGGTGACGATGGGCGAGATACCGAGTTCCATGAGCGTACCTCGGTTCGAGGCGAGAATGACGCGCATCCAGTAGAGCGGGTCGGAGCTGTCACTCGAGACAATACCGTAGAGGGGGATCTGCGAAGAGACGAGGAAGATGGCGAGGACGATGGCGGTCCACATAACTCGGCTCTCGAAGGGCACTGTTGGCGATGGAACGAAGAGTCGTGGGGTCAGCGGACGTCTCTACTTGCTCGATGGTGAGGGGATAGACATACCTTTACGTTCCGGTGCCGCTACCTCGGGCAGGACGGACATGAAAGGCCGCACGAGCGACAAGAACCGGACTGTATCGACCCATAGTCGTACCGAGAGGGTGTACCGAGACACAAGACAAGGAGAGATCAGTATATTGAAGCGACATTCCGATAGCCGTGCGATGGTCGCAGGTCTGAAGTCGTGGGTGCGGCGGCATACGTACAGCCGCTCATATTTGCAGACTTGACCCGGCTAGGTGAAGAGAAGAGATGTGAGGTCGATGATGGAGATGATGAGGAGAAAGGGGGACGAGTAGAAGCACTGGAGTGATTTAGGTTGGTGATCACGCTCGGGCGCGGGGAAGAGCGTTGCTAGCTAGCTTGGCTGCTTGCTGTTGGAGAAGGCGTACTCGCTCGTCGGTGACCTGGAAACAGAGGTGCAGCTCAGCTCATTATAATTGGTTTGAGCAGCTTTCTTCTTCGCAGAGGTTCGTGCGCTGCTTCCGGCGACGTGGAACTCGAAAGCTGCCTTCGCGCCTTATTTTTGACGTAAAAAGCCGTGCGAAAGCAAGTGATCGATTTTCGAGTCGGAGAATGTTAGGTCCAATCTGTGCAAAATCGGGTCACGGACTCAGCGATTTTTCTGAACAAAAGTTCGAAGCTTTGATCGTCGCAACCCTATCCCCAACGTCTCCTCCTCATCACCCTTCGTACCTTGTCGTCACCGCCTTATACCCTTCCGTTCGTCCCGACAGACAGGATCGCACGCTCAGCACATCCTCACGGATTCCTCATTCGTCGTCTCTCTAGCACTCGAGACTACAGGCCGGACCAGCCTCGATACATCTTCTCGATAGCGCAACTTCCAGCGATATCGTCTTGCTATCGTCTCCCGCAGTCGCGCTTCAGCTCGGTCATTCTTCGACTCACACATACAGCATCCATACTGTAGCTTCAAGATGATCATTCCCGTTCGCTGCTTCTCGTGCGGCAAGGTCATCGGTGACAAGTGGAACGCCTACCTTGCGCTCCTCCTCGACGGCCGAACCGAAGGCGAGGCGCTCACAGAGCTCGACCTCAAGCGCTACTGCTGCCGACGAATGGTCCTGACCCACGTCGATCTCATCGAGAAGCTTCTCCACTACAACAGTGAGTACATGGCTCGCTCTTCCATGCTTGGCGAAATAGCGTTACTGACATCACCCTTGCCCATCTGCTACCACGCCTTTCGACTGCAACAGTCCACGAACGCCGAACCCAGGCATGATCGATATAGCCGCTCCTTGACCCGCCCCTTGTATACTAGCATTTGTTCCTATTCAGCAATCATTCTCTCGTTACTTCGCAACTCCGGAAGACGCTGGCGTTCATTCTTGCGTCTGCTCTTGCTCGTCGTTGGAGGTTGCTGACATCTCGTGATCGCGCGCAGCACAACAGCAGCACGGAGACGTAGTCACGTCCATCGCATCACGGACAGGCTCAGACGGAACACATTCGGTTCACAGCCAGACGTTGGATCATGCAAAGAAGTGTTCCATTGCAAAGCATCACTGCAGGTATAGAGGCTGGACATCGCTCACGGCAAACGCAAGCGCGCAGTGCGGGCACTTGCGCTGGCGGGTCTGCACGCGCGAGTCGATGCACACCTGACAGAACGTGTGGAAGCACTTGACCAGGATGCGGTCGCGGTACCTCTCCTTGCACGACGAGCACTGCAGCAGCGAGTTGAGGTGGTCTCTCTCGCTTCCGCCGTCGCCCGCGTCCGCACGGCCCTTGTTCTTGGCCGCCGACGCAGCGGCTCTCGCCAACTGGCGTTTTGCGCTCTCGAGATCCTTCTCGAGTCGAGCCACGCGCTCGTCCGCTCGCTTCCGTTGGTCCTTCTCGACGCTCGCTGTGTTGATTAGCTCCTTGGCCGACTCGCTGGCGGCGTCTTTGGTGCGGACCGACTCGGCAAGGCGCGACTCGGCCAACTCGAGGTTGCGCTGGAGCGTGTCAATGCGCTGTGCGTGCACGTCGACCACCTTTTTGAACGTCGTCACCTCCTTTTCGTGCAGTCCCAGCTGCGCTGTGTAGTTGCGCTCCACCTCGGTAAACATCTCGATCGTCTTTTGCTGTCGCTCGTGCACCTGCTTAGCGGAGCGCAGCTCCTGATCCACTGCATCCTTGGCTCGCATCGCTGAGAAGTACTTGTTGTCCGCCTTGGACTTTTCCGTGACCCATCGCAGTGCTTTTTCCTCCAGTCGGCTCACGTCCGTCACCTTGACAGACGCTTGCCTCTCCAAATCGGCGTAGGCTGCGCTGATCTTCTCCAGCTCGTCGTCGACAGCCTTGCTCGACGCTTCGGCGGCCTGTAGCGACAACCGCAATCGCTCGTTCTCGGCGCGCAGACCCGCGTCGGAGCTGTCCTGACCAGCGTCCTTGGCCTCGCTGCCATTGGGAGCGGCGGCCTCGCCGGTGGATCCCAGACGCTTCTCCAGCTCGGCGATGCGCGTCTGTGCCTCCTGCGCTGTGCGACTCAGCTGTTCGAACTGATCCTCTTCCGAGTCGGCCTTGGCTAGCGCGGAAACGCCGACAGTCTGACCTTGGAACGCGGCGACCGTCATACGCAATCGTCGCACCTGGCTGCTCAGCAGCGTCAAGCGCTCCTCTTTGCTATTGAGCAGCGCCTTCATCTCTTCGATCTGCGTGAATTTGACCTGCTCGCGCGACCGACGCTCGGTGAGCTCGGCATTGAGTTCGTCTCGCTGGCTGCGCAGTCGTGTGACGTCGGCTTCTTTCGCCTTGACCAACCTCTCGAGGTCTTCAGATCGCGTGGTCGCTTCCGCCTCGACAGCCTGCTGGAAGGCGCCGCGATCCTCTCGCAGCGCCGCAGCCTCGGTCTCGAGCGCCTGCGTCGCCTCTTTGCTGGCTTGCAGGTCGTGCTGGGCCTGCCGCAACGCCGTCTGCAACTCGCGGTAGAGGGCGGAGCTGAGCAGTACCTCTTCCGGTAGTGTGATCAGCTTGCGCTCCGTCTCGTGCAGCTTGAACTTGTGTGCTCTGAGCTCTTCGTTCAGAGTCTGAATCTCGGCGTAGCGCGAATCGCTTTCTCGCCGTGTCAGCTCTACATTCTGCCGCGCGCTTTCGAGGTCATCGAGCGCCTTCTGGAGAGCAGCAGTTGTCTCTGGCGCTGCGGCTTCAGGGCCGGGTGCGGAGCCCGCTTCTGTCTTGACAGTAACGGTGTTGGCGGGTTCGGCTGCTGGCGCTGGCTCCGCCGCTGTCACAGTGGTGCCAGCGGGGACGGTCGCCTTGCCTTCTGTAGCGCGAAGGAGGTTGCTCTGATATCGAACGTACTCGTGTTCGACTTGAGAGAGCTTTTGGGTGACATCAGCGAGAGCGTCTTCGGCACGCTGCAGCTTGGACTGGGTAAGGAAGAGGTCTTGCTTGTGGCGTGAGGCTTCGTCTGCGAGATCGTGGAACTTTTGCTGAAGCTCAACGACATTGACGTCGCCCTGCTGGGAGAGGGAGTGCAGAATCGCTTTCGATTGCTCCTGCAACTGCTTCTCCATACCTGCAAGATCTGATTGGGAATCGGAAGAGGAAAGGGAGGCGAAGGCATCTTGATCCTGGACGGCGAGGCGGGCGGCGAGATCGGTGAGGAGCAAGTTCCAGAATCGCTGAAGCACGGCAGCGCGCTGTTCCGACACGGCGAGGTCATCTTGAAAAGTGCTCGCTTTGCGCTCGATTCGTATCAAGTCTCTCCTGGCCTCGAGAAGCTTGCGGTAGATGGCCTCCTTTCGGAAGGCCTCGAGGCCAGCGTACGCTGGATGCAGCGTCTCTTCGTCCTCATCGTCGTTGGCAGGTGTCGCTGCCGACCTGGAAGCGGTTTCGTCCGAATGCAAACGCTTCCTCGGTCCATCTTCCGCGCCAGTGACGAGAGACCGCTTGCGGTCGTCGGCGGCAGACATGGACTGAAGCATGGCCACGGATTGTCGCCACCTCGATGTGTACCGTAGGAAAGACGATCCAGACTCGAGTCTGCCAAAAGGAAGACTGCAGGTAGAAGAAGTGGGCACGAACTGGATTGTATGCTCGCTCGCTCTCGTCAAAGTGCTAGGCAGCGATTTCTTAGCTGATCCACACGAGGGTAATGGATGGAAGCTGCGTCCGAAGAGTCGAAGGAGCGGAACAGACCAATGAAGGACTGAACACCGGGAATTGCTCCTTGGCAGCTAACGCGGAATCAGAAGATCGCAGCAATAGATCCGCACAAGATTCGCTGCCGTGATGTCGAGCTACAGGTCCTCTTAAGAGAAAACAAGGAAGCCACGTTGCGTCGGTCGTCCGATCAACAGCAACAACGGACACTCGGAGCAATGAAGATCAGCGGCCAGAACACAATCGACGACCTGAGTCGATCGAATGGCCAATGGCTTGCCGTACAAAGTATGAAGGCAGAGGCGAGGCGGCGGAAGGGGGATGAGCGGATGATGATGGTGGGTGATGGTGATGAAGGCTTTGGGAGCTTCTAGCGAAAATCTGCAAATTTGCTGGAAGCCCTCAGCCAAAGCTCGGTGCCGACCGTGGCCGACGATCTCACATTTGAAAAATAAATGAGCTGCTGCGCTTTGACATTCGGAAGATCAACATCAGACTCAACTTCTGAACGTCTTCCACCACCAAGTCACCCTTCCGCAACAAGCAACAGCGAACTGAGAAGAGGCGACGTGACGCACGCGCAGAACACGCTGAGACGGTCGCCATGCTGTCGTCAGCACCCTCCATCGGAGCGAGGCAATGCCTTCGTCTGCACCCACGCAGTTCAGCCAGCGCGGCGAGAGCATCCGCCGTGACAGCTAGGTCTCTGCGCCCCTCCGTCGTCTGTCAACGAGCGGGTGCATCGAACGCAACCCAACAGCTTCACTCTGCGGTCAGGAGGAATCAAGCCGTCGAGGTCGCGCATCGCCCACAAGCCGCATCTCCCTCACCTGTGGGAGCTTCCGGAAGTCTCGCACACATCGCTGAGCGCGCCCAAAGCATCATGGATCCCGGCCAACAGATTCTGGGCTCGCAATGGAGCAATCGGGTGGACGCACTCATCCGCAAGACACAGGCTGCAGAAGCTGTTGGGGCCCACGGTCATGTCCGAAATCGTGTTACCTTGGTCGGCTCTTTCCACAGTCAGACGCAGCAACTCTTGTCTGCCATGATCGATGAGCCTCTTCGAGAGATCAGCGCGATCGAGGGCAATGAGGCTGAAGCCGTTCTGACCGCGTTGAGGACTTCATCACCTTCGAAACCCTTCACCATTTCATACGCTCCAGGACCTCCACAGGCTCTCGAAGGAAGTGGCATCACGCTGGACCGTCACTGGCTCCAACAGGCAAATATGCAGATCACGGTACTGATCAACCCAACATTGTCCGAAGAGACGTACGACGTTATCTACGATAGCGAGGCGGTCGTGTTTGTTACTGACGACTATGCTCTTAGTCGAGCCGCCCATCGAAGCGCTGGCCAGCGCGGCGACACCACGCACGAGCTTCTTTCGCGGTTCGCTGCTAAACCCAACGTTCACCTCGTCGTCAACTCCATCCTCGGCACCGATCCTGCTCACTTTGCCAACGCCCTCGAATCAGCCACTGGTGCCTCGGTGTCGGACCTCGTCGCTCCGCATCTCATCCCTGTCCGCGTGTCCGATGCGCTCGCTGCCAACGCGGCCCTCCGCCAGGCGCTCGACAAGCAAGACCAGCAGCCTCTTCCCATCGTCGCACCACGCACCTCCACCGCCTACTGGGACAACTTCAGCTCCCACTACCAGCGCTCCAACGTCGGCACCGTCCTCCACCTCATCCAGCACCTCGACACCCTCCACGGCTCGCACACTCTCCTCGCCCACTCCTCCGCCTTCCTCCTGCAGCACTGTCTCGACGAAGCCCTCGCCACGACCAAGCACAACCTCGCGACGCTGCACCAGCTGCGCTCGCTCGCGGTCGAAACCGACGCGCGGAACAGTGCGACGCTCAAGCAGTCGTTGGAGCGCATTTGGCCGCCGGCTGCTGCGTACACGGGCCAGTTGTCGAGCGACGAGATCCAAGTGTGGCGTCCTGCGGCACCGGGGTCGTCCAGTGCGGTGGAATCGGCGATGCAGATGACGGACGACTTGATCGAGAGGACGTTTGATACCAAGCTGCAGTGGTGGAAGCTCGTATGGAAGGTGGACGATGTGAGGAAGGAGTTGGAGACGGCGTGTGCTGGGTTCGCGGCGTCGCTCGAGTCGGATCTGGCGTACGAGTCGGGGCGGTTGGCGACGTTGCAGGTGTCCAAGGTTCGCGAGGCGGATGCGTTGTTGGTGCGATTTCGGGACTTGGCGCAGAAGCTGGGGTCGACGATCGAGGATGCAAAGCGCGATGCAGCGATGGTGGTGAATGAAGCGGAGGGGTATCGCTCGTCGAGGTTGCGCACGATCGAGCCGTCGACGCTGATGGCGCCGATCCATGTGCGACGCGCGCAGCTGCTGGAGACGGGGGGACCGATCGACGCGTTGGCGCTCAAATCACGCAAGCTCGCCGTGACGAGCTCCGCCGCTGTGGCGGTGACCGCTGCGGGTGTGGGGTCGGCTAGCGTCCTCGGCTCGTCGCTGGGTTTGGTCGACGCCTCCGCCGCCGCCCTTGCGCTCGATCCTGCCACGGGAATGGGTCTGGGTCTGCTAACGCTCACGCTCGTCGGATGGAGAATGCAGGGTCAGTACAACAAGTTCCGCCGCAGATTCCGGCAGGACTGGCTGCGCCTCTCGGAAGGACTGGACCAAGATCTCAAGGGGAACTTTGAGGAGGTGCTGAGGGGACAGATCGTGGGTCCGTCCGAGGTGGTCGCTTCGCGAGTGAGGGAGCTTGCACGGAGTTGGGGTGCCAAGATCCAGCAGCAAGAGGCACACGTCAGAGCTGTCGCAAGGCAGACACCCGCACCCCTCAGCACTTCACAAGAGGTCACGCAGGACATCACGCCTCGCGCATCCACCTGAGGTGGACACAACGATACCAGCATGCAGCAGTAGAAATGGCAATGTTTCAATTTCGAGCTTACAAACACAAAGATGGCCCCGCCGACAGGCATGCACCGACACGTCGTCGACACGTGTCGCATGCTCCAGCGCGGGCGCGGAAAAAGGAATGGCTGAAAGATGGTACAGAAGATAGGTGGCAGATACTACAATAGAGGGCAGTTGAGTGAGATCCGTGGCGTGCTTTTGGAAGGATTGAGAGGGCGGTTGGTGTCTGCGCTGGTGACGTGGATGCAGAAAGACCGGGCGAAGCATTTCCAGGCCGACAATCGAAATGCGGGAGTGGAGCTGTCTAAGCCGACTCGGCTGGCGCCTCAGCAGCAGGTGGCGCAGCAGCAGCCTCGGGCTCGCTCTTGGGTTCCGTTGGCTCAGCGTGTGCCGCCGCGTCGCCGTTCTCCTTGACCTCCCCGCTGGCGCCCTCCTCCTTGGGCGCGGCATCGCCGCCGGCCATAATAGCTCCCCACTTTGCGCACAGCTTCTCTGCGCGCTCCTTGAAGTGGAACTCGTCGTCCCTCGGAATGTCGCTCAGCTGCATGACGCGCTTCATCACCTTGCCGATCTTGGTGGTGCGCAGATGCTCGGCCGTCATGCCATCGTACTCCTCGACTGTCTTGAACGTGGCGTCCGCCCCGGGCATGTCATCTGCGTGGATGGTGCCCTCCTTGCCGAGGAACACCTTTTGCACCTTGTGTCGCCACTCCTTGACCTTCTTGGTCTCTGGGTCGAGGTGCTCCTCCTTATCGTCGCCGTTGGCCGCAGCGGCGGCGGCGGCCTTGCTGGCTGGCTTTTCGGACTTGGGCTTGGCAGCGGCTTCGGCCACCTTGGACTTCTTGTTGCGCTTGTCGGCGCTCTCGCGCACCTTGCCCGTCTCCGGAGCGCGTTTCCTCTTCTTGCTCGACACTTCCTCGTCGTCTTCATCCTCTTCCTCGAGCTGGTCCTGGTTTTCCTCCTCCTCGTCGGCCGCATCCTGCAACGACTGCTCGTAGTTGCGAACGACCGTGTTCTGCTCCTCGTTCCACGAGTGAGGATCACGTGCCAGCTCGTACGCCTGTCGAAGGTCGCCTTTCTTGCGATTTGGCCCGGCGAGGAAGGCGTCGATCTTATCCTTGCCTAGCAGCTCCAGATCCTTGGAGAAGGCCCAGTGGTAGTCGGCGGCGGGGAAGAAGCGGATGGTGTAGAGGTCGCGGTGCTTAATCTGGGGTCGCTCCTTGAGCACAGCTTGAGGAACGTTGGCGTCGTCCATGACGATACCCGGCCATGCTGGGAATCCGCGCACTTTGGCAAGCACGACATCGTTGGTCTGGAACTTGTGCGAGGTGCGGTTGAGCTGCGCCTCCTTTGACTTCTTCTCTGTGCTCGACATGGCTGTGTGTGTTTGTTTGAAATCAGCGGTGCGGTCTAGATGGGTTCGAGTGATGGACGAGGATTCTGGTTCAGATGGGCAGCGTCACCGTATCAGCTTGAGAGAGTAGTTCGTTCTTTTGGACGTAGTGACGGTGGGTTCCTCGAGAAGGGATGACTTGAAGCACAGGCTTGCGGAGGACAATGCCGAGTGAATCGTTGCTGGTTGCAAGCGGTAGGTGCGATGAGGAGATGGTGGTCGAATGGAAATGGTGAACTGCAGGCGGGGCAAGGGTCACAAGCCGATTTCCAGCTTGCCCATTTCAAGTTTCTCCAGCCGCAAAGAGACAAACGAGGAACTTCCTGAGAAGAGCGAGCGAGGGCCGTGCTCAGAGCCAAGCTGTCTGCCCCCGATTCGGAGCATCAAAGAGCAATTTAATTTCGAGGCAGCAGCGACGTTTCCAACTGCCTGCAGGCACCAGAGCGGAGCAATTTCCGACAATTCCCTCTCGAAAGGGCGCGTCGCGATGAGCTTTGTGCGCTTCGAGGTCACTCTGCAGCCTCTGATCGTTAAGGTATCGTGCGAGAGAACCCCATTGCTGAGTCGACGTCAAGGCTGCACGGGCGGCTCATCGCAAAGATCCTATATATACGCACCTTACTTTCTCACACTCATCGTCTCTTCTCCCAGACCAACCCGGCCTCACCTCATTCCGGGCTCGTCCAGGTCTCAATTCAATCACACGACTGAGACTCTGCGCTCCGGATCCGCCAATCTTGCAGTGGTCATCTAGAACCGGTCCCAAGTTGTGACGGTGGATTGCAAAGCCGAACCATCGGGAAAGCATCGTGTGGATCAGATTTCGACCAACATCGCGCACCACCTCTGCGCCTTTGTCGACATAGCAGTGCATCGTTTCGGGTATCTGTAGAGGCAGAATTCGACGTGTGAACCGTTCCGCTCGGTCGGTCACTGCTCGGCAATCTTTTACGAAAGACGGGACACTTTGTCGACGGGCACGAACAGTGACGAACCGCTTCCGCATCAGCACCAATTTCGACAAGCGCTTGCATTGCAGTAGACTTTGTCAGTCTCTGAAGCCGTCATCGGCAGCGTGAGCCAGAATGAGCAACAAAGTAGTCGTAAGTGTCCTCTGCTCACTCGTTTGCGGACATCACTCTGCTCGCAGCCGCTGACCCACTTCCATCGCACCTTCCACGCACACAGTCCCAGGTGTACAGGACCATCATCGACGATGTGATCAACAATGTGCGGCAAGACTTTGAAGAGATGGGCATCGAGAAGGAGGTTCTCGAGGAGCTGCAGCGGTCGTGGGAGGCCAAGATCGTGGCCACACAAGTCGCCGAGTTCGAGGGGGCGCCTGCGCTTCCACCGGCAAAGTCTCGCTCGTCCAAGAAGCCCGATCCGAAGTCCGATGTCAAGTCGGAAGACAGCAAGCCTGCGAATGGGGATGCGCACCGGTCCAAGGCGGCCCGGGCTGACGGCGCCTCCGACGTGGCCGGCGCCTCGAGCACCCAAGGCAGCTCCACCGACGCCACCAAGAAGGAGGAGGAGGACGACGACACGGCGGCGGGCCAAAAACGAAAACGCATCAGCGACGACGACGAGATCGGCTCGGACCTCGACGATTCGGACGACGAAGACCTCGACGGCGGCGCCGACGGCGACAACGACGACATGGTGCTCTGCCTCTACGACAAGGTGCAGCGCGTCAAGAACAAGTGGAAGTGCGTGCTCAAGGACGGTGTTGCGTCGATCGATGGCAGGGACTACCTCTTTGCCAAGTGCAACGGCGAGTTCGAGTGGTAAGACGCACAGCGCTTTCCTGCGCCCAACTCAGAGCTTTCGTAGCTTTAAAAAATCCTTGCCGCCAGCAAGCTTTCCAGCATCTAGTTCCCCGTGTTCGTTCCGCTTAAGACTTTCGTCCGCATCTGTACATTAGCCTTTCATTCGTTGGCCACCACAGGCCAACACAAAACTTGCAACTCTTTCCCGCCCGGCACACACACACAGCGACAAATGGAGCAGTCTAGAACGTGATACGATATATTATAGAGTCAGAGTACACAGAGTACGAGATGGTGGTTTCAAAAGGTGAATGAGAGTAAAAAAGGATGCGTCCGTTGATGCACGGAGCGGTGCTGCCTTCTATAGTGGTCGGAAGTGGTCAGATGCTCGGCCTCTTGGGCTCGGCGCCGATCTGCTGGATCGGTTTTGGTCCAGCGCGATGCGAGTAGAAGGCCAACTGTCCGCGAATCGCTTCGACCATCTTGGTGGTGGAATCGACGCCTGGCGGGCCGGGAGCCGTCAGAGCCCTCTCCAACCGATCCAGCATCTGGACCATCTCCTCCCTGACCATCTGCCCTGCCGTGGCCCTGGATTCGTTCATCTGGACGGCCATGATGCGGATTTGGCTCTCGAGAAAGCTGGCGTGACGAATGATCGCGTCGGTTCGTTCGCTCAGGTCTTCGAAGCGGGCGATCGCTTCTGCTCTATCCATGTCCGGTCTGCTGCGTGGATCGACGAAGGGGGCGGGAGGGGGATCTCTTGCGTAGGCGAACTCCTCGGGCGGTCCTCGCTGGGGTGGGTAGGGCTCGTATCGCTCCCCACCCCCACGTGCGTACTGGTCGTCGTAGAACTCCCGTCTGCCACCGGCGATGCTGCTGAGGCTCACCTCCGGACTCGGCGTGCTGGATCCCGCACTTCGATCCGCCCTCATCTCCCCTCCTGGTCCCGGAGAGCCCCGCTTCTGCCTCGAACTCTTCCGCTTGATATCATTCAACGCCGCAATCTCCCCCCGCCTGAAACTCGGATGACGAAACTCCCACACCTGCACCTCGTCCGTCGGGTTTCCCTGATAGGAATGGTTCACCTTGTGAAATCCATACATGTTGAGCTGGCGCACGAAGGACTGCCAGTTAGAGTGCTTGAACCAGTTGGGTAGGACGAGACGGGAGAACTCGGCCGGGTTGGCGACCGAGAAGACCGAACCCGAGGTGCCCCAGCTGATGAGGTCGCCAATGGAGGGGTCTTCGAGCATCGAGTAGAGTTTCGAGACGAACGAGGGTTGCTGTTTGCCACCCGGACCGCCACCTGCGCCGGGGAGACCGGCGAGCGCGGGGTGTATCATGGGCGGGTTGCCATACGAGGTGGACGGGGTTGGGGAGGGTTGCGAGGCGTGGTGGTGCATGAGAGGGGTGCGAGCGGGTGGTGGCGGGTACGAGGCGTACGACGGACCGTGGAAGGGTACGGGTCGACGAGGGGAAGAGCTGTAGGGGCCGGGGAGGTCGTCGCGTGGACGCAGACCGAGTCCCTCAGGCTCGAGCGAGGCGAAGCCAGGCAGTCGGGGTGGTGGTGGTGACGAGGGGCGGTTGCGGTAGGGTGGCATGTTGGGGTCGGCTCCACCAGGAGGTGGCATCCGCATCGACGGCGAGGGATACTCCATCTTAGCGGGACCACGGTGCTCCCGTTCCGCTTCGCCGTATCGATCGCCCACCATACCACCAGCATGACGGCCCTCTTCGCGAATTCCCAACCCAGAGTCATAGCGACCTGGCGGTGGAGGACGCTCATACTCGTAGCGACGCTCCTGCGGGCCACCTCCGGCCTCGGGACGATGTTGCTGCGGCGGCGCACCTCGCTGCTGTGGCTGCTGTTGGGGCGGATACCTCGAATCCACGGCGGCGCTGGCGCTCCTCCCGGCCCACTGCGCATGCGCTGCTGCACTCGATGACCGACTGACCGGATCCGGTCCCGAACCCTTCCGTTCCACTTTCGGTTCATCCGACTCGCCGTGAGGTCGGGTGGTCTCTTCGGTCTCCTCCAATTCGTCGTGTTCTTCTTCGTCGGCCATGTCGCGGGATGACAGACCAGGATCGTAGCGCGGGCGTTTGCGATCGGGACTGCCCGGTGGTGGTGGCGCCGCTGCCGACGATGATGATTCTTGTTTGCGTTGCAGGTCTCTCGGGACCGCCGAGTGAGGATGCTGTGCGCGAGGCGAGCCAGCTGGCACGGAAGCGCCGAACCCGCTAGCACGTCCTTCGGTGCTCATCATAGCAACGCGGAGGCGGAGCTGCCGAAGGTGTGTGACTAAGGCGCAGTATCAAGGCGGTGCCGGCTGAGTGGCACTGAACCAGAGACAGTTGCAACGACGACGATGAAAGCTTCCTTTCTACGACGCTGGATGATGTTCCGTTGAAAACAAGTCCGAAGCGATCCGTCCAAGGTTCTCTCTTGAGCAGGTGTTGTCTTGCACACAAGAGACGTATCCGCTTTTGTAGGGATTGCAGCTGGTGGTGTGGGGACAAAAGGCGCAGAAGTTTGCTTCGGTTTGCTCGAGCCTGACTCCTGCTTGCTGACTGGCTGACCGTGCAGATGAAGGCGGGCGAATGCGCGCCTTGCCGAGGGTCTGCTCGAACAGGGTGACAGAACGCCTGCTGAGGCTTCGACCGGTGGGCGTTGGGAGGCAGATGCCGTGCGCACAAATGAAACGAGGCAGTGGCTGAAATGAGCCCAGCTGAGATGATCCGCGGAACGCTGCTGGAAATGCAGGCGGGAGGTCAGAAGCGCAGCACTCTGAATGGGAGATGAAAAGCCGTTGTATGGCTGGCGTCTACACGGCGTCGGCTGTGGTCGGGCTGCTTGATGAAGCTCGCGGTGGATGCGTGTGCGCTGGGTATTGACAGAGGAAAGAGCAGCTGGCTTCCGAATGTGGACGAGGCGGAGGCGGAGGCTTCGGCTTCGGGTTGTGCTCGTGCAAGTGCGGCGCAGGTGGGTCGACGTGGAAGAAGGGTTTGTCGTTGCGAACACCGATTTGCAGAGGATCGACCGCGATGATGAAGCGGGTGGGAGTCTCGAAGGTAGGAGCGGGCAAAGCAGAGCGCTCGAATGCGTGAGGCGGAAGAGAATAGGAGGCGGCGCCGATAATGATGTTGGTGATGTGGTGGTGGTGATGATGATGAAGGAAAGAGAGGAGAGATTCGATTGGCATTCAACCGGGGGCCACAACGGTGGAAGGGGGGTTGCCGAGTCTAAATGCAAGCCAAGCCGATCGACGGGAAGCAGCTGCTCGCGTTGAAGATCAGCGACAGCGGCAGTGCGGGATTACGGGAGAGAGTATGGAAGAGACGGTAAGATAAAAGCGAGGAGGGGCCCGTTGAGTAGAAAGCAATGCAACGCCAACGCAAAGCAACCGAACCGCCAACGGGATGAAATGGTTGAATGAATGAAAGAGGGTTCCTCGTCGGGACGGAGTCAGACGGCGCAACTGGATTGTGCTGAGTTAGGTTGTCAGTTTGAAACTCAGTGCGTTTCAGAGTGGCGCTTGATCCGGGAGGAGAGGAGAGAGGGAGAGCAAGAGGGGGAGGATGAGGAGGAACAAGCAGCGAAGGGCCGAATGGAAAGGCCAAAAAGCCACGAGGTCGACAAGGGCATTTCGGCAAACAGCATCGGACTCGAGGTGCAGCTCAGCCACGGCAAAGACGAGGCGAGGCAAGGCGACGCGAAGGAAGACCAGGAAAGAGGGCTTGGAGAGAACCAGATGGGGTGTTTGCTATAGCCGAAGATGGAATGTCTCTCTTTTGCCCACCTCCGCTCTGATCCCGTGTCATCTCATCAATGCAACCCTGTCCCGGGCTGGAATGCGGACCCGACTCACCCAAGACAAATCAGTTGCAGGAGGAGGGTACGAACTTGCATCCAAAGGGATGGCACCGTCACGAGGCAGTAGGCGAGCGGAGGAAGAACGAGAGACTGTGGTGTGCGTCAGTGGCACATGCCATGTTGGAGAGCGGCAACATTGGGTAGAGCTGGTGCAGCTGCATCTCATCTCGAATCATCGTGGACCGGAAAAAATGGAGGAGCCGCGGAAGCTGAAATGCAAGAGGAAAAAGGAGGCGGGCAAGAAGCGAGGCGTTAGACGAGCCAGCCATCTGCATCCAGCTGCAGGCTATCCCGGCAAAGAGGATCAAGATGCGATGCAGGAGCCAAAGCATGCGAGACACTCCGACTCACAAGGGCATGACAAGGCAAAAGAAGCCAGAAACAGAAATTTCCATAAACCAAAAGCACCTGTCCGGGCCAATTCATTTTAGGATAAAAAAATTCAATTTGGTACCTTGGCAAGACAGCGCGAGTCAGAGACCCGACCGGATGTCATGGGCCGCGCACAGGCAGATGTAAGTCGTCGTCCGAATATCGCCCAGCCAGAGCTCAAATACGTGAAGCAAAGGACGCGAACCAACAATCAAGCCGGGGAGCGAGAGATTGAAACGAAAGAGGCGACGTAGAAGTAGCGATGGAAAGCCCAAGCCCAAAAGCGTACAGCGCCAAGGCACCGACAGCCAGACGACAGCTCAGCTGAGAATCATGCAACGCGGCCCACGAGTTGAGTTGAGTCAGGAGGAGAAACAGAGCCAAACAATCAGAGCCAATCGAGAATCTTCGGCGTGGACGGGTAGAGCGGAGTATGACAAGGCAACACCAGCCGAGCTTAAGCGAGGCTTGTTGGCTGACGTTTTCAACAGCCTTGTCCGGCGAGAAAGATTTTTACGAAAAAAAAGCATCAAACAAGGACGCAGACGAAAAAGACGATGATGAGGTCTAGACATTTGTCCATATGTCCGACATTTGATTCCTTCGAAGCACCGCAGGAACTGCATTCAGGATCTCATGCATCTCGTCAGGATACAGTTGTACCGTACGCCAAGACCGCGGCCGGTTCGGAACTGCAACTCAAATGCTGGCGGAGGCCAAAGTCCAGGAGTCGAGCTGATCTCTCCAAATCAAAGCAGCACTGCGATGGCAACCGCCGAGACAACGAGGTCAGGTACAGCCAGTCATGTGGGTTCTGGATCGATCCTACAGGCGGGCCAACCAGAAGGCTGCGACTCGAAATGTTTCCTGTGCGCCAAGGATGCCCCCATCTTGTGGGCCTTGGCTTGCTCACTCTGCTTTATTCCAGGGCATGATTCGAAGGTGGGCATCTGGAAGGCGAATGCATGATTCAAAGTGATTCCACGGCACCCACGGGATCGTCCGCTTGGCGTAGACTCTGCTGATCTGCTTTGGAGCACCCCACCTCGGCAATGAATCGCTACATAGATTAACGACGCGGGATGGAACAAGATTACGCATCTCCGTATTCGTAATGAGTTGCTCGCTTAGAAACGACCTTGTTGAAAGCGAATGGTACCGGTATCACAGACGTTGGCTCGGTCGATGAACTCGCCGAACGACGTATTGATTCTCGTACGCGGAGTTCATAGGCAGGGAGAACAATGTACGTACTACAACTGACTCACTTCAAACAGCGCTACCACCGGTCTCAATGTCGAGCTTTTCTGTCTCGTCTGGAGCTTCCAAACTCGATGAGAAAGAATAAAAGCATTCGTTCTCTATTCATCGAGATTAATGCAGGTTCATTGCCGATGACCTGCTCGCTGTTGTACCATGCCTTGACCAATTCGATTGCAGGGCGCCTACAGGCAGCTAGCGTCGATGATCGATCATGCGCCATTTTAGAGCGGGATGAAGGGTGACACATGCCTGGATTTAGCTGCAAGCCACAAACGAGGCGGACGCGGGTCCCGTCAGCATGCCGATCCAAGCGTGCGCGCAGATCCAGCGACGATGCTTCGATCGGCTCGTCGTGCCTTCCATGTGCGTCAATGGCGACTTATCTTTTGATCTCATCACGGCGTGATGACCATCCCAACTGCTGTCGTCAGCATCGCGGCTTCTGTTCATGCAGCTCGATGTCAAAATCAATCGCATGATCATCAAAGCGCTATCGCTTCTATCGGGGGTTTCCTGTCCCACTGACTTAGCCTACGTGTGTATGTGAGGGAAAGACACCTTCTCGATCCAATGGCCTCCCACCAAGCCAGCTTTGATTCCAGTGACATCGGCCTTGCCTGCTCCCCCAAGACCGATTCTCAATTGTTTTAATATTTTATTCGTTTTCTCGCCAAGGCCGTGACACCTGGCGCGAAATTCCGAGCGAGTGGAACCCGAGATCCGAAGGGAAGGCATTTGCATTGTGCTGTGGAACCTCGACTAACCAGGGCCGGATTCAAAGACCGACGCCAGCTCGTGTGTTTGTTGCTCCGACCGTCACAGCGCAGCACGCGAATCAATTCATTTTTATGTTTTATTTTTCTCCCCGGCTTGGAGTGCCATGTCTCACTCACCGACTCGATCAGAAGGGAACAAAAGAACAAGGCTTCTTTTCTTTAGACGCCCGGGCAAAGCACACCCATCCCGCGGAAGCATCGCTTCTTTCTCAAGAATCGTGCGTCGTGCCTGACTGAGCCACATGTATGCATGAAACCACATCCAAGCCGTGACACAAACGGTCGACCATTTGCTCGAGTGGTTTCGATCCGCTCCTTTTCGCTCTCTCCTGGCCCGTTTCGACTTCCGCCGCCGCTCAAGACGGCTCAATGATTCTGTTTGCTGACCGGTATATTGAATTGGCTCTTCGCACGAGGGCCCTCGATCTGGGTTTGTTTGATGAAGCTGTGCTTGTTGATCTCGGTCAGCCACATTCAATCAAAGTCATGATGCAGCGAAGTGGCATTGTCTGACGAGACCATGTGACTCACCTCGGAGCTCGTGTCCCGCCCTCTGTTGCCTTTATCCCTGTGACTGGTTCTGGTGCGACTCCGCCTGCATTCTGCATTCAATGTGGCACAGGGACCTGGCGTTCCTGAAAGAATGCGCGTCTGCGTCTGACTGGCGCTTCCAGAACTCAGAGGCACCATTTGGCGTGCGCTTGGCTTCAGCCCCGGAGTCCGGGTAGAGGCCTTGATGACCCCGTCGCTGGTACAATTCAACCATGCTACTCTCACATCCTTTCTCGTCCGCCTTGGCATCAGCAGACATGGCTGAGCAACGGCCAAGAGCGAATGCTCAACCCGAAAGCACGGATTGCGGCCAGAAAAGATACACGACAAGGCGACCACGACTCCAGTTGCGGTGCCGAGCGACTCGCTAAGCCGAGTTGGCCGAGCCGATTCGAGATCAGTCCATCGAGCGCTTCTGGAAGCTCCGACTGTGTATTTTGTTCGGTGGGGAAATAGCCCGCACTTTGATTTCCATCTCAGAGAGGTCAGAAGTGAGGTGTGGCTTGAGCTCCATCAGGATCAGGACGTACAGCATCATCTGAGACTGGCGAATGCTGCATGGTTCGAGCATGTCTTGCGCGGGTCAAAAGAAGCGAGGACGGTCAAGATAGTCACGATGGACGCCTCGGCCGGCATGATTACTGTATTCGTCGCGATTCGAGCGATTTGGCAGGTTAGATCGGTCCCTTTCCCATACGCTCGCGTGATAGAGTTTGTCAGGAGCGCGATGAGCTGTCTGTGCCTGAAAGTTTAATGCGACTGCAAAAACGGAAAGGAAGAATTGGATTTTCCACGGCTTGCTTGCCGACTTCTGACACACCGCTCCGAGGCAGACGAGACGCAGCGAGTCGCCCACGCCCAAGCCCATCTTTGCTCTGAATTTCAAATGCTCGCCGTGACAAATCGCGCGGGAGCAGCATGCGGTTCTGCCGACCGTTCCACGGCTTCTTCCCCTTGGCCTCTCCGTCATCATCATCATCGTCCTCTGCCTCTACGCCTTTTCCGTCGGCTTTTCCGTTCCAGACGCAAGTGTCACAAAGTCCTAGCTGCACGCTCCGAATCGGTTGCTCCCGCTTCCATCGGATTTGAAATGCAAGTGGCGTATCAACCTAGATCAAGCTAAGTCACTGCTTGTGGTCCTGCGCCAAGTCCCGCTCCGGAAAAGGCTGCCGTAATGCAACCTCGGCGAGGTCAACGCGGAGTTGGCCCGATTGATCATCCGCGTCTGTCTCGTTCCCAAAGACCGAGTACAAATTCTGGGTTGCTCACATGCCTAATGCATCGTATCATGGCATGCAACCCCGACTCTGTCTCTGCGATCAACTACGCTGCCACTCTTTGAGCATTGCATGTTCAAGGCTGTCCACTTCGCCGCTCCCAAGACCAGCCTGCAGTTTCTCGAATTGAGATTGCAGTTAGGCAGCAATGCGAGTGATGCGACCCGTGTGACCCAGAGCTGGCAAATCGAGAGCTTACCAGCGAAAGTGGGTATTCGCGAATCCAAAAAGAGGCGATCCAGCTCGGCTAGTTAACGCGCTTCTTTCCCATGCGGCTCGTTGGTTGCCTTCGCTTCTCAACCTTGCTTAAGCGCCAGTCCCCTCTTCCCGGACTCCGACTGCGTTCAACGAGCAAAACACGCGCAGCGTTAAGATCACCTCGGTTCCACATGGTTTGCCTACAGTGTCTGGATCGAGTAGAGTGAACCACGAGGCGACTCCGGATCATGCCTTGCTTTCGTACCAAGCAAGTAAGACCTAACCCGAGGAGGTGAGATCATCGCGTAATATCGCGCACAGCCCCTCTACCACTTCTCCTTTCTACGTTTCGTGACATTGAATCACTTCTCCGTCCAACTCAGCCATTCGACGCTTCGAGTCAGTTCTATCAATTCGGGTGATGATGGTTGAGGCATGTGAGGCTGCTGCGATCTCATTCCTGTGTTACGTCGTTATTAGTTACATTTGCTATCCACGTGACCCCGATTTGCCGAGATCTGGCAGCCCAGCCGGGAATTTTTCCAACTTCTTCTTGAACCTAAGAATTTTTTGTGGACAGCTTGCTCCTCGCTGCCGTTGCTCCACATCGTCCTCTCATCACCATACCCACCGAGCTACGGCTGCTATCTTGTCCCCTCGCAGCGAGTCTCTTCGTCATCACCTACAACATCTTCAACATCCTCGCATACATCGGACGACTCGGCGATTGAGCAACAATGGCCTCCGTTTTCCAGCAGGCTTCCAAGGCCGCCAAGGGCAAGCGCAAGGCGGATGCGCAAGACGAGGATGCCGTCGCTGCTCCCATCCGCAGGAACAAGCAGCGCGTCCTCATGCTACCATCTCGAGGCGTCACATCACGCATGCGACACCTCATCAATGACCTGGAATCGCTCATGCCCCACGCCAAGAAGGAGTCCAAGCTCGACTCCAAGTCCCAACTCCACCTGCTCAACGAGATGGCCGAGCTCAACAACTGCAACAATGCGCTCTACTTTGAAGCACGAAAGCGCGAGGACCTGTACATGTGGGCGTCCAAGACACCCAACGGACCTTCTGCCAAGTTCCAGGTGCAGAACATTCACACCATGGACGAGCTCAAGATGACGGGCAACTGCCTCAAGGGTTCGAGACCCATCCTCTCGTTTGACCAGGAGTTTGACGAGAAGCCGCACTGGACGCTCATCAAGGAGATGTTCACGCAGATGTTTGGCGTCCCCAAAGGCGCAAGGAAGTCAAAACCCTTCGTGGACCACGTCATTTCGTTCTCGATCGTCGACAACAAGGTGTGGTTCCGCAACTACCAGATTGTCGAGTCGGATCCAGGCGCCAATGTCATGTCCAAGTTGGAGGAAGGCAAGGAGGGCAGCAAGAAGAAGACGGGTGCGGCAAAGGACGCATCGAGGCAACCCAAGCTGGTCGAGATCGGTCCTCGCATAGTGCTCTCGCCTATCCGTGTCTTTGAAGGAAGCTTTGGCGGCGCGACCGTGTTCGAGAACCCAGAGTACATCTCGCCCAATGCGATCCGACACATGGTGCGAAAGCAGAAGGGCAACAAGTACGCGGATCGCGTCAACCAGCAGGATTCGTTGCGACTCAAGAAGGATCGTCTCAAGCCAAAGGAGGATGCCCTCAGCCGCAACAAGGTCTTCTCCTGAGCAGCTGGCGCGTGCAGACATACAGCCGTTGCGAATCATCCTCTTACTCAGAGGATGCCCCTCGTACGCCAGACGCTCGCCGTCAATTCCTTGCTGCCTCTTGACTCGACACCATCTTCACTGTACCGATACCGTCCCTTTCATGTCACTTTTGCATTTCAATACATCATTAGCATCTCTCCTCATTGTCTGTACAGCCGCGATTGGGCGACAGCATCCACAAGCCAGCTTTTCAGGTACATGCGAGGCTATAGCTGAATTGATCGCCACGAACGAGGGTCTGGTTCGAGTTCAGGGTCAAAAAGAGCTGAGCTGGGGCCACGCGTGAAGCAGCGCAAATTTGGGCTTGAGAAGAAGCGCACAGGGAAGAGAGGCGTAGAAGAAGTCGCGAAAAGTCCAACACGCAGCTCAAATTCGGCGCAGCTTGCAGATCATACGACTTGAAGCTTCACCACAGCCCGGACCAATTTGCAGATTCGCCTCTTCTTTTGACCTTCACCATCGCGATTCCTCGTTGAGCAACACATCGCTTTGCCACGCATCCACAATGTCCTCGTCAACCGTCTACCAGGCCACCTGCTCGGCACCCGTCAACATCGCCGTCATCAAGTACTGGGGCAAGAAGGACACTACGCTCATCCTTCCCACCAACGACAGTCTCTCCGTCACGCTCGACCAGGACCACTTGCGGTCCGTCACTACCGCTCGTGCCGATGCGAGCTTCAAATCTGGCGACCGTCTCTGGCTCAACGGCGAAGAGGAGACCATCAAGGCCGAGGGCCGTCTTCGCAGATGCATCGACGAGATGAAGAAGCTCCGACAGGCGAAAGAGTCCAATGACAGCACCCTGCCCAAGCTCTCCGAATGGACTGTCCATGTCTGCTCCGAGAACAACTTCCCTACTGCCGCTGGCCTTGCTTCGTCCGCCTCTGGCTTTGCTGCCCTCATCGCCTCCCTCGCAGCGCTGTACGAGCTGCAACCGGAAGTGTCGAGCTCGGAGCTCTCGCGCATCGCTCGTCAGGGCAGTGGTTCCGCCTGCCGCTCGCTTTTTGGCGGCTACGTGGCCTGGCAGGGAGGCGAAGACGCATCCGGTCAGGACAGTCTGGCCGTCGAGGTCGCACCTCAGTCGCACTGGCCCGACCTCCAGGCGCTCATCTGCGTTGTCAGCGATGCCAAGAAGGGCACTCCTTCCACCGCCGGTATGCAACGCACCGTCGCAACCTCGCCGCTCTTGCAACACCGCATCAAGCACGTCGTGCCCGAGCGCATGACCAAGATCTCGCAAGCCATTCAGAAGCGCGACTTTGACACCTTTGCCGAAATCACCATGGCTGACTCGAACAACTTCCACGCCTGCTGCCTCGACACTGCGCCGCCCATCTTCTACATGAACGATGTTAGCCGCGCCATCGTGCAGCTCGTCGAGGAGCTCAACCGCGCCAACGAGGCGGAGGGCAAGGGCAAGCTGGCTGCCTACACGTACGACGCTGGACCGAACGCCGTGCTCTACGCTCCCAAAGCCAACATTGCGACCATCCTGCAGACCATCCGCCACTACTTCCCGAATGCTGACTTTGACGACACTGTGAGTGTCACTTCACTTCGAACTGACGCCGATTTACGGGCTCGTGTACTGACTACAGCTGTCTTCTCCTTCCCTTTTGATCTCTGTGTTCGATCCGCCCCGCTTGCTACAGTTCGACCTCCTCGGCAAAGGCGTCAACGCATCGCATCGGGGCGCGCAAGAGGCGCTCGGTCTGCCCTCGTCGCTGCCCACCTCGTTCAACGCCAACGTCATCCCCGTGCACGAGGCCGGTGCGGTCCGCCGACTCATCCACACGCAGGTCGGCGATGGGCCGCGCGTGCTCGAGCGTGGCGCGGGCAAGGAGTCGCTGCTCAACGACAACGGCGAGCCCATCCGTCTGCAGCGTGCCAAGCGCGCATAGATCAGTACAAGGGTGTAGATTGGTCGAAATCGAATACAAGGTCATCATGATACCGGAGCGGAGAGCTTGTTTTGCGACAGGACTGTGATCAACGAACGGAAGAAGGGTCAGAAGTCACTCGTCTGAGCTGTGAACGAGAGTGTAGGGGGCTTACCTTTCTCCAAGCTCTCCCGAAAAGCGTCTGTGTCGATGCCGTGTGATCTCTCCAGCCTTCCATCCCTGACCACATCGAATGTCGTCTTCTCGGCATCCTCGTTGGGCTGCACCACCCTCTCTTCCCTCTCTAGCGCCCTAAGCAGGGGGTTCCTCACAACGCAATCCACCCAAGGCCCGCGATAGATCTGCAGCAGGACGCCTTTGAGACTCATGCCGCCGGTGCCGGGGATGCCGCCGCCAGTCCCGAACGCCGCCCTCCCCGACAACGCAGCGGATGCATTGCCGATCGAGTACCCCTCGCTTGCTCGATTCGGTATCGACGATGGCGGCGCAACGGGGTCGGTGACGAGCACAAACGTGTACATGCTCGGCGTGTGCAGGTGCGACAGGGTGTACGTGGACGTGGTGAAGCTATTGAACGTCTCGGCCCTGCATCACAGTAAGGTAAAGGTCAGCACTACGAAGAAAAGGCGATGTGAGAAAGTACGAGGAGGAGCACTTACTCGCCACCGAGCTTGCGGACCATGTTGCGTAGCGAAAACACAACACCGTATACGAGCTTGGCTTCTTCGTCAAAGGGCAGCAGATCCGAGGGCGTCGTGTCGATTGTAGCCTGCCCTGCTGGCCGGGTGCTCGCTCCATTCTGAGCCGCCGCTGATGAGGATGACAGCCGCGTGACGTTCGGTAGGGACGGCTGGCCCGGTCTTTGCGGCGCCAACGGCGTCTCGTTCGCGGGCCCATTCGCCGCCCCGCTCGTCGCACGTTGGATCGACGCTCCTATCGACGCAAAGCCGGATGTCGAAGTGGCTGATGGACTTAGTGGCCCGTTTGCTGATGTGTAGGCCGCCGCATGGATGTGCGACCAGTCTTGATGGTAGATGGCGTTGCAGTGCCGGTCAAAGACCCAGAATGAGTAGGCCTGTCGAGACAGCCGAGCTAGATGTCAGTGCTGGTTTTGCTGCCGCGTCGCTGGCATGGTCACTGCTTACCTTTGCCATCTTTGTACAGGGGACTGTCGATGCTCGCTGCACAAGGTCGAGGCCGGAGCTGTTGAGCTTTTATATGAAGCAGCCGATGAGGTATGAATGTACGAGAAGGAAGCAAAGCGGCGACAGGGTCCGAGCGTCAATCAGCTCAGTATCCGGAAAAATTGGGCTCTGAGCGCCTATCAACCGACACGTCAGAGAGTGTTACTCTTCGCTCCCTTTCTTCTCAAACCACCTTCACCCACTCGAGTCGCCCTCCACCGCTAAGACAGCATCTCGCCATGAGGCTGTCAACGTCACGCAAGGCTGCGCTCTCTGCGCTGGCTGTAGCGCTCGCCTCGCCATTGCAGGCTGCCGCCTGGTACCTTCCAGGCAGCGCTCCGCACTCCTACAAGCAGGGCGACAACGTCCCCTTCGCCGTCAACGCATTGCAGGCCAAGGCGTTCACATCACAGATCAAGGGCGTCATCAAGTACGATTACTACCACCCGGGCTTCCAATTCTGCGTGCCCGAGGGCGGGCCGCAGGCGCAGAGCGAAAACCTCGGCAGTGTCCTCTTTGGCGACCGCATCTACAGTAGCCCCGTCAAGGCCGCCATGCTGGAGGATCAGGTCTGCAAAGAGATGTGCCGTAAGGAGGTCACCACCGAAAACGCGGACTTCATCAACGACAGGATCAGGGAGGAGTACGCTGTCAACTGGATGGTCGATGGTCTGCCGGTGGCGGAAGCGCGCAGGGAGGTCAAGACCCGTGAGGAGTTCCTCTCGCTCGGCTTCGCACTAGGAAGCACCGAAGACGAGCACTCCCGACCCTACGACCCACCCGCATTGCACAATCACTACGACATCTACATCGACTACCACCAGCGCGGGCCCAACGAGTACCGCGTCGTCGGCGCACGAATCTACCCACTCTCGAAAGCCTCGCTTCGAGGCGTCGCCATCGGGATGACTCCCAACTGCAACGCTGCGGATCCGGTTCAGCTCAGCAACCAGACCGCGACCAACGTAGCCTACACCTACAGCATCCGATGGCGCGAGTCCTCCACCCCCTGGGCCACTCGCTGGGACGCCTACCTCAAAGTGTTCGACCCCAGGATACACTGGCTCGCGCTCATCAACTCGGTCGTCATCGTCAGCTTCCTCTGCATGATGGTGGGCATCGTCGTCGCCCGCTCCATCAGTCGCGACATTTACCGCTACAACGCCATCGACATGAACGAGGACGTCCAAGAAGATTTCGGCTGGAAGCTCGTCCACGGCGAAGTATTTCGTCCACCCAACCGGTCCATGCTTCTGTCGATCTTTGTTGGGTCTGGCTCGCAGCTCGTTGCTATGGCCGCGGTGACGCTGATATTTGCCCTGCTGGGCTTCCTGAGTCCGTCGAACCGCGGTTCGCTCGCCACCGTCATGATCGTCACCTGGACGCTCTTCGGTAGCATCGCCGGCTTCATGTCGAGCAAAGTCTACGCCAGCCTTGGCGGCGAGTACATCAAGCAGAACGCCATCCTCACCGCGATGCTCTTCCCGAGTCTCGTCTTTTCCATGGTGTTGATGCTCAACTTCTTCCTCATCTTCAGCGGTTCTTCTGGCGCAGTACCGTTCGGGACGCTGCTAGCGCTGGTGAGCCTGTGGTTCCTGATCAACGTGCCGCTCACCGTGATCGGCGCGACACTGGGCGTTCGTTCCGGCACCTTCACCCATCCGGTCAAAGTCAACTCGATCCCACGTCAAATCCCGCATCAACAAACATGGTATCTCCAACCCCTGCCGTCCGCCTTGATCGCCGGAATGCTCATTTTTGCTTCCGCGTTCCTCGAGGTGCTCTTCATCCTCAACTCTATGTTCGGCACCAAGTTCTACGTCGCCTTTGGCTTCCTAGCGTTTGCGTTTATCATCACGGCGATTACGGCTGCAACGGTGACGATCCTGTTCGCCTACTTCCACCTGTGCGCCGAAGACTACAGGTGGCATTGGAGAGCCTTCATGACCGGAGGATCGGGCGCCGTGTGGTTCTTTGCGTATGGGCTGTTCTTCTGGGCAACGAGATTGGAGTTGCCAGGTTTGGCGAACAAGGTGCTGTTCCTGGGGTATCTGGCGATTCTCAGTCTGCTGTTCTTTACACTGTTCGGTGCGGTAGGGTTTCTGGCGACGTATGCGTCGTTGAGGAAGATCTATTCGGCCATTCGCGTGGACTAGGCTTGCAGCAATTCACGTTCCTTTCAACGCAAGAGCCGGTCAGACTTGAGGAGGTGGTGTCGCTGTCGTGAGCGAGGCAGCGAGTGTGTGTGATGAATCGTCGCTAGAGTGCAGAGACCGAGACCCTTACAGATACGTAGGCGTGGATCGGCAGCAGACACAGTCGCGGAGTGTCTTCGTTCCACACGACCTCGCTGCTCGCGAGTCTTGACCCTCGAGCGGCGCTCGGTATGGCTTGTGGACTCTGGACGCTTCGCAGCTCTCACTTTCAGCGGATGTACACCATGAGGTTTGAGCAGATCTCTATTTCCTACTGCGCCGAGACAACAACCGATCAATCATACCCAAAGCGATCGGGAAGCAGTACAGGAGCGACCAAACTCCACGTATAGATGCCGATGCACAGCCAACTGCTCACCACGCGCATCCACATGGCCGTGGTGCTCCTCCCAATATACGCAATTGGTGCGCCGTCCTCGCTCGGATCCGGACTGGGTCCGCCCAGCCTGACAAACCGCCAGTCTGTCAGCAGCATCGCCGTGTAGCATGCGGCAATCGCGAACACGAAATGGAAGAAGCTGTAGTTGTAGCGTGTTCCCTGGCGTTCGTCGTCGTCCTCGTCACCGCCCATTTCGGAGCGGGTCTCCATCTCGTCATCGTCATCTTCTTCGTCGAGCGCGGATGCTGGGATGGCGCCAGCTTCGACGGCGGCCATGAGCGCCTGGATGCGTAGGCTGTCCTTCTTGGTCGGTTGGTCGGATACCACCGCCGAGTTGTCGAGCGACTCGCGCGTTGCGAGGGGACCGTAACCGGAAGGGGGACGACTGGTGTTCGCTGCAGCACGTCGTTTGCCCACCAGCGTGGTAGACTGCGTCGCCGCACGCGAGGTCGAATACGCGATGGCCAAAAAGGTGAACACGGCCCCGATGACCACCGTTGTCGTCTTTGCGCTCCCGCCCCTCCCGCGGGTGATAGGGTTGCACTCGACATTGTCGCGATTCATCACGGCCGAGGCGATGAGGTAGGTGCAGTACGCTGCGACCATGCTGCTCTGCGCCAGACCGCTGCGTGGGTTCGCCTCCTGCACCTGCGGACTGATGCTCAGCACCGTCAGCACCACGATCAACGCCAGGTTGAGGCTGATGAAGAACTGATTGAGGGTGCAACCGCTGGAGGCGAAGAAGCCGTACAGCACACCCGTCAGCGCTATCGCCGCAGCATACATGCCCAGCGTGCTGCCGATGAGCGTAAACTTCCAGAAATCCGACTCGGTCGCCTCCCACCGATCCAGGCACGTTTCGCTCCACGAGTGCGCAAAGTCGACCAGCAGCACCAGACCGACGACGATGAAGATGCTTGCAAAGATGAGCGAAAAGTAGTTGGCCCAGAACACGAAAAAGCCGTTGGGGATGAAGAACATCAATCCCGTCAGCGTCAGCCAGAGCAACACCTTGGGTCCCCACCACCCGTTCTGAATCGCTGCCCGCTTCGTCCTCGTATCCTTCACCCCGATCAGCGACAGCCCGAGCAGGAAGTGGAAGAGCGACAAAGCAAACGTGATGCGGTGCACAGCGAGCACGCCGTAGCACCGATCCTTGTCCTTGCAGTCCATCTTGATGTAGTTGTACGACCACTCTTCGATCTTGTGCATCATGAACCCGGTGAGACTGAGCCAGGCGAAGAGCGCGTCGAGGCAGAAGATGATGGCGAAGCCGACGCGGGTGGCAATGGACGACTGACAGTTGCAGGATTTGAAGAGGGCCGAAGCGGCGGTGCTGGTGCAGAAGCAGGCGAGACCGGCGAGACACGAGCTGGCGACCGAGGCGAGTCCGCCGCCGAGGAACGGCAGCGAGAGTGCCACGCCCATGGTTGTCGCAAAAGGGAGGTGCGAGCTGGCTAGGTCGGATGCTGGATGTTCGAGGCGATGCGCCGAGGTCGTATGGATGTAGTCTGGATAGGCCTTTCGTGCCCTTGATGTGCTGGATGGCGTGCGGATGAGGATAGGGTGGAGTGACGACGGAAAGCTGCAGGTCTACGATCTGCAGCGAATTCAGGGTCGCGATTTCCGATTCTTTTGCTCAGCCTTGTGCGGTTGCACGCTTACAGCATTGGCCTACTGTATCGCTTCTCAGTCTTAGGACCCTGGCAGATCTCAGCAAACGCACGAGGCATCGATCCCTAACTCGGGCACGACCACAACGGTGACACCACCTCTTCCGAGTCTGCCTACGTTTGAACGCTGACGATGTCGTTTAGATTGATTGCTTTTCAAGTTCGAGGTCAACCCAATCCGAATTCCCACGTTCGACATTCGCCGCCACCAGCCTTGCTCGCCCGCACGTTTCCTTCCTGCTCCTTGTGATGCGACCTGGACCTGAGCAGGTCTTCGTTGGCGCTGCTGCTCACGCCCTTCACCCATCCAATAGTCCTGCGATGTTGATAGCCGCGCCATTCCGTGGGGTCGAATTCGAAGCTCCGCCACAGGTGATAGCTCCTATACCTTCTCACGCTTTTGGACGAAGCTTTGCCGCCATTCTGCGAGGCAGCTCGTGAGTGAAGGTTGGTGGCACTCAACGTCGATAGCCCGCTAGCGGTGAGATCTTTCAAAGTGGGCTTTTTGACTCCCTTCGGTAAGGCTGGCGCGGTGGACGCGATGACAGGCAGCATCTGCGGCAGACGCTTGGCGAGGTTGGCGACGTCCCACAAGGTGTATGGTGAGGCATTGCGGAGGGTCACGAGGACTGAACCTTGGCGTGAGGGAGGAACAAAGGGCTGTAGAGCTGAGATGCGTGCTTGTGTTTCGTCGAGAATCGATTGATCCGCATCGTTGGTCGAGGTGAGGAGGTTGTCTTCGTAATCGGAGGCGTCGTCCTCCTTCTCGTCTTCCAGATCGTCCTCATCGTCCGAGCCAGTCTGCTTGCGAGAGCCAGAGGAGCCGCCTGGCGCATAGCCTGGCAAAGGTCCAGCAGTGAGATAGGGTGCGACCGAAATGAGGAATCGCAGTATGAGCAGCTGGTTGGCGAGCACATTGCGCGTCTCGTCCTTGTGACCCGCCCCCACGTGCGGAAAGCCAAACCAGACCTTGCTCCACCTCCTTTGGGCCGAATCTGCCGCCTTCGAGCTGGATGCCTCTCCGTAGCTATCATCGAGGTTGCGGCTGACCTGAGACTTCTTCGAAGCCCCTGTGACCTGCTTGTACTTGTCCAGCTGCCCGGCATCTACACCGAAAAGGACGATGTCATCGCGCCCTGCTAAGCGACGGATCTTCTCGACGTTCTCGCGCGCATCGGGATACTTTGAGAAGCATTCCTGCTCCGAGTCGTAAGCTGTTGCGAGGATCTGTGATGGCGGATGCGAGCGCGGAGGGAGGAGCAGGGACAGCGTGAAGGAGAAGTTGGCTTCTCCAACGATGAGGATCGTATCATCTCTTGCAAAGGGCTGCGGAAGACGCTTCCGCCTCGCTAGTCCCGTCGTGATCACTTCGCTGCCTTCTGTAAGCGACGCCGAGATTGGCGAGTCAGCATCGTCGGAAGCTTGATGACTTTGCGGCTTGCGTTTGAAGCCCTTCGGACGCGAGCCGCCCGACTTAGCCACGGAGAGAGCCTTGCGTCGTGCTGCTTCCTGTGCAGCTCGCTCTCTCGCCTTCTGCTCTTGCTGCGCAAAGTGGCCCTGCAGCGCCGCCTTGAGGTTGCCCTTCTTCTTCGGCATGTCCGTGGTGTCGCTCGGGTGATGATGGCAGCGAGCATCAAGGCAGAGTCGGAAGATCCGAAGTCAGGGTCCAGGTCGTGAGAAATTTCGCAGCCAAGGCTCCACGGACATCCCGATTCGAGCTTGTGGGAAAGTCACAGGCGCATATCGGGATGCATCCGCAGCGTGGGTGCCAAGAAGCGAGGCGAACCCTGAAAGTCACTCCCAAGCCTGTGACTTGTGACTCCGACCAGCCATCATCGTATCATCGTCTTGACCATCATCGTCCTCGATAAGACCCTTATGGCGCAGGTTCACGTACGGCTTCAAGCATAGAGAGGCGCTATCCTGACACTAGGGTCATTCCCCTGCGAGATGACTACCGCGCGCAAGGACCGCTTGCGGCCCGAGCCACCAGCAGCAGCCGACACCTCCGACTTCTCATCGACATCCATATCGATTCCCTTCGAAACGGTCATGCATTCCAGACGAGCCTTGCGGGCCTCATATCGCAAGTTCTTCTTCTACCATGTCCTGTCACTCGTGCCGACACTCGTCATCCTAATAGCTGCACTCTTCGGCTCGCTTCAGACCCGAGAGCTTTGCCATCTGCAGGATTCAAGGGAGGCAGAGGGTTACGACCTCACCGCCTTCTCCCGCTTCCATCCAACGCACTCGGTATATCAAAGAGGGCAGTGCCGCAGCATCCTCGATGGTCAGCTTCTCGCATCCACGCTGGCCCTCGGCCTCGTAGGCTGGCTCGCCTCGTACACCAGCCGCAAAGCCTGTCTCGCCATCTCGGATCGACTTATACCCCGACTCTTCTCGTCGTCCTCGTCGATTCTATCCCGCTCGACACGCTTTCAGCTGCCTACGCAGGAAGGGAGCTCAGGTAAAGAAGGTCTGATCGTCACAGTAGCAATCGCGATGCAGGCGCTGGTAGCAGAGACCCTGCGAGTGCTTTCATTTTATTGGGCCTGCTGCCTCCTCGTCACTGCGCTCTACCTGTATCCGATACAGGACCGATACTCGCATCGCCCGCACTCGAGCACGGCGGCAGACATGTCGGCTATCGCGGCGCCAGACTGGGCGTGGCGTCTCAGCTTCCGCGACCCGCGCTTCTTCGTTGCTGCTTGGTCTTCCATCGCCTGGGCGCTCGCCGAGTTTGGCTTTGGGGCGTTTCAGATCTTGCATCAGGTTGCGCTGTACAAGCCAGTCGATGACGATGATGATAACGAGCTAGCACGTGAGGCAAACGCGACACAATCGAATGGGGCAGCAGGGCAGTCCGGCTTCAGCTTGCTCTCCGGGCATCCTGGGGTGAGCAACGATCAAGTGTCAACACCAGAGCGGAGCAGCGGGAAGGCCAGACGCATGTCGGCCGGTCGAGCGCTCGAGTCCGCAAGGCAGCGTCTTGTCCAGCCGACCAGCGATGCAGCACGGCAGCAGAACTACGGCGCGACCGGCTCAAGCGAGCCGGTCGAGAACGGTAGCCACAGCGAGGCGGTCACCGACGAGGAGGGAAGCTCAATAGCGAGCGGATCGAGCTTTTCGAACGCGACGATCTCACTGCTGGATCAGGAGCTCGAAGAGGAAGTGGAGCGCTTCTTGATAGCCAAAGAGCGGTCCGAAGTAGAAGCCGTGCTTGGCGTTCCATTGCCAGAGATCCCAGTGGCACTCTGCGCACTCTGGCGGATCGACGCGATGCTATGGAGCGTTGGCAGCAGCGTAAGTCCCTCCCACACCTCACACACGGATACATTGAAGATGAAAATTTGATCACTGACATTTGGATTCGAACACTTTGGACATTGCCCTCTCTTTTTGCTGGGCAACTAGCTGCTCCTCTCAGCATCGTTCACCCACGCCCAGGGGGCACTTGGTCACCTCAATCACGACCGCTTTGACCTTTCGCCCCGTTTCCACCTTCTCCCGCGCTTTGAAGGCTTTGGCATCACCTTTGCCGTCCTCGTCGTTCTACACACTATCGTCTCGTCGCTCTGGGCCACCTCTTTGCCCATGGTTGGCTTCGCCACTACTACCTACGCCTCGTTGTTGTTTGGACTTGCTATCATGGTTGCTAGTCTGGCTCGATGGGGGTTGCTGATCTGATCGTATCATGCAATTAACAACCCTTTGTCGATCGAACCGAGCTTCAGTGGCGCGGAGGACCATGGTCGACAGCGAAGGGGGGTTCGAAAGACTCGCTGATCTCAAGAAAGGGCAGCTCGCTGTCGAGACAGCAAAATGCGACCCATCTGTATGACGACATGAAGATGACAAAGGGGGGTGTCAGTGGGTCGGCTGTGCGCTTGTCAATCAGGCTCCTGGACCTACCGGGCGAGATGGCGCTGTCTGCCAACAGGCCATTTGCAATTGCAGGGCGCGTCTCCAATATGCATGGACGTACGCATCATCGCTTCAAGCTCCCGCTCTGGAGTGCGCACAGAGGGCTCGATGGTCTGGTGCGGCATTGCGATCCGGGCCTGCCAATCTTCGATTCGCTTCTTCACCTCGAGGTCCGTGTATGTCTCGTCCCTCAAGATGACGCAGTCGGGGCCGTGTTGCTCGTAGCGCACGCCGCGCTGAGCAAGCTCGGCCTTCAACACTTGGGCGTGAGGGTTCGAGCTCCAGTCTGCGGTGTGGGAAGACTTTTTGATCCGATACCAAAGGCCATCCTCGAAGAACTGCACGGCAAAGTCGTTAGGGAGAGGCACGATCTCGTGCGGGTAGGGCTTGCACATGAGCACGAGCGGGAATTTGAAAGGTTTGTCGGCCATTGCAACTGTTGTTCCGCTGTTGCTGAGGGCACCCGAGTTCGGAGGGTCTGTCAGGTCGGATGTCAGAGCGAGTGCTTGATGAGAATGACAAGCAGGGGAAACGAGAAAGGGCGGCAAGGGGCCAGGTATATATGCTTTCGCGACCCCTTCGATCCACTCAACAAGCGCTGACTGGAACGCGGAACACTCTCACGCCAACGTCTGCTGTACGACTGTTCCCTCTGCCCTTTGTGATGGCCGAACAATCGATTGTGTTCCGCTTCCGCACTTGCTGAGTCGTGTCCTAAGGTTCCGCACTAATCTTGTTTGGGATTGAATCGATGTGTCAATGGTCTCATCATGTGTCAATGGGCTGATCATGTCGCTCGAAATCCGTCCAGATACTGATGAGCGCTGCTTGCACATCGAGCACGCACAGCAAACAAGCTCAACTGTCCTATGCGTGATCTCGTAGAGTGATTTGCGACGATATCACTTACGCAATAAGCTCAAGCTCCTCAGTTGTGACACGGAGGCAGCTGATTCAACGGACGCTCTGGCTTCATCACGTACTCGAGAAGGCGCTCTTCTGCTCGTTGATGGGCGCTTTGACACGTCGAAAGCAACAGTCAGAGCGTCTCGTCCGCTTCCACATTTGCTTGTTTGACTTTAGGTATGGGTGTACGAAACCTTGTTTGATGGACACAGACTCGAACACGGAATAGCGCGTGTCAATTCCCCAATCATAGCGCTTGTGCAGTATCTAGCCCGTCACTCTCTCAGCTTTCGACGGTCCGCTTCCGCACGGAGACGGAGCGTGCTGCGCCAGAGGTTTCTGCCAAAGAGTCTACTCAGAACAAGGTTTGCTGCTCCTATGCTGGGCTCGCGGAACGATCCATGCCAAAATATAGATTCAGCAGCTGATCAGCTTTCTGACACGCTCCAGCCTGTCACAAACTTTGTTGCTGCTGTCGGAACACTTCGGCCGGTGTTGCCATCTTCGACATCGGACGTATGACGACCTCGAATTTTGTGGGATGTGAGATCGCAAACTGCTAAAGATTCGCACGAAAAGGAAATCGCCCCCGCTTTTGGCTTCCACGTTGGCACGAACGGCAATTTGGCTGGGAATTCACGCACCGCATGCATATAGACAGACGCTGGAAGCTTCTTTCAGTCCAACACCTTAAAGCTCGCACCCCTCAGCTACCTTCATCCTGGATCACCTTCCTCCATCCACGACACCTCGCACACAGCAGACCCTCTCCACATCAGGTTCAAGACACGATCCGACCACGTAGCTTCGTCTGTCACAGCTCGCGTGTCGCAATTTCGCTACCATCCGCATCTCGAGAGCTTCCGCGGTAGACCGCCACCCCGTTCACTGGCCACCAATACACCACACGGCCGCTTCTAGCGCCACCACCTATCCACAATGAGGGCGAGGCTCCTGCCTTCGCTCTTGGCACTGTCTTTGACGCTGTGTCTCGCTCTTGGCCTATCGTCATCCGGCCTGCTTGTCCGCGCAAATGCATTCGAATCACCAGTCACCAGCGATCCCGTCGCCGCCAACCAGCACCTCACCCAGGCCAATGCCGCCCTCCAGTCCGGCCGCTACCAAGAAGCACTCACCTCTTTCGACGCAGCATTGCAAGCCGATCCAACCTCATGGCTCACCTACTACAGGAGGGCAACAGCACAGCTCTCCCTCGGCCGCACGTCCGCTGCGCTCCAAGATTTCGCCAGCCTGCTCGAGCTCAACCCCAAGTTCGACAAGGCGTACCTGCAGCAGGCCAAGGTATATCTCAAAGAAGGCGACTACGATAAGGCGAAAGCGGCTCTCAAGTCGTACGACTCTGTTCGGGCCGAGAAGGGCGCCCCATCTGCTCCCGCGGATGCCAACAGCGTTCGCTCCAAGCTCACTCTCGTCGAGACATCACTGCGCTCCCTGGACAAGCTAGCAAAGGAACTCGACAAGTCGAACACCAAGGGCAAAGGCAAAGAACTCGACGCAACCAAGATCGACCACTGCATCCACATGGCGGGCGAAGTGCTCAAGATCTCGCCCTCGCATCTCGAAACGCGGCTCGTCCGCGCCCGCTGTCAGACGATGAAGGGCAACATCGAAGATGCGATGGCCGACTGGACACGGGCTGTTCATCTCTCACCCTCGCCCTTCCTCCTGCGACGATTGGCGGTGCTCTCTTACTTCCTTGTGTCCGAGCCGGGGTCGCAGAGCAGGGATGCAGGGCTGCAGCACCTCAAGGCGTGTCTTCACTCGGATCCGGATAACAAGGCGTGCGCCCAGCTGCATCGCAAGATCAAAGCCCTCGAGAAGAGTCTGAAGAAGGCTCGGAACTTTTACAACTCGCAGAGCTTCCGGCCGGTGCTGTCGGCGTTGAAGGGGGGCAAGGTGGGCGGACCGACGGTGGTGGATGATATCAAGGACATCCTTAAGGCTGCGACGGAAATTCAGGCCGGGGATGAGGAGGCGTTGATTCCGTCCACCTACAAAGGCGACCCCGTCCAGGATTCGGGGTTGCTCCTCGAGCTGCACGTGATGTACTGCAAGTCCTACACAGAGCTCAACGACCTATCCAAGGCCATGTCGTATTGCGAGCTGGTCCTTCTGCGCGATCCGGACAACGTGGAAGCCGTCCTTGCGCGCGCAGAGGTTGCGCTGCAGAACGAGAGCTACGACGAAGCGGTCCGAGATCTCACCAAGGCCTTCGAAGCGTCGGGTCGAACCGATCGTGCCATCCACGCAAAGCTCCAAACCGCCCAAAAGCGCCTCAAGCTCAGCCAGAGTAAGGACTACTACAAGGTCCTAGGCGTCAAACGATCCGACAGTTTGCCGACGATCAAGAAGGCGTATCGCAAGCTGGCGAGGGAGAACCACCCGGATAAGGGCGGGAGCCAGGAGAAGATGGCCCAGATCAACGAGGCGTGGGGCGTACTGGGCGATGAGGAGTTGAGGAAGAGGTACGATGAGGGGGATGATCCGAACGATCCGATGGGTCAGCAGCAGGGCGCGCACGGAAACCCGTTCGCCCAGGGAGGGCATCCGTTCGATATGTTCTTCCAGCAAGGCGGGTCGTTTGGCGGATTCCCTGGTGGCGGTGGTGGTGGGTTCCCTGGTGGTCAACAATTCCACTTCAAGATGGGATGAGCGTCGTTTCAGCATTCAATACATACACTTTGCATCACAGCTGGCACGGTCGAAGTGCGTCCCTGAGCGACGAGAACGTTGTGCATTGAGCAGCGAATCTACGATAAAGCGGCAAGGGAGAGCAAAGAAGCAGCCCCCTTGTCATCCATGCTGGCCAGGCTACGACTCTTAGCCTTGAGACGAAGGTTCCGATCCAGCGTGAGCAACACGCTCTTGTGAGCCAAAGCCAACTTCGCTGAGCCTTTCTCCGAACCACTCGCCTCCTTGCTAGCCATCAGCAAGCCACGTCGATCGATAAAGTGGTCCCTCTGCCAAGCCAACAGCCTCAAAATCACCTCATCGACGTTCCTTGCAGCGACGGACTTCTCCCCTGCGCCGGCATCCAACCTCGTCTCCCCATCCTCCGCCCCACCCTGCCAAGTAAAATCAATATCCTCCGACCGGCACGACAGATCCGTCAGATAGTTCCCCCTGCTCGTCTGGACCTTGAAGCATTTGGCATGGCTCTTGATGTGCGACTCGAGGAACTGGATCGCCCGCTCGGCCTCGCGGCCTACATCGCTGTCGTTGCGTCGCAGACCGTCGAGCTCGGTGATGACCGCGAGCGGGACGATGACCATCCAGCGCTTTGTGTCTATGAGGTTGGCAATGATGTCGCCAGGGATGACGAGGATGTTGGTGTCCACCACGAGCGTCGTGTAGCCTGGAAGAAGGTCTTCACAGACGCTGGGCGATGCGCCCTTCTTGGAGTTCGATCGGTCAGGTTTCGTGCTCGACTTAGCGGCGTTGGGTCGTTTGCACAGGAGCGACCGGAGGAAGCAGCTGCGAGCATGGAGAGCTCGGATCTCGTCGCTGGGATCAGCATCGTCGGCGTTCGAGAGTATCGCTTGCGCTGACGCTGAGGCAGGCGCCTCGTGATCGGAATGAGAGTCCCAGTCGCTGTCAAAGTCGTCGTCGTCGTCTGAGTAGTGGGCAGAAGAGGCAACCGCCGCCGGTGACTGCAATTGGAGTTCTTGAATACGTGCTTCAAGTTGTCGCTGCTCTTCCTGCAGCTTCTGCCTTGATAGACGACCAAGCAGCAGCCTCGAAAGGGACAACGCTGAGCTCTTCGAGTCGAGATCAAAGCCTCGCGCCGCCTTGGCCAGTTTGCGAGCGACGAAAGCCAAGCGATAGTCCCTTACAGTGTCCAGGGACGTAGACGCAAACGCCTTGTCCTTCCGTCGTGAGGCTGCGGCCCGCCAAGCGGATTCGGTTCGCGTATAGAGCTCGGCGTCGTCGGCGTCGAGCACCTCGACTTCGTTGTCGAAGGCTTGTTCTGCCGTCAGGCCGCCGTCGTTCATTGCATTTCGCCAGAGATTCCGGTCGTATAGGTGTCGAGACAAGCCTAGAATGCCTCGCAGGCAAAAGTCTTCTGGCAGCAGCAGTTGCGGCGTGATGAAAGAGCTGGAAAGACACTTAGGCCATGTGCGTTCGAACAGGGAGAGGGACTGGTCGATGCGCCGCAACCAGAGATCCCACGGAATGAAGCGTTCCAGCATCCGGAAAGCCTTCTTGGATTGGCAGAGAGACACGAGGAAGGTGCTGACGGTCGTGTTGTAGGGATTGGACCGGAGGGACGCATCGGCGCTCGACAGGTCAAAGGTGAGCGAGTGCATGCTGAAGCACAGCGTGGCGGCCTTTTGGAGAACGATCGGAAGCTCATCCGGCACTTCCTGCTCGTCGGATCCGCTCTTGGCTTCGAGAGAAATCACTTGTGCCTCTCCACCGACTTCGGAATCGTCGTCGCTGGGATCGTCCCATTCGGCCTCTCTTGGCAGCTCGCTCAGCAGGTTGTCGTCCGTCTTGGGCGTAGTCGAGCTGACAAGGATGGCCGTCGGCGTACTCGCTGCAGCTTTCTGCGTCCTGTTGGACCTTCCGTCCGACTTGCCGGCTTGCTCGAGCAGGAGGCTGGCAAGAAGCGAGTCCTGAGCGCCGTACTGAAAGAGACTGGCGATATTGATGGAGGCCATCATGGTCCAGACGGATTGCGGAATGCCCGCCGGACCGCGCTCTTCGACGAGTCTGGCGAGCTTTGCCATCAACCGATCGAAGACTGGCTCAAAGTCGTCGAGCTGGACGCGAGTGATGAGAATGCCGTGCAGGTAGAGGAAGAGCTCTTCGACGGAGCTCTCGCGATGCAGACGACTTGCTTGTTGCTCTTGATTGAAGAGCGGCAGGATGCTGTCTCTTGCTGGACTAAACGGCTTGGCGGCGATGAGACTCTTGGTGAGATGATACACAGCTCTGAGATCGTCGTCGCCTCGACTGAGCACACCGAGGTGGTGGTGAAGCCTTCCAGTGCTCGGCGTCTCAGCGATTCCCATAGCGTACCAGCCTTTCGCCGTCTGGCGCCAGGTCTCCTTCTCGGTCGTATCCCAATCGCCGAGGGCAGCAGTCCCGATGCTGGCTTTGTCGTTCTCGTGTGCGGCTGGTGCTTCCCGTCCAGGGTCGGCGAGAGACTTGGAGCGAGGGGGAGCGCCTTTCTCGTCGCGCGTCTGAGCGCGATGTTGCGCCGAGCCGAATCCCTCGTCGTCTCCATCCGCATCGTTGTCGTCTTCTGACGTGCTGTCGTCCTCATCGATGTCATCGTCTATGCGAGCAGCCTCGAAGGAGGCCACCTGGTGACTGTCCGCCTGCTTGGAAGGGGTCTCATCAGCTCTGCCCTCGGCAGCCATACTGTTGGCCAGACCGGCGACTGCCATGCGATATCGAGAGAGGTCGCCAAGACTCTCGAGCCATGCTCTTCGGAAGCCTTTGTACCGTTCGGATTCGAGCAAGGCCGAGTAGAATGAGTAGGCATAGTAGATGAACTCGGTGAGATGGTCCAGGATCTCTGCTCTGCGTTCATTGGTCTGCAGGTGATGATTAGAAGAGAGGCTGGTGCGCAGACTCTCGAGCATGAGGTGGAAGGCGGTCTGCCATAAGCGGGATGGCAAATTGCGGACTTCGGCGTACTCTTGAACGTCGCGAGGCAACTCGGGCCGACACGTCATCTCAAGGAAAGAAGAGTGCAACTCTGCCAGCTGACGATGTTGACTGATCAGGGAGACAGAGTGAGATCGATCGCGCAGGTCCGGTGGCGTATAGTCGGCCATGTTGAGGCGTGCTCTGTCCATCTCGGCCTGATGTGCTTGTTGCAAGGTAGTTTCGATGGAAACGATGGATCGGTATGCTTTCTTGATCTCCATGAGATGTGCCTGAAGTGTCCTGGGATCGGCGAGGTCCACGGCGGAGGTGAAAGCGATATCAGAGATGGACGGCTTGATGATTGGGCTGCGACCAAGATGGCTTCCGCTCGAGGTATTGGAAGGGTCCCTTCGCATCAAGATCTGAGGTTGGAACGAGGGCGCCGAGGAGAGACGAGGGGAAGGAGCGGCAGATGCGGGCCCGGATGCAGAGCGTGCATCACCTTGGCTTCTTTGCTGAGATGCGAACTTGACTGGATCGTCGCGCCTCGGGTCGAAGAGTTGACGATCGTCACCGGGTGTGCTCCTGGCATCCTGGGAGCGCGAGAAGCGATCTCGGCGGCTGGACGCTGAGTGGAGAGAACGTGTTCCCGCCTCCGACCGGGAGGCATCTTGACCACGGATGTCAGAAAGGATGCCTTGTGCAGATTGCTGCCTGCTGCGTTTTCCCGAGCTGCTCCCGTCCTTGGACTTGCCATCCTTCTTGGACGGAGAAGTGGATGCTGCCGACCTCGCGGATGGCGGGGCGCGAGAGTCTCCAGCATCGTTCGCCCTGTTGACAGACTCATTCTGAGTACGTTGTGAGCGCTCGGAACGCTTGTCAGAGCGCTGGCGAGAGCCACGTTGGCGCGAAGAGGAACTTGGCGCACTATCGCGTGTCACTGCCGTGGACGACTCGCCTTCACTCGCGTCGCGGCGGCTTTGACGAGAAGAGGCGCGTGAGTTGGTCTGCCTCGAGCTTCCATGCTCAGATGCTTTGTCTCTAGCTTCAGAGTCGTCGGCGCGAGACGCTGAGTTGGAGCCTCGTTGATTACGACCGCGTGGCTTTGCAATCTGCACGGGAGGATCTGAGTCTTCCTTGAACGAGACGTGGTGCTGTTTGCGGGTTGGACCAGAGTTGGACGGGTCATTGCGCGATTTGGAAGACGGTTCTGCAAGAGCTGACTTGGTCGTCATGACGGGCGTCTGTGAAGTAAAGCTTGTGGTGCCGAGCTCATTTCCTGGAGCTGGGAGGAGCTGTGTGGAAACAACGCTGCTGGAGTGTTGGAACGGCATGACCGGGAGCGATCAATGCTTCCGGACGAAGCGAGTGCCGAGCGGCAAAGATCAAAGCGATGATTCTCTATGCTACGAGAGCATCAGTGAGGCGGATTATCGACGACCAGCGAGGAAGACGACCGACGCATGGATTCCTTCATAGCTTGTAAGGAAGTCGTCCTGGTACCAGTTACAGACCTTGATGAGGCTGTTTGATGGCGATGCTGTGAGTTGGAGTAGCGGAGTCCTGGATGAGGAGCTCTAGAGCGTCGTACGTGGTGGATGGCGATGCGAGTCGACTCGGGCGACGGGTGAGGAGATCGATGAGGAGGAGAGTGGCTTGGAGCAACTGAGCAGCTCGCGCCAAATTTGGGCTGAGCTGCTTGAGTCCGACTGAGGGCTTTGTCGGTGCTCGAGGACCCTTGATTTCCGAAGCACGCACAGCCAGGCAGCCAACCAGCTCTGCATGCACAAAGCCGATCTTTTGTGAAATCAAGAAGAAAGTGAAAAATGACCACCAAAAAGAAGGCTTGGAAAAGGCGGTCAGAGCGGAGTCATGCGGAAAGTGCGGAAAGCGCACGGCTTCGGAAGCCTGGTTGATGAGAACATCTTCGGAAGGACCGATACACAACGTCAACGCAGGCCTTTGATCACCTCTACGACGGCTGGTGATGGGATGTGAATCGGACGAACCGCTTTGTTGACTGTTCTTCAACCACTTCGCATCGGAAATTCCTCTCACCAACGGCTCTTCCGTCGTATGTCCGAACGCTACTCGAACCTCGAGGCCGACATTCCCACGCCATCTGTCAGCAGCTGCGCACAACCGAGCGCTCCTTCATCATGACTTCATCCGCAGCGACGCTGCACCTGCCCGATATCATCGTGGTCAAGAGGCTCGAAGTGCGTATGATCGTCGGCGTTGACAACTGGGAACGTGTCCAAGCTCAGCCCGTCACCATCGATGCCAGAGTCCACACCGACGTCTCCCAAGCTGGCAAGTCGGACCACCTTCCCCACAGCATTCACTACGGCATTCTCGTCAAGCAGCTGGAAGCTCACTGTGCGGACCACCGCTATCGCAGCCTCGAGGCGCTGGCCGAAGGTCTCGCCAAAGTCTGCATCTTCGTTCTCCACGCTCCTAAGGTCACTCTCAACGTAGAAAAGCCTCGCTCTCTCCTCCATGCTGCGTCTGCTGGCGTACAGATCGCGAGAACCTCTGCCGATTACATGCTTGGCGAGACCCATCCTATTCCAGCCAACATCGATCCTACGCAGCATCTGGACGAGCTGAGACTCTTGCCTTCCTCCACACTAGCTCTAGACGACAAGGTCATCGTCCGCGACCTTATCATCAACACCATCGTCGGCGTCAACCCATGGGAGCGGGAAGACAAGCAGGATGTCAAACTGAACCTCGTCGTCTACTCCGGCCTCTCTCGTGCCCGCAACTCCACCGCGGGTCTCGTCGATGTCGTCAACAAGCCACACAACTACCGCACCATCACCCGGAGCATTTCCGAGTATGTCGCCGCAAGCTCGTACAAGACGGTCGAAAGCCTTGCCACGTCAATAGCAAGGGTTGCCATTGTCCAGAACAAGGTCGAAAAGATTCGCGTCAGCGTCGACAAGCCGAGCGCCATTATGTTTGCCAGCAGCGCAGGTGTAGAGGTCGAGCGGACTCGCGAGTTCTTTGAGCAGGAAGCTTTGCAAGAGGAGCAGCAGCTCCGTGCTCAAACTGCCTCTTCGTCGAATGCAAATGCACTTATCAAGGCCAACGCCACAGCGACCTTCGAGCAAGGCTGGCACCTCGCCGCCATCGCTCTGGGCTCGAACGTCGGCGACCGAGCGGCCAACATCGAAGCGGCAGTCCAAGCCCTCAGCGAGGCCAAGGACTGCCTTCTCGTCGACACCAGCTTCCTCTACGAGACGGCTCCCATGTACGTCCTCGATCAGCCAAAGTTTCTCAACGCCGCCTGCCGTATCGCAACAAAGCTCAGCCCACACGACCTGCTCTCCCTCACGCAATCCATCGAGGTCAAGCTCGGTCGCGACAAGACTGGAGTGCCCGAAAAAGGACCACGATCCGTCGATCTCGACATCCTGCTCTACGACAATCTCGAGATCGACGATGCACCACGGCTGGTCGTCCCGCATCCGGGCATCAAGGAGCGCGAATTCGTGCTTGAGCCGCTCAAAGACATTCTGCCCGACTTTGAGCATCCGACGTACTCGCGTACTATGTCCCAGCTACTGGTCATGCTGCAAAAGTCGCCCGATTACGAGTCGAGCGGGATTCGAAAGGTGCTTCCCATCCCATCGCCTAGCACAAGATCGACGAGTCAATCGACGGACACAAAGACGTGGACGTGGGGCTCCAAGACGTTCATCATGGGCATCATCAACGCGACCCCAGACTCCTTCTCGGATGGTGGCGACAACCTAGTCGCGGTCGACGCCGCAAGCTCAGCAAAAGCGATGGCCGAACAGGGCGCTGATATCATCGATGTTGGCGGCATGAGCACCGCTCCCAACGCGGTCGAAGTGGATGCCGAAGAAGAGACGAGACGCGTCGTGTCCGTCATCAAGGCCATCCGCGATGCAAGCATCACCACACCCATCTCGGTCGACACTTTCCGCGCCTCTGTCGCAGAGGCAGCCCTCTCCGCTGGCGCAGACATAATCAACGACGTCTCTGGAGGTGAGCGCGAGCCCGCCATTCTCGAGGTTGCCCGCAAGTGGAAGTGCCCTTGCATCCTGATGCACATGCGCGGGGACAGCAAGACCATGAATGGGCTGGTCAAGTACGAGGGCGGAGACGTCGTGGCGGGTGTTCGTGCCGAGCTGGAGATTCGACTTGACAGAGCGCTGCGGGCTGGTGTTAGGCGGTGGAACATCGTCCTCGACCCAGGCATCGGATTCGCCAAGGACAGCGCTGGCAACCTGTCGCTCCTTCGCGAGCTCTCACGCCTCACACTGCCAGAATCAGTCGCCAAGTCGACCAAGGGCAGAGGCGTGGCATTCTCCGGCACAGCAACGCCAGCTCTGGACCGATCTACGGACGACTCGCTCTCGTCCGCATCACTGTCCGCCGCGACACAAGGCGATGCAATTCAGGACTCCATCACGCGACCATGCTGCTCGCTCGTCTCGTTCCCAACGCTGGTCGGCGTGTCAAGGAAGAAGTTCCTCGGCCACATCACGGGCAAGCAGGACCCCAAGGAGCGGGTCTACGCCACGGCGGCCGCGTGCACCGCCGCCATCGCTGCCGGCGCCGACATCCTCAGGGTGCATGATGTAGAGCAGATTCGAGATGTCGCCGTCACTTCGGATGCTATCTATCGTCAATGATTAGAAATCTTCACGCAACACTTGATTACGGTGAACGAATTGATCTGCGAATTGGTGAGGAATGAGCTACAGGAAGATTTTGAGTGCTTTGGAGAGACATTGTTGAAGATTATTCTTTGACCTTTGACGTCGGTAGTCAGGAGATGAGAGCAGAGCTTCAGTCCTGCTCGTACTCCTCATACGGATCAGGTCCCTCGATGACGTGAAGCTCGGAGAACTGAGGGGGTCTAACGTTAGTGAGGTGCTTGGTTTTTTAAAGACAGATACAATGCAACATACCTTTGCGCGTCGCTGCAGAACGCTGCTGAGTCCGTCGAAGACCTCGTTGAAGTCCGAACGGATCTTGCACCAAGGATCTTTGTCGTTGGATTTGACGCAGAGCCAAGCGAGCCTGTCGAGGAGCGCCTCGTACCAAGCGTCGGCCTCGCGTTGGTGAGGGAGCTTGTCGCCGCGCGCGGGCATGCGGAGGATGAGGCCGTCTTCGAGGTCGATCGAGAAGAAACGCTGGAGGTACTGCTCGCGCGCCTTGGGATCGACTGGGGCGTGCTCGGAGTCGAGGATGCTTTCAAGGATCTTGCTCTGAGGGACGTCCTTGAGCACCATGTCCGATCGATCGGGCGCGTGACGCTTCACCCACTCAAGTTCCGCGATCTTCTCTGCGTGGCGAACAAAGGAGATTATGTCGAGCTCGCAAGGGTCACACCGGACGGTGAGAGTGTAGCGAAGCTCGCCCTGGGTCAGGGCGTCTTTGTCCAGACGAGGGATCACGTGCTGCAAGTCAGGCAGGTTGATGACCGCTTCCATCGCAGCTCCCAGCTCGGTAGCTTTGACCTTGTAGTAGGCCACGTACATGGTGCGGTAGGGGCCCCAGGAAAGGCCAGACCAAGGAGAGGCGTGAGCGTTTGGGTCGGACATGGTCGAAGAATCCAAATCGTCGCTACTGAGGGGGGACGATGGTAGGCCGCTGTGACTATGTGGCCACGACGGAGGATCTAGATGAGACTTGACGAGAGATCATGCTCCTTTTATGCTTTTGGAGTCCGTCCCCTCGCGTGCGAAAGACAACGGATTCTCCTTTCTGGGAACGCCGAACTCGAGAAGCTGTAGCGGACAACGCTTTGATGTCTTCCGCAAGCGCAGCAGGAAAGTCTGTGAGCTGCGTTTGAAGGTGAGTACGGTGATCAGATCTGTGATAGGTCGAGTGATGAGGTCCGTGATAGTTGGAAGAAATGAGTGCTCGGCGCCGTCTCGGAGCGGACGGTGGTGTTGACGTTGGAGATCTGACCTTCAATCTGTGCTGTCTGCACAGAAGTAAGATTAAGCTCTGCAATGAAGTCGCGATTGACGAGGGGTGTGATAGAAATACAGTGAGCGGCAGAGCGCTCGAAGACGAAGCTGAGGCGGGGAAGTGTCCATGGTTGTCTAATGCGGTGCTTGGGAAGGGCGTAGCTAAACCTTGTTCAGCCGAGTTGGGTTCTGCAGACAAGCATTGTGGCTACTGCTGCATCGGGGCTTGTTCGGGCATAGTGGAAGCATCCTGATCAGGGTGTGACAGGTGATACAAAGTTGGGGCCAAAGCGTTGTCAGCGACGAGCTCTTCGCGTCGGGCAACAAAGTTAGACTTACCTGCAGCTGAGCAGCACTCCTCTGAGCAGGATCTTTTGGTTCGACGAGGTGCATCTTCTCTCCGATCTTGTGCACCTTCTCCTTGATGCCGGCGATACCCGTCGAGTTCTCGCGTCGATGGTTGCGTCTCTCTTGGGCCTGTTCCGCTTGTATCTGCTTCTCGATTCTGCGCTCTTCCCATCCAGGCGGGCCTTCCGGCGCCTTGCCTGGTCGGATGATTGATGGTGCGGGCTTGGTGGTCGTGGCCATTGTGTCGGATGATGAAGTGCTCTAGGCTGAGGTGTGTAAGGTTTGTTCGGGAGCGCTCCGATGTGCAGCGAGCCTAGTTTGAGCTTGTGACTGATATGGAAATGCCGATGGTTGGCGGAAGGTAAGGCGGCAGGATCTTCAACGTCTGCACAAGCGTGGGAATGCTGTGTCGATAATTTGGACCCCGCATGGTGCGGACCCAGGGATTCACAGGGTTCCTGGAAATGATTTTCCGGAAATCGAGAAGCCTGCACGATGAGGCAATCCCGCCTGCCGCCGGGCGAGATCACATCGCCGATCCGCGTTTCGCAGAGATCGCCGATTCAACTATGCAATCGCCTTCAAGCTTTTATCGCTTTGTCTTGGTACTGTCAGCACTACATCCTGGAGGGAACTGAAGAAGGTCACACGGCTGACGAGAGTCACGAGCGTGGAATGTCTCGAGCCGCTCAAGACAACCTTCGCGACCTCGGTGATAAGCGGTGAGACGTGCGGTGGAAGCCTCGCTTGGAAGCATGCAGCTCGACCGATTCTTATTCCGTTGTACATCGCTGGTCGATTAGATGCATACGAGCAGCGACGGGTGCTGCTTATCAGCACGAAGAACGGGGAAGTCCCGAAAGATTGCCAGTGTGAGTCATATGTGGGCCCTGCTTGTGGAAGTTCCAAGGCAAAGCCATCGGCGTAGTCATGGTTGCAGCGACACATGTGACCGTGCGTGCGCGTGCGGCCACGCCAAATTGGACTCAAGCCATTGACGACAGCAGATCGCGCTCGTCTACTCGCTTACACGCATGCGAATCCACCCGCGAAGAGCAACGGCGCGTAGCTACGCCCACTTCGTTGCAGCTAGGTATCATCGCTGATACTGGCTGCTCCAGTGACAATAGGCACGGCGGGCGCCCGTCACTTTTTCATAACGGACTGCGCGAGAAGATATATGAAGACGAGCCTCGATAAGAAGGACCGGCCCAATCTCCAGCCCCATCCTTTCACTGCTGCCTTCTTCATCTTCCATTCTGCCACGTCTCTGGTCCTCGACAGTCCAAACCAGCCCCAATCCAGTATCGTTCGCTTTCAAGGTGAGTCCGCGCGTTTAGATACCTATGCTACCGGATGTCTAGCTTGCAGAGAGGCGAGTGATGCTGTTTGTCCACATCGATACAGACGGGCATTCGTCCGAAGTGGACCGAAACAGTCATCGGTCAGAAGCAATCGGGAGCTGTCGAAAAAACGGCCTCCTTGCTGCCAATGGCAGTGCCCCAAAGCACGTCAACATCGTATCGCCTCTTCCGTCATGTTCCGCACCCTAGTTGTGCTTCCTGTCGGAGCCAAAGGCTCGTGACCGCAGAGGCGGCCAAGGCATGTTGATGGCGAACCAAGGTCGGGTTCGTGCTCGAGACCAAGTTCAAAGCAGCCGTAAAGTGACCGGCCGCGATTTCCCCGCTGGAGGCCAGCACAGCTGTCACTACCGTGCGCATTCGCGGGTGTGATCCGGTGATCCTTTCTTTGGACCACAGAATCTTGTTGTTCGGCGAACCCGACCTTGGCTTCTCAGCAGCTTCGAGAGCCAAACGGCTTCTCCGTTGCCTCAAGAAGAAAAGAGAGAGTCACGCTCGCAGTTTCGGGCATCGGCCGCACCGTCCGAAAATACGCTCCTTGACTGGAGATGTGCCTCGCATCTTGTCCGTGCACCGGGCAATTCTCCTTATTTTCCTCCACCTCGGCTGTCAAGCTGACTGGTGTGGATGGAACATCGTCTCCGCCTCGCGCCGCGATTTTTTCCTTGCAGCTGTCAGCCATTGCGTAGCTCAGAGAGTCTCTTCGCCTCGCTTCCCCGCACTTTGTGTTTGCTTGCGAGCAAGCGTGACTGGCGGCGCTTGATCCTGCCTTCTGGTGGCCGCGTTCCCACGCCGGCATCGCCGTCATTTGGGCTTGTCTCTCGGTCTCTCATCTTTGGCTCGCTTCCAGTGCACAGGCCATTGCTCTGGGCTCGATTCTTCTCACTGCGCTGAGCGAGCGTGGCAATGCCCCTCGGCCTTTGCCGTCCCTAGCCGCTGAGTTGACTCGCCCTGATGCCGTGCTAAAGTGAACAGGCTGATCTGACGCCATTGTTCTGCCAATTCTATGGCCGCCGTCTTTGCCTCCGCAAACCCAGCCGCCGCTAACTTATAAGCAACGCATCATGTTTGCCCGTGCCTCCCTTCTGCGCACCACCATCCCCCGTATCACTCCTTCAATTCGTTCCTTCCACACTACAAAGCCCAACATGGTTAAGGTACGTCTTGTCTCATCAGACATCGTAGCTGCTCATCGTCCGCTTCACGTTCGCATACTGACCCTTGGTGAATGCGCTTACCCGTCTTTGGTCGACTGCAGATCGTCGCTGTCCTCTACACTGCCGGCAAGTACGGTGAAGCCCAGCCCCGTCTGCTCGGCACCGTCGAGAACAAGCTTGGCCTCGCCGACTGGGCCAAGCAGAACGGCCACGAGCTCATTGTCACCGCCGACAAGGACTCGCCGGACTCCGAGTTCCGCCAGCACGTCAAGGATGCCGAGATCGTCATCACCACCCCCTTCCACCCCGCCTACCTCACCAAGGAGGTGCTCGAGTCGGCCAAGAACCTCAAGTGCTGTATCACCGCCGGTGTCGGCTCCGATCACGTCGACCTTGATGTCGCCAACCAGAAGAAGATTGCCGTCTACGAGGTGACTGGCTCCAACGTCGTTTCCGTCGCCGAGCACGTTGTGATGACCATCCTCGTCCTTGTCCGCAACTTCGTCCCTGCCAACCAACAGTACCTCGCGGGAGACTGGAACGTCGCCGAGGTCGCCCGTGAGTCGTACGATCTCGAGGGTAAGGTTGTAGGCACGCTTGGCTCTGGTCGTATCGGTTCCCGTGTTCTGCAGCGCTTGAAGCCCTTCGACTGCGCCAAGCTGACCTACTACGACTACCAGCGCAACGAGCAGCTCGAGAAGGACACGGGTGCTGTGCGAGTTGAGGACCTCAAGGAGTTCCTCTCGGAGCTCGACGTTCTCACCATCAACGCTCCCCTGTACGAGGGCACCAAGGGCTTGATCAACGCCGAGAAGATCGGCTGGATGAAGAAGGGCGCTTGGATCGTCAACACCGCCCGTGGCGCCATCGTCAACGCTAAGGACGTTAAGGAGGCTCTTGCCTCCGGCCACCTCCGCGGCTACGGTGGAGACGTCACCGACCAGCAGCCCCCTCCCAAAGACCACCCCTTCTACACCATGAAGGCCAACCACAACGGCATCGAGTACACCCATGGCTCTGGCGGAAACGCAATGACGCCGCACATCTCCGGTACCTCCATCGATGCCCAGGTGCGATATGCCAACGGTGTCAAGGAGATCCTCGAAAACTACTTCTCCGGCAAGGCCCAGACGCCTGCCAACATTATTGTTGAGAACGGTGACTACGCCACCAAGGCCTATGGTCAGCGCAAGTAGACGCCTACACTATCCTCACATTAGTATCGCTATGACCTGAATCGAATCTGTTGAACCAAACAAGCTTATATGCTGTCGTATGAGAATCGTGAATGAGATGATGGCTAGGCGCGTTCGAGCGGTCCGGCAGTAAATTATGCCGCGTTTCCGCCAGAGCCGTGGGTGCACTCGATGCCGTTGTGGTTGGCCTTCATGGTGTAGAAGGGGTGGTCTTTGGGAGGGGGCTACCGGTCTGTGACGAGATGAAGCATGACGGCGCCTCACGTCCATGTTTCTGACCGATTCTCGCTCTCAAAACAAGGTGCAGTGAAGGCTCGCTTTGACCTGCATCAGCCGAACGCTTCCTGTGCACACTCGCTCACATCCATCCCCCTCAACTCACTCTTACACACTCGCACGCACCCTGAACCACAAAAGTTCATCTCCGGTCAACACATTTACCATTCGCACAACGGCTACATCAGAATTGAAGCAAGTTTGGTTGGCCCTGGTCCCTAATACCCTTCCCAAAATCCGAACTCGGCTGAAAAGGCTTCACACTCGATCCGCCGAATCCGGTTGGTTGGGGATGAATCTGCTGTTGCCCTGTCGCAAAGCCGGTGGGTTGTGCGCCCAACGCGGTGGAGTTGAACCCGTTCGATCCCGCACCTGGTGTTCCCGGGAAGGCCGAATTGAACGCGCTCAATGCGGAACCGTTACTTGCCCCCGGGGTGGACGGCGCGCCTGGGGGGTTGGAGTTGAACGAGGGCATGCCTGTGAATGACGGCTGTTGTAGTGGGGGGCTAGCGACGCGCGCGAAAGGGTTGCCCGTCGCCTGAGGTGCCAACCCGGGACTGCTCGCCGTCGTCGCTCCACCAAACTGAGGGTTGCTAGCCAGACTCGACCCGAACGACGACTCCGGTTTGAAAGGTCGCACTGCGCTACCTGCAAACCCTGTCGGCTGGGGCTGCACTTGCGTCGCCTGTTGCGCGGGTTGGTTGAACGACATGCCCGCAAACTGACTCGCAAAATCGTTCTGCCCACCAGCCGTACCACCTGTCGGGGTCGATACAGAACCGGGCGTACTGGCTCCGAAGGCACTGTTCTGGCTGGCCTGGCCTTGGGTTTGGTTTGAGAAAGTGAACTCCGAAGCGATGCTTCCAATCAACCCCGTCTTCTGGGGTGCCAACAACCCACTGTTTTGCCCCTGCTGAGGGTTTTTGCCAGTAGGATCGGTCCCATCCCACGCATGAGCGCCGAGACTGTAGTTGCCTCCGCCGGGGAAAGCGCCCATGGCGAGCTGGTTGAGCGACGGACCCTTGGGTGCGGGCGGTGAGACGGGGGGTGGGGTCGACCCGGGTGGTGGGGCAAAGGGGTTGCGCGAGCCCGTCTTTTGGGGCAGCAGCGCCTTGGTCGGGGCGGGTGATGCAGACGGCTGGGGCTGGCCATTGGGTTGGGTCGAGGAGGCCGAGTTGAACGACGAGAGTGCCGACGACTGGTTGGAGCCGAAGGCGTTGTTCGAGTTCGGCTGTGGCAGTTGCGGCTGAGAGGGCGTTGCGGTGTGCTGGGGCTGCAGAGCTTGGAATGGCTGGCTCTGCTGCGCTTGTTGCTGTTGCTGTTGCTGTTGCTGCACTTGCTGTTGTTGTGGCTGCTGCTGCTGCTGTTGCTGTTGTCCAAACATGTTCGGTTGGCCATCAAAAGCACCGAACGGCCCACCGAATCCAGTCGGCTGCGGCATCACCTGTGGACGGAAAGGGTTAAACCCAGTAGCCTGGGGCTGGATGAAGCCCGTCATCTGCGGCTGCATCCCTCCGAACCCCGTCATCTGCTGCTGCATCGGCATCTGCATACCAGTCTGCTGCTGCGCCATGAAAGGGTTGTAACCCGTCATCTGAGGCTGCATCCCACCCATGCCCATACCACCGAATCCATTCATACCCATCATGCCCGTCGGCTGAGCCTGGAGGAAGAAGCTCTGCTCTGCCGGCACATTCGAAAAGATGCTCTGCCCACCATCGTTGTCGATGCTGGCAAAAAAGTCCTGCAGATCCTGATTCGAAGTCGGGGGCTTGGGCTTGCGATCCGGCTTGTCAGGTTCCTGAATAGTGATGCTCTTCTTGGATTCGCTCTTGGGCACGGCGGACGAGATGGTGGAGGTGGGTCGCGCGGTGGAGGCAGAGGGTGTCCCGTCAGCGACTGCCTTGTTCTGCTTGTACTCCTGGCGATTCTGCTCAAAGTTGGGATCCTTGAGGTACTCTTCGAGGGCGCCGGCGAGCGAAACGGGGGCGTGCTTGAGAGAAGGGATGGCGAGGTTAAGGCTGTGAGAGGCCTTCTTGGCGCTGTTGAGGAAGGCAACGACGTTTTCGGTCTGACGGCAGAAGCGGCGGTAGAGCTCCAAGGCTCGCTCTGCATCGGACCGTGCCATCTCAAAGTAGTGCTCGAGAATGTTGATGACACCTTCGTTGATGGCAGTGTAGATGGCAAGGAGGTCTTTGAGCGTCATGCGGAAGGCAGCCATGACGAGGTCATCGTTGAGATCATCGAGGAAGAAGGAGCACTGCATGAGCACGCTGGCGACCTTCTGTGTCGAAGAGACTTCACGGAGTAGCCCCTTGTCGACGGAGAGCTTGCGCAAGCGGTTGCTGTTGCTCGCGCCATTGGAGTGCGCACGCGACCGGTCGGAAGAGCGGATGACGTCGTGTTTGAGATCGCGGTACGCACGCACTCGTTCGTCGAGGTACTGTGCATAGACGGAGAGCGTTTGCGGCGCCGAGTAGCCAGACCAGCTGCCGGAGGCGACGTTGCGCAGGCGGATGTTGCCAACGTCGGAGGACAGATGCCTGAGCACGTTGTCCACCTCGCCGTTTCGGATCATCGTGTGCAGGATGACCAGAGATTTGAGAACCACTGTTGCGTTGGGCTCTCGGAGACGGTTCCCAAGTGCCCTGCAAACATCTTGAAGCGAGCCGTCGGTAGCGAACGTGGTTGCAATGATAGGGTCAATGTACTTGGGCTTGATACCACCGGACTTGGGCTTCGTGGCGCCCTTGACCACCTTATCGTAGCTGGACATGATAGAGGCGGTGTGTTGTTGCGGACCAAGACGATCCGTTACGTCTCCAGAGACTTTTTGTCCGTTTCGAAGGGCTCAGCTGCCAGGTGATCGCAGATGCTGCGACAGTTCAGAGGTAGCGGAGATGCGGCTTTGCCTTGACGGATGGATGCTATTTCCGGAGAGAACGATCGCTTGATCGGCAGGACCTCGATAGCTGTCGACAGGTATGTCTTTCGTCGATGCTGAAGCGGATGATTGGAAAGTCGAGATGGTATGCTGTGAGGATGGAAGCTACAAAGCGGATGCAATGGCCGGCCGGTTGAGCGCACACGCATAATCGCTCTTCGGTCTCATCTCGGAATTCGCAAGTCCGCTGCCTTCTTGATGAACCGTGCGTGCACTTTCCGACTTGGTCCTCTCACATCTCCAGCTCACATCAAGTCCACTGACGACGCAGCGAAAGACCCATCGCATCATCAACGTGCCGCCGAGTTCCTGCCTGTATCGAACAACGAGGTCTTACATGCAGCGAGGATCGTTGCCAGGCTGAGCTGGTGGAAACACTTCTGGAAGGTGGGATTTGCAGGCAATTTCGTCATAGTTGCGGGCGTGCGGGCGTGTTTGCCGTCGTCTTCGCTGATGTGGACCCTCTCGAGTCTCGGCACGAATTTCGGGCGTGGTCGGCCCGATGGGTACTCAGATGGAACAACCTAACCTACTTTGAGTACAAATACATGTTGCGAGAGGGCGACCACGAGCTAGAATACAGGTCAGATTACAAAGAGCTTTGCACCTTGGGCAGCAGCGTCTCCTTGAGGAACTTCTCGAGCTTAGTCGCGCTCTTGGCATACGGCGATGATGCAGGGTTGTACGCCCGACAGTTGTCAAAGATGAGCTGAGCGTCGGCCACCAGCTCGTCGACATTGGCGTACTGATTGTTCTCGAGCTTGGCCTCCATCGTGGAGAGGTCCATCGGATTCTTGATCACGTCGTAGTAGTCGGTCACCTCTTCGCCGTTGACCGGATTGACGAAGGGCCAGGCGCTTCCGTGTCCGTTGAGCTCCACGAGGATGTGTCGCATCACGGCAAAGTGGGGTCCTCGCTTCGGTCGTCGACTCAGCTCGTCCATCTCTGGCGTCCAGCCGCTTTCCTTCAGCCCTGGAACATCCGACGGGTCCACCAAGAACGTCGCCGTCGGATGATCCTCTCCGTGGTGCTGGTCTCGTTTGGCTGCCCGTTCCGGCTTGGCTACCGTGCCGTCCGGGTTCTCGATCAGCCCTTTGAGCTTGATAAGACGATCGCGGTCATGCATGGCTTGCAAGCCCTTGTGCACCACGTGAGAGCGACTTATGCTTCGGATCTTGGCCAGCACTGCCTCCTTTTGCGCGGCGAGCAAGTCCTGAACCTCCAAATACTTGACGCGCGGCACCATGCTGCACTGCATCAGTGTTCCGCCTTCGTAGTCCTTAATGTAGCCCACCCACATGGATCGGTCCAGCGTGATCTCTTTGGTGAAGCCTTGCTTCTTGAAGTAGCCGATCGCATAATTGTCGGCATAGGTCAGAAAGTGCATGACGGGTGAAGACGCCTTGACGTGGTCTTTGAGGTGGTTCATTAGATGCGAGCCGTATCCTTTGACCTGCTCCGTGCTGGTGATGGCGCAAAAGACGATCTCGGCGAACTTGCGTTGCTTGAACGGTCGATATGTGATGCCGCCTACCACTTGCAGTCCGCGCTTGACGATAGCTACGCTCTGGTGATTGCGATCGAAAACGAGGCGCGAGATATACTCGCGTGGCATCTTGGGGAGTTGACGTTGGAAAATGTTCTTGAGGCCTGTTAGAAGGATCATCGATTCGTGATTGTCGTCGTTGGTGACCACTCGGAATTGGATGAGACCGGTGCGCTCCTCGATGACTGCTGGTCGTTCCTTCTTCGGTGCGACGCCTTCTTCCACTGCAGATGCCGCACTCTTCGGTGCAGGCTCCATCGCCTCTTCCAGATCGATGGCATCTTCTGCTTTGACATTAGCTTCTCCTTCGTTTGCATTCGTCGCTGTGTCGGCGGCATCTTCGGAAGCTTCTGCCACAGCTCCATTTCTGGCTTCTGCAGTCGACTCGTGATCTGCTGCCTCCTTGAGCTCTGTCGAATCGTCACTGAGATCAGTCGACATGCTGGCCTCGTTTGTAGTCTCCTTGGCCAACTCGGAGGGAGCATATCTCCTGCGCTTGATCTCGTGTCGACCGTTGACTGCGCTAGGTTCGGTGGACTGCTGCCGTGACGCGGACCGTGAATGCACTACGGTCATCTCTGGGCTTGAAAGTCGACTTGAGGCGGCCACCGACGCTTCCCTGTCGCGCGACTGCGATCGTGAACGTGGACTGTCTCGAAGCTTACGTTTCCGGTTCATGCTCTGTAATAGTGGAGTGGATGAGTGTGGTCCGGAACCGTTCGGGAGCGCTTGTGTTGAGGGGTGCGGACTCGGTGTGGCGTCAGGCACGGTGCTGAGTTGTGAGACCGGACTTGATGCTTCGATCAGCCCGTCCGCGCCCACTGGCCGCATCTGTTTGCGGAGAGATTCGATGTCGGCATCGGTGTAGTGGAAGTCGAGCAACTTGCGTTTGTCTTCGAGCAGCTCGTCGAGTCGCACTGCGACCTTTGCCCTGCGTGTCGCCTCTTCTTCATCGGCATCAGTGAGCGCAGCGTGATCCTCGACGCTGTGGCCACACGTGTCGCAGCTGACGGCGTCCCATTGCGCCCTGAGCTTGCTATCATCGATGTGCCGCGAATCATGCCTCGAACTCCTTGATACAGGCTCCTCGACTACCTCCTCGTACTCAGAGGGCTTGAAACCCAAGCAGTCTGGAGTGTCTGCGTCGGGCGCGGACGGGTAGGGTGTGTGTCGTGCGACCTTGATGAGGCGTTGGAATTGAGACAGCCTGTGCAGGGTCCTTGCACCAGACGGATACGAAAGCGGCATGTTCGGCGTAGTGTTGCCGGTGTGCAATCAGCCGGATCAGCTGAATGACTGGGCTGTGTGCATGCGGATCTCTGAGAGTGGTCAGTCCTCCGGACGACAGACGAATGAAGCGGTAGAAGCGAAAGAGGAGATGATGAGCGACGCGATTGGCCGAGCGCGATACGGCGTCGTTGGTCCGTATAATACTCCTTTTGGAGATGATTGATAGAACAGAGCAGTTGATGTTGTTCGCGATGGTGATGGTCGTTCAAGAAGAAGCGCGATTGAAGTGTTGCTCTCGGCCAAAAGCAGCTGCCGAGTCGCGTTGAACCTGCATCCCGATTTCCGCACTTTTGTCAAATCGGGCTGCCAATCTCATGCCCGCACCTCTTGACGTGCATTCAACGTTCCGCATCTCACCCTTTGCAACACCACCATCCCTCAGTTCCGCATCTGCAATCCTCGTCTCGAGACGAAACAAGGAAGAAAATATCAGCACAGGTCATTGCGAGTCGCTCTGCAAGATGTACTGCCTGCGGTGGTGGATCCCGCTCTTCCTCTTGCCATTTCCCAAGACCTCGCCGTTGTTCCTGGTGCTCTTCCTCTTCTCGTTTGCGCTGCATTCGCAACCATGCATGTACTGCGCCCTGATACTCATGGGTCTGTTCGGCACATCATCCAACTGGTACACATCCGATGCTAGCGCGATCGTGTCTTTGTCAGCCAACTCGTCCGCATCGGTGTCGCCGTCCAACACCACTTCAGCTCGATCAAGCTACGGCTGGCTCGACCTGGGCTTCTCTGGCGGCAATGGCTTCTTCAGTCCTCTGACTAGGCCGATCATCGGCTCATCCGCGGACGTTGACTCACTGGCTTCGAGTCAGCAATCGGACTTCTACCGTCTATCAATACCCTGGTCCGAGTCGCGGGTCGAGATTCCCAAACGCTTCTTTGTCGGTCTCGGCAAGCACCAAGGCTTTGGTGTATGGGTGGACCTGGGAAGTGGCCTCGACATTACGACAGCGCCCCTTGCAACAAAGCAGTCCACCTCAAGCCATGCATATTCAATCCAGCATACGGAGTTGTGATCGCAGAGCCTTGTAGTCCATCCCTCCGATGGCTCGCTACCGCATTCACACGCACTCACGATACCCGAGGTCAAGCACCTCATTGCAATCTATTCGGCCGTCACCCAGCGATCAAGGCTTTGATGCGCAGTCGGCTGCGATCAGATCGTCGCAAAGCTGAGTGCAAAAGAGAAACACGCCCTCATGGTCAATTGACAGTTCTGGTCAAGCTGTTAGATTGACGTCCCACCGAGCTCCACACTGTTGGTCTCTTAACCTGAGCCGAGGAGGAATGACGATAGAACACCAGAAACGCGCTGAAGGGGCAGTCGGGTCGCGTAAACTGGCTCTCTGCAGGTTGAATGAAATTTCGCGGCTGCAGCAGAGCAAGAATGAAATCCTTTCCAGCTTGGCTGACAGATCCACAGTCGGCGGCATTCATACAGCCTTGCAGTTGACAGTGCTGCAGGCCAAGAGGAATCACACTCTGCGCAACCTATCGCAAGAAGCAGTTGCCAATTTGACCTTTGACAACGACAAGCTAAGCTTCTCCCAACTTTGAGCCTCGTTCGGTCTCTTGGAGCTTCTCACTGCCGGAGTCAACACTCGAATCACTCTCGCTCAGCCCCACACTTCTTTTGACCGTTCGCACTGTCAACAGTGCGATCTACCAACGCAGACGGCATCTGCTCCGCTATTTCAAGCCTCACAAACCCACATGACATATGGCAAATACAGCGACGACCCCATCGAGCCTGAAACCCCACCTAGGCAACGTCTGGCCGACGTCTCAGCATCAGCACCACGTATCCTGTGTCTCAACTCGAGCCCTGTCATCGACTCGCCAGCCAAGGTCGCGTCCACCTCCACCATGCCCGACCACAGCTTTCGCTCAGCCATGAATTCGGGCTCCGGCTCGTCCATGAGCCGTACTACCTTCACATCGCCTGTCAAGCAGAGCAGCAACGGCCTTGCAAGCTCGAGCAAGGGCCAATCCTTCCGCTCCAGTCTCGAGCAGTTCAGATATGGCAACGGCAACGGCGCTTCCAAACATCACGCAGCCGCATCGGACAAGAGCTCCGACCTCAGCGAGGCCGAGTCGTCCGATCAGGACCAGCGCAAGCCAAAAAAGCGACGCCTGGTCAGAGGCGGTGACACCCGGTCCCAATCTCGCGATCTGTCCGAGGAAAGGACCAAGCCTACCAGGCCGAGCCAGGACAAGAAGCCGTCGAACGGCCGCCCCGCCAAGAACGAGGACAGCGATGACGATGTGCGGGAAGTCTCCCCTCCCCCACCACGATCGTCCGCCACGCCTGCGTTCCCGGTCAAGCCCACTCCATCAGCACCAACAACCAACACCACCATCCCTGCCGCACTCACTGAGGCCGAGCTCAAGGAAAAGGCGCGCTTCATTATCCAGTCCAATCCGGTGCTCGAGCCTAAACGTGTCCTCAACGCGCTCCGACAGACCCGTGGCGACGTCGCCCGCGCTACGCAGATCCTCACCTCCCGACCCAGCGTCGTGCCTACCAAGACGTTCACCCTCAAGCCTGCCAGCAATGGTATCCATAAACCTGCCCACGCCGCGCTTCCCCGTCCCAACGGCGCCTCTCAAACCTCCAAGCCGCCCACCAGCACCGCCAGCTCGCGCGCCTCTACACCCGCCACCATGTCGCGCAACCCCTCGCAGACCTCGTCCCGCCCACGCCACGAGGCGGTCGAGATCAGCTCGGACGACAACTCATCTGACGGCAATCGCGAGGAGAAGGAGGAGCGTGCAGCCGTCAAATGGTTCAACACGGCCGACGCGAGCGCGCTCATGGACACCACCAACTGCAACGCCGCGCAGGCCGAGACGATCCTCGCACTGCGCCCATTCAGGCACGCCGGTGACATCGAGACCAAGCTCGGCGCCAAGTCGGCCAAAGGTGTGACGCCACGGCTCTTCCACGCATGCAAAGATCTGATGGCGGGCTACTACGAGGTGGACTCGGTGCTGGCAAAGTGTGAGAAAATTGGACGCGAGCTGAGCGAAGCCATGTCCGCCTGGCTCCCAGATGCCAGTGGGTCTCGACTGGCCTCCCCCGCTTCTAGCTCGGTCGCCGGCTCGCGCGAAGGCACCCCCGCCTCAACCCTCAACCTTTCCTCCATCAAACGCAACACGGCGGACAAGTTCTACCTCGAATCCCAACCGCGTCTCCTCTCGTCCAAGGTCACCCTCAAGGACTACCAACTGGTCGGCGTCAATTGGCTCTACCTTCTGTATCGGAAGCGCACGAGTTGCATCCTCGCCGACGAGATGGGGCTCGGCAAGACCGCGCAGGTCATAGCGTTCTTCGCGCACCTCAAAGACCTCGGTATTCGCGGACCTCATCTTGTGGTCGCCCCAAGCTCGGTGTTGGAGAACTGGGATCGCGAATTTCGCTTCTTCTGCCCCTCGCTCAACGTGCGCAAGTACTACGGCAGTCTCAAAGACCGTGCTGAGCTGCGCGAGGAACTCTCGTCAGACCCTGCCTTGGAAGTCATCCTGACCACCTACGACATGGCAGCCGGCGGTCCAGCGGACCACAACTTCCTGCGCAAGTTCGGACGTCGTGGCTGTGGTCGATCCGAATGCAAACCCGGCTGTTCGGAACCCGACTGTCGCGCCGGTGGCTTCGAAGTGTGTGTCTTCGACGAAGGCCACATGCTCAAAAACCGCAAATCCCAGAAGTACGAAAAGCTTCTTCGCCTCAAAACGCACCACCGTCTGCTGCTCACCGGTACACCCTTGCAGAACAACCTCCAGGAACTCGTGAGCCTGCTCAACTTTATCATGCCCGAGTACTTTGCCGATGCCGAAGAAGCCTTGGCGGCGATCTTCAAGGTGAAAGCGGGAGGACAGCAGAACGAGCTTTCCAAGCAAAGGGTGGATCGGGCCAAGAAGATGATGCATCCGTTTGTGCTGCGACGCTTGAAGGACAAGGTGTTGACGGATTTGACGACCAAGACGATTCGCGTCGAGTATTGCGATATGACGGTGGTGCAGCGGAAGATTTATTCGGCGGCGGTGGCGCGTACTCGGCGTGTTGCAGCCGAAGCCGAGGCTGCGCCTACCACCCGCAAGACAGCGGCAGCAAGCACGAGCCGTGAGAGCGGCAACGTGCTGATGGAGCTTCGCAAGGCGGCCAACCACCCGCTCCTCTCGCGTCGCCTCTTCGACGAAGCCAAAATCGACGCGATGGCCCGGGACCTGCTCAAAGAACCCGACTACGCAGATTCGATCTTCGACCACGTCAAAGAGGATCTACGCATCAACACGGATGCGCAACTCTCCTTTTCCGCCCAAACCTACCCTTCCACGCGCAAGCACGTCCTGCCACCCGCGGAATGGATGAAGTCGGGCAAAGTGCAAGCCCTCCAACGGCTCATCCCGGAGATTCAAGCCAAGGGCGATCGAATCCTCATCTTCAGCCAGTTCACCATGGTGCTCGACATCCTGTGCGTCTGTTTGGACCACATGAAGGTCAAATACGTCGGATTCACCGGTTCGACCCAGGTGGAAGACCGACAGGTTCTCGTGGACGAATTCACCAACGATCCGTCGATCACCGTTTTCCTGCTCTCCACCAAAGCCGGTGGATTGGGCATCAACCTGATTGCGGCCAACTGGGTGATCCTGTTCGACCAGGACTTCAATCCGCACAATGACAAGCAGGCGGCCGATCGATCGTATCGCATGGGTCAGACGAAACCGGTCACCGTCATCAAGCTGTTGAGCCGCGGCACGATCGATGAAGATATCCATGCGCTGGGTGAACGGAAGTTGGAGTTGGCCGATCGGGTTTCGGGTGAGGACGATACAGAGTCCGACGAGGCCGAGCAGAAGAAGGTCGCGCAGACGCTGCTCGCCAGGCTGAGGGACGCGGCTACGCCCGAGATCCAGGAGATCAGTGACGATGATGAATAGAACCGCATGGCAATGCCAATCATGCTGCACACAAGTCTGTGAATTGTGAACGTCAGACCAGACTCTCACACAGAGAGGCATACTTCGACATTCATCCTGAGACCCAAGTCTATTCCGAATCTCTATACATATCTACATCTAAAGCTGACCAAGCAGCTCGTTCACCAATCCGACCAGCCTTCCAATCATCTGTGGCAGCTCCTCCCCGCCAATCACTGCCGTCTTAGCCTTAATGGCGACATCCATACCGTCCTCCTTGCCGAGCACCACATCAAGATTGACGTCTGGCTGCCAGATCGCGCCGTGTTGCGCTACCGCCTTGACCTTCTTGCGGCCGGCAGTGTCGTCCTGCTTTTCGCGACGTGTGTAGGTGAGCGGGTGGTCGAGTTTGACCTGCTCCAGTGCCGGCGCCTCCTCATCGTGCTCGCTGGAGAGTAGGATGTTGACAGCGGTATTATAGCTCGCTTTGTCCATCGTCAACCCCGCCCAGCCATGCGCATCGACCAAGTCGGTCTGGTCGAACCTGCCGCGCTGTTTCAGCTGCTCCGCTGCCGAGCTGGCTCGCTCCTTCATTGAGTCGCCTGGCAGCTGCATGGGCAAGCAATTGAGCAGAGGCCCTTGCACGCGCTCGATCGAGTCGAAGTCTGATGAGCGACCGAGCTGATACAACCCGAACACGGGGGAGGACGATGAAGCGCGTTCGGACAGCAGCGTGGACCATGCAGCAAGGACGACGGCGGGGAGTGTCAATCCGCCTTTGCGCAGCTTGGCGTCCACAGTCGACGAGAGGAAGATGGCGTTGTGCTCGGCGTGGAATGCCTCACTGTCGATGTCGGCGTCTGGTCGAGCCTGCAGGAGCCCGCTACCCGCTTCAGACAGGGACTGGGCCCAGTACTGCTCAGCATCCGCTTTGAGATGCTGTTGCTCCTCTGCCACGTGCTCAACAGCCTCCACCCAGGCGTTCGAGCTGACCAAGTCGCCACCGCGGTAGAGCGACGCAAAGTCGCGCACCAGCATCTCGATCGAGAAGGCGTCATACAGAACATGGTGCAGCGAGAAGACGATGACGTCGCCAACGAGGGTCAGCTGGACAGGAGGCCTCGTGAGGTCTGGCCATCCTTCAGCAGCACGACGTGCAACGACTTCCTTCGTCGCCTGCTCCGTGGATCTGTCTTGAACCTGCTCCTCGACAAAGCTCGAGTCATCAGAGACCCAGTCAGGCTTCAGAACGACCTGAGCAGCACTACCATCTTCGCCGAGCAGGAACGCTGTTCGCAGAATAGGCTGGAGCTGTCGTATCCTGCGCCACGTCTCCTTGACCTTGTTCGTCGAAGCATCAGGAAGGCGGTGGGCAAAGCTGAAGCCGCCTTCCCCTCGTCCGTGCTGAGACTTTGACCACGTGGCGAGCCAGAGCTTCTGGCCCGCGAGGATCGGAAGAACGCTTTGGATCTGGTCGGCTTCGATGCCGAGGCCCGCTGCGATGTGCTGCGCCACTTTGGGCGAGACTGCGGAAGCGGATTTGCTGTAACCGTTGCCGTTCGCATGACCATTGCTGGTTGCGCTACCGTTCGTCTTGACGCCGTTCGCCTTGGATTGGCTCGATAGGATGCCGTTGATCGTCTCGCCAGCCACGATCTCTCCCATTCGCAGCTTGATGCCAGCCTTCCGAGCTTGCGATGCAATTCGAATCGCAGAGATCGAATCGATGCCAAGCTGCGACAGCCGTGTGTTGCCTTGCAGCTCCGTGTGATCGACACCGGCGACTTTGCCGATGATCTCGGCCAGCGTACGTCCGTCTTCACTTAGAGCCGCCTCTGCCTGATCCACCGAGGAGCCGCGTAGATCGTGAGAGCCGTTGGCGTGCGACCCTTCAGGCAGATGCTGCGGGAAGGCCGCGTCGCCCAACATATCCGGCAGCTTCGAGATCGGACTTTCGACATGGCTCGAGAGGTGCTGCATCAGCGCGTCAAGACGATCGACGAGAGCGTCAAGTGCCATTTGGTCGTAGCGGCTGCCGTCTGCCTTCGCCACGATCGACATCTTGCTCGGACCCTGCACGAATGCCACGTTGAGCGTGTACTGAGCTCGCTCGGCGGTGTCATTCGACAGCTCGAGGGCACGTAGCTTGCGATCCTCCTGCTCGTCGTACGCTCTCTGGTAGTCAAAGAGCGCGTCGAAGAGCTGTCCGCGGCCAAGCTTTGCCTGGACATCTCGAAGAGCCGCTCGTCGATGCGGCCTGCCGGCATCGTTGGCGGCTTGCAAGGCTGCGGCGACCTCCTTGACAGGCTGATCAAGATGGTCGAATCGGACACGAGTGGCGACCGTGTTGAAGGCGGGTCCGACAGCGGTATCTGCCTCTGGCATCAGATCCAGTAGTCCAAAGAGCTGGCCAAAGCAAACGTCTCTTGTCTGGCTTTCGATCGCCAAGAGCTTGCCAAAGGCGAGGTTACAAAGCACTTGAGGCGAGACGCCAATGTCACGACAGCGCGACTCGAGCTCTTGCGATGTCAGAGCAAGCTGCCTCTCGACGAGGAAGGCTTGGCTGCGCTCTGAGCTGGCCGCGAGTGGCGTCGGTTGGAAGCCTCGCAAAGCGCTCTGCCAGTGGTGCACGTCTTCGTCTTGGGACAACAGCGACGGCACGAGCTCGTGGAAAGGTAGGCGAGCAGGCAGACGCCCTTCATCGCCGACGATCAAGGCTTCAAAGTCCTCGAGCAGCTGAGGAAGCGAGCTACCATCATACAAAGCGTGATGAACGCTCAGCATGATAGTCACTCGGCCGTCGGAGCCCTTATCGGACCACAGGTGAAGGGCATGCGGAGCGGTTCGGAAAGCGTCTTCATCTTCGAAAGAGGGCTGACCGTCCAGCTTGTTCAGAACGCCATTCGTGAAGCTGCCAGAGTGCTCGACGATGCGAGCCTGCGCCTCGGAGTGCACCGCCTGAGCCCAGGCATGTGCACCTTCGACCGGGTGGAAGGTCATCCTTAGAATGTCGAGCCGGTCGACAAGCTGATGCCAAGCTGCGATGATCTGCTTGGGTGTGACGTCGACGAGCTCGAACGTGTGATGATGGAAGTACAGACCGCCAGCCGAAGCAAGCGACTGCGCGATCATACCGGATTGCAGAGGCGTGCACGGCAAGATCGACACAGTAGCGTCCTTGGCAGACAGCTGCCAGCCTTCCTTGTGTGCTACCGTGCTGGTTCGCTTGACCCACTCCTGCAGCTTTTTGCTGTGCTGGCGAGGCTCAGATGGACCCTCCGATGACTGCGTTTGCTTCTCAGCGAGAGCAGCAATGTTGGGAGTGCTGAGCACGTCAGCGACGGTGAACGCGTAGCCAGCAGCGCGAAGCTCCTTGACGAGACGGATGGCAGAAATCGAATCGATGCCAAGGCGATGGAAAGAGGTCGTTCTGCCGATCTCGTCTTCAGAGACACCGCTGAACTCGGCCACCGTCTCGCGAAGCTTTTGCTCCGACGCGGACCAGGCCTGGTTCGAGACGGCACCCTCGCGTTTCGCGCCGAGCGAGCGGAGCAGAGAGGCGTCGACGTGCTCGTAGAACGCAGCCAAAGCCTTGTGATCCGTCTTGTTGTTGTGCGTCAGTGGCAGACCACGGCTGGTCGCTATCCAGTGAGTGGGGACCATGTAGGCTGCCAGACGCTTGGCCGCTTCTTGCTCCAGTCGGATGCAGAGCTCGATGGCCTTGTCGTCTTCGCGGACACCGAGGTCACCACTGGTGGAGACGCCATCAGCGGCAGCGACGAAAGCAACGAGCTGCTTCGTTCCCATGGAAGGATGTTTGAGGTACTGGACGTCAGCGTCGCGCACGCCGGCCTGATCAGACAGCACAGCGGTGACTTCGTCGAGCTCCATGCGCTGCCCGTTGACCTTGACCTGTCGATCAGAACCGATGCGGCCGAGGCATTCGACGCTTCCATCGTGCAGGAAACGACCCAGATCGCCGGTGCGATAGACTCTAGTGCCGTCCTCCATGTGGACGAACTTTTCAGCAGTCAGCTCCTCGCGGCCATAGTAGCAGTCAGCCAGCTGAGGACCGCCAACGACAAGCTCGCCGATAGCTCCGGAAGGCAGGACGCGAGTCGATCCTTCTTCGAGCACGAACATCGAGGAGGTGGGATAGACGCGACCGATCAAGTTGCGAGTTGCTCCTGACTTGACTTGTCCCAGCGTGTTGCCGATGGTGGCTTCCGTGGGTCCCCAGGCATTGATCAAGAGACGCTCGGCCTGATTCCATTCGTCAACGACACGCGAGTCGATGATGTCGCCTCCGCTCATCAGCCACTCGAGCTTTACTTCCTCTGGGTGCACAGTGCCGGCAAGCGCAGCTGGCAGATCGGCGATGGTGATGCCGAGGTGCTCGATCGAAGCAGTCAAATCCTCTAGGAGCTCCTGCTTGGGTGCAGTACCGATCGAGAACCCGAGCGACAGAGGCATACACATCTCAATCAAGCACACATCGAATCCGATGGAAGCGAGCTGCAAGAACCGAGACGTGCGAGTGAAGGGCAGGATGCGCTCCCACGAGTATAACGCGCTGGCCAGCGCACGTTGGTTGATCTGTACAGCTTTCGGCTTGCCTGTGGAACCGGAAGTGAAGAGCAGATAGCAAGGTGCGTCGAGGTCCGGCGCCGGGAGCTCCCGACGGTCGGAGCATGGTTCACCAAGCTGCGCAAGATCGAGTACCTCGCATTTGAAGCCAGCCAGGTTCTTCTTCGTGGATTGACTCGCAATGACCGGGCAGTCGCCGACCGATTCGATCATGTACGAAAGACGCTCCGCCGGCAGGGTCGGGTCCAGTGGCAGGTACGCTTTGCCTGCCTTCCAGATGGCAAGAATCGTAGCATAGAGTTCAGCACCATCCTTGTTGAGATGGACACCGACAAAGCGGCTGGTCTTGTCGACGAGGTGCCGAGCGATGGTCGTGCTGAGCGAGTCAAGCTCGGAGTACGAGGTGAGCTTCGGCGGCTCCTGCATCGATGAGGCGAAAGCGACAGCAACTGCGTCGGTATCGTTTCGCACATGTCGGCTAAATCGAGCCACCATGGTCTCGCTCGAGCTTGTCGGAACGTAGCAGTCCTTGTTGAGGATGGACAGATTGCCGGCGTTGAGCTGCTTGGCTTCCTCCACTCCCGCGAAGGTAGCCAGGATGCTGTCGTACTGCGCAAGCATCAGCTTGGCCTGTTCGACAGGGATGTAGCGGGTGTCAAAGGCGAGATGGAGCTGCACCTTCTCTCCAATTGCGCTCACCTCGAGCGCCATGGGATAATCCCTTTCCATCTGAGTGCTCCCTTCGATGAAGAGGCCCTGCTTCTCCGAAGATGTCGTCTGGCCGAGGTACGAGAAGAGAGCCTCGAATGGCGCTCGAGTCAGGTCAAGCCAGCGCATCAATTGAGGCAACGAGACGTGCTGATGCGGTAGGATGGCATTGACAGCTTGGTGCGCTCTCTTGCAGAGGTCCTCCGATGCTGTCGATCTTGCGTCGGTCAAACGAAGAGGAACGGTCGTGACACAAGGGCCGTGAATCAACTCGATCCCGTCCACAGGAATGCTCCGGCCGGACAGAACGAGTCCAAGCGTGACCTCACTGTCTCCGACGTACAGACCAAGCAAGTGCGCGAATGCTGCGACCAAGATGGACTGCACGGTCACCTTGCTGGCGCGAGCCGCCTTCTTAACGTGAGAGAATGAGCTCCGAGAGGTCACGGTAAGCTCGTCGCCGCGGCTGACGTTGTGTTCGGGACGCACGCCCGTCAAGTTGGGCACTTGCGTGAGCGAAAACTCTGAGAGCGTTTCGGTCCAGAACTTCTTGGCCTCCTCTTCCTTGGCCTCGCCGACGATGTTCTGAGTAGCAGCCGCAAACGAAAACGCAGGTACGTCCTGAGCCTGGCCGCCGAGACGATCCGACGCCTCCTTCAGAAGCATGCGGATGGAGTCGCCGTCGTATATGGCATGCGAGCAGGTGAGCGTGAGAGAGGGCGCTGCATCTTTGATCTGCCATGACTTGAGACGCAGTGCAGGCACGCTGCCAATGTTGCTGGCGATGTCTTTTGCCGTATGAGCATGGTAGTTGGTCAGCTTCTCAGCTGTGGGAATGGCCTCCGAGGACGCGGACCAAGTCGAGGCCAAGGCGTCAGCGCCCAGCACTACTTGCACAAGCGTGCATTCGACCTCGGTGAAGACCGTGCGGTAGATCGCGTGCCTGGACAAGGTGGTCAACCAAGCATCGCGGATATGCTCCAACCCATACTCGCTACTCGTCATAGTGATCGTGATGGTGGTGATGTAGCGAGGAGTGTCGCGATCGTCCGAGATGGCCTGAGAGACCAGGGCGACCTGCATCGGGACGCACGGCAGGGCGGTCTCGATAGACACCTTGTTGTACTGCGGCAGCGCCTTTACCTTGGCGGTGAGATCGGAGAGCTGCTTCTTCCACTCAGCATCGCTAACGCCCGGAGACGCGTTCCGGTCGTCCTTGCGTTGACGTGCGATGGCTTCGATGGTGGGTTCGTTCATGATCGACGAGACGGAAGCCTCGAAGCCCTGCTTTCTCAGCTTGCTTGCCAGTGTGACCACAGTCAGACTGTCGAGTCCCGCCATGATGAGATCAAGATCGTGAGTGAGCTTGATGTCAGAGGCCAGACGAACAGACTGGCGCACGAGGTCGGCCACCGCTTGCTCGCTGCCGGTGAGATCTCTCTGCTGAGACTGGTTCGAGCCGGAAAGCTTGGAGAGGCGGTCGGGATCAACTTCATGATACAAGCTCTTGAGCAGACGTCGATCCGCTTTGCCGGACAGCGCAGAGATGGGCAGGTATTTGAGCGGCAGCACGAGCGACGGCACCATGTGCTGAGGCAGCTTTGCCCTGACGCGCTTCCTGAGCTCCAGTGTCTGTTTGCTCGCCTCTTCTGACTGCTCGAGCAACGCAGCGGGGTCGGCCGAATCGTCTTGCTTGGTCCTGGCGCTTTCGGATGCGATGAAAGAGACCAGTCGTGCAGGGCCATCGATCTTGGGATGGTCCGAGTAGATGGTGACAGCAGTGCCCGCAGCTTGCAGGTCCTCCCTCAAAGAGGCAGAGAGCGCCGCATCCACCTCGCCGAGCTCGAGGCGGGCACCCCGGACTTTCACCTGCGAGCCGTCCAGACGACCCAAATACTCGACTTCGTCGCTCGGATGCAAGCGGACCAAGTCTCCGGTGCGATAGACTCGCTGCCCATGGAACTCAACGAAGGACGACGATTCGGGCTGGTTCAAATAGCCCTTTGCGACCTGGTCGCCTCCGATGCACAGCTCGCCAGGCTCTCCGCGTAGGGTTGGCACCAGGCTGCCGTTGAGCTCCTTGAGAATGAGATATTGGGTGCCAGGGAAGGGGCGACCAACATTGCTGGGCCGAGAGTGCTTGCCGACTCGGGCGATCGAGTTGCCGATGGTAGCCTCACTTGGTCCGTAAGCATTGAAGACGACGGGCCTTTCTTCTCCTTCGCTGCCCCACAGCTGGCAAAGATCTTGCGTCAGGGCTTCGCCGCCGATGATGAGCGCGCGCAGTGAAGGCACAGCACTAGGCTTGATTCGCTCTCCCTTGCTGAAGAAGAGAAAGGGCACCACACAAGCATGCGTGACTTCGAGCGTAGACATGGTCGTGGCGATATCATCGTGAATCAGAGCACGTGGCCCAGTGACAATGGTAGCGCCGACTCGAAGTGAGAGGAAGATCTCGAGGAGATGAACATCGAACGCTTCGGCGGAACGAGCAAGGAAGCGCGCTGGAGACTTGAAGGAGCCAGGTGCTTCCTGTTCGTAGGTGAAGTGGAAGCCTTCGATTGCTGCAGCCAAGTTGGCTTGTGTCAGAAGGCAGCCCTTCGGTTTGCCGGTGGAGCCCGAAGTATAGATGATGAAAGCGACATCATCGGCTTGGATGCCCACGTCATCGACACCGCTGGAGTCGGCGAGGGCATCTCGGTACGCCTTCGACTCGACGTCGAGCTGATCCACCTCTGTCAAGCTATCAAAGTCGCTATCTTTGCTCGACGCGATCAAGAGCGCAGCCCCACTGTCCTTGAGAAGCTCCTTCTTTCTGTCAAGAGGGAGGGTCGCATCAAGGGGCAGGTACGCATGACCAGCTCTGAGGATCGCCAGCGGTGCGATGTAGCTGTCTAGGCCGCGCTCGAGACAGACACCGACGACGGAGTTGCGCGGGAGAGAGCGGAGTCGGCTGGCCAAACCGTAACTTGCCTTGTCGAGCTCTGCATACGTGATGGTCGCGGCTGCTTTGCGAGCCGAAGGCGACTCCTCTAGGTCTTGATAGATCTCGACGGCGTATCTGTGCTCGGACAGCGCTCCGGCGTTCAGGGAGCGAGCAACGCTGATGAAAGAGGCAGTTTCTTGCTGGCTTCGAACGACCGGCTTCGTGATGGAGAACAGAGGCAAGCCTTGCTTCTCCGAGGGGGCCACGTCGCGGAGGAAGGCTGCGACTTCGACATCGGAAGAGGAGCAGAGGGCTGAAAGACTGCGATTGAACTGCTCGAGCATCAGGCTGCCGAAAGCCTCGCTGATGACGCTCTTCTGCCAGCTCAGTCCGAGCTTGACGGTCCCATCGGAAGCGGGCAGCACCTCGACGCCGAGAACATGTTCGGTGGCCACGCCCAAGTCTGCGAGCTTGGACAGGCGGAAGTGCTTGGCGTCGGCCTCCTCAGGCTGCGAAGGAGCGGGCTCGAGAACAAAGACGGAGTGGAAGAGCTGCTCTCCCGGCGGCACTTGGAGTGTACGGCGGATGGCTCCAAGATCGGTGTGCTGCGCTTCCATGACGGAGGCGTGGAAAGCATCCGTGTCTTTGATCAGATCGCGCAGCTTCTGCGTCGGTCGCAGGACGAAAGGTACCGGTACTGTAGACAGGACGGGACCGTACACCTGGTCAAGCTCCGCCGAGAGGGTTCGTCCAGAGACGGAGTCACCGAGGATGAGGTGCTGCGACTCGAGGTAAGCGGACAGCACCCAGGCCCACGCGGTCTGGACGACAGGACGAGCTGAGACGCCAAGGTCTCGGCATACCGCTTCGACGTCTGTCCACTTGACACTCGCGGTGACGTAGCGGGACTGATGCAAGCTGGCTTGTTCCTCGCCTTTCGATGACTTGGCGAGCGTCAGCGTCGGGAACGAGGCAGTTTCGCCTTTAGGGTAGGAAGACAGAGCCTGGTCCCAGATGTCACTATGCCTGCGAGCCTCCTCTTGGTCGATGGGCAGGATCTGCGCAAGTGCGGTCGAAAACTGGTGCGACTCTGGTGAGGTCCGGCCTTCGTAGAAGGCCTCGACATGATCCTCAAAGATACCCAGAGATCGGGCGTCGTAGGTGCTGTGGTGGGCGACCACGATCAAGGAAGTCTGAGTCCCCTGCTTGGCGAGCATAAAGGCTACTGGCGGGCGAGCGCCGAAGGGATGCAGCGCCAGCTCTTTCTCTGCTGTATCGAGGATGACTCTCTCGGCATCTGCATCGTCTGCGATGTCGACGTGCTTGATCTGAGGATCAAAAGACTTCCACACGATCTGCAGGAAGTGCGGCTGGAAGGGCCACTCGCGCTTCTGAGTGTCCACGTCGAGAGAGCCAATGTCGGCAAAGGAGGTGCGCAGACTGTCGAAGCGGTCGACAGTCTGGACCAGAGCTTTGGAAAGGCTTTCCAGGTCACAATCGGATGGCAGCTGGTATTGACGCTGAAGACGATAGCTCGAGCTGTCCCGCTGCGACTCGGCCAGCATGCCCTCCTGCAGAGGTGTGCAGGGCAGTACCGACTGAATCTCGGCATCCTTGGGGCCGTCGTGGCTCTGCTGGAGCCAAGACACCACTGCCGGACGGAAGGCGGCGTCCCATTCCGAGAGAAAGACAGCCGCTTGCTTGGCTCGCTCATCCGAACCAGACTTGGAGCTCTGAAGGTGCTCTCCGAGCGACTTGAGGGTCGGGTAGCGGGCAACGTCCAGAACACCAACCGAATAGCCTTCTTGCGAGACGCGCTGCGAGAACGTCATAGCGCGGATAGAGTCGAGACCGACGCTGGTGAAGGGAGTCTTGCGCCCAATCTTGCTTGCATCGACGTTGCAGAGCTTGGCGAGCCACTTTCGCAGGCAAGCCTCCGCCTCGGCCGTCGCGGAGTCGATTTCATCGTCATCCCCCTCGTTGGCGAGCTTGTTCTCCCATTCGAGCTGATCGAAGTCGGCGAGGACGTTCTTGAGCGCGACACGATCGATCTTGGCGCTCGACGTTCGAGGGAAGTGCGAGAGAATGACAAAGAGGTTGGGCACCATGTACGAGGGCAGGTTGTTTTTGGCGTTGCTCTGCAGCTCGCGGGCGACCTTGATGGCCTCTTCGTCCATCCTCAACAGCTCTCCAGCTTGGCCACCAGGCAACGCGGAAAAATTGATGATCTGCTGTTCGCTCTCGTTGTCCTTCTTGGGGAAGGCCATGGTCTCGGAGTCCTTGATTTTGTCGTGACTGTTCTTGATGGCGGCATTGATTTCGAGCAGCTCGATGCGGATGCCGTTGATCTTGACTTGGTCATCGATGCGTCCAAGGTACTCAAACTCTTGGTTGTCAAGCTGACGGACAAGATCACCGGTGCGGTAGACTCTTCCGAGCTGTGGATGTGGGAAGAACTTGTCGGCCGTCTTGACGGGATCGCCCACGTAGCCTCGAGCCAATTGCGGTCCTCCCAGGACGAGTTCACCGACAGCGCCCTTGATGACGACACGATCGTACTTGTCAAGGGCGTGACACGAGGTAGTGGGAAGCGCTACACCGATGTTGGGCGCCTTGACCCGGTCGCCAAACGGCACGCGGCGGTTCATAGCGATGAGGGTGGCCTCAGCGGGACCGTAGAGGTTGAGGAGACAGCAATCCTTGCTCCACTCATCTGCGACGACTTGGCTCAGCTTTTCGCCGCCCGAGATGACCACCTTGAGACTGGGCACACGATGGCGCTCGGTCATGGCCATCACAGCGGGGGTGAGGAGGGTGTGAGTGGGCTTGATGCTGTTGCCGACGTCGACGAGGTCTTGCAGAAGTACACCACGGGGACACGAGCAGATTGTGCCGCCAAGCCCCCAGGTGTAGAAGCAGTCCATGATGGAGAGATCAAAGTTGTAAGCCGAGTACTGAAGATAGCGGATCTGATCGGTGCCGATCTTGTCTTTGCCATAGGGGATGTAGAGGCGAAGGGCTCGCATAGCCTGAATGATGGCAAGATGCTGGATGCCGACACCTTTGGGAAGACCTGTTGTGCCGGAGGTCCAGATCATGTATGCTAACTGCTCTATTGACCGCGATCGCGTGGCTTTGGTCGGCGGTGAATCTTTAACGTGTTGCAATTCATCATCAAGCTGATCGAGACGGATGGCGTGCATGCCACCTTTGCTCTTGACGTCTTCGCTTTCCAAATCTTCTTGCAGCTGCTTGGAGATCTTGTCGTCATGGGTCAAGACCACCTTGGCGTTGGACTTGGCGAGAAGCGCCTGTCTTCGCGAGGCAGGCCAGTCCGTGTCGATGGGGCACCAGGCAGCTCCAGCTTTGAGCACGCCGATGAAGGAGAGATAGGTTTCTGGGCTCTTTTCGAGATAGAGCGCTACAATGTGGTCGGATTGCGAGTCGGAGCTGGCCGAACCGATACCGTGGCTCCAGAGAAGATTCTTGACCTTTTCCGCCCGCTCGTTCATCTCGGCGTAGGTCCATTTGGTGGAACGCTCGTCCTTGAGATCGAAGCGAAAGTCGAGGGCGAGGGAGTCGGGATCGTGCTCGGCAAAGTACTCGAACTCGGTCTCCAGACGGTCGGCGTCTCGTCCTTGGAGATGATCTGGATCTGGGAGATGGTGATATGTGGTGTTGTCGGCGGCTCTGAGCTTCCAGTCGAAGCGTTCGACGGACAAGGCATGCTTCTGGGTGTCGGTTTGATACGATTGGAGGAGGGCAGCCACCTGACGCAACTGAAGCTGAGCCGACTGCTCCGAGTGAACGGCAGGAGCGGCTTTCATCTCGAGAAGGAGATGATTGGACTCTTGGAGGCGATAGGAGAGTGCGAGTGAGATCTCGGGTCTCGAGTCGATCTGCAGCTTGTCGAAGTGAGATGATGGAGCATCTTGGTTGTGCGACTGGAAGAAGGCAGCATAGCCATGATCGAGATTCTCTTGCTTGAGCTGCTGTGACCTAGCGGAGTCGACGACGGCGGCGACCTCGGCTGGCGGAAAGGCGTCGAGCTCGCGTTGCACTGCAAAGTCGAGTTGGAGGATGGTCTCATGGCCTGCTTGTGATGTGTGGAGCACCTCTACGTTGGTCGCTTCGTGAGAGCCGTAGTGAAAGAGGATGACGGACCATGCTGACAGCACAGCGAGATTGAGGTCGCCGTTGGAGAAGGCCGAGACTGCGTCCGAGTCGAGACGAAGGGCTTCTTGCACGTGAACGAACTGGCATTGTGAGCCGACACGAGAAAAGTCGGGACCGGATGTCCTGAGACCGGTGACGTCTGGGAAGGGAGCGTGTGAAGCGTTGGACGACGACATGGTGAGGAGCGCTCCGGAAGGCTAGATGAGATGCGCGTCTGCGATGGCTTGCGGGTTGATGGAGCTCGCTGTATCGACACTATCCAGAAGATGAAGTTGCGATTCCTCGGAGAGATGGAGAGGTGAAGGAAGCGTTGCGGTCCGTTGTCCTTTCAGATGAGAGAGGGATACGATAGTGGGTCCCGGAGACAGCTGTCGACAGCGATGGAATGATGTGATAAAGAAGAGCGGAGGAGCGAGGGAGAAGAGGTCTTGGAGCAAGAAGGGCACCAAGGAAGACCAACACGAGCTGAGGCGGATACCTGGAGCAGCTCGGTCTCTGTGCTTCTCAGAGCGCTCAGTTCTCTCTCAATGCTCCAACCCCTCCGTTGAATCACACGGGCATTCCGACTGTGAGCTCAAGGCATCGGAGACAAGCCGAAACGGGATCCACTTCTTCTCAAGCTGGCTTTGGTACGCCGCACCCTGTATACGCTCGCTGCTTGCCGGACCCTTGATTTCAGCCAGAGACCAGATCGACGTGAGCAGCAGCACCAAGCACCGAGCCAGGAAGGATCGGCTAAAAGCACGGCAGATGGTCAAAGTGGAGGAAAATCTCGCCCACCCAAACAGGAAGAAAGAGGGAAAAAAAGCTCACCCAGGAAGATCCAGAATTGGCTAGTGTGATTTCCGTTTGGCTCGTCGGTGACGCAAGAATTTCCATCAAGTCGCTCCGAGTGAGTGGTCTCATCATGCCCTGTGTCCTCCAGACGAAAGGCCGTTGGTGCAGAGAAATGGAAGACCTCATCGGTCGGCCCGTTAGAAGGCTGATACGCTGTGACGGACGAAATGACATTCCATCCGGGAGCGTCCGGTCAGCTTTGAGCCAAGAAGCGTGGATGTGAGTCCCTCTTCTCACGTTATCGGTGCTGTCCGAACCAAGGCAAGGGCTGAGCTTGTAGCGTGGGTATGCCGAACACCTTCATGGGGTCGGCCGAGCTTCAAGTGAACATTCGTCGTGGAAGAACTTCTTGGCAACCAGGCGATCAAGGCGAGGCCAGCAGAAACGGGCCCATGAGCCACTGGATCTGCCTCACCACGAGTCGGTCGGTCGGATTCATTATCTGATAACCCTTTGCCGCAGCAATCTTGTCATTCTGCCATCCCTCCCAGTCGTGAAAAGTCATCTAGTCGGCTCCTGCAGCGCCAAGAGCATACGCTAGCGCCCTCGGGAGAAACCGGTCCTCTGCTTGGTCCAATCATACCATTCCCACCTCGAATGAGATGCGTGGGCTGGCAAACTTCCCTGCAACCGAGTTGGTAACCGAGCACAACCATGCAGCAGACTGAGAAGGACCGAATGGTCGGGTCAAGGTTGAAACAATCACGAGCTTATCAGATCATAGCTCGCATTCTTACTGAAGTCGAGAGGGACAGTAGTGCCCCCAAAACAAAGGCGTTGCGCAGTTGCAGCGGAGCACCGACTCCCGACTTGCAATGCGATTGAGTTGCAGAGACTATGACAAGCGAAAGAGGTCTCGGCGCTGTGATCATGCGTTTGCTTTGGCTGACAAGGTTGGGTGACACATCGTTGCAGCCCAAAGCACGCACCGCTCCAGCGGCTGATCCTCTTTATCAGATCACCAATCTTATCCGATTGGCAACCCAGACGCACACAATCATTTAACACGCTCGCAAACTTTCATATACAATCATTACATCACCTCTCTATTCAAGAGCAAACTTTTGAAATTCTTGGCTGCATCTCGCTCGAGCTCTCATTGGTTGGGCCAATGCAAGACCTCGCTTGTCCATTCACGGTGACGCCTAAATGAGAACCGCTTTCATTGTCGTCACCATAGAGACCACCTGCTGGCACCATCTCATTCGCCTCGTCGTGCATTAGCGTAAACCTGGTTGCAGACAGCTTGTTCAAGCGAACCACATTCACGGACACGCACCGAGACGATGCCACGCCACAATGCATTTCGGCCATGACGGGATTGTCACTCATGCAACAGCCCACTTCCATCCGCTCCCGTCGATTCCATGACCGATCCTGCTCATGACGATGATGCATTCCAAGAAGAAAATTTTATCAGATTAGCCATCTCTGTCCCTGCTGAGCTCAAACTTTTTGGCGGCTCGGCTTTGCTAGCGTTTGCGCCTCTCCCTTCTCTTGCGAAAGCTTGTCGGCCTTGGCTCAACTCGAAGCTCGTTCCAAGATAGGCTCGCCTTGCCTCTGTATAGGCTTTTCTTGCCTCTGTTCCCCACTCTGATTTGCCTTTCTAAACGGCTGCCGACTCTGCTCGCTTTGTCTGTCTCTTACATTCTCTTCGAGCCGCTTCTTTCTCCCGCAACTCCGACTCATAGGGTCGCCAGCTTCTACAAAACAAGCCCGCCTCGTTATCCTAGCCACCTTTCCCCTCGCTACCAATCCACCATCAGACCATCATCCTCGCTCTGTCGATCGTCGTCTGTCAGCGATCTCATCCAAAGGTATGTACGTCCTTGTCAATGACATCGATCCAGCCAAGGCACTTGGTCCACATGCTCGCCATCGTTTCCTTCAAAGCTCGTCAGGCCATTTGCACGCCATCGTCGAGGCACACACGCTGCCATCACGAAAAGCTTGGGCTACCACTCCGATCCACGCTTGCACCCCGGTCAGACCGCCGTCGCTGTCGTTGACCAAAGTCGGCACGAGGACATCGTCGAGTCTTTAGAAGCGACTCGACACTCACGGCCGGTAACGCAGGCCGCGTTCGGACGAGGTCTGCGTCCCACTGTCCAACTCGGCAGCTCGGTCGGCGCGGTCGTAGCCTGCGTGCCATTGTGGGACCCCATGCTTCTCTACGCCAAGGCCTAGGCATCCATTTGGCGAGGTATCGGACAGATGCATCTTGCACCCTGCAGCGGCTTCTCCATCATCTGGATGCTCTGACGAACACGGACGTCCATTTGGGATCATTGATCATCAGACCTGACAGTTCGGAGCGACATCCAGCGGCACTTCCTCGATGTCGAACCTAGGTGCTGGTGTCAAACATGGTTCGGCCTCTTGCGCGCTCTACATTCTTAACGACGTGCTGACGTCGACTGTCTTCTTTTCCGCCTTCCATCTCGCATGAAATTCTCCGACCGCGGCACGATGAATGACGACAGCTGTCAATCCTCACCCCCCGCATCCGTCTCCAGCCCGCGGCACCAACCGCCGCCTTCGATCCGCCGCCAACTTTTAGCGAAAACGCAACATGAGTGCTTCCGCTGCACCTTCTGATGTGGTAAGTCGCTTCGCTTCAACACACCGAGACCAGAGCGAAGTTCGACGATGCACGAGTAGACTCTCGCGCGCTTTTCGTTCCCGTCGGCTGTCCTTCAGTGCTCGTTACATAGCCGCGGCGTGGTGTCGACGTCCGAGTTGATCCGCCCACACGACGCACCTGCAAGGCTCGCTGTTAGGCGGCCTTCATTTGGTGGGTCTTGACAGTCAAGCCACGGCGGTTCTAGCTTTGACAGATGCTTTGACGTCGGCCTTGGCCGTGCATGTTCCGCGAATGCCACTGGTCGCACCGCTCGATGCTGCCATGCTTGCATTCCCGTCTCGATGCCACACACACGCCTCGGCTCATCTACCAGAGTCCGAGTCGATGGTGTCAGCAGGTATAGCTGGGTCCTTTGTGGTCCTCACCAGCGTCCTGCGGCTCCCGTCCCGAGAAGCCGCATGGTCTAACGCTATTTGGTCGAGCACCCAGGTTGCTTTGCTGTCGACTCGGTCCGAGACTGAGAACCGGATGTCAGATCTTGCTTCGATGGCAGGAGAAGGCGTCCGGCCTTCACGCCTTCGACCAATCAGAATCGAGCTATTTCCAAGCATCCGGGGCTGGCTTGCTCGCCCCTCCTTCCTCCTTCCCTCTTTCCCTCGCTGCCTCGCACCCTTCTTTTCCAGTCTTGGCGGGTTGTCTGCTGGCTCGAATGGTGCTGCTACATCTCGCAGCGAAGCAAGCGTCACGTCTTCGATAACATCCTAGCAGTAGCTCGGTGTTGATTGCCACAGAGACGATCCTAGGTCCTACGCCTCCACATGCGCCCTTCGATGGCAACTACAAAATTCGAATGCGGAGCGAGAAATCCACGATTCGACGGCGTGGCGAAGAGGCATGTTTTGTCAGCGAGACTCGCACGCCGCGCTCGTCATCATCGAGCCCGCCGACTCGGATCTGGTGCTGGCTGTCCAGGTGGCACGTTTCGCTGTTTTCTGGATTTTGGTTCTCCGCTCGACAGAGCATGCCTCGCACCGCTACGACCGCCTTTGCCGCTTCATGCCCCCGTCGAGCTTGGATTGGCAATGACAGCGTTGTGATTGGTCGAGCTGCTCGCTCCGCAATTTCATCGTCTTCGGCTGCTGCCAGGTTTGGTCGCTACTGCATTGCCTTTTCGCCGGTCGGCCAGCCGAGAGACGTTCCATCCTAGACTGGACGTGCTGCGGACCGACTGTTGGTGCACGTTCTGCTTGTAGCGCCATCGATGCTTTCGCGGTCGAACAGCGCGGCTTGATCGGACCATGCGCTTGCTCTGATTGCTCTGTCGAGTGCACAAGTCGATCTCGGAGCGGCGATGGAAGACGGTACTCCAAAGACTGCTGCTGCTTCATATGCGTCAGGGTCTGACCAAGCAGAGTGCCGAGCAGAGATGCCGCCGATCTGTCAAAAGAAAATCTGGGTGCAGCTGTCTCTCCCCTTCCGCCGTGCTTTTTTTTCTCGTTCTGCTTAGCCAAAAGAAGGGTCTCACTAGCGCCGGTGATGATGATGATGATGCCGCTGTTTCTCCACCGCTTCGTACTTCGTTCCTTCCCTCTCCTCACCCATCCCCATCGACCCAGCTTACTTGCATTGCCGGCCAAACTCGCTCGTTTCATATATACGCCGACTCTTTGCACATCATCGAACTTCGGTCTCGCTGTCCAACATTGCAGTGTCGCACAAGCTCATCACTCACACCTTGCATCAACCTTTCATTGGCTTTTGATACGATCATCGTATTTGCTCATAACCGACGCACCCTACAATTCATCAGGGCCCTTCTCTGGCATCCTCCATCTCTTCTCTGCCGACCATGAACGGGGTAAGTTCTCACTCACAGCCCGTCTCTCGCTCTCTCCATCACATTCTGACCACTTCACGTCCATCCCTTCAGGTATCTGGCACGCACACGATCCGCAAAGCGGACATCTATGACCTGCTCGGTATCGGATACGGACCTGCGCACCTGGCGCTCTCCATCTCGCTCCGCGAATCCGCCGAGGTCGCCGAGACTCACTTCAAGTACCACTTTCTGGAGCAACGCTCGCACTTTGCCTGGCACCCATCGCTCCTTCTCCCCGGCTCCCAGCTCCAAGTCTCACCGCTGAAGGACCTCGTGACGCTGCGCGATCCCACGTCGACGTATAGCTTCTACAACTACCTCCACTCGCACGGGCGGCTGGCACGCTATATCAACAAGGAGCAGGGTGTTCCGAGTCGAAGGGAGTGGACGTCCTACCTGGCTTGGGCGGCGAGGAGGATGAACGAGGCAGTCAGTTATGGTCAGAACGTTGTTTCCATCGACGCGTTTACCATCGCAACCGGAGCGGAAGAGGGGAAGCAGGACAGCGTGGCGCTTCGACCTACGGGTGAGGAAGATGCGCTGTGTCTCTACCGCGTCCGCACTCGGGACGATGCTACTGGAGAGACGGTCACACGCTATGCAAGGAACATCAGCGTTGCCGTGGGCGGCGTGCCTCGGCTTCCACCTGCGTTTGACGCTGCTTGGGCGGCGCAGACGTCCCAAAAGGAGGTCAAGCGCATCGTTCACAGCGGCTTCTATCTTCCGAGCTTGCAGACACTCGAGCCGGTGCTGCACGAGACCGCCGCCTGTCGTGGCAACGAGAACCGACTCCACCTCGCCGTCATCGGTGCCGGCCAATCGAGCACGGAAATGCTCATGAACCTCCACGCGCGCTTCCCAACAGCGGTGGTCACCATGATCTTCCGCGCCTCGGCCCTGGTGCCATCCGACGACACGGGTTTCATCAATTCCGCTGCTTTCGACCCGGAGAGGACGGACGAGTTCTGGGCCGCTAACGAGGCCCAACGTCGTCGCTGGCTGGTCGAGTTCAAACGCACCAATTACAGTGTCGTCAGGACGGATCTGCTCAACGAACTGCACGATACAATGTACGACAAGTACGAGGTGAGCCTGCCGGAGGAGCTGCAGGATCCCAGCGAACGAGAGGCGGGCAGGATGGAGATGCGTCGCTGCACCGATGTGGACGAGGTGACGCTCGTGCAGGACGGCGTGGAGTTGGTGTTGCGGGACAACCTCAAGAATGGGCGTTTGGAGACGATCAAGTTCGACGCGGTCTTTGTTGGTACGGGTTTCATCAGGAGTCCTGCCAAGATGCCCTTCCTCGACGGACTCAAACCGTTCTACCCCGCCCTAGAGGATGGTTGGACCGCGCGCGACACGCTATCCGCCGAAGCCGAGGTCGCTGCATCCATCGACACCGAGGACGAAGAAGTGATCGAGCGGAAGAGGGAGAACCTTCGAGGCATCACCCGGGACTACCGCCTCGTCCCCGGTGTTGCCATGCGCACCACCCCGCGCAGCGGCAAGTCGTCCCCAGGTAGCGAAACCAGCAGCACCAGCTCCCAACAGACCCTAGCGACCGAAGGAGCAACAAAGCCCGAGGCAAGCCTCTACGTGCTCGGTGGAAACGAAGCTACGCATGGGCTCAGCGATAGTTTGCTCAGCATCGTCGCGCACAGGGCGGGAGAATTGACCACCAGTCTGCTGCACAGGCTGCCAAGGTCAAGGAGAGGCGTCGAGTCGGAGCAAAGGACGGAGGCGCACAGGACTACAGGCGCGAATGAGGTCGGACAGAAGTTGGCCGCGTTGAGTGGGTTGGGTGTCAATGCGTAGTGTACCAAACAGGCATAAAAAATCTCATTCATTGACAGAGTAACGAGAAGCACGCTGAGTCTGACTCGTTTGACAACCCTGCTCGATCTACTCGTCGCTATCGCCATAGTCCGGATTGACGAGCGTAGTAAACAAACTACATGTTCACGCGCTCACATGCTTGCTATGAAGCCTCGACCATCTACTCGTCCTCGCTCTCCCCTCCGATCTCTGCAATCGGCTCCTCCGCCAACCACCCACTCCTCTCCGCCCTCGCCTCGTCCTTCCTCCGCTTACTCGCCTGCATCTTGTCCAGCACCTTCTTGGCGCTGTTAAACAATCCACCCGTCTGCTTGCCGCACGCAAAGCATTTGCTATTCTTGCTGAACCTCTTGATGGCACACCCCGAACAGAAGTAGTGTCCGCACTGCGTGACCACCGGATCTGTGAACGGCTGTCTGCAGATGAGACATGCGAATGGGATCTCCTCCTCCTCTTCCTCTTCCGGATCCGAGAGGAGGTTTTCGCGATTCTTGGACGAGTTGGGGAGAACGTCGAGTTGCCAGCCTGCAAGATAGTCGCTTCGATCGTGGAGGAACTTGCACGTGTCTCCGAAGCCACAGTAGCCGGTTTCCTTGTAGTCCTTGCAGATGTCGGGTTGATAGTCCATCAGGCTAGTTGTTCGGACGGTGGTGGTTTGCCGAATGGGGCCGCGGGAACGCATCTTGGACGAGGTGCCGTCGTCACGTGCGGCGATGTAGGAGGTGTATGATGAGGCGCCTCGGTAGAGCCCATCGGCGTTGCTAGCGGTCGGTTGAGGAGTAGTGGTGGTGGAGTCAAGGTCCCAGTTGCTGTGCTTGGTTGCGTCGTCGCGGAGCTTTTGCCGCGAGGTCGCAGATGCGTCGGTATTCGAGCGGCAGGGATGACTGGAAGAGTCGGTATCGAGTGCGTACGAATCGTCGTCATTCCCATCGTCGCCGATTAGGCTGCCGAGCTTGGACTTGCGATAGACCGAGCCGGTCGACTGGACGAGAGGGTTGTTATTCGAGCGCTTCTTCTTGATCACAACGGCAGAGGAGGACTCGACGTCATCGTCGCTCGAGTCGTTACTCAAAGCTGTACGATTTGGCGTGGCAGTTGATGCGCTGATTGTAGGCCTTGATGGTCCGGCTGAGCTGCTCGAGGATGATGCTGGAGCGTTGTTTGAGGTGGAAGCTGCGGGACCGCGCTTTCGCTTGAAGACAACCACCGGTGGTGCAGCCGAGCTGGCATCTGCGGAAACATCCATTGCTATCGTATCGATGCTGCGAGTGCTGAATGATGCCAACGTAGGTGGGTTAGCCTGTGGTGGCGAGCTAGGAACGTTGGGGAGGCAACTCGAGAATCAAGGGTCTGGCTTCAAAAAGATCTCGGCTTGCGGAAAAGGCTCAGTCGAAGTGGAGCTGGCTGTATCGTGCGGGAAGAGGGGCACCACGCTCAGACCTTCTGGCCCAGAAGAAAATGAAATTTTTGGTTGACTCGAGAAGAATTAGACCGCGTAGAGAAGGCCTTTGTGGAACACGAAAGGAAAGGGTTCAGCAGCATGACTTCGCTCCTTGCCTCTTGATTGATAGGAGGGCAGTCATCCCTTCTGCACCTCTCCGACTCCATCGTCAGTAGCAGCCTCATCTTTGCCTAGCTCAGTCTGGGTCTGCTGCTCGTCGACGACGTTCCTTCCCAATCCTAGAATCTTCAGGATCACCTCGTTCCGCAGCGACGAACAACGTGAGAATCTGGTTCGACCTTCTACTTGGTCCTGCATCGCGATTGAGTCACTCACCTTGCCACCTTCTTGCACCTACTTTGATTCTGTCCTGAATCGTGCTCGACATCAGAAAGTCACTCGCTGGCTTTCGCGTCAAGTGGAAGTCGTCAACCCCACACTCTTTCATTCCCTCCTCCATCACAGATGCTTTCTCTGATCGGATCTTCGCTCCTCCACCCCTCCAAGCGCGCTCAGCTCTTGGAGAGGGCCAACACTAAGCTCGGCGGCAACAAGCTGGCTTCGGTCGACGCTGTCTACATCCACTTCGTCAACTCTGCCTCCGAACAGGCCGACGCTGTTCTTGCCGATACCAGCAGCCCGCAGCGCAATGTCCTCGACAGCCTGCTCGTCTACGGTGACAATGTCGACTTTGCACAGACTCTTCCCGCAGTGCAGGCCGTCCTCGCCGGTGGTGACGCAACCTCAGCGAAACAGAGCGTCCTCTTCGTCCTTCCCCGTCCAGGAAGCATCTCGCCCTGGTCCAGCAAGGCCACCGACATTGCTCGAATGTGCACTCTCAAGGACCACGTCGACCGCATCGAGCGCGGTGTCGCCTACGTCCTCGAGCCCGCTGCCTCATCCACCCTCGAGGCTGCCGACATCACTGCCGTCCAGGATCTCTTGCACGACCGCATGACTCAGTTCATCTCGGCTGTTCCTCCCACGGCCGATGCTCTCTTCCACAAGGCCCAGCCTGCTCCTCTCAACCACGTCGACCTCCTCGGCTCTGACGGCACCTCGGACCGCCAGGTCGCCAAGCAGCGTCTCGTCGATGCCAACGAGAAGCTCGGTCTGGCTCTCGCCAACGACGAGATCGACTACCTCGTCGACGCCTTCATCGCCGGCAAGGGCGACGGCTCGGACGCTCTCCGCCGCAACCCTACCGATGTCGAGCTTTTCATGTTTGCGCAGGTCAACTCTGAGCACTGCCGTCACAAGATCTTCAACGCCGACTGGACCATCGACGGTAAGAACATGCCCAACACCCTCTTTGGCATGATCCGCAACACGCACAAGCTTCACCCTCAGCACACCATCAGCGCCTACTCCGACAATGCTGCCGTCATCGAAGGCTACGAAGCCACTCGTTTCGCGCCCTCTCCTGCTGGCGGTCTCACCGTCTACCAGGGCGTCAAGGAGCCTATGCCGTTCCTCGCTAAGGTCGAGACCCACAACCACCCCACCGCCGTCTCGCCATACCCTGGTGCCGCTACCGGCTCCGGTGGTGAGATTCGTGACGAAGGTGCTGTCGGTCGTGGTTCCAAGCCCAAGGCAGGTCTCGTCGGCTTCATGACCAGCAACCTTCTCCTCGAAGGCGATGGTCGTCAGCCTTGGGAGGAGGACTTTGGCAAGCCATCGCACATCTCGAGCGCCTACGACATCATGATCGACGGTCCTCTCGGCAGCTCCGCCTTCAACAACGAGTTCGGTCGTCCGGGCCTCAGCGGTTTCTGGCGAACCTGGTCCGAGCGTGTTCCTACCGAGAACGGCTCAAGCGAGGTGCGTGGCTACCACAAGCCCATCATGCTGGCGGGTGGTCTCGGTAACGTTCGTCCCAAGAACGCGCTCAAGTCGCGCATCACGCCCGAGGCTGCCATCATCGTGCTCGGTGGACCCGGCATGCTCATCGGTCTCGGCGGTGGTGCAGCCTCATCCATGGCCAGCGGAAGCTCTTCGCGTGCCGCACTCGACTTTGCGTCAGTCCAGCGAGACAACCCGGAGATGCAGAGACGATGCCAGCAGGTCATCGACGCCTGCACTGCGCTCAGCGATGCTCCTGGTGTCATCGAGGGCCGCATCGGCGAGGGCAACCCGATTCAGTCTATTCACGATGTCGGTGCCGGCGGTATCAGCAACGCGCTTCCCGAGCTGGTCCACGATGCTGGTCTCGGTGCTCGCTTCGAGATCCGCGACGTGCTCGTCGACGACCCGTCCATGAGCCCCATGGAGATCTGGTGCAACGAGTCGCAGGAGCGATACGTCCTCGCCGTTGGTCAAGAGGACCTTCCTCGCTTCGAGGCCATTGCCAAGCGAGAACGCTGCCCATACTCGGTCGTCGGTATCGCCACCGTTGAGCAGAAGCTCGTCGTCACCGACCGCCTCCTCGGCGGTACACCCATCGACCTGCCCATGCCCATCCTCTTCGGCAAGCCACCCAAGATCGCGCGTCAGTCGCAGAGCAAGCAGCCCCAACGCATTCCCTTCGACTCAAGTCTCACCTCGTATCTCCCCCAAATCAAGGACGACCCGGTCAAGATGTTCGCCGAGGCTGTCGACCGTGTGCTTCACCTGCCCACCGTCGCTTCCAAGAACTTCTTGATCACCATCGGCGATCGAAGTATCACCGGTCTTGTGGTTCGCGATCAGATGGTCGGTCCCTACCAGGTGCCCGTCGCCGACGTCGCCGCGACGCGCACCTCGTACGGCTTCGAGGAGAGCATCACAGGTGAAGCTGTTGCTTCGGGTGAGCGCACACCGCTCGCTCTTCTCAGCGCAGCCGCTTCAGCCCGCATGGCCGTCGCCGAGTCGCTCACCAACATTGCTGCGTCCAGCATCGAGAGCCTCGAGCGCATCAAACTTTCCGCCAACTGGATGTGCGCGGCAAGCCACTCGGACGAGGGCGCGCGTCTCTACGAAGCCGTTCAGGCGATCGGTCTCGACCTGTGTCCCAAGCTCGGCCTCGCCATTCCCGTCGGCAAGGACTCGATGTCGATGAAGATGGCCTGGGAGTCGCCCGAGGGTGACAAGCGTGAAGTCACCGCCCCCCTCTCGCTCACCGTGACGGCTTTTGGTCCTGTCGACGACATCACGCGCACCTGGACACCCGAGCTTCGCACCGACATCGACGACACGGTGCTGCTCTTCGTCGACCTTGCTGGTGGCAAGCAGCGTCTGGGCGGTTCGTGTCTCGCCCAAGTCTTCCGTCAACTCGGCCACGAGGCGCCCGATGTCGAAGACGCTGCTGTGCTCAAGGCTTTCTTCGAGGCGTGCTACACGCTCAAGCAGCTTCGCGTGCAGAAGCGCGACGAGGGCAGCCTCGTCCTCGCCTACCACGACCGTTCCGACGGTGGACTCATCACTTCCATCCTCGAGATGTGCTTCGCCGGTCACTGCGGTGCCGAGATCTTTGTCGATGCGCTCGATGCCGAGCTGCGCGACCCGGTGGCGGCGCTGTTCAACGAGGAGCTCGGCGCTGTCCTGCAGGTCAAGTCGAGCGATGTCAAGGCGGTCTCTGCTGTGCTCACTGCTGCTGGTGTGCCATCGAACCACCTGCATGTGGTGGGTCGCGTCACGCCCGACTCGCAGGAGATCAAGGTCATTGCGCGATCCCAGTCGTTGCTCTCTTCGACACGGGCTACGTTGCAAAAGGCGTGGGCGGAGACGTCGTTCCGCATGCAAAGTCTGCGTGACAACCCCGAAACCGCCGCTACCGAATACAGCCTCATCACGGACGAACCCACCTCGGCGGCGGCTTTGCGCTACGACCTGACGTACAATCCGCGCGAGGACGTGCTCGGTGCTTCTGTGGTGGAAGCCGCGCTGGACGTGCGACCCAAGGTGGCCATCCTTCGCGAGCAGGGTGTCAACGGCCAGATCGAGATGGCGTGGGCGTTTACGCGAGCCGGGTTCTGCGCTGTCGACGTCCACATGTCGGACCTGGTCGAGGGCCGGGTGACGCTGGACCAATTTGTCGGTCTCGCCGCGTGCGGTGGTTTCTCCTTCGGTGACGTGCTCGGTGCCGGTAGTGGTTGGGCCAAGTCGATCCTGCTCAACCCGGACGTCAAAGCGCAGTTCGAGAACTTCTTCCAGAAACGCACCGACACGTTTGCGCTCGGTGTGTGCAACGGTTGTCAGCTCCTCTCGCAGCTCGGCATGGCAGGGCTCATTCCAGAGGCGGAGAACTGGCCGTTGTTCAAGCCCAACGAGTCGGGTCGATTCGAAGGACGATTGTCGAACGTCGAGATCACCAAGGAGGGTGGAGCGCAGTCGATCTTTTTCGCGGATATGGCCGGGTCAGTGCTGCCGGCGATCATTGCGCATGGCGAAGGACGGGCTAGCTTCCGCAACGAAGGCGATCTCGAGGCTTGCAAGGCCAAGAAGCAGATCGCGATGCAGTATGTTGATCAGAGGTACCCGCTCAACCCGAACGGTTCGCCGGAGGGTGTTACTGCGATCACGGCGAATGGAGGCAGAGTGCTGGCGCTGATGCCGCACCCAGAGAGAGGCGTGGCGTTGACGAGCATGAGCTGGGCGCCCAAAGAGGCGTACGGCAACAAGGGCTGGCAGGGCAAAGGCCCCTGGTTCAGGATGTTTGAGAATGCCAGGCGGTGGGTTGGCAAGCAGTAAAAGCCGGATGTTGACTTGTACAGGTACGAAAAGAATAGATCTCAAAGTTCTTGAACGTCTCAGTGTCCGGTGATGATGTGTTGTCGTGGTCGCCAAGCTTCTCCATATGCCGTCTCCCCACACGAGCTACGGTACGAGCGTTGAAAAGGAGATGTGTGTCAAGTATGCATTGATTGATAGCCCGTAATCAATCGTCGTCATTGTCGCCAGCGACCGTCTGACCACCTTTCGATCCCTGATCCGCATCGCCCACCAGTGCATCGTGCGAATCGAGCAGATCCCGTACATCCTGCTCCCTGCCGTGTCCCCACATCGGATCCAGATCCACCCTCACCAGGTTCGCCACCAGTCTCCCCGCCCTATACACCAGCAATGTCGGTAGCACTTCCAACGTCTTAGGATCCAACTCATCGTACTCTTCCTCGTCCTCCTGTCCAAAGCCTATCGCGCTCGCCTGTACCTGGAGGAATTTCGTTCTCGGATACAGCCGCGCCAAACTCGCCAGTGATGCAGTCAAACTGTTGCACTGGGCTACAGCTTTGGAGTAGATATGAATTACCACCGGGATTCGGGGATCTTCGTTGTCGATCGCTGCGACGTAGCCGCGTTCGTCGACCTCGCGGAGGTGACCGAAGTATCGCTCGCTGCCTGCTATCGGTGTGGTGGTGCGGGTAGATTTGAGTTCGGCGATTCGCGCTTCGCGACGCTTCTCCTTGGCCTGGAGGTCGGCGATGGCGCTTTGACTGACCGAGTCGTCGTCGCTCTCGCGGGTTTCTTGGCCGATCCGGGCTAGAGTTTCTCGTTTCTCACGGGCTACTTGCTCGCTGTACGTCTCGGACGACAACGCAAGACTCTCCATGGCTCGGTTGGTGGCGTGAACAGCAGCGGTGCGGGCATTGGACTCCTGCTGTGCGCGAAGCTGTCGATCGCGCAGGACACCCTTAGGACCCGTATTGGTCGCACCCTCTTCGCCGCGCGTTGCGGTGCGTGAGGAGGAGAGTCCGTGAGATCGACTTCCGCCAGCAGTGGTGGTGGTCGCAGCGGAGCCATAGCGTGTGTGAGAGGCGTCGTCGTCGTCGTTTTGGTATAGGTCGTCGTCGTCGTCAGGAAGGTCCGAGCCGAGCTCGTCGTCTGTGTTGGGCGCAGAGGAGGTGGCTGCTGCTCGACGGTCTTCCTGGTACGAGGAGGCGGGTTGGGCATCGATGCCCTGTAGGATGGCCGCTTCGATGGGGTCCTGGCTGGCAGACATGGTGCTATGCTATAGGTTGGATCTTGTTCGGAATGGCAGAAGTGAGATAGAAGCTTTCTTTTAGCGAAACGGTGGAGGGAGAGCAGAACGAAACGTCCTACCTGGTGACAGGTTGCAGGCTGAGCCTTGTGAGACTGCGTGTGACAGCGCACAAGCCTTCAGGGGTCGACGGTCAATTGAGCCTCGACAAAGGGACAGAGCTTGATGAGGTTGGTGGAGACAATGCCAGGGAAAGCGGCAAGAAGGGAGCAGGCATGCACGGGCTTCATCTTTTTTTTCTGATGTTTCAGTTGTCGGAGACTTGTCAGCCAGCATTCCGCTGCTATCAAGCTTCAGAGTGTGGCTTGCAAGAAGGCCTCCCTGCCAAAAAGGTCCAGAAGCGAAGGCTGTCACACGCTCCCACGCCTGTCCCCCATCAGTGCATGCTTGCTTGGTCGGTTGGTTGCGCAGGGCTCGCATGAAGTCCTAAAAGGTGTTGGTCTCGAATTTTGCACAGATTTGCTGATTCTTGCAACGTAACATTCCGCTGTTTTTTGTGCCGAAGCTGATGCCGGTGCCGCACGACAAGTGACTCGTAATTGACTCGAGAAGGCCAAAAAGGTGTGGGAAAGCGAGTCCTTTTTTCGCCGTTTCTTCTTAGATCCCTGCTGCTGCTGCTGCTGCTTGTCTGAGAGTGACACTTTTGACTCGACAAGCTCAGCCTCGACTCAGCGTCACTGAGCTCGGACACCTTCTCGACCTTCTACCATATCAGTGAAACTACACATCATGGTCGAATCCACACAAAACGACCACGCCGCCGTCTTTGGCGACCACGAGGTCACAGCTCCCTTCAGCTTCCCCACAGAAGAAGAGAAGGTCATTCGATATTGGCGAGCCATCGACGCATTCAAGACTTCCCTCAAGCAGAGCGAGGGCAGGAAACCTTTCAGCTTCTACGACGGTCCTCCTTTCGCCACCGGTCTTCCACACTACGGCCACCTTCTCGCAGGTACCGTCAAGGACATTGTCACCCGACATGCCCACTCCACAGGTCACTACGTCGACCGCCGCTTCGGTTGGGACTGCCACGGTCTCCCCGTCGAGCACGAGATCGACAAGAAGCTCGGCATCAAGGGCAAGGAAGATGTCATGGCTATGGGTGTCGACAAGTACAACGCAGAGTGCAGAGCCATCGTCATGACCTACCAGAACGAGTGGAGGGACACCGTAGAGCGCATGGGGAGATGGATCGATTTCGACAACGGCTACAAGACCATGGACATCAACTTCATGGAGTCCGTCTGGTGGGTCTTCAAGACGCTTCACCAAAAGGGTCTCGTCTACCAGGGCATCCGTGTCATGCCCTACTCCACCGCCTGCACCACTCCTCTCTCCAACTTTGAGGCCGGTCTCGACTACCGTGAGGTGCAGGACCCTGCCGTCACCGTCAGCTTCCCTCTCGTCGACGACCCCAAGACGGCTTTTCTCGCATGGACTACCACGCCGTGGACACTGCCCTCCAACTTGGGCCTCTGTGTTCACCCCGATTTCAACTACATCAAGATCCACGACGACGAGCGTGATATGAACTTCATCATCCACGAGAACCTCCTCACCACCCTCTACAAGGATCCCAAGAAGGCCAAGTTCCAAAAGCTCGAAACCTTCAAGGGCAAGGATCTCGTCGGCAAGGAATACGAGCCTATCTTCCCCTACTTCACAGAACGCTTCAAGGGCCGTGCCTTCCGCGTCCTTTCCGACACCTACGTCACCTCGGATGCCGGTACTGGTATCGTCCACCAGGCGCCCGCATTCGGTGACGACGATCACCGCGTCGCTATCGCCCACGGCGTCATCACTCGCGACGAGACCCCACCCAACCCGGTCGACGGCTCCGGTCGATACACCAGCGAGGTGCCCGATTACCAGGGTGTGCACGTAAAGGAGGCCGACAAGGCTATTCAGAAGGATCTCAAGGCGCGTGGACGTCTCATTGTGCAGGCAACCTTGAGCCATACATATCCCTTCTGCTGGCGATCAGGCACACCACTCATCTACAAGGCCATCCCTTCGTGGTTCGTGCGCGTCGAGCCTGCCATTGACCGACTCGTCAAGAACAACGACGCGACTCGCTGGGTGCCAGCCCACGTCGGTGAGGGTCGATTCGGTAGCTGGATCGCCAACGCACGCGACTGGAACATTTCAAGAAACCGATACTGGGGTACGCCCATCCCATTGTGGGTCAGCGACGATATGGAGGAGATTGTCTGCGTTGGTTCCGTCGAAGAGCTTGAGAAGCTGTCAGGCGTCCAAGGCATCAACGACCTTCACAAGGACAAGATCGACCACATCACCATCCCTTCGCAGAAAGGCAAGGGTCAGCTCAAGCGTGTCGAGGAGGTCTTCGACTGTTGGTTCGAGTCGGGATCCATGCCTTACGCTCAGGCTCACTATCCCTTCGAGAACAAGGAGAAGTTCGAAAAGTCGTTCCCCGCCGACTTCATCTCGGAGGGTCTCGACCAGACCCGAGGTTGGTTCTACACGCTCCTCATCTTGGCGACCCACCTCTTTGACTCTGCGCCGTGGAAGAACCTCATTGTCAGCGGTCTCGTGCTCGCTGCCGACGGCAAGAAGATGAGCAAGTCGCTCCGAAACTACCCGGATCCCAACCTGCTCATCAACCAATACGGCGCGGACGCTATCCGACTCTACCTCATCAACTCGCCCGTCGTGCGTGCCGAGAACCTGCGCTTCAAGGAGGAGGGTGTCAAGGAAGTTGTCTCGTCGACGTTCCTGCCATGGCTCAACTCGTTCCGCTTCTTCCTCGGCTCGGTCAGCTTGCTCGAGAAGGACCACGGCATCAAGTTTGTCTACGACAACAAGTCGCAAAGATCGACCAACGTCATGGACCGATGGGTGCTCGCGCGTTGCCAGTCGCTCATCAAGCTCATCAGCGAAGAGATGGCCGCCTACCGACTGTACACGGTTGTGCCGCGATTGGGCGAGCTCATCGACGAGCTCACCAACTGGTACATTCGCTTCAACCGTCGTCGCTTGAAGGGTGAGAACGGCGTCGAGGACACCCAAGCTGCTCTCAACTCGCTCTTCGAGACGCTGTTCACCCTCAGCCGCACGCTCTCGTCCTTCACGCCCTTCTTGACCGAGAACCTGTACCAGGGTCTGCGCAAGTTCTTGCCAGCACCGGCGGCGGACGACAAGGAGGACTACCGCAGTGTCCACTTCCTGTCCTTCCCCGAGGTCAACGAGTCGTACTTTGACCCTGTCATCCAGCGTCAATTCAAGGCGCTGCAGTCGGTGGTGGAGCTGGGTCGTGTCATCCGTGTCAACTCGAACCTGCCCATCCGTGTACCGCTCAAGGAGCTCGTCGTCTTCCACACCGACGCCGAGTACCTCAAGGACGTCGAGTCGCTCTCGGACTATATCAAGGAGGAGCTCAACGTGCGCGACCTTGTCCTCTCCTCCGATGAAGCCAAGTGCGGTGTGCGCTTCAAGCTGTTCGCCGACTGGCCGGTTCTCGGCCGCAAGCTGCGCAAGGACGTCGGCAAGGTGCGCAAGGGTCTCGAGACGGTCACCTCGAACGACGCCAAGTCGTACATGGACACGGGCAAGCTCAACGTCGCCGGCGTCGACCTGGTGGAGGGCGACCTGCGCGTCATCCGCTACGTCGAGACCAAGGAGGTCGAGGGCAGCTTCGAGAGCAACACGGACGGCAACGTTGTGGTGCTTCTCGATGTGCAGCAACGACCCGAGCTGGTGTCGGAAGGCACGGCGCGTGAGGTGGTCAACCGCATCCAGCGTCTGCGCAAGAAGGCCGGGTTGGTGGCCACCGACGAGGTGGACGCCTTCTACTCGTTTGAGCAGGGCATGGGCGAGGCGCTCGCGGAATGCTTCGAGAGCCAGAAGGAGACCTTCATGAAGGCGCTCAGGAGGAAACCTTTGCCTGAAGCCGAGAAGAAGGATGGCGCTAAGGTGATCCTGCAGGAGGAGCAGGAGGTGGGCGAGGACAAGTTCTTGTTGACGCTTGCCTGGGCTTGATCTGGCAAAGAGGGATAGATGTCTCAATTACAGTATTGTCCTTGGCAGGAATCATGCGTGTGCAGATATGGATGACTTACGTCGTGAGACAAGGAGTGCGATTGCGGTTGCTGCGATGTGTGAGACTGGTGATACAAATGATGGTGGTACTGATGCGGGCGGAGGGGAGCGTCTGCCTGACGGCAAAGATGCTGTGGGTATATGGTTGAGGCCTTCGTAGGCAGTTCGTCTCCTCTGCCATGTTCAACGCTTTTTGGTCGAGCCGAAGCCGCCAAAGCCCATGGCAGCCATCATGGCGTCTTCGGCATCGCCGCCCTCGGGTGCTGCTTGCTCTGTGTCTGCCCCTGCAGGGTTCGAGCCGGACTTTTTCGTTGTCTTCTGTTGTCGCCTCTTTGCCCTCTTCTCTTCACGCTCCTTCTCCTCCTGTTCCGCTATCCGCCTGATGCGCTCATCGAAATCATACACGGCGCTCTTCTTCCCAGCCGCTCCCTCGGCCTGCTTCCTCCTCAACTCCTCGAGCGTCTCGAGCACCTCGTCCAGCGTCGCTCTGTCCTGCTGAGTTGACTGGCCTATGCGCATCAGATGCCCTCGTCCATTCACATGGTCCAGATACGCCAGGTTATCCTTGAGCAGCTTGCGACACACCTCGCAGTAGAACCCTGGACCCGTCTGACCCTTTCCGTCTCCGCTGGTGAGATCGACCATCAATGTCTTTCCCTCGTTTCTCTGCAGCCCGAGGGGGGCGCGACGCTGCTGCATCGCAAGTTCGGGTTCGGGCGCATTGGATTTGAGCCGTTTGAGCGGGGGGAGACCTTGGGAGCGACGCTCGGAATTGACAGAGTCGAGCTCAGCAGCTCGTTTCTCGCGGGACATGGCTTTGCGTGCGAAGTCGTCCTTGTCCCATGTGCGTCGGCTGGGACCTACGCCACTGCCCCCGCCAGCGGTGGCGGTGGAAGAGGATGGCTTGGACATGGTGCTGTTGCGAGAGATGTGTTGCTAGACGATGTATGGGGTAAGGGAAGCACCCTCGAGAGGATCAAGAGAGGCCAACAAGGGTGCTCTCTCCGATATCCGAAGCTGGGTCCAAGGTGATCGCTTTGCTGGATCGGGCACGGCGCAGGAAAAGCAGATCGGTTGGTTGCTTGGAACGCGGTTTTGTGTGCGTGTGTTGGAGCGTGGGATCTTCTCAGAGGCACAAGAGAGCGCCTTTTTCGCTGAAAAGCAAGGGCTGAGCACTGACCTTCGCGACTCTCTCTCAGAGACTGTTTTTTCGGATTGGAATTCATCCTGTCACACTCATCACCATCATCAACAACCTTTCGCTTCTCATTCATACCTTCTACTTTCGCATCTTCTTCGCTTCGAGCGAACGGCTCCCCATTCTCGGTAACAGCAGCACGACAGCCGCCAGCAGAGGTGCATAGTCACCGTGTCGCGCCGCCTCGACGGAGCACCCACCTCAACTTCGCATCGACGCCCTTTGTGATCCAAACCGCTCAGGCTTAGGTGCTTCGTAGCGTTCAATATGTTTGGCTCTAGTGGCTTCGGCGGCTTCGGCCAGCAAAACAACCAACAGCAGCAGCAGCAACCTCAGCAGCAGACTGGCGGTCTCTTTGGCCAGCAGCAGCAGCCCAACACACCTGCGCAGACTGGCTTTGGCGCCTCGACTGGTAAGTTTCGACGCGCTACGAACCAGAGCTGATCACAAAGCGATATCCGTACTCATCACTGGAGCTCTTGATCTAATCTTCTTGCTTTCCACTCTCCAGGCTTCGGATCAACAGGTGCCTTTGGCGCAGCGCAACCAGCAGCACAGACCGGCGGCGGTCTCTTCGGCCAACAACCATCGCAAACACAGACACCTTCCTTCGGCGGCTTTGGCGCTTCCACCAACAATGCATCCACCACCGGCGCCTTCGGGGCGCGCCCCGCTGGTACCACTGGCTTCGGCGGCTTCGGTGCATCTGCCGCCAACACAGGCACTGGCGCTTTCACTTTTGGATCCACTCCCAACCAGCAACAACAACAGCAGCCAGCAGCAGGCGGCTTTGGCTCTTCCACCTTTGGTGCATCCGCCCCAGCGACCGGTGGTCTCTTCGGTCAGCAGCCACAGCAGCAACCCGCCGCTGGTGGATTTGGTGCAACGGCCGGTGCCTTTGGTCAGCCGGCTGCCGGCGCTGCTCCCAGTCAGATCACCCAGGGCACTGCGACCGTGCCTTATGACCCGCTTCGTGAAGACTTGACTCCAACCGAACACATCAAGGACCGCAAGAACTGGGATGTCCAGCAGGCCATCACCGTTATGCCCGCCTACAGCCAACACAGCGTCGAGGAGCTTCGTCTCATGGACTACCAGCAAGGCCGATCCAAAGGCAACACTGGGCCAGGCGCCACGGGGGCTCCTTCAACTGGCTTTGGCTTCGGCAGCAACACGAACACCACCACCGGCGCTTTCGGTCAGCCTCAGCAGGCCTCGACTGGCTTCGGTGCGACCCCATCGACAAACACTACGGGTGGTCTCTTTGGCCAGCCACAGCAGCAGCAGACTGGTGGTCTCTTCGGACAACAAAACAACCAGCAGCAATCAGGCGGTCTCTTTGGAGCCAAGCCTGCCACGACGGGCTTTGGTGCCTCGACGACGGGCGGAGGTCTCTTCGGTCAGCAGCAGAACCAGCCTCAGACGGGCGGCCTCTTCGGTCAACAGCAAAATCAGCAGCAGCAGCCTGCTTCCTCGTTTTCCTTCGGCGCACAGCCGCAACAGCCCGCCGCAAGCACCGGCTTCACATTCGGTGCCAACAACAACCAGCAGCAGCAGCAAAACAAGCCTGCGTTTGGATTCGGCGCGTCCACCACACAGCCCGGCCAGACCGCCACCACTGGCTTTGGCTTTGGTGCCAACAACAACCAGCAGCAGCAGGGTCAGACGGGCACGGGCTTCGGTGCCGGCGCTACCGGCACCACGGGCGGGTTCTCGTTCGGAGCCAAACCTGCCACCGGCGGTCTCTTTGGTAGCACCACCACGCAGCCGGGTCAGGCAGCCGGCGCCACCAGCACCTTTGGCGGCTTCGGTGCCGCTGCCAACACAGCTACGCAGAACAAGCCCGCCTTTGGATTTGGCGCAGGTGGAGGATTCGGCGCTACTTCCGGCGCGACGACGGGCACGACGGCCGCCCCTGCTGCCACTGGCGGTCTCTTTGGCGGTGCTAGCACCACGCAACCCAGCGGAGGCCTCTTTGGCAACACCAACACCGCCGCAGGAGGTGCTACAGGCACGACAGGAGGCTTCAGCTTCGGTGCCAACAACAACACCCAGCAGCAGACTGGCACCACGGGTGGCTTTGGAGGCGGACTCTTCGGAGCCAAGCCCGCGGGTCAGACTGGCACGCAGCCGGCCTCTGGCGGGCTGTTCGGCAACACAGGCGCCCAGACGGGCCAAGCGGCCGGCACTGGTTTCGGTGCGGGCGCAACTACTGGCGGTGGGCTCTTTGGCAACACGGCCAACAAGCCTGCCACGGGCGGCTTCTCGTTCGGCACGGGTGGCGGCTCCTCTCTGTTTGGCGGCAACAACCAGCAGAACAACCAGCAGCAAGGTGCCGGTGGTCTGGGCGGTGGCTTCGGTCAGACGCAGAACAACACGACCGGAGGTCTTTTTGGACAGTCGAACCAGACTTCGACCGGCACGACCGGCGGAGGTCTCTTTGGTGGCGCTAGCAACACGGGAGGTTCATCGCTCTTTGGCAACACCGGCACTTCCACGACGGGCGGTGGCCTCTTCGGCAGCTCGACGCAGAACACGACGGGTGGCGGTCTCTTCGGCGGACTTGGCGGTGCACAGAACCAGCAGGCCTCGGGTGGTCTCTTTGGCCAGTCTCAGCAGAACCAACAGCAGCCTGGTTTGCTTCAGAATCAGCAGCAACAACCCACCATGCAGGCGTCGCTCGACTTGAACCCCTACGGCACCGACAGTCTTTTCGCATCGAACCCGATCAATGGCGCGGCTGGCGGTTCGGCCGCCAACGGTGCTTCTCTGCCCTTCAACGTGGCGTCCAAGAACAAGCCGCCTCTCACCACGCCTTTCCGCTCCAGTCCGCGCGGCGCCAACAAGATCAACCGCCTGCGTGGCTCGACGCCTGGTGCTTCGGGTCTCGGCAACTCCAGCTTTGTCCGTGAAGGCACGCCCGGATCGTTCCGAGAGGGCACCCCTGGCGCTCACGCTCGTTTCGGCACGCCTGGTCGCGGCGGCTCGCCAGCTCTCTTCAAGGGCTTGAGCGACGAGTACAGCCAGCCGCTGTCTTCGCAGGCGTTCGTCTCACGACCCTCGGCAAAGCGTCTGGTGCTCGACGATGCCGGAGAGAACAGCTTCTCGGCTTCGCGCATCGGTCGCAGCGGCAGCGTTCCTCAATTCGAATCTGGAAGTAGCCCAGCTGTGGGCTCGCTCGCTGGATCCGCTTTCCGCAGCGGGACCGTTCAGCCTGGCTCGGCATCGCGTGTCACCTTCAGCCCTGCTCTGGAGCAGCGTGCTGAGTCGGTGCGACCCGGCGGAGGCGATCTGTCGTTCGCCTCGTCGCTGCCTTCGCGTCGCGGTAACTTCCTTGGCGACGCTTCGACTACCGTGGTTCAAGACACGCCGCTCAAGACGGTCTCGGCCGCTGCTGCCAAGGCTGGCGCGCCGCGTCAGGGTCGCGACCTCGAGTCATCGTTCGCTTCAGCACCCAGCTCCAGTCCGAGTGCTGCCACCAACGGGTCCACTGCCTCCACTGGCAAGGTCGGCGAGTACTACACTGAGCCTTCGCTCGCCGCTCTGCGCACTGCTAACTACAATGAGCTCGCTGCTGTGCACAACTTCATCGTGGGACGCAAGGGGGTCGGCCAGATCGAGTTCCTCGACCCGGTCGACCTCACCTCGATTGGCGACCTCAACGACATTGTCGGCGGTATTGTGCAGATTCGACTCAAGGAGGTGGTCGTCTACCCCGAGGAAGACGACTACGACCCGCGCAACCCCAAGGACGGCGCCAAGCGAAACTTTGTCCCCGGCCTCAAGGCCAAGCAGGGCACCGGACTCAACGTGCCTGCACGCGTCAGCCTCGAGGCGTGCTGGCCTACCGACCGCGCCACTCGCGAGCCTATCAAGGATGCCGAGCATCCTCGTGTCAAGCAGATGATCAACAAGCTCAAGAACAAGCCCGAGACCGAGTTCGTCGACTTCGAGCCCGAGTCTGGCACTTGGAGTTTCAAGGTCAAGCACTTCAGTCGTTACGGTCTGGACGACTCGGATGAGGACGAGGAGGCTGCTGGCGCCGGTGTCAAGCAAGCTGCTTCTGCCACCAAGGCTAACGCTGTCGCCAACGCAAAGCGACCTGCCAGCAAGCGTCTTGCACCTATGAATGCCAGCGAGGATGACATGTCGGACGAAGATATTTCTGTTGTTGGTGGCACCTTTCACAGCGATGACGAAGACGACGACGATGATGACGCGCCGCCGCCACTGCGGACGCTCGACGACGGGGACATGGATACCGATGACGAGGCAAGCCAGGCGGCTGCTGCCGCGGTCGCTGCCGCCAAGCGTCGTCAGCAGCGCCAGTGGACGCCCTCGTCCAGCGTCACGGGTCGTGAACGCGGTGGCAGCACAACACCTTCGCGAGCCATGTCGAACATCGGCAACACCGCCGAGGCGAGACGCGTGCAGGTGATGCAGGCGAGTTTTTTTGGACAAGACGACAGTAAACTAGCTTCCGCTGCTGTCGTTCCTGCCAAACCAATGGGAGCCGGCCTGAGCACTAAGAAGACGCTCCACCTCAGGCCATCCGCCGCTGTATCGTTGGAACCACGCAAGCCAGTCTCGCCGTTGCCAACATCAGCAGCTGCCGCTGCACCGGCACTCGGACAAAAGGACCGAATGGACGAAACTGCGCCAGTCGAACCTCGAAAGGCAGCTGTGCAAGAGGTCCAGCAACCGGCAAAGAAGCTGCGCAAGCTCGATGTCGCCAAGTCGGACGCGGTGAGTGCGGACGGCGAGATCCTCGATGCTGGCCTGTCGCTCGGACGCAGCTTCCGAGTCGGATGGGGTCGTGACGGCACCTTGGTGCACAACGGCAGAATCGTCCACCTCGGTCGAGACGAGGCGAGCTCTACTGCCAAGACGGAAGCTGAAGCTGCGGCATCAGCAAGCACCTCGACGCTCGTCCTCGAAAAGGTCAAGCTCTTCAAGGACGCCGACACGTCGAAGCAGGAAGCAGAGCGCGCTCAGAAGTTGCTCAGCGTCCAGCTCGAAAACACCAATGTCGAGCTCGACGACGACGGCGTGCCCACAGCCTACACCGACTTTGGCACGCGCTTCCGACACTTTGCGTCGTCGTTCGAGCACAAGGATCGCAGCTTCGAGGCGAGTCTGTGGCGACTGGGCGTAGCGCTGTTTGACGAGATCGAGCTGCACATCCCCGAAGGTGCGGCTGCCGCAACGGCGGACCGCATCCGCAACATGCGAAGGAAAGCAGCGTTGTCGGACTGGCTTCGTCACACGGTGGCTGGCACGGTCGAGACCGAGGCGCGATCGCACATCGCTGCTTCACGACGCGCTGCGTTGCTGTTCAGCTATCTCAGCGGTGATCAGGTTGAGCGTGCCGTCAATGCCGCTCTCGATGCTGGCGATTTGCGACTCGCGACGTTGATCGCACAGGCCGGCGGCGACGAAGAAGTTCGTGCCGACATCAGCGAGCAGCTGCTCACCTGGCGGAAGGAGGGTGTCGACGCGCACATCACACGCGACCACCGCAGAGTGTACGAGCTGCTTTCGGGCAACGTGCTCGTCTCGAAGGGCACCGATCCGCGAACGACCAAAGATCCGATCGACCAGGTGAGCGATCTGCCCATCTGCGAGGGTCTCGATTGGAAGCGTGCATTCGGCCTCTTCCTCTGGTACGAGTCTCCGTACGAAGCATCGTTGGAACACTCGTTCGAGCGCTACGAGGCGCAGATTTCAGCCACTGGGTCCAACAGCGCGAGCATCGCCCCTCCTCTCCCTTGGTACCGCGAGAGCTCGAGCCTGGGCGCAACACGCCTGCGTCAACTGCTGCAGAAGCCAGGTGGCTACGATCGCGATGCGCTGTTCGAGCTGCTCAAGCTGTACGTCGACCCGACGTACGGTCTCGAGCCTGCACTCAACGCGTGTGCGTTCGGCCCGTCGAACGTCGATGCTCGCCTGCCTTGGCATCTGTACAATCTGCTCTCTCGCGTGCTGCAGCGACGTGATTTTGGCGATCGCATCGAGCTCGGTCTGAGCGAAGACGACGACGATGGGATGCACGATGCCGATCTCGACGGTCCGAGCGCAGCCAGGTCAAGAAAAGTGCAAGGCAACTCGGCAAGAGCAGACACGCTCGCCTCGTCCTACGCCACCCAACTCGAACTGCTCGGTCAGTGGCGCTGGTCCGCCTTTGTTCTGCTCCATCTCGAGCTCTCCTCCAGCCGGGAGACAGCGATCAAGTCCCTCCTCTCGCGGCACGTCACTTCGCTCGACCTCGAACGCGACTTCCTATGCGATCGCCTGCTGATTCCGGAATCCTGGCTGTTCGAGGCGAAATCCTACGCCGCGCGCGCACGGGACGACCGATACGGCGAATACCAGCTTCTGCTGCAAGCGCATGCCTGGGTGGCAGCACACAACGTGGCGGTGCACCATCTGGCGCCGGAAGCGATCATCCGAGGGGACCACGAGTTGGTCTCCGTTCTGTTCTCGCCGTTCTACCTCCAAGTCGGGGATCCGGCGGATGAGATCCCGGGTTGGGCCGAGGGGGGTGCGGTGTACATCGACTATGTTGCTGCGTCGCGCGAGGTGCCGGGGTTGAAGGCGATGCTTTCTGATCCCGAAACGCGGGGGTTGGCGATGGAAAAAGCGGAGTGGTATGCGGCGCGATTGCCGAGTCTCACAGCCGGGGTGAATGGTTTGTTGGCCATCCCGGGTGGTGGGCCGTTGAATGCGGCGCAGCGAACACTTATGGTGGCGCGAACGGAGATGGTCGCGGGCATCACGAATTTGGCGCGCATATTGATCGTCTTGGCGTCGACGGCGGAGGCGGCCGAGAGGGGGAGGCTGGAAGGTATGGCTGCGAGACTGCTGGCCAGCAACGCGGTGAGTGGCAAAGAGGGCGAGTGGGATGCGGCTGCGCTGGAGGTGGGTGCTGTGCAGGCGAGCGCCGAGGACTACTTGGCGTCGCTTGTTGGCGTTTGAGAGACAGGTGAGAGAATGGGTCGAGTTAGATATTCAATATGAATCTGGTTTACATGCTGAGGAGGTGTGAGTGGCGCAGCGTGTGCGATGCGATGGCAGGGTGAGGTGAGGTCAATTGAGGCGAGGTGAGGTGAGGTGAGGTCGAGATCGGGACGAAGAGGCGTGGGGGAAGCTTCGTCTGTGCGCAAGTGTTGTTTTCCTTCCAACAAGGGTTCAAGCGCTTTTTTGACATTTCTTGTGCACAAACCAACACCATCTCGCCGAGATCATCATCGTTGGTCGACGGCTCATCCTCTGCACGGCAAACCCAAAAGCGCTCGGTCTGGACGGCTCCTCCCTGAATCTTGCACCTATACGAACAAGATCACCCAGCACGAACAACCTTACCCACAACCCTGGAGATCAAGATGTCGACAGCGGTGCATCCAGTGCTTCGTCTCATCAACCGGTGCGATACGCTGGCGCAAACCTTCGACACGCATTTCTCTGCCTCCTGTACGCTCCTTTCCAACCTAGCAGCCGGTACACCAGCCGCTGGCTCACCCACCACGATGGACGACACGCTCATGTCGCTCCGTTCGACACTAGCCTCGTGCGAGGAGGTGGTGGGTCAAATGCTGGCATGCATCTACGAAGACATCCCGCATCTGCTCGACCAGTTGGATCGCGAAGGGGCCGGTCAGGGCGGTCCCGGCGTTGTTGGGAATTGGAACCCCCGCTTGGCACTCGACGGCATCTCCCAGCTCTTCTACGTAAGTTCCCCCATTCTCCCCCCCCGCTTTTGGCTTGTGGATCTCACACGCTGATCCCCACCCCTCCCTCCGATCTGACCCCACACATCCTCGCATCCGCAACTCGATACCACACGGACAACAGTCATACCAAGACCTCCTCACAGAAAAACGAGAGCTACTGGCAGATTTCACATGCGAAGAGATCGGACCGAAGGAGTTCGTAGACGGCTGGACGAGTGTTGGCGGAGATCTAAAAGAGCAGAGGAAACAACAGGTGGATGACTTGGCGGATCTGCTCGCTGCTTTCTGAGCGCCTCGGAATGTTTGGTCGTGGAGGGTGGGCTCTTCGAGACTTGGTGCGCTGCTCAAAGGAAGGCTGGGGACAGGACGCAGGGTGAGGAGGCTTCTAGCGCACACGTCGAGCTGGGCGAGTGCTCTAGACACGGGTTCGGGGGGCGCCCAGGAGTGGTAATGGACGGCTGGTGCATCTCTGGTGGCAAGGATGCTGCTCAGCTACGTCGAGTCGGTTCGCCGTCAGTCCCACGGATCCCCTCGTCACGCTCTCACGGACAGCAGGGATTGCGCTCCGCAACCATCAGGCTTCTTTGACCACGCTCTCACTCAGACAGCTACCAGTCCAAGATCCATAAAACTTCGCTCACTCGCCGCATCGACCAACGCAGACTTGTCGAACGAACATGCATTGAAAACCAACCTACACACACTTTTCGAACACGACCCTCACATGTACGCCTTGATCGCCTCGACCAACTCCATCCCCGCCTTGGCAAACTCCACGGGCGCGGCGCGGCTGATGGTGTACCTCACCCTCGCCTGGTCGTTGAACGTGTCCATCTTGGCCCGGCAGTTGAACACATACATCCGATTGGCCGCCTTGTGCAGTGCGGCGTTGAACTCGGACTCGCTCTCCTCGCGCAGCTTGTGCAGCTCGCCCGCCGACATACCGATGAGCTTGGTGGCATCATCATTGAACCCCGAGAGCCAGATCTGACCCGTAGCGTCCGAGACGTTGGTCTGGAGGATGTAGCGGTATTCGGGCGCCTCGTACGATCGATCGCACTTTTCGCACCGCCAGTTGTTTTCGTGGTCGAGGCTCACTTTTTTGCTGCAACCGTCCGAGGGGCAGGCGGTGTAGTAGAGGTTCTCCTGCTTGATGTAGACGACGGTGGCGCGGACGTTGAAGTAGTCGGGCTTTTCGGTCATGCCGAGGTTTTCGTCCTTGACCTGGGCGATGGAGCGGCGCTCGGCCATGTTGGCGCCCGCTCCGCCGGCGAGGGCACCTCCGGCTCCGGCGCCGTTGGTGAACGGCTGGAACTGGGCGTGCGCTCCGTCGTTGTCGTACCAGCCGCGCAGCACGTGCGACTCGGTGATGTCCGGGTTGAGAAGCATGGTCGAGCTGGAGAACATGCTGAGCGATCGTCCACCGAAATCGCCCACCTTGACCCCCTTGAAGGCGATCACGGGCTTCTCGTCGACGCCGGCGTTGTTGGGGAACGTCTCTGCGTTCTTGCCCCACAACGTGAGACGCACCGAGCGGTTGCCCTGGTCCACCAGCACCAGCTCGCGCTTCTGGACCGGTCGCTGCGACGCCTTGGACACAATCTCGCTGATCTCGCCGTAGCTGTCCAGGATGCCGATCACATCGCACGTCTGGTTGGGCTCGACACTCTCCAGCTCGTTGATGCGCACAAACTCGTACTTGACCTCGGGCACGTCTGTGGCGTCGGTGCACTCCTCGATCTCGGTCGAATTCTCGAAGGTGATCTCGTACTCGTTCTGCAGGTTGCTGAACTGCTTCTTGGCAATGTTGACGCGCGCCTTGGAGATGAGGTAGACGTGGTTATCCTGGAGCAGCGGGTAGAAGCGGTCGACCGTGTCGTTGAAGCCGGTCGCCTTGATCTCGCCACTGTCATCGAGCAAATTGACCGAGAAGAGCTTGCCCTCGCCACGCTGGTTGGACCAGTGGCGGATGTCGGACTTGGACGTGACGCGCGCCTTGATCGTCCAGCGGTTCTGGTAGGGCGAGAGGCCCTCGATAGGGTAGATGGGCATGCCGGCGTGGACGCTGCTTCCACCGGGACGACCGGCACCTGCTCCTCCGCCGACCTTGCCAGCACCGGCAGCCGAGGTAGCAGGCGTGGTGCGACCGGCAGAGTTGTTGCCCAGAGCGCTGTTGCCGAGCGTGTTGGCAGCAGTGCCTTCCTGCTTGACGCCGCCGGCCTCGGACTTGACAGCCTCGTCGACGTTGCTAGGGTTGCCGAGACGGTCGGCGGTGGGCTTGTGCACCACCTCGAGATCGAGAAGGATGAGGATGCGGCGGCTCTGCACCGTGTTGCTGGCGTACTGCGAGACGCGGACGAGGCAGTGCTTCTCGAGCTCGCCCGACTCGACCATGAAGCGCTTCTGCGAGGCGAGCATGGCCTGAGCATAGTGGACACCGTCGGAGAGGATGATGCGGTATCGGTCGCCGACATTGGATGCAGAAGTGGCGCTAGCCTGGATCTTCTTGATGCTGAGGATCTGGCAGACGGGGTTCTGCACCGAGCTGGCGGGGTCCGCAGTCTGGATCATCTGGGCGATGGCGCCCTGCGAGAGATCGTTGAGCGACATTATGGATGCCTTGCGATGCTACGAAGCAGTGGAGGTCGTCGAGGGATGAGGTTGCGGGGTGTCAAGGGCTGCGGGCCAGGTCGGAGAGTGCGGTTCGACGTAGACTGTTTGTGATCGCTCCGTCGGTGCTCCTCGAAGGTAAGACGATGCGGAGATGCGAGCCTCTTGCTGCTGCGCTGCGATCACCAAAGAGCGTTGGCGAGGTTGGAGATGCGGAACGACCCGAGGATGGCGATGGTGTTGGTGATGAAGTGTTGAGAGCGCAGTAAAGCTCCACTTTGTTCTTCTCAAAAGCTGAGTCGCGAAGTGACACAGGCTCCGCTGCTGCGCATTTTTTGGATGCTTGAGTGCGGGTGGCGCAGTGAGATGAGAGCAAAGCACTTTGGCTCATTTACGCGCGCGACGCGTTCGATGCTGCTCAGAGTTCAAAGTCGAGACCAACACTTGAACAATTTCACTCGGGCGAGAGATTGGTTGAAAAATCAATTGAAGGAATGCGGTAGCAGGCCTTAACATTGACCTATATATTTGGAACGGATCGTCTATCTCGGCTCTTTCATCCGATCTGAACAGATCCATCAACGTTCCGTACCATCGCCTTGACGATGACGCTTGGTCTCTCGACTCGTCTCGGCTCCTGCGGAAGCAAGATCGATAAGGCCACTCAATGATCTTTCTGAAGGAGCCGCGACTCCATGGCAGGGGCTCTTCTTCAGGCGCGCCCGGTGCACTCCGGTCCGATGCAGGTCCACGTTGCCTCGTAAGCGCTCAGTGAGATGAGATGCATCACGATGCTTGGCGAGAGTAGAGCTTCCCGTTGCCTTTAGGCGAGGTCGACGCGATCATCAGAAGATTGCACATACTGTAGATACAGTATGGCTTCAGGCTATCCATACAGCTCCATCTTGCGATGAGGATGCTCTGAGACCAAGTCTCACCACTCGATGTAGACGTGAGAGAAACAGCTAGTGATGAGGATCTCCATGCAGACAATTGAGAGAGCGGTGACGATGGTGTCTCATCTGAGCGTTTGATGGAGCTGAGATGGGCCAATGCGGCCGCTCGCACCAGGCTTCGTGATCCCATGGGCAGGCGATCTAGACGAGCGTCTGCCAGAACGTTGCTTTTCGCTCGAGGAGAGAGCAGGGCTCAAGCCGTGTTGTGACTTGCTAGTGGGATCGGCAAGGTGCAACTCGCCATTCTCCTCTTCGGCAAGGAGACTCACGCGTCCCTTTTGTCCTGTCCTTTCATGCACCTCGGCCACATGATTCAATCTCCGCACGGCAACCAGGAAGATCCCGTTGCAGCGTTGTGAGGAGGACCAGTACCCGAAGCGAGAACATGGAAAATGAAGATTGAAAAACAATCCAGCGACAATTTCCCATGCAGAGATCGACACAAGCCACTCCCGAGGTCAGCAAGCCACGCAACGCGGGTCCTCGGCGAAGCTCTTTTCGCAAGAAATTCTCTTTGTCTTAACAAAGACCGCTGCAGACCGGTGCAGATCCCCGAGCGTACGCGCTGTCGATCGCTATCAACATCCACCTCCCACTGTCTTGCGGTAAAGATGAAAACGGAGTAAACACAGAACAGGAAGACAGTCGCCGAAGGTCCATGCTTCGGAGCCGCGACTCGCAAAGATGGGAAGACGCCTTTGCATTCGAAAGCCGGTTTAACGTTGCAGAATGAAGGGCTTCGTAGCAGGAGTCCGGTCAGTCCTCAGAAACGCGTGCGTTACCCAGCCACGACAAGCCTAAGTTTTCGAATGCCGCAGGTTGAGCGGTCTTGGCAGAAGCTCCTGTTCCAGTCAATCGAGGAGACGGGGAAGGGGAAGAAGGAGGAGGAGAGAGCGACTGTGTCAGGAGGATGATGACGCAGCGTTGGCTCGCACCCTCACGTCAAACGCGAATGCGGAATCTGATTTTCTGCAGCAACTGAGACACGGGAGCAGCAGAGCGAACACTGGCCAGAGCGTCACAACAGTCTGTCAGCCAATACTGGGAGGGTCACCCGACAACCGACTCAAGCGAGCCTTCTGGAACGAAAATCCCCTCTGAGACAGAAGTTAACCGCGTGGAGTCGCGTAGAGGGAAGAGCGGTCATGATTGTCCTTTTCGTCTCCTAACCGAGCTGTGCGTGCAGATCGAACTGGCTTGCAGAATGATTTCAAATTGCCTCTGAGGTCTGCCCTGATTTTCCCATGGTAAATGCACAGACGGGATCGCTTAGGTGCTGACGGGACTGTCAAAGCTAGGCGAACAGGGATCGCCATGCCCTGTTGGACACTTTGCCGTCCACGGCATCGCCGGTGCTCCCATAACACTCCATGCTCCCTTCCCGTGTCGCTAGTGGCCATCAATACTGGCTGCCAACTGCACACACCACCACGCTCATGACCATCTTCCCACCGGGACCAGATCGCATATAAGCAGGATGGAGACCTCTTAGCCGACCCTTCCGGTCCCCTGACCACCCCCAAATCTCTCCATCGTAAGCCACTCCAACGGGCTTCAGAATCTGATTTCTCGAGGATAATCTCTTGTGGCTTGTGCTGGCAGCAGCCACGTTATGTGTTTGATCGGCAACTTCAGGGACATCAAACTCGCTTCCATGCGAGCTCCAAGCCACTTGAACCAAGCCACAGCGGAAAACATGACAACAAATCGCAACGGCTTTGTCGTTAACTGCGCTTCTGGTACCGAGACAGAGATGGCCATTTGTTCGCCTCAATTCAGCAGCATTCAGCGCGAGAAGGTTCCAAAGACCGTACGCGCGCAGAAGGTTAAGCTCGAGTACAAGCATGGTTCAGAAACCGTCGGAAGCTCGGCCAGTCATTGGACAGTCTCACCATGCTCTCGTCGTGGGAAGATCCTGATGCTGCATTGGTCCTTGCCGAAGACATGGTCCATGGCCGTACTGCATCACCACAGAAATGAGCATCGCAAAAGTCGACCCCTCCTGATCATCTTACTCGTCGTCCATCGGGGTCGCATGAAAAGCGGCGTGGCCACAATCCTGACGTCTGGCATCTGAATACTGTTGAACCTTCCCAACGAAGTTTCTTATCTTCATGCGCATTCTCCAAAGCGTTCCCCTTCCTCGGCTCGGCTAGGCTACTTGTATCGACGTCATGTGTTCACTTTTGACCCTTCATGGTCCCAACGGAAGTTCATCACGAGCCGCTGACATCGTCTCGACCGCATCCATGCCAGGCGGCTACGGAGGGTCCATCACATGGTACCGTCGATCCGTTTAGCCTTCCGAGATCGAGTCTAAGCTCGAGACAAGGGTTTAGCGAGACACTACGTAGAGATTAATACGATGGTCAAGCGCGTCCCAAGTAAGAGGCCAGCCTGGTCTGCGATCGCTTGGCATCGAGGGTCCATCTGCATCCTTTGGGTCGCGTTGCGAAGCGACGCGGACTTCAACCGAAGACACCAGCGAGATATCCTTTCGCACGGTCTTCGCTTTGTGCCGCACGCTGACCTTCCTCGCAAGATTGCAAGCATCGCTATTGCCGCCTGACCGGTCACTAAGCGGGCTCTTTTGAATATGAAAGCTTCATTGTTTCGCAGCAGCTTGGTAACGGCGGAAGGCAGCCCGTGCTGGGCGGATGGTCGGGGCGTGCGCTTGCAGGTAAACATTCTGAATGAGGCCTTACCTGCACCACATGCTCTGGCGGCTGTACGTAGAAGCCACTCCATATTGTCAAATTTCGTCGCCGCTTGAATTCCAGCCAAAGCCAAGAGGAGGTCATTTGGCCGTGGGCGAAGTTCCCATGGGCCCTTACCTCTCCTCCCGAGCTCTCGTTCCGAGATATGGACCGTTCAAACTCAGTTCCGGTCACGATCACTTGCATCGTGAGCTTCGTCTCGTTGTGGCTTTTGGACAGTAGATAGAAACTGCGTCATCTTCGGCTGCAAGCGGTTGAGATCGAGCCGTCGACGTCGGCTAGAACCCTGCACCTGCCATATTTGGCAAGGAGAGACCCAAAGAAGAAGAACAGATATCTTGGGAGAGCCTCGCTAAACCTTAAGACATGTGTCCCACGATCCGTGTCCACGGAAGGCCGAAAAAAGAACAAAGAGCGATGTTCAGTCCATCATATCTACCGCGCAGGAGCCACCAAGCCATGTCGATGAGACAGTCATGGCCACAATGTCATGCCCCACCGGAACTCGAACGATGGAGGGTCGTGCAACGCAGCCTGGTTGCATGCTTCCGTTGGGCTGGTATGACAACACCTGAAACCAAGTGCTATCCGACTCGCTCGCGCAAAGCGCTGCGCACTCGCTCAGCAGCTTGCCGCGTATGCTGCAGCTTCGGCCCAAGCATCAGAGTATAACCATTGCCCTTCATTCGATACGCTCTTGATGCTACGCAATCATTTCCAGTCGTCATACTGTAAGTTGATGTTGCCGAATAAATTTTGAAAAAGATAAAGACACGGAGAGCCTCGGCGTCTGGGCACGGCCTGAGAGACAGGCAGGAAAAGGAGGGATCAACAGGCGAATTTCGTGTCAATTTGGCTCACCGCGTGGTGTCGGTCAAAACAGGCAGGAAGTGTCTGCCTTGGCACCGATGCACGGCGGAGCGAGGCGCGTCAAAAAACGCTGCAGGAAAGCAAAGTTGATTCTCCGCTTACTAGTCTTCTTCTTAAGATCTTGTAGCTCACAAGCGAGTCAACTTCTTCACCGAGGCCTGCCTACCTTGGTCGAGACGCAGCCCCTTCAGCCGACCCACCGACCAACCACACAGTTGCCGCTCGAGCAAGGAGGCTTGCGCTGCGCTGCCTACAGCATGCATGTATGTCGGTCAGAAACTTCGATCGTCTCAACCTCCTCACTCTCTCACACAAAGGCCCCTGGAACCAATGGCTTGATCGGCGACTCAGAACGAAAAGCCGCCACCACGCTAACCCAATGCAGACGTAGATACGTGTCTCGACCGCCGATCTTGGCGAATGTGCGCTCCGACGAGACGAGGCGCTTAATGACTGCGCGTGCACATGTTTTGATTGATGATGATGGATGTTTACGACATCGTGTTGGGGGTGAAATGAAATTCAGCGGTGGGGGAGGGTTGACGGCGCGTATGGCCGGTCGTCCGGCGTACGTCGACGCACGGCGCAGAAGGACAGACAAAGTCCGCTGCTCAGAAAGACAGGTCTCAAGAAGCTTCGCTGCGCTGCAGCCGCTCGTTTTGTGCCCCGCCATTGTGCCCTCTGCTGGGCTGCCGTGTTGTGTTGGCTCCTGCCGCCTAATTTGGGGCGGACCTGAGCGTGACAGGACAGGCCGACGCACCAAGTCCATCCATTCCGACACAGGCACTTCGGAGCAGCTCCCTCCCCTTCGTCCGTTCTCCCCTCCTCCCGTATACGTTCCTCCCCCCGACCCCCTCGAACGAGAATATAAAGACCCCGGGCTATCAGCTGCTCATTCCTTCTTGTCCTCGTCTCATCAAGTCTCCTTCACTCCACTCTCTGACCACTCTTCCACCTCCCCTACTCTCCCCCCTTTCATTACCATCCTTCGGGTCTAGTCAAAGTAGCTACCTCTACTCTTATCCAACAACATCACAATGCGAGCCTCCATCCGTGCCTGCCTTCTCTTCGCCGTTGCTGCCATCGTGGCGCTTCAGGTTGCCCAGCCCGTCTCGGCTGGTCTCGTTGACCGTGAGGTCTTCGAGAACATCACCCCCTCTCTGTACGACCTTGACCGCCGACAGGAGGGTGGCACTGCCGTGCCCAGCTCGACCTCGACCGGCCCTGCTCCCACCGCCACCATCGGTGCCGGTTGCCAGAACCCTAGCGACTGTGTCTCTGGTCACTGCTCTCGTTCCGAGAACAGGTGCTTGCCCGCTCCCGGCAACGGCAACATCAACGACTTCTGCACGCGTGACTACCAGTGCACCGGTGGTGCTTACTGCTACCGTGGTTCGTGCCAGTACATCAAGCCCAACGGATCCAACTGCTACAAGGACTCGGGCTGTGCTTCGTCCAACTGCTACAAGAAGGTTTGCCAGCCCCGTCGCAACGTGGTCAACGGTGAGCGCTGCACCCAGTCGCTCCAGTGCCAGGAGGGTTCGTTCTGCAACCGATCGCGCTGCGCTACCCTCGCTGCCAACGGCCAGTACTGCTACAAGAACCAGGGCTGCACCAGCGGCGTCTGCAACTCCAACAGGTGCTCGTCGTCCGGTCTCGCTCGTCTTGGTCAGCGTTGCTCGGCCAACTCCAACTGCCGCTCCGGCTCGTGCTTCAAGGGTGCTTGCCGTGCTAAGCGCAACGCTGGTCAGCCTTGCTCCGTCAACGCTACTTGCTTCAGCAACCGCTGTGTCAACCAGGTCTGCCAGTAATCCACTCGCAAAGACTAGACCCACATACACCTTAGCTTCGTTCGTCTAATGCTTCGTCGTCGTTACGAATGATTCTTCGATCACTTTGGTGTCACCCCTCTTCCTTACCCACGAACTTTTTGGTTTTGACTTCCCCCTCCCACGCCGTGGCTCTTTGCTTCTCTGGCTGGGTTTCCCTCCCCCCGCCTCTCGATTTGATACCGCAACCTTTTTTTCGTCTTCGTAGCTTTCTCACCTTTATCTTTCGAATTCGAACCCTTGCTTATCCGTCTAAGCGCTGTGTGAGCCGCTGATCCGCCTGTGTGCTGAGGATCGAGCGCAAGCACTTGAGAGAGCGGCAAGCTTATCGATCCGACCTGTCTCGAGGGCGGCTGAGCGGCCACGGGAAGGTGACGAGTGTCAAGCGAGCCTCGACGGTCCGCCAGGAACACGGCTCGCACGCTCACTTCTGGCGTTGTCAGGGAGATCGCTTTTCACACAGTGCCTCCGTGGGATGGAGTGGGTGTGTTCTGCTGCGAGATGGCTATCAGCAAGCCTCGCCAAAGGGTGGATAACCAGCCGAGCCTGCCTCACGCTCCGGCAGACCTCGGGGGCACATCGCTACAGAGACGTCAAATACTGCAGCCGAATTGTGCACGAAAATCTGCTGTCGATCGGCGAGCGACCGCATGGCAAGCCCGAGCGAATTTCAAAGAGGCCCTTTTCGGGGTTTGAAATAGCAAAGGCAAAAGAGCCGTCGTGAGGTTTTTTTGAGTCGCCTCGGCACTCGTGCACCAGGATGGCTTGCATGGGAACCAAATCACGCTTAACTTCGAAATCCACCGGTTTCGCCTTACGACAGCATGTCGCGCTTTCGGCTTCACCCTTCATCCGGTCTCAGAATATGACCCCCGATTCACCCGATCCCAGCGCTTCTGCGGATCGCACACTCCGACATGACCACACAGGCGTTCGATTTTTTTCAAGGGTGCACACTCGTTCGTCAAACGGTAATCGAGCAACCGCCGTTCCGATCTGCGAAGAAAGGCCAGATCTCACCTCTGCATGCCAAGCAAAGCACTACCACCGGTCAAGGCGGATCGTGAGCATGAAGTCGAAAGGATGCGAAACGTGCGTATGGGATTCAATGCTAGTAAGAGAGACAGGTGACAACGTGCGAAGGGTTCATTTACACCGATAACACAAGGGAGCGATGGAAACCGACCTTCCAGACAAGACCGATCCGATGAGAGTCCGCATCGCCGATTCGAGCAAGCCACGTAATCAGCTGGTATCCTCCATCTCGGACTTGGTATCGTCCGTCTCGGCGTCGTCGCGGATCTTGGGCACACCCACGTGGTAGCGCAGCACAGGCTGATACCTTTTCAACGTCTCGTGTGCAATATCGATCGCCTTTTCGAGCGTCGTAGGGATGCTGGTGCCCTTGAGCTTGTTGATCGTTGCGCCGTACAGACATTCTTTCGAATCTGTGTAGTCCTCTTCGATGGTGGTGTACGGCGGAACGTCACGGGCGAAGACGTTGGGCGTGAAGTAGGTCTCGTCGCTCGAGCCGGGGACGAGGAAGCCGCCGTGGAACCAGAAAGGCTTTTCTCCCGCTGCGTTCTGCTTGAGCTTGTTGGCCGCTTTGCCCTTCTTGGTCGACTTCTTGTGCTTGGTGTCAAAGAGCGTCCATCGATTGGCGAGCTTTTCGTGCGCTGCCTGCGGCGAGAGGAACTGTATGGTGCGTGGCGAGCAGAGCAAGGGCGAGTGGTCATCCCAGTCGCCTTCGAAGCGTCCGATCGCTCCGGGAAGCGTGTTTTCAAAGGCATAGGCGATGTCCGAGAGGTCAAAGGCAAGCCAGAGACCTTCGTTCATCGTCAGAGGGTAGGCGCCCCAGAACATGTCCCTGACGCGCTTGCGTCGGATCCAGGCATTCATGAAGAGCGCGGCGAGCACGCCTGGTTGCGACTTGTCGAGTACAACCACGTCCATGTCCTGCCTCGAGCCGATCGTGTGCGACCAGAAAGCGCTGTCCGCCAGCTGTGCTGATGGCTCGCCGGCGTCAAACTGGCGTTTGAGGAAGGCGATAAGGTACTGAGAGCCTCGGTCGGCGGGTTTCGCTTTGGAGCGGAAGAAGAGCGTGCCCGTGTTCTGGAACGAGTGATGCGAGAAAAGCTCTGCTGGGTTCTGGAGGAAGACGACCGAGGGTTCGATGACCAGCATCTCCTGGAACGACGACGCGAGGACGCCGAGCGCCTGACGCGTCCATGTCTCTTTGAAGCCAGGGTGACGGCCAGCGTCGTCTTCCAACTCGCTGCTGAAGAGCGAGAGCGTGTCGAGATCGTAGACAGAGACACGACCGAGCGACTTGAGCAAGTCGACAAGCGGATCCGGCAGCTCGTCCTCCCTGTGGTAGTAGATCTCGACGGGAAGGAAGCAGCCATGCAACTCCCTGAGCACCGTGATGGTTTGCAAAGCAGCGAGCGAGGTGTGACGAGAGACGGACATGACGATGCCTCTTCGCTTTCCGCCTCTCGCAGCGTCCTCCCTGTGTGCTTGTCGGAGCAGATCACCGGTCATGTTGGCAAAGATCCTGCCGTGCTGCTCGAGCTGATTTCGGACGATACCTTCGACCGACTGGGACGCTCGCTGCTTGGCCGCCTCGGAGTAGGAGATGGGAGCGACGCGCATGGCTTGCTGGCGGATCTGAGCTGCACCGGGAGCAAAGTGCCACAAGTTCTCCTCCATCCTTTCGAGCCTTCCGATGTTGTGTGTTCTTGCGAGCTCTGCATAGGAATGAGCGCGGAAGCCCATCTCTTTGAAGCCGTATCGCTCATCGACCTCGACGGGGTGGGTGATGATATATTCGGTCCAAATGTCGTTGGCGGCCATGTCGAGTGTGCGAACGTGTCTTGCGTAGAGAGGCGAGAGCGATGGCCGCACTTTGACCGCGAGTCGCATGAGCCAGGCGGCGACGACGAGCAGACACAAGATCTTGATCCTGGTAGCTGTGATGCGTATCCTGACATTGGAGAGCTTGCCATTCTGCCCGCCTATCAAGTTGGACAAGGTTGGTCCCGCCATGTTTGTCAGGTGTGTGTGAGTTGCTTGTGGTGTTGGAAGCAAAGGTACAGTTGGGTTTTTGTCCTGAAAGTTGAATCGAGCGTAGCGTGAGGAAGAGAATTCTATATCGAGGAAGGGAGGCGTGAGTGTCGAGAAGTAAATGCGGTTCCGGTTCGTGTATGTATGTGACTTGGGATGTGGGTTGAGACGAGGGCGACGACGGGTGCCGACCAAGGTGATGATCACAGATGGAGATGGAGGAGCTGCTTCAAGGTGCGAGACGCGGGCTGTCCAACGCTATCGAAAATGGAAAGCGTGTAGTAATTTCAGAAGGAAATCCAAGGTTGACTGGCAGGCAAGCAGCAAAAGGGCACTCCAACGGCGTATTTTGCAGGCATCCTGGCGCAATCAGCTTGGCCATTCACAACGGTGCCGAGATGGCGCCGGGCTGATTGTCCTACAGCCAAAAGGAACAGCGAGATTGGCGACCGGGACCTCATTCAGGGTCCGACACTCTTGAAAGCGTTCTACGCCACAGCTAAACAGCAATCATGACGATGATGATCAAGAAGGCAAGGATGCTCCGACTACAGCACTCGCGATGAGCGATCCACAGCAATACTGTCTTGGACATGACGATGCGGGAAGGATAAGATGTGGGGTAGCGTAGGGCCGCACGATCGGACGAGCTCGCAAAGCGTTTGCCAAGTGGTCGGATGGGAGCTAGTCCACCTTGGTGAGTCTGAGTTGGGTGACTGCAATTCGACACCTTGACGAACCCTTGGACCCGAACCCGCATGGACAAAATGCTGCCTTGGAATCAAGATGATGGTGTTGCGATCGAATCAAGCCGGCGAGGCAAGGCAAGAAGCAGCGCCGATGTTGGCTCAAGATGGCTTGCTGCATATCTCTGCTCGGGACGGGAAGGCCAAAATTCAATGCAGCAAACTCACGTGCTAGGGCAGTTGATCAGTCTCGTCCTGCCAAAATGGCATTCTAGGAAATTCGCGCTCTGAGACAGGCTCAGACAAAAAGGGCCCGGAGAAGCTTTCACTTTGCATCCTTTGATCCCGTTGAGCGAACCTCAACAATGATGACCGGCTAGTAGACATCATCAGTGTCGCAGTACCTTTTCAGCTTGGCGACCTGATGGGACGGACGATCTTTTCATCCGGGGCGAGACCCTGAAGCCTCGACTTGTCGAAAGGCGGGCTGGCGTAGCGTCTTGTTTCTGCTGCTGTCTGAATGCACTGAAATGAAGTCAAATGTCAAACAAGGCAGACCACAGGAAGAAATTTCGATGCAAATGAATCATTACACCGAAATGGCTTCTCTTGGCTCTCAGTCGCCCTGCCGAGCAAAGCGAAACAAGGGTTCAGTCGAGCCAATGCCACTCAATCAACGTTGCGCTGGCCATCTGAGATTCGACATCGCGCTCTGCAGTTGGGAAATTTCGACGTGATTTTCTTCTTTCTGCAGAACCAGTCCCGCTCGTGCGCGGCTTGAAATTGCGATTCTAGACGGCGCGCCGCGCCCTGCAACCGCCGCCGCTTCGCCTCGCCTATCTGCCCTCCTCAACTGGAGAGGATGGCTTGCTTGCCAAGTCACGATTCAGCCCTCGCCATCCTTCCGCTGGTTACGCCATCACTTTCTAGCCTCTTCGCCATCACAAGCCATTCCACATCGGCGTTTCATATCGCCTAGCAAAGCCCTCCTCTCTCTCACACACCTCGATACACGAATACCGCTGCTGCCTCGCCCACTGCAACCCAAATTCAGCCTCGCGCCGATCTCAAGAACTGCTAAGCCTCCTCCTTCCACCATCTCTTCACTGGCGCTGGTCGCTGGACCGACCGCAAGAACAACATAATGACCTCAAGTCAAGCTTCCTCTCCACCCAGCTACGCCAGCTCGGCAGACGAGGAATTCAGCTACGAAGCTAGACCCTCCACTTCTAGGCGTCCCGATGCTCGTCATCTCAACCTTCCACTCGATACCGCCTCGTATGCCAGACCAGAACCGCCGTCAAATGCTGCTTTCATCCAGCATCGTAATGCCACCACTCCTACCACTCCGAGCTTCAACCTCGCTTCCAATGGCATCTTTCACTCACGCGAACAATCCATCGACCCCGCCCCCATGTCGCACGGCGGCTGGTCTCGCTCCAAATCTTCTCAGGCCAGGGACGTAAAGCACCGTCCTTCGCTCTACACGCATGGCAGGATGCTCTCGAATGACGCTGCAACCAACGGCATCTCGCTCCACTCCAACGGCCATGGCCATCACGACGAAAAGGCGGCTTGGTCCACAGGCTCGCGCTGGCCCTCGCTCCGATATCTGCTCTATACCCGCAAAGGTCGCAGGGAGATCCCGGACAAGGTGCGTGCCTGCGCTTCCAACCGATCCATCATTGCCATGGTACTTGGCCTCCTCGTCATTGCCGGCTTGTTCTTTGGGCCCTCGGCTCCCGTCGAGCGCGGCGTCAACGGACGCATCATCCCCAAACAGCGAGCTGCCGAGGCCGTCTTCCTCAACCACTGGATCGAACACGTCATCCACCACCCTGTCCGAGCCAGAGACAAAACCGGCTTCGCAGAGATGGGCTTGCGCACCGAAATGTACTCGCACCTCTTGCGCCATCCCACCTTGCCCAACTTTGAGCGCATGGAACGCGCCCTCTGGCCGTTTGTCCCTGGCATCAACCAGCTCCGAAGCTGGTGGCAAGCCTCGGTCCAGGCAAAGGTGCTCCAGTACGATTCCGCTCCTTCTCCCAATGACGACTTAGAAGAGTACGACTCCCCCCTTCCCACCGAAAGGCTCCTCCCGCGTGCATTCCGCCGCGACAGCGAATACGGTATCGTCCGTGGTTCGCGCGGTATCGTCATGTCCCTTGGCTGGAAGGGCGCCGTCTTTGCCTCGCAGTTCATCTCGATCATTCGTGACAAGCATCGCAATGATATTCCTATCGAGCTCTACTACTACGGCGATTCTGATCTGCCTTCCAAGTATCGCGACTATCTCACCAAGGCTCATCGCAACGTACGCTGCATCGACCTCGAGTCGCTTGGCCTCTTCGATCCCGACCTCACCCAGCTCAACCGTCAAGGATTCGCCATCAAGCCCTTCGCGATGCTTGCCACCAACTTCACCGAGGTCATCTTGGCCGATGCCGACGCGATCTTGCTCGAAGACCCTGACCGCTTCTTTGAAGAACCGGGCTACATCGACTCGGGCACGCTCTTCTTCCACGATCGCGACCATCAGCGCAAAGGCGCCGATTACGTGGTCAACGAGTTCATGACCAACCAGCTTTCGCAACGAGGGCCCTCGCCTCGACTCGCCTCGAGCGAGTTCTGGAAGAAAAAGGGCATCTTCGAGCAGGAATCTGGCATTGTCGTGCTCGACAAGAGAAAGACCGACGTCTTTGCGGCTCTGCTCTTCACCTGCTGGCAAAACATGGGCGAGATCAGGAAAAAGACCACCTACAGGGTCTTCTGGGGTGACAAAGAGACCTTCTGGCTCGCATTCGAATTTTCAAATTTCCCCTACTACTTTGTGCCGCGGTATGCACAGGCTATCGGAACGGTCAAGAAGGTCAGCCGCCAAGAAAAGGTCGAGAAGGTGGCGGCGGCCAAGGCCAAGCAGGAGATGATCAAGGGCGTCGAGGCCGCCAAGGACAAAGCCGCCAAGGTCGAGGTCTACCCGGAGGACCAGGAGGACGTGGCCAACGTGGAGACCGAGGAGGACGTTGCCAAAGAGGCCGGCAAGGACGTCGCTAAGGATGGCAAGAAGGATGTCAAGCAGGACGCTTTGAAGGACGTGGAAAAGATTGGCGACAAGGACGCTCAGAAGGCTGGCGAGAAGGTCGACGACAAGGACGCCAAGGACGGCGACAAGGTGGAGCCCGTCAAGAAAGGTCGAAAGGAGCGAAAGGCCGAAGAGAAGGCCGACGACAAGATTGTCCTCTTTGACGACGATGGCAATGCGGTCCCAGCTGGTGATGCCAAAGACGATCCGTTCCAAGAAGGCGCCGGCAACGTCCTCGGCGAACAGGGCGGAGCCGAGAAAGACCTCCAAGCTAAAGAGGAGCAGCTGGCAGCCACCGCGGCCGCCTCGATCCACGATCTCGAGGACGAGGAGTTCTGCTCCGAGCATCCATTGCACTTCCTCGGCGCCGACGTCGACGAAAATGGCGGCGACAATCTCGTCAAAGACCCGTTGCTGCTCGGCCGTCCAGCGTGGTTCAATGGCGGTATCCTGGCCGACAAGACCAAGGCAGGAAACGAGCCTGTCTACATCTCGCCCAACGCCTTCACTGTAGACGGTGCGTGGGAGTTCCTGTTCGAATCGGAACAGTGGTGCATCCGCAACTACACCAAGGGCAACCTGGACCAGTTTGGCCTCACGGCTAGGATCGAGGAGCTCGGAAAGGTCGCCGAGAAGGCTGAAGCCGCCTTCAGGTCGGTGATCCCCAAGCCGCAGAAGAAGAAGAAGAAGGGCAAGGCCGCGCAGCACGACTGAGTGCGGCCCGCTCCATGGCACTCGTTCGAAAAGCTTTTTTCCTCTGTCACATTTGCATTTGTCCTGTTTCCTCGCATACATTCGTTCATTCCGTCTATCACAATCCATGCTCGTTGATCACTCGGAACACCCTGCGATGTGAACTGTGAGGCTTATGGATGTCCATTGCATGCTAAACTTTCGGCTCGGGCTTGACACTGAACCCGTCCGCCTGCGGGACGTCGTCGTCGTCGGAATCGACCCCATCCTTTCTGGCCCTCTTCCCATTCCCCTCCTCGCCATCCTCGCCCTCGGCCTGTCTCTTCCTGTACAACCTCGACCCAGGCGTATTCTCGGGGTTCATACACGCCTTTTGTCTCGCATCGATGGCCTTGATCCGCTCTAGATCCTCGGCGCCCTTGCCCTGGCCCGTGTAACCGCCCGTCTCGCGCTCGGTGATCATGGCCTCGATCTCGTCGAGCACGCGCTCCAGTTCTTCCCGCGTCATTCCCAGCGGCTGCGCCTCGAGCAGTGCGTCGTCGAACTCAACCGTTGCCGGGTCGATCGGTGTCGGCGTCTCTTCCACCTGCGTTTTGGCTCCCAGTTTGGCTTTCGACCTCCGCGCGAGTGCCTGTTTGACCTTAGTTGCTCGTACCACCTCCGCCTCCCTCACCGCTTGTCGCTTCTTCTTTCCCTCCAGGGCGGCTTTTCGGGCAAGCTGCGTCTTCTGATCGAGCCACAACCCTACCACTTCCCTTCCGCGCTCGCCCGTGGCCCGCACGCACGCAAGCGCGATCTGACTGGGCGTATACACAAATTCGGCGTCGGTCAATCTCGCCGTCCCCAACTTTCCCCTCGCTCCCTCCGCCAGCTCCCTCACCTCCTCCCTCCCCACCCCCACATCCTGAACATCCAACAACAACCCATACAGCGACCGATGAGCCCCCCTCACGCCATATTCAAAACCCAAACTCTGACTCACCAAGAACTCCAATCCCAATACCGTCCGTCGATTCTCCTCGACCACAGCTTTATCGCTTGCCTGCTTGCCGGCGAGCTTTCTCGCAAACTCCCCCAGATTCAGTGGGTAGTTCTCCGTCTTACTCGCCAAGAAGATGCACGTTATGACGAGAGACTTGGGATGGAAATCCATGACGGTGTTGCGAAGGTAGAAGCGCTTGACGTAGGTGGTGGCGGTGGCTTCGACGAGTTCGGGTAGACGTAGGGCATGGGTGATGGCCGAGATCTTGACCAGGTAGTATGCGATGAGGGACTGCTCCTCTTCCACAGTCAAAAAAGGCGGTGCGGGGGTGGAAGAGGACTCGGCCGCCCAGAGGGCGGTCAGACGCTCCCGAGCGGTGGAATTAGCATTGGAGCGAATGGAAGATAGGGTAGGGAGGGAGAAGCGCCAGTTGCGCGCTTGAGAGGTCTGCGCATAGAGAGAGGTGGGTCCGAATGGGGGTGGGGTATGAGGTGTTGAGGGGAGGGTGATGGGCCGCATGGATGCAGTGCTGTACGATGGACCGGCGACTCCTTCCGCCAACTCGGAGGCGATGTCTGCCATTGTGTTCGGCGGCCTCTGCTGAGAGAGCAGCGTTCGGTCAGGGCAGGATGGAGGTGGTAAGGAGAGGCAGGAAGGGGTTGAACTGAGCACCCTTGAGAAGATCGTGTGGAGGCTCAGGCGGCGGTTGCACGTGACTGGTAGATCTGAAGATGGACCCTTGACCGATGTGAGAGGTATCGGGTTGGCTGGATTTTGTGCGCCATTTTCGTGCCTTCTTTTTTCTCAGCTCATAACGAAGCGCGAATGAATCCAAGCCGGCGGATTGAGCTGCCTCTCTGGCCCTCGGATGAAGCTCACCACACCCAACGCCCTTGCTTGGCGGCTGTTCCGCCCTCTCGTCGTATCGCGAATCACATCAGCACGTTCTGCGCTGCACACGGACTCAGTCGACTGTAGACGGTCCAAGCCCGACGATTTCGGACGAATCCGCCCAGGGTACGATCGGGAGGCGTCCAAATCGCGATTCGAGTCGGCGTGGCGCGATAATCACGGCAAAGGAGAAAGACGGCCCTCGGCCTGCTGCGAAGGATCGACGTTGCATGCCTTTCATCACCGGAGCCAGCGGTGACACACGGCGTCAGCAGGCCCCTCCCGAAGCGGAGCGGAGACAAGGGCGGGTCAGGCGAAGATCAATCCAATGCCAATCAAAAGAAGAAGTCAACAGAAAAAAAGCGTCGTCGGGTTGAGCAGCTCTTGGCATGCAGGTGGGGAGCCAGCGGGCTGCCAGCGAACCGACCGTCGGTGCGGTCAAGCGAGGATGTCGCTTGCACGCGTTGGCAAGCGCCGAATCGCCACGCTGAGACAAAGCACGCGATGCGAGGATGAGAGGTGCCGAGTTGCAGATCTGCAAAAAGGTTGCGTTGCGTTCGATTCATCTTCTGTTGCTTGCCATTGAGCTGACAAGTTGCCGTGGTCGACGCGGTCGAAGTCGCCGCAGAAGGCTACTGTATTGTTGCCATCGAGCCCACTGCCGGTCAAGTTCAGGGGGATGTGCCAAGCCTTTCGTGCTCTTCGGCGAGACTCGTCCGACGTCAGTCGAAGGGACAATTGCAATAGCATAAGCATGAGCACCAGCGGCAACTCAGACCAAAGGGGACGACGGGCGCGGCGGCGGCGGTTGAAAATGCAATCAAGCCAAGGCGATCATGTGTGCCTTTCTCGCAGATCCAAAAGGGTGTACTGTAGTTGGGTGATGGACTGCACCTTGGCTCGGCATGCCTCGGTGTGGACCAACGCGGGAGAGGAGTCCGGCTGAAGTGCTAGCGCCGGACTTTATCGCTCTAGTCTACTCCACGATTGCCTCTTGTATCGAGCCGTTCCGTGCCAAGTCGCCATTGTTGAGCCAGAGCCTGACACTTCCGTTCTGGTGGGGAACGCCATTGTTCGAGCTGCAGGTCAGAGATTGACTATTCGACAGGAATGGAGAAAGTGTCGAGGAGCATCCGAGGCGAGGAAAGGATCGTCGCCGAGCGTCTGTGGATGACAGTTCGCCGAGGCAGAGTGAAACCAACACTTCGCCCAGGCACTGGACCAGAGGGTCAGAAATTCTGTGTTGTTTGCAAACACGCGACGGTTCTTCTTTGCTGTCAACAAGAAGAAAACGCGAAACAGAGCGCGCGCGGTTCAACTCACAGCCTTGCGTGATTGCAACTGAGCCGTATGGATGCACCGCTGGCTAGCTGGTCGGTTCACCTTCCGACAGCCACTCACGCGCTGACCTGCTATGGCATGTACCAACGCTCGGACACTCCGAGCCTTGACGCTCGCTCCAGATGACAAACATGCAACACGCAAACTCAGCTCAGCTCAGCTTCCCGGAAGAGCCGGCGCAGCATGTAGAGCAGCCCACCATGCTGGTCTTCCTCGCGGCAGGGCGAGCCGTCAGAGGGAGGGCGTATGTGCCTGCGTTGCGTAACAATGGGATGCGGCTGGCGTATGACTTGTAGCTGCTGCTGCTGCTGGTTCAAAGGGGCCCGTCTGTCGGAGTGCAAGCATGGCCCTGCATATCGCAAATCATGTGCACAATAACACTCTCTCATTCACCGCGCCTCGCCATGCGGTTTCGGCTTGGGACCTTTGTCTCCATCTGCTGTTCTTTGAGTCTTCCGATGCTGCCTCTCTTCATAGCCAATGCTTCACCGCCCCGTCTTGAATGAACAGCTGAAGAGCACGACGAGGTGTACGACAAACTTAGACGGCTTGTCGTGCCTCTAAGGCGAGGATTGTGCTTTTTTGGTTTCGCAGTGTGCTGCCTGTGAATTGATTTGAATTTCCTTTTGCCTTTTCTTTTTATGATTCGGCTGCAGGAGGGTGAGCTGGCTGGCTGCCTGTCGTGCCTGCCTGCCGGGCTATTTCGTGGCTGCCGCTTTGCCGCTCAACGACCCTCATTGTCGCGCCTGTTGCTCGAGCTGCTCCTCATCCTCATCCTCTCTTGCTCAGCTAGCCACGTCCGCTAGAGCCTTCCCTCGTCCATCATCGTACCTTGCTTCGGCTCCTTCCAACCACACTTTCGTGATCCTACGGCATCGCCTTCGGCTGCATCTCATCGCAACATCTCTCCTCTCAACCTTCACCACGCTCCGTTTGTCTGCCTCTCGCGGGCCGCTCCTGCAGTCTCTGCCTCACTTTTAAAGCCTTCCACCTTCACCACGCCATCTGTTACCCCTTCTTGCTTTGCACCTCATCTTTGTGCAACACTCGGCTCCCTCAGCTCACACTGCCACGTCCTCGACCCCATCGCGCCACTTTACTCAGGTCTCTCCAACATCGTTCTGTCCGAGTCTCAGCCTTCCAAGGTCGCCCTACTACCTTCTTCATCGTCGTCAACTTGATCGACGTCGTCTTCGCGTCCTGATACACCGTCTTATCAGCCCGCTGCAGCACCAACTTGCTACTATTCGCACCTCACTTCTCGACTTCGTTACTCACGCCAACCAGGCGCATCACAATCGGAATCGCATACTCAAGCAGCCCGGAACCTCAACTCGCATTCGTCTCGAAGTCACGCCTGAAGCAGCATTGACGTGCTCGACATTGCAATTTCGGAAGCTGGTCCTTCTTCGTCTCGCTGTTCGCTCACTCCCGGGGTCAGATCACGCCTTCATCTCTGGCGCGCCTCCCCGGTCTTGCTTAATTGCTCCATCTCCGGTGCCCGGTTGGCGTTGCTTCATTTCGTGACGCATCCGCCCACTTCACCCGCAAACGCCCGTCTGTCTCGCACCCCTCCCACCTTCATCACCATGGACGCGCACACCCTCAACGCATGGACCCGCTTTGCCCTTCAAAAGGGCGGCATCGGCTCGTGCACCGCCCTCATCGACAATCCTGCCACAGAACCAGAGGATCTTATGTTCATGGCAGGCGAGAAGATCATCGTCCTTCGTAGACTCGACGACGACGCAAGCACCCACGACTCCTACGCCCGCCCCACCAGCAGCACTAGCGCATCCCTCAAGACGCTGCCCGAATCCGAAGCCTGGTTCCTCGGATACTGCGAAGGCGTCGTCGGTCGGTTCAAAGGCGCTCACGTTCAATTCCACGGTCGCCTCAAAAAGCCCGTCTTGATGCGACGCAGCGCAGCAGGTAGCATACGCGACTCTAGCATGCGTCCCATGTCCAAGAGCGAGGCTGCCAAGATGCATCTCTCCCAGGTGCCCGCAGGCATCCCCTTCACTGCCGTCAACTCGGATGGCGAGGAGGACTCGGGCATCCTTTCACCTGTTGATCGAAGCACCCAAATGCTTTCTTTGCCCACTCCGCCCTCGGCTGGATCGCTCACTTCATCTTCCAACGTCCGCACCCCTGCAGGCGCGGGGACTACAGCGGCGTTCAAACAGGGCAGGTTCGGTCTCAACACGCCCCCACCTTCGGATGAAGACCATCTCCGCAAGCAACCCGTCCCACAAAGGCCGAGCCTGCAAGACGACGATGAGGATTCCGACGATTCCACCTCGATGCTTCCGTGGGCAAGACACAGTCGGGCAAGCAGCAACGCCTCGTCCGCTGGCCCCGCTTCCAAGCCGGTCGCAGTGACCACCCGCAATGGTTCGCTCATACGCCCCGTCGCACCCTCCCGCTCTTCATCTGTCTCGAGCAATTTGCCCACCATTCAGCAAATGCCGCCTTCGCCTATCTCGTCTACCGAATCGCCCGTTGCCCTCGAGCCGGACATGACGCTCCCTTCCATCACCACCACGTCCAGCTCGCGTTCCAACTCTCGTTCGGGCAACACGTCCGGCTCGACCACGCTGCCAGGCGCCAGCACGCCAGCCGACTTCTCGCGGACCTCCTTCACCTCGTCCAACAGCACCGTCTCCACCAACGACGACTCGGACGACGAGCAAGCCATCGAGAACCGACGCCGCGACTACGCGCTGTCCATCTACGACGTCTACGGACGAGACTCGGTCGCGTTCCCCAACTTTGACTTTCGTCAACACGGTAGCAACTCATCGCTCGCCAAGCTGGCTGCTTCCAAGTCCAAAGATTCGCTTTACGTGCCTAGCCAACGCTCGTCGAGCGCCACGGATGACAGGCTGCAGCTCCCGCCATCGCCTCAGCAGCGACCTCAGCATTTGCGCCCGCAGCAGCCACCAGCAGTTGCGTCTGAGAACGCGTCAGCTCCGCGCCAGCAGCAGCAGCAGGGGCAGCAGCAACAGCCACCCATGCAGCAGGTACTGCAACCACGTCGCCCGGGTCAGCTCACCATCTCGGCTCCCGGCGATCCCATGATTCCTGCCGCATTGCGATCGCCATCCGGGCGTCGTCCCAACATGGCACCGGATCCGAGATCGACCGGCGTCCATGGTGCGCGTGTCCCGCCCAACATGGCTTCGAGCTTGCGTCGTCAAGTCGAGACGCCGCCTGCCACGACGGCAGCCACTCCGGTCTCGCCTCTCGACGCCGCAGGCGCCGCTCTTGCCGGCCACCCGGCTGCGGGCCCTCCTCCGAGCATGCGTGGGCCTGGAGCCTTTGATCCGCGTCGTCGACCTTCGGGTCCCAACACGACACCTCCCGCTCGCATGCAGCCGAATGGTCTGCCTCCCATCTTCACGGGAGCTCCGGGAGCATCCATGTCCTCCACCGCGACAACATCAAACTCAGGCTCTAGCTCGTCGCCACCCGGCTCTGCTGGCACCTACAATAGCCAAGACCCTGCCAGCCTTCATCGCCCCGGCTTTGCCGAGGCGCGTGATCGTCGTCGATCCGTGTCTATTGGCACCCCCAACAAGGTTGAGAACCTTGAGTTTAACCAACGCGTAGAAGGCATGCCCGGCACTTCGCCCGAAGCGTTGCCATCGCCTCCCATGCTTCCTGGACTCGACTCGGCTGGACGGCCCAACTTCCGCACTTCGGCTGGCTCGGCACGCTCGCGCACCGGCCCAGCGACGTCACCTGGACTCGGACCCACGCGAGCCTCTTCAGACCGTCTCTCGGAGCGCGAGAGGGCGCATTCGGGCCAAGGCTCTGGGCTTCTGCGCAAGAACCCGTCCAATCCCACTCCCGGTCTTCACGGTGGAAGTGGTCTTCATGGACTCGCACCCATGACGAGGAGCATGAGCCCTATGAGTCAACTCAGCGCACCTTCGCCCATCATGGACGGAAGTCGACGTGGCAGCGCTGCCAGCACCGGCGCCTTCTCCACGGGTCCTCGCAGCCCTCAAGTCCGCAGCCCGCTCGGCTTCGCGATGCAATCGACGCCCTCATCGGCTCCTGTGACGCCTCACAGTGCCGGCCCACACTCGAACGGGTTCTTTGGTGGCCCTCCCTCGCGCGGCTCGGTGTCGAGCGCCTCCGGGATGCCTCCAAATGGCTTTGACGCCATGGGCTTCATCATCGAGCCCGGCGTGCCTCCTTGTATGCCACTGTCCGACGAGCCTGAACTGCGCGAGAAGTGGGCTTCGGTGCTCAACGAGAACGACGTCGTGGCTGCCAAGAAGAGCCGAAAGGTCAAGAAGCTGGTGCGAACGGGTGTCCCCGCTTCGATGCGCCGCGACGTGTGGCTCTTCCTCGCCGAAGCGTCGGTGCGTCGACGACCTGGTCTCTTCGAGCAGCTCTGCAAGACGTCGCAAGCGGCTAAGGGCAAGAAGGGGAAGGAGGAGGCGTACGACACGATCGAGAAGGATCTCCACCGAACGCTGCCGGACCACCGCTTGTTTATGGGCGACAACGCCACTGGGCGCGCTGATCTCGAGGGCATCCTCAAGTCGTATGTCCACTTCAACCCTATGCTTGGCTACACGCAGGGCATGGGTCTGCTCGCTGGATTCGCGCTGCTCCAGATGCCCGCTGAGGACGCCTTCTGGCTCCTCTGTGCGGTGCTGCGCAACCCGCAGATGGAAGAGTACTACTCGACAGGCATGAAGCAGCTGCACGTCGACAGCGTAGTCTTTGACAACCTGCTCAAGACCATGGACCCGGAGCTCCACGGTCGATTCGAAGAGGTAGGATTGCAGTCGATCATGTTTGCGCCCAACTGGTTCCTGCCGCTCTTCACGCGCGTGTTGCCGTGGACGACGCTGGTGCGCGTCTGGGACGTGTTCTTCTACGAAGGTCCGACGTGGCTGCTCCGTGTCGCACTGGCGATCGTTCGTATTCTCAGAGAACAGCTCATGAATAGGCAGGCTTGCCCTAGCGCAGGTGAAATGCTCCAGCTCCTGCTTCATCCACCTCCCCACAATCTCACCGTGGAGAACGTGCTCAACTGCGCGTTTACGGTCAAGCTCAAGGATGGAGAGATGAGGAAGTTGAGCAGGACCGCAAGCAAGTTGGTTCGGGAGAAGAACTTTTTGAACCAGCCGGCGGATGCGAGGGGTCGCGCGAGCGTCAAGAGGTCCGGCAAGGGCGCGAGAAGCACTAGTGCGCCGGCGAAGCGTTGAGGAGATGGACTTTTCGTTGTTGCTGGTGAGTGTGCCGGCTAAAATATACATTCTTTTTGCTTTCCTTACGGGTGCGTGTGACTTTCTATGAAGAGTTCTGCGTGCGGGTTGATGAGCGAGTGTTCCAGTGGTCGAGCCCAACGAGGCCCGACAGGCTCGACGACTGGGCTGTATGAGAAAGCAGGACGAAGCAGCATGCAGGGCTTGTGCGACCCGCGTCACAAGGGTGGGGCGAAATCCTCCACCGATACAATTGTCCGACCCTGAACGCCAAGGCCAGCCCCGAGAATTTGTTCGACGAAACAAAGATCAACCTTGCTTGCAGCTGCTTGCCATTGTACCTTGCAGGACAATCGACGTCGACTTGGCGGACCACCATAGATCGCCACACCACAGACGGAGAACGCCACGGAAGGATCAGACGGTCGGTTTCCGCTCAGCACACCATCTTTAGACGGATGAAGTAGCTTCGTCCCATACACACGTAGACACGCAGCGTCCATTTCGAGGAGAGCACACACACCATGTCGTCGTCATCCCGATACACGGCGGTGTCGGGCGACGACACCCACGGCTCCTCTCGCCCGTCTCGACGACGCGATGTGGGCATCGTGCACCACTTTTCCCGCGCCGGCGTCACAGGATCTACCTTGTTCGTCCTCGGCTGTCTCCTCCTCTCGCTCCTACCGGGACAGTACATCCCCGCGTCACCTCTTCACACATCGACAACAACGCGGGGTCTCAGCCCGGATCGCCGCCACGACCGCACCATGGACGATGCGACGTGTCGGCTCGAGTTCCCGCTCCTCTATCCGCAGCTGTCGGACAACGTCGCGGCCTGGCGCGCAAAGGGCGGTATCTCGCACGCCGACCTGGACGAGGCAGCACGCACCTGCGTCGGCAACTGGGGCATGGCTCGTGTGGTCATCCGTGACGGCCAGCTGTTCCTCAAGCAGGTGCGCGAGGGAGGCGAATCCCGCATCTCCGCATTGCTCCATTTGCTCCATACAGCCGTGAGCAGCGATCCCACCTCGAACCTCGAGGACGACACGGGGGTGGAAGTGGTGCTCTCCGAAGCGGATAAGGATGCCTCCTCCAGCGATGCCGTGTGGGTGCTTAGCAAAAAGGTGTCCGAACCAAAGGCGAAGGGAACATGGTTGTTGCCAGACTTTGGATTTGCCGGCTGGCCCGAGGCGGGGATTGCTAGCTTTGACGAGTTTTTACATCTTGCCTCCCTGCAAGACGTGCTCGTACCGTGGGCGCAGAAGGGCGATCGGATTCTCTGGCGTGGTCTAGCGAACGGGTATACACCACGGATGGATTTGCTCGCCCAGACGCGCACCGCTGATGCGGACAGCTGGGCCGACGTCAAACAAACAAGCTTTCACGACGTCGGTGCAGACTTCCACCCGCTCATCCCCATGCACGAGCACTGCCGCCACAAATACCTCGTCCAAACCGAAGGAAACAGCTATTCGGGTCGAGGCAAGTTTCTCTGGGCCTGCCGGAGTGTGACCGTTGCCCACGAGTTGGAGTGGACGCAGCACTTTCATCCTGCTTTGGACGCCAATCCTCTCAGCAAAGGGCAAAACATGGTCCAGCTCCCCGGGAAATTGTTTGCCGGGTTGAGAGAGACAACGTTGCGACTGCAGGCGAACGCCAACGTGAGCGCAGACCAGACGTTGGGGCGGGAGAACTGGGGGGATGGATTGGGGATGAATCCTCCTCAAAAGATTGCGGAGAATGCGGTGGAGGCGTTGCGGAATCGGTATCTGACGCCGGCCGCGACGAATTGCTATGTGCGGGCGGCGCTGCGGGCGTATGCGGGGGTGTTGCGGAAGGAGACGTGGCCGAGGGAGAGCGGGGCCGAGGCGTGGGGTGTGAAGGGGGAGGGAATCACGCCTAGCGGTGGGCCGGGGGGTGGGGTTGCGCCTGGTGGTGGGAAGGGGAAGGATTTGGCCAAGGTCGGCGTCAAGGGTGATATCGAGTATGGCGTGTGGCGACTTAGTGGCAGTCCGGATTGGCCGCCCAAGACTATCTAACATGGCTCCTCATAGATCATCACTTCACGATACAATCGCATACGATAATGTTAACATTACGACTCTGCTTGAAAGGTCTATTGCTTGTTCACAGCCGGCACGTTCTTCCGGATGAACTCCAACAACCGAGCGAAGCTCTCCACCTTTGCCTTTCCTCCGGGAGCATCCAGCACCTTGGCATCCCTGACATCTGGGATTCGCGTCTCGTAGTTGTGCCCGACCCCTTGAGCGAGGTAGAACTCGTGTCTGCTATCCTTCTCGCCGAGCCTCTGGGCGAACGTCTGGGCCTCTTCGAGCAGCGGATCGTGCTGACACGCAATAATATAGCAAGGTACCTCGTAGCTTTCGATCTCTGCCTTGGCGGGGGAGACGCGCGGATCGAGTCCCATCTCCTGCTGATACTTCGGATCCCACCCCAGGTAGGCGCCGAAGAAGAAGTGCATCACCTGCGCGCTCAGTGCCGACATGGGGATTCCTGGCTCTTCGCCGTTCTCGTTGGTCTTCTTTTGCTCCAGTGGAATGCTGCTGTCAGTGGGAGGGTAGAGTGTGACGCACGCCTTGATGGTATCGTATTCCTCGTCTGTCACGCCCAGCGCACGGGCGGTGGTGCGGGAGGAGAGGCAGAGAGCGAAGTTCGCTCCAGCCGAATGACCTTTGAGGACGAGATTGCCGTCGAACCACGGCTGACGAACGGTCCACTTGAGTGCGCTGACTGCATCGAACAGACCTTCGGGGAACGGACCTTCAGGAGCCTTGGCGTAGTCCCCGTCGACCACGGTGACGTTAAGCTCGTCGACAAGCCACCGGTTGACGTCGGCGTCAGCGCCGAATCGGTCCACTACAAAGCCGGAGCCGTGCCAGCTCAGCACCACGGGCCGTTTCGTCTCAGCGGACAGCGAAGGCGGATCGTAGATGGCGATGCGCACATCACGCTGGTCCGACGTGCTGATCGACGGGATGGTGAGGCTGCGATCCGGGGTTGCGGTCTGCGGGTGCGTGATCCCACCCGAGCGCACGAGTTTGAGCGCGGTCGCCACTTCTTCCGCCGAAGGGTTCGTTGGGTTGGGGAGCAGCTTGAAGCCGCTATTCGCGTTGGCAGCTTTCGAGGCGACCGACATGGCTGTATCTAGAACGTGATGGTGGTGGGTGAACAATACGAGTGATGAGGAAGAAAGAGCAATATCGCCGGCCCGACACACACAATCACGGGCCCACGCGTTGCCGTATTATCCGGAAGCTTCTCACACTCAGCGACAGCACCCAGAGCGCAGTCATCAGTTTGCGGGGTCTCCAAACGCGGGCGATTACGAAGCGCTCATGACATCCGAAGGCATGCGGCGAAAGGCGGGGGAAGGTCGCCGTATCCAGCGGCTAGAAGGGTGATCCATGCGAGCGTTCGGACCGGTCGTGTGCCGCGTGGACTTGGACGTGGACGATTTCTCACGACCTTAACATCTTTGGCTCGAACAAAATGCTCATGGCTCATGACACCTCCGCCTCGCTCGACAGTCTGCGACCCTGCAACGGCAGGCACCGACAAGGGCACTGCATCCATCGCACCCTGATCACGAACGACCGGAGACACTCCACAATATGTGAATGTGCAAGTGGTAGGGGTATACATCGTAGCATTCGAGCGATCACGCCTCGCCCTTCCTCTGCTTGCGGATCCACGCATCGATCCTGACGAGCAGATCCGGCTTTCTGCCCTTGTTGTCGAGCCGATAGAAGTCGCACACCGACTTGAGCTCTGCTACTGTGTACGCACTCAACTTTCCGCGCTCCCACAGGTCCATGATCTCAGTATCGTCCTCGAAGGTCGTCTTGCGCACGCTGGTGCTGGTCTTGGGCTGCTTGCTGCTAGCCGCAACCATGGAGAGGCGCGGATCTTGGTCGATGGCGTCGTGCCACTCTTGGATGAGATGCGCAGTTCGCTTCTTGATGGTGGCGTACTGCGGGACGGTGAGGTCGGTGGGTGCGGCAGGGACGGGCTCTTGAAAGGCGGTCGCCATGAGAACGGAGTAGTGGTGATTGAGGGCAGGGTTTGGGTAGTGGTCCGGGTTGAACGGCTGTTTCTTCTGGTAGCGCTCGATGAAGGCGACTGCCTTGTCGATCTGCTCGTCTTTCGCATCCGCGGTGGAGAGCAGGTTGGTTGGCACATCGCGCACATCGTCTGCATAAGGCAAAGTGATGATGTGCATCCCCGGGGCGATGAGCTGCTGTCCGTCTTCGCTGACTTCTTCCTCTTGCGGCACAATCGCCACAAAGACAGGCACCACGTTCTGCCTTGGCATGAATAGCCCCAGTCCCACCTTGTTCTTGCTCAGCATCGACTTGAGCAGCGCGGTGAACGTCTTTCTACTCCCCTTCCATTCGATGTCCGACGGATAGATAAAGTAGGCGTGCTTGACGTTCCACTCGAACTTCAGCAACTCGTCTCGATTGCGGAAACCGATCAGCTTGAGGCATGGAAGCATGCCGAACGACTTGATGCTCTTGAGCTCCTGCGGTGTGAAGGTTACCTGGCCGCGCAAGCTGGACGAGTTGCCAAATTGGAAAGCTGGGATCACCTGTTCCTTGGACAGCGGCTTGCCCGTGTTGGCGTCGATGTAGTGCTGATGCGTAACGACCTCCTTCAGCTCTCCGCACTCGTCGTCGACGATGACCTTGACAGTGTTGCCCTTGGTGCTCCGCGAGACGAGGCTGTAGCCCTTGACACCGATCTGCCACTTGCGTCCGCGCGTGCGAGCCTGGGGCAGCCTCTGCTCGGCTTCCCCCGCGCCGTTTTCTGCGGACGAAGGCTCAGGCGGCGGGTCGAGAGCGGCAAGCTCGAATCGGATATTGAAGACAACACGCTTGGGCGTCTCGCGCGTGGCAATGTCGTCCTCGAGCTCTTGGAATCGTACTGCAGAGTCCCAAAGACTGCGCTTGACCTCTTGACCCTTCAGCTGCTCTGCTGCTGTCCTGCCGAACCCCGCGGGCAGCCTTGGCCTGTGAAAGCTCTCCTCGTCGTCCTCGCGATCGTCGTCGTAGTGAGCAAACACGTCCGCATAGAACTTGTTGATCTCAAACCCACGCGTCAGATCACTCGATGATGCTTGCGATGGGCCTGTGGCGTTGTTTGGGTTGATGAAGAATGGCTCGATGCGCACGCCGATCTTGCGGAACTCGTTCATCTTGTCGAGGCATGCCCTTCTCGCCTTGGTCGCCTTGGGATCGATGCTCATCGGATGCGGATCGTCGTTGTCCGTGATCCAGAATACTCGCTTGCTTCCTGCATTGGCCGCTGCGACCATGGCGACACCTGCGTTGGCGAGCGCCCAGTCGACGCGCATCTGCTTCTCTGCTGGCGGCAAAACATCCTGCAGATGCTTGGGATCGCTCTCTGCTTCATGCAGCAATGCTTTGAGGTTGTATGTGTCCGGTACATTGACCTGACGGACGGACTGAAGCTCGTAGCTGCCCTTGTAATACTCCCCCGGCTTTGCGGAGCGGAAGAGCGTCTCTGCGCAGTTGAAGATCAACACGCCGACGTGGTCGTGCGGTGACGAGATGAGCTTCTTCTGCATCAGCGAGGCCGCAGCTTTGAGAGCCGAGTAGAGGGGTGAAGTGTTGGTGATGGGATCAATGCGGTGCATGGAGGGTCCAGCATCGATGCAGAAGAGCACCATGTCCTTCTGATAGATGGCATCCAGATCGAGCTGCTCCAGCTCGTCATCGTCGTCGTCATCGTCCGAGTTGAAGGCGCGCGCTGCCTCACGCTTGTTGACGAAGTAGGCTTTGGGCATGCCGGACCAAAACGGAGCAGACCGTCTGCTCTGTCACGGTGGTTGCTGACCTTGCGCTGGTGGTGAAAGGAGAACAATGATTGTAAAGTGAATGCTCAGTCAAACTTCAGGGTTCACCACACAACCAGCGCTCCTTGCAGCGGGTCTTCGCGTTGAGTGTTCCATCGCCAGAGTGGAGGCTTCAGCGCCGAAAAAGGCGCGTCGCCTGCTGAGTTTTGGTCTTTGCGTGGATTTCGAATCTTGACAAGGCTGGCTGAGGAGAAGAGCCTAACAACTCTAAAAAATGCCCCACCAACTCCAGATCCCAGTCTGTGGGTCGAGCATGTGAGCTAAGCGCGCTCACACCGGCTGCAACGGTTGCCGATTCCGGACTCGTGCATCATTCGCTGCTGCGCACATGTCAACTTGTTATTCATCTCCCCAGCCCCATTGTTGCTGGCCCGACCACCTATACCATCACCATCATCGGACATAAGCGCTCACCTGTATTCCTCTTTTTCGCACGAGGTCCCCGCAAGCCACATAGAACCTCCATCAAAGGTCCAGAAAGGTCCAGAATGGGAGACAACCAAGACACCTCTCGACCGGCCGTGATCCTGCCCGCCGCGGATCCGGCCAAGATCTTTCGACCGGACATTTTCAAGGGCAAAGTGCTCTTCTGCACGGGCGGCGGATCTGGTATCTGCTACGAGATGACCAAGACCATCATGTCCTTTGGCGCCAACGCGGCCATCCTGGGACGCAAAGCGGACCGCCTCGCCAAAGCCTCGCAGGAGCTCTCTTCTGCAACTGGCCAGCAATGCTTGCCCTGCCCTGCGGACGTTCGAGAGCCCGAGCAGCTCAAGGAAGCCGCACGCAAGACGATTGAGAAGTTCGGTCGCATCGACTTTGTCATTGCCGGTTCCGCGGCCAACTGGCTGGCCGGTATCGAGCAGAACAACGAAAAGGGTTTCAAGACGGTCATTGACATTGATCTGATCGGATCGTACAACACGGTCAAGGCGACACTCGAGGAGGTGACGAAGAACAAAGGCAGCTACATCTTCATCTCGGCTACGCTGCACTACTTTGGTCTGCCTTTCCAGTCGCACGCTTCTGCGGCCAAGGCGGGCGTCGACGCTCTGAGCAGGGTGTTGGCGGTCGAGATGGGACCCTTGGGTGTGAGGAGCAACGTCATCGCTCCCGGACCCATCGGCGGTACCGAAGGGATGGACAGGCTGGCTCCCAAGGGTGCAATGGATGCAGTGGCCGAGACATTGCCCATGCAGAGAATGGGCAGCAAGAGCGACATCGCTGCTGCTGGCGTGTACCTCTTCAGCGACGCGGCGACCTACGTGACTGGTACCCAGATGGTGGTCGATGGAGGAGCTTGGCACACTCAAGGACCTATGCTGCCGTACCCGACCACGAGTCTGGACCCCAAGAGTTTGAGCTCGATCGTTGCTGGCTCTCGTCTTTAGCATGCCAATCTATCCCGGCTCATATCGTCGCGCAGTCCTGCCTGTAATGTTCCAGTAGTCACATGTCACGTCTTCCTGTCCAACTCAGTCATTGTGTGTGTGTGCTTGGACTACAATCGCAGAGCAACGTGTGAAAGGCTGGGCATCACGGTGTTGCTCACGGTCGGATACGCTTTGCCGAAAGCGGAATTTTTCAAGCGTGTCAGGTCGAGCAAGCTATACATATTCGTGCAAGAATTACTCGTGAGCATGAAGGACGATCTCACAGATGCCGGAAAATCGGCCAGCTAAAACTTCACACGTGACTGATAGCTCGGCCGAAGTTCCTCATTGCAACGAAATTTGGCTAAAAACACTTGTGGCTCTGACCGCCTTTACCTAGCTAGCCTCTGGATCCAGAGGCGGCACAGAGCGGCCAGCCGGCATGCGAATTCGAGATTTCGAGGCGCCCGCGAAACTGAGCCAGCAACCGAAACGATGCCAGATAGTGCATCGGCAGCCTCGAGAAAATCCGATTCGAGGTCAGTCCACGCACTCAACTCAGCACGGCAGCGCCAGACCACATCATCGAAGCGCAGCACCGCTATCCGCCGTCGGTACCACCATCTTCACCTCATCATCCACCAGAGATCATTTCGTCAAGATGCCGTCCCAGAAGACTTTCCGCACCAAGGTCAAGCTCGCCAAGGCGCAGAAGCAGAACCGGTACGTATCTTCCGACAAAGGCAACCAGCAAGCAATAGCATAGCAACAACAGCAGCATCAGCAGAATCGATAGTGGCCTACCGACAAAGCGACGGCCGTGCAGAACAAGCAGGTCAGCAGCTCGACGAGGAGGATAGCGATGTGATTGAAGCGGAGGTTGTCGATCAGACAAGGGATTGCCAGGATCGTTCTCAGATCAGTGGAGTTCTGCTTCGATATGACGAGATGGTATGCATGGACGCACAGCATACGACGTTTCGGACGGATCTTCGTGCATCTCGAGCACACCGAGCGAGCATCATGCACTCAGCCGCATCTCCGACATCGCCTTCTGTGTGAGGCAATTTCAGCATCCTTCCGACACAATTCACAGAACCCAGACTCAGACACAATCGTCCCGCACCTGCAAAGCGCCTATGTCGTCCCATCTTCGGCTTAGCATTCGTGGTCTGCACATCAGCATGCACCACCGATCAGCGCGCCAGACCGACAGATGGACATCTCTGGCTTCGCTCTGCACTGGCAATCGGAACGACACCATTGTGTGTTTCGTTGCGACGGCTGGTAGCTCATCTGCGATCATATGGCGTACCCTCCAATCCCTGTTCAGCCTCGACAGTCCCACGTTCAACATCCAACCTCAGGCAGCAGCAGCGATATTAGATCTTCAGCAATCGCTCAAGGCCACGCGCTACAGGTCTCACGGTGGCCTCGAGGGTGCGTCAGAGTCGTGCACCCCTGCCTGGATCGTGTGACAGACGTCTCTCCTCGAATCCATGCAAGCTTGCAACTGGCGCCAAGCAACGTTGTGGCGACTTCCGCAGACCCTGTCTCGGTCCGATCAGGACTCTTGCACACCTTCGCCGTCGACTCATCCGCGCGACTCTACCCAGTCACGATGTTCTGAGGCAGCTTGTCACCTCCAACAGACCGCTCGACCTCGCATCATCCTGCGCAGACGTGCATTTCCGACCGACGGCTTGTCGTGCTTCCATCCTCTGTCATCGCATGGCGACTGCGCTCGACCTACTTCTCTGCTCGACAACCGCCTCGCCATCCGCCTCGACATCCGCCTTCTCTTCGCTATTGCTGCTGTTGTTGCTATCTTGCTATCGCAGCTCGTTTTTGCCTCTCTTCTCTTCGCACAACGAAAGCTCATACTGACCCGTCTCCCCTCCTCCGCATCTTGATCGCAACAGACCCATTCCTAACTGGTTCCGCATGAAGGCCGACAACAAGATCCAGTACAACGCCAAGCGCCGTCACTGGCGCCGAACCAAGCTCGGCATCTAAGCATCTTCTCCACATGCTTTGCGGGCTTACACACACTTTCTCGGCATTCACTCTCCTACCCCTTTCCAAAAAAGGGATGGATGAACCTGTACCATGATCACACCACATACATCACACACCCAAAATACATAGCTTCGAGGCAATAATGCCCGGAGTTTTGACTCAGATTCTTTGTCTTGCGATTTGGTTTGCGTGCTTGAGGATGAGAGAGTCTGAATGCTTGGTGGTGACGAAGGATGTTCTTGTCGATGGATGGTCGGAAGCGGACACGAGATGAGGTCCTGCCCGCCCGAGGCTGTGTCGAGTTCCGTCACACGTCGATACTGCACGGCCGCGAACAATGCATCCTGGAGAGACCTCGACAAGCCCCGCACACACACCATCTCTGACTCGTTCATCGCTTCTCGCAACTGACATCGAACAAATGATAAGATTAAACCAAACTAATAGATGCGAAACAAAGATGTCCAAAAGTCCATTCTCTTCCTCATCCTTCCATCCATCCTCTCACGTCTCCAACGCACCATCGAATCGCTGCAGAACCCAAGCGTCGGTTCCGCCGCGCTTGGTCCTTTCGCTCGAGGCAATCCTTACATCGCCTCTGTAAAAGCCTCTCTTGACGGCCTTGGCGTCGTCGTGGGGGGCTGCGAAGCCGTGTGCTCTGTACAGCTGCAGAGCGTGCACGTTGGAGGGGTGAACTTCGAGGAAGGTTCGTGCGAGGAACTTGCCGCGCGCTGGGTGAGGGTTGCGGAGGGAAGCGAGGGATGTGCCTGCTACCAGTGTTGGCAGGGCAGGATCGGGGAGGGGGAGGTCGACGAACCGTGGGCTCATGCCCCTCACACTGGGCAGGGGACCAGCAGTAGCGATGGATCGCTTGGCACGCATTTTGAGCGCCATCAATCGGGCGCGCACCATGCATTCGCCATGCAGACTCGCAAGCAACTTGGCACCCAACCCCTGCCCACGCTCCTCCGGCGCCGTCGCCAACGTCAACAGGTGCACATCGACCAACGAAACCGCTTCCTCCTCCTTCCTCACCGGTGGTGTGGAGAAAAGACTGTCTTCGCTAGCAGCAACCACCATCGACAACTGCGCACTGACGACGCCCAAAATCGTCTCGCTCTCCACCACCCTCTGCTCCCCACCGAGCGGTCGCGCCGGCGGAATGGAAAGCACCTTCTTGACGGGCGCCACCTCGGTCGGTCCAGGCAAGTCGTCCAGTGTAAACCGCTTCACCGCGCCTCTTTCCGCAAAGATGTCGGAGAACACGGAAGTGGCAGGCGTATTGTTGATCCGACCCAGTTTGTCACGTGGGCTGATCATGGTGGTGTGTGGTGCAACGGGGGCAGTGTGTTTCTCGGTAGGGGTGGTTGAGAACACGCTCAGGGCGCGAGGGGAAGAGGCGCTCGACCCGGCGGTCGAGTCGTCGTCATCCGAGGAGGGGCCAATGTGCAGCGATGCCAGACCGGAGGCATCAGGGGTGGACGCAGCGTGGGTGAACGTCGTGGTGCCGGGTAGAGGCGTGGCTGGTTCCGGAATTGGTTTGGCTACTGCCACTAGGCATACGTGGCGGTCGTCGACGAGGAGGCGGAGGAGGAACGAGGCGGTGGAGGCGTACGTCTCGCCGTGATCGGGGGCCTGTTAGGGTGGGAAGGGTGAGTTGGTCAGCGGGTGATTTGAGGACGACAGGGATATCGGACACTGGATCGGGTCACATCGACACAACGAGGAGCCGTCAGATAGCGCAAATGGATAGCGAAGCATCAGCTGCTGCTGCGAGAGGAGGGGCAAGAGAATCCCGAACAGGGACCACAAGATTGCCGGATCGAGGACAAGGTTGCACGTGGCACATGTCGACCATGTTGCAACGATCTCCGTGGCCGGCCATCACCACGACGTGCGGGGTAGGCAAGGTGGGGTGAAGCGTCCTCGGTCATCTTCCAATGGTCAACAGTGTACAAAGCAAGACCGGGCGTGAGCAACGGCGACGTGGAACGACCGGCAACCTCTTTTGCGCACAGCACAAAAGAGATTGCCGAACACCTTCCCATGCTTCTACACCGGTGACAAAAGTGCGGGGTGTGGCCCAGACACGAATCGAGCTCGCCGTGATCCACGTCGGCCCATCCCGATGCGCGAAGCCAATCACGCCGGCGAGGACCAAGGAGGACCACGGAGGACCACCAGAGGTGACCTGTCAAAAGCTCGGCAGGCAGCGAAGGGTCGGACCGCGCTCTCCGATCCTGTGCCAAAAAAATCGCGCAAAATCAAAAACGTGACAGCTGCGGCGGCGAGATCTGGAACCGATAAGACTTTTTCTTTTCTGCAAAGGCGGGGTCGAAAGACGCCGATGAAGATGGGAAAAAGTCTCGCCGAGAATACGACGAGGTTCTGGCGGGCCGACGTATTGCGGTCTTTGCTCGGTCAACCTCTCCCCCCCCTCGTGGGCCTGATGAAAAACGTTGGCTCGAGCTGGTCCAGGAGAGCACGAGTCAACGTGCAAAGACAAAGCTTCGAGTTCGGCTTTAGCGAGCCTGCACGCCAACCTTGTTCGCGGCCTCTGCTCGTCACGTTGACCGATACCGCTTCTATTCTCCTCGTGACTTTGTCCACCGTTTGTAATGCGCTGTGATGGGCGTATACAAAGATGCGCCGGCGAGAACGGACGGTCCGATGGACTCTGCCTGCACTGGGACGGTGTTCGGTGATCTACCTCTCTCTTGCTGATGCATCGAGAGCGGTAGAACCCAACACCGTGCAGCCACATGCCGGTAGATCTTCCCTCCGCCACCTCTTTCTTTTCACTTCTGTTTTTTCACTTGCCCTTGATTGATAGATGCTTTTTCATGCAGGAGGGGAGCGAGGCGACTGTGCAAGATGGGAGCGGGATCAAGTCATGCCAGTGGCGAAGCCGCCGAAGAGCGGCCTGGGCACCGGCAGCGCAGGCGAGCAGCCACAAGATACCGTCGACCAGCAGCAGTCTAACTTCCGCCTATCCTGAGGATACGGGCTGCCCTGCGTCGCCGTCTCGACGGGCGAAGCGTACGACGAAACAGCTAAGGCGGCCAATTGGGTACTTACTCTGTCTGAATCGCCGTGGAAGGCGTGCAAATCGCGCACCTGTTCGAGATCGCCTCGTCGGAGCGGGCGGATGTCGATGCGTGCGTCCAGGGCCGCAGCTCGCGCGGCTGGGTCAATCGTTTTTGCGCTCGAGAGATCCGAGATGGGTGGCATCGAGACCTCACTGGCATCGTGCACCTTGACGTCCGCGTAGGACGCCGGTTCGAATTGAAGACCAAAGTCGAGATCGTGCGGTGTTTCGCCCTCGACGAGGCTGACGGAGGAGGCGTTGGAGACGGGTCGGTGCGCCAAAGGGGGTGCCACGCCGGCGTTGTTGTCCGCAGGCTGGAATGGGTATAGTTGTCGCACCACTTCGGAAGCTTCGGGTGCCAGGGCTGCCTCGACTTCCTCGTCGGTGAGCATGTCCTCGTCGTAGGGGACGTAGCTCGGTCTTCGCTCTTCGATTTCGAGGTTGCGTCGAACGCCCTCAAGACGCGAGGCGAGGTAGGCTGCGTCCGGCGCATGACTCATGAGACGCTCGTCTCGCAGCGCTTCGAGTTCCTGTTCGACAGCGTGGACTGTCTTGCCCTTCCATCGCCGACCGCCGAACGAGAGGCCATCTGCTTCTTCGTCGCTGCTGCTGTCCATGACCGTGTTGGCCGCCGGTGCTCGCGGGCCAGCAGCTCCTGCTTGATGTGTGAATGCCGCGCTGCTCTGATCGCCGACGCCTCGATAGGTGGAGAGCTGCGCTGCTGGCTTCTTGCCGTACACCGGCATGGGCGCGAACGAGGCGCGAACGTCAAAGTCTGGTGTGTCCGAGCTTGCACGAGAGGAGCTGCCGGCATCGTCTTCAGACAGACCCGGCGAGCCTACTTGGAATGTAGCACGACGCTTCTTGCGCTGTGGCAGCTTGGCTTGCTGTCCGAGGTAGCCAAAGCCATGCGTGGACGCAGCAGGTTGTGCATCGAATCGGATCGGTGAGGGTGGATCCGAAGAGGCGCTTGGCTGGCTCTGCGGTGGAGCAGCTGCTGCCGCTGGGAGCGGGTCGCTGGAAGGGCGAGGCGGATCAACTTCGGGTGCCATGGTGAGCCATCCTGTGAAGCGAGGACGTGATGGCCCTGCCATCTGCTCCTGAAGCGTCGCCATTTTGGTAGAAAGCTTGTGAGATGGTTTGCGATGGTCTCGACGGAGTCACTAGCTGGTGGAAGATTGGGACGTCCTTGTATGAGCGAGTGCACTCGTTGGGGTAGCGGAGAGGAGAGGCTGTGGCGATCTTCACAATGACAACATGGCGGCTATGTTGGAGATCAGTAGCTTCGCTTGCGAGTCTTGGTCGGTAGAGACCAAAGAATCGATTGAATCCGACGTTGGAACAGCTGCAATCGAGAGATCGTCCGGCGAAGGCGATGGCAGAGGTGCTGATTGGCATGGGAGTATCGCGATCGTCTTGTGTGAGTCTCTTGCCTGCTCAGCAATCGGTTGTCGTCCGATTGGGTTGCTGCTGGCCAGTTGCAATTGGGAGCCGATGGGATCTTCGACTTGACGTGATGCTCCAAGAACTGGAATCGAATGTTGAGCAGGTGTATCTGGAAGGCGCAGTAAGCGTTGTTGAGGATGCAAGTGGTGAAGGATGATGGTGTGGTGGGACAGTCGGGGATGATGCAGAGGTCCAGTCGAAGGGGAACGCTTATCATCGGTACAACACGAAGCGGTTGACAAAATGCAAGTGAAAGCAAGCGAGCGTGCAAGTCGCAGCCTTTGCGGCAGCTGCAGCTGCTGGTTTGTGTTTTTCTCAGACGGGACCGGAGAGGGCGGCCCACCAGCCCGGCCGGACGTCGGCAATATTATTTTTCAGACCAAAATGTGGGAGGGTGGTTGGGCCCTTGATTGCCCCTCGCCTCGGCGTATGGTCGCCTGCATTTTCTCGAAAACGTGTGTGTGTGTGCTTCTCTGCCGCATTTCTCTGCTTTCACCGCCGAAAAGGATTGCCGAATCCGAAGAAAAATCGACAGGGCTTGTTTGTGGAGTCAGCGCCAGCGTGAAGATCGCCCTGCAACCGAGCCAGGGCCGCGCGTGTCAGCCTCTTTCTCGCTCAAGGATCGACGAGGCTGACAGATTTCCGACCGAAAGATGCTCCCGTCCCCGTCTGTCAACATCGCATGTCGGTGTCAATGGTAGGTCAAATCTGTGACAATGCTTGCCCACCATCCTTGTGGGCGGTGAGGTAGTGATTGCGACGGCTGATCCGACTATCAGTGACTCGCACTAGCGAAGATGGCGTGCTAAAGTGAAAGCGGACGTGGCGGTCAAAGCTTCGCTCAGGGGTCATCGGACACAGCGGCTTGCTTTGGTCTTTCAACACCCTTTCAAATTCGTATCTCCAAGCTCGCTATCCCTCGGGTCTAACATCCCGCTTTTCAGCTCCACGAAAAAAAGAGACAAAAGAACTGCAGCACCTAGGATTCCCGCGTGGTCCCCAACCGCAGTACTGACTAGGCGATACCTTGCTTAACTTCGCAGATCGGACGGGATGCGGTGCTTTCAAGGTTCTATGGCCGCAGATGTTCAGCACTCGCGGTGGGTGCACTATATACACTTGCAAATTGTTCTGTTGTCAATGTGTTCGGCTGAATGACGACGGCACTGAAACACATCGGTCTCGAAATGAAGAGGTATCATGCCCGTGGGGGACCGTGTCATGAAGAGACGAAGCTAAGAATACATCGACGCCGAACGCTGGATGGCACTGCAAAGAACAGCTACAACACATGTCCTCCGAAAGCCTTGCCAGGCTGCTGAGAGCCTGCATTGCCTGCGCCAGCTTCCACCGTCCCTTCTCCCCAACTCTGCCCGCCTTGATCGGATCCGGTCCTCGACCCTGCTTGACTCGACCCAGCATCGGTCGAATTCGACTGGCTCTCGCTGTTGCATCCGCCTGTATCGCTCTTGTGGTGCCGGTTCAACGCATCGAGACGAGCAAACGTCTTGCCGCACTGCTCGCACGTGTGCGGCTTGATGTTGAGATGCAGGTTCTGATGGCGCTTGCAGTCGTGCGAGCGTGCGAAACTCTTGTCGCACCCAGGCCAATCGCACTTGTAAGGTCGCTCGTCCGCGTGTGAGCGCAAGTGGCCGCGCAGGTTGTACTGCCGCGTGAACGTGGATCCACAGCCAGGTATGGGGCAAGCAAAGAGCGCTTCCGACTTTCGCCGCGATGCAGATGCTGCTTGGGTCGCCTGACTCGTCACTACGGGGACGGGCGGCGCCAGTTGAGAGCTCGTCCCTGAAGCTACGCTCGAGGCCGATGGCGAGTGGACCGCGTTGCTGCTGTCCATGCCCATTCCGCCCATCGCAGCAAATGCGTCGGTGGAAACGAGGTTGCCTCCTGCATCCAGCAAGAATCCACCTGGCATCTGAGGTAGCGGCGAGGCCGATCCGGTGCTGCTGCTGGACGCGTTCGAGCCGAACGAGTAGTGACGGTCGTGGCCGCTGCGATAGGGGTGCACCCTGGCTGATCCCGACATGGTGTGATGGTGAACGCTGACGGCCGAGTTGTTACTGCTGGAAGAGACCGAGCGACCGGACTGCGGCGGAGCGAGTCCTCCATTGGGAGCAGTGATCTGGGCCAGGAACTGCTCGTCGGGACCTTGATACATTCGGCTCCTCGAAAGATCCTCCGATTGTGCCAGACGGCGATGCCCGCCCGGAGAGCTCTGACGTGCGCTGTTGGATCTTCGCAGCCTTGTCGCGCCTGTCGCGCCGCTGCTTGGTGCGTTCTGAGCACTGTCCCCAGGGAAGCGCCACTGTGCGTTGAACTCGCCTGGCGCTGGACCAGCAGCTGCGAGCTGCGACGAGAAGTCGATGCCTCCCATTGTGTTGCCCTGCCCGTTCAGCTGGAACACAGGTGGCATCATCATCAACTGTTGCTGCTGTGGTTGCTGCTGCTGCAGCTGCTGTTGCTGCGCGCTCGCGAGAAGCGCGTCGTTGCCGGCATACCCTTGTGACGTGTCGAGACTCAACTGAGCATTGTTGAGAAGCGAAGGATCCATGGTCGCAAACTGAGGCGGATCCATGTTCAGGCCAGCACCAGCAAAGAGGTTCGGATCGCCCTTGAAGGTGGACCAGTCGAAGTCTGCGCCGTTTGCTTGCGCCTTTATGGCAGGCTGGCTGGGCACAGCGAAGGACCAATCGAAGGCGGTTCCGGCACCTGCACCGGCATCCTCGGTGTTACCGGCCACCACAGGAGAGCGTGGGCCAATATCCGAGTTGGCGCGTTTGCGGAACATGGCGAGCGTCGGAGACTCGGTCTTGCCCGTCGACTGGAATCCCATATCTACGTCCAGGCGGAGGAATTGACGAATCTTGTCGTAAGAATCCTGACGTTTGGCCTGACTCGACCATTGACCGGCAGCGTGGCTAGGCGACGTGCGTTGCGATTGACCTGCGAGCGTCGACATCATCTGCGTCGGTTCTGCATTGTAGCCATGCGGAATGATCCGAGCGCCGGCAGATTGCGGACGGAATGCATCCTGGCCCAAAGAGGCCTGCATGGATGCAGAGTCCATCGGCGAAGGAGCTGATGAACTGTCAGCAGCTGCATAACTGCTCGGCTCGGTCTTGAATGAGGTCGTCGGAGCAGCAGAAAACCAGTTGGCGGAGGGATCGAGCTGGCTGGAGGGCGCATCGCCATCGATGGGGATCGTTTGATCCCGGTCGAGCAGTTGCGCGAGAACATCCTGGAAGCCTTGTGCACCCGCTGCTCTCGGCGTCGACGGCGAAGGCGCCATCACGTTGATGCTGGGCATGTTGGCATCGGCACTGGAGCCAATCTGAGGGGCGACTGGAGTGAAATCCATCGAGGTGTCCGAGACCGAGACGCTGGGAATGCCCAAGGACAGCTTCGGCGCGTTGGCCATTGCCTGCTGGCCCGCCGAGTGGTTGGGTATTGACGAGTAAGCCGGAGGGGCAAAGCCGTCACTCTGCTGGCCGGAATTGGACCGATCGAAGGCCGGTGAAGATGCATTGTCGGAGCCGTCGTCAAAAGTAGGCGGATACGGCGAGTCCTCATCCAGCTTGATCTGACCGATCTGACCTAGGGTCTGCGCAAGGGCAGGGTCCGACGCAAAACCCTGGCCGTACTGTGGCGGACTTGTGGCGCCTGAGCTTTGGGATCCGACTCGATGATGTGATGGAGCCGGAGACACGCTACCAAGGTTGGGACTCGATTGTGGGCTTGGCTGGATGCTATTGTCGCGGAATGCGTTGGGCGCGGGAGAGGGCGACGGCGACAGATGGGAGAAGCTGGACGAGGCAAACGAAGTGGAAGCGTTCAGCAAGCCGCTTTGCAAGGGAGCACTGTAGCCATCAGCCGAAGATGGATCGTAGAACGCTCCGTTTTGCGTCCCGTCTGGTCGGAACTGGGCGCCGGATTGACTATTCGAAGTGGAGTATTGCATGTCGACGCGGGTGTCGAGCGCCGCGTCGACACCAAGAGCGCCGGCGACGAAGGATTTGGTCTCGTTTCTTCCGTCCGGACCTTGCTTTGAATCGGAGCGAGTCAAGAGATCGAAAGGGCTGAGCTCGGTGGACAAGACCTTTTCGATTCGCTGCAGGTAGCCAAGGCGACGAGAGAAGAGGCTGGCTTCGTCGTGCGACTCGATTGCAGCGTATTCGGCGAGAGTCTCGGTGGGAGAGACGAAAGCAGCGGCTTTGCTGTACTCGGGCGGCGAGTCAGCGGTATCGACGACGAAGTCGAAGAGAGTCTCCGTATCAGAGCCAGGGGTGAGCGGACTAGGTGGCTGGAACTGAAGGTCCAAGAAGTGACGAGATTGTCGTGTAGAGGAAGACATGAAGGTCAGCTTTCTGTGGCTATTGTCCGACCACTTGTATTCGAGCGAAGAAGACGAGGAAGGTGAAGACAAAGGTGGAAAGTAGTGGTGGTAGTGTTGCGAAGGAATAGCGTTGGATGTTGGCTAGGTGAAGTTAAGTCGCTGGCAGACGCAGTGAGTATGTGCTCTGCGTCCGAGGCAAAGGTCGAGGCAAGTTGGAGTCCGAGAATCGCTCGCCGAGAGAAGCTGCAAGGTGCACTGATACGCCGATAAAGTGGATGGGGGAGCGAGTTGAAGACTGTGTGCGGGGTATCTCAGCTGAGCAATGGAAGGGGGCTATGCTGATCAACGGAAGGAGGATGATGAAGATCGGACTGAGGCGGATGTTATGGCGGAAGGCTGCAAGATTGCGAGCTTTGCTGTAGCTCGGTGGTGACAGCTCGCAGGTCGAGGGCGCGATAGTAGCGAGTCACGCCCGCTAGCGTGGGAGCAGGGCGATGCTCGGTGTAGATCCTAGATGAGAGACCACGAAACGGGGTCGGGAGGGATGCCAGATGCGGCGGATGGCATCCCGGTCGGCGCGAAGGTGGAGGCGACGAGAGCAATCACAAAACGTGGGAAGGAGGACACTTACAATGTGTAGGGGGCTTGGTGGAGAGGCGGCCGAAGGCGATGCAGGAGCGGCGATAGGCGAGGGACTCGACAGACAGAGACAATCCGGAATCGAGGGCGCAGGATGGATGGCTAGCTGTCAAAAAGAGGGTTCTCGGTAACACGATGCAATGAGGCTGTGTTGAGCCATGTGGTGATCTGAGGTTGAATTGGATTGCAGCTCGGATCGACCGTGTTGCAGGTGCCAGCTGGGTTGTTCCGAGGCTTATTCGTGTCCTTCGAGCTGCTGCAGGTGTTTTGCTGCTCGAGGTTGTTTGTGCGATGTCCTGTCGACGAGATGAGAGATGGTGGAAGGGGTTCAAGTGTCGTGCGCATGGACGGATGGAGACCAAGGCCAAGCAAAACTCCACACAAATCACCAAAATCCCACAGGCACGACGCAGCACGCCGGCTATCTGGCGAATTTAAAGCGTGGTGGATGCGTGGTTTATTATACGAGCCAGACTTTGAAATTGAGCTGGATTTGTGCCTATCCTGTCTGCTCGACGTTCAAGATGTGATTGCTTTGACCTCTCTTCTCTTCTGTCACAGTGACACGTCTGCTGGTTCATATGCGGGGTCCGTTCCCGACTTGCTCATCTGTTGTGAGCGTGTTCCGTCTGAAGATGGCTGCTGGCGTGACCGAGATAGGCGAATCGAAACGTTGACCTTGTGCCTGCGTGCCCATCGACCGCGTTGAGCCATTGCCACACCTTGGTCTCAGCCCGAGCTCGTCTGCTGTACTGCTTCGACACAGAGACGGATGAATATCCATCCTGCTAGAGGATCGTGGTCGGCTTCGAAATTTTGCCGCCGGTCAAGGGTCACAGCAGCGCGTCATCTTACGCTCTCTGCCTCTGCTGTGGTGAGCTTTGCCTCTAGCAAAGCCGCGGCAAGCGAGGGCGGCAAACTCGGTGAAATTGTGAGCCGAAAGCCAAAAAACACTGCTCTTGGGAGCCTCTCGTCTGACCGGGATCGCCACGGTGCATGGCGGAAAAACAGCACCGCCACATCACAATAGAAGAATCGCGACAATGTGAACGAAGAGGTCCTTCGTGGTATAGTTTCAAGACCCTGCATCTGAGCACATCAGCCTAGACCTTGATGGTCCAGAAACGCCGCGCCAAGCCTCGCGACCTGCCGATGCGGTGTCAGAGCGACCGAGGAGTTCCGTGGCTGCTATCTTCGCTCCGCACCGAGACAACCCTGGACCCGATACGAGGTCAGAACAGTGAAATCGTTTTCGATTCCCTACGATTTTGTCTTCTGTTGTGTGCCATTCAAATGCTAACATGGATCACATTTTCTATCAGCGAGACCGTGCATTGTTCCACGATGCCTCTTTTTTTGGGGACGCGATACAGCCCACTTGACAGCTGAGATAGCCAAGAGAGAGAGATACCAGTTTCGTGTCTTTTGACAGCTCGCGCAATGCTGTTTCAATGCGCACGGACGCAAGCAAGGGCATCAGCAGGTGGTCCATTGAGCTTTGCCTTTGTTCTCCAGCAGCCAGCTTCTGCAGATCAATGGGCGTCGAGAGAACGCGTCTGGCGTATAGCAACCAAGTTACAGGCTCAGAGTCCATCTCGGAGCCAAGCTTGAAGATGAGGCGACGCCAACAAACTCGAATCGATTCAAACGTTGACTCAGTCAGCCCACGGCTGGATACAAATCACAAAATTTCAGTCAAGTGACCAGCAAGAAAGAGCAACACGAACAGCTGTGGCGCCGGCTTGGGCCCAAAGCCCTGACTGAAATCGACTTGACGCGATTTTGGCTGCTGCTGCTGCTGCGCTTTGGCTTTGGCTCAGCCCAAATTCCACCTTTTCGCGCTCTGTTTCTGGCTGGGTCGCGGTGGTGGCTTGACCATCCAGCAGCTCCTCAGCCTAGACTGACTGGGCGGCCTGGCTGGGATTTTGAGCTTTTTTTGGCGCTGGTCGTCGACGCTACCGACTTGAACACTCATTCCCTTCCATCGCTCTCGCCTCCACCCACCCTTCATCCACCAACTCGTCCTCTTTCCGTCTCCATCATCTACGCTTGCAGAGACCGCATAGCTTCGTCGCCCACCGTCTCTGTTCTCGAGGTCACTCTACGACCACTCCCTGGCCCTTTCGCAACCCTCTCTTTCCACCTCCACCCACTCTACTTGTCACCATGTCGGGCGCTCAGGAGATTGGCAGGAGCAAGAACTCCGACGCCATCGCGCCTACTCCTCAGAACACCCCTCTCAGCAACCAGCCCCTCACCCGCGAGGCTCTTTCCCGACCCACCGTCGGCACCATCGGTGAGGAGGATGAGAACGCCGTCGATGTCGCCGCTGCTCTTCAGGGCAACCCCGCTCTTGCCGCCATGGTCCAGGACAAGCTCTCCAGCCTCGTCGGTCGCTCGTCTGGCTACGTCGAGTCGCTTCCCAATCACGTCCGTCGTCGCGTAGAGGGCCTCAAGGGTGTCCAGGTGGAGCACCACAAGATCGAGGCCGACTTCCAGAAGGAGATCCTCGAGCTCGAGAAGAAGTACGCCCAGCGATACAAGCCCCTCTACGAGCGACGTGCCGCCATCATCCAGGGCAAGCAGGAGCCCACCTCGGAAGAGGTCAAGGCCGGTGAGGCTGTCGACGCCGACGAGGACGACGAGGACGAGCAGCCCGAGTCGCTCGCCGATGCCAAGGCCCCCGCCGACGGTGCTAGCGGTATCCCCGAGTTCTGGCTTACCGCACTCAAGAACCACATTGCCCTCTCCGAGCTCATCACCGAGCGTGACGAGGAGGCCCTTCGCGCCCTTGTCGACGTTCGCATGAGCTACCTCGTCGACCAGGCCGGCTTCAAGCTCGAGTTCGAGTTTGACAGCGCCAAGAACGAATTCTTCTCCAATCAGATCCTCACCAAGTCGTACTACTACCAGGACGAGGTTGGATTCTCGGGCGACCTCGTCTACGACCACGCTGAGGGCTGCAAGATTGACTGGAAGGAGGACAAGGACCTCACCCACAAGATCGAGACCAAGAAGCAGCGCAACAAGAACACCAACCAGACGCGAACCGTTAAGCGCTCGGTGCCCGTCGAGTCGTTCTTCAACTTTTTCAACCCACCCAAGCCGCCCAAGAACGGCGAGCTGGAGGACGACGATGCCGACCTCGACGAGCTGGACGAGCGACTGGAGCTCGACTACCAGATCGGCGAGGACCTCAAGGACCGCATCATCCCGCACGCCGTCGACTTTTTCACCGGCAAGGCGCTCCAGTACGAGGACCTCGACGATCTCGACGACGCCGACTTTGACGATGAGGATGACGAGGACGAGGACGAGGATGATGACGACGAGGACCAGCCACGCCGTCAGTCGCAGCTCGGCGCATCTGCCGGCTCCCAGATGGCCGGCTCGCAAGACCCCCAGGAGTGCAAGCAACAGTAAATGTCTCTCTCGGTTCTCGCATCACAAGTAGTCTCATCAGCCAAACCTCCCCAGTATCGATTCCAGAATCTGCTTTATGCTTTCCCAATTGATCTTGTCATCTTGTTTGCTCTCCTCAGATGTGTGATACAGAGCGCGCGATGAAGACGACTCAGCTGACATGGCACACGCACATGAAGCAGACAAGTGTCTGAGAAGGGGTATCTTGAGTCATCAGGAACGGGCTGCCTTCACAACCAGTGTGAAGGGTGCTAGAAATCATCGTGGCTGGTGTCTAAGTTGAGGTCGGTCTGCCTGCTCTGCGTCGCTTCTGCTCGGGATGCAGCTGGAACAGGAGGCACGGAAGGCGGCGACCTGGACTGCGATCTGCGTCTCGGCAACGACAGGGGCGTATGCGCTGCGGTGAGTCCGAAGTAGCTCCCTTCTTCGGCGGGACGCGTCGTTGAAAGTGGTGTCTCGTTGACCGGTGTGTCGAGGCTGAGGCTGACCAAGTCACCGTCGCTGACGATGGAGATTGGTGACAGCGGATTCTCCTCGACAGCCTCGGTCGCATGAGAAGGTACGGCGCCAGGGTCGCCTCCAGCTGCGGTGGAAGACAGACGGGTGTCTATCGCTCGCGGTGGGGAGGCAGAGCGCAGCACGCCGCGGCGTGCAGAGGAAGATGGTGCGATGGTGCCACCGTCCGAAACTTCTTCCCATGCAGAACCAATTTCCGTATCCGACAGATGCACGGTGGAGAAGCTCTCGTCGGCGCCAGCCTCGTTCGGACTGCGCGATGGCGAAATTCGCTGCGGGCGAGGAGCAGCAAAGTTTTGTGATGCCGTGAGATCTCGACCCTTCGTCCGATCCGCCGGGCTGGCGTCATCCTTGCCGCGTCGAACAGGCCGTGTCGTCGCAGCTGAAGAAGTTGACACCTGACGAGCGTCCAGCCGCGAAGGTCTCTGCAGCGCCTGCCCTTCCTGTTGCAAGGACAGCAGATCGAGGGACGGGAATGCGATACCAGGGTTAGCGGGAGCGTCAGGTCTCCTCGAGGTGCTCGGCATTGCTCGGCCTTTTCCGAGCCATTCCGCGGTCCTCTGCTGGCTTTCCCTCAGCGCTGCATCGCTTAGATTGACACTTGACACGGAGACACTCTTGCCGTCTGCGAAAAGCGCTGAACTCTGCTTTTGCTCGTTTTGGCTGCCGGTGGCTCGCAAATCACGCTCAACAGCCTCCCTGTCCTTCCTCTCGTCGGCGTCATCATCGTCAGACTCTCCGCCAACCGAAGACTCCGAGAAGCTCTCCATGCTCGGGTCAAAGTCGTCATCGTCGACCCACTTGGGCGCCGACTCGGCAAAGGAAAAGATGGTCTTGGGCAGAGCCTTGATGCGAGCGCACAGATCTGCGAGGTCTGCTTCGTCCTTGACCAGAAAGCCCAAGAGCATGCTCGGGTCCAACGACTTGATAGGCATCCGGCGCACTTTCTCGCAGTGGAATGTGGACGTCTGAGCCTCTGAATACGCGTGCGACCACCACTCGTCCTCGTCATCTCTGTCCTCGAGCACAAAGCGATGAGCCATGTCGTGTTGCCGTGAAACAGCCGGCGGAAACTCGCTTGGAGGATAGCGAAGAGGGACTGCGGGACGTACGTTGTGTGGATCCAGATAGAAGAGCGAGTTGCCTTGATGACCGGTAAAGTAATAGGACGAAGAGGGTCGACCTCCTGCGATGCCGACGCTGTGCGGGAAAGAGAAGGTAGCTTTGACGGACTCGTAGTAGATCGGATTGACGCTGTCAAGACCAAGTCGGATGCCGATCAGAATCAGCACAGGTCTTTGCCAGGTGACGCCATCTGCCTTGATACCAGGACCGTCGGAGCTTGAGGCTCGAGCCTTGCCGAAATGCTGCGACGCCTTAATGGGAGCCTTCGCTCCAGCAGCGACTCGCACCTCGTCAAGGTAAAAGACACCGTCGTGCGCGAGCTCGACAGCGATGCCTGCGGAAGGAAATTCGGAGGCCAGCTGCTTGATGGCGCCTGCAGCTGTGGAAGGACCAAACCACTCGCCCACCTCTTTGCCAAGCCGCTTGCCCTCTCTTGCCATGCGATGCACCCCAAACGGACAGGCTGGGCTGGGGTCGTCGAGGAACCAACTGAGGATCCTGATATAAGTCGAATGGCGCGCTCGCTCTTCTCGCCATTCCGAGAGATTCTGTTTCTCCGCAGAAGGCTCGAGCGAAGCGCCGGCGAGCTCTTGCAGGTAATCCACCTGCCGCATCGGTGGCGCCTCTCGCAGCCAGGAACGATCCAGATGAACGTTGACGAGCGCATTGGCAAGAAGGCTTTGGCCCGTACGTAGCATGCATCCCCACCCAGAATCCGTGGTCAGTCCAGCGCGACTAAACCCGGCAGCCTGCGCCGCTGCTGTAGCTCTGCTCCAGAGGTTGGTGATGCCCATCTTTTCACCCAGTGTCGAAGAGGCGTTGGCATACCCTGTTCCTAGTGCTGCGCCGAGTCCGGCCATTTGCATGGCAGCCTCCTGGCCGGCGCTACTCTCGGTCACTTTGCGGCCGAGCCAGCCGCGGCCAGCCGAAGTCGGAGGACTGCTCCATCGGCCTGCTTCCGTGAAGGATGACTGGCCGGACGGTGTTGACGGAACGGCGACGTCATGAGATGCCTCGAGCAGAGCTGTTGCAGACACCTCAGCCGCCGAAGCAGCTTGATCTGAGATGGTCCCATCACGCGAGATGGGTGCAAAACTATTGCGATAGGTGCACCAGATCCTTGAAGCGAAGTCACGCTGAAACGCAGAGTTCGAGTCGGCATGAAGTGAGGAAGGAGTGCGCGGGACCACGTTGAAGCTGGTAGCCGATGACTTGGTACGGAGACTGTCGGAAGTGGATTCGGTAGCCGCCGTGGAGATGGAGCTGCCGACGCGGCTTTCCTCTCTGATCGACGGGGAGGACGCGCGATCGAATGCAGGCGACGAAGAGATCCGAGAGGAGCGGATCAAATCGAGTGGACTCGGACGTGGAGACGATGTGGACACGAGAGAGGAAGGAGAAGATGCTCTGGCTTCCATGCTCTTCTCGTCGCCTCCTGCTTCCTGGGCGATCAACGCTGTCGCTGTTGCAGGAGCCTGCGGCGCTGACACTTCCGTCGCAACACCTCTGCCCACCTGTCGAGGTCCGTGGTAGACGCCGAGCAGCCAGCATCCCTCGTCCTCTTTGCTGCTAGCGTCGCTGTCCATGAAAAACTTGAAGGCGCGATCAAAGCCGACACCAGCTGGGACCCAGCTGGCATTGTTCCCGCCACCTCCGCTACCGGCGTTGTTGACTGACGTTCTGCTGCTGCCCCCGGAGCCTGCATTCCCGCCGCCACTAGACGAGACGGAAGTAGATGGGGGATTGCCACCTGACGATGCGCTTGTCATCTTGATTGCCTTATTTGATCCAGCAGGGGTCAGAGACTGCAGTATGGCGCCGGCCTTCAGGCTGAAAGGTGCGTTGGGCTGCGGAGACATGGACTGGGCATCATCATCGTTGTTTCCGCCCGGGTCCTGACGCACAGGCGTCGGGCTAGCGTGTCCGAAGTCGAGATTCTCCGCCTCGCGTACGGGCGAAAGAGGTGCACCACCCTCTCGAGATGCGGACATGTTGTCGCTGCCGACCATGTTGTAGAGCCATCCCGTGAGTCGTTTTGGCACGCTCGTTTGCTGTTCGTGAGCACGAGGAATAGACTGCCCATGTTGATTCGAAGAGCTAGATTCGGACGAGCGCGGATGTGGCTCGGCTGACGTGACCGATAAACCAGAGCGGACGCTTTCGATGCTCTTTCGAGAGGAGGCTCCGTGACCCGTCGGGGCCTCTCCTTGCACCAGGCCAGCAGGGTGTGCTTCCGAGCTGGAGCGTGAATTGCTGGTCTCTCGGGAGTTGGTCTTTCCACGCCGTCGACCCATGCCTTTGAGTGAGTCTGAAAAGCGTTTTGGCGTGTGCGACTCTGCCGATGCGGTGGACACGAGGTCATCGGAAGATGCGTTGCTGGTGGCGCCGGCCTTGGCTTGGGTTACGTTGAGGAGGCTCTTGCTGCCCATGCGCCGCAAGAGTCCGGGAGCAGGAGTTGCCTCGGATGAACTTGGTATTGACGCGCCCGAGATTGTGTCACTTACGAACGAGGACCCAGCACTGAGAGGGTTGCTACCTGCTGAGCTAGCGTTGCTGCCTCCGAGTAGACTTCGGATGCTGTTGCTCCTGCCAAAGAACTTGCGACGATTCAGGCCATTGCCGGAACCGGCCGACGTCGAGGATTCCGGCTCCTTGCGAGATTGAGAGCGGAAGGAAAAGATGCGACTGACGGAGGCGGAAGAGCTGGTTGTGGGTCCGAGCGGCGGGCGAGAGGCGTGCATCGGCATGGACAAATTCGAGGCTGTATGGCTGCTGACTTGGGCGAAAGTGGACTGCGCAAAGACAGGTGGTGTTCCCGCATCCGTGACAGTGGCTGACCGGGGTCTTGACTTGGACTTGAAGCTGTCTGGCTGTTGAGACGAAGGTGTCGCCGAGGAAGCGGAGGAGGCAGAGCTGCTTTTGAACATAGCAGCCGCACTCAGCGAGTTGACGCGAACACGAACCCCCTTCTTGGGCTGCACTTCCTTCAGCGCAGGATCGGAAGGCGGAGCCGGCAATGGCAGAGGTGTGGTGGGCGACTGCGGTATTGCAATTCTACGCATGGGCAAACCTATCTTGCCCTCGCCGCGCGGATCGACACGGTTTGACGCCTCCGTCATTGCAGCGATCGCTAGGATCCTCGAGATGACATTCGCTGGCGCACGCGATCAGATAAATGAAAGGACCATCGAGAGTTCTCCCGCCGAGAGAGGGGTCTCGATCTACGTCAGACTCAATCAAAGATGAGTAAAGTTCCGCCGGGTCGATCGGTGAGATTGCGCAGCTGGCGTGTTGAGTTGACGTAGAGAAGTGTACTGTGCGCGAAGGGTCCAGAGATCGGCAGGCCGGTGGGTCAAGCTTGGAATGAGATGAGCGAGAGTGGGCAGATCGTCGTCTGTCTGCGGCGACTGCGTGTTGCAGCTGCGATGCGAAGTTAGAGAAGGACGAGCCGGTATAAGATGGAAGCGAAGCTTGGTGTGGTGATTGAGTGAAGCTGAGTTGTGAAAGTGACCCGTTCGCCTGAATGCTCTTGTCTTGGGCGTGCAGCCAGCGTTGGACCCTGATGCTTTGATCTTACGCCCCCTCTCTGCAGTCGCACAGCGCGCCTGGAAATTTGGGCGTGACAGATTCAGGGTCTCGCTAAATCCACGCTTCGTTGCGCAGTCACTCGACTCAGCTCAGCTCCACCCAGCTTCCTCATCTTCGCCCACAACATACAAAACCCATAGACAGACCATGGACGATCTCATCGGTGTCACCTCGTACACCAGGTAGTGGGGCTGGTGCGGCTCGCCATGACGCGCTTCTCGCTTCACAGCCGCCACCCCTTCCCATCATGCAGTCATGAACTTCTTCCGTGATAGAGACGCCAACAGCGATGTCTTTGACGATCCAAAGAACGATCCCACCGCTGCATCACCTTCCACCTCGCCCCGCAAGAAGCAAAAGTTTGACATTGGACCGCCCGGCAACTCCACGCTAGACACAGCCGACGATGATGCTGCGCTTGCAAGTCTACGCAAACGTATGGCCGGCCCTTCCTCAGCCAAAGCAGGCTTAGCAAAAGACCAGGACGAGATCAACAAGATCATCTACGAGGTCTCCAAAGGCAGCAAGTTCTTCGAAAACGAGCGCAAGAAGGATGCTCAGACTACCGAGCGCATCAACGCTCTGCTGGCACGCAGGGACCAAAAGCTCCTGCAGGTCCCACCTGGAAGCAACGAATGGCTCTCCATCGAGCGCAAGATCGAAGACTTGGCCACGCGTCTCGAGAACAGCCGCGACCTTTCCCGCACCATCCTGCATACCGACATCGACATGTTTTACGCCGCTGTAGAGCTGGCCAGAGATCCTTCGCTCAAGGGCAAGTGCTTCGGCGTCGGTTCCGGCGTACTTGTCACCGCCTCCTACGAAGCTCGCAAGTACGGCGCTCGCAGTGGCATGGCTACCTTTGTTGCAAAGGCGCTCTGTCCGCACCTCATCGTAGTCAAGAACGACATGCAAAGCTACGTCGAGGCCAGTCAGAAAGTCATGGCTGTCTTTGAACAGTACGACGAGAACTTGGCCAAGGCTTCGCTCGACGAGGCGTATCTCGACATCACAGAATACATCGAGCAGCACGGTGGCACCATCGACCAGATTGTTCAGCAACTGCGTGACCAGGTCCGAAGCGAAACACAACTTACCGTGAGTGTCGGTATTGCTCCCAATACCATGCTGGCTAAGATCTCGTCGGACAGAAACAAGCCAGACGGTCAATTTCGAGTACAGCCGGACCGCAAGGCTATCGTCGACTTTATGCGGGACCTCCCTTGCCGCAAGATTCCGGGCATTGGCCGAGTCAACGAGCGTATCCTCGAAAGCCTCGGCGTCAGCACCTGCGGAGAGATCTGGAACAAGCGCGTCGAGCTTTGGCTCGCCCTCGATGGCAAGATTGAATGGCTCATCAAGGCTCATCTCGGTATTGGCAATACTGTTGTCGAGCCCAGCAAGCGCGAAGAACGAAAAAGCGTCGGTCGTGAACACACTTTCAACCCCACCGCTGATACACAGGCGTTGCTCGATCTACTCAAGGAGTCGGCTCAGCGCGTGGAACAAGACCTCGAACGACTCGACTTCAAAGGCAAGACCATCACCCTCGTTGCTAAGAAGGACAATTACCAGCGCTTCTCTCGCGCTCGTACCTCGACACGACTGGTGCACCGCGCTGAAGAGCTGTACGACATTACGAGCTCGTTGCTGCTTCAGGAGATCGAGCGTGAGGGCGCCCTTTCGCTGCGGTTGATTGGCGTCCGCGTGACCCATCTTGTGGACCTGCGTGGCGCAGCAGCGGGCGAGGAGAGACTGCGAAAGCTCTTTCAGACGCGCCAGTCGAATGGCGAGGCGCAAGGCGAAGAGGCGGCCCAAGTACGACCGCGAAAGACGGCGCACGAGTGGCAGCAAGAGGAAGAGCGCCAACTCGCCCTCGCCATCAAGCAGTCGCTCGAGGGTAACGGGGATCCCTTTCAAGAGGTGCACGACCTCAGTCAGGACGACGCAACCACACAGGTTCGCGAAGCATCTCCTACGATAGCTCTCGCGCTGTCGAAGAGCGACGAGGCCGGGCCGAGCGCACCCTTACCGTCCTCAAACGCAGCGGCGCAGTGCCCAATCTGCATCAAACCAATTCAAGGCTCAAACGATCAGCTCAACGCACACATCGACGCCTGTCTCAATCAGTCGCAGCTCGATCCTCCCTCACGTGCATCTCCACAACCACCGCCGTCCCATCGCGCCGACTCCGCGAGCGCACCGAAGAAGAAACGTGGTCCGCTCGACTCGTTCGTGCGGCGATCCAACAAGTGATCCCTGGTCCATCGTCGTCGTTCCTCCTTCCCCAAGATCTCGCATGCTTTGTCTCTTGCCACCGTGCCCATGTGTATTTGTACCGTCACAAACAGCCAAAGGAATCGGTTCTCTCGTCACTTAAACCCGTGGTCGAAAGTGTGCAAACGGGATTCTGGTCTTGATAATCAATCTTGATTCATCCGACGAAACGACTACAGCTGATCGTGGTGAGTGCTGGACGTGTCTGTTCGACGGAGGTGTCTAGTGGTGGTTGTTCTTGTGGTGACCTGTTTGTTGTCAAGAGCAGAAGTTTAGAGATGTCAGTGATACGTTCGCATGATGTGGCGCGGCACTCTCGTTCCATTGTGGTAGACGAGATGTGAATGGAGCATTGGGGTTTGGCTGAGGGAGCTGCGTTCCCATCGAGCAAGCCGATCCATCTCGAATCCCTCCAATGGGCGACGATGCTGGCGGGGCGATACTTACGCAAGTGGGTAGCGTAGTCGATGCTGTACCCGATCAAGAACAGGGTGAAGAGGGTAGCGACGATGGGTTTGCCGGAGGCGTTTTTGCCGTCGAAGTAACGGGCCTTGATGCCGCCGCCGCGTTTCTGGGGGGCAGCACCCTTAGGCAGCGACTTGTAGAACTCGACGACGCTGTCCATGCGAGCGGAGCCGGCGGGGCCCGAGGCCGACTTGGGCGTCGCAATCTTGGGTGGGATGGGAAGCGTCGAGTTGGCGCGAACACCACCCATACGGAAGGACGGGCCGGCCTGACGTGCGATCGTGCGAGCAAACATGACGAATAAATATGAGAGAGGTGGTGATGGTGACGAGAGTGATGGAGAAGAAAGGCCTCTGCGTAGAGTGCTGCGAGTGTGCGCCTGCGAGACCATCTCCAATTTTGGCCGAGAGACGGTTCCGAAATTCGCCCTCTTCTTGGACGCTCCCGATCCAAACCTTACACCGATCGCGCACGCACCCCTCCGCATTTGTTTCGCACCGAAATTGTGTTGCGCTTCACCCTAACAGCCTCTACTCATTTTCCACTGCGCCCAACCTTCAACATTCGCTCGTACTCCCATCATGTCCTTCGGATCACAGAGCCTTTCTCACACTCTCAAGACAGACAAGACACGCAAACCCGAGACGTCAATGGACTAAGTCGCACATGAGAGTGCTTCGCATTTTTGGGTGTGTATGAGTGTGTGTGAATACAGAATCGCCATCCCGTATACGGAGGCGAAGCAAAGAGTAGCAAAGGGGGAAAAGAGGGGAAGCGGGGGATGGAGAGAGAGGGCGAGGTGGGTCGGGTCGCTTAAAGTCGAAGGGGTGCGACCCTCAAAGGAGTCGCTACGCTTAGTAGAGCGACTTCTTCTGGGTGCGGGCGAGGTGCGAGGCAAACTCGACATAAGGAGTCTGAGGGGGGGCAATCTCGCGCCACAGGTTGGGCGTCAGGAAGGCGTAGGTCTTGGAGACGGCCTCGAAGGTGGCCTTCAAGAAGTTGCCCATGGTGGCGGTCTGACCGGACGACTGGGTGTAGCAGTCCTCGATACCAGCGAGCTGGAGCATGCGCTTGGAAGCAGGGGCGGCAACGATACCGGTACCACGGGGAGCGGGCACCAGACGGCACATGACCGAGGCGGTCTTACCGGACACCTTCATGGGCACAGTGTGGGGCTCACCGAGAGCGTTACCCCAGTATCCACGGCGGACGGGGATGGTCGAGAGCTTGGCAACAATGATGGCACCACGGATGGCAGTGGCAACCTCCTTGGCGCACTTGACACCGAGACCAAGGTGGCCGTCCGAGTCACCGACGGCAACGAAAGCCTTGAAACGGGTACGCTGACCGGCACGGGTCTGCTTCTGAACGGGCATGATCTTCATGACCTCGTCCTTGAGCTTGGGGAGCAGCAGGTCGATGATCTGGTACTCCTTGATGGGGAGCGAGAAGAGGTAGATCTCCTCGATCGACTTGATCTTGCCGTCCTTGACGAGTCGGCCGACCGAGGTGACGGGGACCCACTCCTCCTTCTCGCCGTCACGACGACCACCACGACGGGGGCCACGTCGGCCTCGTCCACCGCGGTCTCGTCCGAAACCGCCACGTCCACGGGGAGCAGCGTCAGCCATCTTGATTCTGATGAGCGTAGAGGGTACAACGAAAAGTAGATGAAAGAGGCAAAGTCAGTCAAGCTGCGTCTGAATGGTGTGTCGAGGCAACCGTAACCAGAACGCGGTATCTCCTGTATCACTCCGTCTCGCCAATGCAATTTGATGACCAGAGGCAGAAGCTTCCCAAGACTGCGGTTAAAGGGGTTGGTCGGCGCAAGTGTTGGACGACTGGTGCAAAGACGGCAATGCGGGTTGCAAATGTCGGAATTGGAGCAGCTTTGAAAGGCGTTTGCGGACCAGGAATGCGGTGATGGCGAGCAGCAATGATGGCCAATTGGAACATGGCTATCAAGGTCGGGCGGAAAGCTCCTTGGGTCGAGATGTGTCGAGTTACTCCTGAAGTGTGTCCAAGACGGCGACACAAGAGCGCATGTCTATCCCGCTTTGCCGACAACTGCTCGGCGAGTGTATGCTGTTCGTACGTGCCATCGCAGTCCATTATGAAGGGGTATGGTCGCGCTGGCTGCTGCATGCTTTGGTCGGTGTGCGCTGGGTCGTCTGCGCCTGCTGCTGGGTTGTGTCATGCCATGCTCCCACCGTGAGGTTGTGTTTGCTGCTGGATCGTCAATATGTCTAATCTCTGCTGTCGATGATGCCTTTTGGTTGCTTCGCTGCCGATGCTGTTGTCGATGCTCATTGCCAGCATTTGATTCACTGCTTCCCTATCCGCTCTTTGCGTCCTGCTTCCAACATCCTGATCCTCCGCAAGTCTTTCCTTGCTATCGCGTTCTGGCACGGTCCTCCATGTTGACTCGAATACTAACCTTGATGTGTATAAAGGTTGATGAAAAAAGGGGGATGGTTGATGGATGGTAGAAGTGTCGACGATGACGAGCAAGCTGATTCGCAGCGACCGACCCTGAGCGCTGCAGCGTGCTGCCTCGTCTGCCTGGAAGCTCTCCAGCTGCCGGGGCCAGACCTTCCAACCCGTGAGCCTGGCTGATGTGCGCCGGGCTGAGGTCGAAATGCGAAATTGCTAGCTCTGCTGCCGCTTTGTTCAAAGGCGGCGCAAGTCACGTGTCTCGATAACAGAACTGTAAAAAGCTAGCGCTCTTTTTGGATTTGGTTTTTTAGATGCCCTAACACTCGGAGCTAATTTACTCGCCTCGCTTCAGAGCCTTCGAATCGGCCAGCATCGCCATGCGGAGAAGAGGATGTACTCTCTGATGTGTCGTCGTTACTCGAGTTCGCGCGCTGTAGAAAGTACACCGTCTATGCTATGATACAAGTCATGGCCGTATTGGCCCTGGCTTTGTCGAGCTGGAAGTAGGTGAAGCCAGCATCTCGACGAACCGCATCCACTTGAGAATCACCTGGATGGCCGAATCGTAGCCATCGAGCTGCTCCCGTTGCGATCCGCTTGGAGACTCCAGCCGTCTAGGTATCATGAAGATCTCGCGGTGTTGTCGACGACAATCAACGCACGTGTCCTTGACGCGTTTGCCCAATGCGTCCAGCTCGAGGTGGATCAGTGCTTCCCACTGGTGACTGAGATAGACACCCTCCATGGTCGGCGCGTCCATGCCTGGGATCAGACCCTGTCCTTCCTCGGAAGGGAACAGGGCCCTCAAAAGAGGCTGCTTCGACTTGCACTGCGCCGTCCATTCGCTGAGTCGGCGGAACACCTTGATGGATCGCCCGACTTTCAGACAGATGTGGGTTTCGTTGGAGAGGGCGAGGAGCTCGTAGACGTAGATGTGGCCTCGTTCTCTTCGATCCGTGTCGGTGAGCTGCTGCGACATGCGACGTCGAAGCAGTCCTTCAGCATGGTCTGTCAAGTGGGTTGTGCCCAGCCAGTCGCTGTATTTGACGAACACGGAGGATCTTTGGTCGAGGCTAGTACCTGAAGGATACGAGTGGTAGAAGCCAGGAAGCTTGTTGACGCCTGTGATGTGTTGGTGGCAGTAGACTTCCTCTACGTCTACTTCGCCCTCCTCGGAGTCTTCAATGACCACAGGATCAGCTGCGCTGGCTCCATGCAAGAGCGCAGGCGGTGCCGACGCTGCCCGTGCTGAGCGAGAAGGACTTCGGTGTTGGTCTTGCGCGCCGGCCACTGCTCTGACCTTCCTCGTGCAGCGAGTGTTGTTCTGCTTGATGCCCCAGCATTGGCCCTTCGATGGCGCAAAGTTCACGTCTGTTTGTGACCCGCTTGGAGTCATCGATCCCGTTGCTTGTGTCTTATCCACGCTTGCGCTTGGTCCCCTGCGCGGCGGAGTCTGGACGTCCCATGTAGAGGTTCGTTGTCCAATCGCATGCGAGGGTGGTGTCGGGCTGACGCTGGCACTTGTACGTCTGCGTGGAGGGCCTCTGGTAGGCCCGGGGGAGACATGCTCGGACGCGATGTTTTCCTTCCCACTCGACGTAGCGCTCTTAGGACGAGGCTGTACGAGGACAGAGTCTTGCTGTCGTCGCTTCTCTTGTGGCACCAGCTCCCATGGATACGACGGCGTTGCCGAAGAAGCACCAGGCTGCAGGCTGTGCGGGAGGTCATGACGGTTGCTGTCTGCCGACTCGGAAAGCACAATGAATGCTGGCGGTCTAGGCGGCAGTCTGGTCGACTCAACGTGAGTGACGCCATCAGAGCCCGCGTGCTTGAGTCCCGATGAGTAGGAGTGCGAGGATTGCTGGGCGGAGGGCCTGTGAGTTGAGGGCTGTGTAGTCGATGGCTCCGCATGGTTTAGTTTACCACTTGAAGAGTACGGATGAGCATCGTATGGTCTCGGAGGCCTCAAATGCGGAGGTCGTGAGGTTAAGGGCTGCGGGTCGTCTCCATTAGAGGAGGTGGATAGCGAAGGACCCGGCCTGTACTCGGCCGCTGCGGGCCGCGAGGGTGCATGCAGCTGAACAACTGGCGTCGAGCTGGACGAGCCATCGACTGATGGCTGCGGAAAGGCTGGACACGATGGTAGCCTTGGTAGTGTAGACGGCTCTGCTAGGTGAGCCAAGTACGACGGAAGCGGTGTAGCTTGGCTGCTCTGTCCGGCCGCATGGCTTGAAGGCGGTCGAGGCAGCGGCTTAGCAAGCCGTCCGGTTGATGACGGCGACCATGACCCAATGCGAAGCTTCTTCAGCCTCCTGATTAGCGAGTTGCTGGAGTCATCTCCTCGACCACTGGCGGACGACGTCATGGGTATATGTGCCTATGCTGACCGCTCAGCTGGCTTGGTGTGAGGTCATGACAAGCGTCTTCGAGGTGGCTTTCTGCCCGCAACCTTCGCGCAACGTCGTGGAGATCGGCTGCGCACGTCGGATACCTGGAGGCAAGAAGTCGAGTTGAGGCGCCGTAGCGAGGTTGATGGAGCGATGAAGGAGGTCGGATGGAGGTACAAGAAGTGTTGGTCTGGCCCGCACGTCGGAGAAGTTGCGCTGCATGCAAGCTTGGCCTTCCGCAGGGTCTCTTGCATGTGTTGATCTTTTGAGCCACGCGTGAAGGTGGAGGCGCGACTAAATCTCCCGATGAGTCTGAACTTAGATTGATCCCGATCGACTGCGGCAAGTACGGCCGAGCTTTGGATTATGGCAGAGGAAATTCGCAGCTGCCAAATTCAGGCTTGCAGCTCCAGTCTCCTGTCCAAGAAGACTCTGGCTCGACTGTGAGCCAGCCAGCCAGCCAGAGAAGCTGACCCGCAGCGCCGGACGCTATCCACAAATCTGGCAACACCATCTCTTCCCTCCCTTCTCCTCACACGCAAAAGTTTCGAGGTTCCGTTTCTTCTTCATCATCATGTCCAAGGTCCCTGCTGCTCTCAACCCCACTGAGGAGGACATCTCGCTCCTCCTCGCCGCCCAGACGCACATCGGCACCAAGAACGCCGACAAGCAGATGGCCCCTTACATCTACAAGCGTCGCGCTGACGGCATCCACCTGCTCAACATCGGCAAGACGTGGGAGAAGATTGTCTTCGCCGCCCGCATCCTTGCTGCCATCGAGAACCCTGCCGACATCTGTGTGATCAGCGGACGTCAGTACGGCCACCGAGCTGTGCTCAAGTTCGCTGCGCAGACCGGTGCCACTGCCATTGCTGGCCGCTTCACCCCTGGTTCGTTCACCAACTACATCACCCGCTCTTTCAAGGAGCCCCGCGTCATTGTGGTTACCGACCCCCGTGTCGACCACCAGGCCATCCGCGAGGCTTCCTACGTCAACATCCCCTGCATCTCGTTTGTCGACTCGGACTCGCCGCTCAAGTTTGTCGATGTTGCCATCCCCGGTAACGTGCGCGGTCGTCACTCGGTCGGTCTGCTCTGGTGGTTGCTCTGCCGCACCGTCCTTCGTCTCAAGGGTGGTGACCTGAGCGTCATGCCCGACATGTTCTTCTACCGTGACCCTGAGGAGGTTGAGCGCGAGGCCCAGGAGGCCGCCGCCGCCGCCCAGGCCGCTAAGGAGACCGCCGAGCCCACCGCCGCCGAGGGCGCCGCCGACGTTCAGGCTGACGTGCCCCTCGCCGTCGCCGCCAACCTCGCCACCGAGACCGGCAACGTCGACTGGTCCGCCGAGGGCGCCCAGGATTGGGCCGCCGACGGTGCCGCCGACCAGCAGGCCACCAGCTCTTGGGAGTAAATTGTGCCGCTAACCTCTCCGACCAGGTTCGCACACTCACCCGTGGATGCTTCTTCGTTCATAAACACTTCTTCCTCTCTTCGTCTATTTTTCTCCGATGATGTAGAGGTGCGACGCAAAGAAGCGATCCACACTCCATCAAAAAAAGCCTCGAAAGGTGGGCCGCCGTCCCCACACTTTTCGTACCCAGCGTTGTCTTGCCTCTGATGTGTCGGCTCCTGCAAAGGGAGAATGTCTTGTAAAGATATGCACCAGAGATCCAATAGTCCGCGAATTTATCCCCCCCTTACACCATATCTTTGCGTATGCCGTCTGTGTTTTGTGAAGAAGAAAGGACTCGTGAAACCTGTCGAGGTTTCGAGAGTTGCAAGTGCTTTCCCCCCGATTTGGACCTGGCTGAACGTCGAACGATTGAAGCGGCTGCGTGGCATGGTCACAGATCTTTCGGCGGGGGTTGCTGCATGTGGTGGCTAGGAGGCAGCGTGGTGCGTCGGGCGATGCTGGCTCCCGTGGCGGTGCCGAAGCAGAGATAGAACCATTACACTACGACGACGACTAGCGAGCTGGGAGATGAATTTGTGCTCCACGACGACGATGGGCGCGCCCATGCCTCACGCACGGCGTATGGCGATCCGAAGGCCTCGTCGTGGACCTCCCCGTCGCTCGTCAGACGCGCATGGCCACGATCAAGACTCTCAGCCACTCATCCGTCCTTCTTCCCACGCTGCCACGCGGTCCAAAACGTCACCTTGAAGACAGGCTCGGCTTGTCGACATCAAGAACGCACTTGGTGCCGGAAACTTGCTCACCACTCGCACGCACAACATCCCCAACACACACTCGTCCCCTCATTCACTCGTCCAACACACGCATTTTCAAACCCGGCACCTTCACACACAATCTCGAATGCCTTGTGCAACTTTTGTCAAATTCCTCTAGACCGAATAGTTGCTCTGTCCTGTAGGCGCGTTGATGGGCACCTCACCGAACAGCCCATCCAGACCATCCAACGGTAGTCCTAAATCGCTGAGTACACTATCGAAGTTTGTCCCTCCGAAACCCTGCATCCCTCCCGCTGGCCCGCCCTGCGCTGTCCCCCCTTGTGCCTGTTGTGGGGGCTGGTGCTGCAACGGACTCGGTGGCACGCCTAGCGAGTTGCTATGCCTATGATGGGGTGGCATGAGGGGTTGTTGCATCGGATAGTTCGGACTTGCATACTGACCAGGCGGGTGCGGCAGGGGGGACTTATACTGATCCTGTTGACCCCAGCTGCGCGGAGCTGGTGACGGCTTTTCATCAAAACTGGCCATGTCGGCACCTCCCGTGCTCTCCTGCATCCACAGCGGCAGTTGGATGGGTTGGTGCGAGGTGGGGTTCGAGCCGTCGTAGGGCGTGTGCGCACCGAGGAAGGAGGACCATTGAAAGTTGTCCCCCGGTCCGGAGGTGATGTTGCTGTAGTCGATACCGGCGATGCTGCCGCGATGCGAGGGCATGCCGGGACCGGCTTTGTTCGGGGAGAATGTGCCAGATGCGGAAGCGAGCGTGCCTGTGTTGCCGACAGAGGGCGACGAGATGCCCGCTGTCAACCACTTGCCGCTGTTGATCAGGTCGCTGAAGCCGGGAGTGCGCGAGCCCGAGCCAGTACCGCCGAAAGCATCGCCAGCCCCGCCATTGGCTCCCTCGTTGTTCGAAGCGTTCTGCGCACCGCCCTCGCCGCCGGCTCCTTCACCTTCACCCTGACCGTTCTGGTAGTCCTGCAACAGCTTATACAGCAGGCTAATACCCGAGTCGCTCGGTCCACCGGTCTTGATCTCGGCCGGCGTGATAGCGCCCGGTCGCGTGGCTTCAGCTCCCAGCGCGGCGTAGAGACCAATGGCTGGACTCAGGTCCGCGATCTTCTTCCACGCCTGAGCGAGCAAGATACGAATGACTCGGGCGTACTTGCTCGCGGGCACCTCCGCCAAGCGACTCGCCAGACGTTCGGCATTGCTGAAGATGCCATAGGTGTCCACCTGACGCGGGAAGAGGCGGGCGATCTTGATGAGAAAGACGCAAGCAAAGGCAGCTGTGACGTGCGTATAGTGTGGTGCCCATCCGAGCATCTCGCGGTATTCCTTGGAGTTGACCGAGATGCTCAGACAGGTGTCGGCTGCTCGCGTGGCCTGGATGATGAGCTCCTTCTGCTCGGGACCCATCTGGTCAGCGTCATTGGCGTCCCGAATGCCACGCAGCGCTGTACAGGATAGATAGAGCTCGGCACTGGCGCACTGCAGGACCAGGGACTGCTGGAAGAACGAGTCTTGGCCGTAGCCTCGGCTCTCGAAGTCCGACGACCAGTACTGGTGCCATTCGTTGAGCTCTTCGGTGACTTTGCGCATCTTGGACAGCATGCGCGCATCGACCGGCTGGTCGTAGGGCGCCATGGCATCGTAGTGCGTCTCGCGGATGATGAGCAGCTCCAGCGTGCTGATGAAACGCGCGTCCGTCTTGACCGTCAGCGGATAGTTGAGCTTGAGGAAGGCTCTGCAGTTGCGCACATAATGCTTGGAGAGCATCGCCGGTCGACCGGCCCCGTACGAGGCTTGGTGATCAAAGAGGAAAAGGAAGAACCACAGCCTCGATCCTCGGGCCAGATCCTTGAGCTCGTCGAGCTCGCGTCTGGCAGCAGCATCAGCATCACCACTCGCAGCAGCGTTGGCAGCTACCGCATTAGCGCCAGTGGCACTGGCCGGACCACCAATCTTGCCATCGACCGAGTCGCCACCCACAGAGTTGACATCGCCAGGCGATCCGGTGTAGTGAGACGAGGGCGAGTTGTGGTAGAAGGTCAAGTGCTTGGGAGGCGGGGGCGGCTGAGGGTGACGTACGTAGCCAGACGCCGGAAGAGCCGACATGAGCTTCTGGAAGGATCGGTCGAGGCCAAGCTCCTGCGCCATCCTGATGGACAGTCCGAGGGGCAGCCAGCCGTTTTCGCTGTAAGCAGCCAGCAGAACCATAGCTTGCACCGCTGCTTTGCCAGCCACGGGGCTGAACATGGTGTCTTTCGCATTCCGCTTCGCCTGCGCCATGCACGTCTGATACAGACGACTGGGACTCTTACCACCGCATTCGACCTTGGCGCCGATCGCTAGCATGACGTTGAAGAGGAAGTACGAGGTGGTTCGTACGTAATGGTACGCCTCTTCCGTGGTCATCGATTCGTCCTCTAGATGGAAGATGGAGATGAACTTGGGCACGCCCTTCTGGAACGTCTCGAAGAGACGGATCGCATCGGACTCATTGACGAGGCCCAAAGTGACGAGATCGCCAGGTGCGCCCGACACGAGGCCGGGTGCGTCCATCCTGCCGGATCGGCTTCCACCGGAGGGCGATGCGGCATTGGCACCAGCATTGCCTGCAGCCGATGCTGAAGCATTTGAACCAACGGTACCACCCTGGCCGTCGAGACCTGCGCCAGACAGAGCTGCCGAGTTAGGCGATTCGCCGTTCGTGTCGCGACGTCTCTTCTTGCGTGGAGTCTTGGAACTGGTTTCGGAGGAGTCGTCCAGTTGCTGTGCAAATTTGGTGCGCTTTCCACCTTCGTCGACCAGTTGCAGCGAAGGCGCTGAAGATGATTCGCCGCCCTGTTTGGATCGAGCGATGGTGTTGTCCGCCTCTGTCTTTTCATCACTGGAGTCATTGGAAGTGTGTCCCTCCGACTCGGCAGCAGCAGCGGCAGCGTCGGCGAGGCCTCGAAGTGCTTCGATGGGTGCACTAAGCTGATCGTTGCTAATATCGGTCTCGCGCATTTCGCCGTCATCGCCACCAGCCGTGGGACCATCTGACGGGGTCAGGTTCTGATCCATGCTGTGACTGTGACTGCCGGCACGATCGGAAGAGGTCCAACGATGGCGACTCGAGTGGCGTTGCGGTTGACTGGTTCCCGACGAGGTAGGAGTCCAACCAGATGAAGTGCCAGCGGGCGGTGCTGAACCTGCTGCAGGAGACGTGGTCGAGCCGACAAGATTGCGCCCTTGCCAAGACTGGGATTGCCGTCCTCTGTCATCCTGGTCGAAGGCGACTCGCGACCCACTTCGTCGCCTCGAATGTGCATCGAACGATTGAGATGAAGAGGACGGGTTGAGGCCGGTGTTCCACATGCTGTTGGAAGCATTGTCGAACGACTCGAGCTCGGGCTGCTGCTGGAGAAGGTTCTGATCGGGCCTTGAAGAGGGCTGGCCGTATGGTGCTTGGAAGGAGGGATGTTGCTGCAGAGGATACGCCTGTGCAGCCTGGACGGGCATGGATTGCATAGAATTGGGACCGATGCTGGCTATGCTGTTGCTGCTTCCGAAGGAACGGGAAGCGGATGGAAAGGGTGGGCGCTGCGGATGCGAGGTCGGGCCCGCATCTGGTGGGTATCTTTGCATGCCTTCGGCGGCGGAAGGGGAGATGCCGTGCTGCGGATTGCGATGATGCGGAGGAGGAGCGTACGGATTCTGCTGGAGTGGGGTGCCCTGCTGGCGATGCTGGGAATGATACGGGTCCTGCCTGGAGGCTCGCGATGAGTGAGGCGAAGCGGACGAGGCGGATGAGGCGCGGGGTGATTGCGATGGTGGTGCAGTAATGGCGTTGGTGTTGGCTTTGATGGAAGCGACGAGCTCCGAGATCATGCTCTGCATTCCTGTCATTTGCGATTCCAAGACGCGGATCCTGTCGGCACTTGCGCTCGTATCCGGAGCGGCCGAAGAGGAAGGGGCAGCCTCCTTGGGTGGCTTTTCAAAGATGCACTCGATGCCGACCTGTCTGCATCTGCGACAAGGCGGGTTTTCGGGACCGTCGCAGCGCGCTTTCTGTTTGCGACAGGCATTGCAGGCACGATGCACCCTGGAGATGGTCTTGTAGATCTTGACTTCTTCTCTGCCGGCGCTGTTATCGATCTCCTTGTCGCCATTGTCCGCGCGGGATGCAGAGGGATCGAAGGAATCCGAGGATGAGTCCCTATTGGAGGATGCAGTAGGATTTACCATGGCTGCGGATGAGAAGCGAAACGGACGGTGTTGGTGGCTGGTGTCGGACGATCCGAGCCGGATTCAATCCGAGAATGCTCGCTACAGGGGGACGTGGCTGACTGGATGTGACCTAGAGGGAGGTAGAGATGGAGCCCGCGAGCATGCTGTGCTATGAAACACAGGATCTGTCTGCAAAGGCTTGCTCTGGAACCGACGAGATGGGCGGCGGTCGGTGTTCGGCAACGAAAGTAGCCAGAGAGGGTTGATGAAATGGAGCTTCCGACGGAACGCTGCAATGAAGAAGGTCAATATGAAGCCGGTGTTGAAGCTCGATGATATGTATCCACCGGACGGATGTACGCGTGCGGTCTTGTGGTGGGGAAGGTTGTCTCACGACGCGGCGGCTGTAAGCGCTGTTAAGATCACGCGAAGGACGATGCGTGGTAGGGGATGCCACTGTGTTGAAGCCTTTGAAAAGAGTCTCTGAGGAAAGGATGGTGATGGCGATGACGGTGGATGAGGGCGATGGTGGAAGATGGATGGAAGGAGAGGACGCCAAGTCGGGAGGACACAAGCCGAATAGGAAAAGACACCTTGGAAACTGTCACACTCGCATCCCGTTCGGCTAGGCGGGTTTGGCGCCGAATCTCGGCTTGTCATGCTCATCGCTGACTCTCTACTTTGGCATTTTCATTCAGGCATGCTCGCTGCCATTTGTCTGGCCACAAACATTCTGATCTCACTGACAAGCTGTGTGCATGAGCATAAGCAAACGATGGGCCGATCGGACGGAGCTAGCCGCGAAGGATGCTGGAAAATGATGGTTCACGCGACACTCTTTGCCGACACAATGACGCCGGCGTACCAAACCCATCATGGCCAGTTTCATGGCCTCTTCCCGGTCATTTGCGCCACATGTGCACTTGAGACGACGAGAATCGAGAAGAGGATCAGCCACAAGGAAACGCAGACGGATGCACAAGATACGAGCGGAGAACGAGTCAGGGAGACTGGTTAGCGGGGCATCCAATTTTAGCAGGACCGGCTCGTGAGAGTTGTCTCCGCCCGCGGGGTGCTCAGGGTTCAGGCGGAATGCGGTCCGGTCCATCCGCTTTTGAGAGACCACGCGAGCTTGGCAGCGATCTCACAGACAGCTGTTTAGAAAGGGTGGATCGCAATCTGCCGATTCAGGCAAAGATCAAATCACGTCCCGATATTCATTCCACTGGAAGGACGCGCGAAAGGCTGCAACGATGTGACTCTTTTTCCCACCAAACCACGGCGGGAAGGGAAAGCGCACTGAGCAACGACCAACTTTTTGTGGTCTCGAACCCGACTTTCGACCCTGAATGGACGATTCTCCTTCATCGCAATCAACCTGTCCACTCATACGATCACCGTCCCCGTTCGCATACGACACCATACACCATGGCGTCTCAATTCATCAACTGGATCAAGTCGCCAGCTGGCCGACAGTACTTCTTCGTATGTTGACCGTCACTCCGAAGCCACGACCCTCGTTCGTACACTGACATCGTTCTTCCCTCCCCTCAACAGTCGACACATTTCTGGGGTCCCGTGGCCAACTGGGGTCTGCCCCTTGCAGCCATTGCCGATCTGTCCAAGGATGAAGAGATGATCTCGGGCACCATGAGCGGCGCTCTCTGCGCCTACTCGACCGTCTTCATGCGTTTCGCCTGGAGAGTCCAACCGAGGAACTACCTGCTCTTTGCTTGTCACGCTACCAATGCCACCGCACAGGCTGGCCAGCTGCTCAGGTTCGCCAACTACCACCACTTTGGCGGAAAGGAGAAGCGCGCCAAGCTCCCAACACCTCAGGTCGCATCGGCATAGGCTCGATATCCTCTCCCCTTATAGCTCGTTCAGCTACAGTAGATCGACCCACCGGCGATGCCACCTTCAAGACCTCCTCCCCCTTGTACATTATCCATCTCATACTTGCAGGCACAAACATGCAGAGTCAGTATCAACACAACGCCGACCGAAGAGTCTAGCAATGGCTTTTCGTTACAGTCCATCAACAGTCGTACACGCTATGACTACGCCCGACTCCCCGCACCACCCTCCGCCCGCGCAATATACTCGACCAGCGACACAATATACTTTTCCGCAATCGCGCTAAAGTACCATTCGTGCTCCGCGTTGTGCGCTGCCACCACGTTGTGCGCGATCTCGTGCGCAACACTGAAATACGTCGACACGAGCGGATCCGCCAACTTGCCCTGCTTGACCATCTCGTCGTGCCACGCCAGGTAGTACCGGAAGTTGAGGTAGATGGCTCCGCCGCGATTGAATGCAATCGCTGGGCCAGCCGTATCGCAAAACACGTACATGCTTCGCGGGTCAAGGCCAAAGATGCTTCCCACGGGCTTATAGACGCGGTTGATCAGGCGTTCCAGCGCAGCTGCATTGGCTTGCAGCATCGAGGCAGCATCGAGCGACGTGTGCAGGTATACCTTCATTCCTGCCACCTCGCCCGCCAGCTTGAGATCCGTCTCGACGCCTTGATCGCAGTACGAGTTGGCCGCTTCCTTGATCTGCGTCTGTCGTGCTTCGCTCTTGATCGTCGAAGACGCGTCCGGGCGAGAGGCACGGATCGCCTTGAGCACGTTGTTCTGAATCGAAGAGAGAGGCGTCACTTCGCTGGTCGGAGCTGTCGCGGCCCGAGTCATGCCTGTCGAGGACGAAGACGGTGACAATGCGCCCAACGATCGATCCTCATCGGATCGTCCAGCAGCTGCAATGCCCTCTGGACCTGCTGGCCATCCTGAACCTGCGCCAGGACGCTCGATCGAACTGGTCCCGTCGGCGAGCGAGCTGCGTGGCTTGCCTCCAGCCTGCATGAACTTGTTCTTGAAGCCAGAGAAGAAGCCCGTTCCAGCATTCATGTTGCCGCCGCCTGCTCGGAGATCGGAAGGTGCACCAAAGTCGTTTGTGAGCTGATTGCTGGTCGATGGAAGCTCCTTGCTTCTGCGCGGATAGTTGCTGCTGAGCATGTCGTTCGTGGTGCGCTCGACGTGAGCATCGCTGTGGCTTCGAAGCGCCTGATCCACGTAGCTGGGATCTGCGTCGGGAAAGACGCTCAGCACCTGCTTTCGCCAGTCGGCCAGCTTGGCATCTGTCGCCTTCTCCTCGGCAGCTCGCTCTTCCGCTTTCAGGCGATCTTCCCGCATCTTGGCCTCGGCAGCTTCTCGTTCCGCCTTGCGCTGCGACAGAATCTTGTCCACGTGGAAGCCTCGGCGCTTGAGGTTGCGCAGCGAGGTCGAAAGCAGCGTCATGTAGAGAAGAACCTCCTGCAATCTTTGCTTGGTGAGCAGATACTTGCTCAGCGACGTGGCCACCTCGAAGAAGTCGACTTCCATCGAGGACGACAGATGCAGGATCAGCTTGGAGCCACGCATCGACGCAGTAGCGGTGCACTTTTGCACGTTTTGTTCGTGCACTCGGTCGTAGCGCAGCGTTCGTACCAGACGAAGTCCCGCTCCGTCGATCTCCTCGACTTCCAGCGCCCCCTTGAGCCACTCTGCATCCTTGCGAATCTCGGAACGAGAAGACTGTCGCTTCTCGAAGAGGAAGAGAGGCGTACGTTCGAGGACGAGCGCTTTGATCTCGCGAGCGCGCTGGGTGTCCTTGAGGACGCGTCCTTCGATCGAATAGCGCTCCTCGACCAATGCGCTCAAGCGAGGCGAGCCGAGCTTCCCGTACAGCCCTTCTTGCAACAGATCCTCGTGTGGCGCATAGAAAAGCGACGAAGCGAAGAGCATGTGCGAGTTGGCGTCATCGACAATGATGACGTCCGATGGCTTCTTGAGCGCGTAGACCAGCGTGCCAGTGTCGTCTGCCTCTTCGTCCTGCTCGTCGTCATCATCGTCCAGCAGATGACCTGTTCTTTGACCGCTTGCTTTTGCTTTACTCTCGTTGACACGCTTCGAGCCAAGCAAGAAGGCAGAGCGTGCCATTTGATTGCGAAGGGGAGTGCGGATGCGGCTCCAGTTCGTGGCAATTTGGCGAAGAATGCCAAGGTAGGCGTCCGCGCTGCCGGCGAGCTGGTAGAAGCGTTGCGGCTCACTGACCAAACGCTCGGCGACCTCTTCGATGCTGGGCTCGTTTCGAACACCGCAGTTCTTGAGGAAGGCTCCTGCGACTGAGCCAAAGTCGCAATAGAAGAAGACATCTTTGAACTGCGTGTCCGAGGCCGAGCCGCCAAAGTAGCAGTTCATGGGTGCCACCAATACCACCTCGCCCGTGGCAGACGATGATGACGACTCCTTCGCAGCGGCAGCATCCACTGCAGCGCTGGGCTTGTTGCGACGCACAGGAATAAATTCGGCGCCTCGCAGTTGGGCAAAGTCGTTCAGACTGAATTCGGGCACCGTAGCCAGGTATTCGAAGATCTTGCGTGCCAGTGCTTCGTCCTTGGTCGGCGCGTTGACGAGTTTGTAGATCAATTGCGCTGATGTCGGATTCGAGCGCAGGCCAAGCTTCGGCAGATCTGCGAGATTGACTTCGGGTCCAGCAACCGCGAAGCCCATGACGGCAGCTTCGGCGTTCGTGAAGACCTCGGTGGGCTTGCGAAGCACTAGCTTGTTCTCGTTGGGCAGTCTTGCTGGTACGAAAGCGTACTTTTCGGCGCGGTAGAGCGTGTACTGGTTGGCATAGTGCGCGTGGAACTTGTCGAAGAAGAAAGCCATGGCTTTTGATCGCAGAACCTCATTTGACGAGGTGGACGCCAGCTCGAGCACGGTCTCCATGGGCGGGTAGCGTCGCAAGCCTAGATCAAAGACAAAGCGAGCCTCGTCGGAGTTAGGCTTCCACGGCTTGTCGGCCCAGTCCAGTACCGGCAACTGGAGAGCCTTGAGCGCCTCGGTAGGCTCGTACAGTTCGGATGCGCGATAACGAACGATGCGAGGCTTGCCGTCTTCCTTGAGAGAGCCCACCTCGCCGTGCTTGGGGAAGATGGCGGTCTTTTTGAGCCTTTCCCTCTCCAGATCTGAAAGCGTGTCCTTATTGGAAGCGAGATAGGCGACTAGATCGACGTGCGACCATCCTCCGCCCGCCACGAGGCGGTTGAAGATCATCTGCAGCTCGACATGGCGACGCACACCGAGCGCAATGAGCATCTTTTCCAGATTGCCTTTGACTTGTGCTGTAGGGAGCTCGACAATGGGCAGATCGGAGAACAGCGAGACGTTGGAAAAGTAAGCATCGTTGGGCTTTTGCATCTGTAGGCGAGTGGGGATGCAGGTGACGTCGGCCAAGATCTGCTGAATCTCGTCGTGCTGGGAGGAAGGCAGCGCGAACCAAGCTCGAGACAAAGTCAGAAGCACCTTTTCGGCAAAGGCGGGCGTCGTCTGCAAGTTTGTCTCAGCCATGGCAGTCGATCCAGAACGCTGAGCTTGGACACTGATCTGGACGAGGTTCTTGAGCCACGCCGACACCGTCAGCTCGGACCAGCCAAAGACGCGCGAGAGCTCGTTGGTGGTGAACGACTTGGAGACCTCGTACGAAAGACAAGTGTCTGGGAGAGGCACGTCGGTGGGCAGACGAGATGTGTTGAGATAGAAGCGCACCGAGCTCAGAGGCTGAATCTTTTCGGGAACAGCAGCGTCTTTGGGATCCGCAATGGTGAGCATAGCATTGTTGAGCAGCTTGGAGCGCAAGCTGATGTCGTAGGAAGGATGCGCGGCGACGCTGACCCACCACTTGAGACAGGCGACCATCTCGAGTGGCGTGAGAGCGCGCGAGGAGAGCTCTGAGAAGACATCGTCCATGGTGATATCCTGGACGAGGTTGCGGGAGCGGACTTCTCGCACAAAATCGGCAGCTTCGTCGACGTGATCCGGGGGAATGACAGCAAGGTCCTTGATGAAGTCCGAAAGGAGCGCGTTGGGAATGCGGACCGCAGCTGAATGCTTGACACCGCGCGTCGACATGAGCGAGATGGTGTTCTGGCGTGCTGCACCGAAGAAGGAGGTGAGGAAGAGGGAAGAGACGCGCGACGATGGCGACGAGGCGCGGAAGGTGAAGAAGCGCATGAGATGGAGCGCACGATCTTTGAGTGCTGTTGCCAGAGGATCGTCAGGCTTGGCCGGTCGCTTGTCCGAGAAGGTGTTGGTCCATAGACGACCAATGTCGGTCAGCTCGTTCTCGTAGACTGCGCGTGCGACGTAACCGCCCATGGAAAGCAGCTCCGAGTTCCACTGGGCACAGTATTTGTCGACAAAGTCAAGCGATTCTCGTTCGACAGTTGGGATGAAGCGGGCAGCAATGTGGCCGCTGAAACCAGTGGTCTGATGAGTGCGGAAGCCGATGAAGGCGTGACCTTGGTCTTCGAGACGAGGCATGAGTCCAGAGAAGATCTGACGAACGCCTTTGTCGAGTGCAACAGCTGAGGACGTGATCGATATCGAGGCGTCGGCTTCGTCGTTCTCGTCGGGGAAGCTGGCGTCGTATTCCTCTTTGCCGGTGAAAATGAGGTGGAAGGCGGTAACTTTGGGAGGTGGTTTCTTTGTGCTGCGTTCGATCTCTCTTTCGAAGGCTTTATCTGAAGAGACACTGACGTTGGCGGTGGCAATGCGCAGATGTATCGAGGCCGAGACGGACGTGAGCGCGGCGGCCGTGGCATCGAGACGGCGTTTCTCTTGTTCCTTGGCAGCGTCCGCTTCTCTTCGTCGTTGCAGCTCGCGTTCTCGTTCCCTTTCCTTTTCCTTTGCGGATGAAGATCCAAAGCCAAAAGCGCTCTGTAGCATCGAAGTCAAGCCACCGCCGGCTGTCTTGCCAAGCGCGGACGCAAGCGATTGCTTGGATCTGGGCTTTTCCTTCTCTGCTGCATCGATGACCAGTTGCAGGGCTTGCACGTCGATTTGAACAGCGGTGGATTCGAGGTCACGCACTTTCATGATACGATTAGGGCTGTATGCGTTCAAATGGCCGGGCATGGACATGGACTTGGGGAGAGCGAGCTTCTTATCGAGCTTGCAGAGAAGGTGATCGTCCCAGTAGAGGCCGACGGAGCGAATCTTGGTGGTGAAGGTGAGCGAGGTGGCAAGGAACTTGGCGAGGGCCATGGGCGAGTCTGGGAAGGGCGAGGGTTCACGGAGAGCCATGAAGAAGGTGGTCCATGGATTCCCGGAAGGTGAGTTTTGGCGATCGGCGTTATTGGCTCGCTTTGTGAAGAGGGCATCGCCTTTCCAGAAGAAGCCCATGAGCTCGTCGCCTGAGGAGACGATGGGCTCTTCGCAGATGCTGAAGAGCGAGTAGAAGCCGACACCAAAGGCACCGATGCGGTCCGGATCAGGATTACCCTCTGCGATCCTTCGAAGTCTCGACCAGTCGTCCTTGCCGAAAGGTTTGCCATCGTTGCGAAAGACCCAGTTGCTGAGCGTAGCTTTGAAGTCGGGTAAGAGGGTTGAGGTGGACGCACCCGCTTCAGTGGAAGCAGCCGCTTTGGCACGTTGTGACTCGAAGCGAAGCTCGCAGTGAGTAGCACCAGCATCATCTGCGTTCTGGAGGAGTTCTCTGAAGACGGTGAATTCAGCGGCGTACCTGGCGAGGATTTTGTCGATGAGGGCGCGCTGATTGACGGTGATGGCTTCCTCTTGGCGAGCGTCGTTGAGAAGAGCTTTGCGAGCGAGCTCGCTGGCAGCCGAGGCGGCCATGTTGGGCGAGCTGTTTAAGATGGAGGACGTGGTCAGTCAAGGAGGCGACAACCTTGACGAGGGAGCGTCTGTTCGAGGAGGACCCTGCATTGAAAGGCGTACGCACGCAACCAACACTTTTGGGCGGCCGACTCAGCCATCTTTGAGCCGTGGCTTGGCAGCGCTGAGCTCAGCCCGAGCCCAATTTTGTCAACTGTCGAGAATCGGCAACTAACATTCTGCCCAAAAAAGGGGCTGTTGAATTGGAAATCGACTCGCGCGCCCGCTCAACCGCCGTGTCTCTTATGCTGCCACTCGCTCAACCGCCGCCTTTGCCCGTCGGAGACGGCGGTCGAGGCAGAGAGCGGGCGAGTGTCAACGTCATTCTTGAAAACAGACTGCTCTCTCAGCATAGCACCAAGCATCGACCGAGCTCATCTTACCACCACTGCACTCGACAGCTGGCTCTATTTTGGATCACGTAGCTTCATCGGACTGCCACTCGTCATCAGCGTGCTTTGCATTGTCAACCCACTCTCGTCATTTCACAATGCGGTGGGCGCTACAAGATGGAGATGCGTGCGGGTGTTGTTTCTTGTGGAAATTGACGAGCGTGTGCTGTGCTGCAGGTGGGCTGCAGCTGTTGTTGATCTGAGTTTAGCACATCGCCTTGGCTCTTGGCTGTGCACGCGAGAGAGTGTGACGCAAAGCCAACAAGGCGGTGCGAGATGGAGTGAACCACCCGACTCGGAATGAGAGCAAAGACGGAACCCTCTCCCGTGGTCCAAGGCACACACACACACACAGCACGTTTGACACTTCTTGGCAGGGACACCGCAAGTACGTTTTTGACTCAAGCTCATCTGCAACCTTCGCTTTCGACCACCGTCTTTCCTGGTCAACCCACACCACACGCATCCCCTTTGACCCGTCTCGACTCGATCACATTCATAGGACCTGCAGCTACATCCAACACGATACCTGCACACCATGTCGGCCTCGACACCATCTCATACAGCAGAGGCCTCGTCGGCGGCCACTCCTGCCATCAACGCAGCCTCGACAGCAGAGCAAACCTCGAACGCTTCCACCTCCGACGCACCCTACACCTCCAACATCAAGCCTGCCCTCGTCAATTCCACACCCAGAGCCTCCAACGCCAGCAGCACCAACCACGTCACCCAGCGTCCCAAGCGCGCCACCATCGCCGACTCGGAACCCGACATGCTCGAAAAGGGTCAAGCCAGCTCCACAAACGATGACGGCTCTTATGGTTCCTCCTCTGATCCTGCCTTCTCATCCGGCACCAGGAAGCGCACCGTCGACCGGGATCAATCTTCCATCGGCGAAGGTCTCGGCGGTCCCTTTGCCGGTCCCCCTCGTCGAGCCACCATGGACTCCAAAGCCACAATGCGACGCTCCTTCAACGAGCTCTTCACTCCCGAACATCGTCTCGGCAAACCTCCTGGCACTCTCGCCAGTCTCAAGAACATCCTCTTTGGCTCCTTCCTCAACATCCTCCTCGTCTTCATCCCCGTCTCGTGGGCACTCCACTTCGCCCTAGACCAGAACGTCACCAAGAACGGCATCGCCGTCTTTGTCACTTCCTTCCTCGCCATCATGCCTCTCGCCACCATCCTCTCCCAGGCCACCGAAGAACTCTCGCTCAGAGTCGGCGAGACCATCGGCGGTCTCATCAACGCTTCCCTCGGCAACGCCGTCGAACTCATCGTCGCCATCGTCTCGCTCTTCAACTGCGAGCTCATCGTCACCCAGACCTCGCTCCTCGGCTCCATCCTCTCGAACCTCTTGCTGGTGCTCGGCACGTGTTTCTTTGTCGGTGGTCTTCGCGTCAAGGAGCAGGTGTTTCTGGAAGCGCCCGCTCAGCTCAACACGTCGCTCCTCATGATGGCCGTCATCTCGCTCGTCATCCCTTCGGCCTTCCATGCCGTCCTCGGCAACCTCGATAACACCGTCGAGCGTGCCGACATTCTCAAGTTCAGCCGTGGCGTCTCCGTCTTGCTGCTGCTCATCTACATCGGTTTTCTGTATTTCTCCCTCTCGTCGCACAAGGAGTTTTTCCAGGACGACAACGAAGATGAGGAGGAGCAGCCCAACATGAACATGACCGGCGTCATCATCTCGCTCGTCGTTGTCACCTGTCTCATCGGTGTTACGTCCGAATGGCTCGTTACGGCGATCAACTCGGTCACCTCGACGGGCGCCATCACTCGCACCTGGATCGGTTTGATCTTGTTGCCGATTGCCAGCAACGCCACTGAGCATCTGGCAGCCGTCATCTTTGCGTGGAAGAACAAGATCCAGATGGCCAGCTCCATCGCCATCGGCTCGTCCATCCAGATCGCCCTTTTCGTCATCCCCTTGCTCGTCCTCATCGCTTGGATGGGAGGCAAACCTTTGACCCTCCTCTTCGACCCTTTCGCTACCATCCTGCTGTTTTTGACCGTGCTCATCGTCAACTTTGCCATCGCCGACAACAGGTCGAATTACCTCGAGGGGTTCGTGCTCATCATGGTGTATCTCATTGTCGCACTCACCGTCTGGTTCGTCCCCGACGACCTCGCCGACACGCTCTTTTCCGATGAGTACTGCAAGACCGGTTGATTGGTCGAAAGGGTTTTGTTAATAGGATTCGTTCTCTCATCGCACGCTCGTTTGTCGTTGTTTTCCGTTGCACGCTTTAATCTATGCTGATTCTATGCCGAGACCAGAACGGTGACTGCGTGTTTGGGGTGTGTGTGTTGCCATCCATTCCTCATTCGGAGCGACGCTGCTCTAACTTGGCCACCGTGGCGGTTCTTGCAGCCTGATCGCAGAATGATGCAGCACCGCCGCTGCCCCACGTGCCCTTGTGGATTAGGCTCTCTACAGCTGGCCCCTCAATCGCTCCCCCAATCCCACATACTCGTCCAGACTCCCCGGGTTCCCCAACGTAGCCCTGTTGATCTCCCCGACACTTGCACCGTTGATAATCTTCTTGACGGGCACCTCGACCTTTTTCCCATTCAACGTCTTCGGCACCTCCTCGACCCTCTCTATGAACCTCGGTACGTGTCTTGCGCTTCTCTTGGTCCGAATGAGACTCGAAATTGTCTTTTTGAAGCCCTCCCAATCGATCCGCGCTACCGGGCTGAGGACGAGGAAGAGGCATACGACTTCATCGTCTCCCGCTTTCGTCTTGAGGGCGACTACGAGGGAGTCGGTGATGGTGGATGCCAGGGGGTTTTCGGGGCTTTCGAGGAGCTCATAGATCTCGCTGCTGCCAAATCGAATTCCGCCAGGGTTGAGAATCCCATCGCTTCTCCCCATCATCACCAGCCCACCGTGGGGGGAGAGACAGACAAAGTCGCCGTGATACCAAACCCCCGGCACCTGGGCGTAGTAGGAGTCGAAGTACTTGGACTCGGGTTGACGCCAGAAGCCCAGTGGTTGGGCTGGGAAGGGACGACGACAGATGAGATCCCCGACGGTGTTGGGCGTGGTGACGAGACTGCTAGAAGTGGAGTCGTAGACGCCGATGGCCATTCCTAGGTTTCGCGCCTGAATTTCGCCGGCTCGGACGGGAAGGGCCACGTTGTGTCCCGCAAAGAGACTGCACAGGTCCGTACCACCTGTAATGGATCCGATGAGCACATCACCGATGTTTTCCAGGATGTACGGGTAGAGCTCTGCACGAAGCGGCGAACCCGTACTGAGAATCTGCCGGACCTTGAGATCCGGGTGCGCCTCGATAGGCTTGTAGTCGGTCTTGGAGAGAGCCCCAAGGTACGCAGCGGACGTACCGAACGTCGTCACGCCCCACTTGGCCGCCAGATCCCATAGCACAGAGACGGGTTTCAACGGCGATCCGTCATACAGGACGATGGGACATCCAACGACGAGTCCGGCGATGAGGAAGTTCCACATCATCCAACCCGTCGTGGTGTGCTGGAAGAAGACGTCATCCGTGGTAAGCCCGCCATGGATGATGTGCTCCTTGGAGAGCTGGAGAAGCATCCCACCGGCGCGGTGAGTGATGGCTTTCGGCTTGCCCGTGGTTCCCGAGCTGAACAGGATCCATAAGGGATGGTTGAAGTCGAGCTGCTCGAACTGCATCTCTCCCTCGTCGCCTTCGGACAGCAGTGCGTCCCAGCTACACCACTCGGTCCCTGCATTGGAGGTTTCTGGGACCGGGTGTGATTTGACGTAGGAGACAACTACAACGCTCTCCAACGCCTGCTCGTTTACCCCGCGATCGGCTTCCAGTCCCTCCACCACCCCCCTCACTTTCGCTAGATGATCATGCACCCTCCCATTATACCGAACCGCATTGACACTGACCAGCATCTTGGGCCTCACCGTCCTCAACCTCTCCAACACGCCTTCCGGTCCAAAGTCCGCTGCGGCGCTCGTCCAGACCGCGCCGATGGACGATGCAGCCAGGAAGGCGACCAGATTCTCGATGTTGTTGGCGGAATAGCTCGCGACACAATCATCTTTCTTGATCCCTCTCTTGCGCATGGCACCGGCGACCTTGGCGGTCAACTCGTACAACTGGGCAAAGGTGATGCTCGTTTCATCTAGCTCCCCTGTGCTCGTGTCGACCTCCGTGGACTGAATGACGGCAACCCGCTCGCGCAGGGGGGAGGAAGGTAGGCCATGACGCAGGAGGTTCTCGGCAAAGTTCAACCTCGCACCCTCAAACCATCGGGGAGGCGGGTAGATCTCCGCGTTGTCATCGATCGCTTTCACCGCCTTGGTCGACGAGATGACGTTGGTCTCGTCCCACACGGTCGACCAGAACTCATCGAGGTGTTCGCAGGACCATTCCCACAGCTCGTTGTAGTCTTGCAAGTTGAGCGAGAAACGAGAGTTGATGGTTCGCCGAAAACGGTCCATCGAGGTGGCCGAGGGGTCGGTCGGCGACCACACCAGCTTGCCCTGAATCGATGCGTCGACGCTGTCCATGTCTGCGGTAACCGATGTGTATGTGATGGAGGGGGAAAGGATGAAGGAGAGCTGGTCCGGGGAAGAAGGTTGCATCCCGGTCAAACGGGTCAATGCGTCGGTCGGCTGCCAAGAATGCCCCAGAATTTGCGGGGTTACCGATTGTCGGCCCCTTCAAGTCCGGGATAGCCGAGCCTCAGTGTCGACTCGCGTGTCCCCTCCTCCCTCACCCCGACCATGCTGAGACTCAGCAATCAACTCGCAAAGCATCCCACATATGCGCTACTTCGCGATGAGGTACACAGCCCATCCACCATCCGCAACATCGCATCCATCGGCTCAAGACACACACACACCAGGCTCACACCAAAGCTTAGGATCAAACATGTATATTTTTCAAACGGCGAAACTACCATCCCTTAGAGCTTAGGTCCAGCAGCGGAGACCTCGGCGCTGACGTCGTTGGCGTACTTCTCGAAGTTGGTGTTGAACATCTCGGCCAACTTGTGAAGCTCGGTCTTGAAGGCGTCCTTGTCGGGCCAGCTGGTGGCGGGGTTGAGCAGGTTCTCGGGAACGCCCTCGATCTGGCTGGGAATCTGGAGGTTGAAGACGCCGAAGTTCTTGAACTTGGCCTTGGCGAGGGAGCCGTCGTGGATCGAGTCGATGATCTTCCTCGTGTACTTGAGAGGGCAACGTTGACCGACACCGAACTTGCCGCCGGCCCAACCGGTGTTGACGAGCCAGACATCGGCCTTGTGCTTCTCCATGCGCTCGGCGAGCATCTTGGCGTACACACGGGGGTGAAGGACGATGAAAGGCTGACCGTAGCAGGTGGAGAAGGTTGGCGACGGCTCCTGGATACCATCCTCCGTACCGGGCGTCTTGGAGGTGTAACCCGCAATGAAGTGGTACTGCGCCTGGTTGGCGTCGAGCTTCGACACAGGGGGCAACACACCGTACGCATCGCACGTGAGGAAGATGATGTTCTTGGGCGGCGAGTTGGCCATGCAAGGAATCTTGGCGTTGGGAATGAACTCGATCGGGTACGAGCAACGCGTGTTCTCGGTGATGACGACATCGTCGTAGTCGACCTCACGCGTGTTCTTGTCGTACACAACATTCTCCAAAACGGCACCGAAGCGGATGGCGTTGTAGATCTCGGGCTCCTTGGCAGCCGAAAGACCGATGCACTTGGCGTAGCAACCACCCTCGATGTTGAAGACACCCTCGTCGGACCAGACGTGCTCGTCGTCACCGATAAGCGCACGCTTGGGATCAGCCGAGAGCGTCGTCTTGCCCGTACCCGAGAGACCGAAGAAGAGCGAGACGTCGCCGTCGGGACCCTCGTTGGCCGACGAGTGGAGCGAAAGCTGGTTGAACTTGACGGGCATGAGGTAGTGCATGACCGAGAAGATGCCCTTCTTCATCTCACCGGCGTACTCGGTGCCGAGGATGACCATCTCGTGACGCTTGAAGTTGACCTCGACCGAGGTGGAGGAAGTCATACCGGCGGTGAATCGGTTGGCAGGGAACTGGCCGGCGTTGTAGATGATAAAGTCGGGCTCACCGAAGTGCTCGAGCTCCTCGGGGGTGGGACGGATCAACATGTTGTTCATGAAGAGGGCGTGGTAGGCACGCGAGCAGATGATGCGGACCTTGATGCGGTACTTGGGGTCCCAGCCTGCGAAACCGTCGAAGACATAGATGTCCTCGCGCGTGTTGAGGTAGTCGATGGCACGCTCACGGTTGATCTCGAAGGTGTGCTCGTCCATCTTGATGTTGACGGGACCCCACCAGACGTGGTCCTTGGAGGTCTCCTCGAAGACGATACGCTTGTCCTTGGGCGAACGACCGGTCTTCTTGCCCGAGTAGTTGATCAAGGCACCGGCGGACGAGATGACGGCGCCCTCCTTCTTGATGGCGTCCTCGTAGAGCTGTGCGACGGAAGCGTTGCGCTTGAGGTGGACACGGTCCATGTCGAAGCCGGCATCGGAGAAGAGCTTGAGTTCGGCACCGAGGAGGGTGTAGTGAGGGTTGTTGGTGGGCAACTCGTCGTGGTGGTTTCCTGGCGACGTCATTTTGGGCGAGGGTTTCTAGAGGGTGATGATGCTGGGTGTAGATATGTGTGCTGTGGTGAGAAGCGGTAAGGAGGAGAAGGACGAGGTTGGATGTGGTGAGAGGATGAGAAGAAAGGAAGTGATGAAGAGCACGAGGCAGTGATGCGACGAGCAAGGGAAGAGGAGGTGGTGGGCAGAGCAGTGTGGGACAGGTCGGCGAGCCACACGGAAACACCCGTGGGAGCGAGGGCGAGGGCGAGAGAGGGGACAGAGGGAGGGTGGAGGCGGAGCGGGCGAGAAGGAAAAGGCGGGGCAAAGGTGAGGCAAATAGTCAGTCTCGATGTGTGAAATGAAACGAGGCCAGGCCAGGCCAGCAAGCGAAAGTGACACTCAAGCAGACAGGCAGAGGCGGCGGTGATGCATGTGCCATGTTGAAGCATCGGAGAAAAGAAAGGTTTGAACCCGTGACACCGGCAGCAGCAGCAGCAGCAAGACTGCCTTGACCGCATTGGCCAGATGCACGAATGTACATTCGCTCGTTTGTCATTGGCTGCCGACATTGCATCGACGTCGCTGTTGATTCGTTGACACAACCCAGCGTTGATCATCGACATGGACAACGACGACGACGAGCAAGTGTCAAGCGGAAGTCGACAACGACAACGACAACGGGCAGGGGAGAACATCGAGCAACAGCAGCGGCCGTGAAAGGCAGCAGTCGATGACGGTGCATGCATGGCAGCCAGGCACTGAGCGGGCAAGCGCGGCAAACAATGGCGGCCATTGAGAACCGGCACAACGGCAACAGCTCCATCCCGATCTTGGGACTGCACACAGGCAGTCCCAGCTCGGCTTCTCGCCTGTGCCAGCTTCCGATCGACATTCGCCTCAAGGCAAGGCCAAGAGAGCGATGATGACCACGACGCTTGGCGAGGGGCCGAGGGCGAGGGCGAGCAAGAGGCGGCGGCGGCTAGGCACAAGGGAGAGCAATCACGGCTGAGACAGTGCCGTTGGCCTGTGAAATGTGAAATGGCTCTTTGTGCGACAGGGCGGGGCAGATCGGAAATGGGCGCTCTGCTGATCTGCTGCCGCTTTTTTGGTTTCAGGCGAAAGCGGAAAATAAAACAATTTTGGTCCATTTGGAATCGAGCCAAAATGATTCATCGTCCGCTTCAAACCGAGAAGCAGGCAGGCCAACAGCAGATCGGCATCCGTCATGGCTGTGCCTCGACGATCCAAGCCTACGCATCACCTGTCAAGGCGGCCGTCGCCATCATCGAGCTGACTACCAGTTTCCTGACAGTATGCCAAGATGGATACGACGAGTGACCATGCGAGAGCAGAGCAGACAGAGAGCGAGGATCCAGCCAAAGTAGCCGGTCGACCCGAAAAAGTGGAGAGAAAAGAGCGACGGCTGACTGAGACGCACGCTTCTTCCCCACATTTTTCTGAACGGATCTTTCCGTCGACTCTTCCGCTTGGCTGCACGACGCATGCACCATCGATGTTGCACAAGCCATCAATGCCCTGGCATCAAGCAGCGTGGCAGCAGCAGCGACGACGACAACGATGGCATGACCACGACGACAAGCTGATGACAAGAGTGCAGAGCCTTGCCATGCCACTGATGCTCCAGCTCTGCCAAGTGGGGGAGATACCAACGAGCTCGGGAGCCCACGAAGCGAGAACGACGACCAGGTGTGCAGCAAAACTTACCAAACGACAAATGCGCTGATGTCCTGATGACCGAGGAGTGGTGGTGGCAATGAAACAAATGCGAGAAGGACCAGGCAACGGAAGCAAGGATGAAAGGGGGATGATGAGGGAAGAAGAGTTGGAAGAACCGAACCAGAGGTCTTGCTCGTATATATGTCTTCTCAACACTTGCGTCTCGAGGCAGGCGAGCTAGGCTCTCTGGCTAGGATCGGAATCCAAGCAACAGAATCGGAACATCACGGACAGGCAGCGCTCGCTCTCTGACGTCGATATCAAGCGTCGCTCACTAACTTAGTGTGGGTCCAGGGGTGGGACTGGCGGGCGGGCTTTGCAGCGACCCACCTCACAATCTCTCGCATGCGGGCGGCACCCAATCGGGCGGCCCTCGACAGGGGTGCTGTGCTCACATGCTGCGATTCGGCATGCAGGTCCCCAGACAGACGGCAACTGTCGATCCCAGCGCCAGTCTCAGAGGCTCTCGATCGGCTCTTACAGTAGTCTGCCAGCGTTGTTGCGAGTACAGAGCATGGATCCAGGGTTTGCATTTCCAATGCGCGCTACGCCGAGTCGCTTTCGGAGAGTTGCGGGTCCCGGAGACACCCGATATTTCTTCTTCGCTGTCTTCTCCCCTCGTCGAGCTTGATGCAGTTGACCATCGCTGCGATCGCACGAAAATGTTCGAGCTTGACCCTGCAGGGTGCATCGACGCAAGAACGGCTTCCTTTGCGTGACTGTTCGACAGGCAGCTGTGCAAGTCAAAGCACCTTTCGAGACGAAAAAGCATTCTGACTTGCGTCCAAGCAGCGTAATATCACCAATGGAAGCCGTCCCATGCTGGGTCGGGAAGCTATGAGGTCGAGCCGACATCGCACATGCAAATGGAACAAAGCTACAGTAGTACGCCGCGAGTGACTACTGGCAGCTTTGTCGCTTGGACGAACAAACAGATCCCGGCCCACAGCCCGAGTCTTCCGATATCGCTTGGACCAAATTCAAAAATGTAACAACTCTGGAAAAATGTGGGTACAGTAACTGCATTACTTACACATGACTAATCTCACTCCACGTCTGCGCGCCCGCTTTGGCCAGCTCAGAAGATTCAAGCATGCACAAGCTGCTTCACTAGCATCTCCTTGTCGGCGTCCACATCTCTGCTGTACACGCGCGAACTCATCCGTCGACCATGAGCGAGGCAACAAGACCAAGGCCACTGGCGGTACGTATCAGCGTCCCTGCGCTTGACTCTGGCTCTCTGCGCCCGCCGCATAGATATGAGCACCTGACAGCGACTGACGAGCGTCTCATCCTGCTTACCACCCTCCCGACTCCAAATCCTCCTCAACGCTGCGCTCTCTCACCTCGTTTTGATCTCGATAGTCGCTACACGCAAACGCGCCGCCCTTCAAGCCGCTAATCCCGACCGCACTTCTCCCTTATCTCGCCTTTGTCCTCCTCTCATCCGTCTTCCTGGCCGCGTTCTACTTCACAACGTGAGTATCGCATGCATCTGGATGCGGGGACCGCTCGGATATCTCGTCATCAGCACGTATACTGACCCCATTGACCTCTGCGGACGTCGATCCCATCCTAATACGGCCCAACTGCCCACTCGCTCGAAACGCTCCACAGACTACCAAAGCGAAGCGTCACATCGAAAGAGATCATCGTCGGCGTCGTCGCCAGTCTGCAGGCAGGCTTTGGCGTCGTTGCTCTGTTCAATGCTGTTGGCGTCTATGTATGATCGCAAAACGCCGGTCTTAATCACCGCGGTGGACAATATAGCCTTCTTCTCGTGTCGCTTTTGCTTTCTTGCAAGGTGCTGTCTGTGAGAGCAAATCGAACGGCTGAGCACTGCGTAGCGTTCTGGACGGTACTTGCTAGCCTATAGCGACGTCTTGGGCGGCTTGAGACTGCACAAGGTTGACAAGAAGCGTTACGGGCTATGCGTGAAGTCCTTGCAGCCGCTCGGATTTGGTGCACGTTTTTTGCTGCCCCAATTTACGCCGCACATTTCTGGCGTGGTAGGTATCTTATGGCCGTACCATGGCGGACGAGGTGCTTGCCATTGTGTGCAAGGCCAATCATGCCCATCTTTGCTTTTCTCTCTCCTGTGTCTGAGCTAGCGGCTCGCACCATGCAGACCGGCACCCGCTAGGCTGACAAAGCAACGGCTCGAATGCGGAGAAAGCGAGCGTCGACGCTTGGGAGAACGCCGAAATCGGGCGGTCGAAGGAGCACGATCGGTGGACCCTGGCTCACAACCCACGCGTCTCGTCATAACCTTCATTTCGACGCCCACCACACGCCCATCTCCGCGCCGTCGCACTCCCACCCCACCCCATTCTTTCAGGAACAATGCCGGCGACACGCACGACGCCGAAGGATGTGCTCATCCGAGTGCCCAAAGTGGAGCCGTATTCGAATCGATACGTCCCCCCATCGGCGCGTGCGCGGGAGGAGGCCAAGCGGTTGGCTGCAGCAGCCGTACCCGAAGGATCGACATCGACGCTCGATGTGGGTGTCATAGCAACCTCGACCACTGATGCAACCGCCACAATGCCACCGCCGGGAACAAGAGAGGTAATCGAACCCATCGAACAGGGATCGAAGGAACGCGGCAACTCGCCAACCTTACCCTTCCTCTCGATCGACCGCGAGGAGGAACGAACCGTCGAACTGTCCAAAGCGGCCACCTCGTCGGCGGGATGGAACAGCCTCCTTGTGTGGGCGAGACGACAACGCGGTGCACAGTGGGACGAATCCACCGCCCTCTGGCAGGTCGATCGCGGTTCCAAGGAGTATTACAGCTTCGGAGAGAATCCCGCTACCACCCGACGCGGCGATAAGCAAAAGGAAACAACAACAACAACAGCAACAACAGCAACAGCACCGGTAGTGGTCGAGGAGGACGAGGATAAGGGACCAACACGCGTGTCTGCGAGGAAGATCGAGGAAGCCTCGGGAGCCAGCCCACCACCCGTCTCCAGCGGAAGAACAATACGTCTGCTCCGCAGATGAACGACGATCCTTTCGTTTTACTCCCACGGAAGTCCATATGCCATGTAAACTTATTCTCCGCACACGATATCCAAACTGATCATTTCATACGCAGGTGCCGCACAGGCGAACACGCATCTGACTCAGACCAAGGTGAAGCACGCGGACGATGCCGATTTAGAAGGACATTCGGTTGCAGGGTCCACCAAGTGATAGAGCATCTTCATTATGCAATGAGGTTCGGCTTCCTGCGCTGCGTCCAGCTCTCGAGCTGCCTCCAAAAGTGGCTCACCGCCTGCTTGTCGGTGTGCCTCTTGTTCCGATCCACCTGCACCTCGACCACATTCCAATCCCTGACATTGGGGTTCTGCGGCTCGTTGTGCCATCTGACGTAGACGCCCATGACGTTCTTGAACAGCTCCCTCGGCTCGGTCCATCGGTAGGTCTTGAACTGCCATGCTTGGCCGGTGGTGAAGACGGCAATGACGCGATTCCACGGATCCGATCCGGGGGCGGAGGCGCTGGACCCGCCCAACCTCGTCACGGCCTCAGCACTGTCCACCACCAAGATCCTCCTCCCGATTCCTACGCCCGCCGCGCCACCCTGAGCGCCCGTGCCGCCGCGGCTGGTGATGGAGACGACGAGGTCTGCGACCCCGCGCGCTCGCTGCCTCGCCTCTTCCGGCGCCACAAACACGCCTTCTTCCAAAAACTGCTTGATGTTGAACATGTTCAACAGACTCGTGGGCGAACTCGACAGCACAACGATGGGATCCTGTGCTCGCTGCTTCCTCACCTGGCCACTAGCAGACACACCTGGTCTCGACGCCGATGGAGCACTTCCGGGGGGTGGCGCCTTGCCCGCTGCCCGCCGCGCCGCTTCCACTTTCGCCGAAAATGATCGTCGGAAAGATTCAAAGTCGGCCACCTTGCTCGAGACGCGCGAGACGGCCGCACCGCCCGTCAGACCGGCCAGATTGCCCCGCAGCGCATCGTTGCGCGTTCGCAGCACGATCTCGTACGTCCCCTTGACGCGTTTGACATACTCGACATCGCGCGCGTTGACCTGGTACGCACGCTTGACGCCTCCGACCTCGGCGGCGGAAGAAGCATCCGCGCTGGTGGTAGCGATGGAGGCGGTGCCGGTCGATGCTGTTGCTGCGGAGGAAAGGTCAGCGAGTTGGAGCACACCCGCCCAGTCGTCTCGTCGGCCCAGCAGGTAGTCGAGGATCGCCGCCCTGTCGAGCGTCGGAAACGATGCCACTTTGGCGGTGGCCGCTTGGGCGAGATAGGCACCTGGACGCTCATCGCGCGCTTGCAGGGCGAGGATCACGGCTTCGACATCGTAGAAGAACGAAGGCTCTGCGTCCGGGTGCGGAAGGTTGCCAGAGGAACGACGAGAGGCGAGGTCGTCTCTGGATCTTGCGAGGCGTGTGGTGGTAGACTTGTTCAATGTGGCTCCACCAACCTTGATGGAAGATGCTTGAAGAATGGATGTAACTGGTGCGGACTGACTGTCGAGAAGCTGTATCGATGCCAGCGGGTCCACCGGGTTGGGTGTGGATCTGATCGCCTCTCGAATCAAGTCGAGGGCATCTTTTGCGCTGGAAGAAGCCGTGGCAGCCATTGCTCTAAAAAGCGTTTACCGCGCTGCGAGTGTATGGCAATGGTCTGTAAATGCAAGCGCGAGGTTGGAGCAGAGGAAAGGAAAGATCGTGGGTCGAGGTGCGTAGTGCGGAAGAAGTCGATGATAGAGTGTTGGTGTTGGCGCGAGCTGCGACGGCGAGGTCTCTGAAATCCGAGTCCCGATTTATGGCCGATTTGAGAAGAAATTTCGCTCAAACAGCGCAGCGCAACAAGAAAAGTCCTAAAAAAGTTGATACCGAATGGAATGAGTACATGCTACATTACCCTTCGCCACCACCAACTGCATACTGATCGACGCCATCGACAGCTGTGCATCCCCGATCCCAATCACCTACAAGTCCCTCAACCCGACTTGTAGCTTTCTACAATGGCTCGTGGAGGTAACCGTGGCGGAGGAAGAGGAGGCGGTCGCGGTCGTGGCCGTGGCGGTGGAGGAGGTCGTGGTCGTGGAGGAGGCGGCGGTCGAGGCGGAGGACGTGGGGCTCACAATGGAGGTCAGCGAGCCTCCTACTTCCCAAGCGACCAGACGAACGCTCGTCTCGAGGCCTACTACATCGACCAGGGCATCCTCGACCCCTCCGAATGGGCCACCTTCATGGACTACCTTCGCACCCCCCTGCCCACCACCTTTCGACTCACCGCCGGCAAGGAGACAACACCGCAGCTCCTCAAGGCGCTCCAGGACATCTATATTCCATTCCTGTCCAATGTCACGTTCGATGGCGAGAAGGTCGACCCGCCGAAGAACCTGCCTTGGTACCCAGATGGTCTCGGATGGCACCTCAACACCAAGAAGAACGTCATCCGCAAGTCGCCCGAGTTCAAGCGTTTCCACCAATTCCTCGTCCACGAGACCGATGTCGGCTCCATCAGCCGTCAAGAGGCCGTCTCGATGCTGCCGCCTCTCTTCCTCGACGTGCAGCCTCACCATCTCGTTCTCGACATGTGCGCCGCCCCCGGCTCCAAGACGGCTCAGCTGATCGAATCGCTCCACTCGCCCTTCACCTCCGCTCCCAGCGCTTACAACCCCATGCCCACCGGTCTTGTCATCGCCAACGACTCGGACACCAAGCGCGCCCACATGCTCGTCCACCAATCGCAACGCCTCCCCTCGCCCAATCTGCTCGTCACCAACCTCGACGCTTCCAACTACCAGTCGATCACGGTACCCTACAAGGCCGCCGACGAAGGCGCCGAAGTCGTCCAGACCGCTATGAAGTACGACCGCATCCTCGCCGACGTGCCCTGCTCTGGCGACGGCACCATTCGCAAGAACGTGCCCATCTGGAAGGAGTGGACGCCCAACAACGCCGTCGGTCTGCACGCGCTTCAGCTCAAGATCCTCATGCGCGGTCTCAACCAGCTGCGCGAGGGCGGTCGTCTCGTCTACTCGACTTGTTCCATGAACCCCATCGAGAACGAGGCTGTCGTCGCCGAGGCGCTGCGTCGCTTCGAGGGCAAGGTGCGTATCGTCGACTGCAGCTCGCGATTGCCCGAACTCGTGCGCCGACCGGGTCTCACCACCTGGCGTGCGGCTCCCGGTCGAGGCGCTCATCTGTTCGGCAAGTCCAAGTACGCTCAGGAGAAGGCTGCCAAGGCTGCTGCTGTCGATGCGGTCGACGCCGCCGCTGCGGACGGAGAGGGCGAGCTGGTCGATGCCGACATGAAGGATGCCGAGGGTGAAGTTGACGAGACTGCCGACGCTGTCATCGAGGACGGCACCAACGCAGAGGCTTCGACAAACGAGGCGGCTCAACCAGAGATCGGCTCAGCCGAGTACCGCAACCGTCTCCCTGAGATCGCATGGATCAACGACTGGGAGCAGCTCAACGAGCTGGATGCCGACCTCGCCTCGCGCACGCCCAAGTCGCTCTGGCCCCAAGGCGACGAGGAGTCGCTCGGTACGCAGCACTGCATGCGTCTCTACCCTCACCTGCAGGACACGGGTGGCTTCTTTGTCGCGCTGCTCGAGAAGGTGGGCAACCCGGACGACGAGGGCATGGCCGCCGGTATGATCCGCGCCATGGACCACCTCGATGCACTTCAACCCGCTGAGGAGTCGATCACCACCACGGCCAAGCGCGAGCTGTCGCCCGAGGCAGCCGCGGACGGTGCCGAGCCCGCAGCCAAGAAGCTCAAGGAGGATGTCACCACCGAAGCTGAGCCCATCGAGGTCGACGCATCGACCAACGTCAAGGAGGACAAGCACGCCGCCGACCGAGCACGCAAGGCCGCGCAGCAGAAATTCGTCTCCGAAGGCCACGGCATTCCCGGCGGTCTCCCCTACAAAGAGGACCCCTTCGCCTACATCCCTCCCTCCAACGACCAGGTCCAGGCATGCAAAAAGTTCTTCGACCTCAAAGACACCTTCCCCCTTCGCAACCTTCTCGTTCGTAACGAGGACCACCAACCTCTGCGTTCCGTCTACCTCACCTCGACCACTGCGCGCGCCGTCATCACCTCCGGCGGGCCCGGTCGCGGCAACCACCCGCACATGAACCCCATCTCGCTCCGCCTCATCAACTGCGGCATCAAGAGTCTCGGTCGCCAGGACGCCGGTCGTGACGGAACGCTCGAGTGCAAGTGGCGCATCATCTCGGATGGTCTGCTGAGTATCCGACCGCACATCGAGGAGAGGACTGTGTTGAAGGCCGAGCTCAAGGATCTGGCGTTTTTGATTGCGAACCACTACCCGGTATTGGACCACGTGCCCGGCGAATTCGGGGAGCTGCTCAAGGGCAAGAAGATGGGCAGCTACATCGTCGATGTTCTGCCGAGCGAGCACGAGGGTAAGAAGCTCGAGTACAAACTCAGCTTCCCCATCTGGAGGGCGGTCAACAGTGTCAACCTTATGCTGGACAAGCAGGAGAAGAGGTGAGTTTCGCTTCCCCCACAGCAAAGCGCCATGTCCGCAACCCGAATTTTCTGACCGTGACAACTAACCTTCTAAAATTTTGCCCACCGCCATCTTATCGCCAGCGCACTGTCCTTCCGAATCTTCGACACGGACCTTTCGTCTGCCGACGGCGGGCGTCAATTCTCCTCGCAACCGTCCAAGAAGAAGAAGCCTGCCGACGCCGAGATGCTCTCCGACGCTGAAGACGCCGCGCGGGCTGCGCTCACCACCACCACCGCCGCCGCTGCGGCGCCAGTGAAGGTCGAGCTCGCCCCCTACCAATCGTCGTACATCCAACTCGCACTCGACAGCGCCATCCTCAAATTTGACGGGCCGTACACGCTCAAGTCCGGTCGACTTTCGCCGTACTTCTTCAACGCCGGGTTGTTCAATACGGGGGCGAAGGTGGCCAAGGTTGCGTCGTGCTATGCGCAACGCATCATCGAATCGGCTGTTGAATTCGATGTGCTATTCGGTCCCGCATACAAGGGCATCCCTTTGGCGGCGGCGACAGCCATGGCGTTGCAGTTGCAGCACGGACGGGATGTTGGGTTCTGCTTCAACCGTAAGGAGGCCAAGACGCACGGTGAAGGCGGGTCGCTTGTTGGTGCAGAGTTGAAAGGTCGCGTGCTGATCCTCGACGACGTAATCACAGCGGGAACAGCGATCAACGAGGCAATGGACATCCTCGCCTCCCAACCTGCGGCGGTACTCGCCGGCGTCGTCATCGCTCTCGATCGTCAAGAGAAGAGCCAGAAGGACGGCATCCCCGGCGAAACTTCCGCCATCACCGAGGTCGAAAAGCGCTTCAACACAAAGGTCTACTCCGTCGTGACCCTCGATCAGATCATCGAGTTCATGAAGCGCGACGAAACGACCTACGGCGAAAAGATCGGAAAGATGAACGACTACCGCATCACCTACGGCACTAGCGAGGTGGCCAAGGCCGAGGCGGCCAAGGCTGCCAAGTAGATGGCACAGTCAAAATGTATAGGTTTTCTCGTTTTCAATGCTGCATACACACATTGCCAGACTGTGATGCGACGTTCAAATTGCAGCATACAGTGGGCTTCACTTGCCCTTCTTGACGGGCGCGTTCGTCTTCTTGTCATCCTTCTTGGCGTCCTCCTTGAGACTGACGATCCTGTTGAGGACGATCTTGCCACCCTGCTTCTTGTCCCCGAACAGACCAAGGTCGCCGCTGAGCCTGTCGAGTGCGAAGTAGGCCGTGCGCATGCCCTGGAACCTCACCAGCTCCTTGCCAACCAGCTGGTCTGCTGTTCGCTCTGGAGCGCCGGCGCCTGCACCCTCCGTCGCTGCGGTCTGCGTCTCGCTCTGAGCCTTAGCGGCGTCGACCTCGGCCTTCTTGGTCCTGTCCGCTGCATCGCGGCGAGCCTGCTCCATCGACTGGCGCGCAACGTCCCAGAAACCAACCTCGACCATGGCGCCTTCCACAATCTCGAGCGAATCCGGGTTGACGTGGTCCAAGAAGTTCTCCTCCGCCGCCGGGTCGTCGGACGTAAACAGCTGATGGAAGATGCGCGTCTCGTCCACGCGCACTGGGCTCTTCGACGGTGCATGCTCGGCAACCCACTGGATGTACGTCTTGGGCTTGGGCGTGCTGGCATCGCCGTAGGTGGCGATCACCTCGATCGGCTCGCCCTGGTCGTTGGTCTTGAACGACGTGCACGTGATAGGGTAGGGCACTTGGAGCAGGCCAACGGTCTTGCCCGGTGCGAGGCGGAAGTAGTCCTTGCTGTCCACGGCGCGGAAGTCAGAGGCGTCGATGTAGACGGTGCACGTGAAGGGCATCTTGTTCGTGCCCATCTCGGGCGCTTTGGGATGGAGCGGCTTTTCGAGCTCCTGGAAGTGGTCAGCGGGCAGGTTCTCGATGGTCACCTTGAGCGGGTTGAGCACCATCATCAGTCGCGGGGTGGAGAATTCGAGGTACTGGCGCACCGCCTGGTCGAATCGGCTGATCATGATCGTCGACTTGGCCGTGGTAACGCCGAGTGAGCTGACAAACGACAAAATCGCTCCGGGAGGAACACCGCGTCGTCGAAGCGCAATGAGCGTGAACATGCGCGGATCGTCCCAGTCCTCAATGTATCGCTCCTTGACCAACTTGAGGATCTTGCGCTTCGACATGACTGTTCCCTGCAACGCCAAGCGGCCGTACTCCGACTGACGCGGCTTGTACACCTCGAGCGCATCGCACAGCCACTCGTACGACTCGCGCGAGAGGATGAACTCGGTGGTGCACAGCGAGTGACTGATGTTCTCGAAGCTATCGACCAGACAGTGAGTGAAGTCGTAGGTCGGGTAAATGCACCAGTCCTTGCCCGTGCGGTGGTGCGACGCCTCGAGGACTCGGTAGGCGATGAGGTCCCACATCTGCGGGTTGCCGTTCTCGAGGTTCTGCTTCATGCGGAGTGTGACCTTGCCGGGTGGGTATTTGCCGTTCTTCATCGCCTCAAAGTCGTCGAGCGACTCGTGGATGGGGCGGTCGCGGTAGCGCGAGGGTTTGCGCGGACCACGCTCGGGCCCACCTCGCTGCTCCTTGATCTCGTCGGGGGTCGAATGGTCGACGTAGGCCTTGCCGCGCTTGATGAGCTCGACGGCGAGCTCGTAGAGCTGCTGGAAGTAATCGCTCGAGTAAGTGACCTTGAACGGCTCGAATCCGAGCCAGCGCACCGTCTCAAGAATGCTGGTAAAGTACTGCTCCTCTTCTGCTTCCGGGTTGGTGTCGTCGTATCGCAGATAGCAAAGACCGTTGTTGAAGCGAGCGTAGCCAAAGTTGACTGCGATGGCCTTGCTGTGTCCGATGTGAAGGAAACCGTTGGGCTCTGGTGGGAAACGCGTCATGACCATGCCCTTGGTTGCAGCAAGGTGCTGTTCTCGAAGCTCTGGCTTAATCTGCGGGTTCTCGCCCGGCTTGTGAAGGTTGGCGAGGAAGCCCTCTTTGAACATGGCGTCCGGATCGACGGGACCTGCTGGCGCTGCATCTTTCTTTGCATCGGCAGAGGTGGAAGCAGCTGCCGGCTTCTTCTTTTCCTTAGGCGGTGGTGCCTTCTTGGGACCATATGTGGCAAGAAGGGATGCGTCCACGGCACTCTTGACGTCGACTGCGCTGGCCCATCGCATCTCTGGTGTGGCCTTGACACCGGCGAGGATGGAGCCGAGCTTGGGCCAGCCCTCGACGGGATCCAAATCGGATCTGTGAGACGCGATGTAGTCGTCTACTGCCGAGCGGCATTGCTCTGGGGTAACGACGACGCCTGTGGATCATTCACATCGGAGAAGAAGCATTGTCAGTGGTCTGCAACACTGCCAAGATGAAGTTTGAGCAGCAGCGAAGTAAGTCAGATCGGATAGAAACTGCATGCCATGGGGGAGACGAGTCTCCCTTTCGGCTCTAATACATGCGTTTTGGTTTTCTGTATCTCATCCCTCGAGGTTGCTGCTGCTGCTGCTGACTGCTGGATGTGCACTTACCAACACCACATTCCTTATCAAAGGAAGCCTTGTCTGGCTCGCCATCTGTTGTAGCGAGGAACTTATATGCCGCGTTGACTTGATCGGAAGAAGCGAGGCTACCGTCGACGATGCGTGATACGACATAGTCTCTCTTAGGCTTATTGGAGGCCTCTTTGGCTGTTGAGGCGGAGATGATGAGTGCTGATGCTTTCGGGTCGAGGGACTTGCTGGTGAGGTTGTTGTCGGCAATGACGCTCTCGAGCGCAGCAACGTGTTTTGGGTTGGTGAGGGTCTCGACAGCCCTGTTCCCGCTCAGGTTGAGCGACTCGAAGAGCTTGAGAAGCCTCGCATTTTCTGGATGGTTGACGTCGACCTTGGGGGGCATGCTGAGTGTCCTTTGTTCGATGGGGTGTGAATGCGATTCGGGTATTGAGCGGTGGTGCTGCTTGCTGTGATGAAGAGTCAGCAGATGTGCTGACGTGCAGTCAAGGGGAGGGCGCGAATGACAGATTGTAGGATGGTGTGGTTGAACGTCAAGGAGATAACGAAGTGTTGCTCAGCGAAATCGATTCGGGCTGAGCTTGAAGCGCAGAAAGTGTCGATCTTTCTTCTTCTCGGTCCAGCTCAACGAAAAAGTGACTTTTTGGACACACCAGGGTCGAGCGAGGCGAGTCAGGTTGGCTCGAGCTTTGGCAGTAAGGCGCAGCCCGATCGTGTCCTGATTCACTCACCCACTTTGTTTCAGCCTCAGAGCAACCATTTCAAACCTAAAATGAATTCGATTCAACACGTCGAGGCGTGCTACCAACTTGTACTGGGACGTGTCAACTACCGCAACGTTCTTGACCATCTGGAACGTCGAATCGCCCTTCTCGACCTCCCGTTGGCACCACACTGACGGCCAAAACAATGCTGTCCGCCGTTCAATTGTTGCATCCGACAAGCGCCGAAATGCCCTGACCCATAGCTCCACCGCCTGGAAGTTCGCCAAGGAACGAGAGTAGCGTACTGCATATAAAGCTGAACTCGTTGTTTCGCTCGAACTGCAGGTCGACGGTGACTAGCATATTACTCTCCTGTCCCGAGGGGAGTATGTGCCTGACATTTGCGCTAGGAACCGTCTTCCAAACGGTGGATTTCCAGCGCGCATTGTCGTAGCAGACGTCTCTGATCTCTCCAGTCTGTTCGCGCTCCAAGAGGGCCTTCATAGTCTCCTTCACGTGGACTAGAGAGATGCTATCCACGACCTCACCTAATATCTGGATTCGTGCGGTGGCTCGACGGCTTTGGCACACGTACTGGTTCTTGTAGCTGATCTGAACGAGTCTGCCCATGTCTGTGGTGCCTGTGAGGCCTCCATTGCCTTGACCCGAACAGTAGAGTTGGTTGCAGTCATCGCCAGAGCTGACGCCGAAATCGTATGGTATGCTGCGAGTACCTGTCTCGACCCGATCGTGAGATGTATCAATCAACGTTTTTGCTTCACCGTCTCGTCTAACCACGCTGCGTCGAGCGTTGGCGTCCGCCGTGTGATTGGTCACCAAATACATGGTGTTAGCGAAGGTTACGCGGATGTTGTCGTCGTCGTCGTAAGGCTCGAATTTCTTGCCGAATACTTCCGCCCAGTGATCTAGGTTATCAAAGGCGTCTTGGTCAACGGTGCCTCTTTCGATGATCTGCACCACGTCTCCTCGCTTGTGCAGTCGTTCGACGTGGCGGAGGCCACAGCCGGATGCCAGTCCCTGCTTATCAGTGATGTCACAGATGGAATTGATGAGGGCGTAGATGTCCGAAGGGCTGTCAGCCACATCTTGTGCAGTAGTGGCACCTGCTACGGCAAGGAGGAAGAACAACGCGACCATATACCACTTGACGGCACTGCTCTTGGCGCTTCCATTGCTTGGCTTGACTGGGGAGCAGTACGCGGCCGGAGGGCGATTTCTGGTCTGATCAATCAGGCAAGTCTCGAAGGCACCTTGATTGTTGGTTGTGCAGTACGCAGTCTGGTTGATGGCCCAAAGTGATCCGGTGCCGGTACAGCACGAGGCTGTGAGCGTATCGTTGCTGGTCTCGCAGATGGTCATAGCTGCTTGCGCGATGTAGGACTGGAGCAGCACGGCTCTTGCTGCGTTTATGCGATCTTGTTGTAGGGAGAACCGAGTGAGTAAGGATGGGTGAGGGATGCTGTCGACAAGGCAGCTAGATACAAGCCTTTATATAAGCAGACAGTGCGCCTTTGGCAAGCTTGGCGGCGCGGCATTCGCCGTTGAGGAAAGACTCAAACATCGCTGTGCTGGTTTTCAGGAAAGACTCGAACGTCGCTTTGCAGACCCTTGGGAGAGAGTCGGGCATCGCTTTGCTTGTCGACAATGCGGATCTCGCCGTTGCGAAAGACTCGACCGCCGTCTTGGCCAGATGCATGTTGCATCCCCAATTCCTCTACGTACAGACACGCGTTCCATTTTGACTCAGGTGAAAGCAAGATCTCAAATTGGCTTCACGTCGTGAACCCTGAGGATGCGCCCCGACCTCCGAATCATAGAAGGCGCCGTGTGCAAGCCTGATAACGCGGGACTTGCCGCCAGGAGAGACTCGAGCATCGCTTTGGTGGGCGAAAAACGTTTGCACAGGAGTGGGCGACAAAAGCAAAGTGGGCACGAACGTTCTGCGTCCCACAGCGATGCAGCAGCGGACACGCGTTCTGTTCTGACGCTAGATGGCGTCCATGTCCTGATTCACTTTGCCACCCCTTTTCGGACTTCAACACTCCTGCGCAGAAACAACAGATGGCTTCCGTGGGACGCTGTGAGTGCTTGTCTCAAGGCTCGGAAACACGACGACTTCAATGAGCAGGTGTATGGAGAGTTGCAGAGACTCGGCCCGCACCTTGGCGACGTGCTGATCGTTCGACCCGAAGGAACAAGATGAACAAGACAGCCCGTTTGGCCTACAAACGAAATGGCGGCGGGTGAGCCTTTATGCATTAGTTACACCTGCTACCGCAAGGAGACAGAACGAGACGACCATATACCACGCGACAGTTTTGCTCTTGGTGCTTCCATTCGGCTTGACTGAGGAGGCCTGAGCCGCCAGACAATTCTGCCAAGCACGTTGGTCGTCGACCGCACCGGTCATACAGTACACAGTCCCGTTGATCCCGTAGATTCCCCCAGTGCCGGTACAACACAAGGCTGTGAGCGTGTTGTTGCCGGAAAAGCCAACACCTTCACGCACTACCACCTGTGCGTTAGTGACACCGGCTACAGCAAGGAGAAAGAACAAGATCACCATGTACCACTTGACGGGATTGGTCTTGGCGCTTCCATTTGTCTTTGTCTTGACTGGGGAGCAGTAATTGGCCGGAGGATCGTTCCTGGTTTGATTGAGCAGACAAACCTGCCAAGCACCTTGGTTGCTGGTCGCACACTCGTACTGAGTTTGGTTCATGCCTGAGAGTGACCCGATGCCGGTACAGCACAAGGCTGTGAGCGTACCGTTGCTGGTAACGCAGTAAATCATAGCTGCTGGCGCGTTGTTGGACTTGAGCAGCACGTATGGCTGTTTTCGGTGATTCGGATGGGCTCTCGCTGCGATTCGGCGATCTTGTTGGTAGGAAGAAGTGAGTGGAAACGAACAGGTGAGGGATGTTGCAGACGAGGCGATCAGACACAAGCCTTTATATAAGCCGTGGCTGGATGCGATAGGAATGCAATTGTCGACACTTGGGTAAGGCGATGAAGGTGGTAGGTGGGGGCACTTGTTGTTACTCGATGCGAAAGCGGATGCTCCGACGGTTCGGAGTAGGCTGCGATGCAGCACTAGTCTTGTCTTGGCAGCGCAGCTCAAACACACTTCATCAACCGCATAGCCTATGAGCAGTGCCTGCTGCGCTACGGTCTGTCAAACGCTCCGCTATGATGTTGAACCTGTATTGTATCATTTCCAATTGCATGACCCACAACGGAGTGCGCCTTTTGCAAGCTCGACAAGGCGGGACTCGCCGTTAGGAAATACTCGAACATCGCTTTGGCGGGCGATAGGAGAGACTCGAGCACCGCTTCGCTGTGCATAAAAGGTGGCGGCGAGAACAATGGCGGAGCTGCAAGCGTGGGAGGGGATCTGCGAGCCTAGCTCGTCTGAGTTTGGTCGAGATGACACTGCTGCATACAGTACTTGTTTTGCTTGGCTGTGAGCCCTTCGACGCGCCTTTTCCGCGCTTTCAGAGCACGTCCCCGTGCATGTGAGCAAGCAGCGAGATTGAGTTGGTGCAGGACAAAGATGATCTGGAGCCAAAACACACGGCGAGATGAAAGAGCGAAGCAGAGATATGGTGCGGCGAGCGAAGTCACTTGCCAAAGAGAGTTGGAGTAGCGAGGCTCAAATGGCAAAAGAGACTGGTGGCACAAACATCTGCGCAGCCGTGAGGACCAAAATTGCAGACGCGGGGGGGACCGAGCTCAGTCAAGGGCAAAGGCGAGACCCCTTTCCATCTGCGTGGCATGTGCGTGTCTCGCAACAGTCGGAAGCGCACGCGCCGTTCCACTGGTAGAGACAAAGGAAAAAAAGCTCAAAGAAACCCTTCTTTTCCTGGTTTTTGAGACGCAGCAGAACCCTTTTTTGCTGTTCTTGTGCGCAGTGCACACACACCCACACTCGCGTTTGCCCGTCCCGCGTTGACGGCTGAGAGTCAAGAGAACCCTTTTTTCCCCCTTTCCCCTTTGTGGTGCGGTGCGTGCCACTCACACAGTCTCAGACTGGTCAGCTGCCTCGCCTGTCAGACTGTCACAAAGCTGCTCGCTTCTCGCTTCGCTTCAAGACTTCCCCCGCCTCCCTCTTCGCGCCCTCACAATTTTGCTCGTCCCTTTGTCCGTCACTTGTCGTTGACTCGTCCAGCCCACCTCATCCTTTCACCCTCCCATCTACTCTCATCATCTCATCTCATCTCATCTCATCCTATCCTCACCTTTCCATCATTCGTAGCATTCCCCACACCGACGCATCCGCGTCCCACCACAACATCATTCGCATCTACACTTTGCGAATTCGCAGCGGTGCTTCCATCTAGCCGATCCCAGACCCCGCCTTCTTCTCAGCAAGCCGCACATCCTCTCCGCCAAGGCGGCCAGGCTCTTCGCGAACTACCCGACGCTTGCTCCACACAGCCTCCTCCGGACAATCGATCTCTCCAACTCCGCTTCCGCGCCCAGCCGGTTCCGTCACACCTTTGTGTCGCCGGTCCAGACTCAGGGCAAGTTCCCCCTAGCGTCTCGCCGCTCGCGTATCGTGAGCACATCCAATACTGCGACAGTCCCCACTTCGCACGCCACAGACTAGGCCAAAATGGGTTGCGGTGCATCAAAAGTTGATAAGGAGGGGCAGGCGCGCAACGATGCCATCGAGGCTCAGCTCAAGAAGGATCGCATGGCCCAGAAGAACGAAATCAAGATGCTCCTTCTCGGTGCCGGAGAGTCGGGCAAGTCGACCATCCTCAAGCAGATGAAGCTCATCAACCATGGCTCCTACTCGAACGATGAGCGAGAGTCGTACAAGGAAATCATCTTCTCCAACACGGTCCAGTCGATGCGTGTCATGCTCGACGCCATGGAGCGACTCGACATCCCCCTCGCTGACGGCACCAACGCACCCCGTGCCGAGATTATCCTCGGCCTCTCCCCCAGCATCGAGTCGGATACGCTGCCGAGGGACGTCGCTGACGCCATCCACGGTCTTTGGGCTGACGAAGGAGTGCAGGCGTGTTTCGCGAGGAGTCGCGAGTACCAGCTCAACGACTCGGCGAAGTACTACTTTGACTCGATTCAGCGCATGGCTGAGCCCAACTACATGCCAACAGATCAGGATGTGCTGCGCTCGCGTGTCAAGACCACCGGCATCACCGAGACACATTTCCAGATCGGCGAGCTCAACTACAAGCTCTTTGACGTCGGTGGACAGCGATCAGAACGAAAGAAGTGGATCCACTGCTTCGAGAACGTCACCGCCATCATCTTCCTTGTCGCCATCTCCGAATACGACCAGTTGCTGTACGAGGACGAAAACGTCAACCGCATGCAGGAGGCACTCACGCTCTTTGACAGCATCTGCAATTCGCGATGGTTCGTCAAGACGTCCATCATCCTCTTCCTCAACAAAATCGACCTGTTCAAGCAGAAGCTGCCCATCTCGCCCATGGCTGACTACTTCTCCGACTACACGGGCGGTGCCGACTACAACGCTGCGTGCGAGTACATTGTCAACCGTTTCGTCAGTCTCAACCAGAGCGATGCCAAGACGATCTACACCCACTTCACCTGCGCCACGGATACGAGCCAGATCAAGTTCGTCATGTCGGCCGTCAACGACATCATCATCCAGGTCAATCTGCGCGACTGCGGTCTGCTCTGATCTCTTCGCACATATTCCCCAATAGCATCGTTTCGCATTGACACTCAACAAGACTCTCCTTTTCCATACGCACCAAAACCCCGCTCTCCCTTCTCCCCTTACATTCTGGATTCTCGGGCGACCGACAAGGCCTTGCAGTCTCGTCTCGGCTCCCCGTTGTTACGTTTTAGATTCACCGCACACAATCATCATACCATTGACCCTCGTGACTTGCTACTGCGGCTGTGCCAAGCGTGCAGCTTGCGTCGTTGCGACTGGCTCAGTTCGCCCGGAGTGCGACCTCCTTGTGAGACTGCAATCGGAGCAGGTTGAATGAATTTGGCGATTGACTCCCGATTTGGCTACAGTTGTGAGGCCCGAGCTTTGCCGCTGCAAGCCACGAGCTGTGAGAGGACCCTGAATTGACCATTTTTGGCTCGGTTGCGCCGGTCCAGCAAAGGCCCGACCGAGTCGCGTCGCTCAGCTTGCTCACTTGACTCTTCACTCCCACCAGCAGCTGCCTCAGCTGGCCCCTGACACAATGGACTCGATACCCGGCGACCAGTGGATCGGCGAGTATGCCAGGTGGCTGCGGGTCCACGAGGCCAAGCTGGGCGATGCAGCCGCCTCGATAGCTGCTGCTAAGCGCACTGCTGCCGCCAAGGCGGGTCGTGATGCACAGGCGCCGGCCTTCTCATCCAACTTCTGGAATGTCGTCACCCTCGGAACGGCCACTGGACCCGCGGCTGCTTCGGATGTGACGAAGTCAGCATCGACATCCGCATCCTCACTCATAGCTCGACCGATGCTCTTACGGCAAAACCCGCACAACGTCTTCTACCTGCTCATCCGCTTCGAAGAGCTCGGCCTGCCGACAGGATCTCTCGACACCAAGATCCCCATCGTCGCACGGCCAACGTCTTACTTTTCCTTTGTTGCTGCTTCGGCTGCAGACAAGGACCGGGATGATACCATGTCTATGAGCTCGATGCGCAGCCGCATGAGTGTCGTATCCTCTTCCTTCAGCTCGTCGCTTTCATGGTTCAGCACATCCTCGAGCAAACCAGATCCGTCGAAGGACCTCAAGTACATCTACTCTTGCTTTACCAAGATTCCGAGCTTGCGGCTTGGACCGATTCCGGCCCGCAAACTCATTCAGGACTTCGAAGACTGTCCTGGGCAGTCCGCTGTTCCGCTCGATGTGTTCAAGAACCTGCAGACGCTAGAATTGGACGACGTCGATCCACGCACTCTCATCGGATGGGACCGAGCATGCATCCAACTTCGCAGTCTGACGTGCAAGAAGAGCAACATCGAGGACCTTACCGACCTCTTGGTGGACTTGGTCGTTGTCGACGCAAAACGAAGACGTGGCGAAAAGGTGGATCTCAGACGGCTGCGACTACCAGCTCCGACCACACATGCTGGTGCATCGGCCTCAAACACCGCATCGAATACGGACGTGGAGGACAACATCACGGAAACCTCGATCGAGCCATCAAGTGCCGCCTCGACGGTAGCAGAGGCAGAGGCGACCCCGTCAATATCCAAAGATCTCCCCTCATTAGCATGGCACTTCTTGCGGCATCTCAACCTCTCCAACAACAACCTCACCTTTGTCCCTGTCGAGCCGCTGCTCTGTCTTGCAGAGCTGACCAGTCTCGACCTCTCTTCGAATCTGCTCAATGTGGTCCCACCTTCGCTCTCCCACCTCCCCGCTCTGACCTCGCTCAACATCTCGGACAACCTCATCGACTCGGTACTCGGGATCTACGATGCCCTTCCCGCCATCCGCGTCCTCAACCTCGCCAAGAACCGTCTGGAAAGCCTTTGTGGACTGGAACGCCTCTACTCGCTACAGCGCATCGATCTGCGTGGCAACGCCATCTACGAAGCTGGCGAGGTGGGAAGGCTCGCACCATTGCCCGCGATCGCCGAGATCTGGGTCAAAGACAACCCGTTGGTTGAAGAGCTGGTCGACTACCGTGTGGACTGCTTCGTGGAATTCGCACAAGAAGGGAGAACAGTGGCGCTCGATGGCGAGGCACCTGGTTTCTTTGAGAAACAGAGGATCGCAGAACGTGTGCCCAACGCTGCCGAACTCTTCGCCCTGGCTAGCTCGAACGGCAGCCGGATGGTCAGCAGCTCAGCAAGTGGCACAACAAGGGGCAAGTCGAGAGCAGACGCAACCGAGGAGGATGAAGCTCAGCTTGCAAGAGATGTCGCCACCAGCAGCCGTGGGCCTGTGGTTGTCAAGAACGTGCGCCATCGCGCCGCCGCCCGCCCAACGAATGATACGAGAGGCAGGAGCGAGTTGCTCAAGGTGCCCGGCAGTGAGAAGGCCGGCGGTCAGACCGAAGACGCGGGGGCATCAAAGTTGGGATCGCGTTCAACGTCGAGAGAGGGCGCACGCGGGTCAGGACCAGGACGAAGAAAGAATCAGCGCGTCATCGAACTGGACTCCTCGCCCCGGAAGCCGACCGCAGCTTCGACTCGCGAGCGTACTCTCACCGATTCGGATCGCATCAAGCACGCGGCACTGTCAGGAAACAGCTTCGCGGCCATGGAAAGCCCCGAGGCCGCTTCTGCAGTAGCAGCATCGAACGGAGCCAGAAACGCGGCGAAGGAACCGGAATCTCCGCTCAAGGAGGGCAAGATGACTTGGACGAGGAAGGGCGGAGCAGCTGCGGCTCAGCTGTCCGCCGAGGACAGTCAGTCGAATCACGGGTCCGGTAGCGCATCGATCGCTTCAGCAACGAAGGGCAAGGCCAAGTCGACGTCTCAGGACGCGGACGTCTTGCGGGCTCACAGCACCCTGCTGCTGGCCATCCCGCCAGGTCTTGCCTCTTCTTCGGACAGCAATTCGGCATCCAGCTCAGCAAGTCGGCCAGGACAGCCGCGCACTTTCAGCTCGCGTCGCAATCCAATCGATTCGAGCACGCTAGGGCGGAAGTCGGCCGCTCGTCCTTTGGCGTCGGATCTGTTCGCGACATCCAACACAGGAGCTGTATCAGCGACAACCAACGACGTGTCTGGTGGCACCGAGACGCCAGCAGCATTGGCGAGAGAGCGAATCGCGCGCCCACGCATCGGCTCCACCGCGGCCCTGGCCAGGCGGTCCCAGGTGACGACGAGCATGTACGATTCAGACCTTGCCTCGTCCTCCTCACCGCTGCCGACGAGCGACGCACCTGCTGTCCGAAGCGAACCCAGCTCGAGCGATGACAAGCTTGCCGCTGCATTGGCCGAGAACGAGACCGAGTCCTCGAGTGGCACGCGGTCGGACGCCTTCCGACGCCGCATCGAAGCGCTCAAGTCGGAAGTGGGCGACGACTGGTTGCGTCTGCTAGCAAGAGGTGGCGGATCGACGGCCGATCGAGAGTCCCTCCTGCTCGCGGCTGACGAGGCGGTGCCGGCAGCAGAAGAGGTGACGCGCGTGGCGAGGTCCAAGAAGACCCGCAAGCCGCGCTTGACAGCAGAGGAATCACAGGATAGCGGCGCCCGTCGGAGGGCCGCACACATCACGTAGGAACTGCAATACCAGCATAGTCGGTCGAGAGCGAGAACTCGAGTGTGAGAATGAAAAGAAATGTTACACCGACCAAGCCAACCCGATGTGGACGCCATACTTGGCAGCAAGCTCCTCGGTTTCCCGACATGACCAAAGATCATGCTCGCTTCAATCATCCCTGCGAAAACGTCGGTGGCCTCATCAGAGAATGCCGAAGCAAGCGGCTCAAGGCGATGATGAACCACGCTTCTCGCCCGGGAATCTACCACGTTACTTCTGGCACCATGTCTGGGCACTCTTGCGCAGACTGCAGCTCGCTTCGGTCTCGGCAGGACAAGTAGATTTCGGCTTTCTTTTCGAGTCGTGACCTTGCTTCAGGATCCGTGACAGCACCAAGCAGCAGATGCGACCTGTAGTTTCTCGCAACTTTTCGCATCGCATCGCCTCTCCGCGTGACCCTGCGCTGTTTGCAGACGGGAATGTAGCTCACGGACTCAAACAAGATCTCCGTCAGAGAGATCCCCGTCAGACCCTGGCCAGAAACCCGAGATTCATGCTGTACGTCCTACCCCGCAAAAAAGATCGCCGACAGGGCCCTGGACATTCCCGCCGGACGTAACTACCCCGCAATGGGAAAGATGCATGAGAGAAGTAGACAAAGACAGACGCATGACGGCACGTACCAAATCTGAGGGGCCGGCGGGCATGAAGTGCGGAGAGCGCCCTTTCCAGAAGACCTCCTGAAGTCCGCCTTGACGATGCATAAAAGGAAGGACCTTCTACCAAAGTTATGCAACCTATTGCTTCTCTCCTCATCCGATTCCCCTCCGCTTCGCCTTCCTTGCTTGACAATGCCTCTCTCCTCCTCCTTCTCGCGCCTGAGCGTCCTCGCCGCGGCGGGTCTGCTCGGCGCTGCCTCCTCGGCCTCGGCCACGGCACTCCCCAGCTCGCACCTGTACGAGCGTCAATCGGTCTCTGCGCTTCCCACTCCGGGGATGGGCTTCAACACGTACAACGCTTACGCCTGCTCGCCCTCGGAGTCGACCTCACACACGTCGATCGATCACCTTCAGTCGGACGGCTACCTGGCAGCGGGTTACAACTTCTTCCAAGTCGACTGCGGCTGGGTGTCTCGCAATGCGCAGCGCGATTCGTCGGGTAATCTCGAGACCAACACGGACCGTTTCCCCTCCGGCATGAGCGCCTTGAGCCAGTACGCCACCTCCAAGGGTTTCTCCTTCGGTCTGTACTCGGACGCAGGTTATCGCGCATGTGACACGCAGAGCCCCAGCCCCGTGATGGGCAGCCTTGGCTACGAAGCCCAAGACGCGGCGCTCCTCCAGAGCTACAACGTGAGCTATCTCAAGTACGACAACTGCTACGCTGACGGCACTTCTGGCAACGACAATGCGCCCAAGAACCCCAGGACGGATTTCCCGACCCGATTCGGAAAGATGTCGAGCGCGCTGGCCAACGTGGGCATCAAGAAGCTGCTTGTCTGCCAGTGGGGTGTGGCGCAGAAGCAGTCGGATGGCCGCCTCATCGGACCCTCGCAATGGACGCAGGGGCTCAGCACGTCGTTCAGGCTGGCGGACGACATCGCCTCGGGATGGATCAACGTGCAGCGTATCCTCAACCAAGCTATTCCCATTGCACTGAACAAGACGTCTGGACCGGGTCACTTTGCCGACGGAGACCTGCTCGAGGTGGGCAACTCGGGCATGACGATCGACGAGCAGGCGACTCACTTCGCCTACTGGGCCATGGTCAAGAGCCCGCTGGTCATCTCGACGGATCTTACGGCCATCTCGTCGGCTGCCAAGGCGATCTTGCTCAACAAGGGACTGATCGCGGTGAACCAGGATAGCCTGGGAGAGCCGGTAAAGCTGATTGAGCGCCGGTCGTACAACTACGATCTGCACGCGGGCAAGCTTGCCAACGGTGACATGGCCGTGCTGGCGTTTGACTGGACCAACACGCAGCGTACTATCAATGTGCAATTTGGCGACTTAGGAGTGGTCTCTGCGGATGTGACGGATCTGTGGTCGGGTGCGACGCAGACGGGTGTCAGCACATACAGCAAGCAGGTCAACGGACACGGCTCGATCGCACTGCGTCTGTCCAACATCAAGTACACCTCCACCGCCGCTCCGACGCTGACCTACATCAACGCCGATAAGGGCGTGCTGGCAGGTGCCGCCGTGGTGCAGTCCTGCAGTGGCTGCTCCGACGGCCACGACGTCGGCTTCGTTGGCAACGGCGCAGGAAACACGCTGACGATCAACAACATCCCGGCCACCTCAAGCGAGAAGCTCCTCTACTTCGACTATGTCAACGCCGACGTGGGCTTCTCGTTTGTCGGCGCGACCAACGATCGTGTCGCCCAGATCAGCGTCAACGGCGGCTCGGCGCAGAACGTCAGCTTCCCGCTCTCGGGCTACGACTGGGGCAGAGACGTCGCCAAGGGCTACAGGGTCAGACTGACCGGCTTCAACTCGGGCACTACCAACTCGATCACCATCTCCAACCCCAACGCGTACGCGCCTGACTTTGATCGTATCGGCTACGTGGCTTGATGCGGTCCACTCGCTCTGTAGATGAATGAATCACCAAATCGCTACCCACAATGTAACACAATGACAGATGTGGCACAATGAAAACAGAGAGAGCCCGCTAAGCCGTGAGCGCCTTGCTCGCCTTGCGTTGGATCCTGTCCATCTTGCGCTCGAACGTGTTCCCACGCCAATCAAGCTTGAGTTTCCTGGTGGGCCCAGCGGTCCTTCCGACCCACCTCACGGCGAGCTTCCGAATTGCCGAAGCCTCTTTGTTCCCACATTGCTTGGACGGCGCCGTTTCCGACGTCGATGACCGGAAAACCCGACAATCTTGGCTCGGCTTGGCCCGAAAACCTGGCTTGATCGAAGCGAGAAAAGCGTAAATTGACTTTGGGATTGCGACAGAGACTCAAGCTTGTCTCTTCGACTGTGGCCCGCTGTGGGCCCTTTTGGAAAAGGACCAAAATGTCGGAGTCAGCTCCGCTGGTTCACGGTGGGCATGCAGCAGCAGCTCTGTTGCCATCAGCTGCTCGGGAAAATAGCGCCGCTGCAGCCCGCTTCTTTTGGTGTGAATGGGACAGAGAGGAGGGACAAAGGCTGCTGCAGCGTGACTGTGACTCTTCTCGCCTGGCTCCTCCTCCTCCACGCCAAAGAACGAATCACTCACCCTGCATACTGCTTCTGGCTCAGCCTTGGCCCCAGCTGTCCCCCTCCATCCATCAGCAATCATTCGCCCTACCACCATCATTCACAGCGCATCGTCACTCCCTTGCCCGCTTCTCGTCGAACGCTCCTGTTATCCAACTCAACCAATCACCTCAGCCAGCTCAGCTGCTTAAGCACCAATGTCTTCTCCTTAGGCGTGCCAGCATCAAGCACAGTCATCCGATCAGCCGACTCCAACGCATACATACATCGTCGCAATCGCAATCGCCCCCCTTGTCGCACCATCTCTCCCTCAATGTCAGCCCTCTTTGGTCAAGGTTGCCGATACACTAACTATCAAGACACTTCCCAGCGCGTTCTCCACGCCCCATCCTATTTCGAATACTGAGCCACCTTTCAGCCACTCTGGATATCACACCTATCTAGCATACAGGCGTCAGGCTCTTGCATCGTCCTGCTTTTGCGGTAGAGAGGGGGCCATCCCAAGCTTTTCGTCATGCCGCCCCCTTCTTTCTCACACCAGACCTCCGTGGTCCTTCCGCGAGCCATTCAATCCTGGCTAAAGGACACTATCCAAAAGATCCGATCCGCACTATTGGCCAACGATGAAGCAAAGCGACACTCGATTCTGAGCGCTATCGAAACTGCCGTCGAAGAGCAGGCGCATTCACTTCAAAACGCCGCTCAGGCCGACGATGCCAATCATCCCCCAGCAGCAGGCCCCTCCCCTACAGCACAGATCAGATCGCAGATTGCGCTTCGCATCAACGATGCCATCCACGGCCTCCTCCAAGGCGAGCTCGAAACGCAGCACAACGAAAAGCTTCCCGCCTTGGTCGATGTCCTCTTTGTCACCATGCCTCTCCTCGGGCCGTCCTCCATCGTCATGGAGTGGTGGGACCTCGTCCTCTGTCGTTTGCTCAAGAACGCCTCGGTGCAGAACATCACGGCCAACCGTGCTCGAGAACTCGTTGTCCGTGCCATGGCCGCTGCTTCCTCCGCTGCATACGAAGACGAACCTTCTCCCGTCGCTGTATGGCCGGCTCCGCCTTCTTTGGACATTCCAGCAGACTCGCCCGGTCCATCCACAAGTCCTCGACGAGCACGAGCGGTCCCTTATCCCATGTCAGCCGCCGCCCCGCTCTCTTCCTCCTCGCCATCTCGCTTGCCCCAACGCAGCCCCTCCGCCAACATGGGGTCAGGTCCGGGGAGCCGATCTGCTTCCGTTGGCTCGCGGCAGGACACCTTCCGTCGATTCACTCAGCGCATTCTGGACCTCTACCTGGCCGAAGCAGCTCAGGAGAGCCAACAGATCCGTGCAGAGGAAGCAGGACACCGAGAGCAGAGGCGGGGAAGTGCACCGGATCTTAGCAAGTCGGGCTCCAGTGATCAAGCTTCCCTTCGAGACCTCAGCCACAGCCATTCACTCCGAGATCCAGGCGCCATCGTCTGGAAGGGCAACCTCGAGTCGATTCTTCTCGTCTACTCCAACGAAAAGCCCAAGCAATTCTTCCACCACATTGCAGAGTCTTTCAGCGACCCCACGGCACGTGTTCCGCTCCTGTTCCTTCTCTCGACCTTCCTGCGGCTATATCCCATCCACGCCTACCACATCACGTCAACGGCCCTGCCACGTATGCTCATCCTCTCGCTTCAGCTCGACACTTCCACCACCTGCGTCTCGCTCGGCGTCACGGCACTGATCATGCTCATTCCTCACATCCCTAACTGGATCGCCAACGGAGGAGCCGGCGGACTTCCCACCTTACTCAGCATCTTTGCACGCATCGTCGACTGGAGGCGTCTTGGCCATGGCTGGGAAAGTCGCGTCGGGGATGATCCAGAGCTGGTAGAGATGCGCAGGGAGAAGGACGAAGAATTCTCCGAGATCGATCGCCTCGGCAAACGTCTGAACATCAAGCCCGCACTGCGTTGGAACAGGCTCGAGTCGACCTTTGACACCACCATGTCCACGCCACCCAACGCAGAACACCTCTTCACCTTCCTCTACGGTCTCTTTCCGTGCAACATCATCCGCTTCATGCGCTCACCCATCGACTATCTGCGCAAAGCCTCGTTCGACAGCCCATTTGAAGGGCCGTGGGAGGATATGATGGACGAAGTAGCCGTGCAGAATCGATCTGCCCCCATCCTTCGTCGACACACGATTCACCCATCCATCATCACCATGGACGCCGAGACCGAGCTCACCGACAAGCAGCGCTGGCTCGATCACGACTCGGCTGACATCAACGCCGAATGTCTAGGACTCTTCCTTGGCAAGTGGCACGATGTCAACTCCTCGCACATCGTTCAGGCCGAACGTCAGCGCCACGGATCCACAGAGCACGACGCAGCAGATGACGAGACCGCATCCGTCTTCTCGTCCGAAGCAAGACTCGGTCCCTTCGACATGAGCCGACTGCGCAGTACAGCAGCCCTCTTGCATCCCTCTTCGCCCAGCGGGTCGGCGAACCGACACTACCAGAGGGTGCCTCACTCTGTCAACCCGGACGACATCCTGTTGACGTACGCATCGTTACGATCGGGCGCACCACTCATGTCGACGACGGCTGCGGCCGAAGCAGCTAGCATCAGCGCGCCTACGCCGGGCGGCTTTGGCGTGCCGAGTCAGCCTTTGACCGCCGCTGCTCAACGATTGGACGAGACCGCGTCAACAACGCCAACGGCAACGCAGGCAAGGGTGCCCAGCGGCATGACGGCGAGCGCCACGCTTTCGAGACTGATGCCCGCTGCCAGCTCTACAGCTGCCGCCACACCGGCGATGGTCACAGCTGTCGGCAGCTCGAGTTCGTCGCACGCGCACACATCCGTACCCGCTTCTCCTGCTACCCACGCCTCTCTTGCGCGTGTCCGCTCGCGATCCGGATCGCTATCATCGCAGTACTCTACCAACACCTCGACCAGCCCAGCCACGCCGTCCTCGCCCACATCGAAGGATCGCCATCCCTTGGCATCCAGCCATCTGCCTTCTGAAGCCACCACTCCACAGCAGGAGCTGAGCGGCATGGCGTTCATGGCCATCCCATCGCACGACACAACAGCATCGACAGCGGCAGCCCACAGCCTCGGTAGCGATGCCTCCATCATCTCGTTCCTCCAACGCGAAAACTTGCTGCTGCGAAACGAACTCAACTTTGAGCTGTACCTCAAAGAGCAGCACCTGCGTCACATTGGTCGTCTGCATCGCGAAAAGGTGACCGACACAGCTCTCGAAGCGGAACGTCAGAACCTCTACCACACGGTGCGCACGCTTCGCACCTCGAACGCAACCCAGAGCGCCGAGCTCGAACGCTGTCGCGCCGAAGCGTCCGCGACCAAGTCCCGTCACGTCCAATGGGAAGCCGATCTGAACAACAAGCTCAAGGCGTACCGCGAAGAACGCAAAGCGTGGACGACCGAAGCGCGTCAGCTCAAAGCCCAGGCCGAAGAGGATGCGGCCAACATCACTTCGCTTCAGCGTCAACTTGAGGAGTCTGGCGCGCAGCTGTTTGAGCTGCAAACCAAGATGGAGGCGGACGAGCCCAAGTTGGCGCGACTCGAGCAGTACGAGGCCAAAATCGCACAGTTGACCACCTGCCTAGCGTACTGGGATGCCGACGTGCTCAAGTACGAGCAGCAGAGGAAGGAGATGGAGAAACTGCTGAGCAAGTGGGATGAGATGGCGTATCTCGTCGAGGCGACCGAGGCGACGTTGGCCGAGGTCGAGGGGAGGTGCGCCGGGTTGGAGGCGGAGAACGAGCGGTTGAGGGGCGAACTGGAGGCGGCGTTTGCAAGCGTGAGGGTGTTGAAGGAGGAAAAGGCGCAGTTGGTGGTCGAGGGCGAGCCGAAGGTGCAACAGGCCAAGAGGGAGGTGGAGGAGGTGGGGAGGGAGAGGGACGAGTTGAGGATGAGGAATGAAGGGTTGAGTGCCGAGGTGTTGAATCTCAAGGCGAGGTTGGAGGCGTTACAGATGCGCGATGCCGACGTGCCGCCCATCGAAGCCGAGCTGGAGTCGCAAGCCCGGTGAGTCAACTCGACTCCACAATGTCGCAATGTAATCTTATTCACTGCCACAAGTTCACAAGCCCCCAAAATGAACAGCATCTGACAGACGAGTGTTGCGATTGGACTATGTGCGAGAAGGTATACAATGAAAGGACTAGAGGAGGTAAAGGGTGTCGATGAATCTGGAAGCGAGCTCTCCTACGATGGCGGTGGCGCTGACGCCGCTTCCCAGGCCGTACAAGGTGGCCATGCTACCCTTTTTGCCGCTGAAGCTGGCTCTTGCGGTTTGGACGCTTTCCTTGAGATCCTTGACGAACTCGTCGACGACGGGGATGGTGAGGCGGGTGACGGCGATGTGGATGGCGGGTGTGTCGCCCGAGAGACCGTTCATGTGCCACCCCTTCTTGCTCATGCTGTCTCCGACGTCGTAGATGCTGACGCTGTTGTCGGCGGCGCTGGCGAAGGCGATGACGCTCACGAGCGGTTTGCCGAGGACGTAGAGTTCCGGGATCTCGCGTTCGATCCGCGTGACAATCTCCTTGGTCGCACCAACGATGTCCCGGCATGATTGAGTGTAGCCGCTCTGACCGAGGTGCATCATCGCCGCCCACGTTCCAGCGATCAGCGACCCAGGGCGAGAACCGGAGAGCGTGGGAGTGGCGTAGACTCCTCCAGGCCAGTCCGTCTTGACGTAGTACTGGAAGCGTCGAAGTTCGGCAGACCGGTACAGGATGGTCGAAAGACCCTTGGGACCAAAGCCGTACTTGTGCGTGTCACAGCTGATGCTCGTCACGCCCTCGACTCTGAAGTCGAACGGCTCGCTCTCAAACCCTGCCTTGGACAGGAAAGGAACGAGGAACGAGCCGAGACAGCAATCGACGTGCAACAGAATCTTGTGCGCACGGGCGAGCTTTGCCAAGTGCGGGATATCGTCGATGGCTCCATCGGGAAAGTTGGGTGCGGATCCAACAAGACCGATGGTGTTGCTGTTGATCGCACGAGCTACACGACCGACCAAGACTTTGCGGGTAACAGGGTCGACGGGAATGTGGTGGATCTTGATGCCAAAGTACTGCCCAGCCTTGTCGAACGCTGCATGCGCCGAGACGGAGACGATGAGTTCCGGCTCCTTGATTCCCTTTGTCGCTCTCGCCCACTCTCGCATGGCGAGGCAGGAGAGCAAGATCGACTCGGTTCCACCGGACGACGTCGCACCCGCCGCACCGGGGGGAGCGTTGTACATGGCCAACACCATGGCTACGATCTCGGCCTCCATCTTTCGCACACCGGGGAACACGTCTGGATGCAGCGGGTTGGAGACCAAAAATTGACGGATCGAGTCGGCCAACAGCTCGGAGAGGTCGTCACCACCATGGTAGACTGCACCGGAGACTTTGCCGCCTTTCCACACGCTCTGCCCATCGCGCTCCTTCCAATCGGATTCGACCACCTTGGCGTCTACGCCCGCCTCCATCGTTTGCAGCTTACCCATCTCGCCGCGGATCCACTCAGACTCTTTACCCAACTGCGGCAACGACCGGTTGACTTCGAGGTGCGATGGTCGCGGTACGATCTTCTCCTCCACCTCCTTCATGGCCGCGTTGAGCTCCCGGGCGACTTTGCGTTTCGCCGCCGGCGTCTTGAGCAGCAGCGCAAACGCTCGTGCCGACACGGAGCGGTAGATCTGAAAGAGGGACTCGGAGATGCCATAGACTTTGAGATGCCGCAAGAGGCGGGTGGTGTAGCGGTAGAGGACGAGGAAGAAGACGGCGTTCTTGGCATTGTCGAAGGTGGCGAGCGTACGGAGCGCCGTGATGAGCAGTCGGTCGTCCGAGGCCGAGGCGCGGGCAGAGGTGGCGAGGGTGGAGATGTCTTTGATTTTGGCCGCGGCTGCCTCGCGGGCTGGGGTGCGGGCTGCCATGGTCGTGAGTGCCTGGTGAGGTCGTCGACGGTGGCGAATGGGTGGTAAGAACGATTGAAGCGCAAGGTCTTGCTTGAGAGTCTTTCTAGATGTAGAGAGAGCTGATGGATGGTCGAATCTGAGGGTCGGTTCAGCTCGTGGATAATATAGTCGTGAGACAAGGCACAAGCTCGCTCGACGCTGTTCAAAGGGTCACGGTTAGGATGGGCCGGATGAGAAGTTCCCAACTGCATGGACCAGTGCGTGTCACCGTCTCCGCTGAAATTATTACCCGAGAAGCTTACTTTTTCCCTGCCCGCGCCCGTTACGCCCGTCTCGAGTCGAATAGCGCTCAGCTGCTGACACGTTTTAAGCGCGATACGCCGTCGCACCCACCTACACCTTAACAATGGGCGCGTTTCGACAGCCGCCCCCCGCAGCCGCTTTAGGAATGCAGATTGCGGGCCGCCGGAAGACCATCCGGAGTGGACCACTGCATGGAATGCACCGCCTGGTGAGAGGGAACATACATGCTTCGGACGCTGGGCTCGATTCGCTGCTTTGGACAAGCAGATGGGCGGCATATGGGTTCTAGGCAATTGATGCAGTGATTCGCGCTGAAAAGAACCTCCGTCGTCCATCAGGTGGCTGCACATCCTCTGCTGCCGACGACCTGACCCATCCTGAACACGTCCGACAGCATCCATTGGAAAGTATATTCGCAATATGAGCTTCTGAGTCGTCCTGAGTATCGGCGTTATCTCGGCGTCTCAACGAGGCGCGGAGTGAATCAGCGACCAAGTGGAGGCCAAGCCTCGCTCGAGCAGACGATCCATTGTCTCGTCCACCATCCCATGCAAGCGCTTGCGAGACGCACTCTCACCATGGCTTCCAAGTTGACGCTCGACTCGAAGCTCAAGCTGTCCGACGGGACACTCATCCCGCGTCTCGGGCTGGGCGTGTATGAGATGTCCAACGAGCAAGCCACCCGAGCCGTCACTTGGGCGCTCGAGGCTGGTTATCGCCATTTTGACTGGTAAGCTTGCCTTCCCTACCTATTGTGCGTTCTGAGACGGGCCTGACCTTGAAAACTGTTTATGTAGCGCGGAGTGGTACTACAATGAAGCGGCCGTCGGACGGGCCATCAACGCCTATCTCTCGAGTCCCTCTTGCACGATCAAAAGAGAGGACGTATTCTACTGCTCAAAGCTCCAGAACAACGCCGGCTACTCTGCCACCCAACGCAGCATCAACGCGAGCCTTCAGAAATGTGGACTCGAGTACATCGATTTGTACCTCATCCACAGTCCGTACGGCGGCAAGAAGCGGAGGCTCGAGAGCTGGAAGGCCATCGAGGAGGCCAAAGACCAAGGCCTGATCAAAAGCGTCGGCGTCAGCAACTACGGTCAGCGTCACATCGAGGAGCTTCTCGCCTCGTCACCGAAACACAGACCGACGGTGAACCAGTGCGACCTGCATCCTTTCATGGCCCGAGCCGAGCTCGTCGAGTATTGTCGCGGTGAAGGTATTGAGATGGAGTGCTGGGGACCGCTAGTCAGGGGCGAACGGTTCGACCATCCAGTTTTGCAAAAGATCGCCAAGAAACACGGAAAGACTCCGGCTCAGGTGTTGGTCAGATGGTCGCTCCAGCGAGGCTACGTGACCATCCCAAAGAGCGTCAGCAAGGACAGGATCAAGGAGAACGCAGACGTGTATGATTTCGAACTCGATGACAAGGAGGTGGAGGAGCTGCTGAAGCTCGACGAGTACCTCGTCACCGATTGGGATCCTATTGGCGACTCGTCCGTCTGAATCTCCGTACTCACTCCGTTCACGAACACGCGTCCACTCACAATCACTCTTCACTAGCGACAGAATCTGACAATGATGTCATTGAAGACAGGGGCGAGCGATACGGGCCTACATGGTTGTGTGTGGGTGTCTGTGAAGCTCCTAGGCCTTGGTCTCGGGCACGGCGTCCGGTTCGAGCGCGGGCACTGGCTGGGCCTTGTTATCGGTGGGCAGGGGCTTGTTAGCCGGGAAAGCCAGGACTTCCTTGATCGAGTTGCTGTCCGTGAGGAACATGACCAATCGGTCAATACCCAGACCCCAACCACCGGTGGGGGGGAGACCGTGCTCCAAAGCGTCGATGAAGACATGATCGATCCCCTGTGCCTCGTCATCGCCCTGGTCCTTCTGCCTGCTCTGCTCCTCAAAGTTGGCCCTCTGCACCCAGGGGTCGTTCAACTCGGTGTAGGCGTTGCAGATCTCCTTGGTGGCAACGAAGACTTCGAATCGCTCGCACAAGCCAGGGATGTCACGATGACGCTTGGCCAAAGGCGACATGACCTGAGGGTGTCCCACGATGAACGACGGGTTAACGCACTGCGTCTCGATAAACTCACCCGTCATCTTGTCGATGAGTCGAGAAGAGGTGCGCGGCTCGGAGCAGTCGACGTTGTGCTTAGCCGCCAGGTCGCTGAGCCACTTGCGGGTCTCCTCGGTGTGCAGCTGGTCCGCAGGAGGGAACGTCACGTTCATCTGCTTCTCCAACTCCTTGATCATATCAAATCGCTTCCAGGGCGTGGAGAAGTCAATCTCGTACTCCCGTCCTCCTTCGACGTCCTTACCGTCAGGGTGGTACTTGATCTTGTAAGACCCCGTGACAGCCTTGACCAGACCCGAGATCATCGACTCGGTAATGTCCATCAGATCGTACATGTCGGCATAGGCCATGTAGAACTCGCAGATGGAGAACTCGGGGTTGTGCGTCTGGTCGATCGACTCGTTTCGGAAGACACGGCCGATCTCGTACACCCGGTCCAAGCCGCCAACGACGAGCTCCTTGAGGAACAGCTCGGGAGCGATGCGCATGAAAAGGTCGAGCTTGAGATCGTTGTGGTGCGTGATGAAGGGCTTGGCGGTGGCACCACCGGCAATCTGGTTCATCATGGGCGTCTCGACCTCGAGGAAACCGAGGTTGTCGAGGAAACGGCGAACGTAGTTGATGATCTTGGCGCGCTTGACAAAGATGTCGCGCACGTGGTTGTTCATGATGAGATCGAGGTAGCGCTTGCGGTGACGCTGCTCGGTGTCGGTGAAGCCGCCCTTGTCACCCTGAGCCGCCTTGGGCAGCATCTTGAGGTTGGGCGAAAGCAGCTTGATCGAGCGAGGGAAGATCGAGAGCTCACCCTTCTTGGTCTTACCGGGGACACCAGTGACACCGACAATGTCACCACGACGGAGCAGATCGTGGATAGCGAAGAAGTCGCCGTCGGTGTGGTCCTGAAGCTGAGCGGTGATCTGCACCTTGACCCCCTCGCCGTGGAGGTCGTAGAATCGCAGCTTCTGACCGGCCGAGCGCATGTTGTGGAGACGACCGGCAATGCTGACCTCCTCGTTGTCGAGGTGCTGGCCAGCCTCGACCTTGCCCTCGTACTTGGCGATGAACTCGGAGAGCGAGATCGAGACGTGGAACTTGTGCGGGTAGGGGTCTGGGTTCTTGGTCTCTCGCAAGCCGGCGATGGTGCGGAATCGACGCTCGTAGTACTGGTTGGGGTTGAGCTCCTCCTCAGAGGCAGCCGCCGACTTGGCAGCGCCGGCGGAAGCGTTCTGTGCGGGCGCCTCGGCAGCCTTGGAAGCCTTCTTGGCGTCCTTCTCGCGCTGCTTCATTCGTCGCTTGAGCTCGGACTTGGAGATCATCTCGCCGGTGACCTCATCCTTGACGAGGTTGACGGCCTCACCGGTGGCGGCGGGCTGGCTGGTTGCGTCTGTGGACGACATGTTGCGGAGCGGTTGGTGCTGGATGCTTCGCGGCAAAGACGAGCGAGGAGCGAAAAGCTGAGGTCGTAAAGAAGTCGAAGGCGCGGATCTGGGTACGAGGGTCAAGGATCGAGTGAATGCCTTGAACATACAATCGGCTATACTGTACTGTAGCGCAGGCTCGAGGTCTGGGTGTGAGCGGTTGTCAGACAGCGAAGTGTGTGAAGCTGATCTGACGAGGAGAGATGGTGGAGGAAGTCGAGTTGATGGTGATAGAGGCAAAGCGCAGAGCTGAGAAGAAAGTGAGAAGAAAAAAGGATATTCGATTACATTTTTTTGTAGTCCTGTGCGCGTGACCTTTGAATTCGGCGCACTTTGACAAGCTGACTCGATTATATATCGGTCTAACAGCCTCGAACTTTTTCGCTCGACTCGCTGCAGCATCATGAAGCAATGCACAGTTGATACACATCATCAAAAGACTTCAAGAGCAGACAGTGAAAGCGAGAACAGACCTGGTGAATCATGATCATGATGGCATAGCAATAAGAGTACACGTCGTGGTGACAGAATGGGCCCAATGAGCATCAGAGCTTCTTCTCGTTCTCCGAGTCACGGTCGTTGACATAGCCGCGGTCGCCGACGTGCTCGATGCTGTCCTCGTCATACACGTCCCTGGAGTCGCCCTGGCGGGTCTGCTTGTCGAGCTGAGCACCATCCTGCTCGCCAGCACCGGGAATGGTGGCAGGAAGAGCTTTCTCGAACTCGGCGCCGCGGAATTCCCAGCCGAAAGTTACGACGATGATGAGGTACGCGCAGACGGTACCGAGGAGGATGGCCGAGACCTTGGCATAGGCAGGGATGAACTCCTCGACCGTCGCAGGCGATCCAGGACGCCACTTGGGGTTGCGCTCCTTCAGGTTGTCGCCGCCAACGGCCTCAATCTGAGAGGACGCGGACGAGGCAGCATTGCCCAGCTGGTACGCCAAACCGGCGTACGTCGCCCTGAAGGCCGGAGGAGCGATCTCGGAAAGATAGATCGGCACCACTCCCCAGGCTCCCTGAACTCCGAACTGGAGCCAGAAGGCGCCAACGGCGAGCGCTGAGAAGCTGTTGGGCAAGATCCAGGCCGGGATGAGGGCTCCGGTGATGATGACGAACATAATGATGGTCAAACGGCGGCCCAGGTACTGCGAAAGGTAGCCGGCAAAGAAGCCGCCCGTAATAGCACCGCAGTTGGAGATAATGGTCGCAAGCGACGCCTGATGGGCCGAGAGAAGCTTGGACTTCTGAAGGATGGTCGGGTACAGGTCCTGGCTCGAGTGCGAAAGGAAGTTGAAGCCGGTCATGAGCAGAATGCCGTAAATGCAGCGCAGCCAGTGAGTGCGGAGCATCTCCTTGAGCTCGGTCACGAAGACCTTGGCCTTGCTCTGGCCAATGGCGCCCGAGGCATCGCGCTGGGCCTTCTGGCGGAGGAAGAGCTCGGACTCGGGAAGCAGAAGGCGGACGAGCGCGGCCAGGGCGGAAAGGCCAGCACCGAGGAAGAAGAGGATGCGCCAGTTGTGCGTCTGCTGCACCCAAGTGAGGTTGACCGAAGCGGCAAGAAGATATCCGACCGCATAGCCCTGTTGCAGGACACCCGAGAAAAGACCTCGGGGGGCGGCAGGCATGTTTTCTAGCGCTGTCGCCGTCGCCATTCCCCAAATGCCGCCCATCTATGTGATATACACCGTAGAGAGCATGGCAGGACGATGGGGAGGTCGGAAGACATCCAAGGAAGCAAGAAAAACGAAGAACAGACGAAGAAGTTAGCATGACCGATTTTCTTTGGCGGCGTTTTGGCGGCGTTTGGTCGTGGCGAGCACGAATGGCAATTTCAAGCAATACTTACGCCAATGCCGAAGAGGGAGCGGACAGCCAGGAACTGAGTGTAGGTCTGGATGAAGCCAGAGCCGAGCGAAAGGGCGGCGATGATGATCAAGTTGACGACGAGGGGGTATTTTCGGCCGTATCGGTCCGAGATGATGCCGAAGATGGCGGCTCCGACGGAACGGAAGAGCAGGGTGAGAGTGATAGCCGTCGTGATGTCGTGGGTAGGTCTGTCGAACTGGGTCGAGAGGGCGGTGACGGAGAGTGAGACGGCGAAGAAGTCCCAGGCATCGACGGTCCAGGCGAGCCAGCCCGAGAAGAACATGGCACCCTGGAGCGGCGTGAGCATCATGGCGAGCTTGATGGGGTTGAGCGGGGCGCCATTGCGGGCAATGCGTCGCTCCTCCTTGGAGGGAAGCTTGAAGAGACCGTGCGTAGGGTCGAGCATGGTGGCGTCGAGAAGGGGGGAAGGCGAGGAGGTCGTGAGGAGGTAACGCGTCCGCGAAGATGGCCGAGGTGCTCTTGAAGGAGGCTGTTGGCGGACGGCGTCGCGGAGGAGGGAAGTCTGCGTGCCAGGTAGATGGGTGGGAGGGCTCTATGTCGGGGATGTCTGGGCAATGGGAGGTCTTTATACACGACCTCTGGAGGGGCAGGGTCGAGGAACGAGCTCAAGAGTAAACGCACTGCACGCAGAGTCAGACCGCATACTTCGAAACCCACTTCATAAGAGTGGCACAATGCCGTTTCGAAAGTGGGGTCGGTACGAGGCTAACCTTGGTCCCACTCCTCGTGGGGAAGCTGCACAACACGACGAGCGGGGCCAATCAGGCTCCAGACAGACGGCGAAACGGCCCAACAACGAAGCAAAAGTGCATCTCACAGCCGAGCTCGCATTTGCGCGGATAAGATGAACGAATGCAGGCCCACACACGCTGCGTGTCCGAGCAGCCAGCCACAGACGAAGGTTCGCCTCCTGAGCAGACCTCGGTAGAGGGCCCAACGAACGTCGTCTTTGCGATAGGTACACGGACGCTCAAGCCTGGTCGATCCGGGACGCAGACTGGAATTGTGCCTCGCCGGGCAAAATTTTGATTTTTTTGTGTGGCTGTCAAAAAAGGCAAGGATCGCGCATCACAGTCGAGCCTCGAAGAACACTGGCGAGCCGCTGTCGCCGCGGGTTGAGAAAAAGAAAATGTCCTTTTGCCGCGAATCTAATGTCCGTCCCGCCGACTCGCACAAGCAGGTGGGATTTCTTGTACGACGTGGTCCACTACCGTTCGCTGTGACTGGCCTTCGACCCCGCTTCATTCAATGTGGGGACTCCGCTTTGCGTTGCCTGAATGACGGACAAGAACAAATGCTCAAAGACGATTGAATGAATCATTCCGTTGCCGCAGCGAGCAGAGGGCACGCGGATTCGGCGAAATCTGCAACCGATAGCATCGCTTAGGAGTCATGAGTGGGCAGATGAGACACTGCAAAGGCATGCGGGCCAGCACCAATCAGAGGCGTGGCAATCCATCCATCTCCCCGCAGTTTTCGGCTGGTTCACGCTTCTCTCCGCTGTCGCTCGCCTATTGTCCGGGCGAATGAAATTGTGGGCCTCGCCTTGTAAGCGAGGCTCTCACTCTCGAGGAACGGTCACACGGCTGCAGACATTTTTGATCAATTCGATGTCCGCCGTCTGAGATGGCTCATTTGGCCCGCGTCCTGGCACAAGCCGCGAGCTGCAAGCCCTGCCGTTGGTTGAGACCAGCCTTACCGCAATCTTCCGCGGCGACGGCGGCCTCGACCTCCCTGCTGGCCTTCGGGTTTCCTCGCCCGACTGCGTTGCCGTCCTCTTTCACCCCACACTGCGCATTTTGAAATTGACCGAGCTCATCCCCTCGCAGTCTCCCTGTGCCTCGTTCGATGCTGTTCGGGAACACATGCTTGTCGACAATGAGTCTCAGTTCGGATCATTCCGAATGCTTCTTTCCGCGCGACCGACTGATCTCGTCTCCTTCCGGAGCAAGAAAAAACATTCGTCGCACTGCTGCTCTCGTGCACAATCCGCCAGCTCCTTCCCTGGCGATCTAATTGGGAATGTGAGGGATGAGCATGATCAATGCCGTGACACCGAGCGAGACGCAGGTGGTGGAAGTGTCGAGCTGAAGCGAGAGGATGAGCATGCGTGGCAGTGCTGTCGAGGTGATGTGATACGCGTGGATGGGATAGAGACGCAGGAAGGTCAACAGCACACGCGCCATTGGTCGCAAATCCTCGTACAGTAACTGGTCGTATTCGGAGATGGTGACGAGGAAGATGATGGCTGCGACGTTCTCGAAGCAGTGGATCCACTTCTTTCGTTCTGATCGCTGTTCCTCCTGGTCGGAGAGCTTCTTCGATCTCTGAGCGAGCGGGGAGCCACAGTAACGCAACTCTCACGTCTCGATCTCGTTGTCCGAGTTCATCGCCAAGTACGAAGGCCAGTCAGCATTGCGACAGCGAGGAGCTGAGCATCGCCGGTCATCTTCACACCATGCCTTAGGAAGTGCGTCTGCATGGCCGTCTCGCATGGTTGAGATTTCATGCAGAGCGGAGAGCCCCGCACTCACTCCGCACTCCTCGTCCCCGGCTTCACCCGTAAACAATCTTGCTCCGAACATCATCGAGTCTCGACCCCCACACACCTCGACCAATCAACCATTGTCCCGAAAACCCACCAACGCGGGGCCCAACGGCCAACTTCAATGCGGTGCTCCGCGTTTGCACGAGCTAGAGAACTTCGTACATCGGTCAACTCGCAGGTCGAAGGCACGCTCGATGTTTCCCTTTTGTTTGTCCCAATCAATGAGGACCTCGCGACTCCACCGCGGCATTGCCTCGGCAAGATCAGGTTCAGTCCGGTCGTGATTGGCTCGTCGGCGGCAAGGGTAGGCGGAATTCTCCGATCCCCTACCGCCCGTCTTCAAACGAAATGCATGTTGACGACCACATTTGCCCCAGTTGACGCTCGCTTTGCCTGCTCCATAAGTAGGTGCCTGCGCACACTTGCCCTCGATTGAGCTTCCACGGCCCTTGCGAGTGCAATACCTTCAACGCGGACCGTCACAGAAGAAGTGAATCGAGCCCAGGAAAGGCAAATTTCGAGCCAAAAAAGAGAGTCCTACGGGGATTGAACCCGCGACCTGCAGAATGCAACCCTTTGATGGTTTCTTCAGAATGCGAACCGAAGTCTGCCGCTCTACTGCTGAGCTAAAGACCCTTCGACCAAGCACACGATGATTTGCATACATAATCGCTACAATAATGTGCATCTTCTTGACAGACACTTTGTGAGCTTAATCGGGCAGATTTTCAGCCGAGCCCACGTTTTCTTCTGAAAAGTCTCAAAGTCTAGAAGTTTTGAAGTTGCTCCTGATCCTGTTCGCAATACCTATACTTTCGTTGATCGAGGATGATGATGTCGAGCTCATCCAGCGTGTCGCGCAGTATGCGCTTGGCTGCTTCATCGAGCAGATCTATTCTGTCGTTCTCGTCAGCTTTCTCAGCAAGATCCTTCTCTCGCTCGGCCCTCGTGTTGGAACCCAAGAAGCCGTCGATCAAGGCCATCGCCGAGCTGCGCAAGCTCGTGCCGGGAACCAGCATGCTCAAGGCGAAAGAGGCGCTACTTGCATCTCGTCCCTCTGGTTTGCCGGATGAGGACTCGATCGAGCTGGCACTCGAATGGCTCGAAACCGATCGCAAGAAGTCCGGTGCCAAGAAGGCAGACAAGGTGGCCAGCAGGCAGGCCCGCGAAGGTGTCGTCGCGGTCACCATCCTTTCTGACGGTCTGCCAAGCTCTGTCGAGCTCAAAGGTCAACTCAAAGAGGAAGCAAAGAGTGCTGGGATCGGTGCGACCAGTGCGGCTTCCGGAGGTATCGTTGAGGTCAACTGCGAAACCGACTTTGTGGCCAAGAACGAGGTCTTTTCCCACCTGGTCAAGGATATCGTCCACACCGTCGCCCTGTTTCCGACGCTGACGGTGGAGAGCCAATCGCAAGGAGGCTTGATGGAGGTATCGGTCGACCAGCTGTTGACCTTCCCATTGCTGCCTAGCTCGCCAGAGGCCACTGGATCGAGTGTCGCACCCAAGACCGTTGGCTCTGCCATCATTGACGTGGTGTCCCGTCTCGGCGAGAAGATCTCGATCGCCCGAGCAGCCGCCATCCTATCACCCACAGTGCCTTCGCCAGACGCACCTCGCCGATCAACCACCGGAACCGCTAAGGGTGGATCCATCGTCGACCTCGCTTCCGCTTTCGCTCACGGTGGATCCGCCGGTTTCGCTGCGGCCAAGGACACTGCTAAGCCAGGCTACGTGCTCACCAGCGGCAAAGTCGCTTCGCTGCTCATGACCCGCTTCGCCAGTCCGAAGCTTCCTGACGCGCTCGCAGCCGCCGACGGCTCGATTCAGACCAACATTCGAGCCCTAACCCGTAGTCTAGCGCGTCAGGCCGCTGGAATGGAGACCAAATCCATCAACTCCCCCTCAACAGAAGCACAGGGCGAAGTCAGCACCTCGCTCTACCAGCAGCCTTTCCTGATGCTCTTGCCCGCCGCCGCTCCGAGTCCCGAAAGCAACGGGCAGGCAGTTCGAGACGTATTGGCTTCGTGGGCGAGTCACAACAACCTCGATGGTAGCGACAGTGTGGTCGAGGTAAGAGACATGCACCGATGGGAACTGGGCGAAACAGCAGCTCCGCAAGAATCGACGGGTGAGGGGTTCGCCGAGGAAGTGCGAAAGGCTGCCGGCCTCGCTTGAGACGAAGCTTCTTCCTACATGTACAACACAGCATTGCAATACCGATAGACATCACTCACTCCTCACCTCCACAGATACCCGCTCGGAGTGTCCTGTTCTGTGGTATCCTATTGATGACCGGAAAACCCGTGATTGCGATCAGCTACAAAGCAACTACATGCGCCTCAAAGCAAGTCCCGTGGACTATGCAGGCAATTCAGCTCCTTGAGCGCTGCAAACCTTCGAACCGTCCGACCGGACTCCTGAGATGGATAAGAGTATACCGCCAGAACCTGTTCCGGGTCCAATCCGTACTCGTTCGGATGCAGCAGACGCTGGTGGAAACGTTTGAGTGCTTTCGTGCCCGACCGTTCACCCTTGAACACCGCCTTGGCGTCCACGCATGGCAGAAGCACTTCAGCCATCCGACCGTGGAAGAGCAGTGGGATCGCGACCTTCATCGAGCTAGCCTCGGCAGCGCCCGCTCCAGCCCGCTGCTGCTGCTTGCGTGCGACGTATTCCGAATCGACCTCTTCGAGCATGATCGCGAAGCGAAGGCAGTACGAAAGCGATTCGCCCTCTTCGTCCCCGCACTTGATGCAGAAGCGCTGATCGAGTGGCAACAGCCTTTTGCATGCCTTGCATTCGGCTCGTCCCCATTGCTCCACCTTGGCGGGATTGGTCGAGATGACACGTGCTTTGACTTTGAACATGCCAGGACAGAGCGATGTAGTGGGCAGCTCGGCCAGCGCTGTCAGGGGGACAGAGGCTGGTGCATTGCATCGAATCAATGGCCGACGCTCCTCGACAGCCATGTCGGGGGGTCCCATGATCATGCTTGGCTTCACATCGGGCGTCTCGATCTGTGAAAGATCATCTGCTGTGCGATTGCCATTATTGCTGGTGCCAAGTGCTGTCGGCGCTGCATTTCCGTTCTTGGACGGCGTTGCCTCTTGGAGCACGCGTGCTTGACGCTGGGCTGGTGTCGGGAAGGGAGGCTGTGTGGACGAAGCTGGACTCGGCTGCGTGGCTGTCACGGCTTGAGCAGCGGGAGCGCTCGTCCTTGTGGTCGTTTCAGAAGCCGTCACTACCGCTGCCGCAGACACCGCACTCACGGCGATCGGCTTCTGTCGTGCCGGGATGGTCGGCTCTGCTTGGTGGTTCTGCTCTCCTGGCTGAGCCTGTTGGTGGGCGTTCGGCTCTTCTTGGGAAGCCCGACCAAAATCGCGTTCAGCTCGATCCGCGAACGCCTCTTCTTCAGCATTGAAGAGCGTCTCCATGAAGCGAGTGCGTCGCTTCTCGAGATCGATGCGCGCCTCGTCTGTGGGCTTGAGGGTGCGGATCTTGATGCCGCTGTCGGTGCTACTGCCAAGGCCACCGGTAAGGAGTCCTCGCGGGTTGAGCTTGGGCCGGACATTCTGGATGCGGATGATGTCGCCCGTCTGGAGACCTTCCGCGATGGTGGCATGGCTGTCCCATAGACTGATCTGGAACACATGACCCCATCCGTCCGTGTCGTCAGGGTACGGAATCTCGCTTTCGAGTCGGAGATACTTGTCGTTGCCGCGATAGAACAGAGTATGGTTGGTGTAATCGGTGACGTACAGGTCAGGTGCGAGCGTGTGGGTATAGACCTTCAAGACCTCGACGACGGTGTCGAAGAAGGTGTTCTCGCCGACCTTTTGGAGCTTGAGGGTAGGACGCGATGATCTAGTCATGATGTTGGCATCGACGCCTTGCAGCTCCGAGAACCAGTTGGCCATGTCGCGGAAGTGTTCCATCTCCTCGGCGCTGCATTCAGGAGGGGTGTGTGAGGCGAGAGGAAAGTTGGAAGAGGCGCGAACGTCGCCCGAAACTGGGTCGTAGATGGCCCAGCTCCACGTGGCAGCCGATTTGCCCACTGCTTGCGGCTTGCCGGAGAACATCTGAATGTGGACGCCGCGAACAGCGACGATGTGGCCAGGCTTGACGTTTTGCGGGATGCGCTCGCTCTGCTGTGCGAAGAGCATGACCGTCATCGACCTTGCCAGCTCCTTGGCATATCCGGTCCCTGAGAGGCACGATGCATCTGCGATGGTGATCTTGATGCTGAGATCACGTGTTCCGCTGGTGGATCGACGAGGGTCACCAGCGGCGACGACAACGCCGATGATGCTGGCGCGTTCGCCGTCGCGAACCATCGACATGGGCGTATAAAGGCAATTGCCCATCTTGCGTGGCTTGACGTTAGGTGCATTGCGTCGTGGCGGGGCGGGGGGAGCAGCAGAGGCCTGCCTTGACGACGCTCTTTCGACGGGGCGCGGCCAGATCGAAGATGAGCCAGCTTGAGCTTCGCTTTTGATTGCGCTTGAGCCGGCAGCTGAGGCAGAGGTCCTGGCAGGATTCGCGGGCTGAGGTGGTGGCGGCGGCAGAGAAGTGAGTGCGGACGTACCTGCACTGGTGGTCGTTTGGGGTGCATTGCCGGAAGGAGCAGGGGTGGCGAACCAATCGGAAAGCTGACTTGGCGGAGCCGGCTCGAGAGGAGTGGCAGCGGCCGTAACAGATCGAGATGGCGGCATCTGTGAAGGCTGCCGAGCGCATGAGAGTGCTGGTGCCGACACGGTGCGTGCTGGTGTTGGTGTTCTTGAAGTCAAGATGGGGTGAGACGCAAGCTGTTCGACCCATATGGCCGAAGTAGGGGTCCCTGGGTTGGCGGAAGACGGCTGTGGCGACATCTTGATGACGACCTTTTCGTGCTGAAAAACGGCATGAGGAGCGGCGTGAGCTGTGCTGGCCAAGTCAGCTGCGAAGCCAGAGATATAGACCACAGCTGGTGGTCCCAGTCGATGGAGCAACAGTAACGGCTCTGATACTTTGCTTGCGAGCTCGCCGGTGAAAGTCAGCGAGATGCTCGGTCGATGCGAGGGCTCGTTGGACTCAAGACAGCTGAGCTCAAGCTTGAAAGCGTCTCCGAGTGGTTCCGCCTGAACGACTTGGCCGCAGATGCAGACGGCAGCACCTCGACCGTGGCCCACGCTCTCGATCCATCGTTCCAATCCGACGAGCTTTCCCAGGCGATCCTCCTCAGATTCGGCGAGATGGCGAGCACGCTTGCTGATACCGCCACTTGAAGGCTTGAGAAGCTCGGATGTGGTAGACATTGACCTAAATGGCCCTGCCGTGGCGCTGTCAGCTCGGATGTGATTGTTTAATGGGGCTGCTGCTGGTGTTGGTGCTGTTGGATGGTCACCCTCGGAAGGCTCCCTCTTAGGGCCCTTCCTCTTGCGCGGCATGGTCGATCGAAGCTGAGTAGGGAGAGGCGGTGTCAGGTCAAGGGAGCATCAGTCAGCGCCATGGCTTGGAGCATGGACTGGTATCAAAGGGTCCTTCTCCTCCAAGCAGACCAACACCTCGACTCGGCCACGCGCGTTTCCTGTGACTGCTCTCGTGCCCTCATTTATTTTTTTTCCAGAGTGTGAGATCTTTAAGCTCCACTTTCCGCGCTTGGCTGCCAAAAATTTGGCTTGGTGTTGGACTCTTGCTGCTTGGCTGTCACGCGACGCGTTTTGAGAAGAAAGCCGCGGCACAGCGTGTAAAGTGCCCACAAAGACGGCGACTTTGTCCCACATGGCTCCGTTCGGGGGAGGAAGTGAGGAGCGGTCCAGACGAAGCTCAGTTGTCTGCCACAGCGTCGAAGAGCGATAGGACATACAGTCTCGGACCGTGTCCTTTCCATCCGACACCTCAAACACGGCCATGTCTTTGTACATTCGAGACTGATCATGGTCATGCTGCTGCTGCTGCTTGGAACGAGCGATCAGACTCCAATTTCAAAGTGGACCCTGAGACAAGCGATCTGAAGGCTTGGTTGCGCAGGTCAAGAGACAAGCAAGAGAGCAACGTCGGGTCTGACGCCGACACGGCATCTCCGACTATACACTTCCAGCCTTTGAGCTATTCTTCCGGCCTCCTTCCGCGTCTCGTATCGGAGCGTGGGGGCCGATCTGACTGAGCACGGATCATTTGCGTCTCTCAGATCAAGTGTGGCTGGTGTGGTCTACAACTGAGCAGTCACAATTGAGCCGCTTCTTGGCTTGATCAAAAGCAGGCACTGCGAGGGCGGAGCGAGCCAGCTGAGCTTTGCGAAATTCTTCTTCCGTCCGAGCCAACAAGTATGATGATGCGATCACGACGGATAATTCGCTGAGTCTGCTTCCTGACACGCTGCGCGCTCAGCCGTGTATGCTCAACACCACGCCCCTCTTCCTTTCCTCCACACCCTGATCATCTGTGCCGTTCATCACTCGAGTTCGAATCACGATCGCGTCTGCTTGCTACCTAACCATGGCGGCCGCACCGGATTCCTCGGTGCTAGTCGACCTTACCGCCGACGACGACTCGCTCTCGGAGCTCTCAGACGCACCGGACCCTCTCCCTTCCACCTCCTCATCCAAAGCCAAGCCCAAGTCTAAATCGTCCTCAGCCAAGGCCGCTTTGACCAAATCGGCTTCCTCTTCCAATCTTGCAGGGCCCAAGGCGACCACCAAGCCCAAAGCGAGAAAGTCGGAACCTACCACAGCTTCGAAAACCAACGGCGCTGAACATACGCCGGCGAAAGGAAAGGCAAAGGAGAATGGCAGCGCATCTAAAGCACCCCACCCGCGCTCAACACCCATCAGCGATGCTGTTCGAGCACGCACCCACGTCAACGTCGAAGGTGAGGTGCAGAAGAAATGCCATCAACACCATCAGAACTGCAAAGGTCCTCTGCTCGAGTGCACCTTCATGCGAGCTCCAGGCAAGCGATGCCAGGGCCGATACTGCTTCTCTTCCCTGAAGCGCTTCTATGACCAGGACCCAGAGACCATCGTCAAGTCGAACCGCATGATGATCAATCCCGAGGAACACTGTCCACCTTCCGAGGCCAAATATGCGTGGAAATGTCCACGTTGCCGCGGCAAGTGTGCCTGCTCCACCTGCCGCAAAGCTCGAGGTCTTGAGCCTCTCGGTAAGTGGTCCACCAGTAAGTCGAGCACGGGCACTACGGAGGCTGGCGACGACTCAACGAGCAAGTCGAAATCGAAGACGAACGGCGATGCGGCTGCACAGCCAGAGACCAGCAAAAAGGCATCAACGAAGGGCAAGGGCAAGAACATTGCAGAGGCCATGGCAGCAGGAAAGACCAATGGCAAAGGCAAGGCCAAGTCCGACGCCATCGATGTCGACGCCGACGAAGATGACGGTGTCAACACGCCACCGCCCCCTGGCAGCCGCAAACCAGCGCCAAAGAAGACGCTCGCCAGTATTCTCTCCGCCAACACCATCCGTGCGCCCGCTTTCAAAACGTTCAAGCCACCTGCAGAGACGGCACCTCCGACACTCGAAGTCATCCCCACCAAGCTCCCCGAGGACAATATGCGTGCTCGCATGTGGATCTACGAGAGCATGGTGCGCTTCGACAAGTTTGGTCTCAACCGAGGCGTCCTCTCGCAGCTCGACCGCTTCGAGCACTGGACGCACACCATGGTGCAGGACATGCTCGCCTGTCTCCTTAAGACCATCGCTGGGATGAGCAACATCGAACGCGGTCAACCCACCAAGCCGTTCGTCAAGGCCATTACCGCCTTCCGCAGTCACGGCAAGAATCTGCAGCGCGGCGAGCCCTGGGCCGCTGCCACTGAGCTGCTGACCATTCTTGGTCTGGCACGTACGCCGCTGGCCTTCGTCGAGCACGACATTCCTGTCGAGGTGGAAGCTGCGGCTGCCCACCGCTCGCCATCGCCTCCCCCGGCTGCTCGGGTGACCCGCGCACGCAGAGCCAAGGAGGGCAACCAGTACGAGATCGCTCGTCAACTCTCGCTGCTGGATCAATGGGAGGAGGACGAGTTTGGCGAGACGGCGGGCGACGCTGACGAGGATGATGAGGATGCCTTACCGTCCAAACGCAGGCGTGGGACGACGAAGAAGTCGATCTACGTCTACGACGAGCCGAGCGATGACGAGAGCATGGCGGACCCGGATGACAGCTCACGCGCTCGACGTTCTGGACGATCGCGTAGAGCCGCAGAGAAAGAGCCAGCGCCCGAAGTCAGACTGACAGGGCGACAGCAGGCCATCAAGCTGCAGCAGGAGCAGCAGAAGGAAGAGGAAGCGGCAGCAGCGGCCCAACAGAAGGAAGAGGAGCATGTTGCGGCGTCCAGAAAACGCCGTGCTTCGAGTGGCAGTATCGTCAATGGCACTGCCAGCATCGCTTCCGATGACGAGGATGCCGACCAACACAACAAGCCTCGGACGAATGGCAACTCTCACGACAAGAGGCGCAAGCTTGTCGCTGGCAGCTCGGACGACGAAGCCGAGTCCGACGTCGACGGTGACGACAGCAAGGTCAAGGACGACGTCGAGACTGATGAGAAGGACACTTCCATTGTCGAGCAAGACCAGGAAGACCTCGAGAGCCCTGATCTCGAGACCAAGGTGTCGATCCTCAGCGCGCTCATCGACGCAGCCGTCATGGCGGAGAACGTGGCCGAGGAGCTCAAGCTGGCCGCAGACAACATGGTCTCACTCGATCGCGCGCAAAAGGTGGCCAACGCCGAGATGGAGAAGGAGATTGTCGAAGAGCTGGCGGACCTCAATAAGCGAGCACCGAGCATCGTCTCTCCCGAGTATCAGAAGTGGAAGGCGGAGAAGGCAGCGCTCGAGCAGGACCACGCATGGCGCAGGCAGGATGCGAGGGTGACGGCTGAGTTGGCCATCGATGTACACGCGTTGCGCACGGGTCCCCTGGGCATTGATGCGGACGGTCGTGAGTACTGGCATTTGCGGGAGTACCAGGAGCGCATGCCCAAGTTCACCGAGGGACGGCATGCGTGGTGCTTGGTGGTGCTGGGCAAAGCGTTCCCCGCGGATCCGAACCAGCCCAAGGAAGCCAAGGAGGACGCAGGGGACGTCAGCATGGCCGAAGTGGGCGACAAGACCAAGGAGGAGAAGAATGAGGCGGATGATAGCGGTCTCACCTCGCTCGATGCTTCGACTGACAACGACGACGCCGACGATGGGGCGAAGAAGGTCCAACTGGGTCTACCTACATCCAAGGGCGGCGCGAACGGACAGGTCGACGCTGCTACTGAGGCCCGAATCTGCATGGGCACCAACGATGCATCGACGATCAAGACGCTTGTCGACTACATCACGTTCCGGCTGGAGCGCGTCGAGTACGAGGAGAACATCGAGCTGCAGGATCGGGAGAAGCTAGCACGCATGGTCAAGGAGGGCGACAGCAGCGATGCATCTGATACGGCTCCTAGCATGTACAGCATTCGGAAGGCCAAACAGACGCTCAAGGACACGCAGGAGGAGCGACGCAGGCAGGTGGAGCAGCTGGTCAAGCGATTGACCAAGACCAAGGAGTACTTTGCCTGGCATCGCGAGGAGTTGGCTCCTTGAATGTCGTTAGGCACCCTCGCAATGCTGACCGTTTCTGTGATCAGAGTCAGGACGCGCTTTCGGACGAGAGGCTGGAAGTGAATTTTTCAGTCTCAGAGCCGAGCGAGATGATCTGATAAGTCTATCAGATTTCGACTTTGGGTCTGCCAAGACAAAGCTGAAAGAATTAGCGAGGAGCGCCATTGTGCTGGCTCATGCAGCAGACGTCACGCGAAGTTTGCAAGAGCTTTAAACCCGCTCGGACGTCGCTTGTGATTGGGTACGGCCGTAGTTGACCCGTGCGACGACCCAAAGGGTGGTGCAGAACAGAGCTTGCTGCTAGGCAGCGGGTGCCGTCATGCAGCGTTAATTGGAAGCCGCACCCCATTCGCCGCTTTGATTGAACGCCATCTAGGACGCTAATGCAGTGACCGCAGCGTCGAGCTCGGCTCGACTCGACTCTGCCTCGGGGTTGAAAGCATCCCTCACAAGGATCAACCTCGATGACACTTGAACAGTCACGCGGAGTCCCTTGAGCTTGTTACCCACTCGAGTTTGTGATCTGATAACAATTTTTTCGCTCCCCCTCGCTTAGCGTTCTTCTTGCATAGACTAGCGAAGCTTAGTGTCCAATCCTATTCGCTCTTCGGAGTGGGCCGGTCTGCTTGGTGAGAATGTGACTGTAGCAACGGTGCTTGGTGCTCGAATCGAGTCCCTTGGCAGAACCCTCTTTTCGGGTGCGCCGAGATGAAGGTGTCATGCTCTTTTCGGGTCACTTCCGGTCCAAGGGTTGAGGTTGCTTCGCTTGCTTATATGGCTGAGCTTCTTGACACCCTCCTCCCACTATCCCTCCTTCCCATCACCCTTCTATACTTTCGGGACGAGCTTGACGCTACCTGATACAGTCCACCGTCGACCGGCGTGCGACTTCATCGTCTGGACTACGAGCAAAGCCACTTCGCCGCTCCCGCCTTCATACTTCATACGACCACGCGATCAGCGCACGCTCGACATCTTCTACGTCTCACGTCCGTTCTCTCCTTACGCACCAAGGTCATCGTCCAGCCACCCGGGACGATCCTGTTAGGCTCTTGACTCCTCAAGTCTACTAAGGGTCGGCTTCAGTCGATTTCACTTTGACCTTGTAAGGTCGGGAAAAGCCTAGCTGACGTCCTCGCAAAGCCCATCGGGGATCGCATCGAGCCGATTGACCATTCGTCCGCTTGCACTGCTCAGTGCATAGCCGAAAGGCGTTCAACAGGGCTTCCATCGCGGCGTCAGCCGGTTGCAACCGTCCTTCTACGCCACGGCACACACGTCTGGCCGAGTCGACGATCGTCAAGCCACTTGCCAGCCATCCGCACACACGGCCAAACGAGCTCGGAGAATTTCATCAGGTTTCTCGTTTTCATTTTTCTGGCACTGCAGCTCAGCTGCCCAGCTCTTTAATTTTCCTTAGCCAACACGCGCATGAACGATGACGTCCAACTCATCCACTCACCGCAGCTCCAGTGCCGCGGTCGCCGGCGGAGACATCGGCAAGACACCAACTTCAACGCTAGACTCTGCTCGCCCTTCGGACCGAGATTCCAGCCTAACGCGTGGCCAGGACTACGCTAGACTCGATGATCGAGACATTCATGATGAGCAGGCTGAGAACACTGCAGACCAGCACAATGCTTCCGCCGCGGTCCTCGCTCGTGACTATGCGAGCACAACGTCAGACGTAGAGCAGTCCGACCCGGCGAGATCAAGATCGAGACCCTGCATGGGTCCAGCCGACACCCTCCCTTCTTCCGGCGTCCGCCAGTTGGCAGCCTCGTCTCTCGCCCCGACAGCGCACGTTTCGCAGCCTTCATCTTCTTCTGGCCCTTCCAACTCCGCTGCACGTCAAAGATCCGGTGACGACGTCGCCGCCGTAGCCGAACCCGCGAATCCATCTGGCGCGCAAGATCCTTCCAGTCGCTCGTCACGTTTGACCTCGCGGACGGATGACTCCCATCTCGGTCGCTCCGAGTCTTCATCTCCATCACATACGCAGCAGGCTCCACCACGCAGGCCGTCGGAAGCTTCCACAATCGCATTTCCAACACAGTCCTCCCAAGCAACTGGTTCAAAGCAGGCCAAGTCCACAGCTGACGACTCAGACGAAGACGAAGTAGGCGCTGCAGGTCAATATAACGACGACGATCCGGGATCTCTCTCGGCAAGCTTCCTCTCCCAGCTCGACCAGCACGCCAGAACACCAACAGCCCGCTACTCCTTCGACGACCATCAGGACTACTTCCATCGACTCGAGTGGGAAGCCCTTGTTGAAAAGGAACGGCGCTCTCCGTCTCCGCCTCTCCTGACGCCGGCCATCGACATGACCTCGCGTACCGACCAACAGACAGCAGCAGCTCCTGCTGCTAGCTCGTCGCCCTCCGCCGAACGCTCATCGTCATCCTCGGCTTCGACCATGCTCGACAATCAGTCTCAGGGCTCTCGCGCAGATGCTTCGTCATCGTCGGACTCTGACAGAGCCAAAAAGAGGCCCACGCCAAGGAAGCGCTCCAACTCGGCAGACGGCGTCGTCTCCTATGGCAACTTCCGCAATGGTCGCTATACTGCCCGCCCTCGTCATGCGCATCCTGGCCCACCTCCGGCAGCCAACCTTATGCTCAACATGCGCAGCCCTCAGCCATGGAATAACAATGGACCCCGACCCGGCTCTTCTGACGGACGACCACGCTCCAACAGTCGTAGCAACGACCCAGTAGGCTGGGCTCAGCGAGGCAATTACAGCGTCTTTGCCGACGCTGGAATCCCAGGCACCAGCTTCCCGCACCCTGGCGTATTGGCGCCCAGCGCTGGTCAAGGGCCCAGCGACGCGAACCCGTCAGCAGATCCGAGACTGGCAGGAGGTGACTTCGTCAACACAGTACAGCCATGGGACTCGCCACGCGCCCGGCGCTCGTCGCCGCTCTCGCCTGGACCGGAAGCAGCGAGACGAACGAGGCTATCTGGAGGTCGAGCTGGCGCCGCCGCTGTGCCTCAGCCAGTTGCCGGAACCGCTCTCGCAAGAGTCTCGACGAGTCAATCCGTCGATGCTGCAGACCTGCCTAGCGTTGCTTTGCAGCGACAGCGCATGCAACCCTCCACACAGGAAGATGCTGAACGTCACTCGCTTGAGCAGGGCTCCGTTGCTGAAGACGACGATGACACCGCCAGGAGCGTCCGCCACAATGGAGACGAAGACGATGACGACGACGAAGGCAAGGATAAGGAATCCAAGAAAAAGCCTCCCCTCAAGCAGCGGGCAAAGGCTGCCATCGCCAACATTCGTCTCTCCTCCAACTACTTTGCCCTTTACAAAGCTACCGACCGCACGGACATCACGCTCCTCGTCATCGGCATCATCGCAGCCATTGGATCCGGTGTACCCCTTCCCCTCATCGGTATCCTCTTCGGTCAGCTCATCGACGGCTTCAACTCCTCCGGCTGCAGCGGCAGCAGCGGTCCTACCGACCGAGGCGCCTTCATCGCTTCCGTCGACGACAAGGTTGAGAAGATTGCCATCATCGCCGCGGTTAACTTCTTCCTCATCTGGACCTACACCACCTGCTGGTCCAATCTCGGCGAGCGACTCGTCCGCAAGATGCGCCAACGCTACCTCCGCGCCGTGCTCCGCCAAGACATGGCCTTCTTCGACAAGCTGCAGCCGGGTGAGGTCGGAACACGTCTCTCGGCGGATCTGCTTACCGTCCAAAACGGCACGAGCGAGAAGATGGGCATTCTCATCTCGAGTCTCTCCTACTTCGTGACCAGCTATATTGTCGCCTTCATCAAGCTGCCCAAGCTCGCGGGGCAGCTGGTGTCGTTGCTGCCTGCATTCGCGATCGTCAGTGTCTTCGGCTCGAGGTTCGTGTCCAAAGCGCAGAAGAACACCTCGACGCACCTATCGCATGCATCGAGTCTGGCTGCGGAGGCGTTGAACAACCTGCCGGTGGTTCAGGCTTTCGGTTCGCAGCCAAGACTGTCAAACATCTATCAGAGCCATCTGGAGCTGGCTAGGAAGCAGGGAACGCTCAAAGCGCTCGCGGCAGCCTGTGTGCTGGGAAGCTTGTTCTTCGTCGGATACTCGGCCAACGCACTAGCTTTCTTCTCAGGCTCGAACCTGATCGCTGCGTCGGGCAACCCAAGCACGGTAGGATCGGTATACACCGTCATCTTCTTGCTGCTGGATGCGTCGTTCATCGTGGGTCAGATTGCTCCGTACCTGCAAACTTTCTCGGCTGCCAGTGGTGCCGGTCAGGCCCTCCGCGAGACGATCAACCAAGCCTCTCCTATCGATGGCACAGACACTACCAAGGGCATGACGCCTCAGCCAGGCGACGTCAAGGAGATCGGCATCGAGCTGTCTGACGTTCAGTTCACCTACCCCGCGCGACCGGACGAGAAGGCTCTCGCCGGTCTCAGCATCTCTGTCCCCGCTGGGCACCGCGTTGCGCTCGTTGGTCTGTCCGGCTCAGGCAAATCGACCGTAGCAGCTCTCCTGCAGCGTTTCTACGACCCCACCTCTGGCAAAGTCACCCTGAACGGCACCGACCTACGCGACTACAACGTGCGCTGGCTTCGCTCGCAGATCGGCGTCGTCGGCCAGGAACCTGTGCTGTTCGACTGCTCAATCATGCAGTCCATCGCGCACGGTCTCGTTGGATCTCCTGCACACGCCCATCTCCACGCCACCGTTATCGCCTACTCGCAGGTTGGTCAAGAGAAGGAGGGCACTGAGCTGGAACAGGTGCTCACGACGCCGGAACAGATGGAGCAGCTCGAGGAGATCAAGGAGCTCTGCACGCGGGCGGCCAAGCTTGCTGGCGCCCACGGGTTCATCGAGAAGCTGCCTCAGGGGTACGATAGCCAAGTCGGCGAGTCGGGCGGCAAGCTGAGCGGTGGTCAGAAGCAGAGGATCTCGATTGCGAGGGCGATCGTCAAGCAGCCCAAGCTGCTGATCTTGGACGAGGCGACCGCGGCACTGGACTCGCACTCTGAGCACGCGGTATCGAAGGCGCTGGATAGCATCTCGGAGGGCGTAACGACCATCGCGATCGCACATCGCCTGGCTACGATTCGGAACTACGATCAGATCGTGGTCATGGGCGCGGGCAAGGTGCTGGAGAAGGGCACACACAAGGAGTTGCTCGCGGAGAGGGGCTACTATTACAAGCTAGCCGCTGCGCAGGACACTGGTGCTTCGCCATCTGCTGACGACGAAACAACCAGCAGCGATGACGACGAGGACGAAGAGTTCTCGGAAGGCGAAGATGAACCCGCGGAGCGCCAAGACCAGAAGGACCCTGCGCGGCAAAGAGGCCGCCGCACGATGGACGATGTCGCCGAAGGCGATGAGGTGGAAGACGCCGTAGCCACGCCCAGCAACGACAGTGACGAGGCCTCGCCTTCGCGCGACTCGAATCAGTCTACACTGAACCGCACCAGCAGCGATGACGCTACCAATGGCAAACTCCGCAAGCTCGACGACAACAACGAGCTGACCGAGAAGGAGGCCACCGAGGCGCAGCTCGAAGAAGTCGCGGGTCGCTACCCTCCACGCGTGATCCTCAAGCGCGTGCTCTGGATGCTCCGTCGCGAATGGCCCTACATCCTGCTCGGACTCTTCACGAGCGCCATCATGGGCGGCTCGTACTCCGGCGAAGCCGTTCTCTTCGGTCACGTCATCGAGGCGCTCAACCCGCAGTGTCGCGGTGCCGACGGCGTCCGCGCCGCAGGTCGCGAGTTTGGTCTCTACTTCTTCATCCTCGCGCTCATCCAATTCTTCGCCTACACGATCAACGGCCTTGTCTGGGGCCTCGTCGCCGAGCGTCTCCTCTTCCGTCTCCGCCGCGTCTCGTTCAACACCATGATGGATCAGCGTCTAACATGGTACGAGGCGCAAGACCAGAATCCCGCCTCCATGATCGCCTCGCTCTCCAACGACGCGAACAATCTCGGTGGCGTCACGGGCACGGTGATCGGGACGATCTTCTGCATCTTTGTCAACCTCATCGCGGGGATCTCGGTGAGTCTGGCGATTGCGTGGCGGATCGCGATCGTCATCCTCGCCCTCGTACCCATCATCCTGGCTGCAGGGTATATGAGGTTGAAGGTGCTAGCAGACTTTCAGAAACGCCACGAGACGGCGTATGTCAAATCCAACTCGCTCGCCATCGAGGCGGTGCAGTGCATCAAGACGGTCGCCTCGCTCGGTCGCGAAGAGGATGTGATGCGCAAGTTCGAACGCTCGCTCGAAAAGCCCTATCGGGAGAGCATGCGTCATTTCCTCTTTGGAAACGTGTTCTTGGCGCTGGCGCTGAGCATCAGCTACTTTATCTATGCGTTTGCGTATTGGTGGGGCAGTCAGAACATCGCTGATGGACGGTATAGCCAGACGGCGTTCTTCATTGTGCTGCCCGCACTGCTGTTCAGCGCCCAGGCGAGCGGGCAGTTGTTGGCGTTCGCACCGGATTTCAGCAAGGCCCATGTGAGCGCGGCCAACTTCTTCCGCCTGATGGATCAGAGGCCGGCGGCGGTGGAGAGGAAGAAGCTGCTCAAGCAGGAGAGGAAGGAAGCCAAAGCCTCCCGTGGCAAGAAACCCTTCCTCCGCCGGGAGAAGCCCGCCCCATCTTCCGCTGCCGAAGAAGACGTCGAGGAAGGCGATAACGCCTCCGCCGACGCAATCGAGAAAGCCCGCCCATCCACTGTAACCTTCGACGGGGTCAACTTCACCTACCCGACGCGCTCCGATCCCGCGCTGAAGGATGTCTCGCTCACCATCCCGGGCGGGTGCTTCGCGGCATTCGTCGGCCAGTCCGGCTCAGGAAAGACGACCGCCATGTCGCTCATCGAGAACTTCTACACTCCTTCCTCCGGCAGTGTCACGGTGGACGGTCTTCGCACCGACCGCACCTCCGACCAAGTGCTGCGTCGTGATATCGCCATTGTGCCGCAGGAACCTGTGATCTTCTACGGCACGGTGCGGTTCAATGTTCTTCTCGGCCTTCGACCTGATCTTCCCTCCAAACGAAGGCGTGACCTGTCGGAGCTGGAGCAGGAAGCTCGAGAAGAAGAAGAAGCGTTGCTCGCACCCTACAAAGAGGACCTAGCATGGCAGAACGACGTCCCCGACTCGCTGGTGGAAGACGCTTGCCGTCAAGCAGGCATCCACGATACGATCATCGGGTTCAAAAAGGGCTACGACACGTTGATCTCGTCCTCGCAGCTGAGCGGGGGGCAGAAGCAACGTCTGTCCATCGCCCGTGCGCTCATCCGCAAACCCAGGCTACTGTTGTTGGACGAAAGCACGAGTGCATTGGACAGCCAGTCTGAACAGGCGTTCCAAAAGACCCTCGCCGACATCCGCGAGAGAGGCGAGTGCACGATTCTGGCCATCGCCCACAGGATGAGGACGATCAAGGATGCTGATCTGATCTTTCTGTTCGAGGGAGGAGAGTTGGAGGCTCAGGGTGGATATGCAGAACTCATGAAGAAGAGCGACAAGTTCAAGGCTATGGTCAGTTATCAGAGTCTCAACTAGGACCCCCCACGCAATCAAATATTGTACAGCATGCGTCTTTGTGATGTGTTCGTTATTGCGTGTTAAGCACTGGTGGGGCCTAGGTAGCGTCTCAACACGGGGTTATCCGTCTCCTCGTGATACTGGTATCCCAACTCCTTCAGGAACTTGTCAAACTCCTGCCCGTCCGCTTCGGGTGCCTGAATACCGAGCAAGATCTTGCCTACGTCCGCGCCGTGGTTGCGATAGTGGAAGAGGGAGACGTTCCAACCGCTCTGCATGCCGACGAGGAACTTGCGCAGTGCACCGGGACGTTCGGGGAATTCGAACCGAAAGATTCGCTCGTTGGGAACGGCCGTTTTGCCACCGACGAGGTAGCGCAGGTGGGATTTGGACACTTCGTCGCCCGAGAGGTCGATGGGTGTCATCCCGTCCGCGGTGAGCGCGGCGAGGATCGAATCGAGTTCCGAGCCGTTCCCCAGGCTGGATGCCGCGAGGGAGTTGGATAGCGCTACAGGATCGTTGATGGACGCAGTGGACGAGCTGAGCGAGTTGGCCCCTTCAGCAATGCCTTCCGGAACGGGCATCGCTCCTGTCGACGCAGCAGCAGCCGTGGGCGCTTTGGTCCCGTTCAACATGAACGACAGCAGAATCTGCGCCTTCCTACTATCGCCATATCGATAGCTGAATTCGGTCACCGCACGCGGGTTGATGTGGTTGTGCAGTTTGAGAAACGCTCCCGGTTCTTCGGGGATTTCGACGCTCAACAGTGCCTCTTTGTTCTCTCCCAACTCGGCGCGTTCGGCTACAAAGCGCAGACGACCAAAGTTCATATTCGCCCCGGAAACAAGAGCGACGAACTTCTTGCCCGATCCTTGGAGGTTGTGCGTGGCGATGTATCGTTTCATCCCAGCAACGGCGAGGGCACCGGAGGGTTCTGGAATGGAGCGAGTGTCTTCGAAAGTGTCCTTGATCGCAGCGCAGATTTCGTCGTTCGAAACGCGAACTACGCCATCGACGGTTTGACGACAGATGCGGAAACACTCTTCGCCGACGATGCGAACTGCTGTGCCGTCGGCGAACAACCCGACTTCGTTGAGAAGCACTCGATGCCCGGCTTCCAGCGATTGCGCTAGGGCGTCCGCATCGAAGGTCTCGACGCCGATGACTTTGACGTGCGGAGGGGCAATGCGTTTGATGTACGCCGCGACGCCAGCGAGCAGCCCACCGCCGCCGACGCAGCAAAAGATGGCGTCGACCGTCGACATGTCGGTCTGACGGCAGATTTCGACCCCGATCGTCCCCTGTCCTGCGATGACGCGCGGGTGGTCGAATGGTGGAATGATGGTCAACCCGTACGCCTGGGATAGCCTCGTGCATTCGGCTTTCGCCTCATCAAAGTCTTGGCCGAACAAAACGACTTTGGCACCCATCCTCTTGACATTGGCCGTCTTGATCTCGGGTGTGCCCTTGGGCATGACGATGGTGCACGGGATGCTGAGGTGCGCACCCGCCATCGCCACCCCCTGCGCGTGATTCCCCGCAGAACACGCGATGACACCCTTCCATTTCTGTTCGGAATCGAGCTGCTGCATCATGTTGAACGCACCACGCAGCTTGAAGCTGAACACGGGCTGGAGGTCCTCTCGCTTGAGAAGGACTTGACAGCCGAGTTTGGTGGAGAGGTTGACACCCGGTTGCAAGGGGGTTTGTTTGACGAGATCGTAGACGTCGGCGTTGAGGATGAGACGGAGATAGTCGGGCGTGTTGTCGGCTTGCATGAGGTGAGGGGGCAGGTCGGTGTAGAGGTGCGTGGGGGGTGCGTTTTCTTCCGAGGGGGTGGGGGAGACAGAGGGAGTGACATCGTGCTCGGTGAGGGCGCGGCCGGTGGGAAAGGGCCCGGCGAGGTACGCCGCCGCGGAAGAGGAGGCCGTCGCTGCCATCTTGAATAGAGACAGAATAGAGTTTCCTGCTATCGAGATGCTGGTGTTGGTGAAGGAAGCGGGGTTGTACGGGTGCGAGTCATGCAAGATTGCATCGCAGAATCTTCTTGTTCTGCTTACAAAGCACGACAAATCAAGCTTTTCTTCTGCCTCCACAGACGCACCAAAAAAGTGCCAAAACCCTAATTCAAAACTTCTGAGGCTGAAATTTTGATGCTGAGCCAAAGTGTTGTTCTTGCTCCTCCTCCTTTACCATCATCACTGCTCTGGACAAAGAGAGTGACCGCCAAGATGGGTCGACAACAGCGCAAGGAAGACCGCCAGGCGCGCAAAAAGACCAAGATCTCGGCTACACAGGCGCACGCCAAGAATGCTTCCGGCTCGTCCAACGGCGTCGGCAAGCAGGCCACCAACGCCGGCTTTGTCTTCAACAAGAACCAGTTTGCGGGTCTCGTCAACAAGGGCAAAGCACGACAACTTCAACAGATGCAGCAGCAACAGCAAGCACAGCGACGAACGGGCGAAATGGAGATGGACGAGGCGAATACTGACCCAGCAGAGGGCAGTGCAGCTGCTAGGTTGAGAGAAGAGATTGCCGGTGCAGCCGCCAGCTCCAACTCGTACGATGCTGCCATTGACAGTTTGGAAGCTGATATCGCTAAGCAAGAATCTTCCTCGTCAGCCGCTTTGGACCCGACGTTGACGGGCCGCCGAGACAGCTCGATCAAAGCGTACATGCGCGAGCTTCGCAAAGTGGTCGACAACGCCGATGTGCTCCTCGAGGTGCTCGACGCACGCGATCCGCTCGGCTGCCGCTCTCTCGAGACCGAGCGCATGCTCCTCCGCGCGGGCAAGAAGATCGTCCTCATCCTCAACAAGATCGATCTCGTGCCTAAGTCGAACGTCGAGGCGTGGCTGCGGTATCTCCGCCACGACTTTCCCACGCTCGCCTTCAAAGCGTCCACCCAATCGCAACGCAGCAACCTCAGTCAGGGTGCCAACGCGGTCAACTACTCCAAGTCCAATGCGGCTGCAGGAGCAGATGTAATTACAGGTGGCAGCGAGGCCATCGGTGCGGGGGCTCTTCTGCAGCTCATCAAAAACTACTCGCGCAGCTTGAACCTCAAGACGTCGATCGCAGTGGGCGTCTTCGGTGCGCCCAACGTGGGCAAGTCGAGCGTCATCAACTCTCTCAAGCGTGCGCGCGTCTGCAGCGTCGCCTCCACCCCGGGTCACACCAAGGTCGTACAGAGCGTCATGCTCGACAAGTCGGTGCGGTTGCTGGATTGTCCCGGTATCGTCTTCTCGGACGAATCCGCGGCGGGGGCTGCCTCGCTCGGATTGTCGCCCGAGGAGGTGCAGATGCGACGTCAATCGGCACTCTTGAGGAATGTGGTCAAGGTCGAACTGGTCGAAGACCCAATCACGCCCGTGGAGGCGATTATGGCACGCGTGGTGCCCGACCACCTGATGGAGGTGTACGGCCTGGACTGGTTCCAAGAAGGGGACGCGCAGGATCTGCTCATGCGCATCGCGGTGCAGCGGGGCCGCATGGCGAGAGGTGGAAAGATCGATATCGAGGGTACGGCGAGAAGTGTACTGCACGATTGGAACGTGGGGCGGATCAAGTACTATACGCATCCGCCGACGCTGCATCGCTCGGCGATCCTGTCGGAGGACAAGAGGAAGGGTGCGGATGCGCTGAGCAAGAGCATCGGTGGAGTGGATGAGGACGCGACGGTGGGGGTGGAGAAGAAGCTCGAGGAGAGCTCGGCGATCTTGAGCGGGTTCAGCGAGGCGTTTGATCTGGCGGGGTTGCTGGGCGAGGCGGACGCAGAAGTCTTTGGTAGTGGGACGGGGCAGACGAATGCGCCGCTGCCGGAGGCTCCTGCGCCGAGGTATGCTGCTGACGAGGACGACACGAAGGAAGAGGAGATCGAGGACGATCACGAACCCGTTCCTGCGCCAGAGCCTGCTGCAGAAGCCGCCGGATGCACCTCGCGTCGCTCCACGCTCGGCAAGCGATCCCGCCGCTCCTCCGACTCGGACGGCTCGGACTCGGATTCGGACGACGACAGCCCCTCTGCGCCACGAATTGGCGTCCCCGGCCTCGATCCTTCGATGGATGACGACGACGACGCCTCACTCATCGACATGCCCGACGCCGCTCTCCCCACCGCCAACCAGCCCACGACCTGGGGCGACAAGCTCGCAACGAAAGCGACCACCTCGAAGCGCACTGCCGAGCTCTCGCTCGCCTTTTCCGCTGAAGAGCTCGCCCAGATGGCCCCTTCCGCAGGGGCGTCCCGGAGGAAGCTCAAGAAGATGAAGAAGCGTGCGGACCGCGCGGGTGCCGGCCTGGTGGGCGCGTTCGAGGAGCAGAAGCTCGACGAAGAGGATGCCGTCTCGGACGGTGTTGGGGATGGAGCTGTGGGGAAGGGTGTCGGTGGAGGCATGTTCGATGTCGGCACCACTACGAGCGCAGCAGGGAAGAAGAAGAACAAGAAGAAGAAGAAGGGAAAAGGCGTTGGAGGTGGGGAGAGGAAGGGCACGGGAAGCATGTTTGATGTCTTGCTCGAGTGGCAGGATCAGGTATCTGAGGAGGATGAAGGGAAGGAAATGCAGATGGAAGAGTCAAAGGAAACCAAGGCTGTTGTGGCAAGCACAGCGGATGACTACGAGGAAGAGTTATAGCAGTCTCGCCTGCGATCCATCCTATTTGCCCACACATTCAACAGCGCTTGCCTCGTGATCAGGCTGCCAGCTCGTCCTACTCGTGTAGTTGACGGTGATTCAGGACCTCCAGTGAGCAAAGAGCGTCGTTGAGGATAGCGAGGCAAAGATTGAGGAGGACGACGAGCGAGGCAGACAAGTCCGATTTCCGAGTGTGGAGCATGCGAGAAGAAATCAAAGCTCTAAATTTTTGGGTTCTCGAGTGAGCTTCATGCTCTTCCCTCACCAACAACGGTCTCTCTCGGCTCGATTTGTACGGCGACGGCTGTCAATATGGCGTCCTCCCTCACCTCACGGTGCATCGCATCGTCTTCACGACAGACCCTTACACCGTCGATAGCCACCCGATGCACAACGACTCTCCCACCTCGATCTCAGCGCCGATCTCGACCGAACGCCCGTTTCTCCTCCTCCAGCACCGCCGCAGCACCCACCGACCTGATCACCGAACTGCAATCGCGCGGCCTCGTGCAAACGCTCACGTCCCGGGCGCTCTCCTCGCACCTCGCGTCCGCCCCGCGCGTGGTCTACTCGGGCGTCGACCCCTCCGCCGACTCGCTTCACGTGGGGAACCTCCTCCCGCTCCTCACGCTGGCGCACTTTGCGCGCTTCGACCACACGCCCATCGTCCTCGTCGGCGGTGCGACGGGCAGCATTGGTGATCCGAGTGGACGCAGTAGCGAGCGCAATGCGCTAGACGAAACGACGTTGCAGCGCAACGTCGAGGGGATTACGACGCAGTTGCGGGTGTTCTTTGATAACGTTGCCGCGTTCTACCGCGAGCAAGGCGAATCGATCCAATCCGCGACAGGGTCAGAGGAGGGAGGGGTCGAGTTGGGGATGGGTGTGAAACTCATGAACAACTACACCTGGATGAGCGGCATTTCGCTGCTCACCTTCCTCGGTGAGGTGGGTCGACATGCGAGGTTGACCCAAATGCTAGCACGAGATTCCGTCGCTTCCCGCCTCACCACCACCGGTCTATCCTACACCGAGTTCAGCTATCAGCTACTGCAGGCGTACGACTTTTCCTTCCTGCACTCCAAGCATGGGTGTACCATCCAGGTGGGCGGCTCGGATCAGCTAGGCAACATCACGGCGGGGATCGATCTCATTCGTCGAACCCACTCCTCCAGCCTCGCTGAGGATCCAGCGTACGGGTTGACCCTGCCGCTGTTGACCACGCATACCGGGGAGAAGTTCGGCAAGTCCGCTGGCAACGCGGTCTGGTTGAGTGCGCGGAAGACGTCCGATTTGGATTTTTATCAGTTCTTCCTGAGATCCGGCGACGATGATGTCGGCAAGTATCTGCGGTGTTTGACCCTTCTCAGTCCCCAAGAGGTGGACGGGGTGATGAAGGAGCACGAAGCGGATCGAAAGGCGAGAAGCGCGCAGAGGAAGCTAGCGGACCACATGACGCGCTTGATCCGTGGCAAGGGCGCCATGGACAAGTGTCGAGTGTTGACAAGGGTGTTGTTCTCGCATTCAACGCAATACGGAGGGGTGAGGGATGGGGAGAGTGCAGCGAAGGAGGCTCTAGCGGAACTGGAGGTGGAACACATCACGCAACAGGACAATGTCTTGACCCGACTCGAAATGGACCAGGTGGTAGGGGCGGATGTGACGAGGTTGGTGGTGAGCGCGGGACTGGTTAGGAGCAGGGGTGAGGCCAAGAGGTTGTTGAGCAGCGGTGGGCTGTATGTGAACAACAGGCAGGTTGGGTTGGGGGGTGAGGTGGTAGAGGGGGATTTGGTGGAGGTGAAGGGTGGGGAGGGGAGAGTGTGCTTGTTGAGGGCGGGGAAGTCGGCGGTTAGGGTTGTGTTCGTCAAGTGAGCACAGTGCTGAATCAAGGGCAATGCGACGATGGAGAAGCTCGAAGCCGCAACATGCGGGCGCGGAAATGCGTGACTGTGAGCATGTGGTGTGATTGATGCCAAGCCAGGATGATGATACAGCAGTAAGGTGGTGATCACGAAGAATCCGACATATCCTCATCCTCATCCGCGTCGCTATCCTCCTCCATGTCAATCTGCTCTCCGAACGTCTCCTCTTTGCCCTCTTCCTGCATGTCCTCGTCATCGAACCCGATCAGCGTGTCCATCGCCTCGACGCTGTACTCCAACATGCTGGCCTCGATCAACGTTCGATCCGCCCTGGCCCATTGCCTCTCGGTGTAAGGCAAGAGCCCCTCGACCAGCGTGCCCAGATCGACATTCCTCTCCTTGTCGAGCCTCCTCTGTCGCGCCTTCTCCTTATCGCTCACCGCTGCGGTGATGCCCAGCTCCTCGTCCTCCAGCCTCGACGCCAACGCTGCTCGATGCGATTTTGTCGACTCGGCGAAGATTGAGAGCAGCGAAGCGGCAGTGTGGGTGGATAGGATGGCGTGGAGCAGCGTTTGCGCAACGGGCGAGGTGCGCGTCGAGGTGTTCCAGTCGCGAATGTAGATGAGGAGTTGGATGAGAAGCGGCGGTGGAAGGGTCGAGATGATCGAGTCGATCGAGGCGAGACCCGTGATCGAGTTGGCGTCTGCGTCCGAAGCAGACGGGGCGGAAGTGCCGTTGACCTGGGCGGACGCTTTGCCACCACGACGCCGTCGGATGCCGGCAGCTTGGAGCGCCGCATCGCCATCGTCATCTCCGAACTTCATGAGATCGTCATCGTCATCATCGCTATCAGCAGTAGCGAGCACGCTGGCCAACAAGCCATTCCTCTTGCCGTTCTGCTCGACCACCTCCGGCCGGTTGTTCCCAACATGCGTAAAGAGACCCAACAACCTCCTCGGCTGACCCATCTGCAGCGCCAGATGGATCGCGTTCTTCCAATCCTTCCTCGTCAGCATGTTGCCGAACTCCTGTTCCATGCGCACCTCCTCTTCCCGTTCCTGCCGCTTCTCCTCCTTCTCCTCCTCCGTCCTGTCCTCCCACACCCTCACGCCACCGTCGGCAGCAGCGCTCACCAGCCATGCCTCGGACTTGGCCACCGCGATGCTCCACACCTTGTCGTCGTGCGCATCGATCGTCGTGGCGCACTCCTCCTCCTTGATGTTCCACACCTTGACCAAGCCATCGCCGGCGCACGAGGCGAGCTGCATGCCGTTCGACAGAAAGGCAAGTTTGAGCACGCTATTCGTATGGCCCTCGAAGAGTTTGACGGAGGAAAACGTTTTGAGCGACCAGAGACGGATGGTCTTGTCTCCCGAAGCGGTGGCGAGGGCCAGGTCGGAGGAGGAGAAGCGACAGGCCCAGATGCCACGCTTGTGGCCCTTGAGCGTGGCGAGCGTCGTCAGTCGCGCCGAGGCCGTCTTGTTGGAGGCGGAAGGTGGGGTGAAGGAGAGGCTGAAGATCTTGGCAGTGCGATCCTGGGAGCCTGTGGCGAGCATGGCGTTGTTGGGGGAGATGTCGAGGCAGTTGATGTCCTTCTCGTGGACACGTTGCGTGACGAGACTCTTGAGCGCGATGGGCTGACCGAGGGGGCGAGTGGAGGCGAGGAGCGTGTTGATGGGTGATAGGTCCCAGAGCTTTACGGTGCGGTCTTGGGAGGCGGTGACGATGAATGGGGCGCCAGGCGCGCCGGGGGCGGAGGGACGACGGGCGAAAGCGATGGCACCGACCGACTCGGCGTGCCCTTCGCAGACTCCGACGCACACCCACTCGCCCTCGTTGTCGTCTTCGGCCACGCTAGAGAAATGACCGTTGCTTCGAGAAACCTTCTTGCCGGCATCGTCGGCACCATTCTCGGCATCTGCGAGCGAGGACAGCCTCGATTTTGGCACCCATGCCCAAATTCTCGTGGTTCGGTCCTTGGCACCCGAGGCGAGCAGCCTCATATCCGGCGACTTGTCGACACACAGTACGATGTCCGTGTGCCCCGCTAGAAGCTCCACCGAGGTCTCGTCCTCCGCGCCCAATGTGTAGACTCGAAGCGACCTGCTGTTGGTCGCCACTGCCAGGTGCGACTCTTCCTCGGTGGCGTCCGCGGCGGAGGTAGAGAGAAGCGCCAGATCGACGATTTCATCGTTGAATCCAATTAGCTGGCGCACCTTCTTGAGCGGTGCTGCGTCATCACCGCCAACAGATCGGACGACAATGTTCTGATCTGCGTGCACTGAGACCAAGCATGGTGTCGAGTCGTCCGGAGAAACGAGGTGGACAGCGGTGATGGCGCGCGTCTCCTCCTCATCCGCATCTGCGACATCGGCTGCGCTACGACCGGCAGCCATGGCGCGCTTAGCACGGTCCTGCTTGGCATGTTGCACAAGTTGCTCGTTGAAGCCCTTGGGCTCCTTGGCGATGATGCTTGATGAAGAAACATCCCACAGTCGGAGCTGCCCGTCAGAACCACCGGTCCAAAACACGTTCTGCTGCGGCTCGCGCTTCGAGCTGCCAAACGAGCCTGATGGAAGGAATCCAACCGACTCAACACCTTCGTTTGCCGAGAGCGTCTCGGCCTGCTTCCACGCAGCTGCTGGAGCGCCAGACTTGGCAACAGGCAGGCGCCACACAACGAGGGTACGATCGCGCGAACCGGTGACGATGGTGTTTCCGTCCTCGGTGACGGCGATGCCACGGACGACCGAGTCGTGGCCCGCAAGCGTGGCGATGGGCTTGTGCGTCTCGGAGGGGTTGTTGAGGTCCCATACGCGCACTTTGCCGTCGACCGAGCCGGTGAGGAGCTGGATGGTCCTGGCGTTTTGGGGTGCTTTGGACTTGTTCTTGTTCTTCTTGGCGGGGCTCGAAGCAGAGGTTGAGGGTGGGAGGTTCCATGCAAGAGCAGATACAACACCCGCATGTCCCTTGAACGCATGTGTGCAAAAGCCACCTTCGATGTCCCATACTTTCGCCACACCGTCGGATCCACCAGTAGCGAGTAGAGTGCTGGTGGGGTCGACATCCATGAGGTTGACCTGGCTGAGATGGCTCTTCGGTATGCTGCGGACGAGCTTGCATTCGGGCAGAGAGTAGATGCGCAACGCCAGCGACCGCGATGCTACTACGAGGTGCGATCCTGATGGCGTCACAGCCAGCGACGTGACCTCTTCTGTGTCACCTTCGATCCGCTGCACCACATTACCGGTTGTTACTTCGACGACAGTGACCTGCTCGTTGAGCGTCGCAAAGAGAAGCGAGCCATCGGGAGTGAGAGCGGTTGCGCCGCCAGTGTAGAAAGGCTCAAAGGCACGACGCTTCTTGAAGGACGTTTTGAGTCGGTGCTGCGACGGGACTGCTGGTGCCGGTGCTGATGAGGAGGAGGCGGAGGCTTGCTGTTGCTGCGCGGCGAGGATCTGTTGGATCTGGTCCGGGGTGAGGACCTGTGCGTCGGCCATGATGTCGTCTAAGCCTGCCGCAATGCTTCCACGATGATGTGTGCGTTCGCAGTGGCTGCTCAAGACTGGAAGGTGAGAACAGGATCGAGAAGAGGGTCGAAGTCGGTGGTGTTGCTCAGCTTCAAAGGCAGCCAAACAGGAAGAAATTGGACAAATTCCTCGACTTTTTTTGACATTTCTTGCTGTTAGCCAATACCGACTTCCGAGGTTCAAATTAATCGGCCGACTGAAACTGGGCGGACGCTCCACAGTCACACGACCCGAATTTAGAATTCACAAATAGGCTTTCGCCCTGATTCTCCCCGCAGATCGGATCGGCATCGCTATCATCACCACCATATCACCGTCCCCTACCAACGTCATGCGCAGCCTCTCGCTAGCCGCAGGGCTGCTCACCGTAGCCCTTGCTGCGGGAACAGCAGTCGCATATCAAGATCAACAAGCGTTCAGTCTACCACAACAGGACAACGCCGAGCGTATTACCTTTGCATCCTCTTCGCACACGGCCAACTTCAAAGGGCAGAAGGTGGTCAGATTCAGCACGAGCAGTGAGAGTCAACACAAGCAACTCATCCAACAAGCTCACAGTCTCGGGCTGGATGTGTGGGGTGCACAACTGGGAGCTGCTTGCGGAACCGACGTCTTGGGATGCGTCGATATTCGATTGGCGAGCGACACCCACAATGAGGATCCGCAGCGCCTGTCTGCATCCTCATCAGAAGAGATCCTTGCCGGTCTCATGCAGCCTTTTGCAGAGCAGCATCATTCACCGCGGACGACGACGTTGATCGAAGACCTCGACCAGCTTGTCTCGGAGCAACGGTCACAGCGTCAATCTGGAAACCAAGTGACAGCCATGAGGCGGAGTCAAGCATGGCACCACGAGTACCACTCCTTCGACGAGATCGTCGAGTACATGCGCATGCTCCAGCAGAGCTACCCTTCGCACGCCAAAGTCATCGAGATTGGCAAGACGCACGAAGGACGGCCCATCCTCGCGCTGCAAATCTCGAACGGGTTGGATGCTCCCGCGCCACCATCTCCGCCTTCGGACCCAGAACCGGAGCCGCAACCCGACCCACCGTCCAACATCTCTTCCACGGATCAGAAGCTCGGCATCGTCATCACAGGTGGTCAGCACGCTCGCGAATGGATCTCCACCTCGTCCTCTCTCTTCTTCGCCTCCGACCTCCTTCGTGCTGCTCTCGGCGCCCCCTCCTCGCCCAATACCACCTTCTCCCCCGACAACCTCTCAGCGCTGAAGAAGAAAAAGGGCAAGAAGGGGCGCAAACCGCGTCGCATCCCTCCCACATGGACCCGCTCCTCGGCCCGCACCATCCTCAGCACCTTCACCATCACCGTCATCCCCGTCACCAACCCGGACGGCTACGTCTACTCGTGGGATCACAACCGCATGTGGCGCAAGAATCGACAGCCCAACAAGTTCCCCGGTGGAATTTTCTGCAAGGGGGTGGATCTGAATCGCAACTATGGCTACGAGTTTGCGTCTGGTGGGTCGGCGTGTTCCGAGATGTTTGCGGGAACCGAGGCGTTCAGTGCGGAAGAGACCAAGGCGGTGGCGACGTTTTTGGGGGATGAAGCGAACAATGTTCGGGGGTATGTGGATTTGCATAGTTATGGACAGTTGATGATGTACCCGTACAGTTGGAGTTGTGACGAGGCGGTGGCGGACGAGGAGGATCTGTTGGAGCTCAGCTTGGGTGCAGTCTCCGCGCTCAAGCGGGTCCACGGGAGAGCGTTCAACGTGGGCAAGATCTGCCAGGTTTATGCGACAGGTGGTGGCAACGCCGTCGATTGGAGCTACGCTAGCGAAACAGCCGTCGATGGGTCGGGAAAGAGCAAGATCAAGTGGAGCTACAGTGTGGAGCTGCGCGACGGGGGAACGTATGGATTCCTGTTGCCAAAGGAACAGATCGTACCTGCCAGCGAGGAGGTCGCTGCTAGTTTGGCGTATGTGTTGGAGTTCATTAGGAAGAAGGATTCCCGTTTGAGGGTCGGGTAGATCTGAAGAGGGGAATGTATGCGTTTCACGAAGGGGTGGTTTGATGTGTGTGACTGTTCCGATTGAGTGTGCTCGGCTCAGGCTCTCATCCTGCTGTCGCAGACTCTGGGAATGAGCGAACCAAAACGCAACGCAAACGAAACCGACCGTCTTTTCGTGCATCTAAGCTACACTGGATCAAGCCTCGATGTTCTCAAACGTGAAACTCGGGTGTCCTGGCTCGGCCGTCTCGAGCACCTTCTCGTCGACGTCCCCGAACTTCTCCTTATCATCCTCGATGCTATACACCAAGATCTCCTTGAAGCCCATGCTCTTCTTGAGATAACCCGTGGCGGCCCTCAGCGTCGCAATCTCGTCAAACGGCAGCAGCCGGTTGAACGCGCTCTCGGCGCCAAAATCGGCAATGCGCTTCTTGAACGTCACGATAAAGTTCATCACCTTCTTGTCCTTGAGCATGCCATCCTTGGCGAGCTGTTCGCGGATCGCCTTGTCGTCAAAGCTCCCATTTGCCGGGTCATAGTGTTGCTGGACGACCGAAACGCACTTGTCCTGCCACTCGGGGAAGTTCTTGGCGACAAACATGCGACACTGCTTGGGCGCGCGCTCGTTGTACTTGACCGGCCCAGCAGCGGCGTTCTTGCCCTTGGACTTTTTGGTCAGCAGAATCTCGGCATCGCGAACCGTCTTGACCGTGCCGGACACGTACGAAAGCGCTTCGGTGGTCGAGTTGTCCACCCCAGCCGAAGGCTCTGGCCACCTCGCCGTCTGAATCGACGTCGACTCACCCAGGAAGTTGCGCCAAACATGCTCGGCGAAATGCGGCGCAATCGGCGTCACCAACAGCGCCTGCACCCGGATCCATCGCAGGATCAACTCGACGTGCATCCCAATGTCCGACGTCGCCTCGCGGTACAGATCGCGCGCCGTCTGCAGCTCGTAGAACCCATACTTGGTCGCGTCCTTGTACAGCGCCTTGGCGTACGCATCGTTGGTAAGGTGGATGAGGTTGTTGATCTGGTTCTCGAACGATTTGTCCCAGAAGCTGTCCTTGGGTCCCGAACGGAGCTTGGACTGATTCGCGACGATTTCGGCGCACCAGTCGATGAGCGTGTGCAGACGAAGGATGTTGGCGTTGGCCGTCTTCTCTTCGAAATTGGCGTCTTCGATGCCATCACCGGCGTCGGCGAGGGACAGACGGGTGGCATCGGCGCCGAACTTCTCGACCGACTGGCGAAGCGAGAGCGAGTTGCCCGTCGACTTGGACATCTTTTTGCCGTTGAGCATGAGATGGCCGTTGGCTCGGATGGCGCGCGGCCAGTGGTGCTCGGGGAAGATGGCCGAGTGGACGTAGACACAGAAGGTGAGGTGGTTGGGGATCAGGTCCTTGCCGGAGGAACGCAGGTCCATGGGGTAGAAGTAGCGGAACTCGCGGCGCAGCACCTCGGCCTTCTCCTCGGGGATGGTGGTGTCCGACGGGTAGGAAGCGTCGCCGAGGATGTAGTCCCAGATCTCGTCGGTCAGCTCGTCCGCCTTGATGCCGATGGGTCCGACCTTGCTGCCGTCCGCAACACCGCCCTGGAGGTGGTGCGCAATAGTGTAATACGACATGTAGATGGTGGAGTCGCTGAGCGACTCGACAAGGTACTGTGGGTCCCAGGGCAGCTTGGAGCCGAGACCGTAAGAACGAGCACACGCCCACTGCTTGAGCCAGTCGATGGTGCCCTCGAAGGCGTTCTTGACTTCCGGGCCGAACGTGTTCATCTGCGCGACGAGCTTGCTCGCCTGGGCCTTCCACGACTCCTCACCGTAGTCCATGTACCACTGGTCGCACAGCGCCACGACGCACTCGTCGGCACTTCGGCTGATGACCTTTCCTTCGGGCTCGGCGTAGGCAAAGGCGAGCTGAGCCTTGATCATCTCGTCGCGCACCTTGTTCTTGGCTTCCTGGACGGCTTCGCCCTTGTAGGTGCCGACGAGCATGGTGCCGTTGTAGAAGCCCTCCTTGTAGGCGAGCTCCTTGGCCTCGGCGAGCTGGTTCTTGTCCTTGGCACTCTGAATCTTGAGCTGCTTGACGAGCGTCTCGGCGGTCATGTCGCCGTAGGCGGGAGTGCGGATGACGGGGATAGGGTCAAAGGCAGCCCATTGTGGGTCGATCTTGTAGTACTCTGCCTTCTTGCGCAGGTCCATGAGCGTGGCATAGTCATCGGGCGAGTCGGAGGGCACCGAGGTGACGACACCGGTACCCTTGGTGGCGAGCACGGTCTCCATGGGCAGGACGTAGACTTCGGGGTAGAGACCGAAGGGAGCCTTGATCTTGGTTCCGATGAGCTGCGAACCCTTGATGGTGGCGAGCGAGTGGACCTGGCCACGCTCCTTGGTGGTGCCCTGGAAGGCCATGTTGCGCGCCGCACGCTCGGTGCAGATGTAGACGTCGGTGTCGTTGATCTGGAAAGCGCCGTAGTCGATCGTGGGTCCGACGTAGCAATTGGTCTGGCCGTACATGGTCTCGGGTCGGAGGGTAGCTGCGACAAAGTAGACCTTCTTTCCCTGAAGCTTGGCATCGAGCTCAGGGGCTGCGAGGGCGCCCCACTGAACGAGCTCCATCTTGAGACCGGTGTACTCCTGAGGACCAACACCTTCGCCGTCGGATCGGTCGTGATCCATGCAGGGCTGACCGTCCTTGGGCGAGTAGATGGTGTAGCGCTCGCCGAACTTGATCTTGTTCATGGCGTGGAGCTTGTTCATCTGCCATCGGACGAAGCTGTCGTAGTACGGGTTGACGTCGGTGGTGATGAAAGCACGTCGCCAGTCGATGCGCGAACCGAAGGCGGTGCAGTCAGCCTTGGCGATGGGGGGAAAGTAGCTGAGCCAGTAGTTGGCATCTGCAAACTTTTTGATCTCGTCCTTGGGCACGCCAGAGTTGAGCATGATCTGGAACTGATACTTGAGGCCGGTGTCCTTGCCTGCAAGCTTGCCCTTGGTGGCTTTGGCGACGTTGTTGCCCTTGGTGACGCTGGATGTGTTCTCGGTGGGTGCTGGTGGCTCGGGTGCGGCTTCCGCCTCGGCTTCGTCCGCGGGGTCCTTGTAACCGGCAAAGTCGTCGCCAAAGAGCTCGATCTCGCGGACGAGCTTGTCAGCGGCAGCACGGATGGGCATACCTGTGCAGTGGAAAGCCCATGGGAAGAGGGCACGCTTGCCCTGCATACGCTCGTAGCCAGCGGCGAACTCAACCTTGGAGAGGGTGAAAGCGTGACCGAGGTGGAGCGAACCGTTCATGTAGGCATAAGGGATGGTTGCAAACCATTTTGGGTACTTTGCGCGCACCTCGTCTGGGGTCATATCTACGAGACCGTCATCTTGGGTAGGGGCGTTGATGTCAAAGACGTGCTGTTGCGCCCAGTAGTCCTGCGACTCCTTTTCGAGCTTTTGGAGGAAATCACGTTTTGCGGTGTTCTCGAGCTGGATGGGACCTGCGCCAGCGCCCTTGGCCGCAGCAGCGGCGGCGGCGGCGGCGTCTTTGGGAGGCATGGTCAAGGCGACGTTGGCGACGAAGCTGCTCGAGCTGAAGGGAGCTTTTGCCGCAGCGATGCGAGTCGGAGCAAGCGAGGAGAGAAGAGGCCCTGGACGCGGCTTCAGGGCCAGAGATCGGAAGAAGCGAAGGGTCGTCGTCGTGGTGACCGCAGATCCGACAGAAATAGAGCGGAGATGCTTCGACGATGGGTTGGGATGATGACTGAAGCGTGGGAATGCTTCGATCTGTGACTGCGTTGAAGATGGTGATGAGGTGAACGGATCTTCCGATGTCAAGCATGCAACTTTTTTTGCGCAGCAGGGAGCAACGCCGGCGTGACTCTGAAGAAGAAGAACCTTGAGAAGAAGCGCCGCTTTCTTTTTTTCCAATTCGAACGAAACAAACTCTGAATCTGACATCCTTGCCCAAAAAAGCGCTGTGGACGCGGCTCAACTTTAACGAGCGAAGCGGGCGGATTGAACCCTGAACTCTCGAGAGCTTCGGTGACTTTGTGGAGACGCAAAGCAAGCGAGTCGAGCATCTCTCCCTGCCTGGCGCTATTGGAATGATCACGCTCGCATTCACCTCTTCAACCGACGGATCAGCCTACGCCGACATCAATCATCTCACTCAGCAGCTCTTGGCGCAGACGCTGCTTCGAGCACGCTAACAAAACTTCCATCTTCACCTTCTGCCGCCCGAATGACAGATTGGCAACGATGCTATCACTTCAGTCGTAGCACCTCTACCTAGGCGACCCTCCCCCGGATGATACAGGCAGAACTCATGGTGTCACCGCTAGATAAGAGCCTTCATTTGCTGCCACTTTCGCCATCGTCATGACGTCCCTTCAAGCTTCGCTGCTTCGCGGCAGCGTCCGAAATGCGTCCGCATCGTCGTCATCGAGCACCAAACCATCCACCACCGACGATGCACAGCTCCCGGAAGCTTATCAGCAGCAACAGCCGCCATGGCGGCCACCACTCCATCCAGCTGCTCCCGATCGCGACGCTCCAGACCTCTTCCCTACCAAACCCGGTCAGCCAGAAGACGACATGTCGCAGCTCTCGGTCCGCAAAGGCTTCGATGCTCGCCCCCGCGTCCGCAACGAATCCTTCTTGGCACACCAAATGCTGCACCAACGGATCTCGGTGCCAGGCCTCATCGATTCCCTCTCCAAATGGATGGACGAAGCCGTGCAGCGTCGCACCGAGCTCGATCGCGCTAGTATCGCCCCCAGTCAGTACAAGCCACCCTCGCGTGTCACGCTCAACGAGGCCAAGCTGGCCAACTACGTCAAAGACCTCGCAGATCCTAGCGTTCCCCTCACGCGTCTCTCGAGGAGTGTTCCGCACGGCTTTCGTGGCGAGAAGCTCTTTGAAATGCTTTGGGCAGGGGGCGCATTGCCTGCCGCCGCGGCAAGCACCGCCTCCGGCTATTTCAATCCTCGAGTGGCCCCTCTAGGTACTGCATCGACGCCTTCCTCTGCAACAACTCCTGGCGCTAGCATACCTTCTTCGGCATCTGCGGCAAGGAAAAGCGTCGACATCTCCCGCGCTGTTTGGTTCATTCGTGCCTTGGGTGTCGCCGAGCTCTCGTCCTTGCGCAACAAGTCGGCGGCTACCATCGTTCCCGAAATCACCTCGAACCTCTGCACCTGGATGGCCAAGCAGGTCACCGAACTCACTCTCGTTCAGGCCGCCGAATCTTCCTCCACCGCCGCTGCATCTCCTGCTCCCTTCTCGCCCTCTTCGTACCTTCCCCGCACGCCCGGTGCTGGCCCTCCCACTTCGCTCTCTCGCTCCGTAGCGACCGCACATATCGCCCGCACCCCATCGAATCTCCATCCTGCCGCTTCTCCATCACCTGCCCCCGGCAAGGAAGTATGCTCCGTGTTACAGAACGAGGTAGACGAAGAGAGGTGGCTCGCAAAGTGGTCCTACAGTCTCTCCCTGGCACGCCACTTGCACGCGCAGAATCTCCTTGACCGTGCTATTCTGGTCCGATGGATCGTCGATGCCTTTGCTGCGTCCAATCTCGTCCAGCTCCCTTTCCTCATCGAGCTCGTGCAAGAGGTTCTGACCTTCATCTTGCGACGTCGATGCTTCGTTAAGCCCTTCTTGACCGCGCTCTTGATCCAAATCAGCTCTCTGGATGCACGCTTCGATCGGACAACCTCGCCTGCTCTTCGCACCAAGCTCATGCTCCTCTTCCGCATCGTGTGCGAGACCAGTCCCGACGCCCTCGTCAGCCCTCGACTCTGGTCAGAGCATGCAGACACGCTCACGCAGCTCCTCGCCGAGGTCGCCACCGACGCGGATGGCCTTCCAAGCGAGCATGCTACCCAAACCATGTCTGACTTTGTCGAACACGTGGTCAAACCCAGAGTCGATCGATTGCTCCTTCGTCCTGCAAATCGACAAGGATCAAAAGAAGATTCTAGCACAGCGACATCCTCGCCCGCCACGGCCACTTTGCAGCAGCATCTCGACATGGAAGCTCTTGATTCGTTCGACATGAGGACAATCGATCGAGTCTTTCTTCAGACGAGCGGTGGCAATCATCGACACACGAAGCAAGAGCGTGACGATTCCGTCTGGGCGCCAAGGATCGAAACCATCCTTTCATGGGCCTGTAGCGACCGTCGCTCGGGCGTAGCGCGGCAGTACCTCGCTGCCACGTTGATCGAAAAGATCCGTTTCGGCGTCACATGGGAGGAGTCCAGCGAAGAGACCGATCAGGTGTCTTTGCCGGCCTTTGACCTCGAGCATCACACCAAAAAGACGCGCAAGATCAACGTAGAGCCCATGCTCATCAAGTGGCTAGGTGACGTCGAGGCATCTCTCAGTCCGATATCGGATGGAGTCATTGGTGCATCGCACACATCGCTATTGGCAACCATCGACGTTACCGCTATCGTGGTTCTCGTCGGCGAGCTCGCAAGAAGAGGCATCTTCTCCTACACAAAATATCTGCAGAGACTGATTGCACGTGGTATGACCACTGCCTCGGCGTCCAGCGCGGGCAACGACGCTTGCGCAGTTGCCCCACCGTCCAGTGGCAGTCTCTCCCGAGATTCCTTGCACCTGCGACTTCTGCGCTCGCTGCCGCTGTACGACCAACCCGCTTCTGTCTATCAGCAGCGCAGACAGGCCATCTATGGCGACCGCACAAAGGAGACGTACGAAGACGCTGTGCAGCGTCGAGCCCTGCGCCAGTTGCAGTCATTTCTGCCATTCGCTTTCGTGGAGCAAGAAGAGCAGCAGGAATCTGCTGATCCTCCAGCAGCTTCTCACCCTGCGTCGGTGCCTGAAGAGAATGGATCGGGCGATCTAGAACAAGCCCTCTCCCGTCTCTGGTCAGCATCACGCTTCGTGCGCTGCCGGATCTTCCGCAATGAGCTGCTCCCAGCGGTCACGACACGCATCGAGAGGATCAATGGCAACCAGCTTTCCATGGTCTCGGCGGTTCTTGTCATGGCTGACGATTTTGAGGGTCTGGCTCAGCTTCTTGCGACACTACTGCTGCGCCCGCTGTCCGACAGCCTCGCTCGGGCTACTTTCAACATGGTGATCGAACACAGCTTGGTCTGGAGATCGATGGACATCATGGGCACACTCAATCAGTTGGTGCGCCAGCAGCTCAACCACTCGAGCTCGGTCCGAAACGATCGTCAGGCCGTCATGGCATCGACCACCCTCTTGCGGCTTCGCACTCTGATCGAGGGCATTCCCGGTCGCATCAGCGCGCCTGCTCTCGATCCTGGCGCAGAGACCGACGCCATACACCAGCATGTACAAGCATTGAGACCGAGCGTAGATACGTTGCTCGATCGCTTCGCCAACATCTCTCGGGTCGCTGCGGAGGCCACTGAAGCAGGAAAGACGCCTCCTGAAGGGTCTGACATCCTCACGCCCTTCCGCAGTCTCTTTTTGCAGTCGGACGCCACTGGCGACGAGGTTATCGAGCGTACTATCGTGGAAAGTGTGCTGGCGCGATCCGATCATTCCCTCGTCCCTGCGGCTGTACGTCTCATCGATCAGCTCTACCTCGAGGCTTCGCTTGAAATTGACGAACGACACGCACGGTGGCTCTCACACCTCGCCCATAGCATCGAACAAGGGACCCATGGCGGCAAGTCGATCGGGGCACTGCTCGCCTTGCTGACCCGGCTCATTGCGCACGGCACGCTCAATTTGCAGCTCGCCATGGACGCGTTCTTGCTTCCGTCTTTGCTGTCCTCTGTTAGGAGACTGACGGATCCAGCCACACGCGGGACTGAAACTTCATCGAACATTGGCGCTATCGCTCGTGTGGTCAGCGAGATCTTCTCCAGCGTCACGGACGAGGTCACTTCGACGATCTCGTACGAAGACATGCGCGCGTTCGGAGCTCAAACCATGCTGCTCTTCGCGCACGTGAACCTGCCGTCCCTTCTCGGTGCTGCGAGCTGCTTGATCTGTGCTTCGGATGCAGCTACCAGCATCGACGCTGCGGACAAGGCCTCGATCGAAACCTTTTGGAAGGCGTTGCTGCGATCGCAGCCCATGCAAATCGCATTCCGTCAGGATCCCAGACTATGCATCTTGACGATCAAGGACACGTGCAAGTCGATGTGGGGCTGCAACCCATCGCGGGTCATCGACCTGGCCATGGGCTGCCTCGATCCGACGAGCCTGTTGCTGCAGGACGTCGCCTCGGTCGACGCCGCATCGATCAAAGCTCGACTAGATGGATGGGACACCGCCGTGGTCGCCAAGGAGCTCGTCGAGATCTTTGAGCGACTGCAGCTGGTCGAGTCGAGCTTCCAGTCGAGAGCCGACAGCAAGACCAAGGCGCTGGCGTCGGGGATCTTTGACGACCTCTTTGTCAGGCTGCCGGCTACCGGCGCTCAAGTCATGCGCGACTGCCAATCGAGCGGGCTGATCTCGCGCTTCACGGATATCGGCATCAAAATTCTGTCGGACAAGGTCAAGGCTAGCAAGGCTGCAACCGAAGGATCGACTCTCGACAGCAGGGATGCAGCCAAAGACAGCTACGTCGAAACGGCTGCACCGGACGAACCGAATCCGAGCTCTTCTGCACAGACTGGAAGCAGCACGGCCCCGATGAAGTCAAGCAAACCATCGCAAGAGGACGAAGGAGTCGATTCCACCATGCGCTCCGTGCTGCGCATGTGCGAGCAGCAGGACAGCTTTACCTTCAACGCCACGGACGCCGACTCGTGTGGGCAGCTCCTGCTTCACGTCGTCTCCTTTCTCGAACACGCTTTATCTCCCACCGACTCCCGCACCACCGACGTGGCGACGCAGCTACTCCAGCTCCTGCACAGCGGAACCTTCCAGCTGCTGCATCTCGTGCTGCGCTTCGGCTGTCTCTGGAGTGTCCCGATGAAAGCCGTCGCCCAACGACTCGTCAAGTCACTCCTGGATCTGACTCGGCAGGCCGGTCAACTCCCCGATTGCAGCACGCCCTTCACGCTGCTGCTCGACTCGCTCAGCTTCGTGCTGGACGAGCTACCCGCGCAGCTGCTCAGCGCGTGCCTGCCGGAGCTCGAGACGCAGCTAGCCGAGCTCGAGCTGGCTACGCACGAGCGGACGAGCAAGATGCAGCAGCTCTCCTTCCGACTGGACAACGCTGCTGGGCAATGGCTGGTGGCGTCGAGCGCTGAGTCTGCGGTGCGGAAGGGCTGGTTCACAGCGGGCGGGCTGAATGCGTGGGAGTGCGCGGAGTACCTGGATGCGCCGCCGACCATCGCGCCGGCTGCAAGCGGCAACGCTGTCCGCGGTGTTCCTTTACAAACACGTCCGATTTACGCACGACCAGACCCGGCGAGTCAGACCGACGCAGCAGCTGTACCAGGCGCACGAACAGGCTGGTCCACCAAGCTCACGCTCAACACGTCGATCCCGCTGACCCTGCTCGGCCTGCGCGTCACGCGCGATCTCGTGCCCAACTACAGCACCGATTCGCCCAGCGCCACGTCGGTCGGGAGCAACGCCGAGCCTGCACCCACACAGACGGGTCTCGATGCGACGCTGCCGGTGTTTGTCGAGTCCGAGCGGACGTATGGCGGGCGGGTGGGTGGTGAGCCTGCGTTTGCGCGCGATGTACGGCGCGGCTTGCTGCTGCGACCGACGCTGCCGGTTGTTCAGGATGTCAGCACTGCGATTGGACAGGATGGGATTCAAAAGGTGGTCTCGGGCACGGGAAGAGGGTCGGAGAAAACAACGGTGGGACTCACGAACGACGCCATCCCAGTCATTGATCTAAAGTGGGACGACGACGAGGTGATGCCCTTGCAGCAACCGCCGGCTGTAACAGCGGCCTCACAGGGGAGCAGGAAGAGACGCATGTCGAAGCGCGATTGAAGTGTGCGGCGGAAATGGAAAGTTGAGCGCTCGGCTAATGCTGGTTGTGAAAGTGTGTGAGACACCAGCACGATGTGTGGGGGCTGCGACGCGTTCTGATGGGATCGGATGGCTCGTGGGAGGAGGTCGTCGAATCGACTTGTGCAGCGAAATTCCTCATCTGAGCAGCCCTCGTGCTTCAAAACGCATCTGGGACCCGGACACTCTTTGGGGTGACTATTCTGAGCATTTGAACGAGTGGTAATCTGATCGGAAACGACTTCATGCGAACTGTTGACCAAAAGGATCGAGCAGAAAGGGCAGGTGTCAGTGTCCAGTCTTCAATGAGGCACTGGGTGTTGGGTGACTTACCTGTGACAAATAGCTCTCGGCGACAATCCTGGCCCTTGCATTGATGCTGAGCTTCATCTCGCTGATCTCCTTATCCACCTCCTCCATGAACTCGATAATGAAATCCACGAGCTTATGCTTTAGCATGGTTTCGGAATGGAAGTTGGTAATCAGAAAGCTGATATCGTATCCTTTCACCGGTTTGCGACGGAGGATGACGAAGGCTTCGGCGCGTTGCATGAGAAACCTCGTAAACTTGTGGGCGAGGATGCGTTCCAGCTCGTCCGCCTGTTTGATGCCGATACTGATGCGAATCGAGTTGACGGAGGGTTCGATGAGGACTTTCTCGTTCTCATTGCGACTGATCGTAAGGGGTGTCAAGAGGACTTCGAGGGAGGAAGCAGCTTCGATCTCGGGCACGTTGTGCCGTTCCACCGTTTGCGAGGCAAAGTTGTCCAACGTCAACGCGGCGGTGAGCGTGGACCGCACACAGGAGAGGTACGGACGAAGCGTGTTCGACTGTGCGACGAAACCGAGGTTGCAAAGTAGTACGTGCGTCCCAATAGGCATGGTTGGTCAGCTAAAAGCCACTCGTACCGCGAAGGTCAAATGCCACATGTACATACCATGATGACGGATCAAAGGCGCAGAAAAGCAATGCGCTGTGTTGAAGCGTCGTATATAGGATGGATCGAGGTGAACTTCGGAGAGAGTGCGCCGTGTAAACCGGTTCTGATCCCGACGAAGCAGTGCTGCGTGATCTTGGCACGTTCAGACCGAGCTGACTGCTTTCCAAGGCCGCTCGGGTGTCCGCACGATTCGTTTTCCGCCTGTGTCCGATCAGTCAATGCTTCTTAGTACCTTTTGAGGCGGATGGATGCCCTGTCGTAATGCTGCCAAAGGTGGATGCTGTAGGAAGCAGATGGTGGATCTGCGTACTGGCCGGCTGTGCATCGTGTGAGAGTGTGGAGTTGCAACCCGGCGCGATGGCTTGTGCGAATTCGGTCAAATTTCGCACGAGAGCGGCGGGTCCATCCGCGGAGAGAGGGTCCGAATTCGCGCCGCTGGACAGGTCGCATGCACCGGCTCTTCAAACCCTTGCTCTCGGCTCTGACGCTTGCCATGATGCACATGGTTGGGTCTCACCCTGCATCGAGTGCTCGTTGAGGTCGCAGTGCGGTCACAGATTGAAACCCGGAGGGAAGTCTGTCAACGCCGGGCCGGAGCAATGTACCGCATTCTCAAAGCTAAGGGGCCAAATTCGCACCAACAAAAGACATCCACAAAAGGAGGTACCAAAAATTATGCTCGTTTTCACTCGCGAAATGCAGCGCAGAAGCATCGGCTTGGATTGACACATCGACCTTCTGTCGCATCACAAGTGGACCATCTAGAATGTACATGTAGGACCATTTAGGCCTTGGAGATCTCGACAGTGTTGGTGGCACCGAGAGCCTTCTTGAGCTCACCGTAGATACCGAACTGACCGGCGGTGATGGAGCCGACCATGACGAGACGGGTGGTGAGACCACCGAAGAGACCACGCACACCGAGCTCACCCGAGAGCTTGGTGATGCGGCCGACGACGGTCTCGCCGGGCAGAGCCTTCTGCTTGTTGATCTTGGACAGGAGCGTGTCGGCGGGCTGCGAGATGGTAGCGGCGGCGAAACCGGCAATGAGACCCGAGCCGAGGTTGAGGGCGGTGGCCTCCCCACCGGAGAGCTCGGCCTTGGGCTTGCCGTATGCGTTGATGGCCTTCTCGAGCACCACCTCCATGGTGGCGAACTTGGCCATGTTGTAAGGGATCTGCTTGAACAGAATGGGGCCGAAACCGGCGTAGAAGCCACCCAGACCCTCCTCGCGGGCGATCTTGAGGAAAGCGGGCGCGAGACCGTTGGCAAAGGTGGGCTGCGACACGAGACGGATACGCGTGGCCTCGAGAGGGCAGAGCGCAATGTCGGCAAAGAACTCGGCAATGGCGGAAGCACCGAGGTAGATGGCCATGCGGTTCTTGACGGCCGTGTCGTTGTCCATCTGCGAGACGAGGATCTTCTTGAACAGCTCGTAACCGCCGAACTTGAAACCACCCTGGAGGAAGTAACCGAGAACGGTGGGGCCGAGACCGGTAAGGAGAGCACCAGCACCCTCCTTGGCAATGACCTGGCGGAAACCACCGATCATACCCTTGTTGTAGACGGTGGGCTCGAGTTGGATACGCGTCTTGACGACATCGATGGGAGTGACGGCACCGTGGGTGATGGAGCTGTGGGAGGAAGTCGGGTTGACAGCGGATGAAAGAGATGAGCAAGTCAGTACAATGTTTGCGACTTTCGGCAGTGTCGAGGCGAGAAGATCGATCTTGCGACAGCTGCGTCCATGCGCGGGTATTCCTTCCTGAGACAGCAGTCTTTTGTGCAACATTTGCGTGCGACTCGAGCCAGAAAGGCTCTGGATAGGCTCTGCACCAGTTCAGCTGAGCCGTTGTCGCTGTGTGCCGCATTTCTTGCAGAAGCGATCCCCGACGACAGCGCCTTTCTTCAGATGACCAGCAAAGGGCGCTTCCTCAATTTGCGTTCTAGAGATGCAATCCTAGCATTCCGAAAACCAAGCCCGAAACCAGATCGACCTTTTCCCATCGGTGCGAGCAGATACTCACCAGCAGAGGGCACCGGCGAGGAAGAACCTCGAGTAGAGGTCAACACCCTGGGGACCGGGCTTGACGGCCTCGGCGACCGAGTGGATGGGGTAGGCACCCTTGGTGAAACGTTCTTGGAAGGTAGCCATTTTGATGGATGTATGTGAATCCGAGACGAGACGAGAAGAGTAGGGAAAGAGAGGTGGTGGTGATGATGAGCAGAGAGACCGAGAGCGAGATAGGAAGAATGAGGATGTTTCCGTGCGCGCTGCGCTTGCAGACAGGCGGCCAAGGTTTGTGAAATTGTGGAAGATGACGCTTTGTGCAACGAACGACTGACTGACTTTCTTCCCGCTTGGTCCCCCCCACGCTGGACAGCTAGGATCCAGAGAGAGAGACACACACACACACTTTCCGGTTCAACGCTGTGGGCTCTCGCGGCAAATTTTTCGTGTCGGGCTGGCTCGATCTGAGAACGCTTTCGGTCCGTCCAAATTTTGAATCAAAAAAGCACAGGGATTTGATTCTCGATTCGAGATTTGTATTCCAGATCGCGAACTTCTGGCTCGAGTCAATACAAACTGAACCCTTTCGTTCCGAATATCGCCGCGATGATTGGGCCTCTTGGTCTGCACCACTCACCCACTCACTCTCGAGACTCGGTGTCCAGCAAGCGCCGACGTCGATCAACAGGCACAGAACGTGGACATCCAAGCTCTTCGAGTGCCAGCCGCTACAATCCTTTGTAGACTGGCACGCCGAGCGTTTCTTCGTGTTCATGCTCAGTGAAAATGCCGACTCCACGGAGATGTCATGCTCGAGTCCGATTTCTCACGAAGCAGTGAGAGTCAGTCTGAGCAGAATCGAAGACATTCAAAAGAAGGGAGAGATCCAGCTCGAGCGACGTCAGAGCGTGTTGAGTCAAGTTCGCGGGGCCAGCCTATTGATAGCGGTGGTTGGACCCTAACATTCACCGAGCTTCTTTTGCTTGAATCGGCTAGATCCATCCTGATCTGGTCAGATCTAGGCGGCACGACAATAAGACAAGGTCTAACATCTGTCCAGATTTCTGTTGCACGGAACCCGGGCGGTGGATCGTCCAAGATGATCTGCAGAAGGGATCTGCGTTGGACTGATTTTTTTGGCGAGACCGTTGGGCGTTCGGCAAGTTCTAGCGTGGCGCCTCGTCAAGACCTGAACCCTACCGCATCCGGCTAAGCCTTATTTTTTACTCGGTCGACGTCGACTTGCGCAGGGTTGCAACATCTAATTCTACACGCTCCCCTCGGTAGCATCTTGTGTGGCTTTATCGCGCGCCCAACTGTTTCGTAACCCGCCACCAACGCGCCCTTGCCCACCTGCTCGCTCGCTTAGAGCACTCGCAGCGTGATCAAGGGTTCGGGCCTGGGCCGCGCGTGCTTGGCCATTGTGCTCCCATTAAACGGTACCGATTTCCGCGGTATGGCTTTGCGTCGACGTCCTCCCTCCTGCCGCATCGAGCGAAGATGAGCCAAGCAAGCCAAGCATGCATCGTTAGCCGCCTCGGATACCAGTCCTCATGCTGTCATCGGATAGGTTGAATGTAGACCGACCTTGAACCAGATCTCGGGATCGCTGTGCAGCTCCGGCATCCTCGCCACCCAAAATAGGACACACTTCCAGAAGCAGAAGCCGAACTAGGCGCTTGATCCCTTGGTCCACCTCGACGTAAGCATCCGGTTGGCTGTGCACTAGGTCTCGCTTAGCAGCCGCGCCAGACCGCTTTTCCCACGCCGAATCGTTGGTGGTTGCCGGCCATCGTCAGCGCTTCCTATAGTGCCGTTACTGGCATCTATTGTGCAGCAGCCGAAGGCGCATCCGTGGCTTGGATTTGTCGACTCTCCACCACTTGTGCCGTACGAGGCTAGCGGATGCGGCGGATAAGGGTTCAAGAGTGGATGGAGTGATGGCCGCCACAGTTGCCGATCCACGGGAGGAGCGAGGACCACGAGTCAGCCGACGCGCGGCGACTCAGATTGCATATTCGCAAGCCACCGTCCGCCGATCTGGTGATCATCGGCTAGAAGTCATCGCCCTACGCATGCAGACTCAAGTTGCTGATGCTTCCCGATTTCGAACTAGGCTGGCTGCGGCTCGCATCTCGAAAGGTGACCGCCGAGCCAGCATCGGAGAAGCCCATCGGGATTCGGCGGATCGGAGTCGCAGAGCGGATGGCCTGGACCAGCGGAGTCAGAGTAGCAAACAGCGTCGTGAACAAACAGGAGCGTGATCGACTAGCGCATTGTAGAAGTTGAGGCGGGCCAGCGCAGTGGGCAAATGGACGTGTATTGTTGGGAGCCGACATGTGAGAGAGATTTCCTCGGGACTAGCTGGGCTGAATAGAGAAGCAAATCGTCAACTCAGAAGCAGAACACGGATAGATTCAAGGTCAGATGACGGCGGCTCGTCCATTGGCCAAAGGCTTCGTACAGCACCAGTGTGAGCCCGGTTGTGCGGGTCAATCCAACGACAAATTTGAGCACAAGGGTAAATGCGGGGGCTCGTTAAGCGAGGGCTTTCAATTGATGTTCAACTCCGCAACGGGAAATTTTCGCGGTCGCAGAAAGAGAGAAAGAGAGAGGCAGGAGAGAGCTGTCATTTTGGCGACACTGAAGCGGGGCTGAAGGAGTAAAAGACAGAGGACCCCTGTCAGCGAGTCCTTAATTCAAAGTCAGACCAAGCAAGGCGTTTCCGACTGGTGGGTCCCTTGAAGCTCTGTCTGCAGCTGCCCAGCCAATCGGCTCTGAGTTTGATTCTCGTTGCAGTTTTGTGGCTTTCAGAGGCTGATCTTCGGATGCCCTTCTGAGCCCATTTGGCTTGATTGACTGTGTGCAGCGTCATTGCCGTCGGTCCTCTTGCCGGCTTGAGCGTGGTCGAACAAGAGCTGCGGACAGTGCGTGTGGGATCAAGGCGGAGCAGCGCTGGGCTGCGTCCACGGCTGCATTAGCGGCTTCCGTAGATCAACGTCTCAGCCCGCCGTTGACACTAGTCTCACGAATATCGGCGCATCCGTCCTTACAAAGCTGCTAGTTAGCTCAGCTTGAGACTAACAACTACCGCCGCCAATTCAAACAGTTCCATGGCCAAGGCCAAGGCAGAAGGGTGTGTCTTCCTCGTCGTGGGATGAGGTCGGTCAAGTTCCCACGCTCCATCACCCCGCGGACTTTATCCGAGCTTCCCACCCAGACTGTCATCGTCACATTCACGATGACCATTCATCTCGAGAGGGCAAAAGTGGCGCCATGCTCTCGCCATGATCGGCAGAGCGGGTCAAGGCGGAGGCGGAGGACCTGCGTGGATCTTGAGCTGAGCAAACAGAGAGTCAGGGAGCTGTTCTATCTCCGCTTCTGGGATATGGTGGAGGGACTGCAATGACAATCCCTAAGCGAGACACAGGGTTGCCACCCCTCATTAAGCTTCCATTGAGCAGCCTTAGACGAGGGCGTCGAGACACGTCTTCTTACTCATCCGAGATTCAATCTGATCTGCTCTTGACCTCGACCTGTCCCGTTCTGCCAAGCTGCAGATCCTGGCGACGGGTACACTCGCTTGCTCACCGCTCTCTCTCCTTCTCGCACAACGCGACAGCCAGCAGCGACGAGCTTCTTCTGCATTTGGGTGATCCTCCGCTCAGCCACTTTCATGCCACCGCCGCCCTCGCTTGCTCGCTTGCTCGCCTTACCCTTTTGCAGACGCGGCTCGCATCTCTGTCCCTTCTGCGCCCCCGTCGATCCATTGCCCCGTCCAGGGTCCACGGATCTGGCTCGAGTCTCCCCGCAGTGAGCGGCAAAACCGTACCACAACACCATCCTCCTCTTTGCCCTCTCTTCCTTCTCTCGCAGAACTCGACGACGTCCCTAGCATCCAGCTCCGCTTGCGGACAATGAATGCTGCAGCCTTCCATCCCAACTCGTCGTCGTCTTTCTCGCTTCGGCTCCCCGGGTTTCATTTTTCACGTATACTACTCAGCTTCCTTGATGGCCGAAGAAGCGGATCAATGTGGAGCTGGATGCGTTCAAAGTCGCCATTGTTGCGCCTTCGCCTGCAGATGTCCTGTCCATCAGTGCATCATCTTCTCTTCGTCGGTGCTTTAGCTGCCCATGACCCGGCGAGTCAGTTGGCCCGCCCGACGTCTGCTCAGGCCCGTTTGCCCACATCACCACCTGCACCGCAACCCCTCCCAGACCCTTTCTCCCTCACTCTTTGCATTGTCAGCCATCTTGTCTTCTTATGCTCGCCCATGTTTCTCGCTTACGGGTTCGACCTCATCTAACGCCTTTTCCCCTTCCGGCTCCTCATCCATCTGCTGCTCGCCATCACGAACGGTTTCAATGTCAGCCTTGCGAGACGCATCAGCTGTTCTGGGACAGTTTCAGCTGTGGCTCAAGGAGAATTTCGCCCCTTCTTCAGCCCTCGAGAGATGGTTCGACGCATCATAGGAGTATCGGCGCTTTACCAGACGTTGTTTCTCCGTGTTTCTTCCATCAGAGCTCAGCTAGACATCTTTCACTCGAAGCGACCTTGCTTCGTAGAATGCCCCGTTCGACTCATCGCTCCCGACCTCGTCGGAGCCCTCATCGGAACATGATATAAGCTGGACCATCCATCGCCCCCTCTTCCTCCTCTTTTCCGTATCTCGTCCATCCTTCTCCTCAAGACCGGCCTTCTCCTTAGGCTCCCTCACTCTCGGTCACCTCATCCCTACGCCTCCTCACCCTACACATCCTCCTTCACTATGAAGATCAAGATCTCCTCGTCGGCCCTTGTGCTGGCCACTCTCTCCTTCGTTGCCGCCAACAACACGTGCGGCGGTGACCCCGTCCCCGTCCCCACCTACTCGCAGGCTCCCCTCGGCGGCTGCTACTGCACTTGCACCAACGGCTTCAACCCTGCTGGCGGTACTGGTCCCTTCGGCGGCGGATTCGGCCAGGGCTCTGGCGCTGGCGTCGGCTCTGGTTCTGGATCCGGTAGCGGCTCTGGATCTGGATCTGGCTCTGGCTCTGGCTCGGGCTCGGGCTCCGGTTCAGGCTCTGGCTCCGGCTCTGGCTCTGGCTCCAACGGCGGTGGATCCAACGGTGGTGGCTCCAACGGTGGTGGCTCCAACGGTGGTGGCTCCGAGAGCAGCGGTGGCTCGAACGGTGGCGGAAGCAACGGCGGCGGAAACGGTGGCGGAAACGGTGGTGGTAACGGTGGTGGAAACGGTGGTGGAAACGGTGGTGGCGGCGGCACTGGCAACAGTGGTACTCAGCCCGGCGGCGGCGGCAACAACGGTGGTGGCAACAACGGTGGCGGCAACAACGGCACTACCCCTGGCGGCGGTGGTACTGGCAACAGCGGTGGCCAGCCCGGCGGCGGCAACAACGGCACTACCCCTGGTGGTGGCGGAACCGGTAACAACGGCACCACCCCCGGTGGCGGAAACAACGGTACCACTCCTGGCGGCGGTAGCACCGGCAACAACGGTACCAGCCCCACGTGCTTCGACGCCAACGGACTAGTCGTAGTCTGCCTGGGCGTCGGCGGCAACGGTTCGATCAACGGCTCCGTCGGTATCGGTGGTGGTCTCGTTGGTGGCAACATCACCACGGGTGGTGGTCTCTCCAACATCAACGGCTCGGTCGGCATCGGCAACGGTGCGGTCACTGGCAACCTCACCACGGGCTCCAATCCTCTCAACGCCACCACCTGCCTCGACGCTAAGGGACTCGTCGTTGCCTGTGTCACCGTCGGTAACGGTATCATCACCAACACCACTGCTGGTGTCAACGTCGGCAACGGTGTGATTACCGGTGGCATCAACACCGGCAACGGTCTGCAGAACTCGTCGACGGGCCTCAACATTGGCAACGGCACCCTCGTGATTGGTAGCAACGGCACCAACCTGGGTGGTAGCTCCAACCTCATCCCTGGTGGCTCGGTCTCGACTGGCGGCCTGACGGGCGCCATTGGCGGTCTCCTCGGTGGCCTCACCGGCGGCTCGGGCTCCGGCTCGGGCTCCGCTTCGTCGTCGTCTTCGGCGAGCAACCCTATCCAGACCATCATCAGCAGCAACCCCATTACTGGTAACTCGGGCTCGGGCTCGAGCGGCTCGTCGTCGTCCTCGGCCTCCAACCCCATCCAGTCGATCATCAACAACAACCCTATCACTGGTAACTCGGGCTCCTCCGGCTCCGGCTCCGGCTCTGGCTCTAGCGGCTCCTCGTCCTCGTCGGCGAGCAACCCTATCCAGTCGGCCATCAACAACAACCCCATCACCGGCTCGTCGGGTAGCAGCAACCCTGTGACTGGCGGCTCCTCTTCCGGCTCGGGCTCTGGTTCGTCGGGTAGCAGCAGCTCCTCGTCGGCTAGCACCCCCGCCTCCACCAGCGCGTCTGGCGGCAACCCCATCACCACCATCGTCTCGACCGTCAGCAAGGAGCTCGGCTCCGCCACCGGCCTCCGCAGGCGCGCCGTCGGCAGGATGTTCGGTCGCGCTTAAACTTTGAGTTTGATCTCTTGATGGGATAAACCGCATGGACTCTTCGTTTCTCTGATCATCGTTGTTCTTGTATCTCGTACACGTTTCGTTTGCTCAATTATGGATTTCGCTCCTTCTCATAGCTTCGACTGCATCTTGTGTGTGATTTTGATGTTGCATCGCTACGACGACTTGTATGTCTTCCGTCTTGATTCGAGGCTGAGGGATCGCCGAAGAGTCGGATGTCTTTTCAGATGCGTACTCTACGTCGAATCGTGGAAGAATAGCATGTCTATCACCTCGTCACCATGCATGACCGACAGATGGCTTGAAGGAACAACGATAGGTATGATGTCAAATGCTCGTGTCACACTTTTCCACCGAGAGACACTCAATATGTCTTGGGCACGCTCAAACCAGGCTCTCATTCGGCGGTCGATAGACGTGAAAAGCACAACTGTATCCATTTTGAGAGTCATATGTAGGCAAATCCGACCTCGTAAAGCGTCTATGTCTAGATCAGCGACTGAGCCTCGAGCAGGAGAATGATCGAGTGGGTGATCTCGGCGACCGACTGCCTGCTGATGTCGACAACGAGATCAGCGTCGGTGGGCTCCTCGTAGACATCATCAACACCGGTGAAGCCCTTGATCTGGCCAGCGCGCGCCTTGGCGTAGTTGCCCTTCCTGTCGGTGGCCTCGCAGAACTCGAGCGGCGTAGCGACGTGAATCAAGAAAAAGTTGCCAGCACCGCCAGTCTTGGTGATGGTGTCGCGGGCAGCGGCGCGCGACTTCTCGTAGGGCGCAATGGGCGCCGCGATCACCGCAGCACCGGCACGGCTCAGCTCAGCAGCGACAAACGAGATGCGCTGGATGTTCTTGGCCCGGTCCTCGGGCGAGAAGCCGAGTTCCGAGCTGAGCTCCGAACGCACCGTCTCGCCAAGGAGGAGCGAAACGGAACGACCGCCCTGCTCGTTGAGCTTGACCTGGAGGGCGCGGGCGATCTGGTCCTTGCCCGAGTTGTGCAGGCCGGTGAGGAAGAGCGTGAAGCCCTGCTTGGCCTTGGGTGGGTACGACTCGCGGAGCGTCTTGACCACCGACTCGTAGGAGAACCAGTCGGGGATGGCAGCGCCGGTGCGCAGACGACGACGCAGCTCGGTACCGGAAATGTCCATGGTCTGCGTGCCGGCAGCCACCTCGTCGACGGGCTGGTACTCGTCGGTCGAGGGGATGTAGGTCATCTGCTGGAAGGGGACCATCTCGATGCCGAGCTCCTCGGTGTACTTGGTGACGAGCGTCTGGGCGTCGTAAGGGCCGTAGAAGTCCTTGCCGCTCGAGTCCTTGCCCGGACCGGCGTGATCACGACCGACAATGAAGTGAGTGACACCGAAGTTCTTGCGGATGATGGCGTGCCAGAGGGCCTCGCGGGGACCGCCCATGCGCATGGCGAGGGGCAGCAGAGCGAGCGTGGCCATGCCGTTAGGGTAACGAGGCATGAGCGACTGGTAGACGCGAACACGGGTGTAGTGGTCGACGTCACCGGGCTTGGTCATGCCGACGACGGGGTGGATGAGCACGTTGGCCTGGCGTTGACGGGCAGCTCGGACGGTGAGCTCACGGTGAGCACGGTGCATGGGGTTACGGGTCTGGAAGGCGACCACCTTGCGCCAGGCGATCTTGGCAAAGTGCTGTCGCAGCTCGGCGGGGGTGTACCGGATAGCGACGTAGTCGTAGTAGGCGGGCTTGGAGATGGCCTGAACCTCACCACCGACGTAGAACTCCTTGACGGATTTGTGGAGGTAGGTGATGGCAGGGTGGGCGAGGTCATCGGAGCCAAAGACGGCCTTGGCCTCGCGAACCTTGTCGACGGGGTAGACGTCCGAGACGGTGATGATGGCAATAGCGTTGTCATCACGAGGGTCGCGCAGGGCGATGCGGGCACCCTGCTGGATCTGAAGCGCCTGGACCTGCTGCTGGTCAACATCGAGCGTGATGGGCATGGGGAAGAGGTTGCCATCGGTCAAACGCATGTTGTCGAGGCAGCCGTTGTAGTCGGCCTGGTTCATGAAGCCCTGAAGAGGAGAGAAGCCACCGTTGATGATGAGTTCGAGATCGCAGAGCTGTCGTTCGGTGAGGACGAGCTCGGGGAGCGTGTCGGCCTCCTGCTGAAGCTGAGCGGCGATGGGAGCATCGCGGACGAGCAAGTCCTTGAGGACACCACCGTGAGGAGCGTTGGCCATTGTGACGAGATTGAAAGGGGGAAAGGGGGATGAGAGACGGGTGAGCCGAAGCAGAGGATGAGGGTGATGGTGGAGGGAAGAAGAGGTACGAAGTCGCATTTCGTGAACATTCATCGAGTGTCGGTCCAACCGTGCCAATCACACTCCCACGCCTTCCTCGCTCACGCTTGTCGTCGGGTCACACCCGATTTCGCTCTGTATGCAGTTGTGCAGCAGCGACACAGTGGAGCCCGGCAGTGGAAACATGGCCCGCAAGCTGTACGAAAGTGTGCCACTTCTTGGCGCTTATGGCGAATCTTCCCAACGGGACACCAAAATTGTGACAAGTGGGAAACCCGCAAGCGATCTCAAGAAGAAAGGCAGAGATGGACCTCGGCTCAACGCTTTTTTTTGGTGCAGGATCAATCACCACCTCAGACCAAGCAAAGCCGTTACGTGCCGAAGAGTGCGGAGGGATAGATTGATCTGACTGCTGGGACGACCGGAAGATCCTTGAGAAGAAATTGTCCGTGGCGCACGGTCTTTGCGTGGATTTCATCGTCAACGCCTGAACGCCGCCCAAGATTTTCAAATTCGTCCCTCACCTGCCCTGGAATGTCTCACGCCAGCTTGATCTCCCTTCGATGGCAGATAAGTATCTCGACAGCGTGAGTCGTCTCAAGAAGCTCAAACTTGCGGCTGTGGCAACAGAGCTGATGTCCACCTGAGAGGGGGCGGATCGTGTCGTCGAGCATTCGCATTGTCGTGTCAAGACCCTACACGAGGTTGCTGCAGGGTGTGAAAAGGAACGGAGATCCATCATTCGCTCGAGGATGCCGCTGAATGACTCAACGCTGCAGGTGCGTCGACAGCCTTGCTTGCACTGGGCGGCAATGCAAGGCGTGGCTGGGAATCCAAATGGCGTGCTTTGCCTCGTCGCTCTCTCTGTCCCAATTCTTCTTACCGTGCGAGCCGTAGCCGAGCATTTTTGCAAGCGTCTCATCCTCTGGCGGCGTAACACCCAGGTAGATTTTCGACGAGATCGTTTCACATCGGCTTTGTCAGATCCGATGCGTTGAGCGGCCTCGCTGCAAGCCATGAGGTCGACGTTCTCACACACAGCGTACAATCGCAGACAATGACTGACAGTCACTGTAGGCCGATGAGGGTGCACGCTTTGAGCTGATTTCTCGGCAACGATGCGACGATGAGGTGACAAATGGCCAGATCCAAGGCTTTGCACACACATTCATACGATCCTGGGCGTGCAAGCTTGCGGTACTATTGATCAAATCTGGGTTGCTGCATGAGATGCAATCTAATGTTGGCGACCGGTCTGCTTGCGGGCGTCCTCCTTGAGCTTCTCAATGTTGGAAGGATGTGTGATCGTGTCGATGGCAAGGTAGACTGCGAATGCGCCCAGTCCCAACCCGAAGCCGGGAAAGATGTTGCGCGCAAAGAAGCGGTGCGAGAAGACGGGGTGCTTTCGCCATGCCTCGCGCTTGGCCCAAGGGTCTCGATAGAGTTGCGACATTGTTGCTGTGATGTATGTGTGTGCTTGAAAAGGCGCGAGACGGGAGCTGTTCGAGACGATAGTGTGCCATCGGACGGTACGCACGAGGTCGGAAGGACAAGCAAAGGTAGACCGGAAGAGGCGGAGTGTACAGGGTCAGCTCGCTGTACAGTTGACTGTACGGTCTGCAGATGACATGCTACCATCGACAGGAAAGGCGAAGGCAGCTTGCAGACGAGAGAATCTGTCGCATTGTCATGCCGGTTCGGTCACAAATGATAACTTGGCTTTCTCGCGGCATCCTTCTTGTCACCAGAAGCTACGCATCCGGGTATTCCGTTACTACGACCGGCTGTAGTTGTCCAAACTTACCTTGCGTATTGCGTACGTGGTGATCCTTGCCGAGAGCGAGATAGGATGAGGGATGAGAAGGGTGCAGGCGCCAACAGGGTGTGGAGAACATCAAAGCCCAACAGCTCGATGGCAGCTCTCCAAAATTCAGCGCCAAAATCAACGACTTGCCGGAACCGAAAGAAGTTTTCGCGTGATGTTAAGCCACAGCCATGCGCGTTTCGTCGAAGCGCAACCGCGAAACGCGGTCGGCGCCCGCTCCGCTGTGTCCCAATAGGCTCAGTTCATAACCCAACTCTGCAGGAACAGTTGACCCGACTGCAGGCCCTTGTGGTTCTCAAGGCATCCGACCGAGGCGCTGAAGCTGCTGCTGCTACACACAGGGCACACAGATGGGTCGGGGCAACGTCGGGACAAGGCTTGTGAAATCGGGCAACTGCAGTTTGCGTCCAGTCTGGTGAGGTGGGTTGGAAATGGCCGAGCCAGGAGCAAGGAGCTGCTATTCTGGGTTCAGCGGGACGTGGCCAAAAGACCGACGCGTTGATTACTTCGCAGACTTGGCCGCAGCCGCTCCCGTTTGCTCGAGCTTTCCTCTGAGGTCTCTCTTGTCCCCTGCCGCGCTCTCATATCACGCTGCGGCTTGCCTCATCTGAGTGAGCACTCGCAGATTCTCGCTCCTCATCGTACGCGGCGGGGTGAGACCGACACTTTTTGAGCCCAAAAAACCTCGTTGCCCTCCACGCGTCAGCTGAGCACTAGTCACGCTCCGCCGTCGAGCAAAAAGCCCCACAGCCGCCTCGTCTTTTCAAAAGTGACAGAAATTCTTGGAACGCACTGGACATGGAGCAACCGTCACACACACACACCACATTGGGCAAGCTTCATCAAGCCGATGGACCTGCTCTCGGTCACCTTCACACGCTCAGTTCTCCCCTTTCCCTGCAGCCATCGCATCCGCAGCTGCGTCGCTCCTTTCTACCGTCACAAGCGCCTCTCTCATTTTCACACAACTGCAAGCCAGTCTCCGTCATCGACGAGGACTCACGGCTATCCTCACCTCTGCTGCTCCGAGCCAATATCGCAAGCAACCGCTGCTCAATACCACGACGACGGTGCGCGGGATCGCCGGACGACCCCTGCTTCATCACATCCTACCCGGATCTTTCCCGGCACTTGCATTTCATTCTCAACAGTGACCCTCACCAAGCCTTCATTCCCACCTCAAGCCACACGCACCGCCTCATCTCGTTCCCTTTTTCCCGACCATCAACTTTCCAATCGCACGCGCGCGATCTCAGCAACCCGTGACCAGCAAAGCGCCTTGTCCGCAGCTCACTGACAAAAGGCTCAACAGTCCACAAGTCCTCTCGGAATCCATCTTCAGACAAAGTCTTTGCCTTCCACATCTTTCGTTCCTCCATCCACCCGACATCTGGCACAATGGCGAGCTTCAAGATCAAAGACGAGCCCATGTCCGCTCCGATCGCTTCGTCCTCCACCAATGGTCACGCAAAGCGCCCAGCAAAGCAGAACCTCTTCGGCGACAGCGACGTGAGCTCAGACGAGGACGACGACAAACCTCTTGCCAAGCGACCCAAGGTAGAAGACAGCGATCTTTCCTCCGATGACGATTCGGACGCCCCTCTCACTTCCACCGTCTCGTCCCAGAACGGCATCAAGAAGCAGAGCGACTCCGACGATGAGGACGACGACGACTCCGATTCGGACTCGGACGCGCCACTCACAGACGTGGTCAAGAAGAGAAGCGACAGCGACGATGATAACGACGATGACGATGAAGAAGAGGATGCCGACAACGATGATGATGACGACGATGACGATGACGACGATGATGATGACAAACCCCTCAGTAAGACTACCAAGTCGAATCGAAAACCGCCCAAGACCATGTCCGTCACTGGCTCTGGCGAGAAGAAGTGGGACGTCCTCATTCACAAAGGTCCGCGATTCCCCGACCCGTATCAGCCGCTGCCCAAAGGTGTCAGGCTAAAGTACGACGGCAAGCCCGTCGATTTGCCGCCGCAAACCGAAGAAGTCGCCATGTTCTACGCCGTCAAGCTCGAAACCCAGCACGCCCAGAACGCCATCTTCAACCGCAACTTCTTCGATGACTTCAAGTCAGATCTCAAAAAATACCCTCCCAGGGATGGCACCCAGATCAAGTCGTTCGACAAGCTCGACTTCCGCGATATGTACAACTACTGGCGCAGTCTCAAGGATGCCGAAGTCGAACGCAAAAAGGCCCTTGCTCCTTCGGCCCGCAAACGCGAGATCGAAGAGCGCAAAGTCGAGGAGGCCAAGTGGAAGATCTGTGTGGTCGATGGCGTCGAGCAGCGGGTCGGCAACGTCAACGTCGAGCCTCCCGGCCTCTTCCTGGGACGTGGCGCCCATCCCAAAGCGGGCAGGGTCAAGCGACGCATCGCTCCCAGCGACATCACCATCAATCACAGCGCCAGCACGGCCGCCCCAGAGCCTCCCGCGGGCATGGGCGACTGGGCCGAGGTCGTCGAGAAGAAGGACGTCACCTGGCTCGCTTACTGGAAGGAGAACATCAACGGTCAATTCAAGTACGTCTTCCTGGACGCCACCTCCAACTTCAAGACCAACTCGGATCGCGACAAGTTCGAAAAGGCCCGAAAGCTCGACACGGTGGTCAAGAAGATCCGTCGCGACGTCAACCAGAACCTCAAATCCAAGGTGCGCAACGATCGACAGATCGCCACCATCGTTTGGCTCATCGACAACTTTTCGCTCCGTGCCGGTAACGAGAAGGGCGAAGATGAGGCGGAAACGTATGGTGTCTGTTCGTTGCGCTGTGAGCACGCCCAGATCAAGATGCCCGACATCATTCATCTCGAATTCCTGGGCAAAGACTCGATGAAGTTCGAAGAGGATCTCAAAATTAGCAATCCGGACGTGTTCAAGAACATCGCCATGTTCCTCAAGACCAACGGCATGAAGGACCAGAACGGCAACTTCATCCGCAAGAAGCCCTCGGATCCTATCTTCTGCGCTCCCGAGTCTGGCAGCGCCAAGATGCAGCCACTGCAGCCCGGCTCGGTGAACCAATTCCTCTCCAAGTACATGAAGGGGCTAAGTGCCAAGGTGTTCCGTACCTACAACGCCTCGGTCACGTTCCAAGGTCTGCTGGAGCAGACCGAGGATTGGCTCAAGTCGCGGCCCAATGCAGCCGAGCGCGAGATCAATCAGACCAACCTGCGTCTGGCGTACAACGAAGCCAACCGGCAGGTCGCCATCCTCTGCAACCATCAAAAGACGGTCAACCCCATGCTCCTCAACCGAAACCTCGAGCGCACGCAGGAAAAGATTTTCCAGATCCGCTACGAGATCATGAAGGAGCAGCAAAAGATCCTCACCTTCCACAAGATCGGCGAGCTCAAAAAGGAGTACAAGCCCAAGGAGTTCCCATTCATGAAGCAGTTCGACAAGATCATGCAGAAGCAGGATCTCGACGCCGAAAAGGTCAAGCAGTACGAGGAGCAGATGATCAGCGACAAGAAGACCAAACTCGAGTCGACGTTTAAGCGCCAGCAGTCCGAAGTGCAGTATCAGCTGGAGCAGAAGGGACTCGCGGGCGAGGACGGCACCCCGAAGAAGTCCAAGAAGGTCAAGAATGTCGAAGAGGAGGTCAAATCGTCGATCAAGGGCTTCAAGGACAAGAAGCAGGTAGATGACGAGCTCAAAGCCCTCAGCGAGACGGCCAAGCGACTAGAAAAGGAGCGCAAGACGAACAAATCGCAGGCGACGAGCTGCAACTTTGCCAGCTCGGCCAAGAAGATTCTGAGCAAGTACGAGATGATTAAGAAGCAGGAGGCGGAGCTGGTCAACAAGAACAACACGTCGGACGTAGCGCTGGGCACGTCGAAGCTCAACTACATTGATCCGCGTATCACGCTGGCGTGGCTCAAGCAGTGGGACGACCGATTGATCGCGTTGGGCCACGGCAAGGCCGCCTCCAAGAAGAAGGTCAAGAAGGAGGAAGAAGAGGAGGCGGATGTCAAGCCCAAGAAGAAGGGCGCCAAGGGGTCTGCTGCTGCTGCAGGCAAGAAGGGCACGGCCAAAAACGGACTGGCCAACTCGACGGGCGACAGTGAGAAGATGGAGCTGGGACTGCAAGTGATGAACATCAGCCAATTCTTTGCCAACGCGCTGCAGAAGAAGTTCAAGTGGGCGGCTTCGGGCGACGACGGTCGAGACATTTCGGCCAAGTGGGTGTTTGTCAAGGATGCGCAATCCAAGATGCGCAAGCTCGACTCGGCGGAACGCAAGGGCGAGAATGGCGGATCGATGGCGGCCATGACCGCGGCTGCCGACTCGAAGGATGCGCAGCCCAAGGCCAACGGTGTCTTGAAAAAGCAGACGGCATCGGATCGCAAGCTTCACAAGCCGATCAAGGCGGTGGACAAGACCGAAGAGAGCGACGACGACTTGAGCAGCGACAGCGACGACGACAAGCCGCTGGCAGCTGCTTGAGATGGCGCTCGCTGATCGCGTTGCCACGGCTGGCGTTCTGCTCGTACTTGCACTTGCGAGAAGCGCACTCGCATGCAGCTGCACTTATGTATTCTACGTCCCACCATTAACTCTAATCATTGAAACAGCTGGCGGCGAGTCAAGGAGGAGATCCATGACGGTGAGGTGCGAGGCGCAACGGTAGACTCTCAATGTGCAGTGACGCGCTCGAAAGTGTAAGGTGCATGTGATGTGGAGAGCAACACATCCATTGACACTGGCCAAGTGCCCGAAGCCAATTTTCAGTAGAGACCCAAACAGGACGCAAGGCGGCTAGGTGAGCCCGTGCATGTGACACTTTTTTGCACGGTGAGCCCCTGAAGTGCAAAGGAGAGCCACCTTGCCTCCATCCTGTCACCACCATCTTGCGATCGCAGTCAATATGGGTGAGTTAGGTAGCATTGAGCCCCTTTCAGCACCACTTGGGAATAACGTTGTGACTGAAATGGAATCTTGACGACACAGCCGCGCTTAACAACCTCGACATTCCTGCGGCCAACGCTGCGGGCGGCACAGCCGATCAGCATCCGCCTAAGAGTCCCATTTCAGACGAAGACCGAGCTCGACTGGAACGCAGCCTCGGACATCGTCCTGATCGTCACGAACTGGAGGAGAAGAACATCCTCAAGCCTGGCAACCTGGCACCTTCGCTTCAATCCGCCCGTGATGAACTGCAAAAGTCGCAGCTCGCCGACAAGCTCGAAGGTCGACTCGAGCGTCGCCCTGAGATCGATGACCTGGTCTCTCGCGGCATCCTCAAGGATCAGTCGGTCGCACCTTCGCTTCAGGCAAAGCGGGACGAACTGCAGAAGCACCAGCTTACCGACAAGCTCGAAGGCAGATTGGAGAGGAGGCCAGAGAAGGACGATCTCGTCAATCGGGGTATCCTCAAGGATCAGTCGGTCGCTCCCGCTCTGCAGGGAAAGAAGGAGGAACTGGAAAGAGCTCGACTTGGAAATCAGCTGCAGAAGGATCTCGAGTCGAGGCCCGACGTGGATGCTCTCAAACGCAAGGGGATCCTCCCTCACCAGGAAGAGCAGTGATGGTAGCAGCGCTGCTCAGTCGTACACTTGCTGAACAACAGTCTCTTCGGCCCGTCTCCCCCGTCATCAGTACCCCTCCATAATCATTGCCTCGCCAATCTGACTCAGTCCGCTGAGCATGGTGCCGGATTTGACCCGAACTGAGGTCATGCTGAGTGGGAGCGGAGGAGCCGAAGTCTGAGCGACATCAATCTAACAAATTTGGAATTTCGCTACCGCTCGCCCGGTTTGACCTGTGAAAGACACCGAGACGAGCGCCTGTCGCGCGAGTTTTCCCCCACGCAGTCCCAAGATTTAGGCTCAGTCCAAAAGGGTGTAAACCTGGAGAGCGTAGCTCGGCTCATTTCGCCTGCCACAGTCCGGTATCCGGCTTTGTGGCAATGCGCTCGTCTGACTTATCAAAGCTCAGCTGCTTCCTCAACTTCCTTCCTGCAGATCAACATCGTCATCGCTCAACGTTCGTCCATAGCAACTGCTGGCGGGAAGCAGGCTTGGTCAATCATGTCGATGTCCGACCTCGTCTCCGGTGGGGCGGGCTGCGGCCCATCCAATCCGCTCCAAAACATCGGCAAGCGTTTCGGTCAGGATCGCGGTGCACAGCAAGATACCTTCAGTTCCAGTCCCTACGCTCAACAGCAAGGACCTTCTTTCCGATCACAGCCCAACACTGCTGCCTCGTCGTCGCATCAGCAGCCCGCTTTCTTCAATGCTCCGTCTCAGCAAGCACCGTTCGCCCAGCAGAGCAATCTTCACGATGCGTTCGATGTCTCGCAGTTGCGAGGCAATCTGCCCAGCGGTTCTCGAACGCCAATGCAGAGCCATCACCTTCGTCAAGCTCCAGGTCCGAGCATGCCGGACTTTGAAGCAAGCTTCCGTCCCGCTTTCTCCAGGAATGCCACCATCCAAGCGGCTCCCCGTGCCGCTCCATCGGGCTGGGCTACCGACTTTCTCAGCGCAGAAGCCTCGCAGCAGTCCAATGTCCAGGCGCAGCGTCCGCAACAAATGCACGTCGAACCGCATTCCGCGCATGCTATTCATCCCAACGTCATCCCCTCAGGCCTGCGCATGGGCATGATGCCGCATACCCCTGGCAACATGCATTTTTCGCCAGCTCCCATGTACGATCACGCTCCGCAACAGCTGCAGCAACATGCACAGTCCATGCAGTCCACAGCAGCACCGCAACTCGACAACGCAAAGTGGGCCGAGGCCTTCACCGCATTCGAGTCATCCTCCAAGCCAGCAGAAGTCATCTCTCAGGCTGTCCCCGAGCTCAAAGCAGCGGAGAAGGCCGACTTTGCCGACCCGCAAGAACGCGACGAGCTCGCTAGAACTGCAGGCAGACTTGTTTCCTCCGTCGAGCACGACCAGAGCTCCAAGTTCCAACAGAGCAACTTTCTCGACCTCATGCGCAAGATTCGGGATAAGCAGGCCGGCATCCAAGGCGACAACATTGTCGAAAACGCCGACATGGCAGCATCTTTGCTTGACAACGGCAAAGGCAAAGCGCGCGACTTCGGCTCAATGCAAGGCTCGCTGCAGCAGTCGCAACCTCAGTCGCAGCAAGAGGCCTATTCCTGGGCAAATCAGATGGCAGCCAGCGGCGGACTCTCGCATCTGCCACCCAGCGTGCAAAAGTCGCTAGCCACCAATCACGGACTCCAATCCGACGTTCCCGCCAACGTCAGAACACAACAGGAGCTACAGAATCAACAGGCCATCAACGACCTGTGGGCGGAAGAAGATGCTCGCAGCGAGGCCATCGAGAGGCAGGCCATGAACGAGAGCGCGCAAGCCTTCATCGGCGATGGTGGCAACGTCTCGCAGAGAATGCAGGAGGACGATGCAGATGCACAAGAGTTCGAACGATACCAACGACTCGGTGCCAACATCCCACACGCCAGTACCTTCAACCGGCGATGGGAAGAAGATATGAACCGTCCTGCCGACCAGATGGAGGACGACGAGCTCGACTTTGTCGGTCGACGATGGGAGGGCACCAAGGGTCGAGGCCTTCCAGGTGCGCAGGCGGCTGAATGGGACAAGCTGCAGAGCGACTGGGACAATTTCGAGGTGACATCCGCGGGCATCCGACCCGTCACTCTTCCACAGCGTTCGGCCACCACCTCTATGCAGGCAGCCCCGACCTACCGCTTCCTCAGCGACAACCCGTACATGGCGTCGACCCGCAATCATGCTCTCCACGCAGGCGGTCTGGCCGCTGGTCTCGAGTCGGTGCTCGAGAAGGAGGCAGCCGTGCAGCAGGACCCGCAAGACGCTTCCGCCTGGTACGATCTCGGTGTCAAGCAGCAGGAGAACGAGCGAGAGGTGCAAGCCATTGCAGCGCTGCGCAAAGCACTCGACCTCGACCCCAACCTCAAGGACGCCTGGCTGGCGTTGGCCGTCAGCTACACCAACGAGAACGACCGAACCGCCGCCTACGAAGCCATCGAGATGTGGATCGAGAGGAACGACAAGTACCACGACGTCATCCAGCGCACCAATGCCGAGCTCGCCGCTGCTAATGCCTCGTCCACCCAGCGCAACCGCAGCGACAGCGCCTCGTCCCACAGCACCTCGGCCTCGGTCATCGAGAAGCACTCTCGTCTTACCAACCTCTTGATCGCCATGGTGCGCAACGGTGGCGAAAGGGGCGAGATCGACGCCGACGTCCAGGTGGCCCTCGGAGTCATCTTCAATTCGAGCGAAGACTACGACAAGGCGGTCGACTGCTTCTCCACCGCGCTCTCGGTGCGACCTCAGGACTGGCTGTTGTACAACCGTCTCGGCGCCACACTCTCCAACTCGGGCCGCAGCGCCGAAGCGATTCAGTACTACCACCACGCGCTCAACCTGCAGCCCGAGTTTGTGCGCTGCCACTTTAACCTGTCCATCTCGTGCCTCAATCTCAAGATGTATCAGGACGCAGCTGAGCACATGTACACCGCACTGACGCTCCAGCAGGCCGAGGCGGAGCAGCTCGGCATGGTCAACGGCGGCAACGGCGGCGAGAAGGGTAGCGCTACTAGTGGTAGCCTGTGGGAGACTTTCAGGGTCGCTCTGGAGTTGCTGAACAGGTCGGATCTTGCGGCCAAGTGCAGCAGGAGAGATATCAATGCGTTTGATCTCAGCGACTTTGTTGCGCCCGCTCCTGCTGGTCCTATTGGCGCTGGCGAGGTTGGTTACGAATACTGATTACACGAGCATAAGCTGTCAAACGATTCGAATCGCAACAACAATATCATCACCCTTGCCCCACTGGCAATCTCGTTCAGCGTCTTTGTGTGTGCAGCTTGTGCTTGTGCGATCAAAACCCGTGAGTTGAGGTGAGTGTGGATGCAATCACGTGTGCAGCCAAGAAGTAGGGTCTTGTCCAGCTGTTGGCCCATGATGCCAAGGAAGCGTGCGGTACAAGCGAAAAATTGGATTGACGGCCGGCAAACACGGTCTTTTGGGCCGGTTCTTCATCGTACAGAGCGAAAGAGTGCGTTCGAGATGGGACAGGACCTCGGGCGTTTCGCCGATAGCGGTGAAAGAGGTGAGGGGAAAAGACGGAGACGGGCGAAAAAGCGGAGCTCCAAAGTGATGCCATCATCGCGTGTCTTGTGCCGTGTAGAAGGCATGGAAGCAGGAATTCTCCTCGACTCCGCATCGAAAGTTTAAGCGAGAGAGGCTGCAGGTCGTAGCGAGCATCACCCTCGAATTTTCGCCCGCCTGTTCACCGGCAGCCTTTGGAGTGTTGTGCACATGAACCAGAGAGAGGCTTTGTCGAGGCCGCCGAGTCCGCCTGCCGCCGCGCCGATGGCAGGGGGGATGAGAAGAGAAGTATGCGGCTTGCAGCTGTCCCGCATTGTTTTGCAGCAACCCACCCCGCTAAATTCTCCGCACAATAATGTCACTGAAAGCCGCATAACCAACGGTCCAAACCCCGCTCGACTGCCTCCTTGGCTGCTGCCGAGCGAGCGGACATCGTCCAGCCGCTGCGCTGAAGGCTCTGGATAGTGAATGACGCTACGTGTGACACACCCTGTTCGTAGGCAAAGCCTGCATTCTGCATAGTGGCATGCCGAGTCTAGTCTGAACTAGCGCACGAGGACTGGGCCCCCCTCCGATCCGCACCAGACCAGCCCCTCCCCTCTCCTCCTCTGCTCTCGCGAGGCTTGTCCAGAGTCCACGCAACCCGTTCCTCTGCTCTTCAGATCCAACCACGACCATCCCTTCCTCATACTATCTCCGTCATCGACATCGACATTGCTCCGGCGAAATTCACATCATGCCGGCTCTCATGTCTTGCACCAACACGATGGGCCTTCGCGGTCGCAAGTTGCGTTGGACCATCACCGCCATTTCGGTCATTGGGTTCTCGCTTTTTGGCTACGATCAAGGGTTGATGAGTGGAATCATCACCGCTCAGCAGTTCAACGATGAGTTTCCTGCCACCGGTGGTGACTCGCACCGTACTACTGTCATCCAGGGCGCCGTCGTCAGTTGCTACGAGCTCGGATGCTTCTTCGGCGCCGTCTTCACCCTCTTCCGCGGCGAAAAAATCGGACGCCGCCCCCTCATGCTCCTCGGTGCCGTACTTATGGTCATTGGTGCCATCATCTCGGTCACTCCCTTCAAGGGTCACTGGGCCCTTGGACAGTTCGTCGTCGGCCGGGTTGTTTCAGGGCTCGGGAACGGAATGAACACGGCTACCATTCCGGTCTGGCAATCAGAGATGTCGAAGCCCAAGAACCGCGGTCTTCTCGTGAATCTGGAGGGAACTTTCATCGCCGTTGGCACCCTATGGGCCTACTGGATCGTCTTTGGAACAAGCTATGCGCAAACGAGCGTTCAATGGCGCTTTCCGATCGCTTTCCAGATCGTGTTTGCCTTTGTTATCTTCGCCGGCGCCTTCTTCCTGCCCGAGTCTCCCCGATGGCTCATCGCGCAAGGAAGGTCAGACGAGGCAAAGCAGGTCCTCTTCGCCCTCGAAGGCGACGCAGCAAACAAGGAAGAGATCGAGAGCGAAGCCAAGGTCATTCGAGACACGATCGACAAGACAGGAGGACAAGGAGGTCTCTCGGAGCTCTTCACCAACGGCAAGACGCAGCACTTCCGACGTATGCTCATTGGCGCTTCGACTCAGTTCTTTCAGCAGTTCACCGGATGCAACGCAGCCATCTACTACAGCACGGTGCTCTTCCAGACGTCTCTGAACCAGCCGAGGAGGCTGTCGTTGGTTCTGGGAGGTGTTTTCGCTACGGTGTACGCTCTCTCGACCATCCCGTCCTTCTTCACCATCGAGAAGCTCGGGAGGCGCAAGCTGTTCCTTATCGGAGCCACCGGACAAGGTATTGCCTTCACCATTACCATGGCTTGCCTCGCCGCCCCCGAAAACGAGAACAACGCAAAGGGAGCCGCTGTCGGTCTCTATCTCTTTATCTTCTTCTTTGCGTGGTCCGTCCTACAGCTTCCGTGGGTGTATCCCCCCGAAATCAATCCCCTCCGAACTCGTACGGCGGCTGTCTCGGTGTCTACGTGCACAAACTGGATCTGCAACTTTGCAGTGGTCATGTTTACGCCCCTCTTCATCAGCTCGACGCGCTGGGGAGCCTACCTCTTCTTCGCCTTGATGAACTTCCTGTGGATCCCCATCATCTACTTCTTCTACCCCGAAACGGCCGGTCGACGGCTGGAGGAGATCGATCTCATCTTCGCCAAGGCGCACATCGAGCACAAGCCCGCGTATCGAGTCGCCAAGGAGATGCCGAAGCTCAGCGCTGCCGAGATCGAAGCCGAAGCTGAGAAGATCGGTCTTTTCGAGCCTATGCTCGACACTGAAGCATCTGCTTCCACTGTTGACAGCACGAGCAGCAGAAGCGGTGACGCTTCGGACCATGCTAGCATTGCCAACAACAAGGCATAGGAATAGAGGACGCGCACCCGCGGCTCAGATAGTGCTTCTGCAGCCGCGTTGTTTGACACGAGATTCATTTATTTTCTCCGCAATTTTGTCTGTGCGTCTGCAGCGGGCTGACGGGAAACGCCGCCGGCTATGCTTTTGATTGTGCGAGCTTTGACCTCCACCGTTTGAGCAGATCCGTGGTCGTCGCGAGTCAGAAAGCTTTATGATACATATTGTGAGCTTGCCGTCCATCGTTCTCTTCGTACTCATCGCCTGCCTCTGCCATCACCCGCCGCTGAAGCTCAAGAAGCTATCGCTCCCCAGCAATGTGCTTTGACACCTGCGTTACCGTAGACTCGATCACGGGATCCAAGCACATCCCGGCTTCGGCTCGCGTTGATCCCAGTTCGCTGCCCTTCCACGCTCTCTCGCCAGGCTCGGATGCCAAAGTCACCATCACGCTCTTCCATCTGGGCAGCATCAACAGCTACCGTCAGGCATGGGCCGACGACACGTGGGATGCGGACAAGGCGAAGCGTCTCAATAAGGCAAAGCAGCCAGTCGAGCTCCCGGTCTTGAGCGCCTTGATCGAACATGAGCCCACCGGCGAACGGTGGCTCTGGGATCTCGGTATGAGCAATGTAAGTCTCCCAGAACATCTTTGTTCGCTTCAGAGCTGACTGTGTCGCTAACGGATCCTATGACGGCGCTCTCTTCAACGCCAAAGGACCCGAATGTACTTCCTAAAGTCTTCTCCAGCGGCGCGATCAAGTTTATGGCCGGTGACCTCAGCGATCGCGGACAGCTCAAGAACGTGCTTTTGAAGAAATTCGACGTCGAGACCATCGAAGAGATCGGTCTTTCTGGCATCATTCTGTCGCATGCTCACGTGGATCACTATGGAAATCTCCTGGACTTTCCAACTTCCCTGCCTGTTTTCGTCGGACCTGGAACGATGGATTGGGTCGGCGGTGGAGAGGACGCGGCAGAGAAGGGCGAAAAGGGCCTGATGTCGTTCCCATCGAGCTTTCTCAAAGATCGCACCTTTGTCGAGATGGATAGCATCTCTGGTAGCAGCGTCGATGCTAAGATCAAGGACAGGGTCAAGAGCACCATAGTCGGCCCGTTCGATCAGGCCTGGGACTGGTTCGGCGATGGCAGCATCATCATAGCTTCGGCTGAAGGGGTAAGTTCTTTGCGCTGTGACAAGGTTTCGCCACTGCTTTCACATCACTAACACACTCTGTAACATTCGCTTCACACACTAACGCAGCACTGTCACGGCCACATGGTCTTGCTTGCTAAAACCACTTCATCGCCAAAGCCAACCTACGTGCTCCTCTCTGCAGACGCAGCCCATCAGCAAGCGCTCTACCATCCGCTCCCGCCGCCGCTGCAGCTCAACGCGGAGTCCCTCTGCTCCTCCGCTGCTCGGTACAACGAGCCGTACGCATCAGAGACCGATCAACGCGCAACGCCAGGCTACTTTGATCGCACCAGCGCAGAGGCAGTCACAGATCGAGCCATCCCCGATGACCAGGTCTCGTGCATGCAAGATTTCCCGGACAAGGCGATGCGTACGCTCGCAGCGCTGTCGCGCATGGAGGCGTGCGCTGATGTCATGGTGGTACTGTAAGTGACACTCTCTCGGTACTCCACAGCACGAAAGCAGCTTGACTGACGACGTTGATGATGAGTGAATGACACAGCGCGCACGAGATCGAGTTCGTCAAAGCAGTCGGTCTGCAGGAGGGCTCAGAGCTCATCGTCAACGATTGGCACGCCAAGGGCTACAAGAACGCCAAGATCGAATTGGGACGTAAGTCAAGAGAGGATTTGGCGGCGTTGTAGCGCAGTTTGCCTTGCTCATCTTCAGGAAAGAGCCCTTCGCCAAGCCGACGTTCAACGGAGACGGAGGAGTACTTTGTAGAAGCGAATCGGGCGGCTGCATCGGAATCGCACCCTTGGCGCAGAGGAGACAACGAGTGGCTTGCAGCAAGCTTGGCGTGCGAGTCGCTTCCGACCGAGCGAACCTCTGACAGTTCATACCATATCATTGAAATCCACGGCTTCCGTTCGGCAAGAGTTGCGAGTGTGTGTCTGTATGAGGGTAGTGACTCGGACTGCCTGAGAGAGAAACGCGTTTCGACGCGGCGCGAATCGCATCCGAGGCGGAAAGCGCTTAGCTCGTCTGATTTCGTTACGTACCTGCGCTGCGCAGCTTGAGTTGATTTGCCAAGCCAAAAACCATTTTTTGGCCTGCATTGCCGCGGAAAGACCGAATGTGACTGCGCAGCGCAGAGAGCGATTTTGGCTCTGGCATCGGCTCAGCCGTTTCCGCTTCTTCGGGACGTCTGTCACATCCTGCGCACCCGACGTACAAAAGCACATTCGGTATCCGCTCCGAGGCTGAGTCAACCCTGTTCTTCTTTCATCACACTCTTTGCTTCTTCACCATCACTTCCCGAACCCTGACGACCGACTGTCCCCAAATCCAGCTCAGCAACTCGAGCTCGACGTCAACTTTCGTCACCACTACCATCTCATCTGCCACGCTCGCAATACCATAGAGACAGGCCTCCATAGAGCTCGGGTCCCCTCAGCTTCCTCCCCGATGCTGCGTTTATCACCATGATCTCTCAGCAGCAGCTCACGACCACCACGCAGCACCGCGCAAGCGAAACGCGCGCTGTTGCGCGACTTCCTTTCGTCGCTCACCGTACTCGACTGCCAACCTTCTTCTACCTTCTCTCCTTCTGCCCACCCGTACCCTCGCCTTTCACTCGCCCACGCGCTTTCTTCAAACATCCTGGCGTCCTCTATGTGATTGGCTTCATCGCGGCGCTCCTAGCAGGATGCGGCTTGCCCTCTCTCGATCTGCTCTACGGTGTCTACACCAACCGCATCACTCCAAGTTCATCCACCCCTGAGGACATCCGCGCCGCTGCTTCCTACATTGGCTGGATCGTCACCATCGTCGGCTTCAGCGAGTTCTTGCTAGCTTGGTGCTTTCTGGCGTGTTTCTCTACCGCCTCGCATGATCTGACGCAGCGACTGCGACATACCTACGTCGCTTCCGTCTTGGCCCAGGATGCCTCCCACTTCGACCTTCACGGTGCAGGTGAGATCGCCAACCGCGCCAGTAAGGACATCTCGGTCATCCGGGCTGGCTTTGGTGAGAAGCTCGCCTACTTTTCGTGGTCTGGCGCCACTTTGATCATTTCGGCCATTATTGGTTTCAGCAAGGCACCTCGCATCGCTGGCGTCCTCTTCGCGCTCCTACCGCTCACCATGATCATCTTCTCCGTCCTGGGTAAGGCCACCGAAGTTGTTGGAGCGCCCGCCCTTCGCATCGAGGGTCGATCTTCCAGCTTCCTCGAACAGGTGCTCGGTTCGGTCCGTGTCGTCCAGTCCTTCGGCATGGAATCGCAGCTGCTCAGACGCTTCGACAGGGCTATGCTCAAACCTCTCGAGAAGCTGGGCATGCGCAAGGCCGCCATTCGAGGTCTCGAGACCAGCGCAGTCTACTTCATGCTCAATGTCACCTACTCGCTCGCTTTCTGGTGGGGCTCCATCAACATCGTCGAAGGAAAGGTCCTCATCGGTGATCTGCTTACCACGTTCTGGAACTACCTCAACTCGCTCTTCTCACTGGCCAACATCGTACCGCACATTGCCGGTATCTTCGACGCTTGGACCGCACTCAAGCAGGTTAGACGAGCTATTGAGCGCGAGCCAAAGATTGACATTCGTCCAGAGGCAGGTCTCATCCCTGTGTCAAGCGAAAAGGACTGGTCACCGAGCTTTGAGCTGGATCGCGTCACCTTCTCCTATCCCTCGAGAGCCAACGTTGCCAGCCTCAAGGACGTCTCGATCCTGATCCAGCCTGGCAAAGTCACCGCCCTCGTTGGTCCGTCGGGATCTGGCAAGTCCACTATCACCGGCCTTCTCCTTCGAGAGTACGATCCCGAGACTGCCAACATTCCTCATCCTCATGATGCCGAAGATGCCCTTGCGGCCGAGGAGGACAAGAGATCCGACGCCAGTGAATCGGAGGAGAAGACAGACAAGAAGGACAAGAAGTCTTCTTTCTTCTCCAAAAAGTCGAAGAAGGCGCCTTCTGATAGCCTAGATGTCGAAAAGTCCGACCCCATCGCTGATGTCAAGGGCCAAATTCAGGGCTCTGGCAAGGTTTCGTTCGCAGGTCACGATGTCCGTGACCTCAACGTCCGATGGCTTCGATCGCAGATTGCCATTGTGCAGCAACACCCGCAGCTTTTCACGGCCTCTGTCTTCGAAAACGTCGCGACAGGTCTCACCGGTACCGAGTGGGAGTATCTTCCAGACATCGATGGCGATTCGACCGCTCTGGGTCACGACGCTGCTCGAACTGCCATCATCCGCGATAAGGTGCAGCGCGCCCTCGAAAAAGCCGAAGCCTGGACCTTCGTGTCCAACTTGCCCCAAGGCATGGACACACCTATCTCTGGTGGCCGCACCGGCCTGTTGTCAGGAGGTCAGCGTCAGCGTGTTGCCATCGCTCGTGCCCTTGTGCGAGAGCCTCGCCTTCTGTGCCTCGATGAAGGCACTTCCGCTTTGGACTCCGACACCGAGAGCAAGATCAAGCTGGCACTGCAGCGAGAGCAGGAAGAGCGTGGCATGACCACCATCCTCATCGCTCATCGTCTGAGCACCATTGAGCACGCCGACAACATCATCGTCCTCAAGAATGGCAGAGTCATCGAGCAGGGTGATCACGACTCGCTCATGCAAAAGAAGACGACCAGCGATGGTGGTCTCTACCGCAGCATGGTCATGCAGCAGAGGCATCTCGCCGAGTACGAGGCCGACAGCGGCGACGAGGACAAGAAGGCTGATGTTCGGAAGGGAAGTAAGCGTCCGACCTTGGCTTCCACACCGGCCTCCCAATCGTCCACCGACTCTTCGGAAGTCGTTTCGGACATGAGCGAGCAGGGTAAAAGCCCCGAGGAGGAAGATCGAGCTAGATCTTTGTATGCCATGTCAGACGACACGAGGACTCGTGTCGACGGCGCCTCGACAATCAGGTCCGCCTCCATCGTTCCAGAAGGGCCCCGTTCTCCTGCCAACAACCGTCCGAGTCTTGTGGAGCGTCAGCGCAGCAGTCGCACCTGGGACAAGCCCTACCGCACCTACTCGGGGCGCACTAGCACAGCTGTGGGTCAGCACGAACACATCCAAGAATCAAACACAGGTGCATCGCACGTCGAGGCTGCGCTCCCTACCAACACTGCTGCCACTGTGCCAAAGCAGATCGACATCGAAGACGAGAAGAGTCTTTCGAGCCGTGCGCCAAGCGAACCTCGCAGCAAAGCAGTCCGCAAGGAGGAGAAACGCCGTCTCCGCAAGACCTTCGTTCGCTATCTCAACGATCAAAAGCTCTGGTTCGCTATCGGTGCTGTGGGAGCTGCCGCGACTGGCGCAAGTTTCCCCATCGCCGGCTGGCTGACCGGAGGCGTCGTCAACTCGCTCTCGATTGAAGGCGACGACGCGAGGCTTCGACGCGAAGTCAACCGCTGGGCGCTGTGGTTCCTCATCTTGGCCCTCGCCGATCTCGTCATTGTCATGATTGGCAGCTTTTTCCTCGAAACAGCATCAGAGCACGTCATGAGGAAGCTCAAGAAGGAAGGCTTCTCTTCGCTCATTCGACAAGAGATCGGCTTCTTTGACGCAGAGGAGCATGCAAGCGGTGCGATGAGCGCAGCTGTCTCGAGTCACCCCGCCAACGTCGCCGCCGCGACGGGTCTGGTGCTCGCTCAAGTCATCATCGGCTCGATCAACTTGATTGGCTCCGTTATCCTCGGTCTCGTGCTCTCTTGGAAGACCTCTGTCGTCTGTCTTGCCCCGATTTTCGTGCTTTTCATCTCGGGCTGGCTCAACATCGCCATGCTGGAGAAATACGAAGCCGTGGCGCAGAAGCCGGCCGACCGGGCTGCTTCTTACGTCTCTGAGAATGTCGATGCCATCAAGACGGTGGTTGCGCTCGGCCGCGAGGCAGAGACGATGCGGGTGTTTGACGAACGTGGACGCGCCGATCCGAAACGCATGCGATACCTCATCTTTGGTGCTGGCGGCTTTGGCGTCTCACAAGGCATGATTCTGCTTCTCGCTGCGCTTGTCTTTTACTGGGGTGGCGTTCTGCACAGCAGGGACGAGGTCAACATCACCGCACTCTATGCCACTTTCGAGGCCGTCTTCATCTCTGCTTTCTCCGCCGGACGCCTCTTCACGTTCGTACCTGATTACGGCCGAGCTACCAACTCCTTCAAGACCATCTCGGGCTGGCTCAATCGCAAGCCTTTGGTCGCCGACACCACAGGTATGCCCGCGCTCGACGAGGCCTCCCGCGCCAAGGTGCAAGATGGCAGCTATGCGACGGGTGACATCACGCTCAACACCATCGAGCTCCGCTATCCTCGTCGACCTCACCATCCAGCGCTCAAGGATCTCAGCATCACCATTCCTGCCGGCAAGAGTGTCGCCTTCTGCGGTACCTCTGGCTCTGGAAAGAGCTCTATCCTTGCTCTGCTGCAGCGGTTCTACGACCCTTGTCACGGCAACATCGAGTTCGGCGGCGTCGACGTGCGCCAGGTGCCCATCGAATTGCTGCGTCAGCAGATGGCCTATGTCTCGCAGGACCCGATCTTGTACGAAGGCACGATCCGCTGGAATCTCTCGCTCGGCTCCAACGATCCCGACTCGGTCACGCAGCAGGAGCTCGAGAAGGCGTGCGAGGATGCCTACATCCTCGACTTTGTCCGCGGCCTTCCGAACGGGTTTGACACGGAGATCGGATTCAAGGGCTCGCAGCTTTCGGGTGGTCAGAAGCAGCGTCTCTGCATCGCCCGAGCGCTCCTGCGCAACCCCAAGATCCTGCTCCTCGACGAGGCGACATCAGCCCTCGACGCCGAGTCCGAGATCCAGGTCCAGCGCGCGCTCGACCGTGCTTCGCTCGGCAGGACGACTGTGACCATCGCACACAGACTGAGCAGTCTCAGGAAGTGCGACTGGATCTTTGTGGTCGAAGACGGCAAGATCCGTGAGAGCGGAAAACATGCCGACCTCATCGCTCGAGGAGGCCGGTACCGCGAGCTCATGGAGCAGCAACTCTAGGCTAGACTCCGCATCATACATACACCATCATCTTTCGCGCACTTCATGTCTAGCTACGTATATAGAGATCCTGTGTAGATCCAACCAACAACACACCATGTCACGGGCGTCATCAATCAATACGTTGCCGAAGCATCATCGCCCTTCCTGCCTTGAGATCGATCGATTCGCAACGTGGCGGACTCGTGAGTGCTGTCCATGATCGTATGAGGTGCTGAGCGTGAGGTTCACGACAGGAGACTCGGAGGGACCTCCCCGACTGAAGCGGCTATCAACGTAGTAAGCTGTCAAATGAGGATGCCGCCTCTGCCTCGGCCAGCATGTGATCGAAGCTGGTCAGGTCGTCGCTCCCCAGTTTCCGAGGCAGGCTTTTGAAGCTGTAGCATTGCAAAATTCCAACAGACGTGTCTGCCAAGATGCCGTGCAACGAGCCATCAGAGCCAACTGCTTTCTTTCTGGGTTGTCGAGATGCTTACTCAACGTCCGGGACTCTTCGCAGGCTGTGTCTGATTCAAGAAGCCCATGCTTTCAGATCACGTTCAGGTGGCCGGCAATTTATTTTAATGAGGAAGTCTTGTCGAAAACTTTCAGTTTTGGGCAATTTCGGCAATTAGGCGGACGTCTACTGAACAGGACAAAGCTTAGAAAAAAAAAAGAAAAAAAAGTAAAATTGGGGTTGCAAATTGTCTGCGATAGATCCGCTGAAGCTCGATGTGTAAGTTCGCGTCCTTTGCTTTTATATTCTCACTGCTGCACCGGTCGATATTTGGCGCAGAAAAACATCCGGAGAATGCTCCCTGTTTCGACATGTTTCGACCAATGAAGCAATAATGTTCGGGAGCGGATTGGCAGCTCCATATATGAAATAATCGTTTTATGAACGACCTTCAAGCAATTTGTCAGGCTCTCTCCGCATTTGCAAGTGCTTTTACGAACGTTTAGCCAAACTTTTGTCACAAAATACTCGACACCGTATGGGCGCCGGACAGAGCGAGCGTGCGTGCGCGACGTTCGTCGAGGGTATTACGTTGCGAGTCAGGACGGAAGTCCAGTGACCGCCCACAGGGATGAGGTTCCTGGCTGCAGCTGCGAGGTGGGCTCGGGGACGCAGAGACCTTCACCGAAGACGGCATCGACGTCAAGCAGGTGGCTAGGAAAGAGTTTCCGTCGCTTCCGGCATGGGGTGGAGCAAGGTCGGAGGAGACGCAAACAGCTTGGCGTATGTACGAGTCGTCTGCAGGCATCATTGTCACGCGGGCGCGAGACCTTTGGCACGAGGCGCAGCGAAGCTGCAGAGAATACGACGGTAACGACCGGGGAGTCGCTGGTCTGCGCCGCGACATGGGCAGCTTGCGGACGTGGTCCGGATCGTCAAAGACTCTCCTTGAGGTCGAAGTCCTCCGCGTCCTGGCAGACAACACGAGTCGCAAAGGTCAAGCCTACATTCTCGAAAGGTCTCTGCCTCTTGGCGGCCTGAGAATGTGTTGAACTGGAAGTTTTGGGGCCCAGATCGGCCAGCATGCTTGCTAGAGCTACTGTCAACGTTGACTGCGAACTGAGGCCGTCCGTCCGTCCAAGAATAGCCGCAGAAATGAATGGTCACCATAGACTAGCGCAAGTAAAGTCTATCTTCCTGGACCAATCGGCGGTCAAGATCAATCCATGACGGGACTCGAGGGCTGCGGAGGTCGAGGAGGAGCAGCATTGTGTGAATGGACAGCAAATTTTGGACAGACCTGGAGCCACACAATTCTCTTTCATGGCCCAGGACATTCCAGACTGCTGCGCGTAGGAGACAGGCGGTCTCATCTGTGATCCATGTCTTGAGGGAGAGTATCGGTCGGATAGTAGCCTAGCTGTCGGCCAAAGTGATTGACAACGTGAAAGACTTTTGTACGCAGATCTGGACCCAGGCGAATGTGAAACATCAGCTCAAGCTCTCGCTGAAAGTATTTGAACACACTCTTGACAGTGACATGAGAAAGTGGCCGAGAGCCAGACGGCGGACTAGACCAGCCTCCTGCAAGTAACAGCTCGTTGTCGGTCAATTATCCTGCTGAAGGAGCACGTCTCTGCCCTCATCGTCATCTGTATAGGCCGCGCTGTCAAAGACGGCATCATCGTCCTCTTCATCCTCTTCACTCTTCGTCCAGATCGCTGTCAAGGGCGCTGATGTCACTGAATCGGACAGCGCTGTCGCTGCGCGTACTGCGCCTATTGTCTGCCTCGCTTTCCAGACTTCCGACAAAGTTGTCGTGGCTAGGAGAGGTACAGTCGAGGAAGTCGTCATCCGGCGTACCTGGTACCTGACAATGCATCGACGAATTTCCAAGCGTGCGGAAAGGCGCCTGCCAGTGCTGACTCGCGAATGTTGGTCTGAGCCCCAGCAGGTCAAGAGCGAGCAGACTACGGAGACGGTCCGCCCGAGGGAAGGATCCCAACGTCGCCGCCGAGCCTATTGCGATCGCAGTCCTACGAGCGGACGTTTCTAGGCCAATGAGGACGAGTAAGGCAGCGAGGCTGCATCGACGATCTGAACGCAGCGCGACCGAAGCTGCGGACCGGGGCAAATCGTGGGACGGTCCGTACATCATCTCAATCACAGCACCAGCATCGATCGCCACCAAATGCCCTGTGGTACGGATGGTCACATCGCGGTCCTCTTGCACCCTGCGTGACCGCCTTCAGGGGAGGTAGGGGTTGTCTTGTCAGGAGAAGCGTGCGCTACGACGTGCATCAGCTGAATGAAGAGGGGAGCCATCTCTGCTCGAAGCCGGGATCGGCGGGCAGCCTGTTGCCTGACGTGCTATTAGGATCGATGATATCCACAGCCTCCTGACGGAATGCCATCTACCAGTCCGGCACGCAGCAGCGGACGTGGACGCGGACGATCCTCGATCGGATGCGCAGTGCGAGATTGATCCAGTACGTTACCAAGGTGCCGTGCGACCGACATTTCCCCTCCTACTTTTCGCAAAGCAGCCTGACTTGGCGCGTATCGAGGCCCGTACCTGTGCATGCTGAAGTCTGACGGTCATCTCAAGGTCTCTTCTGCAGCTCGAGGCCCAGAGATTGATTGCTATGAGCCAAGCTGCCATCTCGAACAAAGGGAGTCAGGCCGGAGTCGAACCAGTAGGCCAATGCGGTGCCGACTGACCGACATGTGCCTCCGGAGTCTACGCAAATCAGCCTCGACTTGTTGAGACTTGCACCCCTGCATGCTGAAGTCTTCCGAACTTGCAGCTGGCTCGTACAAAAACATTTTCAGAGCCAACACTCGCGACTAAGCCATCACGCAACGGTCATCACCGCAGGGGACTGATCATGCTCGAATTCGAGCCAGTACGTTACCAGTGTGCCGACCAACCGGCGTGCACCTTTCAGGTCCTCCCGAAACAGCCGTCTGCACCGCGGCTGCGCTGGTCGAAGCTTACGACCGGCTTCAGCAATTGTGCTATTTCAGGGAACCGATCTGCGCTGGCATCGATATGTTCGAGGACGCTGCCTGAACGATGCACTCTCTGAACACAGAATGGCAGAAATGGTTGCCGCTCGTCGACAAGAGCAACCTTCTCGATGGAAGCGCACCACAGGCCTGAGACGAAAGGACGAGCGAAGCGAACGAACAAATACAGATGAATTGATGTACGATCATGCAGTGTGCAATGTGAGTGACAGGATGTTTGGCCGGTAGTGATGGCCTTTTGAGACCCAGGATGGCGATGCGACGCGGATCAAGCACCTGCAGCAGCCCTGGCCTTGGAGCGCTTGCCGGTCTGCGCCTGGAAACCGCTCTTAATGGCGCTGACGGAACGCTGCGAACCACACTTCTCGCAAGTGACGAAGTAGATACGGTTCTCCTTGGAGAGCTTGGTCTCCGGACGCTTGCAGGTCTTGCAGATGACGTATTCGGTGATGTATCTTCGGAGAACGTTCTCGATCTGCTTGGGCTGGAAACGACCACGGATGACGAGACGCTGAGAGCCGTCGACAGAACCGATGGTACCCAACTCGGCAAAGAGGAACTGGATAACGTGCTCTGGCTGACGGTGCATACGCTTGCAGATGTCGACGACGTTGGCAAAGACAGTCTTCTTGGAGCCGTCTCTCGCGACCTGAGGAGGAACCATGGTGAACTTCTTCTTGTCGCCGGAGAGGGCGGGGTTCTGAGCGCGGAGCGTCTTGAAGACACGGCCGAGGAGCTCCTGATATGTGTAGTCGCGGTCTGTGCCCTGCCACGCCTCGATGCCATCGTCTTTTGGCGCTGCGTCGGCATCGTCGGTTGCGTCCTGTGCGAATGGGTTCTCTCCTAGCTCCTCCTCGTCTGCTTCGGCGTATGCATCGTTGGTGGCGGCCTCTCCATCGTCGGCCTGGTCATCACCCTCGCCGATCTCCTTCTCGAAAGCGTCGAGGTCGAGAGCGACCTTCTTCTTGGACTTCTTCTTCTTTTTCAATTCGCCAAAGTTGAGCTCGTCGTCCTCGGCGGCAGCTTCGTTGGACGGGTCTGCATCAGCATCAGCGGCGTTCTCCTTGTTGTCATCCTCGTCAAGTTCGAGGTCGAGATCGAGCTTCTTCTTGTCCTTCTTCTTCTTCTTCATTCCGCCGAAAAGGTCTGCGGAGTCGTTCTGCTGCTCTGCTGGCGCCGCAGCGGAAGCGGCGTTTTCAACGTCCGACATGGGTAAAAGTCGTGTGTGGTGCGATGCAGCGTGTGCGCTGGTTGAGTAGGTTCCTGCACAGAAGAGCGTTGAGTGGTGGGCGGAGATAAAGAAGGATAGGCGATCCGATTCCGAAGGATGGTGAGGAATGCAGTCGAAAGCCGTTGTTGAGGTTGATGGTGAAGGAGATGGTATCGAGACTGTCAGACACTTTTGCAACTGAGTCACTTGACACTGGCAACTGAGCCAGCCTTCTTTGAGAAGAACGCGCTTTGCACACTTTGCGGTTGGTTGAGCCCTTTGTTCGCTCGAGTGGAAGAGATCATTGATTCGTGCGAGAAGAAGGGCGGCAGCCAATTTCCATTCGTGATCGATTTAACGCCTGAGTTTGGGCCCAATCCCAGACAAAAAGCCCTAGAGCAACAGGAAGAAGCCGGAACCGAATAACAAGCCTGAAATTCCACGCACTTGCCAGTTGCAGAGAGAGAGGCGGAAGAAATCCAGTCTGGAAATTGGCAGTCTGTGCAGGAAGAACGGCGGTCGCAGGCAGGCGCAGAGCACTGGATCGCGACAACTCCATCTCAAATTCACATCTCGTCACCCATCTGTCTTCTCGTCACCATCCTCTTTCAACCTCCTTATCGACCACCCATCTCGCATTCATCCAAAATGGCGATGCTTCCTCGTGCTGCTCGCCCCGCCATGGCGGCACTCAACTCGGCCGCTCCCGTCGCCATTGCTGCTCGTGCCGGCTTCCACTCTTCCTCGGCTCAGGCTGCTCCTCTTCGCGAGACCGAACAGCGCATCAAGTCGGTCAAGAACATTGAGAAGATCACCAAGGTAGGTTTCATATCAGCCATTCAACACGATACAACATCGACTGCAATGAACATCCGACCATGCACGCACCATATCCTGTGCCAACTCGCAACCCATACGCGCATGCAACAACCATCTAGCAATCGACAACATCACGCACACACCACATCGCATCTGCATTTGACATCCAAACGACAATATCTGACTCGATCTCCATCACGCTCGTCTCTTGAATCCGCCAAAAAACAGTCTATGAAGATGATTGCCTCCACCAAGCTCAACAAGGCACAGCGTGCCATGGCTGCTGCCAAGGCTTACGGTGCTGCCAACAACGGTAAGTTTTGCACTTCAGCTCGACATCATCATCAGCACTCAGAACAGCTTAGCTGAATAGCAAACATCGTTCCAATTCCCTTCTCAACAGAGATCTTCACCAACTCCGAGGCCGTTGCTCCCGAGGGTGGTCGTCAGCTTTTCGTCGTCGTCTCCTCCGACAAGGGTCTCTGCGGTGGTATCCACTCGTCCGTCACCAAGCGAACCAAGGCCGAGTTCAAGAAGATCGGCGCTGCTGCCGGTGACGCCGACTCGTCCGAGGGTCCCGCCGTGATTGTCCTCGGTGAGAAGTCCAAGGCTCAGCTCGCCCGTGCCCTCCCCAAGAACCTCGCCCTCTCCTTCAACCAGGTCGGCAAGGATGTCCCCACTTTCGCCGATGCCACTGCCATCGCCGACCAGATCATCAAGTCTGGCATCAAGTTCGACAAAGTCAACCTCATCTACAACAAGTACGTCTCGGCGCTCTCTTTCGAGTCGGACGTCATCGAGGTCTTCTCGGAAGGTGCGCTGCGAAACGCTCCCCAGTTCAAGCTGTACGAGCAGGAGGATGATGTCACCAAGGACCTCGCCGAGTTTGCTTTCGCCAACGCCATCTACGCTGCTCTCGTCGAGGGTCACGCTTCCGAAATTAACTCGAAGCGTAACGCCATGGACAACGCCTCCAAGAACGCAGGTGACATGATCTCGTCGCTCAACATGCTTTACAACCGTGGTCGACAGGCCGCCATTACCAACGACTTGGTCGACATCATCACCGGTGCTTCGGCTCTTTAAGTTGGGGAATGGAACACTGTGGATAGATGCATGCACCACTATGAAATGCAGCTTTGATTGATATTTTGTTGTGGATACGGCGAGCCGGGACCGCGGCGATGTTGGGTCATAGACAGACCACGGATGCTTAACTCGGCGCCGCCTACTGTCAGGTTTGGTGCCCGTGTCACGCAGCTTCCGGCTCAAACGCCTCGACATTCTCGACAGGGCTCCGTGCAGCGGGACGTCCGACTTCACTGTAGCAGGCAGGCTCGATCTGAGTCGTCGAAGCTGGCTCCTACGTATGTCCGGCTTGCCTCAAGTCACTTTGTCTTGCCGTGAATGCCATCTTGAGCTTGTCTGTTTGAGCGTGGCCTTCCATGCCGAAAGTCGGTATGAACTGCCTGTAGAAAGATGTCCAATATGGTTGCAACTCTCTGCAAGGCGATTATAAGCTTCGTTAGCGTAGTTGGATTATCGCATCCGTCTAATACACGGTGCCTCAGATA